AACCTACTTCTGCTTTGTACTTACCCACCCAGGCCTACCCAGGCCTGGAAAGGAAAAGGAAAACCATCGTGCATGTATGTAGAGTATGTGCATTGCGAAGTAGAGGAGACCGACCCATCAGCTTGGAATTCTTTTTTTCTCTCGTTCTTTCTCGCTTTGTTGCGGCGGACTACCGGTAGAGTACTCTACTCGCTCGAAGCGATGAGTATGGGGGGAAGTTCAAGGAAACCCTTCAGACAGACAAAACAAAACATGTCACGATCGGCAGCCGATGCGGAGTATCTACACCTCTAGACTCTTGTTTCCCCCTCAGCCCTCGTGCTCGTGCTCGTGCTCATACTCGTCCCGCGATCCACGGTACATGCTACCGTACTTAGTCTGGTTAACGGGTCGTTGCTGCAAACTGGTCGTTGAAGCTGGACGTTGCTGCTGCAAACCTGCAAACGCTCGCTCGATTCAATCGGTTCAATCGACGTTTCTTAAAAGTTCGGATCCGCAATTCTGCAACCCACCCACACACACATCCACACGTCCGCACATACACACATACACACGTACACACATACACACATACACACATCCGCCGCGGCGCGGCGTGCGAGACATGGTGTGTGGAGGGGAGTGCCATCACGAGACGATTACATAGAGTACTCTGCCCATCTCCCACGCGGGGCGGAGTAACGGAGTACATAGAGTACCTACAGTGCGTACTAGTACCCACTCTACGGTACTCTACTCTACTCCACCGTACCATTATCGTGACGTTATTAGGAGTTTACCGAAACGCGGGATGAGGAGGGTGAGGGGGAGTTGGAGAAGGAGGAGGAGGTGGTGGCGCTTCAGCCTACATGTGCAGGCAGGGTGGCGGAAGTCTCCGTAAAACATCGCAAAACATCGCAACATCACAAGTCCGCAAAGTGCAAGTCCGCAACATCACAAGTTCGGTTCGCAACGTGCAAACGTCCTCGTCAGGAACTGGTCCCAACCCCAACGAGCCAAGCCATGGATTGTTTCTCCTGCCACCTGCGGCCTGCGTCCCCGTGAACTTGAGCTTGAGATCTCGAGCTTGATCTTGATCGTGAGCTTATGCTTATGTATGCTTGAGCTTATGCTCCGCTTTGTGTTGTTTCACCGAGGCTATGTATCCACCTGCCCCCTCCTCCCAGGCACCCAGACACCCAGGCCTACCAGGCACACTGGCACACTGGCACACACGCCCAGATACACAGGGTCCCCACCCACCTCCACCTCCACGACGTGGAAGAGCCGGTCAAAACTCAACCCACGATGCAGGCGGCTCCGACGAGAAGCCCGTTTGGTGGGTGGTGGGTGGGGTAGATCGAAACATCTCACATCGCTGATTACCGTGGTTTTCGAGGCCTAGTTATCCCGAGCGGGGAGTGGTATGGCTGGCTGGCTGGGAATCATTGAAGCCCCGATCGTCACGATAATACCAGTGGTAGGTAGGTGGGTAACCAGGTGCCCCGCCAGAACTCGGTCAACTTCGCGATCCCCCGCCGACCGCAAAGAACCTGGGAGCAAATCACGATCTCTGCTGCAAGCTACAGAAATATCCCCAGGAACTATCGTAACTATCCCACCTCCACCCGCCTGCCTAGCTACCTACTGGGTAGAGTAGTGGAGCTAAGAGGATAAAAAAACAACCTGCTCCTGGCACGAGACATCACTCGTAGAGGGGGGCTCGGGGGCTCGGGGGGAGGGAGGTATCCACCCAACACAACACAACACACGCCCCACCCCACCGCACCGCACCACACCCGGCACCGTCATGGCCATGGTCATGGTCAATCAACACCCCCTCCCCCTCTCTCTCTCTCCCTCCACCCGTCGGAGAAACCTCCGAAGGGATTACCCCTGGATCGATAGATCCCAATACCATCATACCCAACGTCCCGATCGCAAGTGGCAACGAACGGAACAAGCGTTCGCGTGCGGCAGCAGCGGCGGGCGGGGTACCTAGATAGAGTAGAGTATCATACTCAGTTATCGCCATGTCCCATGTCCCATGTCACCAAGGCTCCCACCACCACCACCACCACAACCACAACCACCAGTTCGCGGTCGGGTGCTTGAAACCGCCTAAAAGTGCTCGAAAGTTGAAAGTGCACGAAAAGTGCACAAGCTAGCGGAACAAAGCCCTGGCGAGGCGTTCCGAGTATTTTGTTGTGCACTTTGTGTATAGTACGTAGCATCGCGTGCACCGGATGTATGTGGAGTGGAGGGGAGGAGGGGAGGCGAGGAAACAAAATTCAGTTGACCCTCATCCCCTCTATCATCCCCTTCCTCATCCCATCGTGTGCAGTAGAGTAGAGTAGGTAGAGGCACTTTGGGCGGGAAATCTAGGTATCGAAACAATCTGTCTTGGAGCTTGGAAGAAGTTGTTGCCTCCTCCTCCTGCGTTCGTCTACCGTAGAGTATCATTTCGCATCTCATTTGACTGACGGCTGTTAGAGTGTAGTACTGTACTCTACAACGGTACATAGAGTAGAGTGGAGTACTTGCTCACCTAATTGTAGTGTGTGTGTGACTTAGACAGCCCATCCACCCTCCCTACACAATTTCCGCGATGACCGCTGCGGCTGCTGCTGCTGCTGCTGCTGTAGGATAAAACACAAAAAAAGGGCAGTCATGATGGGGCAAAAGGCGTCTGTTTCGAGCTGGGGTAACTACTCTAAGGCGTAAGATGACGATGGGGTCGATCGGGAGATGTTGATGTTGGTGAGCTCGGGGAGGGGGGGAGGGCTGGCATCCTACCTATCAGAGTGCAATTCCTAAAGTCCCAAGCCGTCGAAATATAGTGCAGTGCGATTGGCTTCTGCTGCTGCTTGCTGTTGCTGCCTGCAAGGAACGTTTGGGTATGTTTCCAGTGCTTCGTTTCGAGCGCCGATCACCGCACCGCACCAAACCAAACGAGCAGCAGCGACCTCACGAGGCTTAGACGGTTACCCTCGCACGAACGCACGCTCGGTCCCCGCTCGGTCCCCTCCGGAATTCCCTTTCGTTCCAACTCTTGACTCTTGGGGAGCTCTTGGTGGTGGTGGTGCTCTGAGACATGGATCCATCCATCCCAGCCCAGCGCACGCAAGAGCCAACTCGTGGCTTCTCTCTTCTCTTGTCTTGTCTTTGATGCTCTTTTTAGTTCGGATTCTAGTTAGGTGCTCTCTGGTTGTCTAACGAGAATAACTGTTAGGGAACCGGCGCTACGGGTATCACCAAACGAAGCCGTGCATAAACAACCGAGTTTGCTGTGCTGGAATTTAGTCGAGCCGGGCGCTCGCTCATGCGAAGAAACAAAAAAGTGATGTTGACATGTGCACATGCTCTGGAGTCAAGATAGCCAGGAATAGACGGTCCAAGGGAGCTCGGGCGGGTGGTATGCATAGGCAGGTTAGGTAAGGTAAGGTACGGTAAGTTGGTAGCATAACAGACGGGACAGAACGGTAACTGATCCGTACCGCTTCTAACCTAGGTGGATACATCCCGGGCTCCAGTGGATCCGAGTTCCATCGTTGGGCATGCTTCCGAGCACCAGCACACTGGGCCATGGAGAGAAAAAACCAACACTACCGCCGAAGGAGGGAAATGGGTCGACTGTTGGTATTCTTCGGCCTCAGCCGGATGGGCGAGAAGGTGGAGTCGTTGCGGCCGCATCAGGTGACCTCATCAGCCACAATAGGTACTGGTAAAGGTATCCATGGAAGTGTTGTATATTGAGGTAGATAACAAGTATTATCCGTGGTAGGGGGTCTGTGGCCGGGAAACAGCTGCAGATTTCGATGAGTATGAGGTGTTAATGTTCGAGCATTTCGTTTCGAGCGTCGGGGACGGGTGGTATAACCGACGGCCCCGGAATTCGGTGTATTGGTTGCTGGGTATGTATGAACTGTACAGACACATACCTCACGATGGTAGGTATTATGCACAGCTGCGTTGGGAGGGATGTAACTTGTGGGGTAGCATCGCAAAGGACACGATGATATCGATGAGTCCGCTCTGGCCCTTCTGGACTGAATAATGTTGTTCGTGAAAAATACCGAGGAGCAGCACCGGATGAATGAATACGGGGGCTCGATTCTGCCGGTAAGTAGAGTACAGCTCGTGCGGTTTGCAGAGTGTTTTTTTCTTTCTCTTTCTTTCTTTCTTTTGGCCAGCATCAGCAGCAGCAGCAGCCACGGTACTCAGTTGCCCGGATGGATGACATCGTCGGATTGACCGGATTATTTTCCGCTTACCCAACAGGATGTTCGCCGCCCGTTGTTCGATCCAAGAGGTTGAGGTTGGCGCGGCCCGCGGTGAAGTTTTTGGGGACCACTTGTTCCAACCAGTGATTGGGCCTGCTGGCATTGGAATTCGCCGGGCTGATTTCCCCAGTTTTCCTCTCGGAATTCCTACGGTCTGGTTGTGCCCGATCGTCGGATTCCAACAATCTCCGGCGGAGTGGTTGCTTCCAGCTGTCGTGTTGGTTTTTTTGAAGGGGGGGGCTATGTATGAACACTTGCGATGTCATGTTTCCAACGCCCAGGCTAGGAGGTTACCAACTAGTGGAGCTCTTAGTTTTTTTTCCTTCTTTTCTTTCATCCTCCCCCTTCGTTCTGACGTCGACGACGGGGTGGAGTACCGTAGTTGATCGTTAGTTACTAGAGTGGTAGTTCAAGTTGGGAAACATGGGATGGGTTGTCGCGAGGAGCGCTAAGACAGCTGTGGCGTGTGTGGGTGGCGGACGAGCGAGCGAGTCGATAAGCCCTAGACGAGCAGTGGTTGATTCGCTAGAGTTAGGGGAGTCGCAAAACAAGATCGACACTTCCTTCTTTCGGGCACGACCCGCACGGCGGACTGACCAACCCCCGGTTTTGGACCAGAAGTCGACTTGACTCCTCGACGGCGGCGGCGGCGGCGACGGTGGTGCTGGGTGGTGGGGTCGAGCACTCTACATGCTTTTCTACATACGCAAAGGGCGGCGTGCTAGAGCGGATACATCGGTACAAGCGGAGGCCAGGCAGGTGTGTTCTATGGTGTTGTTCTGGTCTGTGAGGCCGGGCTCCAGACAGGAGCCACGTCGACGATGGACAGGCATCCGGCACGCCGCACTAGCTATCTAGGTGCAGATTCGGACTCGAATGGATGTGAACCACCAACAGCCTGTCCGCAGTCCGCCTGCCTGCAAGCAGCAGCAGCAGCTTCGAAGGGGGGAATTTTGGGCGACAGCACCAATTCCGCGGTGGGGAGCTGCAACGACCAGACGCGAGGACTGGCCGCCTCGGGTTAGTGAGGCAGGACGCTCGGGCTTTGTCAAGTTGGGGTGAGATCCCTTGGACGAGTCGACGACGACGGTCGAAGTTGGGCCGTTGCGAGGGAGACTTGCCCTTACGAGGGGGAGACTTGCCCTTGCCAGGTACCTTCGGGCACTCTACGGTACTCTGGAGTATGTATGTAGAGCACATACAACTAGAGCTCCAGGGTGCTTGGGGTAACCACTGTTGTACTCGCTCCAGGGCACTTGCAGGTGTGGCCAGGCACCACCACACCGCCGGAGCAACAACAACAACGAACATCGTGAGAGCTTTGCAGACAACCCACTCCGTTTCTCGGGGAAGCGTACCCATTCCACGGAGCCAAAAAGCAATCCGCGTCACTTGACCGAATTGCCAGGATCTCGACCTCAGATGTTTTTGTTTTTCGTGCAGAGTGACGATGGGCCGTGGGCCAGAAGCCACGCTGGACCTAAAGACTGTGCAGGATGGACGGACGAGGACGACGTGCCATTCGTGTGGAGAGGCACGTCCGATCACTCTCACTCTCACTCACTATCTCTCTCTCTCTCGCTCCACTGCTTCCACGCAGCCGGCCCACGGAGCGGTACTGGGAGAGTTCAGGCATATGTAGTGAGAGAAAGTAGAGTATGTCGAGTAGAGTACCGTATGTAGAGCAGTGACTATCATGCCTCTACTCGTGCCCGTACATACATCTCTATACGTGCTCCGCGTACTCCATGCAGCGGTGCTTTGCTTGTCCCGACTTGTTCATATCGCGCACGCCTCCTACTCGCCGTAAACTTGTGGGGAACGGACAGGCAATGCACTCGGATATGGGATATGAGCTTGTGCACTTGCATTGACTGCGTGCGTTCACTATCGAGCCAGTGATGTTGCATGCTTTGGTTTCTCATCTGATTTGCGTACCCGAACACCGCGAGCCACATAATCGTGGGTCGGTACTGGGCGAACACGAGAGGGAGGGAGAGAGAGAACCGGGGGATGGGGGGTGTGTCGGTCAGTGTAGTGGTGGTGGGCCATGGACAGAGGGGACGAGAGGTGAGGTGAAGTGAGGTGAGAAGTGGTAGTGGCTGCTGCTTCACCTACGAGTCTACAACCAACGAGGAGAGGGCTGGCTGGTTGGCTTCCTGCCTGGCTGCGGGCAGATGCAGTGCATTCGGTCTTTGTCCTCAGTCACCCAAATCGACGGCCGGCCGGCCAGCCAAAAGGCAGGACAGCCCGTCCAACCAGTCAGAACCGATCCTTGTGATACACACACAACCTCACCACACTCACCACACCTAACACCTGCGTCACCCTCTTTGCTGTTCTGCGCCTTGCTGTTTTCGCCCGCACACCCTCAGAGCTCTTTCAACTGCCATGGCCCCCCGCCGCCTCGAGCTCCACCACCACGGCCACCACACCTACACATCACACATACCCACACTCCCACACACCCACCCCTCCCACCCACCCTCTGCCCACAGCACCGAGAGAGGGGGGAGGGTAAGAGGAGGCCACCCAAAAAGAAAAAAAAAGAAAAAGAAAAAATAATAGGTAAATCAATGAAATAAAGGAAAAAGAAAATAATAAACAGTGCCCCCCCCCCCCTTCCTTGCTCCCTGTCGTTGCAAGCGACTCCCATGTCCCTGCCCGATGTTTGTCATTCACAACCTCGTAGCGTTGCTCTCTGCCCAGGGCTAACGCTCCGGCACTACCGCATGGGTTAGCAGCCAAAAATAATCGATAGAGTAGCAACACACACACATGGCCTGCTGGTGGCTTGTCCTCCAAGGTCTTGTCCTGGCTGGCTGGATGATGGCTGATGGCTGGCTGGCTCGACGGCGACGGTGGTGGTGGTCATGGCTGCATCGCCTTTCTTGCCCGGCCCTGCACTTACTGCCCACTGCTACTACCAACCACTACTACCCACCACTCATCCGCTTCCTTATAACGAAAGTTTATCCCGGCTACCACCTCCCCACCCCTCATTGACATGCCGCTTGCGACGCGGCTGAGCTTCTCACATACATAAACACGCTGCCTTCCCTCCCCCCCTGGCCTTTTTGTCGTGGCATTACTTCAACTTCAACTTCAACAACAGCATCTACTCAACCCACTATCATTGTATTACCATCCGCGGTTCTTATATCTTCATTAACACCCCCACCCCTCCCTCCCCGAAAAACCTCCCATAGACCGATCACCCACTCGATAACCCATTCAACCTCGCACAACTTCACCATTCATTTGAGAACCGGACCTCCATCCTCGACCGCTCGATACCCACCCACCCTCCTCCTCCTCGACCGCTACCTCACAACACGCACTCACAACTACTCGACCAACAGACGCCCATCATGAGTTCTTCGTCTTCTTCCTCCAGCGTTTCCTCGACAAGCCCCGAGGACAGAATAGGCCAGCTGCTCGCCGGCCGCCTGGAGCTGACTGGTGTCCTTGGAATTGGAGCTTACGGAGTTGTTTACAATGCTGTCGACATCTTCACCTGCACACCCTATGCCGTCAAGGCTTTGACTAAGAACGGACTGGACGCACGACAGAAGCGCTTCCAGCAGAGGGAGATCGCCCTCCACCTCAAGGCCAGCGCTCACCCTAATGTGGTCTCGTTGATGAAGATCGTCGAGACCTCGGATTGCACATTCGTCATCATGGAATACTGCCCGGAAGGTGACCTCTTCACCAACATCACCGAGCGAGGCCACTACGTCGGAAACGACGAATTGGCCCGACGGATTTTCCTCCAGCTTCTGGATGCCGTCGAGTACTGCCATTCACTAGGCATCTACCACCGGGATCTCAAGCCGGAGAACGTGTTGGTTTGCAACCGTGGAATGGAAGTCAAGCTCGCCGATTTCGGATTGGCCACCACTGACAGCTACACCAATGATTTCGGCTGCGGTTCCACATTCTACATGTCTCCTGGTAAGCAATTACCTCCCCCCCCGTCCGATTCGCTACCCATCTGACATGAGCTAATTTGGTACCCCTCCAGAATGCCAGCAATCCTCTTCCCGAACAGCGAATTGTTACGCTTCCGCACCCAACGATGTTTGGTCCCTCGGTGTCATCCTGGTCAACCTCACCTGTGGCCGGAATCCTTGGAAGCGAGCCTCCCAATCCGACAGCACCTACCGTGCCTACCTTAAGGATCGCCAGTTCCTGCGATCAATCCTTCCCCTGTCTCCCGGCCTGAACGTCATCCTCCAGAAGGTCTTCGAGCCGAACCCTATGAAGAGAATCTCCATTCCCGAGCTGCGAGCCCGTATCATGGCCTGCCCTAGATTCACCAACACTCCCGGAGCAATGGACAGCCCGCCGCTCTCGGAGGCATCCCTCTCGAACCTTCAGGAGATGCCCGAGTTCAACCTCACTGGTCCCAAGTACACCGAAGCCCCGGTCACTCCTCAGGAGTCTTCCCAGGCTCACGGCCAGCCGGTTCTCCACCCGTACGCGTACAACAAATCTGCCGTGTCACAGTCTTCGAACGTATCATCGCCTTCATCTTCCTACTATCCCGATGCCGAGACCAGCCCAGCCGTCCTGCCATCATCTCTGGATTTCGTTCCCTCAGCTCGTAGCTTCTGGCAACAATTCCCATTGTTCCGACGAGAGGAGGTCCAGAACATGAACGCTCAGTTGGCCCAACACAATGGCGTGCAGGTCTTCTAAGCGATATATCCGATACCCAAACACGGAGTTTTCTTATTAATTTTCTTAATGCTAATTGGAGTTTGAGCTCTATTTCTTTTCTTGGGGTCTTTTTGTTTACCTGCCTTTTTGTCGTTTTGGAGCGTTGTGGGTTAAAGGAGTTGGGTTGTGATGTTTTTTCTTCTTTTTTTCTTTTTTTCCTCCTTTGGTTTTTTTTTCTGGGGTTTGCCGGTGCACGGAATTGTATCTATGGGGTTTTGGGGACAAGTCATACATGTTAAAATGGGTTTCTTTTGTATCTGGGTTGGGCGGCACTTTGTATTTTTTTTTTGTTTTTGTGTTCTTGCAAGTCTTGGACGGCGACGGCGCGTTGCATACCTACATCTTTGTATCCCTTTCTTCCCATGTTCATTTCTTCATTTTTCTGCATGTATACCCTTGGATGATGATGTACCATTCCAGCTTCTTTTCCAGTTGCTGGGAGTTAGATGGAGGATTTTCCTTTCTTCTCTCTACACGGGCACCGGTGGCCTACTGGCGGGCACATCGGCTTGATTTGGTTATGGGTTGGTGGATTCGGTCCTGTCGAGCGGACATTTGTATGTTGCATTGGGATGGAATTTTGGCAGGCAGGCAGGCAGCTCTCAGGCAAGGCCGCCAGGGTAGGAGGACGGTTGGGGGGGGGGGATGGATTGGATGGATGGAATTGGGGATCGGGAAAAGGGTTAGAGAGTATCTACAGCACAGCTGGTCTTTAGCAGATGATGGGACGGCAGACCCGAAGAATTGCAAAAAGCTGATGCCGGGCATGGGGCATGGGGGGGCGGGATTCAATCAATCAATCAGTGTCAAGCAATCGAAATTCGCATATATCTGGAAATCTTGATGGAAAATGTTTGGAGACGAATAAACGCTGGTTCCGCTCCAGCGCGGGACAGATGGGGCGTGGTGTGGTGTGGGTGGGTATTATTGCACGCACTGGGTTAGATGGATGGGTGGATGGGGATCTATTTCGCATTCCCTTTCTTTCGGGGGGAAGGGGGATATCTGGGTTTCTGCCGCCGCTGTCGGCCGGTGTAACGACCGTGAGGCATAATGCGCCCGGCGCCCGCCCCAGCTGATTATGACTTTCCTTGCTGGGGGTTGGTTGGTTGGTTTACATACACACATACACACTGAAGGAATTGATTGTGGATTGGTAGGTAAACACGCAACCCACGTTTGCGTCCACCCCCCGGAGGTGGTAAGAGTACATATCGTAGACGGTGTTTCATTGTGCGGCAGTGTACTGGTGGTGTTACTGCTTACCTATACTTGCCTATGATGGACTCCAGCTGGGGCCTGAACCTGAGCCTGGGAGTCTGGGAGCCTGGGAGCCTGGGAGCCTGGGAGCCTGGGAGCTTGGGAGAGGAGCAGCCCTGTGGCAGTTGCGGTGGCACAGCCCCGTACGTGGTACGAAGAGTATCAGAGTATCAGAGTATCGATACATAGCCATCCTCTGTCCTCTGTCATCTTGTCCTGTCATCCTCATCCTCATCTTGTCCTCTATCCTGTCCTCTGTCCTCCTGTCATACTGTCCTGTCCTATCCCGTGTCTTCACTCTACCACCACCACCCCCTCCCCCTTCAAGAAAGCTTGGACGATGGACGATGGGCGATGGACGATGGACGATGAAGCCGGCCGGTACATACGTAGAGTAAGTACTCTAGATACGTACTCGGGTACGTAGGACGATCGTGATTGCTGCCGCGTTCGCACTTCCTTCGCAGACCTGTTTTTTTCTTCTTCCTTTTTTCGTTCCTTCTTTTTATATTATTCCTTCTTTTCCTTCTTTTCGCCTCTGCTGGGCTGGGCTGCTTTTTCGTTGCTGATATGATCCGAAATCGACTGAACTGAACGAACTGAAGAGACCAGATGACTGAACTGACTAACTAACTAACCTGCGCGGGCAGTGGCTAGGCTAGCCAGTGTAGTGTAACGGCTGCTCCTTCGTAGTCTGCTCCTTCATGGTGGTGTGTTAGTGTGGTGTGTGTGTTAGTGTGGTGTGTGTGTGAAGAGAAACTCGAGCTCGTGACGCCTGCTGCTACTGCTGCTGGCCAGATGCGTCCTCTAGCTGCAGTGCTGTGCGGTGGTTCATCTCACCTTCGCAGCTTCGCAGCTTCCTTCGTTCGGTGCTCTGCTCGGCCACAGCACAGCACAGCACAGCACAGGACTGGACTGGAGACTGGCTGGCTGGTTTGGTTGCAGTGGTTCCAGTGGTTCCAGTGGTTCTAGTGGCGAAGGCGAAGGGCGGATGGGAAGTGGTGACTTCCGATGTATATGATATGTATGTAGGATTGAGCACCTACCATGTGTGCTGGAGCTCCATCTGGAGCATGTAGAGCATGTATGCAGATATGTAGGTGGCTATCTGCTTACTTCCTCTCTATCACTATCACTATCACTATCAACGCAGAGACGCAGAGAACTTTTCGAGGAAGCTTTTCGAAAGCGAAGGGAAAGCAGAGACGGACGGATATTGGATATCATATCGGGCTGCCGCAATTAAGGTACCCCCCACAACCCAACCCAACCCAACCAAACCAAACCCGGCCCCCGAGGAAAAACGTGGCAGGCAGACAGGCAGACAGGCAGACGTCAATGAGGGAGGGAAGGGGGGAAAGGGGACGGGGAAGAAAAAAATCCGCCGCTTCTCCGGGCCCTTGTCGGAAGGATCGGGGTTTGCCACTTTCGGGGGGAGCTTCCACTTGTTCTTCCATCCCTTCCATGTTTCTTTCGTGACCGAGTCGTAGTGTGAGCCATATGGACGATCGAGCCGATCCCGTCCCGCGCTCGGAACGGCAGCCAGTGCAGTCAGTCCAGCCAATCCAGTCCAGTGACCAGACCAGTGCAGCCAATCCCGTCCAATCCAGTTTCGTCAAGTCGGCAGGCTTCTACCTTCTGCCCTGTTTGGGGAGAACCCGCCAGAGCCTTACAGCGCGGCTCCATGTTCCCTACGCACGCTTGATCGGATCGCGGGATTTCGAAGGCGAGGAGGGGAGGGAGGATCGTCGCAGTCGTCGTGATGAGCGATTTGCTCTGGACGGCTTCCCTTAGGGCCCCTGCTCACCGGCGATCCGCTTTCGTTACCTGTTTCCTTTCCCTTCCGCCCCCCCTCCTCCATGAATCGAAGTGAAGTGAAGGAGGTCGGTACATCATGGGAGGTCGGTACATCACTACACACACACACACACATAGACACACCCTCTGTATACCTAGAGTAGTGGTGGTGGTATGGTGGTACATCATGATGTTATGAAACGGCGATATGATGACGGACTGATAGACGGACGGACACACGGACGGACGGGTAGATGCATGGCATGGCATGGCATGGCCTGGCAAGGCTGGGCTGAGTGAGCACTCACATACTCACATACCGACCCCGGAAGCTGTACGTAGAGCTGGAGAGCTCAGAGACAACGCCATCTCCCTCCCTCGCACACGCTGTCCCTCCTCGCACACGCTGTTCCTCCTCGCGCTCGTCCGTTCCCGGCCATCTCCCCCCATCTCCCCCACATGTCAGCGCCTCTGCGCTGCGCGCGGTGCGCGACGCAAAACATCTCGTTTCACATCTAGAGAGCTAGAGTACAGTACAGTACCAGCCCTTTCCGTTCCCCGTTCTGTTCGTTCGTCCCGAGAATGAGATGCTGTCGCAGGTACGAGTATTTACTACGTGTGTAACGCATAGTTATATGTGACAAGGGAGGGGAGAAGGGACATGGGACAAGGGGCCCTGCCTGCTTTCGTTGAACACGTCGACAACGCCCGCCATGGATGGGGGGGAAGGGGAGCAAGGGATGCCGGCCTGCGGGCGTTTTTCAGCTGTTTGGGTTTTAATTCTCTCTCCTCTCTCTATCTCTGAGTATGATCTCTGCGCTGGGTACTTATCGAACGCGGAAGTTGGAGTTAGGAAGTTGGAGCTGGGAGGCGATGGTGACGGTGGTGATTGGTGGTGGTGGGGAAGACACATTGAGTACCTCTATCATACATACATGGCATACATGGCAGAAGTGGTATATACGGTATGCACTCTACCCACCCGACCTACAGCTTCTCGAAATATGCAGAAGCAGCAGCAGAAGCAGAAGCAAAGGCAGAAGCAGCATCGAGCGAAGGAGGTCGGTCCCATCCGAAAGGAAAGTTCTTCCATTTCGATATTACTCCACCTGTACTTCTCCACTGTACTATCGTATAGTATTCGGAGCAGAGCGGAGCACTATATTCTCCCCATTATATCCTCAATGGAATTATATACAATTTCTCCCCGTACTTTTCTTACTTGCTTGGGTAGCAGTAGCAGTAGGCAGGTCGACGTTGTGCTAATATTTCCAATTGAGGTCGCCGGTTTAGACTCTGGAGACTCGAAAGTAGATATCGGCGCAGGAACCACCAGAAAATGTTCACGGGATAGGCGTCACCGATCTTCCAGGCACATTGAATCTGCGAGCCGCAACGGGGTCCGCAAAACCTCCTTCAGGCCTCTGCATCCTGCACTGTGCTTGCGCCAGCCTCTTTTTTATTTTTATTACTTTCTTTTACTTTTACTTTTTTTTTTTTTTTTTAAATCTGCTGCAGTAGGCCAACGGTGGAATTACCGAGTTTCTTGGAAAGCAAAATAAAAAATACAAAAAATGCAGAATTACTGCTCTAACGAGGAATAGCGCTGTCGAATAGCGCTGGAGGGAGCGTCCGATGATGCAAACCCTTAACCCGCTTCCTGAATCCAAACGAGACTGCATGCATGGCAGTAGTCCTCTCCGGCTTTGCAGTGTGCCAGACAAGCCCCCAAGAGCCAATGCAAGCGCTGGGAACTGGGCACTGGGCACTGGGCAGTGGGTGGACGCGGGTTTCGTCGGGTTTCGGCGGCGATGATTTCTAGATTCAGAATTTCAGACTCGAAAGGGTGCAGAATGGTGCGGATGGATGCCAGAACTGGTTTTCCTCCATCTTCGATATTGTGCCTGGGATAAAACAAAAACAAAAAACAAAGCTGGAGGCAAACCCCGTTTAGTGTGGGATTGATGCGGGATGCGGGATGGGGGGAGGGAGCTCATGACCTTTCGCTCGCTTGGTGGTTGTGATACACAAATTCTATATAGATGTACGAGTACATACGGTACAAACTTACATAACGGGTGTAAGGGTAAGTGCTGCCTCACCAGTTTTGCCCCCATACGACTTAGCGTTTTTCGCCCTTACAACTTAGTCACAACCACTCACCCATTTGATTGTATCTGGCTTAGTGTGCTCCTAATATGGACTAGTGATTATAGCTCGTAATGGTGGTGAGGCACCACTTATCGGCAGCTCCTAGTACATCGGCAATTGGATTGGAACCCATCCCAAATTCCCAATTCGAACTGCGAACGGCAAACGGGAGTTCGAGTTGGAGTTGTTCTCACCCCAATCCCACACCCACTCCTTCCATCTTGGTCTGGAAGGACGGCGAGGCGGGGATATATCTGCCGACGGCCGGCGGACGGGCGGACATGCGGACGGGCGGACAGGCGGCCACTGGACAAGCGGCCAGGAGCTTTTTATATATACCGACCAACGCCATCCCACATACTTACCTAAGTGGATGGGCCATGGCCATGTCTTTCCAATGTCCAGTGTCCACCGATCTCAAGATCGAGCAAGAAAAGAAAGAAAAGAAGAAAAAAGAACCTCCACGCCACGCCACGCCACGCCGTGCCGTTTGAGACACCAGCAGACCTGGGTTGCGTTGGGTTTGAGATCCGATCTCGGAGGACCTTTCTCCTGTGTATGTGCGTATGTATGTAGAGCTCATCATCATCTGCTGCTGCGCCGTACTCTTCGCCAACGAAGTAGGTACCTACCTAGAGTATGTATCGTGAAGGTTCAAGGCATGCAAACCACGATTCGAACCGTAGTACGGTCCTCCGAAGCCCGCCTGTGTGTGTGTGCGCCGTATATCCGATCTGCACGGTGATAATTGGTGGACTGCGGGCATTGGGGGCTTGGCTTTTCTTCCGTTCACGGCATGTAACGAGTGTAGTAGCCCCATCCGGCGGCGGATGCATGGGCTGAGTCCTGGCCAGTGCGAGCCGGGAGTTTTCTGTTTTTTTGCTTTCTTTTTCTTTTTGGCCTTTTCTTTCTTTCGTAGGATGGTTGTGGTTTATGTGGGATGGTTTACATTTGTGGTGTATGTGGTGTGAGAGTGCGTGCGTGAGTACGTGTGTGTGTGTGCTCGCAACGGCAGCCAGTCATGCGCAGCTTGCAGCAGCAGGTACATACCTCATGTGCGGTCTGTACGGTCTGTATGTATCTGAGTACACACTCGGTGTGCGCTGCAAGAGCGGGGTAATATCGATCAAGTTGAAGCAGGGCCGCCACGCCGCGTTGCCAGCTATGAAGATACTCTCGAGTGTTGATACTCTGCTCTGCTCTCCATACATATGCCACTTGGGTACGGTATGTACTCTACTCTACTCCACCTACGTACAGTACTCTATTCTACTGTAGCCCCATCACATGCACGCTGGCTGCTTCGAAGTTCGAACCCATTACTCCATGCTGCTGCTGCTGCGCGCGCATCATTGTGGGCGCACACAGAGCACACAGAGCACCCGACGTGTACGGTGCGGTGCGGTACTCTATGTACGTCGGTTGGAATCCCGCAATTCAGATGGCCGCCCCCCCCCTCGCCCCCTCCACCCCGGTTCGGCCAATGGGCGCGGAAGCCCGCCGGCTGCTGCAGTGTGATGGTGGTAGGTACGCTACTGTGGCCGGGCCCCGAGTGCTGTCCAGTGAACCAATTGGGCAGAACTGAGATCAACACGGGTGTGATTTGCCGCAAAGTTCTGGCTGTGGGCTGGCAGTACGATGGACGCTAGATATGTACACGATACCGAAGTAGGTGCTGTGATAGCTCTCGCCTAGGTATGCGACTTATCGGCCTGGCGACTCGCGAGTAGAGCATGTATGTACCCACAGACATCCATACGCCGAGCGTTGAAGCGTGGGGAACGAGTTCGACTGAGTGCCGGCGTCGTCTGCGTCGGCGTGGGGGGCCCACCCGGCCAGGTCTGTAGTCGTCTCCATGTTAGCCACCTGGCAATGTTCAAGCGCGCAGCGCAAGCGCCAAACTCGACATCGTTGGAGCCGAATGATACTCATCGGTATCGACAGGCAGTATGAACCTACCATACCACATGTCTCTCGCCGGATGGGGGGAGAGAGGGGAGCATCGATCGGTATGATGAGGTATGATATGTACCTTACTCCACCGCCAACAAGCCACTAACTAACTACCCAGGAGCGGCCAATGACATTGGCCCAATGCTCATTGGAAGGAACGGTCTCCAGAGTCCATTCCCAACGCTTCACATGTAAGGACATACGGTATCTGCACTTGCGCCGTACACCAGCACGCCAGGACGGAAAACTCAGCAATCAGGAAACGGGCGTCGGGCGTCGGGCGTGACTGATGACTGATGACATCGTCGGGGCCCACTGTTCATCCGAAAGTAGCAAGTCCACCGAGGCTTTTGATCCATAATGTAGAATTCAGGAACGGCCGTACGTGAAAGTACACGTTGCCACGGCGGATTCGATGTTCTCGAAGTATTACCGAGATGGAGATGCGCCGGTGCGTACGGTACCTGAGTATCCACCTGTGCATGGTACCGGTACCCAGCTGAGGATCCGGAAGCCACGATATCGTGGATCAGCCCGTCTTTCTTCTGGAAGCAAAGAAGCGAGATCCACCAGGAGGATCGTCGCAATGCGGCTGACCCACGATCACGGACACGATCACGGGCATCATCACGATTCACGATGCGTGGTCAACGGCGAAGTTTAGGATGCGTGGGTACATACATGTACCTGTGTACATAGGAGGTAAGTACTTGACTACTTACCTACATAGTTATTTCGGCCAAGTTCCTTCGGCGAGAACCTTCCGCAAGGGCTTTCGGATACTCATCGCGGGAGACTCGAGAGACGAACGGATCCATCCGCAGGGACGGAAGTTGCCACTTACACCACTATCGTTCCACATGTTTACGTGGCCGCGGCCGGAGAGTCCTGGACTCTGGAGTCTGGAGCAAATCTCGCATCCGGCGATGTCTAAATCCGGCGTCCGCTAGAGTAAGGGTTTGAAGTTGGAACTTTGTAGGTGGTAGGACGGGTTGCCAGCGCAGAGCCCTCTCGGGGGCTGCTCGGGCACATCCATGCGACTCCGACGATTCGCAGTTCGGCCAGGCCGGATGCCGACTTTGCACTTCACAGCTCCTGACTACCCACTCTAAACATAGCGACCGACCGACCCACCCAACCGGCACGGTAAATACTAGATACATGCCCCGCTCTACCTAGTGTCCGTCCCATGTGTCAATCGTATGTACCTCCGATAAGGCGACACTACCGTACTCTCTACAGATAACGGCCCGGCACTGGATCAGATGGAAGATCGATATCGATATCGATATTTATCCGCAATCAATCTTCAATCTTCCAGGTGTCTACCAAGTTCCCGCGGGCGGGCGATATAGTGGTTAGTGGCCGCCGTGGATGATGATGCTACTAGTTACCGTATAGTATCGATATATAGCACATGTATCATAGCCCTACTGCCGTTCCGTCGTCTACCATTGGATGTCGACTTTGACGATGGAGTTATATGGACCTACACTAGAGTAGAGGAGAGCACTTTCCATTGGCCAAAACAGAAACACGTTGTCGAAGATTGTTTCGATTAACTACTGGCGTACAGTAGGCTGGATCCGGGACGCTGCTCTCGACTCTCGAGCATTAACTATACGCCACTCTATCGGGCCCGGGGGATGCTTTCGGTGCGAGATATGGATATCAATGAAGTAGGTAGGTGCTTAGGTAGCCAACCTTTTTTTTGTTTGCGCGATAGTCGATTGACTGCAGAGCGTTCAGTTGGAAACGAAACAATCTATAATACTGCACATACATACCATATCCGAGCGTCCCACTGTGGCGGCCACGACATCTCCAAGTATATACCCACATACCCAACTCTATCGTCTCCCCATCTCCAGTAGTCTCGATACACGATACACGATACACGGCATCGTAATAACACATGCAACGGATACCTACCTTGTAGTAAACTCGATTCCACCAAGACGGGTGACGGGTGGCGAATGACGGGTTGCGAGTGCGATTCTGTGCATCCATCGGCACGGTACGGTATACAAACTCCATGAAGCAAGCGCAGACCCCCTCCCGCCCAGGTATCTGTCAGCCCTATAGCGCGGCCGCCACCATTTCGCGCGAGCGCGAGCCACCAACCCTACCCCACGCCACTCACCGTCCGGGCCGACCGAACAAAAGATTTCCACCCAACGAGCGAACGGACGACCTACATAACTATCCCATCCATCCCATCCCATCCCTCCCCCCCCAAACCCCCCACGACGCACACGCACGAACCAACGAACCAACGAACGCACCGCGAACGCACGAACGCACGAACGAACCGCCACCACATCCCTCGCAGATAAACTTAGCCAGCAAATATGTCTGGACGTCAAGGCAAGTCCGAGTCCGCAGTCCGCCACCGCCGTCCGTCCGCGCGCGCGCGAAGGAGCGCGGAGGAGGGGCGGGAGGAAGAGGATGAAGAAGCGTCGGCTGACTCGAACACTGCGGGGTGATAAATGATACAGGTGGAAAGGCCAAGCCCCTCAAGGCTCCCAAGAAGGACAAGAAGGAGCTCGACGACGAGGACAAGGAGTTTAAGGAGAAGCAGAAGAAGGGTATAATAACCATTCGCTGAACTTCCACTTTGTGGTCGTTCGTTCGTCCGAAGATTTGAGACTGGAGGCTAATGGCGAGGTTGTTTTTTTTTCGCTACGCAGAGGCTGCTGAGCGCAAGGCTCTCGCTGAACAGGCTACCAAGAAGGGTCCTCTCGTAATTTACCCCCCTCCCCCCTCCCCTCCGACTTACCCCCCGACTTACCTCTTCCCCTCACTTGCCCCTCTCTCCCTCGCGCTCGGCGTTGACGATTGGATGAACAGGGCGGTGGCGGAATCAAGAAGTCGGGCAAGAAATAGGCCAGCTAATCCTCGGGCGCGAGCCGAATGCTTTGAGCGAGCGAGCGGCGGCGGGTCGAATTAGAATTTTTTCGCGCATGGGATGAAAAAGGTCCATACATACACTCAACCCTTTTTGCTGCTGCATGTTCTTGTTAGAGAGGAGAGAGAGAAGTGGAGATCAAGGTGCGAAACTGGCGAATACCAAACAAGCGATTACCTCTCCTTCGTTGCGAGCGGGGTGTTATCTTTTTGCTTTACCGACGTTTTTCTTTTCTTTTCTTTTTTCTTTTCGAACTGCTGTGTGTGTGTGTTGTGCATACTACACTACACACTCTACTGCGAGGGGGAAATAACAGAGAGAGGGGCTGGACTTAATCAAAACCGTTTCTGTGGCTCTTTTCTTTTCTTTCTTTATCGGCATCCGGTATCGTCACTGCGGGGCCGGATGACGGACGTGTTCAAAATCTGCGCCATTTTTTGATTGTTTGGAGGCGAGGCCGACGGGGGGAGAGGGGGAGGAGAGGGGAGAGTGGAGACACCGTGCTCCATTCCATTGGACGAGCACTCTACCGCAGTTGACGACGAATATGTTTTGACGGACTGGCCGGCGTGTTGCGGCCTTTTTTTCTCCCTTCCGTTCACAGTGACGGACGAACACCTTGCTTGACACGCAATGAATACAGTCTATCAAGAGACTGATAGTAAAGTACGGCAGAGTACAAATTCCGGCGCGTGACAATGCTCCCCCTAAGTAATGAAAGAAACCCCCACAACACGCGATGAAAATGAGATGTTCCCCCGGAAGCAGCGACATCAGCAAGCAAGCAACAACAACACGTCTACCCTTTAATCCCCATCGTCACTCCATCCTCTCGTCATGCCAACCGAAGGGCTTGGTCTCGACCACCACCTGTTCGACCGGTGCGGGGCTGGACTTCATCTTTGGCCTCCTCACCGTCACCGTCTTGGTAGCACCATTAAGCTCCCAACCCACCCCATACTCCTCCCTCAATCGCTTCCACGGCAGCCCACTAACCACCTCGAGATACGGGAGATCGACGGTAAAGTACGTTGCGCCGATAGATTTCAGCATGAGCTTGCGCATGCGGTCCTCGGCGTAGTCGATCAGTCTCCCCATGTACTGATCGACTCTATTCCTGGCCGCGCGGTACGACCAATAGTTGCCGTGGATGATGGCATGCACAGCTTGCAGCGCCCGTCTGTCGACGACACGGAACTCATTCTTGACGGCGAGCGCGGCGCCGTATTCCTCGAGGTGTGCGGCGAGGTGGAGCATGTGGTACGATGCAAACTCCTGCACGTCGAGGTTCGGTAGGGGATTTGCTGTGTGCAGGTTGTAGAGCAGGTAGAGCAGTGCCGCGTGGTAGTTGTCGATCTGCTGCACCAGGATCGCCGCGCGGATGTGCTGCTTGAACACCTCGACGGCGAATTTGTCGGTGCGGCGCGCAGCCGTGATACCCTCGCGGAGCTTGCGCATCCCGAGCAGGATCGAGGAGAGCTCGGCATTGCGCGTGTCGTTGTAGACGGTGTTCTTGCTGCCGGGCGGCCGCGCCGTCGACCGTGGGTTGTTCAGTGGGGTGATCGCAAGGGCGGCAAAATCGCTCTCGAGCTGGTCGGAGCTGCCGCTCGTCCCGCAGAATTCGAGGTACTTTCTCGTAATGTGCTTGTGGTATCTAGCCCCATTGTCAGCAGAAGTAGTGGGAGCAATGGCGACTGCAGGGGAAAATACAGCTCCTGATTGCGATGGTCCTTCAGTCTTTGCTTCAGTCAGTAAGTGGCGGCAGCAAAGAAGCTGTCGGCGAACGAAGCGACGACAACAACGGACCTTTCATCACCTGTCCTCCCAGCCCATTAGCACCCATCGTAGTCCCCCTCAATGAGTAGAGCAGTAGAATACCCTTGCTCACGAACCCAAAGTCAGCCACATCTTCGATGTGACTGGGCTCCTGTCCCTTGTCCTGCCTCCTCCAGCTCGAAGTCCTCAGCACATTCCCGCCCCCCTCGGACCCAAACCGTTCGAGCCGTTCGAGCTTCTTCGCGTCGGAAGTAGAACTCCTATCGGACCGCCAGTTGAAGCTGCTCTGCCGCACACCGCTCCCCTTCCCTCGCCCGCGTTGCTGGTTGTCGCCCATTCTTCGTGATCGTATGTAGACGGTGGGGAAGTGGGGAGGATGTGATGGTCGTGACACAAGCTGGGCGTTTCGTTTCACGTGCACCCTGGATAGCTAGAGTATATATACGCGCATCGGGCCGGGAGGAGGACCGCGCTTATTCCGACCGACCTCAACACTTTGAGAAGATCTCCCCATGGACAAGGATTGCTGGGATTTACCGCGGTCCCAACGTTCACCACAGGCCAGATAGATCTCGTACGTGTGCGTGTATAAGGCCAGGGTTTTTTGAGACTTTTCGTCTGGATCTACCTAAGTACACAACACATTCTTCAGGAAGATACAGAGAAGAAAAGAAAAAAGAAAGATGGCGACCAGACAGAGGAAACCACAGCCGGAGCCAAATCCATCGGCGGGAAAGAAGGCTGTTGATGTGAGCATCGTCTCTTCCCCACGGAACATACCGGAGTGCTGACCCTCTCTCTCAGGCGATCCATAGAGTCGAAAAGAAATTCGAGCGTGCCCTCACCTGCATGTGGGATGATTTACGTATGTCACCCCCGAGTCCGATAGGTATCCACGCCGGACTGTGGCTGATAATGGTTTGTAGAGCAATGGCAACGGTTAGTGATATCAGATGCTACAGGTGCATGGAAATGATGTTGACGAGAGCAAAAGTGATAACCATTTCATTCTCTCCGGATATCGGTAATAGTTACTCCCTCCGGACGAAGGAGGAAAGAAGAAGAGGGATTGCTGAAAAAACCAATCCAGACCAGCTACAGAATCCTTCATGAAATGTTTCAGATCTCTATTCTATTTCCACAACGAATCCAGTACGTCTCTCCTCCTACTCTTGGTACAATACTAACGCCAACCAGTAAATATCTACACCCACCTCCTCGGTGCCGCTCTCTTCCTCGCTCTCCTCCCGCAGATCCCGCAGCTCCTGCACCGCTATCCAACCGCCACATCATCCGACATCACCGCATCCAGCGTCTTCCTGCTATCAGCCGTCACCTGCCTGGGGCTGTCTGCAACCTACCACACCATCTCCAACCACTCTCACCGCATCGCCAAGTTCGGGAACCAACTCGACTACCTCGGCATAATAATCCTCATAGTGGGCAGCTACCTCCCAACGGTGCACTACGGCTTCCACCAATGCCACCCGTCCCTCGGGCGTGGCTACTCGATTATGATGCTGCTCCTGGGCGCGGCGTGCACGGCTGTGACACTGATGTCGCGCTTCCGCACGCCCGCCTACCGCCCCTTCCGCGCGGGGATGTTCGTGCTCCTCGGCGTCTCCGGCGTGATCCCCGTGGTGCACGGAATGCAGCTGTATGGTGGTTTCATGGCACTGGATGCGAGGATCGGCTTGCGCTGGGTGCTCACCGAGGGCGCCATGTATATCCTCGGCGCCGGGATCTATGCGGCCAGGGTGCCCGAGAGGTGGGCGCCGGGACGGTTTGATCTCGTGGGCGCGAGCCATCAGGTTTTTCACTGTTTTGTGGTCGCGGCTGCGGTGGCGCATCTGAAGGGGCTGGTGGTGGCCTTTGATTTCTTGCATGGGATGGACGTAGGGAAGTGTTAGGATAGACATGTTAGAATAGAGTAGACAGGTCGTAGAATCGAGCGTCGAGAGGCGTTTCTTTTGTTCATATTGAGCCGATTTCACAGTGGAACGGAGTGATCACCGATGACAGCCATTCACATTCTCACTCGTTGAAAATTCCATTGGTCCCACGGCCTCCCCACCCGGAGCCATAGCAGCAGCCATTACGCCCCCTAAAGTAAACAGAACAACCAGACCATCCCTTCAAAAGGAGATGCACGCAATTTCATCGCTCACCTTCTCTTTCTACTCCTCGCGATATATACAAAATCACGCCTTGAGGAAGTCTGATCGCGTGCATCCAACCATCCAACCATCCAACCAGCCCATCCACATGTGGCCATCGACTCGATCGCCGAACGCGATCGGCGGCCAGGCTCAGCCTCAAAATGAAGAAGCAAATGTGTCCAAACAGGCAAAAAGGAAAAATGGATTTGGTGATAAGAAATATGCAAAGGAAAAAACGCCGTCCGGTAAAAAGCACCCAAAACGCAGTCCGCCCCTATGGTAAAATAGATAGAAAAAGCACCCTTGGTGAGGAAAACAGTCTAGTGGAAACAGAAAGAAAAGAAGAAAGGAACAAAGGCTCGCCACTTGTGTGAGAAGCTCTCTCCTGGTGGGTTCGGGCGCGACAAAAAAACAGGGGGGTAGATGAAAGAAGGCGGAAATTGAAGAAAACAACTGAGGGACGGAAACAACTGATGAAAGAAGAAGACAACTGGAGAAGGAAGGAAAGTTGATGATACAAGTCAAGGAACGCCCCGTACACTCGTCCTCCTCCAATGTACACATCCCAGTAAGAAAAGCTGCCCACTCGTTGGACTTGATAGGACGACCTCAGTCATCCACCTCCCCCTCCTCAAGATCGGGGTTGTCATTGGCCGGCTGGTTCTCGGTGGTGGCAGCGGCAGGCTCCTCTTTCGGCCGACTAGCGGATGGAGGATCTCCGCCGTTCCGCACCTCTTCCACTCGGGGTCGTTTGCGATCGCTCTCGGAGTCCGGGGCGTCGCCGGAGGGGTCCCGCGAGCGCTTCTCCGGCAGAGGCGATGCAGTGCCGTAGGCTCTCTGTCTTGTCTTTGTCGTTTCTGGACCGCCCTCAGGGGTCGTGACGTACTTGGGCCGGTCATCGCCCCTGAGAGGATTATTTCTGCTTTGCTCGTGAGCAATCGAGGAATGGAAGAAGGAAAGACCATTGGAATTAGCATACTCATAAACCAATGCCATGTAGTTGCAGCACTTCTTGATATCTTTGATCTTGACGCCAATGATCTCCCACCACGGCTTGTCATCCTGGTCCGGGAACTCGACATTGCAGTGCTTCGCCGCGCAGTAGAGGGCTGCTGCAGCAATAGTCTTGGGCGGATATAGGATGCACAGCATTGTCAACGTTGCATCGTTAAGGAACGTCCACGCGGTCCGTATTAGCTGCCGTGTCTGCACGCCGAGCAGGTGGGTGTAGTCGAGAAGATGATTGTAGGGAACCTCGACCGTGACGTCAAAGCAGATCGATTCTAAAAGGTACTCCTCCTTGCTGAGGATGCAGTCTTTCCAGCGCCAGAATTCTTTGTCGTCGCGGTGTACCTCCATCTTGAGGTTCTTTTGTGCAGCGCGCACGCATGCCGCCACGATCTCGCCGAATTTGCGCATGTTCTCTTCAACCTTTGTCGCGAGAAATAGCGAAGTTGCCGCCGTCTCCTGCGGATCCGGTAATCAGCCTATGCTCTCCTTTCCCGGGGAGAATCTGCACCCCACACTCCAACAAACCACTAAGGAACGTACATAATAGTGATGTTTTTTCAACGAGTTCTGCATATAGAAGCGGTGTAGATACGTTGACGCCGTCGCCAGAGTAAGCTGTGGAAGCTTCAACTGAATTCCGAGCTGCGTGATGAAGTTGCAGCCCTTTGATCGCATTTCGCGTTCCGACTCGGGAGAGATTCCGTCCAGCACCGACGGAGTCTGCAGGAGCTCCTCCTCCGCGAAGAGCCATTGCGATTCCCACTCGGTCACCGAAGGCGTTACCTCATCGCCCATCTTGTCGCCGCGCGCTGGAGGCGGTGTCGGTAGCTGCGAGATCCCTAATCGGGGTTTTGCCGGAAGTGATGACGATAACGTGGTCGAGGAGGGGGTCGAGGAGGTCGTAGAGACACTGGCGGAAGAGGGGAGGAGGTCGGTGGCCGGCATACACGGGTTTTTGTGACGTAGGGGCGGGTAGTCGGATGGTGTTAGGTTACTCTAGACCCGCGTGTTCCGCCTCGCCTGAGGTGAGGGAGGAAGGCTGGTAGTAGAGTGCGTCGGAATCGATGGTGGCAACGTTACTTAGATCCTAGGGCGAAGGTGTCGATGCGTAGGAGGAGAATAGATGAGTCCTGTTGAATTTTTTGTTGTGGTGGTGGTGGTAGTGGTGGAGGTGGAGGTGTTAGAGGTGTGATTGCGCGACGTCTAGGTCGAAAGTGTTTTGGTAGGGTGAACAGGGTTTTGGGGGTGGCTTCACCACTGGCAACGATTAGCGATTCAAAGCCCGATACACAGGGGAATGCCGCTTTTCGTGCAGCGGACCGGCGGTAGGCGGAGAATATGTGGCTCAGGGCACAGCTGTGGCGGATTTGTGGCTGAAACAGTACACGGTCACATGATTCAAGTCCGTCAGTGAATGTTGCAGAGCGAACCACAGCAGCCAAGCCAGCCTCGCGCCCCACCTGCAGTGGAACTGTCCACCACATCGCGTCCACCGCAACCTTCCTGCTTCGCCAACCACCATCAAACGCCAAAATCCACTACGATGTCGGGTGAAAACGAGCAATTTTACCTCCGGTACTACTCGGGACACAATGGACGTTTCGGACACGAGTTTCTCGGTACGCCATTTCCTCGTCCTGTCAATCTCGAAGGTAGCAGACAGCTCACATATCCAACGCAGAGTTCGATTTCCGTGTCCTCGGTGATGGTCGCAGCGCAATGGCCCGTTACGCCAACAACTCGAACTACCGCAATGACTCGTTGATCCGCAAAGAGAGTGAGTCCACCTCCTCCTCCCCCTCGGAAACCTCACTGACTCAAAGGGCCTAGTGTGCGTCAGCAGCCTGATGATCAAAGAAATCAAGCGTGTAATCAAAGATTCGGAGATCATGAAGTCCATCCCCTCTCTCTCCCCCCTCCCAAACCGATTCTAAACACCCGAGGAATATAGGGAAGACGACGGAAAATGGCCACCGAAGAACAAGGACGGACGTCAAGAACTCGAGATCCGAATGGGCAATGAACACATTTCCTTCGAGACCGCTAAGATCGGATCTCTCGTCGACGTTCAAGAGAGTGATGACCCGGAGGGCCTGCGCGTGTTCTACTACCTTGTGCAGGACCTTAAGGCGCTCGTATTCTCGCTGATAGCGCTGCACTTCAAGGTAAGAGATACATCAATCTGTTGCTCAAGGAATAGAAAGTTAACCGGTAGTTTGCGCGGGCGTTGCGCACTTGGTGGGTGCATAGATCAAGCCGATATAAAGGGTGTTTTCTTGGATGTAGCGGCGAGCGAGGGAGCGAGTCGTGGTTACCATACTTCTTTTTCTTCTTTCAACGAACCGACGAATCTACGACCACCGAACCATGATCCCCTTCCATACTTAGACAGGTGGGTAACGAACGCGAATGGCGTAGTAATGTGTTCTTATGGCCAGTGACATGGAGCGCAGCCGTAGAGTGTTTCTTGTGGACCAAGACAATCCTCACATTCAATCGATTTGATATTGCGGCGTATGAAGATACCTTTTGATCGTCGCTCGTAGTGTATTCATATCTCGCATTCAACATCTGAGCATGTGTACCATTTTGTAAAAATCAACCGATCTCAACTTACGAAAAGAACCAATCGACCCTCCCCTTGTACCATAACCCGTTCGCAAAACAAGCCGTGTACTTTAACCAAGACCTTTCCCCCAAAGAAAACCGCAAAGAAACGAAGAAAAAAAAAATCAATTCTAGTTCTCCATTGGATCTAAAGCGCTTCCAGACCGCACAATAGTGGCCCAACCGATCAACCGCCAGTGCTTCTCGATTCTTCGGGACAGAGCAATCTTCTCTCCCTCCTTGGTACAAGCGGGACTGGTCAACTGGAGCTTAGCAACATCGGCCTTGGCCGCAACAACCTTGGCACCTGTGGCAGTCGATCCGATATTGACCATGAGAACCTCATTCTTGGAAAGCTTGGCGACCTTGGCCTGCTTTCCGTCGGCGGTCTTGACACCGAGGAGACGGCGGAGCAGGAAGAAGTTGACTTCCAGGTCGGTGTAGATGTTAGGAAGCTCGCCCTTGAGTCCGAGGACGTGACCGACCAGACGATCGGCACGGCAGAGAGTGGGGTCGACACGGGTACCAACACCTAGCATGATACATTAGAGCTACTCATAGAATTGAGCCTTTGGAGGGAACAAACCAATAAGACCACCAGGGACGGCGAACTTCAGGTCATTGGTCTCGGCAAACAGAGACACAATTCTGCTGAAGATGGGCTTGCAGCGGATTCTACCCTCCTCAGTCCTCGTCACAATACCAGGCCGGATCTCAATCTCATCACCCAGCTTCAGAACACCAGTGAGGATGGAACCTCCAGCAACACCTCCCTTCAGGTCCTCAATTTCGGCACCAGGCTTGTTGACATCGAAAGATCGGATGACGATCATGTGAGGGGTGGCAGTGAAGTCTCTCAAGGGAACGGGGATCTTGTTGACGAGGGCCTCGTTGATGGCGTCGATGTTGTACTTGAGCTGCGCGGAGATCGGGATAATGGGCGATCCGTCGGCAACAGTTCCTCGGATGAACTTCAAGATGGACTGGTAGTGCTCCTCGGCGGTGGCCTCACGCATCAGGTCGACCTTGTTCTGAAGAATGATGATGTGGTTCAACTTCATGATCTCGATGGCGGCAAGATGCTCCGAGGTTTGGGGCTGAGGGCAAGTTTCGTTTCCGGCAATCAGTAGAAGCGCAGCGTCCATGACGGCGGCGCCAGACAACATGGTGCTCATGAGAATGTCGTGACCAGGGCAGTCGACGAAACTGAGAAAGTCAGTGGCCGAAGCGACATAGTTTCACGGGATTTTTATACTCACGAAACATGTCGCAACAGCTGGTAACGTCCACCGCATCCATCACGCTCACACTCCGGGTCGATCTCCTTGTCACTCTTGTAACTCCTGTAGTTACCAGGCCGGGGGCACTCGGGGTTGTCGCACTTGTAGATCTTCGCGTTCGCATATCCCAACTTGATAGTAATATTCCGCTCCAACTCAGTCTTGAACCGGACGGTCTGGACCCCCGAGATAGCCTTGACCACGGTACTCTTTCCGTGGGCCACATGTCCGATGGTACCGATGTTGATGGTCGCCTGGCGCGCAATGATGTGGGGGGTCAAAGGGTTTAGCTCGGTGAGATCGAGGCTAACAGCATCGGGCTGCTCGGGGAGGAATGGTTTCTGCGCCGCAGCCTCGTGCATCGACGGCTTCTTGAGCGACGATTTCAGCTCTTTGGGGATGTTCTCGAGGTCGTCGTCGGATTGGGGCTCGAGGTCTGGGGAACCGGGCTCAGACTCAGAGTCCGAGACGTCATTGCCGAACTTGTCGGTGTGCTCTGCCGCCGTCGCCGCCACTGCCCCCTCCTCGCCGGCGATGTTGTTGCCAAGCTTGTCCATTTCACCGTTCGACGCCATGATTGTATTAGGTTTTTGTGTTCTTAAGTTGTTTCGGTGGGGTTGTTTGGTCGTTGGGCGTTTGCGAGGAGATTACTGGTGTGTGACTGTGGTGGGGTCAGCTTTGTCAGGTTTGCTATAAAGAGGGAAGACTGATTCTCTGTTGCCAGAGAAGGATCTTAAAAGTGATTACCTTTTGTAGGAGTCAAGACAAGATGGTGTCGAAATGAAAGGATTGAAACCTTGAGGATAGCGGGTGGTGGGGTGCCGGCGATGACTGACTCGTTGGGGTGAGAGGAGGGGCTCTTTTCTGGCGTCTTTTTTTTCTGACATGTTCTTCTGTGTGGCAACTCAGCCGCATGATGGCGGCTATGTACCGCGCCAAGCGCCCCGGGTAGGTAAAATACAATGTAACAAAGAAAGGCAAGGACTGAAGATGGCCGAATACACATACAATTCATTCGACCGGAAGTTTTCTCTCATTCATAGCATTCGTATACTTTACAGTAATGTTCTTTAGTAGGTATTTACAATGCGAAATGAAGAATCAAATTGTGCCATAAATTTGAAAATGATGATGCACGAGTCGGTATCGGAGCTTCTGGTAACTGTCAGATATGTACCGATTATAGTTATACAAAGGTCCCGCTTCTCAAAGAGACATCATCAGTTCCTTCCGACCAGTACACAGCGCCCTGAACCGAGACTTGTAATCGTCCATGTTGACGTATGCTAGTTCCAAAGGTCAGGACCACACTGGCGGAAAACCGAAGGCGAACATACCTCCACACATCCTACGTTTTCCGGTGAACGCAGTTCTCCCGTGCAAAACTCTCCAGTTGTCGAATATTAATGCGCGTCCAGGCTGCAGCTGCTCTCGATATTCGTTGGCCTGATCTTTCAGTATGTTGTTCCATGCTCTAGCTGCATCGTAAAACGCGTCCACATCACCCAGATCCCCCCAGCGATCCATAGTAGCCCTGTCGTCGTTGTTCCATCGTATCTGAATGAGCTCTCCGTTCACCGGATGGTGGTTCAACACAGGGAAAGGTGCATATGGCTGGATGCTGGAGTCGGCATTTCCAGATGCATGACTGGGTACACGGACGTTTGAGAGGGTTTTGTAAGCCTGAGGATCTTGGTCCCGGAGCAACTTGGCAGCTCGAAATCCGTCCACCAAAAGGCTCTGTCCTCCATTGCCGTCCGAATGCTCCAGAAGGTGAAAGAGCTGGAGACCAGCGGGATCACTGAAGTAAGTAGTATCGGTATGAACGCCGAGGCCCAGATTCGTGTATGCCGTGTCCTTTTTCGACAAATCCGCTGTGAAGTCCCAGAATCCACCATAATGTGTCTCCCGGATGAAAGCTATTCGTTCCACGAGAGCTTTAGTAGCCTCCGGAGTAACTGGCACACCATCAACGTAACAAAAGCCGTATTTGAACTAACGTTTCCCAGTTAGTACCAAAGAGCCATCACAGTGGTAGGATGCGTACAATCTTCGACACCCACAGTGCGGCACCTTCGTCCGATCCCATCACATCATCGTACTTAATCTCGGGAGGATTTGTCCCAATCTCGGATCCCCAGAAATGGAATCTGGCTAGTTAGAGACCCATAGGCAAACCAGAGTAGAACAGCGACTCACTGAGGTGAAAGGTATTTCTCCAGGCGTGGGCTGTAGGAGTGCAAGTGCAACCACTTCCACTCGAAGGAGCTGACATGGCCATCCCTCCCTGAAGCAATGCTTAGCAATATCCTCCTTGAAATCAACGGCCCACATACATTTAACCTCGAGACCCGACTCGGATGCCTTCAGCTCTGCCGGCTTGATATTCTTTGGTATCTACAACCGGTTAGGATCGGGAAACTGGAGAACTCAAGACAAGACCATCTCACGCTGAATGTATCGACGATTCGCTGCATGGTTTCGGGATGCCTACATTCGGGACACTGGCAATGGTCGCGTAGCCACAGGTGTTGACTAAATAACCTCGGTCAACGCATGCCCCCATCCTCGTGCAAGACAGGTGTCCAACAAGTATGAAGTTTTGCCCTCCTCCCACGGTACTAGAACCTTCCTGTCATCAAACGAGATCTCATGATGTACCGAGAGAACCGGTCGCGCATCTGCCTTGTTAACGTTGTAGGTTCGCGTTGGGCTTTGTAGGTCAGGATCGGGCACGGCAGCAGCCTTTGCCTGCGGCGTGCTGTTAGCGGGACGGGTTCGATCTGTATGGAAATACTCCAGGTTTGCGACAGAACTAACGCTGATGTACCGTGCGGGAACTTTCCGGAAATAAGCTGCGGACGTCGACCGATATGTAGCCGGAGACACCACGAGTGAGCTTGATCTGTGCTCGCCCCACCCCACTCTACGTTAACGATTTTCATTCACGGAGACAGAGAGACAGAAAGACAATATACGTACCGGGTTGCAAGCGACAGGGCGCTTCGAAGCGTGGGGAATGGCAAGCGCGATGCAGCAGCCATTGAGAAGGCAGTTGGTGGTGGGAGCTTGAGATGTCGTTACATAGAACATCTGGGCATCGGATGACCTCACGGATGCACAGTGATGCGATGCCCGAAGGAGGTTACACAAGACGGAAGTCGCCCCCCATCACACAAAAAACATTACTCATAGTCTTTGAAATAAAAAGAGCCTTTTGCCGAAAAAGTAAATCTGATACGGCTGTGAGCTATCAAAAAAATAATCGCCACCGTTGGCCTTTGCCGTCGACCCCTCGGTTCAACAGGCCATCATATTCCATCATTCGTCCGGCCCAGAACGGACAACCGACTCGCTTCTTACAGGATATTGGCCAAGTTTGCTAGACGGACCACATACGAACCTCGGATGGAGGGAATTACAGCTGCAGAGCACGGCCTTGTCTGAGACATGAAGAGCCATGAGTCGAATCGGTTAAATAAACCAAAGGTAGTTGAAAGTTGGCATGTGCACCGAGGCCGAGAGAGGTATCTCACAGGTGCAATCCGCAGTTTGGGATCCCGCATAGGTAGATGCCATCACGTACCGTTTGAAGAGCTGATAGGTATCTGGTTAAGCACAATTGAATACGACTAAACCTACTCTACGGCACTGCTCCGACCGGGTCTTCGGCCAAACATGTGCTCGGAAATCAAACGTTACGACCCCAATCATTCTTTATCCCATACAGCGCTTTCTCTGAATGGACAGCCAATAGGTACTCATTACGTACAACAGCCACCGACCCAATCCACCCGCAAAAGTACAGAAAGCAATTACATTAAACACATACACACACGCATAAATGGACCCGAGTATAGTTCGCCCCTATCCGGTCGGATGATCTCGCAACTCGTTTGAATACCTTATTCTATAGCGCCAGGCCATACTCCCACTCGGGATACCACATTTTCCTAAACGCCATATTGATCTGCGCCAGTAATTCGTCTCCCTTCCCGCATTCCAGCTCATTCGCTAGATTCCGCCTAAAGTCTTCGACAACAAAAGGTTCATCTGAGGTCCCGCGAAAGGCGTGTTCCAAAAGCTTGTCGATTGGGCTGAGGTTCCAGTAGCTTGATGCGGCGATGTAGATAGCTTCGTAGATGTGCGAGAGGCGTGTCTCATCGGGAATGTAATCGCAGGAGGGGAGGTTTACATCCTGGAAGGCGGAGGCGTAGGCTTGTCGGTATCGAGATAGCGTCTCGGGCGTGTCCTCATAGCCCGGTTCGCTGCATCCGTACATGATCGGATCCCAATCCCGAGTTATCCACGAAGGGTAGCAGGAGAATCCATATCCTCTGGGCATCGTTTGGACTCCGTCCCAGTCGATCACGCCGGTGATGTTGCCGTCGTCGTCAACGAGAATGTTTGGAGCGTCGAGGTTTGGATGGGCCACAATGAACGAGTCACCGTCGTCCAGCGACAGGCGTTCCGGAATCGACTCGATAGCGAAATGGAGGACCGCAATATCGGCTGTCCGCTGTTTCCTCGCAACCGGACTCAGTCCCTTCTCCGCATCCAGTGCCTCGACTCCGGCCAGTAGAAACGACTTTGCCGTTCTGAATGGGCCGTATGCTGAAGCTGGCGGCCATCTGATCGTCTGGTTCCCGTCGATCATATCGAATTCCGGATGGAAGATGTCGCCTTCGGTCTGAGAGATTACTGGGCCAACCCCGGAGAAGTCTCCCTTCTCATCGAACTTTAACGAGCCTATTTCATTGAAGCGGAGGGAGTGGAGATCCGACATCGTCCTAGCGAGATTGCCGAGGACGTGCATCCGCATCTCTTCCGTCGCCCAATCTCGATCGAACCACAGCCTGTCGAGAGATGTTCCAGGCAGGAATGTCATGAGTATGTACGGCACACCGATCTTGCATCGAGTAGTATCCCAGTCATAGATTTCGGGGACGGGAACTGCAGTTCTTGAGCGGATGAGGCGCAGCGTCAGGATCTCGGAGAGCATCCTCTCCTGAGTGAGCTCTCCGAAGGTGGGCGCGATGCCATACCGCGGGACCTTTGCGACCCATTTGAGACCGTCGGAGAAGACGAGCACGGAGATGACGTGGTAGGAGCCCAATATGTTGGACTCTATCGAGCAAGAGAGGCTTTGGGCATGCGGTTCAACCGTGATACGACATTTGCGAGCGGCGGCGATGAGCGCTTTGAAATTGATTGCGTCGATGACTGGGATATATGGCCGGATATCTGCATCATCCCAGTCCCGGCATTCCTCGCTCAACTGCAGTTTATCCCTAATGTTAAACATTTGTCGATAACGTGGAAATGTAGGTAGCTTGCTGGAGGACGTGGTTGTTTTCTTTGAATTGTGCAGCTTCCCTTGCTATAAAGCAGTTTAACCCGACGTCAGACATGGTACTCTGGGTATTACTTCAGCTGAGTTACGTAGACGTAAGCGCCATGCTGCTTGGAGTAAACGGGGGGGATGGGTATCGTGTGAGTTTCAAGGCTGAGGAGAGCAGTAAGGGAACCAGGGCGTCGAGAATCATCAAAACTGACAGACATAATCAGTCCAAAGGCGAACAGTATCGACTTGAGGTTTGTCACCGGTGCCGTGGTCGTTGCGGGCCTCTTGTTGTAGAGTGCTAGAGTTATGTAGTACCAGGTCCCAGCCATCAATCCGCTTGGCTAATTCGCGGAGATTGTCCACTATGCCTTTTCAGGCACCCTTTTCGCCTGCAGGGCTTCCGCGGGAAATCGATTTTGCGAAAACCAACCCGCGGGTATCCAAACAGGTACCTACAGCCTACAGGCCCTTGGGCACTTGAGACCTGGGGGGAGGATGAAGCCACAGGAGCTCCGTCTTTGAGAGGATCTTGCGGGGTAGGTGTCGTGCCACCAGTTTCCACTTGGTACGAATTGTTCCGGACCGAAGCCCCCCGGGGCCCATCGGTAGCTAAGATGCACCGTGAATTGATTGGTGCCATAATCGAAGATTGCCAGCAGGAAAAAGGAACTGTGCTTACACCGAAGATGCTTCGCCTTCATGGAGCTCAAGATGGGATGCGACGGGAGAGACCCCTCGGACGGACGTGTGCTTGGTGGGTTATCACGGGCGAAATGTCTTGAAGACATTTGGCGCACGCGACCACAATTCAATTGGCCAAACCGGGAGGCCCCACGGTAGCGGACAGCGGCCAGCGGTCAGCCGTCAGCGGTCAGCCGTCAGCGGTCAGCCGTCAGCGGTCAGAGTGCGGTTCCGTTCTGGAATGGCCATCGGTGATATCATGTGTGGCATTAATAAGGCCGGGTTTCTATAGGCGGACATGTGGGTGGGGTAAGCGGTTAGTGGGATGTTCGAGACCAAGAGCGGATAGTGTTTTTTGTTTTCACGTTCACGATTTCAAGGATTTCTCTGCTTGACGGAAAATCATAGTCTTGCGCTGTTTAAGACTCCTCCTTCTCGTCCTCTTCTTCCTTCCTTTACCACATGATCCCTGGATTCTCCACTACACCCAAGCAATGGCAACCCGACGAACTCCCGCTGTGTTCTTGCGTTGTGCGGCACGACCGCCCGCACTTCTTCGACACCCCCGATTAACGCCTCGGCTATCGAGTTCTCCAATCCGACAACAGACCGCCCAGTCCTGCTCAATTCGATCGTTACATACCTCTACATGCCGGCCGAACATGGCCCTCCTCAACGGCGAGAGGGAGTCCGACGAGGTCGACGTTGTCATCGTCGGTGGTGGACCTTCTGGTCTCGCCGCCGCCATCCGGCTGAAGCAGATGGCCAATGAGGCTGGCAATGAAGATTTCCGTGTGGTTCTCCTCGAGAAGGCCGGCGACATGGGCGCCCACATCCTTTCCGGCGCAGTGATTGAGCCCTCGGCGCTGAACGAGCTCATTCCCGACTGGAACTCGCCAGAAAACCCCTCGCGCTTTGACTCGGTCACCGAAGTAACCTCGGATCGCATGCGGTTTCTCACGGGCAAGTCCGCGATCCCCATACCCGGCCCCCCGCAGATGCAGAACCACGGAAACTACATCATTTCCTTGAACGAGCTCGTCAAGTGGATGGCCGAGAGGGCGGAGGAACTGGGCGTCGAGATCTACCCTGGCTTTGCTGCATCTGAGATTCTTTACACGCCCGGCGTTGGGGCAGTTAAGGGAGTAGCCACGAATGACCTTGGAATCGGGAGGGACGGCAAGCCAAAGCCCTCGTTCGAGAGGGGAATGGAGTTCCACGCTCGTGTCACACTCTTCGCCGAGGGATGTCACGGAAGTCTTACAAAACAACTGATCAAGAAATTCGACTTACGGAAAGACGCTCAGCCACAGACTTACGGACTTGGCCTAAAGGAAGTGTGGGAGATCAAGCCAGAGAACTTTGTCAAGGGCCAGGTCAGCCACACATTGGGATGGCCCCTGCCAACCAACACATATGGTGGAAGTTGGATGTATCACTTTGGCGAGAACAAGGTGTCTCTTGGACTCGTGGTTGGTTTGGTAAGCCACGTTATTTGGACATCAGCTCGAATGGCAACCTAATGGTGTTTAGGACTACCCAAATCCTTGGCTCTCTCCATACGGCGAATTCCAGAGAATGAAGCACCACCCGTTCTTCGCCAAGGTCCTCGAAGGCGGAAAGCGTATTGCGTACGGTGCTAGGGCTCTGAACGAGGGTGGTTTCCAGTCGGTCCCCAAAGTTGCATTCCCCGGAGGTGCTCTCATCGGTGACACTGCCGGTTTCCTCAACGTTCCCAAGATCAAGGGAATACACACCTCCATGAAGTCGGGCATGTTGGCGGCTGAGTCTACGTTCAAGGCTCTCAGCAACAGCACTCACAACGGAGTGGTGATGCTATACAACTACGAGGAATCACTCCGGACCAGCAGCATTATGAAAGAACTCAAGCAGGTCCGTAACATGCGCCCCAGTTTCCACAATCCTTTGGGACTCTTCGGTGGTATCCTATACTCGGGGCTGGAGGCGTATGTCCTCAAGGGGCATGTTCCATGGACACTGAGCCACAAGGTGATGGACCACGAGGCCACCAAGACCGTCGACCAGGTCAAGAAGATCGAATACCCCAAGCCCGACGGAGTATTAAGCTTCGACATTCTCACCAGTGTCAATCTTACCGGTACCAACCACGAGGAGGACCAACCGGTGCACTTGCGGGTTGCCGATTGGGACAAGCACACCGAGAAGGAATGGCCCCGGTTCAAGGGTGTCGAGAACCGGTTCTGTCCTGCTGGCGTGTACGAGTACGTCGAGGACTCCACGAAACCACAAGGAGTGAGATTCCAGATCAATGCGCAGAACTGCATTCACTGCAAGACGTGCGATATCAAGGTAACTAGCACCTCAGAAATTATCTCTCAGCATCAACTAATATCTCCCAGGCACCTTCACAGGATATCAACTGGACCACACCACAGGGTGGTGAGGGACCGAAATACTCCATGACCTAAGTTCTCGGCGTGCTGATACGAAGAGCGGTGGTCCGGATTAATGGGGTTGGGTTGTCTTGTTTTTGGATTTGTTTTCGGTTATAGCGAGTTAATTTGGGCGCAAACGGGTTTGTTGACATGCTTCTTATATGTATGGGCTTTTCTTTGATGGACCTGTATCATATGTGCTCTATCATCAAGAGATGTGTGGTGGAATGCTGGGGAATTTCCGATTATTTAAAGCTTGAATCGGTGCTTGAAAACCTTTGACTAGAGTAGTGAGCGCCTCCTCATAGCTTGCAGAGCCGCCGGGTAAATGCACTTTAACAGAGCTCCTAAGCCCAGCAGCTGTCTCCATGACCACCGCAACGCGATGCCTTGAGTGACCCTCAACGCCAGCGATTAACAAGCCCACCATTCCCTCGGAACTCATACACCACATCAACGAACCTCTGCACATCAACGCGTCATGGATTTCGCCCCGTACCAATCCGAGTCCCCGGACACCTCCCGCCGGAGCTTAAACCTCAACCGACCGCTATCACCCCCGGCGGCCAGCAACCCCTCATACTCACCATTAAACCTTCCGCCGACCACAGGCCCGCCGCCGTTACTGCCGACTCACAACCAGTCCGGAGGATGGGCGAGTGCCCGCGATACCATCAACCAATTTGAGACCAGTTTGCCGATAAGGTGCGCACCAACTCTCGGAGGAAGTGGAGGTTGGGGGGACTCGGGGGGACTCGGGGAGTGAGGGCTGATGTGTTGTGTTATGTGCGGAGAGCAGATTGGATTGGGAGGCGGTTATGGCTTACGTGCTACTCCCGCCCGCGGGAGGCGTGCTGCTGCTTATTACGGAGCATAAGAGTGACTATGTTAGGTGCGTTACTTTACGTTCCTCGTGGGAGGCGCCGGCGGGTCGGGGTTAACTCTGGGTGTAGGTTTCACGCGTGGCAGAGCTCGCTGCTGTTTGCGTTTATGGTCGTGAGTACCTACCTCTTCGCACGGTGCGGGATAAAGGTGGCTGATATGTGCAACAGGTCGTACATCTCGTCTTTTCGTTCTCGGCGTTCTTGAGTTATACGCTACTTGTCGTGGATATCGTGATGATACTGTACTTGAGTATGAGGGCGTATCAGGATGCGGACACTCTCGATAGGTGGGTTCTCCGAGGTGCGGTGGAACTTTGAGAAATACGAGCTGACAGGGTGGTACTATAGGTGTGAGGTTCCATTCTTTGGGCCACTTGCGAGCTCTATTCTGGATGACGAATAGCTAGGCTAGGCTGCGGGAGGAGGAAGGATATGTGGGAGGCAGTAATGATGTGTATATTATATCCGGGGAGGGGACGGGCTGTGGTTGTGTTTTGCGTGTTTGCTTGCGGCTATTCGTTGGCGTCCGTCATGATCATTTCTACAGATTTTACGACTTGCTTGCTTGGGTGGAATAATTTCTTCTTCGTACATGATCTTGAAGAAATCATTAGAATATTCACCCATGGGAATGCACTTCGAGTGGTGATCTTTATGCTCGGACCCTTGTGATAAGCACGTGCAAAAGCTCAAGCTAGAAATTAGAGCTCTGCTGCAGCTTGCTACGTCAATTTCCCCGCCAGACCAGACCATGGCCTGAACGCGCTCCTCGTCCCCATTCACCACCTCACCACAACTGCCACCCGCCATTGAGTCCCGCAATGGTAATACCCAAACCCCCTCAATACCCAAACCTCCTCAATGTGAATAACAACTGATGATAGTAATTGATCATCTAGGACCTCCTCCTAACCCCCCTCCACCACCTCTTCAGCAAACCCGCCCGTCGCGCTTACCTACAGACGATCCTCCTCTTCACCGCCTCCATTACACTCCTCTTCATCGCGGTTTTCTCCTACCTCCTATTCTACGCCTCCTACGTCCCCTCCATCGGCATCGTCCGGCCAATGTACTTCAGCTATGCGTAAATCCCCCCGCCCACCCACCATCCCCTCCCGCTGACATCCACAGCCCCACTGAGCACCCCACGGCCTCAGTCAGCTTCTCATCTGGCGAGCTGATCCCCGAGCAACCATACAAGATCACGCTGCACATGACGCTGCCCGCGTCGCCGCGCAACGTCGAGGTTGGTAATTTCGACGTGGACCTTTCTTTGCACTCCACGGGCGGTGTGCTGCTGCACACGCGGCGGCCCGGGATTTTAACGTACCGCACGCCGCTGCTGACGACGTTGCGGACGCTGGCGTTCTCGCCGCTGCTGGTCGCGGGACTGGTCCGGCAGGAGGAGACGCTGCGCATCGCGCTAGCCGAGGCGGCCGTGTGGACGCGCGAGCCGACAACTGCTACAGTGCTGTTGAACGAGAGAATCAATGTCTATGAGGCCAGGCTGGAGTTTGTTGCCTCGCTGCAGGGCCTCAGATGGGCTATGTATTACTGGCCTGTTACTACGTTTGTGGTCTTCGTGGGGCTGTTTTGGGCTGTCGAGGTGGTGGCCGCCGGCGTCGGGTGGTGGTTGGTTAGTGGGCTGCTGGGGACGGTGCCTGTGGGGGAGGTAAAGGATGTGGCGGAGAAGGAGGAGGGCGAGGAGGAGGATGAGGAGGAGGAAGGGGAACAAATGCTTGTGGTCGAGGATACCCAGCGGACGTTCCCGCGTGTGGGCGGGGCGCCACCGTATCCTACACCCGAGAGCACACCGGCACCAGCGGGGCCGGAGGGAGATGAGAGTGGTGGGTCCCAGGAGGGGGATGATGAGGATGGGTTTTCGGAAGATGAGAGAGTGGCCGATTCGGGATTGGGAACTACGACGTTGAGCGAGAGTACGGCTCGGGAAGGAGCTGAGAGTGTGCGTAGGAGGAGACGGCTGTAGAGTTCGGGAAGTGCGAGGTAGGAGAATGCGTAGTAATGGCAGTAGATATCATATCCTCTGGTTTCCGGTTTGATTGTACGTTCAATCACTGGTGAGAATTCTTCACTTCTGTTGCTGGAATGAAACGGTCACTTGAGCACAAAGATGAAATGAAAGAAAATCGAATGTATCTTTGCTCTCTTTAGTCTCTCTGTAACGTACCATTCCATCACGTACCGTCCCTGTCCCCGTCCCCGTATCCGTCCCCATCCCCGTCCCCGTATCCGTCCCCATCCCCGTCTCCGTCACAATCGTCACGCTAGAACACCCACCGCCAGTGCCAGACAATACTAGATGTTGCTTATAAAGAAGCTGCAAAATAAAAAAACACGAAAAAAGCAACGCGCATCAATCTGATCTCCATCACCAACCCGAATATAAACCAACGAAAGGGGGTGATGGTGAAGTAAATAGAAATAGGGAATACGACACAACACAATGAGCAACCAACAGCACTCAATAAAACACAAAGCAAAAAAATGCCCACATCTCATGCAACTATTCTACAACCAGTTCAGTCCATTCCCTTCCGTTCCCACCACGCCTTGCTGCGGTAGTCATCCCTCTATGAAGCCGAAGCCTCGGCATCACTCCCCTTACCCGAGCCACTGGCAGCCGTAGCGGTGGGAACCACCGCCGGGGTTGAGTTGGCCCTAGCCGCGGCCATCTGCCACGCCGGAATACTCTGCTTTCCGCCGACACCGGCTCCCATACCACGGTACTGCACCGGCGCTGAGGGTACTGCCTTCGCCTCCAGGCCACCAATCGCAGTACCGCCTGTTCCGAGTCCCTGCGCCGCAACCGAAAGTCCATTGATAGCAGTCTGGGCGGCCGTCGAAGGGGCGTTAGATGCCGCACCGGGATCGAGCGGAGGAGTGCCGATGTTGCTCGTGGGTACGTAGCTAGGTCTCGCGGGAGCAGTCCGGTTCATCACCAGCTGCTTCAAGCTCTTCAGCTCGGTCTGAAGATCCTCGAGAGCCTTCTTCTGGGATTCCTTCTGTCCCTCGAGGGCCTTGGGGATGAGGTCGCGGAGGCCACGCACCTCGTCGCCGACGCGTTTACTCTCGTCTTCGCGACGCTTACCGGCGTTCTTGAGGTCTTGGACGACGGACTCGACTTCTTCCAGGGCAGCGTCGACACGGGCTTTGCGGTCCTCCTCGGCGGACTTGAGTGCGGCTGTGTCGGCTTTCAATGTGTCCAGGACTTCGAAGGCTTGCGTGAATTTCTCGTCGATCGAAGCTTTGTCGGCTTCAAGCTGGGGTGGTGTCGGGGGCGCGATTAGGGGGTAGACGTAGCGCTTGGTGAGGTAGTAGAGACCGTAACCGACACTGCCGGATACTGTCGCCATGATGAACCAATCCCGCCAATCACGGCCGGTAACCCTGTGTGGCGAATCCGCGTAAGCAGATGTATACCACGAGGTCACGAGGTGGACAGAGGAGGCTGGCTTACTGTGGAGCTTGCTGCTGCTGTGGGCCGTAGTATCCGGAGGAGTAAGGGGGAGGAGCACCATATGAAGGCGGCGGTGCCGATGAGTTTGTTGTAGCTACGGCATGAGATATTGATGCAGGCGACTCTCCCACTCGTCGCAGCGAGGCGTCGATCTCCTCTTGCGTTAAGTTTTTTGAGCGCAGAAACGCGACGCGCTTTTCTAGGGGGGAGGCGGCAACGGTAGGGTCCTGGAGAACTGGAGAGAGACAGCATTAGATTGAGTTTTGTGGTTGTGGGAAGGTGTGGTTGGGGAAGCTTACAGGACATCTGGAGGAACGGTTAGCTATGAATCTTTGTCTTGTTTCTTGTTCTTTCTTGTTTGTGGATGTGTTTCGGGGAACCACTCACTGCCGATACTATGAGGTCTTCCCGCATGTTTGTTGTGGTTGAGGTGGATGTTGCTAGGAGAGGTGGCTGGGTGGATGGGGACTTCTTTTCCTATGTTGAGATATTCCAAGGAGAGAAGTGTTCTTTCGGCGATGCTGGGGACAGAGAGAAGGATTTATGTGTGTTGGGTGGTTTTTTGGGTGATGTTCGGGGGATTATGAGTGGTGGGTTGAGGTGTGGTGGTGGTTGTGGCACAGCGGCGGGTTGGCTGGTTGTTCGTCTGGGGGCGGTCTGGCTGGCTGGCTGGGGGCTGCTGGCTGGCTGGGCTGGCTCGTGAAGGGAGCAACAGCCGAACCGAAGAAGGGGATTGCCCCAAACAAATCCAGGTGTTGAGCCGAGGATCTGGCTGAGCGACGCCGGCGAGCGCACTTAGGGAAATGAAATGTTTATACAGCGGAAAAGTCTGCAGAGTACGATCGGAAGTGTTCAGACCGGAGATCGACGTTTTCTAAAGAATTCCGTGTATTCTCCGCAATCGTTGCTGTCGTTGCTGCCGTTGCTGCCATCGCGGTCCTTCGCGTTGCTAGGGTGTCTCTAAGCATTTGTTTGTTTTCGCGACTGACGTCTTGGCAGCCAGCTGCGTAGCTCGTCAACACCACCGCCCCACCCCCACCATCACCACCGCAATCAACTCACCCACCCACCCTCACATCGTCCATATCATATCTGCAAACTGCCACGCCACACACACACACACGCCGAAACGCCCCAGGCTTACCCCTGGCTATATAGAAAAACAAATAAGAGAGATACACATACCACACCTGCCATTATGTCCCAGGACAGCAACAACACAAATCTCTTCAGCGCGTTCAAGCGGCCACGAGAAGTATATAGCCTTCCCACCATCGCCATAGTCCCACAAGGACCGGCCCATTGCTTACCCTCGCTCGCAATAGACCATGAGCGGCTTCGACAGAAACATGTACGGCGGCAGCGGTCTTCCCCAGCCCGCATCAGCAATGAAGCGGCCCGGATCCGGCGCGGGAACGCGACAATCGATGGCTCCCGTCGCCAGCTCTCGGATGTCCATGGCGCCTCCCCGGTCCGGCGGCGGCTCCGGCTCTGGTGCAGGAATGATGCGCTCGTCGATGGGTGGGAACCTAGCCGAATCCGCAGGCGCGATGTCAACCGTGAAGCGAAACTCTGTGCGAAAGTCGTTTGCGCCCGGCTCGCAGCCACCGCCATCTACCACGCGGCGAAGCAGCGCGTATAACCGGCCGTCTATGGGAGGAAGCATGGGACAGAGTTTCTTTACGACTACCAATAAGAGTGTGCAGAAGGATCCACGGCCGCTGAAGAATGCGCAGTTCAAGCAGAAAATGCAAAGTGATGTCATGGAGTATTTGCTCGAAAATGGATTCGAGATGGATATGAAGCATCAATTGGCGCAACATGCATTGCAGAGCCCTACACAGAAGGATTTCTACATGATCTTCCAGTGGCTGTATATGCGCCTCGATCAGAATTACGTGTTCAGCTCCGGGAAACCAGAGACGGAGGTGTTGCCGCTGCTCACAAATCTGAAATATCCATACGCTGCGACCATAACCAGAACGCAACTTACCGCCGTCGGCTCACAAAATACCTGGCCGGCGATGCTGGGAATGCTGCACTGGTTGATGGAGCTTGCGAAGGTGACGGACCGGTACCAGTCAGGCTACTACGACGAGTTCGCCGAGGAAGAGGGCTACCCGATCGGCACCGATAGGATTGTATTCAAGTACATCGCGAAGTGCTACAACGCATGGCTGAGCGAGATCGATGACCACGAGGAGTTCGAACGCGAGATGGTAGAGGCCTTCGATGAGCGCGATGCCGGATATCTGGACGAGCTCGAGCGTCTCCAAGAAGTGAACAAACAACACAAGGAGGAGCTCGCAGAACTCGAGGTGTCGATGCAGCCGCTCAAGAAGGCGAAAGAAGAGCGACATGTGCTCGAAGGCGACCTACTCCGATTCGGCGAGTACGTGGAAAAACTCGAAATTAAGATGAAAAGACACGAAGAACACATCCACAAGATCAAGGAAGAAGTCGAAGTTTCCAAACAGGACCTTCTCGAGTCTGAAAAGCTTAAGGCATCCCTACAACAGCAAGTGGATGCCCAGGGCCTCACGCCACAGGATATTGACCGGATGAACACCGAGCGCGGCAAACTCAACCAAGGCCTCCAACAGGTCAAGGCAAAGTCCGACGAGGTCCAGCAAAAGCTCGAGGAGCAGGAGCAAAACGCCCAGAACAAGCTCGAGCAGTTGGAACGCGCCGTCTCCCGTTTCAACCAGCTCGCCTACCAGATTGGCCTCACTCCTGCCACCGCCCCTCGCGCCAAAGGAAAGGAATTCGAACTCGCCATCCTACCGCTACAAGACCTCGATGGGGACGGAAAACTTCTTCTCGACCAGCGCACCGGTTACCTCCCCAGCCAGGTTCTCGGGAGGGACCTCCGTCACGATATCAAGCCGTTTCTTGAGAACCTACGACAGGAGACTGGTGTCGATATCCACAACATCATGGACGATTCCATCAAGCACTCCGAGTACATTGACCGCATCGCCGAAGCATTGGCCGATAAGCGTGACGAACTCGAGACGCTGTCGGTCAAGGTGCAGTCGGCCAACAATGAGTACCAGGAGCTTAAGGAAGTGAGTTCCTCCGTTCACCCTAAAGAGTTGGCAACACTACTGACGCGTCCGCTCACAGACAATGCAAGAGGAAATCAACATGTCCAACGCCGAAATGGAGAAACAAGCTGCGGGCCTGAAGCAGATGCGCGTAGGGATGAACAAGGGCCTCCTAGAAGCAGAGCAGAAGTTCCAACGCACAGGAATCGAGTATCCCCCCCCCTCCCCCTCCCCGCGTCTCTCTCAATCTAACAAAAGCAATAGATACGATGAGCTCATCCAAGCGTTCACTCACCAGCGCGAAAAGCTACACGGCGAGACCCGAAAAATCGTCGACGAAACCATCGACTTCAAGGTGTACATCCAGAAGCAGCTAGAGGACTTCGAGTTACTGGCCGAAAAGGCGGTTGCCGAAGATGGGCAGGTGGAGCTGTAGCTGTAGCTGTGAAACGATTTTTATACGGTTTATGGAGTTTTTTTTTCTTTTCGACGGATTCTTTGTCTTTTGGCTTGTCTTGCAAGGTTTCTTGGTTTCATTAACGATGACGATGCGGGGCGTAATAATACCTTTTCTCTTGGAATACTGATACCGAACTGGCGTATTCATTGAGATGACCGATTTTTGGGGGGTCTTGGAAGATCACCGAGTGATCCGTTGAGTTGGGAAACGGGATCGTCATCGCTCGTGAACAAGTGGGAGAAATTCCGGATCTGGAGGGGGGGGCACGTAGGGGGACCGTCGGCCCGTTCACACACGGCCTAGATATAGTATTTCCGTCGCTACACGGGCCACAGAAAGCACTCACTCAAGCATACAATTCATGATACATTTTCTCTTCTCATCACCAATCTTCTCCCCAAGCCAGCTGCGAGCAACGCAGTAACCAACCATCGATCCACAGCCGAACCAAAGCTATACATACAGAGTTACGGAAATAAGAGGTAAAAAACTACTACTAAGAAAAAGGATGAAAGCAATCCAACCCATATGACATAAAAACGCTTTAACCGGCGACGTACCTACCCATTGTTATTGTTTTCTTTTTGTGGCTCCCATCGTTCGTTCTCGTCATCATACAGAGGAGGGAAAAGAGGGAAAAGAGGGAAGCAAGTGAGGAAGACAGACAAACAAATGGCACACTCAAACTCCTAATTCCAAGTAACAGCAAAGAAAAAAGAAAAAAGAAAAGAAAAAGGAAGCAGAACAAACCGCCAGAACAAAAAGCAAGCCGATGATTCCTGTTTACACATGCACGATTAGAAAGCCTACCGCCTCGCGCCCAATCACAAACAAACTCTCCAAACCACAGCCGTAGATCCAATCCCCAGGCAACAAGAGCAACGGAATGCGGACGCTTCACATCTGCTCGCTAGGTCCATACGTGCAAGAAAAAGAAAGAAAAGAAAAAACGAAAAATTGCAATTCCGAGCAGCCTATGGCAAAACTGCGCTGAAGAGACGAGCAATCTAAACGAACACATGGTTAGAAGTTTGAAGGACACATCAGGTGGAGTGAACGTACTTCAGGGGCTTGAGCGACAGCCTGCAAATTCCAAAACTCTTGCTCACGGCTCCGGAAAAGCTCAAGTAGTGTAATGATCAGGCCCCAAGGGTGGGGTCGATGAACTACTAAGCGCTCTACCAAAACCCGTGTAACCTGCTCTCGCACTCGCTCCTCCTGGGGAAGCCCGCCAGCAAAGTCGAAAATGTGAAGGATCAGGCAGTGGAAGTAGTAGGTGTGGCTGCTGGGGTATCGGAGGTGGTTTGCGGCGGCGCTCAGGAAGAAGTGGCGTCCTACAGAGAAAGGGTCAGTATTTAATCTGTGAAGCGGAGGGAGGAACATACCGTAGGGCTTCAAGGCCATGGCAACGTGAGAAAGCAATGCTGCATGAGCACCCTCGGGCTGGAAGATGGCCAATCCTTGGGATTCGGCACTCTGTATGGCGTCTAAACCTACATACAGCATCAAGCTGTTCATCGCGCCGACATTTACCGCAACTGCACCAGAAGCAGGTGGAAATTCGAGCGCTTCGACAATGGCAGCGAGCACATCGCCAGCTGGCTCTTGGCTACCGTGAATGATGCTATCAACGAAATCTTTCAAGTCCGCCTTCTGTAATGCACCGCTGACATCCCCGCAGATAGTAGGGGAATCCTTAATCGCGGGAAGGGACTTGACATTCAATCCAGTCGCAAAAGGATCCGGGAATTCTGCGAGGGTGGGGGGCAATGTGCTCAAAACCAGGTTGCGAAGCTGAGTGCACTCGGTTGGGATTGCATCCACAATAGGGAAGTAATACTCCGCCAGGTAGGTCGGGAAGTCGTGATGCAGGACAAGAAGCAGTCTCAATGCCCCTTGGTGGAGGATTTTGACCACGCCCTGGAGAGGCTGGTGTTCCTTCAAGAGCATACCGATCCAGCTAAGGTAGATACACAAAAGCTTGGTGAAGATGGGCTGGCCCTTAGACGTCATGAGCAACTTTGGCATGAAATACCGATGGCAGATCAACGTAGTCCAATGGAATGCAAAAAGCGGGAAGAACACCGGTTGCAGGGTCAAAAAGCAGTCTGCAAACAACCCCAGAATGCGATCCGCATACTCGTCCATCTGATGCTCGATTTGTCGAAACTCGAAAAGTAGGGTCGAGAAAAATCTGAAGAACACCTTGCCGCATAGACCGTCACTGCGAGTCTCGTAGTGGTGATTGAAAACTATGACGACGTTCGCAAGTAAACCCTCAAAGTATTGAACCTTGTCGAGCTGCTCTTGCGAGTCCCCATCATCTACCTGGTAACGGACAAGCAACATCACCATCTTCGCAAGCGCATCGATTGGGATGTAGCAGTTTGTCGCGATGCTCGCTCCATTTTGGTTCTGGTTCTCGTATTCGGATATGCAATACTCGATGCAAGTGCGAAAGAACTCAATAGACTTCGGTGGGTCTTCAAGATACTTCGCTTGATGCAGTTGAATGACGAATGCCGAATAATGTTTATCGTTGGTTGTAAGTTGCTCGTAAAGCCGAACCCATTCAACAAAGATGTATTCCATTTGGTCCCGGAGGTTGCGTTCCTCATCTTCATCGTCCGAATCTTGAAGGTCCTTGAAAAGCGCCGTAGCGGTGGGGTTTGCCGGATCTTCCTTGATCCAATCGCCAACGGCATCGAAAGAGGTAGCGAAATCAGTCCTATAGAGTAAGGGGGAGTCACCCTGTTGAACCTCTTTGAGAAGGCTTGACAGGAACTCGAGCGCAATAGGCTTCCGGGCGATGATCAACTTGGACAGCGTCATGTCTAGGTGAGGTACCGTCAAAAGAGAAGACCGAAGAAGCACAGCCGTCGCCCTGACATTAAGTATGCGCTCGTTGACTCCGTCCTCCTTGTCCCGAGCAAGCCACATGACGACCTCTTTGGCGGTATTTGGGGACAGCTCGCATAGTTTCCGGAGCAACAGCACCAAAGACTCAACCACCAGCAGTGATTGGTTATCCGCATAGACCAGGCTGCATAGATGGGAAGCAGCGTTAGTACAGACAGAATCCTTGAGCTTGGTGGCATTAGGAATGCTTCCGATATTGTGCAGGATGCTCTCAATGTACTGGAAAATCTGATGATCGGCATGAAGCTCCTGTAGGTTGTGCGCTTCGCACTCCTCCCCAATATGCCGCATCTCGCTGATTGCGATGACAACCTTCTCCTGGTAGTGACCCCGTTCGAAGGCGGATTGCGGCGGCGATGCCGGTGCCGGGGGCTCGATAGGGCGTTGGTGCTCGACAGAAGGGGTATCCGCGATACCGGGTGTCCCTTGCTGGAAATTCTGGGGGAGATAGTCGTAGCCGTCGAGTGTCTGTCCCTTGGGCGGTTCGGCAGTAGTAACGGGGCTTGGCCGAGCAAAATCGTCGTAGACGGCCAGTTGCTGTGCAGTGAGACCCCCAGGCTTCAAACGAAATACATCCGGTAGTTGCAAGGCGTATCTCGAAACATCAGGCGACACGAACGGCTGCGCAGTCCGTGACTCCCGGTGTCGTTTCCTCATCTGGTATGACGTACGTAGGCTCTCATCGACCTGGGGCACAGCCCCCCGTTCAGCTGCTCGCTCGACAGTTTGGCAGACATACTCCAAATTGTCATTGACGATCATGGTGATGGCTTGTTCTGACACGGCAGCCTCGTTATACCCACTCTGAATAAGCCCATTGCGGATGTTGTTCACCATGCTCAATCGCATCGGTTCCTTACAGGTTACCAGCGCGAGATGGCCAGCAAGACGTTGTGCCATCCCGACGGCGGCGTTTCGCATCTTGTTCTCATCCGGTTCGGTGGCAAAATCTTTCTGGATGAGCTGAGACGTTGCAATGGTGGCGATAGTAACGGATCTCTCGACGACTGGACCGAGTATCTCATGTGCCGTCCGTTCGATGGCAGTGATGATGATCCGCTTCACCGTGGGATCCCTGATGATCGAGTTGATTGAAATGTTTTCAGTGAACGAAGGCGGTATTTGGTTTGAACTGGAAGTGTAGTCCTGTTGTTGCAATGAAAGGGTGTCCAGCTGAGCAAGTGCAGCCTCTTCCGCCTCCACTTCCCGAAGTTCCTGCCGTTGCTTCACCTCCGCGATGTCCGTAGCTGCCTCTATCTCCTTTACGTCCAGTCCCAAGTTCTTGCAGAGGACCTCGATCTCGAACTTCAAATTCAGCTTGAGGGCAACGCTTTCGTACAACTCCTTCAAGAGCCGTAGGATTGCCATCAGCCAGGGATTTGGCGGGAGAAAAGCGGTCGACTTGGTTGCCTGTTCCAGGACCTTGCAAACGAAAGGTAGAACAACAACGAGCCGGTCGGTTTCCCACCCCTCGAGGACGAGATCCTTGAACGATATATTCTTGAACTTGATCGGTTTATCTTTGGCAAGGGTCAAGCCACCTAACCAGGCGCCCAAATTCTTAAGATGGTTCCTCTCTGTGCCGTTGGTCATTGTCGATTCCGTGTTCAGAAGCTTGATGACGTTGACAAAGGTCTCGCGAAGCACCTCATTGATCAGTCCCCTGTGCCCAAAATTCTCAAGAAGATCCAGATAGAGGCCGTGGTAGTTAGGTTCCAACTTGGCGCGTTTCACGACGAGGTAATCAGCGAACCATTGGTGGTGAGGCTCCTCCAGCCACTCCCGAAGTTCCCTGAGTTTGCTGTCTAGGTTCGACTTGGAAACGTTGTTGACGATGAAAAGGACCTTGTCTTGGACATCTTCTTCGGGGTCCTCGAATGCACCATCCGAAGGGGGGTCTGCGTGTAAGGATCGAAATGGCGGCTTCAATTCGGGAGATGGTGAGAGGATATTTCCATTGGGCAATTCCGGGATCTCGTTATCTCTATCTCGCTCCCTGTCCAAGTCTCCATTGGCTGTCCCTGATTGCGATTGTTGCTGAATTGGCTGGATAACAAGCTCAATCTGCCTCTCCGCACCGCCCCCACCCCCGCTGATCACTTCTTGTACAACATTCCAAACATCGGTACCTTGAAGACCAGGTACTTGGGACAAAAGCATACAGTATGATCGCCATTCCCGCAGTCGTTCCTGAAATTGAACCAGTGCCTGTAGGCCGAATTTGTACATGCTGCTCAATGGCTCATGATCTCGGACGGCTTGGTAGACCATAGCCAGCGCAACCCGGAGAGGAATCCCGTCTATGACCTTGTAGCGAATGATGCTCCCAAAAAGCACCGATGTCGTGGCTAGTGCATGGATAGGATAGTTTGGATAGCAATCGTATTCGTCAAAAAGTCCGTGGATCATGCAGGCAAACAAATCTTGATCGCGGGGAACAGTCGATTCCTTAAGCCGCTGCATGTAATTGACGAGCTCTCGGATCTCTGTTTCTTGGGCGTACAGGGCTTTGTAATTCTGTTGCATGTCCTTGTCAATGGCCGAGGAAAAACTATTGCCTTCGCCGTTGTTGTTCAAGATGATAGGATCGAACCCCGTTCCCATGTTGATGAGCCGAGGATATGCCTGAATACACGCTCGCTGCGTCTGAGTAACTTGCTCCTGGAGCTCTTGGTGCATTGGAGGATGGCTAGGAGAAAGGGTAAGCTTTCTGAAAGGAACATAAGCGAAGGGGGTAAAGGCGAAGGATACCTGCTATCCAGAACCGTGAGAAACGAGTGCACAGGCCCTACTCTCAAGCTGACCATAGTCGCCTTGCCACCCTCCCTGGAAGCTAAGTATTCTGCATCCGCCTTCAGTTTCAAGAACCGGTAACATTCCCCCCAGAATTCGGCGCCGTATTTGCCAATCATCTCCTGAATCCATTTCTCCAGGTTGAGATACTCCCTTCGAGCGGCTAAGGAAGCGATGTCGAGAACGAACATAGCATTGCGAACCTCCAGCATATCGTTCAGACAGCGAAGCTCCTGTGCAATATCCAATATTCGTGTTATGGTCAGAGGATTGCGCATGAAGGCATCTACAAAGCGCTGTGCGACCAACACCTTGTCCACCTGCCATAGCCGCCAAAAGATCATCTGGTGGCTAGGGTGTCCTTCGAAGAAAATCTCAAATAAGCTCTCGATGATGTTTTCGAGACTTGGTGACCAAGGCTGGGGCGACATGAGGGCGCCGCAAAGGATCAGTTCCGGCGTGAACTTGGCAGCTCTGTCTAGTTCCTGCTGCGCTCCAGTGCGAACGTCCACGGGAACATCCTCTTCCAACGACAAATGTAGCAGTGCGTCGACAGCATGATACGAGATCAGCTTGTGCGTTTCAAAGGTAGCCACCATCAGCTTCAGGGCGCTGGTTGCAGTTGCGAAATCCTCCGATGAAAAGATCTTCCGGATTCCAAGCTCTTTGGTGATATCCAGCTCATCGGCTTTGATGTACGCCCTCAAAACACTCCATTGAGACCTCGCGTACTTCCAGCGTCCGCCCCAGAGCTTATCCAGAGGGAAATCGGGAGTCTGTGTACCTTGACGAACAGCATTAGTGATCACATACAGGCCCGCCGGACTCTCGATAACGAAATCTTCACGATCTAGATGCTCGATGACATCTGCCCAATCAAAGTTCTGCGCAAGGTTGCCTTCCATCTCCAATGCTTGCACGAAGTTTTCCGAGCGCCACTCGGACGCATTTGGTGCAGTTGCCATGAACGTCAAGACGTCCGCCATTTCCGCTTCCGTGAACGAGCCATTCCATTTCCGCCGCAGAACCTCTCGGAAATGGTCAGGGAGCTTCACTCGGTCAGCTCCATATTGCTGTAGTGTATTGGCCAGCGATTCCTGTTGGCGCATGTGTTCGAGCGGCTCAGTCACGTTGATGATTTGCGGCGGGAGGGATGTGTGTTTGTAGCGGGACCGCGCAGCGTAAGACAGCTTCAAGATCTCCGACTCGTCCAAAAAGGTTGGTGTGGGGGGTGTCAGGAGTTCACGAAGGAAATAGGCGATTCCTTCCGGTGTCATCTCGGGATGCTTGTTTGGGTTGGCAAGGATCTCGAGCATAGAAGGAAAAGCCCGGCGGAGCACATCAAGACCTATGTTATCCGTGAGTGATGAGTCTATAGCTACGGTAAATTGGGCTGCATGTTCGAACCTTTACTGCGCAGATCTTCTTTCGGATGCTCCTTGAAGCCAAGAGCCAGTACGGCTCGCAGAAGCGCATCGAGCCCCATACTGTTCAGAAACGCAGCCAGATCGAAGTCTTTGAATACCTTCAAAGACTCTTGCGTATCGGGGGTGATGGCATCGGCGAACTTCTCTTTGGCGGTTTGAGGTGAGCTCGCAATTGCCTTGACCGTGTCGGACAGGATACGAAAGTCATTTCCCTTATTGCCGCCGGTCGATGAGACTATGTGGGCGTAGTTGTCGTTGATCAGCTTCCGAAGAACCCTCCCGTTGACTTCCATGTTGGAATCGGTGATCTGGTCACACACGAAGAGTCAGAAACTTGATACAAAGCAACACCTACGCCCACAACCAACACCAACAAGATTTCCGGCGAGCGGGGAGCTAGCTAGCACGTGGAGGCTGATTCACGAGGCCGTACTCACCCTCTGTATCTCCCTCCGCTTTATTTCGTAATTTCTGTCGTTAATCGTAGCAATGAGCAAGTGTATCTGGCCCAATGACAGATTCGGCACGCCCGACCCCGCACTACCACTTCCACCACCTCCTCCAGCGGTCTTTGCCGCTGAGCCCGGGAAAGAGCCTGGGGATGTCGTTGTGGAGGTTGCAGGTAGCAGAGGTTGTGGTTGCTGTAGCTGCTGCTGCTGGTGGTGGAGGAGGTGTTGGAGGTGGAGGTGGTGTTGCTGTTGCTGCTGCTGTTGCTGCTGAAGTTGTTGTTGGTGTTGGTGTTGGTGGAGGTTGGAAGCGGATGTAGTGGAAAGGTGTCGTGAATTTGGCTCGGCCACACTTGTAATTGATGGTTTGTTGGGAAGGGGAGAAGAAGATGCGGCTGCGGTGGCCGAAGACGAAGGGTCGGAGGAAGCGGGATGGATGCTTCGGTAGGCGGGTAACGCGAAAGAATTGAATCTCGCGGTGTTTGGCGTGGTGGCGGCGGTGGTAGTGGTTATGGGTGAAGTGGAGGGGTTTGGGGAGGAGAGCAAAAGCGAGGTGCCAGGAGGCGGAGGGAGATGTTTCGCAACAAGGTCAGGATTTGATTTTGGCAGATGGGATTGGAGCGAGCGGAGGTAGGATTCTGAGAAGACGGGATTAGAGGATGGCGATGAAGGAGGAATATTACTAGAAAGATCAGAAGAGAGGCTAGAGCTGATGTGTGCGTTCGGGTTGGAAGGTGACATTCTACCTATGGGCGATCGGTCTTCACCATCGTCAGGTAGTATGCACGGTAGAGTATGAGCAGAGTATGGTAGAGTCCATTGTCACCGAAATCCGGGCGAATTCTGGGGTCTTGGCACCGATTTTCCGTCTTCTTGGCACCACTCGGGCTCAGCCACACTTGGCCAGAATACAAGCATTGCCGTGTTCTGCGAGAGGCTGTGGCGGCTGGCACAAAGCCACAGCCGTCGATGACTATCAACACCACCCGCGCAAACTACTCACAACACTAGCATTTCCACCTCCACTGGAAACTCTCCGCTATGTCCAGGACGGCCTCAGGCGGTGCGCTGAGGGGCGAGTTTTTCGATTTGTCGAGCTCGTGATACTACAGAAGATCCTCTAATCGGGAAGCGTGTGAATTGCGGGGCGAATAGGCAGCCTTAGAGGTAATGCCGTGTTCACCTCTCACGACCCCTACGGTGTCGGTCCTCTGAATCCAAGAGTCGAAATCAGCAATCCGGAGGACAGCGTAAGAAGGGAATCTACGGTCACAAGATTAAGTAGGGGGCCGACAAGTCGCCCTCGGAGTTCGTGTCCATGAGATGGGCGTGCAATTGCGGGCCATAACTATCTTACACAGCCAGTGGGGCGTGCATAAGAGTGTTTGACCCCCTAGAAATATATTTGGCGGCACTTGATGCCGTCGATTCTGTAACAATCTACTTCGCCATCAGCCTCCACCTCGTCGTTCACACTGCCGGCCAAAATTGCCTCCCTAGATGAATACCACCTAGTTTTGTGAGACGATGATACCTATATAATGTATTTCTTGAAGCCCAGTGGCAATAAGCTTCTATACCTATCCTAGAGGACATAATCTAGCATAAGGCTCGTGATATTACAACACCGGTATATGGCTTATACGAGTGATTGTGAGTGAAAATACAAACCTCCATTCTCAATGAGTTTTTATCTGATTGACACCAGTGAGGGCTCGAATCGATCCTCAGAAGTAGGTAGGCTATCACAAGGACGTATGTTCCCAGAGTCCAGTATCCACGCACCTTATACCATCCCCGGCTATTTCTTCTACTACCTACGTCGCTGAATCCTCTGGAACAAGGGTTGGAAATGCCATTGGAGTCACCTCTAGGTTTTACTACATATCCGTCAACGACGCTATCGGCGAAGGTGCAAGTCAACGTAGGCATAGACTTTTTGACAAAAGTCATAATAGTGTTCGGTCAGGTCGGCAAGACTGGAGACACCGTTGATATCCTCCAGAAAATTCCAGCATCTAGCGACTCCGATTACCGACTGATCGTCCAGCAGCGCTTGTATGTAGTAGGGGGACTACACTTACCTGTAGCAAGTCCACCTCAGGGAACGGGAAATCCCTGGGCAGCGGTACGGTCCTCGGCCATCTCGATGGCGGTCCCGGGGTTCTCATTGTTGCTGACAGCAGCGGACAGACGAGAATTGCTAGTTTCTTGTGAAGCTGGTTCCATGGTTGAGTCCCTGCAGGTCGTGATGGTGCGCTCGAGTGGTAGTATCTGTGGAATAAGTAGAGTACCTATATCTGCTGAGGGAGGAATAGGTAGTATGCATATATACGTGACGATTTGATGGGGCGCACTACTTAAATAGCGGTCACGTGTTGAATTCTACAGTAGAGCACCATACACACGGACTTATCTACCTAGGTCGTTTACCCCGTACCTGGGGATTGCCTCTCTTCCCTTCTCTTCCAATTAGTCGATCAATCGTAAATAATACTCTAATGATAATCACTCATCAATTGAGGCTCTGCTCCTAGTGAGCTGCTGCTGCTTGCGAGCTGCTCGTGTGTCGTTCTCTCCAGTCGCAGCTGAGTCGCTAGAGTAGAGTACTCTAGTTCTGGATAACAGTGCCAAGAGTGTCTCCTTGCCCCCCTGTTGCCTAGACAACTTCCTTCTTCACCGACCGTGTTTACGCTGCCGCCCTACGCTGCAGAGCCTCGCTGAGTGAGGCACGTAAGTCTGGTTAAACTGCTGCTTGCCGCCAGCACATCTGGGCATCCGTGCACACACACCCCTACTACATACTCCACCACTACTCGAAGTGCTCAAGTGCTTACAACCATCGCTTCTACAGAGAAAAACAAACAAATTCCATCTACTTCAACCCACTTCGCCCTCTTGCCTCTGTCTATTCTCCCGAAGCTGCCGCCTCGTACTTAACTGCACAGAGCGTACTCACGTCCACCCTCGCCCCTCTCGGCATTACGAATCCTGAACCACCTCGACGGATTTCACGATATCAACTGCGTCGAGTCGCTTCCTTTCGTCCACTTTCTTCTAAACTGCTGGTCAGCAGAGCTCCGTGCTCAGTTGTCCCACTATGGGCGCCAGTTCGGAGCCCTCTGTGGCTCTCTCGTGTAAGAGACTTAGAACGCCACCGATGTGTACTCTTCCGCGTGAACTGACGCCTCGCAGTCGCAAACAATTTCTGGGGCAAGGAGGATGCCGGTGTTGGGCCGATGATACAGCGCATGCACGATGCGAAAACTACGTGTGAAGAGCTCAAAGGATTCTACACAGGTAACCCATTTTGCTCTGTCGTACCGGAATCGTAGCGGTAGCGACTGCCGGTCTTGCTAACTCGGCTGTAATGATGACGTTAGCTCGAGCGGCCATTGAGGACGAATTCGCACGCAAACTACTCGCTCTGTCGAAGAAACCATTGGGCTCGGTCGAATTTGGCTCTCTCAAATCCTCGCTGGACGTTTTGAGATTGGAGGTTGAGTCTATGGCGAAGGCGCACCAGAATATCGCTAGTCAGATGACGACAGAACTCGAGGAACCGTTGACGGCCTTTGCGGGAGCGATGAGGGAGCGGCGGAGGATTGTGCAAGTCGGCTGTGAGAAGCTTCTTAAGTTGAAGATGCAACAGACCCAACAAGTCAATAAGGTAAACTTCATTTTTCCGGTGTACCCTGCTGCCCCGCTTTTGCTGTTGTTGTCCGCCTGCTGACTAGCTTCTAGACCAGGGACCGATACGAGCAAGACTGTCTCAAGATTAAGGGATATCTCGCGCAGGGGCACATGGTTATGGGACAGGAGGAGCGCAAGAACAAAGCTCGGCTCGAAAAAGCCCAGCAAGGTTTGACAACTTCAAACGCAGAGTATGAGGCCGCGATTAAAGCGCTGGAGAAGACGACTGAGCGATGGAACCGAGATTGGAAGCAAGCCTGTGATGTTGGTCCAGGATTTCACGGTACTGTACTTCAGGGCGTGCTGACTGGGTTTCTAGAAATTCCAAGACTTGGAGGAAGAGCGAATCGATTTCTTGAAGTCGAGCTGTTGGGCGTTTGCGAACATCTCTTCGACCGTCTGCGTCAGCGACGACGCTTCCTGCGAGAAGATTCGGCTGTCTCTAGAGGATTGCGAGGTTGAGAAGGACGTTACTGCCTTCATCGTTGACAAGGGCACCGGACAAGAAATCCCTGGTTCGTTTGGTCTCTGGTCAACAAACTGATCTATTCATACCTGACATGTCAACTCAGATGCACCCAAGTACATCAATTTCTGCCGTGGAGATTATTCCGACGACGGCGCATCAGATGCGCCGGAAGAGAACTACAAGTTGGCGCAATTCCCACGCGCAGGCAATCCGGCCTTCCGCTCGGCCTCTCCCAATCCGTCAGACTATTCAACTCAATCCACAGCGATAGCTGACCCAGAGCCTGAACTATCCGTCTCTAGGAGGGATCGTGGACGTCGCGACGCGGACCGGGATCGGCGTGACAGCGGTGGTCGGAGTCGCCAAAAGGCCATTACGGGTAGCTCACCTACTACTAGCAAAGAACTCGTCAACGGAAGTTCTTCGTCCAGGTCGTTGCGCCAGCAGCAACAAGTAGTGCCTAAGCAGGCCGTATCCAAGCGCGCAAACTCTGTTCCTCATAATGAGTATCCTCTCGATGGTATGACCATGTATTGTCGGCCCGGGGCTATGCTTTCGGACAGTAGCTTAAGCAACAGTCCAGTTCAAACACCCTCGAGCAGCCATGGCGGCGCTAGTGATTACTCCACGCCCAGCGACACTACCAGCGGCAGCGAATTGTCTCATGTCCAAGCAGCTCAACCTTCTCCTACTGAGGACGACAAGCAGATGAAACGCAAGAGCGGATTCTTTAGCGGCGCGCCATTCCGACGAAAGAGTAAAAACGAGAAACAACAACAGCAACTACAGCAGCAGCAGCAATTACAGCAACAGCAGCAATTACAGCAACAGCAGCAACAGCAGCTACAGCAACAGCAACAGCAACAGCAGCAACAGGAGCAGCAACAGCAGCAGCAACTAGCACTTCGGGAGCAGCGCCGCGTGGAAGCTCGACGTCAACGAGACCAGCCACCTGCCAATCCATCACTAACAAATCGAAACACGTGGTCACCAGCTACTACTGCACAGAGAAACATGACTGCGGCAAACCCCCCAGCATCTCAGGCAGGATCAACCTCAAGCAAGCAGAGGCAATCGCAGTTCTTGCCGAACAATGATCGCTACGCGGCAAGCCCAGAACCCATAGATGCCAATGCCAGTCTGGCACTAAACGTCGGAGGCAACGTTTTCGAAGTTAGCAACCCACAGGAAGAGCGTGGCGGGCCGTCGCCTCAGAAGCAACAGCAGGAAGAGGAGGACTTGTCTATGGACCCCATTGCGCAAGCTTTGGCTGAGCTCAAGGGAGTTACCAAGAACTCGACAGGTCGGAACTCCGCGGGCAGGAATTCAGCTGACCGATACTTTGGTCTGGCCACTCCGGCACCTTCCGTTACTCCAGCTCCAAACTCAGCCGTCGCTGCTGCTCAACGTGGAACTCCTCCGCCGACTTACATCCCTAAGAGTGCGCTGGACGTTCCACCGCCGGCTTTTGACTCCGCGCAGATGCAGCAGACTACCCAGAGATACGTGAACCAACGCCACAATCTTCTCGAGGGTCCTCCTCAAATGCCTGCAGTGGCAAGTGAGATGCAGGGACGGCCACGTTCCCGGACAATTGATTATCAGCGGCCTCAATCTGGGCACAGTACTCGTGATTTTGCAGGAAGAGACGCAAACGCTAGCCCAGGGCCTACACGAAGCGTTAGCCCCCGACCACAGCTCTACGGCGACGAAGCCTACCGCAACAGCTCCCCGAAGCCTCAAAATGCGTACAGCAGCCGCGGTCCTTCGCCGAACCCCTATACTCAGTCTCGGCCGGGAACAGCGAACAGCGGCAGGCCGGGTCAGTATGCTGCGTATAATTCGGGCTCGCCTGGCCCCGGACAGGAGGTGGCCTTGAGCAAGTACCGGACAGCATCTCCTGCCATGAGTAGCCACAGTCGCGGTGACAGTTATGACGCACGAAGTAGGAGTCGCGCCGGTAGTACCCGCGACGGGTACGGTAGTGCAACAAACCGTCAAAGCTACTACGGGGACCAAGGTACCGGACAGTATCAGGGAGGCAGTTCGCAGGTTGGGAGACCGAGAAGCAAGAGCACAGTAGACGCCAATAAATCTCGAGACGGCAGGCCGATCATCAGCTATGCTCGAGCAATATATCAGTACAACGCCGCCATTCCCGAGGAAATGAGTTTTGCGAAGGGCGATATCCTGGCAGTGTTGGCCCACCAAGAAGACGGCTGGTGGGAGGCTGAGCTTGTTGGCATCCAAGGAAGGCCTGGGTTGGTTCCAAGCAACTATCTACAGCTGTGCTAGGAGACTTGCGATATACGGTTTTTTTGTTTGAGATTTTACCGCCTTTTTGTGTTTTTTGGGTAGCATATGAGGATTGGGCTCTGGGAATGAGTGGGGGTTGGGTCGGGGTTGGAGGTTGGATGAGGAATTAGTTACGTGGTTACATGATACCAAATGATGGCGCAAAGGGTGGGTTGATATATACCCAGTCGGTCCTGTTTTATTCCTTTTGTTGAGTGGGGTTCCTTTCTTACCGGATCATGTGACTCCATCTTTTTGTATTGCACTGTACCTTGGCAGCTTTGACCGTGCACGCCGGAGTTTTTCCTTTTTCATATTGATTGTCGTCAACTCCTCTCTCATCGTGTCATCTCTTGAATACATGCTTTGCGGGTAGTGTGGAGGCTGCCTTCGCCATAACGCCATTGTTCTGCTTGAAAGGAGTCCGCTATTTAAGGTTCGGTTATCACTGCTTCTTTACAGAAGCTGGTGGTAATTTACCCTGGGTTCGGGTATCTTACATCGTTGATCACCAGAGTTTTGCAAGTGTATAAAAGCTCTTGGGGGGTAATGCGGGAGGAGGAGAGGGGCGAAATAGCGGGTGGTGCGGACAATGGGCAGGCAACGGAAGCTTCTATCAAGGTGAGCAAACAGCGGATGCTACCATCGGAAGAGCGGGCTTGCTTGGAGTGACAGAGTTGAAGTTACGTGCTCAAGTAAACAGTGACTCCTTCAGTAACACCACGAGTAGTGCATAGGTAGGTCCTCGATTACTTGCCGCCTTTGAGATAATCGATCCGTTGGAGGGGAGTAAGCATGGTTTTCTTGGACTCGGTTGAAATTCCTCACTGTATCAACTTCAATGGATGGCGTTTGTAGTGTTGAGTGTCCACTTAGGTACTTATGCGCCGTCGAAGAGTGATGTTTCCCGAGAATTGGCACTACCTATACTGCCAGTTTCTACAGCTCACCCACAAGGCACGATCAGAACCTGGTACATAGTTGCCATGGGCGGGTATGATGAAGAGGGAGAGAAATTCAACACTCGCCAGCAGCAACACCATCCGTAATCACTTGCATGGCTTGCGCACGTGCTGTTTGTTCACAGGTTCTCATCCGTTTGCCATAATACCTTTTTTTTTTGAGATCTCATTCCCGGCGGCATCGGCTATCGTTCTGTTGTATTCGCTTTTCTGCGTTGGTCTCTGTATTATTTCATAAGTTACCGGTAAACTTTCCGAGCAGACCACCATCCGATGTGTAACGAGTGATATTGCGTGCCCGCATCGGGCCGTGCCAGATTGTTAATACCCGAGTCGGCACGGCCACTCGTGACAATAGCCCTCATGCAATGCGCCAAGATCCCAAACCTCGGTTCCGCAGTCACGCCAACCAATTATGACTCTGCATTTGTTAGACGCAGAAAAATTCCCCATACAAATTCTAGTCCGATGATCCTTCGGCCTTTCCCCAGAGTCCATCACATCATATCTCCTGGACCTCGGCTCGCTCGGTCAACAACCTGCACACCACCGACACCTCCACCACCACCATTATGAGTACGAGACGACGCGTGACGGGGGGGGTGATGCTACCATATCACCTCCCGGTTCCTTCTTCCTATCCTCACCTCTAGATACCTCTCTATCAGCAACCGAACATCATCGTAGCAGAAGAACAGCAGCAATGTCGAAAACCTTCAAGCCCTCCGATGTCGCTACGCACAAGACCGTAGAGACCGGGATGTACATCATCATCGATAACGGTGTTTACGATGTCACTGGTATTTTCCTCCCGCCCTTTTCCCCCTCCTCTTCCCCTTCCCCGCAACTGATAGAAAAAAAGGCTTCATCGATGAGCACCCCGGCGGCGCAAAGATCCTGAAGCGAGTGCTCGGCAAAGACGCGTCGAAGTCATTCTGGAAGGTACGTAATAACCAGGGGAGATGCGGGCGGCGGGGAGGACGAGAAGGAGTACGAGTGCTGACGACATCTTGGTGACAGTTCCACAACGACGGCGTCCTGGCAAAGTACACGGAGCGACTGAAGGTCGGGACCGTGCAGGAGGAGGCGAAGCTCTAGACCTTCGGCTGCACGACAGATTCGTTTTCTTCACCCACTCCACCACCCGCTCGCTCGCTCGCTCGCTCACTCGGGTAGAGGTGCGGAGCTGGGGAGTTTGTACTTTTAGCGATCGATACCTAGAATGTGACGACGTTAGTTTCCTGCCTGCGTGCCCGCCCGCCTGTCCGCTTGCCTTGCCCGTGACACTCCCACCTATAGCATATACAGCGTCATCCCCTCCTGGAGGAATCAATGGTGGCGTTGTCTATAATAGGTGGTACATTTACCACAAAGCCCCCACTGGATTGTCGGCACTTCCTATCGAGTGTTGACTTTTCTAACGGGGGCATATACCGTCCTCCTACAAGTAGTAGTTGGAGATGAGCGATTATGCATCATACCGTATTGCTCGGGAGGGAAGAAGGAAGCACTTGGACCAAAGTGCGCGGATGTTTGTTACGGCGAAGTGATTGTCTTTGGCTTCAAGAGATCAGTAGCCGTAGGTGCAGAAAGTTGAGATCGAGGGGAGACTCAGGACTTAACACTCGAGAGCGAGTGATTACGGCCGGAAGGAATCAAAACCCATTATTTTTGGTCCAACAGTCGTACTTTCTCCGTGATGTGATGATTCATCCCGCAGTGGAGAGCGGCCACGCTGATAATCAAGTACCCAGACTGTTTGGCCCGTGACGACACCATGTAGCCGCGTGGCTCCTGCTGTACATAGTGCTCGAACTCGTACAATATCCCGAGTCTAGGTAGTCTGGCTGACACGATCGCCTTGAGATAAATCCCACATGCCATGTCAGTGTTGACGGCTGGTCGCCCACACATCACGCGTATTCCATGTCTGTATGTATGGATGTATGTATGTATGACGCCCACTTCCCCCCGTCCCCCTCCCCTCCAATCTCATCTCATCACCATCAATCAGTAATCATCATAGTGTTCCCGTCCCATCCCATCCCATCGCCTCGCATCTACATAACCCCACATGTCACATCGCATCATCCCTCCAGATCGGAGGGGGTGCCATCTGTGACCTCTTCGAGTCCAGTCCCATATGTAGTCCCATATGTAGTCCCATCGAGGTCTCGCGCCCAAGCCTCTGGATTCCATCCGCCCACAGGTCCTCCAACTCGCAAGTCCCCCCTCCCCTCCCCCCACACACACCCCTTGCGCAAAAATACCCCCCCCCCCCATCTCCCGTAAAGTGCATGGTCCCTACTCTACTCTAGGCCATATCTATGATGCGTTGAGTGGAAAATCCGCATCTCGCTTCCGCCGTTCGCGAGGACGCCACCGTCACCACTTCTCACGTGGGTCCGGCGGGGGGTGGGAGGGTAGGGGTGGTGATGGGTGGTGACGGGGGTGGCGCAAGCCACATCGCACATGCAATATCTATAGTTACTCTATACGGGGGTTCTCTAGGGCAATTTAGGTCAACCGTCAAACCCATCGGGCTTTCCGGGCACGCCAGGGCGGCGGCGGTGAAGCAAAAGCAAAAGCAAAAGCAAAAGCACGAATCACGAGCGATGAATCATGAATCATGAATGAAGCGTCGGATTCAAGAATCAAGGGCTCCACATCACTTCCACATCTTTCACACTTTCCCCCCTGGGTATGATGATATGTATAACAACTAGTAGACTACGGCAACTCATGCGCTGCACCGCACTGCTAGGGACGCTGCCGCATTGCCTACATACACATGTAGAGTACAGGACGGCTCGAGAGTCGACACTGGAGAGCAAGCAGTGCTGTTCCGTGCTGGGTGCGTAACGTATACTCTACAGAAGTACCTTTATGTGTATAGCTTTCAACTAGCATCTACCTACATACTAGGTATCATATCTACGCTATGTACCGCACCCTGCTGAAGCAGAAGCAGGGACGTCCTACAGCACGCACAGACGATTCGACGGCTGAGAACACGTGTGAGTGAGTGTGCGAATGTGTGAATGTGCGAATGTGCGAATGTGCACTTCGAACACCGTACTATGATACATATGATATCCGAGCACACACACACTGCACACATACTCTACACATATATACACATAAGTACACATGCACACATACACGTGCGAATACGTGCTGTGAACACTCACATCCTCAGCATTGAGCATTGAGCATTGAGCATCGTGGACAGTACATACATGGAGGAACAAAGCTGTCCGCCCCCGGCTGCGCACACTACATGTTACTGCTGGGCACCCAGTGCCCGTGAGTACCATGTCGATATACCTACTCCCGACCTATAGATAATATGCCCCATGTTTTGCATCCCCAGCCCGAGTCCGAGCCGTCCCCCTCGTCCCCCTCGTCCCCCTCGTCCCCCTCGTCCCCCTCCTCCACCGCCTCCTCCGCCTCCTCCGCCGCCCGCCCGCCCGCCGTCAGCTCCAGCTCCAGCTCCAGGAGCTCGATGCGAAGCCTTCCCTTCCCTACTCTACAAAGCCACCACCGAGCCGTTTATCCATCTATCAATCCGTCCATCCATCCATCCGACCAACCAGCCAGCCAGCCGCCCGACCCTTCCCCTTCCTCTTGCCCATCAGAACGACCGAAGGCGAAGGCGAAGGCGACGGGGAATGAGCGGAGTAGAGCAGGAAAAGAAAAAGAAAAAGAAAAGAAAAGGAACAAAAAGAAAAGAGAGAAAGAAAGAAAGAGAAAAGAAAAAGAAAGAAAAGAAAGAGAAAAGAAAAAGCAATACCTCTCCTACCTACCAAGTGCAGCCCAGAGACCAGGTCTGCGGGATCCTCCCCCCCAGCATGTGGTTTGAGTCGAGCATGTAGATATAATAGTAGGGTACCTAGGTCAATAACCAACCACCAGCGAACCATCCATCCAACCAACCTCACCACAACCAACCGCCCATCCAATCCAACCAACCACCAACCACCAACCACCAACCACCAACCACCAACCAGTAACCAGTGAGCACACCCAACCACCACCCAGCAGTCAACAGAGACGGAAACGGCAACGGAAACGGCAAGCACGAAAAACTTCCAGCCCGTCCTTTGCCCATCCTCTCCCACGCCCCTCCCATGCCGGCCCCCCGTCCTCTCCCCGCCCCATGTCCTCGCATGTCCTCGCATCTCCCCCCGGTAGGTATACTGCATTCTGCCGTTCCTTCCCTCGCGGTTCGCGGTTGAAGCGGCGGGCGGAAACAAATTGGTGGAAGTATTAAAGTATCAAAGTAACTATAGGTACATGGAGTACTCTACTATGCTATGTACCTACTATATAGTGGACATGTGATCATCTACTTACTCTATGTACTCTATGTAGGTACCTCCCATCTGGGGGGGCGATGGAGAGATGGAGAAGAGTACTGCATTGGATCGGATGGCAGGGGAGCGTAATCGGCAGAGGACTTATCTACTATGTACCTACTCTACCTATGCTACATATGATAGCATGGAATGGCATGGCATATGGGCAGGTTGATCGCCATGATAACTTGAGGAATTATGCCTACAGCTATGACTGTGATACCTAGCGTGCGAATTAAAAATCAACGACGAGTGACGAAACCACTGGAATCAATGAATCATATGATAGCGGAGCGGACGAGTGACGAAACCACTGGTATCATATTACAGCAGGCCAGCCAACGAGGAAATAGGTAAGCAACGGAGGAGAGAGAAAGAGAGAGAGAGCGAGTAGAGTACGGATAGGTAGAGCAACACTTGTGTCTGAGCCAGAAAAGCAAAACAAAACAGAGACCCTCCCCAAAACATCCCGAGCATAAGTAAGTACATGTAAAACAACCAACTGTCTCAAAATTCGAATTTCTTCCGGAAAAATGAAATAAAAATGTAACGCCTGAATCTCGATATTCGTATCCCCCAACCAAAATGACAAAAGAAAAACCCCCTCCTCCTCCCCCAATCTCAAAAGCCAGCCGCATCCAAAAAGGAGAAAAAAATCTTGGGCCGCGAAAAGCAAAATAAAAGCAAAGAAACCCCCCATCGACGCTATAGTAGACAGAAGAAGAAGAAGAAGTGAGCTTCGTGGAAAAACCGATCAAGACATTCTAGAAGAAGAAACTAGAGCAAAGGTGAACGACAGTAACCAAGAAGAGAAATGTCAGACAGATTGCACGCCAGAAACCATTACCCAAACAGAAGTAAACAGAGAGAAAGGGAGCAATATTAAAGTGTAGCTGACACCAACCCAAAGGAGATAAACACACAGGGCTCGAAACCCCCCAAAATAAGGCAAAAATGAATCAAAGGCCACCATGCCGGATCACATCCCCCACTTCGAGGACGCCATGGGCCTTGCCGTTCTCGATGATAACGATCGCCGTGTCGTCGGTAAGCTCCCCAAGTGATCTCCTCGAGTACAGGACCCTCGCTACCTCCTTCATGGAAGACTCGGCCGGCACCTTGATCAGGTCGTTCACATCCACCACCAGACCGAGCTCGGGCGTGTTCACCTCAGCGTAGAGGTGGTGGTGGGAGGCGGCCATGAGTTTCTTGGGCGGGATCAAGCCCCCGTCAGTGGTTCGTAGCCAACCCTTGGGACTTTTGACGGCGATGAGCAGGCAATCGAGCACCCGCAAACCGCAGGGGTAATGTGGAGCTCCGCGGGCAGCGCAACCTCTATTGCCGATGCTGCTGCTACTGCTGCGTTTGCGGTTGTTTGCGGTTTTGTTGCTGTCGTTATTGCTGTTGTTGTTGCCAGGGTTTCCTGCAACTACTCCCACATCCGCTCCGCTGCTGCAGTCCCAGTCCACGAGATCAATCTCGGTTTCCGAAGACGTCTCGGATATTACCGGTGAGGGTGGTGGTTGGCCGGTGGTTGCAGAATTGCCGGTTATGATTCCTTGCTCGTCGGCAATCGGTATGTCCGCCCAGCAAACGGCAAGCGCCCGTATTCGTTCGACACCTCCCTTGTCCTTCATAAGGTTGTTGGCAATGCCAATGGCACCACCCGGGTGATTTCTCCGGAAGACCTCGCGCGGGCCGCTCCCTGATTCCCCCTCCCCGGTGCAGCTGTGCAGTCGGTCGGCCGATGCGAGCGCCAAAGCGTCTCCCAAGGCCATCGTGACTGTTGTGGAAGTGGTTGGGGCAGCGATTCCGAAACTGGCTACTTCGGACTCGGGGATTGGGGTGGGGAGTAGGATGGTATTATCGCGATCCCCGACGAGGGGCAAGGTGTGGTAGGACGTGTGGGAAGTTAACGCAATGAGGGGGAGCTCCGCGGGCAGGTGCGGCAGCAGGTTCAGCAGCTCAGGCGTCTTCCCAGAGAAGGTGATCAGAAGGAGTACATCATTCTGCGAATAAAATGTGAGCTTTCATTTTCCTATAATGCATGAGGGGGAGAGATTGGATGGAAGAACTGTCCAGAAGCATGGGGAGCACGGGGACAAGCAAGGGGCGGGGGAATAGATGAAGCTCATCCTCCAAGCTGCTCGAACCACCAAGCGGGGGGGGAGGGATGGTGACGTGCGTGTGCAGGATATCAGGACGCATCCCACCCAGATAGGGAATTGGACGAGGAATCGGAGCACGCAACACTGGAGGCAGTGGAGGGGGAGGTGGAGGTGGATGATATGCAGTGATATGCGGTGATGCAGAAACGAACGCGGGACAGGGGCAAGGGTTGAGGAATGGCATGGTGGGGTTGGCATTGGGGGGGTGGGGGGGTGAGGGGAGGGGAGGGGGAGCAGCAGCAGGCAGCATGAGGCAGGCAGATGGAGCAGGCAGCATGGAGCAGGCGGGCGGACAAATTCGGACACCCGAGACTCAAAGTTTGAAGGGCCGAAGGGACCAGCCCAGCCAGCCAGCCACATCTCAGCCAGCCCAAGCCCAGCACGCCGTATTCCGGCCGCCCACTCGCCCCACACACCAGCCCCCGTAAGGCATGACTACCGAGAATCGAATAAACGGTGCCAAACAAAAAAAAAAAAAAAAGGCGGGGCCGCCACGAGTAGCATTTCCAATTCCGTTCAAAAAGAAAAAAGGAAGAAAGGGAAAAGAAAGGCGAAAAGAAAAGAAAAGAAAAAGGTGGTAAAACTTACTCGTCTAACAATGCCGAGATCCCCGTGAAGAGCCTCAACAGGGTTCAGAAATATACTCATGAGCCCCAACGAATTCATCGACGCAACCAACTTGTCGCCAATCTTGCCGCTCTTGCCCACCCCGATCACAATGATCTTACCGCCCTTCTCCTGCGACTCGACGATGGCCTCGACCGCCCGCACGAAGCCCTCGCGGCACAACGGATCCGTTGCGTACAGCCGCGAGAGACACGACAGCGCGGTGGCCTCGGTCGACAGGACGTGGGTGGCCGTCGACAGGATCTTTGCCGCTCGCGGGTCGAGGTCCGAGTCATGAGTGGTCGGCGGTGTGGTCGGGAAAGCAAGTGTCGCCGCTCCTCCCCCTCCTCCGTCGGAAAATGGAGGTGTCAGGATTGGGCGGATTTGGAATTGCGCTGCTGCGGGAAGGGACAATGATGGGAGTATTGGCGGCGCTGCCGACGGCGGAGCCGAGCCGCTTCCGTCATCCAAGAGCGCATTGACGCCGGCAAGGTGGTGGAGGAGGCGATTCGAGGAATACATGGCTGGAGGAGGGGAGGGGGAGGAAGGAAGGAAGGAAAAACCCCCGTAGAGGGCTTAATTGATTTTTTGGTCTTTTCTTTTTCGTTTCCTTTTTTTTTAGTTGCCGAGAAAGCTATGACTTTCCTTCGACCTTATGTATGGTGGGTGGTTATCGGTACGGACGGAGAATGGCCGCCGAGATCCGAACTTTTATAGATGGTCGAGAATGAACCAAGATCGGACGGAACGATCGAGTCGGAGCTCTCAAGACTCAAGAGGTGTCCAAGAGCTGGTCCCCACCCCCCACCCACCCCCAGGTTCGGGAAGTCCGTTAGAGGCTCGGAAGGCTCAAGATGGAAGATGGTGCCCAAAAAATGGCCGGTGGCGGGGTTGTGATCGTTTTGTGACGGCGTCTTTTTTTTCTTCCTTGTGTGATGGAACTAAGAAGAAGAGGAGGAGGAAGAAGAAGAAGAAGGAGGAGGAGGAGGAGGAGGAAGACTGGCCGCCCAAAAGTCGAGGGGGAGATCTAGAGATGGATGGATGGATAGGGATTTCTAATTGTAACAGACAAGCAAGCAAGCAAACAGGTGGGTGATGTGCTAAGTATGTTTGTCTTTTCCATCCATAGTCGGCGGGGCCATCGTGACCTTTTATGAACAGCCCCCTCCTCCTCCTCGTCCTCCTCCTCTGCCGTCGCCCCCCGTCGTCCCGTCCCTCATCCTCCCCTCTATCCCTCCCTCCCCCCCCCTCCCCATCAATCGCCCCCCCGGATAGACAGATCACACCAGGGAAACAACTTCTTCTCATGTATGTAAGGCTCAGATCAGAGCTTGGGGGAAGGGGAGAAGAGGGACAGGGGGACAGGGAGTGTGGAGTGTGGTAACTAGGAACGAGATTTGTCGATACCGAATGAGAGTAGACGCAACCACTTGACTTGGACACATCCCGGAGTGGGCCCTGCCTTGAGGAAAGGCTACATACTTGGGGGGGGAAAGGAAAAGGAAAACGAAGGGCCCTGCACAATGAGATGCATGTATTTTTTTTTTTTGGCGGTGACAGCTCAACACTTCCGAGCAGGTCCCAAATTTGTACCTAGAGTACTTTACCCGACCCGGGGAAGACGAACGGACTGGGGGTGGTGGCAAGGGAACAAACCGTATCAGATGATGGTGACGAGAGAGAGAGAGAGAGAGTGAGTGAGAGAGAGAGAGAGAGAGAGACAGAGAGAGAGAGAGAGAGAGAGAGAGGAGAGAGAGAGAGAGAGAGAGAGAGAGAGAGAGAGAGAGAGAGAGTACCAACCAACCGACCGGGCAGCCAACGGGTCCAGCGAGTCCAGCGAGGGAGCGAGGCGAGCGGCCAGCCAGCCATCCAGCCAGGCGGATGATCGCTCACCGCGCGTGCGCGCTCTCGGAGACCTCGTACATACTCTACACACATATTTAGGTACAAGGTACGTACATGCGTTCACAGTGTCCGGGCGTGCAACAACAAAATCAATGTCTTGCGGTACGTGCCACAGGTTCCCGATAGTACGGCACAGACACCTACCGTATGGTAGGTTTCATGATGCATGTCGACGTGCTTTTGATGGGCGCCCAGTATTGGGTCCTTGATGACATAGGTGCTCATGTAGGTCTCAAGTGTGTATTGGTACTCGAGTTGGTGATGAGTGAGTGGTACACAGGCAGACTCCAGAGTATGTAAGTAAAGTACCTACTCTACGTAGATCGAGGTCCCCCCTCCCCCATCCCCCGCCCGCGCCGCCGCCGGCGGTGGCTACACAACGTGGAGTCTGTTTTGTGATCCGCTAGCTAGCCCCTTCGCAAACTGCCGAACACAACTACCCTTGCGCCGCGGCAAGTCCACCAGCAGGCAGAGGTGGGTGACCCCTCCTCCTCTTCCTCCTCATCCTCCTCCTCCTCCCCGCGTCCGCGATCTAGGCTTGGGAAAGATACCATGTTTGGGCGGGGCTGCCCGCTTCGTCGTCGTTGATTGCTCTACTAGGTAGTAGCTAAGACCAGCCCAGCCCAGCGTACTCGACTCTACTTAGTTACCAGTATCAGTAAGATGCACTTACCTATCTGCGACTGCATCCACCACCATGAACCGAACCGGCGAAAGATTTCAACCCGCCCCGCCCCGCCGCATGTCCGGATATCATGGAAAAGCACATACGCATTTCTCCCCGCTCCGCCCCTCCCCTCCAGCCAATCCATTACATATGCCCCCCGTCGATCCCCAATTGGAATAACCGATTGCGCCTTTCACGCACGTTCGTTCGCTGGCTCGTCCCTTCGTGGGGCTTGGAACAACCGGCGAAAAGTTCCATGCACGTGCACGTGCAGACCCACCGATCGCCGGTTGGGCTGGGCTGGGCTGGGCTGTTTGCAGAAGACATGTCATCGTTACCGGTACGTATCTACTAGGTAACTACTAGCTAAAGTGCAAACTGATAGCGACGCGATATCCACCACCACCTCCATCACCACTACCACCCGTTGCCGCCGGCGGACCTCCGATTCTCCGTGTGGCCTTCCGAGTGGGCCATCGGGGGTCTTAGGGTTGTGGGCAAGCTACTATGTATAACTATAACTAGGGCAAGGCCAGGGAGACTGGAGAGGAGAGCGTTTGTCGGTCTGTCTGTCGGCCAGAGGTCTGGGGTAGCTAGGCTAGGGCAAGGCAAGGCCAGGGAGGGCAGTGTCTGAGTACGGGGGGGGCGGGAACGGCCACACACGAGGCTAGGGTTACTAGGTATGCGAACCATTAGGGATGATCAGCCTGCGCGCATAGGTCAATCCCAGCCGCATGGTGTATGTACACAATGTACACAACGTACACATTGTACACACTGTACATATTATGCACAATTGTAGTAAGTGCTAGTCAGTACTTATACGGTTGATCAATTTCTGGTCCGAGACATTCTGCTGTGCTCAGTGCTGAGCTATTATTCTGGGAGCTCGCTTAAGTACTTCCTACCTCCCAAGTATTTCACCCATGTACTGTGTACTTGTATGTACCGTACATACAGAGAACATACGTACGTAGAATACTGTACACATCCATCTGAGTCACTCTCACTCTCGCATCGCCCTCGCCTCGCCTTCACCTTCGCCGCATCTCCGATTCCGAAGTCAGCCGATCAGCAGACCAAACCCTCAAATGTGGACAGAGTGTAGTATTGCAGCTCTTCGTCGGAATGGCGAAACGGGACGGGACAACACCGATGATTTGCCCCGGCCTCCCCCCCGCCCCACAGCCGAGACTGTTCCCTAGATGCATAACTAAGCACATACACACACACAATACTACCGGTATACTATACACATCGGAATGCCAGGCATCATGAGTTCGCCGCCCCCCCCCCCCCCCCCCCTCCACTTCCTCCCAGAAGCGCTCGGGGCCTCCCCGCGTACTCTACTATCCCCGAAACAGCCCTCCTTCTCCTTCCCCCCCATCCCTCCCCGCGCGTGCGGGGGATCCACTCCTCAAACTCCTCCACTCCTCCGCTACCTGTGTACATACACAGTACGATAAAGAAATGACGGATGACGGACTTGCTACCTGGCCTATAATTACACAACTAACTACTTGGCTGAGTATACCGGTATGTCGGTGGCTGGCTAGTTGGCTGGTTGGGTTGGCTGGTTGGTTGGTAGCGGACATCCACCGGCGGGAAGTGCAACTGCACTCTAACTAGTAACTACCGTAGACGCGAACAGCTAGCACCGAGCGTCAGAACAACCGCCGCAACCGAAGTCTGCCTCGTCTAGCTTTTGGAGCTGAGACTTCAACAACTTTCATGACTTGCGTTCTCTCTCCCCCCCCCTTCCCCACCACCACCATCACCACCACTACCACTACCAACCCCCCTCCCCAGTCATTACCAGTCATTGCAAACAGGACCAAGGTTCGTGATCACGACAGCAGCAGGCGCACATTACAAAAAAAACCATAGTATCATGCAATAAGGTCCTTGGCTAGGAGATGGGCTTACTCTACACACCGCCAGACCGCCAGACCGCTGGTCGGTTATTATTCCCGTCCACTACAGCAACGGGTAACGATCAACTACCTAGGAAAATGCACTTTGTATCTACACGAGTATTGGCCCCCAGCGGTTCGGTACGCCCCCATCGTGTGCGAGCGTGACAGTTGAGTTGAGCTGGCTCGTAGTGTAGTTTCTCCTCGGGGCCTTTGGGGAGGGGGGGAGGGGGGGAGGGGGGGACGACTACCTACGTCGACGGGCTGTTGCATCCAAACCACACCGCGACCCATTGAGGTCGATTGGACTGGATTGGATTGGGTTGGATTGGATGGCCGGTCGTTCTTCCCCTTGCAAGCTCAAAGATTGCAAGCCCAGTGCACAGTGCACATGTGTAGCTGCAGCCATCGGTAATCATAGTATGGGATAATAAGGCTGCCACCCGATGGCACAAACGGCTGGGCGGTATACCCCGGTTTGCAACGAAAGGAACCACCACAGGATATAAGCGGATGGAACCCCCCTCCCTCCCTCCCTCCCCCCCTCCTATTCTCACGCAGTAGGTACATAGCAGCGCTTGCAGAGCCACGGAATGGTGAACCGGGATTGCACATACATACATCAGTACAATAGGTACATACATGGCTTCTTGGAGGGTTTGATATGTCAAGGTTCTGGCCATCCGTATGCACGGATATTGCATTCGGTTTTTGCTTTTTTGCTTTTTTCCTTTCTTTCTTTCTTTTCTTTAGTTCTCTTCTCCGTGGCACCTTGCCCGTGTTCTGACCCGGATTCCGCCAAACAGGTCGCCAAACCGTTGCCCAGAATTGTCATGTGGCCAGGTTTTAATGAACCGGGGACACCATAACATCTGCAGGTTGTCATGTTAAGGTGGGTGGGTGGTGGTGGTGGTGGTGGGTGGAGGGTGGAGGGTGCCCCACCACCTATGTAGCAACCGGCCTACCCACCACCTACGCACCGGATGAATGCACTGCCACTCCGACTTGTCCGTGGCGAGCCACCGACTGTGCATCACTTGGACCGGCGGCGGCATGGGCGGATTGAGCACACGCGAGTCCGGAGAGGAGAGAGGCGGGGCTCCCAGGACCTACGGGGCAACGGCCTCGGGAGCAGAGTTCGGAGCAGTGCCGTGCAGTGCAGCCCCACAGCTGCTCCGGTGCACCGCTACGACCATCGCATCGCATCCATCGCATCCGTCGCATCCATCGCATCCATCTCACGGTACAGGTGGTGGTGCATTCTCGGCCTTGCCCTGACGCGCAGTGGTGCAGTGGTGCAGTGGTGCAGTGGTGCAGTGGTGCAGTGGTGCAGTGGTGCAGTCTCGCCCGGCGCTGAAGAACCATGCGAGTGAGACCTCCTCGAACAATCCCCACTACCAGTTTCTCCTCGGACCGGGGGTGAGAGCTCATTAATTTGGCATCAACCCACTGTGTGGAGAGCTCATCCAGCATGGGATGAATAAGGGCTTTTCTTGGCCGCTTCGAGCCTCGGTAACACGCGGCCCGCCGCCAAACGTGTCGGTGGGACGACCCCCCACCACCACCCGGGATCGAAGGTGCGAAAAAGCTGTTCCTTGCTCGCCACTGCAAGCGATTCTGTATTTCGACTCCACAAGCGATCCTGTACTTCGTCTCCGCAAGCGATTCTGTATTTCGACCCCGCAAGCGGATGTCGGGGCGATCTCTCCAATAGTGATTTGGGTGTGGGATGCGGTGCCTAGGAGGTACAGTACCTTAGGTGCTTTGGTAGGTAGGTACGCGAGCCGGCCGGCTGTGGACGGTGTTGTATAGTAGTTAGAGTACGTAAACGACTCGGAGCTCTGTCTGTGACTGCGCGTAAGGCCGCCGAGTCGAGCCAGCCAGCCAGCCTTCCTGCAAAGCCCCCCTGGCACACACGCCCAGTGGCGACCTCATTCCCAAGGTCGCGGACAGCAGGGTCCAGACAGGTCCAGGGCTGGGTCCGGGGCTGGGGGGCTCGGGCTGGGTCCAATAGCTGGCCGTAAATTGCGCCCTTCGCATCGGGGGCGCTCTGGGATGCCGCCATCGTCGAGCGTGGGATGCGTAATGGATGTCGGCTGGAGGTTCGCGAGCCCGTATGCAGCGCGCGGAGTGATCTGCAGCACGTATGTAGAGTAGAGTGGAGTAGATAGAGTAGAATAGAGTACATAGAGCGGAGTAGAGTAGTGTTAGCTGAGCCTAGGCTGGACGTTCGTGTAGCGCGGGGTCCCTCGTTACCCGCAATGGCAGTTACTCTACCTGTTAGTACTTGGATGGTTACCCTGGTAGTTACACGGAACGCTGTTGATGTTGCTGGAGTTTACCCGGCTCCGGACGATGCTTGGTCGCTTCGGCCACCAAGTTCCAACCAACTTCCCAGCAGCGCCGGAAATAACCCGCATTCGATCAGCCTTACATGTACCTGCTACAGGGGCACAAGCGGTCATGCATCGTTTGGAGTTCTGGTGAGTCCGACAGGCAGCGCAGTCGAGCACATCCCCCCGCAGAAGATTGCATAGGTACTTTCCCGTGGCTATCGACGCACATACTCCGCTCTCTGCATTCATTCGAACCAGAGATTCCTGCAGATACATGTGCACTGTGCAGGTCAGATTGCACTGCACCGCACTCTGCACCCCCCGCCGTACCCAGTAGGAGGGAGACTGTGGAGTACTCTACGGGAGGTATCACGCTCCACGCAGCATGGTACATAGTTTGCCCCGCTCCGAGTCCTCCCCCACCTTTGATCATCGTCTGGAGCAGAGCCCATCTACATAGAGTATCCAGCCAAACCCTTGCAGGCGATTGGACTTCTGACAAGCGAATCGGCCTCGGAATCGAATCTGGAGTATATTGAATATATTGCTCCCAGCCTGTTGGTGGTGACGTCTTGAGGCGGAGTGCATAAAACACTTTATTGCTGGTCAAGGGTTGGTATTTTCGCTATCCGACAGCCCTGCATCGCAGTTGACCACGCGACTTAGCGTTTGATGCGGATCCGCGGACGCTTTTCCTGGGGTAATCATCCGGAGCGGTCTGGAGGCGGGGAGGACGACGACAACGAGTGCGAGCACGAGCGCGAGCACCAATACCAACACCAACAACCAATACCAACACCAACAACCAACACCGGCACCCAGCACGGGTGGGGCGGAGACACGGACAAGGACGGATCTAAGCACGCGAGCGCGAGCACCAAAATTATACCCAGTAACTACCCAGCACGGGTGGGCGGAGACACCGACAAGGACGGATCCACGGACCCGAGCTTGAGTAATCGCCCCAGGCACACAACGACTGTCGAGGTAACGTACAGGGTCGTCACCGTCATCCATCTATCCAGCATGTATTGTACATACTTACATACATAAATACATACATACACACTCATATGGGGGAGGTGGGTGAGCAAAGGGCGCAGATATCCGGTCTTCAACGAAAGAGCCAGCCAGAGCCGAAGCTCAGCTTACTGTGGGGTACCAAGAAGCCCAGTCCATAGTACTAGCCCGTGTATTTCGTTCCCGGACCGCAAGCTTGAAGCACGCACACATGGACACAGCATATCGCGGTGTTGGGCTGGGCCTACGTAGGGTCAGCGGTACGCTGGATCGTTGGCTGTGGAGGAGGAGGAGGAGTAGATTAGATGCACTGCACTCATCGGTCCCTTCCAACTCCGACGGACGAATATCACATTCCAGCGCGAAGCAAACAGAAAGAAACTCAAAGAGAACGAAGATGCTGGATGTGGGCCGGCGTGACGGGAGGCGTCAACATGAAGGCCGTCTAGTTGGCTTGGTCTGCTGCCGCTGCATACATTCGAGATCCACTCCTAGAGTAGGCCCGTTTCCTGCATCGGGTACGCCATGCTATCTGGTGTCAGATAGCCCGCAGGCTACTACTTCTAGTACCCACTGCTGCCCCCTTCTTTCCGCCAGCGTTGGATTTTCCGTTGGTCCTTCCGGGCCATCCTCGGTAGTTGGTTCCACGGACTTCCACCACTGCAAACCAGCTAGTTTCTCTTCTCGCTGAACTGCAAGGAGCCGTACCAAAGTACTTGCTTTCTCTCATGTGGGAAAGGGCTCTCCCCCCTAGGGGAACCGATGTTGTGCATTGCAGATCCGTCTAGACACTGTCGCCATGAAGCCCAACCATACGTTATGTTCGTGGTGAACATAGCGCGTGGCCATGTTGCATTGTTGCTGCTGGCGGCATAGGATGTTCCTCTGGGTATGTGCGGCCGGTAGTTAACCTGCGTGCCTTTTTTCGCCAGTGAATGCTCCGAGGTGCAGGAACAATTGCAGCTAACTGAACAAATATGCACTCGAAGGAAGGATATATGCATCCTATGCCTCCTATGTACTCTCCTCACCGTCGGTACTCGGGGCCCAATGTGTCGCCCCCCTCCCCGCCCCGCAGCGGTGTCAGATAATGCAAGTACCCGAGCACTTCGCGGATCCGCAGCAGACCTATGAGAGTCCGAGAAAGCCTGTGCGGGTCAGCTTGAGGCGATTCTCGTCTATCACCAACACTCGGTACGTACCCATCAGAGAGCCGCTGGCCGCCGGCAGACGGCTGACGGTATTCCGTCTAGTCAGCTTCAGCTTTTGGCTGGGGATGTCTGTGCGAGTACACTACCTATGATTTCTCCCCCCCCCCTTCTCAACCAGTAACCAGCCGTGACTCAAACGGCAACTAAGGAAACGGGCAAAGCAAAACACACTACCGGCGTCTATCCGGAAAGTACATACCCCTCTTCGTTCCCTACACAGGTACATACAAGTTCCCTCGGAGCGTCCCCCTCCCCACCCTCCCACTCCACCCACTCCTACACGTCCTACGGGCATGTAAGGCTCCACCCCGTTTTCCGCTCGTGAGCATCGAGGCAGCAAGCAATTGCTGACCTCCCCTCCCCTCCTTTCCCCTCCCAAAGAGCCAAGAAATCCCTGAGTGGCATTTCGGCAGGTGGGAATCCGCTTATTTATGATAGATCAACCTTAAACTTGGGCTAATGCAAGCGGGCACCACCAAGTTGTGGTAACATTAACAGGACACCCTACTACTACTCTACTGGTGCAGTGGTGTTGCTCATGTATGTAGCGAGCGAGGCAACATCGGCACCAGTGTGGCGGGCCCGGAGGGTAATCTGAACTGAACTGAACGGCGAATCCTTCTCAGCTCGAACAAATATTTGCCGTCCGCCGTCGAAGCCCACCCAACATCCAACCACCACCACTACCACCACCACCACCACCACCACCACCACCACCACAACCACTATGTATTCGGGCCCCACGGTCGGGTACCTAACCAGATGTGGCAACGATGATGATGATGATGATGATGGTGATGACGATGACGATGGTGATGACGATGACGGTGGTGACGGTGATGATGCTGATGATGATGACTATGGCCGAAGCAAAAGCTTCGGGAGATGAATCAACGACCGACGGACGCCACGCCCCCGCGTCGTTCATACGAGCTCGGGAGTTTTCGGCCGGACAAATTCCGCCCATCGGAATGTTGCCGAGTGATGACCTGTGTCGTGGCAAGAATCGCCATCCAGAATGTACTCTACCCAGTTAGTTATCGTACGTGTTTGGGATTATTCCGGATGGTACATCACATAAACGTCTTTTTTTTTTATGAACGCGACGCAATTGATAGTAGGTATGATACATTGCTGACAGTCAGCGCCATGCAATCGATCAGGAAATCACCTATCGTTCGCTCAAGCAATCTTAAACCATGCAATTGAGCGGTGGCAAATGGTGACTTGAGATGTTTTTTCCCCCTGACACGGTGACACGACGTGAACCTCCATACATGTACATGTACATTCCTCTGGTGCGAAAAACATGCGAACGCGTACGTACCCTCGGGGGGGGGGGGGAACATGAGACAGGCAGCACCTATCGCTGCTCCGTACATGTAGCTATATGCAGATTACTACTTGAGTGCGTAAGTTTTCGAGGGCGTACGCCGTACTCTATGCCGTACGTGCGTGTGCGAGGTGTCGTGTGTCAGGCACTGGAGCACGGCATATCCGGTGGAGACGACCAGCACTCAATTCCGAATCCCAAGGTCGAACACTCACAGTCAGCAACGGATTTACATTCCTGAATCGTCTGCTGGGGGGTGAGACATTATTGAGAGATGGGGGTTTTGCTAGATGCTGCTTACCTATTCGGATCGGGGAAGGAGCATGCGGAATCACTCGACGAGGTATCCCTGTGTGTGAGTGGCAAGGCCCGGAGTCTTGAGATACCGCTCGCTCGCTCGCTACATATATCGTATTGTGCTATCGACTCACCCCCATTCCTGCCTTATACTACTGCCTCCTCGCCATGCGAGTTTTCGGCAGAAGTGACCCGGCGGTATGGGTGGGTGGGTGGTTGGGTGAGTGGGTCCCAAATTCCCACCGGCAATCATCATCATCATCACCATCCCGTTTGCAGTTTGCACTCGATCGTGAGGATGGTATACCGTATAGTATATACCGCACGCCTCTAACTAGGCTCTCCCGAAAAAGCCGCAGCCGCTTCAAACCGAGCGCCGAAACGGGACAATGGGGGGCAGTCTTCGGACTGCTTTGCGGTCTCGCACGCCTTGCGTATGATGTATACACGCACATAAGGGAGCTTTTGAAGAGCTGCGCGGCCAGGCCGGATTCGACGAGGACATTGGACTTTGAGCCAACGCTTCCCGCCGCTCACACTAAACCCAGGAAATTCAGGCCCAAAACCAGCGGATTTCCCTGTGACGTACATACGGTAGTCGTGAGATTGCCGTGTCACCCGGAGGGGGCGATTCCACCTATGTGATCATGTCCCTGGGTGCAGGAGTGGGACCTGAGGGGAGGGGAGGAAACGTAGGAGTCACAGATTGGCTACGGATGAACACTGCCAACTCTGACCCCCACCTATGTTTTTGTTTTCGTTCCATCATCCTGTAGGTATTCGACCGGGTCTGGTCATGGTAGGTTTTGAGTGCGTACACGGAGTCCGGCCCCACCGGTCACCGATGTGACTGGCCCCTCGAGTCCCGACGGGGACTTCTCCTCTCCCCACTACCGGTACCTATCCGGCAACGTGGATACAACCAGGAAAGGACAAACGAGATGGCGCTCGCATATTTCTCTTCCTAAGTAGGTAGTCTACCCGTCCTAGACGACTCGCGTACCTAACCCGCTTCACCCTACTCCTGCTCCTCCTCCACCTTCTCCTGCTCCTCATTACCGTTCTCCCTGGGTCCGATCCGATCCTGCCGACATCCATTGGTTCCCCAGGAAGTCCAGCACGGCTGGGTTGCATTTTCTTCGGCTAACTAAGGGCTTGGATACATACCGGTATCTGGACCTGCCCTTTCCGCTTCTCGATCTCCCACCGTTGCCGCCGCCGCGCGTACCGCAATAATCACTCGACTCGACTCGGAGAATCTCGCAGTAAAAGCGGCGTGGTTGGTTGGTGCGAATGAAACTTGCGAACTGATGGCACTTTTACTATACTATACGGGTTGTAGTTTCCGTCAGTTCCATTATGTAGATAATGATATGTGCCCGTGCCAGCACGCACTGGATGTTTCCATTGATAAAAAAACAAAAAACCTTGGTGGTGAGAAGCAGACGGACGATAACAAAAAACGAAACGGCCCCAGAAAAACACAACCTCCAGGTATCTGCCTTGCCTAATCAGAAAGATCGACCACCTCACCCCCCCTAAAGTTCCATTGACGAATATCCTTCCCCTCCTCCTGCTTGACCCGCTTCTCCTGCTTGATCGGAGTGTTTTGCTCCTCGCTCTGAACACTTGGTCAGCACAGCACGCTCTTTGCGCTGGGCTCTGATTGGAGGGAGACCTACCGCCATTTTCCGCTTAAGCTCCATGAGCAACTCCGCCCTGGTCATGTTCTCGAACCTGGAGGCCTCCGGGATCAACCCGATGCACTCCAGATTCGTCCTATTCGTGTACTTGAACGAAAACCTTGCGTACGGGTTAGCCAGCGTGTCCAGCCACGTGCCGTAGACCCCCGTCTTGCGCATAGTCGTGACCTTGTCGTCGAGGGCGACCACATGCGAGATCGACGAGCCCTTCAGCGACCTTTCGCTAAACGTCTCCGGCAGCAGCGGGGCTGTCCTCTGCCGATTGCTGGTGTCGCGCCGCTTGACGTCTTTCCGGCCGGGGATGGGGCCTCGAGGTTGTTGGGCGTCCCCGAAGCTAGCCACCGGTGGTGTGGCCAGCGGCTGCCAGCGGATCACCACCACCTCGATGGTGCCCAGCTTGCTCAGCGTCTCCGACGGGACGGACGTGCCCTCGTTCGGGTCCGGGCGTGGCCTTGTCAGCACCGTCCACCGCACGCACCGCTAGCCCGTCTCCGGGGGAATGATTGGACGGAAGCCAAAGCCAAGACAGCAGACTCACGCACGCACCAGACCGCACGAGCTCCTTAAACTTCCACTTGCGCATGTGGTAGACGTAGGTGCCATCGTCGAGTTTCTTCTTCTCGACGTTTCCTGCCAGGCGGACGCTGACGAGGTGTGGCGGGTTGTCTGCGTACATGCATTTCGACAGCCGCCGGCCCTGTAGCACCCCGTCGATGAAGGTGTACGCGTACAGCCGCGGCGAGATGTAGCGCAGCGACCACACCACGATCCGGAAGGGCTTGCCCGTCGCCGCTTCCACAAAGCATGTAGCCTGCTTTGGGACGCTGGAAGAGGCCCCATACTCGGGAGCTACTGCGTCGTCGATTAATAGCTTGCATTCGAGGTGCAGTTCGGGAATCGTGGGCATCGGGGGCGGTGGGGATGTAGGTGCGTGGATTGTTGCTCGTGTTAAGAAAGGTTGTCGTTGCTTTTTTTGCGAGAAAGTATATGTAGAGCGTGTATGTAGATGGATGGTTGGACAAGGAGACGGCTCAAGCTGGACGTATAGGTGGTGAGTTGTACAATACATACTTCAGTAACTCACGTGCTCGCGGCTCAGAATGATCACGACGACACTGGACCAGGTAAAAACTCAATCATCTATGGATGGATACAAACCATCAGCTCCTGCAGCGGGAATCCGGAACCCTTTCCTAAAATACACAAAAGTTGGCCCCCCTCGCATGATCCATCCCATTCTCATTGTAAATATGTAATTAGCCCCTTCGAAACAAAAACATTCCACCCACCATTGCAAGCAAAAAGGCTGAAACAGCAGGAACAAGCTCTGTCAGAGGGAGATCTTTACACCGCCAGATCGTCACGGTTTGTCCTGCCAACGGACCCAATAAACCCCCCGGTGACTCGCCCTCTCCACTGCTTCCTGTCTTCTTATCCAGCCACTTGTTGAAAACCGCATTCAGGTCCGCCCTCATGGCGCTCTCCATCAGATCTGGCAGGATAACCTGGTATTCGACAATTAGATCGCCGTATTTATCGTCCTCGTCCTTCCAGATGGGCATGCCCTCGCCCTTTATTCTCTCGACAAAGTTGGGCTGGATGGTCTCTCCCAACTTCCTTCCCAGTCTAACCAGATGTCCGTCGAGATGCGTGAGGTTTCTGGCCCAATCGCCGAGGAGAGCCTCCCGAAGACTGAGGGCTTCCTTCCAGTATAGGTCGACACCCTTCCGTCGGAACCACATGCCGTCGGTAGGGCCATGCGCCACCTCATCCACATTGTCTGGGTCCACCTTTCCGTCCGGATCCAGTTGATCGAGATGAACGCGGAGGTTACCCGCGATCCATTCAGGACTCTCGTCGGCTTCATTCTCGAAGACCACTGTCTCCCCCTTCGGCACACCCTTCTCCACGTCGAGCTCGAATGTAGCCTCCCCGCGCACCACCTTTTGGCCTTTGCACACCTTACAGGGGTGGCTGATGATCTGGCCCTGTCCGCCGCACTTATCGCACACGCTCTGCACGTGCTGGAACATTCCGGGGGCGAGCATATGTTTGACGATGCGCATTCCGCGGCCTCCGCACTCGTTGCACGACTCGGTATGTCCGTCCGTGCTCCCGCTTCCCTGACACTCATTGCATATGTGCTGCTTCTCGACAGAAAAGGTCTTTCGAGCGCCGGTGTAGAAGTCGCGCAGCGGCACGGCAATCTTGACGTCCTTGTCCCGGCCACGCTGCATTCCGCCGCCGTAGTGGCCGCCGCCAAAGAAGCGCGAGAAGAGATCGAAGGGATCGTGGTGTTGCTGGCGGCCGCCGCCCTGTTGGTGCTGTTTCAGACCCTCGGCGCCGTGGCGGTCATATAGCTTGCGGGTCTCGGCGTCCGATAACGTCTCGTAGGCCTCGGCTACTTCGCGGAACTTGTCGGTAGCTTCGGGCTTGTCGGGGTTCTTGTCGGGATGCCATTTCTTGGACAGCGTACGATATGCGCGCTTGATGTCTCTGTCGGAGGCCGATTTGTCGACTCCTAGTATCTGTTCGCGGTTAGCTTATCTGTGGATGTAGCAAGGCGACGGAGAAGAAGACGAAGAAGACGAGGCCCGTACTTTGTAGTAGTCTTGAGCGAAAACTAATGGTAGGATGCTCAGCACCATAATTAGAGTTCGAGAAAAGTTGAACCGCATTTTGGAAGAGTATTAGAGGTTGTGAACGCCGGCGAGGCAGTGGAGGAACCTTCAGTTGACAGAGTGAAGAAGCAAAAGTGACAGAGAGGGCGTGGGGTGAGGTTGTCGTGACAGACAGACACGCTTTCCGCACGCTCAGTTGAGAGGGTTGGGTCTGTATCGAATGCGGTTGGCGAGGTGGGACTGAAGGAGGAGAATAAAATGGTGTCCTTTGGCCGGTTTCCTTGTTGCCAGGTCAAACGCGCCGCAACGTTAAAGCAACCGTGTCCATGATGTTCGCTTGTGAAAACGCGCCCTTGCACACAACATCTTAACCACAAGCGCAAGGATACTCACTAATTATCGAGTGATCCCTCTGTTTTTTTTTGGTGGCTTGTAGCAACTGTGCTTTCTTTGATTCATCCATTTCGAAAGAAGGTTGTGTATGTATCGACATCCAGTGGAACGGACAAAGGTTTTTCCGCTCTCCGCTCTTTGTTCCGGTTCACCTAGGATCACTCGAGACGAAGCTGGATCCTTGAGGTCTACTGAAATTTGCCGCGTATTATTTACCTTGAGCACAGGACTTACTCACTTTCTTAAGTAGCCGGTAACTTAATGAAGGAACGCGGAAACGAACAAAGCAAAGCAATGACAACAGAATGATAGCCCGTGCTCCGCGCTTCCTTTTAGGCTTTTCTCAACCTTAATTCCACCACCCTAGTGCTCCCTTAGTGGTGGATCTGTTGCGGTAGACGGGTTCGAACAAGTGTAACCGCGAAGGGCTTGAAGAAACCACCGGAATGAGGTCTCGGGCAGTATATATGGCAAACGGACGAGAACCCATATGAAAAGCTTGTTCAGCAGCTACATGCAAGCTAACACCGATGGCGCCGGTCAAAGGGACTTGCTGGCGGATGACGAAGTCTCCTCATTGTCCTCGTCCGTGGCGCCTACCGGTCGTGACCGATGGGTAAGTTGCAGAAACTAGCGGTGTGATGGATATTCTTGGGAAAGAGGCCTCATCGCCCAAGTGGAATCGTCCGCTGCCAGTCGATTACAGTGTCGACAGCGTGTACGGGACCACTGAACACCAAAATGCCATCAGTTAAAGTCCACGCAGCGAAAGGTTGTAACTGAACCCACGAAAACCATGCTCACTAATAGTCTTACGGCCTCAGTACCCTCCGGCGGATTGACTGTCAAGGAATTCAGGGACTGCTACCCATAGCACTGCTGAAGGAGTCGGTGTCTAGCCATGCTGTCACTTATGAGTTTCAAGTGCCCACCTCGTTGATGGTAGAATACATTGTCTGCTCTTTTTCAGCTAGCCCCTCCTCCTCCAGAATAACCTCAGAACCTTTATACACTCACAAAACGTGGTAATCAACGTTGTAAGATACCATAATCAACTGTAGGTACAGTTTCCACTAGCTCCCGTAAAGAAACCGGCGTGATTGACCCGACCGTGGAGCCGAAACGGACAGCTAACTAGAGCGCTCGATCCGGAGCAGGTTGACGCAGTATGAAGAAACAAAATATATACCTATCTGAAGCGGGTTCGAAGAGTACAGAAGGCTACAAATGCCCTCCCAGCCTCGGCGGGGCACCGCATTAAACGACGTGGAATATCTTTAGAAAAAGTGGTTAGAGGCTGTAGTAGATCTTGCGATCTTGGTGCGAACGACACTAACTCACTGGCGGATATGTCCTCCCGAAGGAAGGCAAATCCAGAACCGAATCACCGATTCTAGAAAAATGCGGACAAGCGCACGACGACGACGACGACGACCCAGTTCTACATGACATACCGGCTCGATTCCGGAATCCGGACACGCCCTCGCTCGCCACTACCTGGAATAGACGATTAACCTACCAGACGACCCCGTTCTGGCTGCGAGACGGCGCGGCCAAACCCGGGAACACCCCTTCAGGCGTTATGATGCCTTGGTATCGATGCGTAAGGTGCTGTGGCAGAAGATCGAGCGCGAGATCGACAAGACCAGATTGCGAAATCGCACCAAGATCAGCAGTCTCTTCGCGGACGAGAGGTGTATGTCTCAGTTGCCCAGGCGAAGGGCGGGGAGGCGGATCGGTGCATCGAGCTGGTTATCTGGACCGTAGACAGGATGTTTTTTTTTGCTTATGTGTTGTTCCAGTGCAGCATATTCAGACCACGGCGGTGCGCACTATTCAGGTGTCCTGTCTACAGTCTTGTTGACTGGCTCAATGCAACAACCCATTTCCCCCGCTCTCCGCCTAGACACCAGAACAATGTATAGAACACCGAAGAGATTGCGTGATAATGACAGGATTAAGGAAGTCGGCCCAGCTACTCTTTACTCCCTCCCCACCAACGCCGACTCCTCCATCCGCTCCACCCGCTCCGTCTCCTCGGATCGGCCCGCCCTCCCCTGGTCCTCCTCCACTTCTGACAGCTCACTGACCGCCTCCTTAATATGGTCCGTCCGCCTTCCGGCTCGAAATCGTGCCCCAGCGTCTTCAGCTTCGCCCTCCAATGCAGCGATTGAAGAGATGTTCCGAGTTTGGGTGGCTTTGCAGCACCACCAGCACTGATCGTCTGGTCAACTCGGTTTCATATGCTGGCCCAACTTCGGTTGATAGAACCTCAAAACCGTACAATTCTCCGCTCTTGCTTGGGGTGCGATCCGGATTGTTCTCCGCCCTCATTGCTTCATATCAGCCATTCAGCTACCGCATCTCGTACCACGATCTCGTCTCTAGCTAGGTATAATACATACTTCTTGTTAAAGATGCCAACATCAGTAGCATTGTTCTCCGTCCATACCTACATACTTGTTGGCGTGCTTCGGCCATTCCCCTCGTGGTGATCATCCGGTAACTACTGCAGACAGGATACCCGGAGTTGTGCGTGCCCCGATCTAGATAGGTTGGATACACGGCGATGAAACAGAATGACTAAATCAATCCGGAGGAGGCTTCTTATCGGTACGACTGTGCAGTGGAGAGCTTTCGATCTCCGCCGAAAGCGCATGTCGACTCCGCGCGTCCGTCTGCCGGAGTATCAGGACGCCTGTCAACACACCAAAACACCAAAACACCGCCTGTGGGCCGGTTGCTGAAACCATTTTAGTCACCCTCTACAATTGGGGAAATTGTAGAGGGTCAATCGGTGTTTAGTTACTGTGTCATTGAGTTTTTTTTATGCTTGGAGGTGATGAGGTCTTCGAAAGCGGCTGCTTAGCACGATTTCGGTATGAGAACCAGCGACAGGCCGACAGGCTGAGCACTCAGCACATAAACCCCCACTACGGGCAAACCCGAGACAGTATGCAGAATTCTGAGAGTTTTATGTTGGATTCAAGTTGCGAAGAAGTATCACATCAATTCCTATTGTATGGTACCAATAGGAGATAGATTCCTCAACAGGCTCGCAGCCGACACGTACTTTCTCCGCTCGTCTAGTAGATCCCGATCTGCACACTGCAAGCCACGTCGATCCGGACGGCCAAGCTAGTTATTCGCTTGTGCCGAAACCCATGGACCGAACCGGCACCTGGAGAAGAGGTACACTACTCTACAATCGCAGTATTCGTCCGATTGCCATCGTGGCAGGCGTCGGATGCCCGGTTCACGATCGGCAGCGAGGTAGCCCTACAGATATACTTATCCGGAGCTACTGACGTCACGTTCGAGTGAGTGAGGGGGTGAGTGTTGACGCATGGGGGATACGCTGCCGGTGTGAGTGGTGGTTTAAATACCGTGGATGTCTCACCTAAGCGGAGTCGACGGACAGTGGAACTATCCTCCACCATGCATTGGCACGCATTTCGTCATGGAGAGATTCTTCACTTCCAGCCGTGTCGTATGTACCTTGATTGTTGTCGCTTTACGTGCTTCAGAGCAGCGAGCTCCGACGTTGGAATGATTTAAAGACTTCGGACTCGCTCTGGGATGCTCTCCAACATCACCATCAGACGACATCATCGACGCAGACATCATGAAGAACCACAAGATGCTACTTCCGCTGGCCAAGAGCAGCGGATCCGAACAACAGCGCGGGACCTTCCATGACAATCATGGCCATCTCCCTGGCAACGGCTTCAAGAATCGTAGGTTCCGAGATCGCTGGGTGCTGTATCTGCTATGTACTCGGACAATACTGAACTGTTTTCTCAGATCTTGTTGCGGCGGCTGGAGAGTTTGTCGGTTGGTTCCAATGATTCACGCCTGCAACCGTGGAGCTGTCAGTTAACACACATTCCCAGGAACGTTTTTCTTCCTCTTCATGGCATTCGGTAAGTCACCATTCATCGGCCGCAAGAGAGAATGTGCATCTCGGAGCCATATCGCGCAATACTGACCGCATCCCAGCCGGAACCTCCGTGGCCAATATCCCGAGCCCTCCCCAGAGCGACACGACCCGCACGGATCCCGAACAGCTGATGTACATTGCGCTCTCGTTCGGCTTCTCGCTATGCATCAACGTATGGATCTTTTTCCGGATCTCGGGGGGCCTCTTCAACCCGGTGGTAACATTGGGGCTGCTCCTGATCGGTGCCTTGAGCGGCACTCGGGCGGCGGTTATCTTCCTAGCTCAAATAGTCGCGAGCATAGTTTCCGCCGTGGCGGTCAACGGACTGTTCCCGACGCCGCTGGCGGTGTCAACAAGTCTGGGAGTGGGCACGACACTTGCGCAGGGCGTCTTCATCGAGGCGTTCCTGACGTTCGAGCTGGTCTTTTGCATCTTCATGCTGGCGGCGGAAAAGCACAAAGCCACGTTCCTGGCACCGATTGGTATAGGACTCGCACTGTTCGTTGCTGAATTGGCAGGCGTGTATTATACCGGAGGCTCGCTCAATCCTGCCAGATCCTTTGGTCCCGCTGTGGCCGCCCGCAGCTTCCCAAAGGAACATTGGATATATTGGGTTGGCCCTGCCCTGGGTGCACTTGCAGCTGTCGGCTTCTATAAGTTCGTTAAGAAGCTGGGTTATGAGGAGGCGAATCCGGGGCAGGATAGGGATCCGGAGGAGACTGTGGTGACCGTGAGGAATGCTACCTCTGGTAAGTGCTCGGATCGTTTGATGATGACCGATTTGGTACTGACTAACGCAACAAAGAACCTGCCGGACAGAACGGCAGACTGTCCGGAACGACGACCGACGGCGACGTGGTGGTGGAGGTGGATCCTGCCGGTGGGATCCCGCGCGTTCTGTGCGGGTCCATGGAAGAAGAGAAGACTTGAATGATACGACGGTATGGCGATAGTCACGATACCGGGCGATGGAAAAATGGGGGCGTTTTTGTTCTTGTTATTTGGGGAAAGAGGAGGAGGACCATATGTACATTACAGTAGTTGGGGGATTGGGTCATTGCTGCTTGTGTCTTGATCAGAATTTTAGTTTGAGATCCCATGATGGTACCGCCGTCGGAGCACCTACAGCAAAGAACGTCCAGCGGGGGGAGAGCAGAACCACTGCACTGGGTATCTATTCGCGGTCATAGCGATGCACTCGCCCACAGAGTCTCGCGCCGAGCTGCGCCGAATTTTGCCCGATGATGAACGGACGCAGCCTTAACGAAAGGCCCACCGCCCGCATCACCTCGGGATACCGAGCCCCGATTTTCATGACACATGTACTTATTCAATCTCGTAGATACCTAGGTACCTAGTCTACCTACCCCCCCTACCTACCCCGGCGCCACTCTTGCGAGACATCGTATGTCTCACTGCCACTGCCACTGCCACTGCCACGCAAGGCATACTTTTCGATGTCCGTGGCTAGCAACAGTTTGAAGTTTAGCCGGGGCTATTCTACACTTATCAATGGTATCCGTCCGTCCGTAACTATCTCATTGCCACCCATCGTTGTTAGACCTACCACAGGCTTCTCGCTACCGTCTCCGGTACTCTAGGTAGGTATCTTACCTTGGTGACTACCTAGATGGGGCCAATACCCAGACATCTCGCTCACATGTCGAGATCCCGTAAGGTAGTCCAGCGTATTATGTGCAGCCATGTATGCATCCTAGAGGTGAGCGAGCGAGACGTATGTATAGTATTAGTACGTATGATAGTACCGTTTGTACCGAATACTCACCCACCATCACTCGACATTCTGGACCGGATATGCGTTTGCGTCCGAGTGTACATCCGGAACCAGCAGCTAACTGCCTAACTATACGTATTGCTTTTTGTCTGGTGAAAGAATACATACTCCACACACTCTACATACATGTGTACATGTGTACATACATGATACATCTAGACCACACGTCTTTCGCCCGGACCCTCAGCGAGGCTCAGCCCTCCATGCACATCGCCGTTCTCCGGCTATCCTCCTTCCCGATTCCACAGTGCACACACGTTTCTTTTCTTTTCTTTTCTTTCCTTTTCTTTTCTTGTCTTTGCTTTTCTTTGCTTTGCTTTTTGACGGACGGAAGTCACTGCCAGCCGACACTGCATACATACATGCGTGTTGTCGTCGGGGCATGGCATCGATCAGAGCGTCTATATCGGCTTGGAGTTGGGGGAGGGGGGGAAGCGAGCAAGGCAGACTCGGACGCAGACTCCTGAGGTTGGCGACGGACACCGGACGGATCTGGATGCAAGTTGGCGGAAACATCGACATCGACATAGGTAGTTGCCCCACGGCTGGGCTGGAGGCGCTGCGGAGTAGGTAGTCCGGTAGGTACCGTCAAGTTGGAATTGTATTTACGTCGCCAATGAAGATTGGCTGGTGGAGCCTACGTAGGCTTCGGTTATCTGCCGTCTCCGGGAGTCCATGGTGGCTGTCAGCTGCTTGACTGGGGTGCAGCAGCATCGTGGGAGACGGGTGGCTTCCATCATCTAGAGACTAGAGGAGGTATGTGGGTGGCCAATTGCGATCCCGTAGGTCCGGGATATCCGCATGATTCGCGGGATACATATCCACCTGGACGGCATAGCTGTTGGAATATCATACGCTACATACTTGAAGTGGATACGGAACTGGTGGGGTGGGGTGGGGGATGTCTCTGTTGGTTGGGTCGAGCTACATTGAAGTTTCTTCTTCTTCTTCTTTGGATTGTTGATATGTAGAGACAACCACCAACTACCTACTCACGCATGCGTGCGTGAGGTACGGTGGGGGCATATTCCTTCCTTCAGCTGAAGCCCGATGCATACGGGATGGACTATGCCATCCAACTGCCGCGTCATTGGAGCCATTGGAAACGAGTGGGCTGTCGACAGCGGGGGTGTTGCGGGCGGCGGTACTGAGCATATTATGCCGATCGTGCGGGAGACTTTCCTTTGGTGGTGGTGGTTCGGAATGTCAGGCTATCCAGCAGCCCGAACATGTGCGCCGTACCTGCCTCTCCTCTGTTCTGGGAGCGGATCAGCGTGCGTAGGCTTGAGTTCCGCATGGCTCCCAATGCGTTTCCCGGGCAACATAACCCCCGCATTCCAACATTCCCAAATTCTCCATCCGCGAAGCTTAGCCGTTGCGAGGTCGGGCTATGAAGTTTGAAATCGAGCCGTAGTTACCCTTGCGACAGTTTGCGCGCCATCGAGCATGCAGTCACCAGTGCGTTTTTTTCTTTTTCTAGCCGGGAGCGTCGCTACTCGTATGTTGTAACCGACTCGAGCCAAGCCGACATCTGGAGAGACTCTTGTCTCACGATTCAAGAGTAGAGCAGCTCTTGGTAAGTATTCATGATTCGTCCTACGGGAGGCTAGAGTGGAGTAGTGGGCACATCACCAGCGTCGATCGCACAGCAGTGTCTGTTTTTGCAGGTTCCCCTCCCCTCCCCTCCCCTCCCCTCCCCTCCTCCTCCCCTCCTCCTCCAACTCTCCTGCATGCGCTGAACCGCTGCACCGCTGCTGCTGGCTTTACGCCCCGTTGTTCGAAATAGAATTCGGGGCAAAGTGCGATTCCCAGCTGTCCCAGTGTCCAAAGTGCACATATCGACTGCAGTGCAACAGCCCATGCACGATAGGAGAGACTCGACTTATAGACGTGGTTGGCGAGTTCACATCGAGAGCTGCATATTCGCGGGTTATCGACTGCTGCCAGATTCGCCAATGGCGCGACTTGTAGCTTGGATGTAGATACTGCTAGAATAGTAGCGTGGGTCGCACCGCACCACCTTGGCCCGGATGCAGTCCGAAGCGCAACGTTGGAGGATATCGCCGAGACAATCCCTTTTGAACACTTGCAGTCCTCTGAATCACCCAGCAAAGCCTGGCCTTCGATAAGACTGGCGCGGGTTGGGGCCGCACATTCGCACTCTGCTCTGGTCCGTGAGGGGCGGGCTGCTTGCGAGCGTTGTCGTTGATAACCTCGCGGCCGGTGACGGAAGGAGTGGAAACTCTCCACTGGTCAGGACTCAAGAGCAGCCGAGAATGATCTGCTGTGTCTTCAACAAAACTACCTTCGCACGGATTTCGGTCGGCGTGTTACGCGACTCAATGGGTGAATGCGCCGAGAAAGAAAGAAAGATCGCCAGGAATCAGCTGCAAATTGGAACATGGCAATCAGATCAGGGGAAAGAACAGCACACCTGAAGCTCGTGGCGGGGTAAAGGTTAACTACCAACTAGTAGGTCGGACCAACTAGTGCTGCGAGGTGGTGTTCTGGCATGACTATTCGCGTGCTTCCGTCATGGGTCGCTCGGTGGGTTGGTCCGTGGTGTCTTGCTGTCCGGAGGAGGTTGTGGTTAGGGTGCTCGGTGTAGTTACATGTGGTGGTGCAGAGCTGCAGTCCATGGAGAACATTCACCCACTCTTGGTTGTGGAACCCGAATTTCATCCTGTAACTACCCAAGCTATCGAAACGAGCTTCGTGATATCAAGCGCAATCAATGCATGGCACCGGCAGCCAATCGATGTGCCAATCGATGTGCCTGTCCCTACATACGATGCACAAATCATACATCTCTAGAGCCCATCTTCTCCCTTGCCCTGAATTCTATATATTCTCCCTCATCCTCTTGTTTTGATCATCCCCAGCATCCACTTTCTCCCTCCCTTTTTCTCTACCGCTTCTACATAACCACACAACTCTTCACTACCGCCAATCGATATGCCTATCCCAACAGAGTCCGTTGGATCTCTTCCGAGACCTGCCAAACTCCAGGAAGCGTACGCCAACTACGATGCAGGCAAGGTATGCAAATAGACGGTTTTGGTCGTGAACCCTCAATTACTGACCGTGATGTATTAGATCACCAGAGAGGAGTTTGAGAAGGCTCAAGACGAGGCCTGCAAAGACTCGATCGAGCGTATGGAAGCCACCGGCCAGTGGTGTGTGACCGACGGCGAGAACCGTGCCAGTTCCTTTGCGACCTACCCGATCACGGATACTCTGAACGGCACCGGCCTTGCCGACAGCCTCCTGCCGGACGGGCAATACTTGTGAATTATCATTCTCTTCCGGCATATCACCTTACCATACTAACATCGTATCAGTGCTATCTTTGACGACGGGTTACTACTCCCACTGCTGAGTAGCTCGAGTGTTTAGCTAACACCTGGGTGCAGACATCACCGACAGCTTCCCCGGCTCGTCAAGGGCCCGTTCAGATACAAGACGTACGCGGCAGACTACTTTAACAAGTCCAAGAAGTTTGCAACCAAGCCTCAGAAGGCGGCCGTCATTGCTCCTTCCATGCTCTACCTTCTTTACCCCCTCGAGGAAGAGATCAAGGGCTATTCCAAGGAGGAATTCGTCAAGGATCTCGTCGACGAGTGCGAGAAAGATATCCGAAAGTGCTTCGAGGCCGGAGCTGTCCGTGTCTCGATCGACTTTACGGAGGGTATGTTTGGCAGCACTCCTTTTTTCCTTCTGATTTTTGCTGAAGAATATAGGCCGCCTTGCTTGCAAGAATGATCCTCGAAACCCATGGACCGGAAGGCACATGCTCCAGACGTTTATCGATCTCAACAACAAGGTTCTCGACCGTTTCAGCGCCGCGGAGAGAAAGAACATTGGCATCCACACCTGCCCTGGCGGAGACTGTGACTCGGTCCACAGCAAGGATGTCGACTACAGCGAGCTGTGAGTGGCTTCCGTGCATTGCCTTCCTCCGGGAGACGCTCGACCGATGGCTCATCGTGCAGCCTCCCAAGCATGTTCCAGATGAACGCCGGATACTTCCTGATCCAGCTCTCGACGGAAGCCGACAAGCCCCGCATCTACGAGCTCTGCGGCAAGCATTCCCGAGCAGATGCCGATGGAGTCGCACAGGTAAGATTATTTCCTTTCCCCCGCACAGTACATTAGTATGCACGGAGAAACACAGCTCGACCGGAGCTAAATCTTCTGTGGATAGGTCTGCTTCATCGGCGTGATCGACCCGCTCAGTCCCCGCGTGGAAACACCAGAAGAGGTCCGCGATGCCCTGCTCGAGGCTGCCAAATACATTCCCGTCGAGCGGTTGGGTGCCACCGACGACTGCGGCTTCAGTCCGTTCAGCATCGACATCAAGCCCAAGCACGCGGGCCCCGACGAGGCCCGTCTAGTTGCATTCCAAAAGATTGCGGCCAGAATCAAGGGCGTCGAGCTGGCCAGTGCAGCGTTGGGTGTTTAGGAACGGAAGGACGGGGGGTTTCATGGCTACTTTTTTGTTCCTTCTTTTCTTTTTTTGCTTGGGTTGTTTCTTCGTCCGTAACTGTGATCATAACTTCGGTAGTAACAAGTATTATGCACGCCCCCGATCCTGTCATATTTTCACTCTTTCACTCTTCCACGCCCAGGGCCACGCGAATTTATTCATCCGCCGTAGTCGAAAATCCACGGCGCATAAAAATGCCGCTAGATTCTCCACGTATAGTACTGCATAATGATGCCATCCGCGCACACAGTGCACACACACAGTCTCTCTCGTATGCATCCAGCCGCTCGAATCCGTCGGCGTGCAGGCGCCGGGCTCGATCCGATCGCCCACCAGCCAGCCAACCAGCCAACCAGCCAGCGAAAGCGAAAGCGGAGAGGAAGAGGCAACAGCCAAGAGGCAGGAGGCAGGAGGCAGGAGGCAAGGCGATCCGGGATAAAGTGAAAATGTGAAGTGCACTTTTGGCCCTTGGGGGCAGATATTTGGGGGCAGATATCATGCGTGAGTAACTGTCGTTCCCGAGATGCGGTTGGTACGATACCGTACGTCCGACACTATCGTATCTGCTATGGGTTAGAGTACTCTGCTTAAGCGAAAGATGGGGCGGGAGAGGGGCGGGAAGGAGGGGGGACAAGGAGGGGAGGAGGGGGGGCGGGGGGCGGGGCATGGGGGATCACTCGACTTGGTGGGGATGTGGGGTTGTTTTATGTGGTTGTGAGGGGGGCACTGGGACCGGAAACGGAAGTACTCTACCGGTCTACGCTGTCATAGTCTCATAGTCTCATGGTTATACCTAGACTGGGTTCGGATACTACTTAATTATACCAGGTGAGTATGCTCAAATATAACTGAACAGAACTGAACAGAGCAGAACAAAAAACGGCGAGGCTTGCACAGTTGCACTCCGCCAAAGTTCAACATTCAAACAGCGGTTCGAACTTCGGATGCTGATAGTTACTACGTATACTCTGCCTACAGTACTTCTGACTTCCGAGCAACCGTTACTGTAACTATACCCCGTATACTACGGTAGGTATAGTACGCATGTGTCTCTCGATTCTTGATTGACCTGGAGGCTGGACCTGGAGGAGTGGGCTGATGTCCCGCTGTTGCAGACTTACAGACTTGCAATTCCAACTTCCCCCACACCCCAGGTCCACAGCGTCGGTGTTGGTATTGGTGTTGGTTGAATTGGTTGAGTCTCGATCCGGACTCCGGAGGGGTGGCTGACTACTACATGCTTCCCATACTACTACCCAAGGTATGCATATATAGATACCTAACTGCTGGACTAACTACCTAGTTGGCGGGCCACGATGCGGGACTCTGGAGACACCGACGCTACATATTACTAGTATATATAGAGTAAAGGAGCTGAACGGTCATATGCAGGATGATGGGAGTGGCGGGCGGGCGGGGTGGTCTGGTGTTTGATGTCTGATGTCTTGATGAGGCGGCATGATAGTTACAATTGTTTCGCCGTCCTGTAGAGTAGATGATATTCGGTCGTGGCGTGATGCTGGGTGTTTTTTGTTTTTGTTAACTGTTAGGTAGGCGTTGGTGGCTTGCGGTACATCTACTATGTATGATACATAGATCGTGGTGGCACGTGGCTTGATTGTAGCAAGACAACATAGCATATCATAGAATAGAATGGAATAGTTACAGGTAATTGTTGAAACTTGATAGAAGACTTAACTTGATTTTGTTGGATGAGATACCTAGATGAGAAGAGAGACTGCTTTTAATGGGAAAAAAAGAGATCGTGTAAACATTGAACAAATAATGACGCTTCAGACTTCAGACAAAGAATGCTGCGATCCCTGAACAGTCTGACAATGCCAGGGAGTCAGGGACTGGAGTGCTGCTACAGAGACGATGCCAGGGACTGGGAGTGCTGCTACAGCGACAATGTCAGGGACTGAGAGTGCTGCTATAGTAGAGAAGCGATAATTCCAGGGACAATGTCAAGAACCGTGACTAAATACTTATGTACATTGTAGGCAAGTAGACGCTTAATAACGGACAGTACCTAACAATACCTCGAAGGGCGAGCGAGATTCTATGATTATACGGTAGAGTTGGTTTGGCTGGTTGGATTGAGCTGATTGGATTGGGCTGGTTGACTGGCAACTACAGCTGGTATATAAATTATTCATAGCAATGTGGGCCAGGAGAAATAATAAACGTAGGGTTTGATCGAGTGCCTAAATACCTACCTATCTAGGTAGCCAGCGGGCAAGAGCAGAGAGAGGGAATTTTGGCAAATAAGCCGTCCGGTAGAGGGTTCCGACCGAGCACCTTGCCTGACAGTCTGAGGCCTTTGGGTTTCTTCTCTACTTGTTTTATTATTTATATTCTCGGATATTTCCGATCTAGATGGTTACGATTGGTGGGCCAAAAGCTCACTCGATTCATATTCCTTAGTACTTACCCTTCTCCCTGTGGGATGGTGGGACGGTGGGACGGTAGGACCCGCAATGATTCTCAGAAATTCCTAGCAAGCAGACCGGCCACCGGCGCACAACACTGCTCGGTATTTCGATTTACAAGAAAATGACTTTGGGCAGCAAAGAACTGGCAGTCAGCACACCATGAAGCGCTCCAACGGAGTAGAAAAGCACACCGAACTTTGGGGATATGGGAGTAGGTACCTATGGCACTGGCTGACTGGTAACCAAATCTTAAGAGCATCGCCATCGACAAGTACATACAACCGCCTGTTCTTTTGGTCCAAGGACGAAATTCAGCCATGTTTTGGTCGGGAGTTTTCGGTTGTCACTGCTTGGGTAGGTTGGATCAAGCCTCACTGGTCCTAATTCCCGTACGGGTGGAGAAGCTGTGGCAGCACTGCACAGAGAACTTGCATGTTGTCTAGGCTACCTAGGTAAACACTGGAGAGCTCCCTAGGAGTCAAGTACCTAGATTGTTCGAACTTCGAACTACCTCTGCCTTTATCCGCGTCAAATACCTACATTGTTTCATCACAACCAGCAGCAAGATATTCTCTCTCAGCTCCATCCAATACCTAGCATACAGCTTTCCCTTAGTTATGGTCCAGTTCCCGGTCCCTGTATCTACTCTCCAAGGAAGTGCTTTATTCACAACGCGTCACTCGCATTTTAGAAATCCTACATTGGGATATAGGGAACGACGAAATGGAAAGCCCGGCTATCTTGGCCTCCTACGCAGCGTTTTGTAGAGAGGGGGGACGGAGATAGCAGTGGAGAGGTGCGCAGTGGCAAGGTTGGGGGAGGGGGGAGGGGGGAGGGGGGGGGGAAGTGGTAACCCGGTGTATATACAGCTTTCTTTGGCGCGCCCCTCTCTTTCTTTAGTGCGTATGTAGCGATCAGTGGAAAACTACTGTCGTGAAATCATTACGGAAGACGGAGCTTTATTCCCGAAACAGAAGCTCCCAAACAACTGCAACTGCAGCTGCACGCATAGATACATTATCTCGCAAAGTCTCCGTCGCAATGCCTGTCACATAAACCGCACTCTATTTCTACTCAGGATTGCAGCTACAATAATTGTGGGGTGATCCCCAGGTACCTATTCGAACCTTGTTGGTCTGCTTCCTCTTGACTCTCAAGCTCTCCACAACCAGCAACGATTACAACTATGGACCGCCCACCAGCTTCAATCCTCATCATCGGCTCCGGCGAATTTGGGCGTGCGTTTCCCCATCCCTCCGCATACCAGGTAACCAGCTAACAGCGTCGAGTAAAGTAACTACCGCTCTCTCGCTCGCCCTGCGCCCCACCTTCTCTTCCACGACCATCACACTACTCGACCGGCTCCCCTTCCCCGCCGCCGACGGCAGCAGCATCGACTCCTCGCGCATTGTGCGCCCGGACTACAGCGACGCAGCGTACGCGCGGCTGTGCCACGAGGCCCAGACCATCTGGCGGGGCGCAGACGCAACGCACCCGTTGCACGGCATTGGCGCAGATGGGCGGTATACCGAGACGGGGCTCGTCCTTACCGCTGAAGAAGGGGGGATGGCCTATGTAGACGCCTCGTATGCGACCGTGGCGAAGCTCTTGCCTGAGCTGGGCGTCAAGTGTGAACTGGAATTGTTGGAGACGAGGGAGGATGTGGGAAGGGTTTGCAGGACCGGGGGTGGTGCGTTGGGTGTACGTGGATATGCGAATTGGACTTCGGGATGGGCGGATGCGGAGGGGGCGGTCAGGTTTTTGAGGGCTGCGGTGGAGAAGACGGGGAGGGTCACGTTTGGCACGGGAGAGGTGGTGGGGTTGGTGGAAGAGGGGGGGAAGGTGGTGGGGGTGAGATTGAAGGGCGGGGTGGAGTTTAGGGCGGAGCTGACGGTGCTTGCGACTGGAGCCTGGACACCGGGGTTGGTGGATCTGAGCGGACGCAGTGTGGCTACGGGACAGGTACTCGGGTATCTTCCGCTGTCGACCGAGGAATGGGAGAGCGTCAAGGAAATGCCGGTGGTCTTCAACCTCTCCACGGGTGACTCCTGCCTTACACCTCCACCAGTTTTCCATCCCTCGCTGACGGACGAAAGGAATCTTCGTGATCCCGCAGCACACTGACCATGTCCTCAAGATTGCCCGCCACGCCTCGGGCTATCTTAACCCCACCACCATCACGGATGCTACCACGGGCACCACCCGCATCGTCTCGACACCGCGTACGGTGGTGACCGATCCGGGCCTCGAGGCACCAGCCGAGGCCAAGGCCGCTTTCTCTGCCACACTGTCCTCCCTCGTCCCGCAATTTAGCGGCAAGCAACTGTCGAGCACTCGGCTCTGCTGGTACAATGATACGTATTTGCCCCAATCCCCAATCCCAATCCCGTCTCTCCCACCTGCCGCCTCCCACTGACTCCCCAGTGCCACGGGCGACTTCATCGTAGCGTACCACCCGACCAAGGCTGGCCTGTTTCTAGCCACAGGCGGAAGCGGGCACGCCTTCAAGTTCCTTCCCGTCATTGGCGGGCACATCGTCGACATACTGGAGCGCAAGGCGGACGCACGGTTTGCGAGCAAGTGGGGGTGGCCAAGTGGAGCGGTCGAGGTTGTGACGCGCGACGGGAGTAGGGGGGATGGGGGAGTGCAGATGGTGCTCGAGCTGGCGGATTAGTTAGTCCGACAGGACAGGACAACACAGAGATTCCCATGTAGAGATGAGTGGCATCATGTGTGATACATAGATAACACCTAGGTAGCTACATACCATCCCACTGCGTACTCATGTATGTATGTACCGTCCTACATATCGCCGATGATGCGCGGTGTATGTACATACCGGTAGCGTGGATTCGTGGTCATTCGAGGCCGACCCGAGGTATGTACATGGACCTATGTACCTAAGGTACCTCATATGTAATCGATTTGGCCGACGACGCAGCAACGAATGCATGGAACTAGAGTGTTCAGAGGAAGAGGGTTCACAGACAAAAGATGGCGGATGTCGTCTTGTATTTATAGCCCGGACAGCGTGGCTAGCACGCTGCACGCAGCACGGCCGCACGCCGCACGGTCGGTGGACGGTGGGAGCTTGCTGCAAGCCTGCAACAGCCTACAGGTGCATACCGGCCGTGCCCGCCCGCATGATGAGAAGTGGGTACAGGAAGGGCGAGTGATTGCGAACGAAGGGTGTTGTGGTATTGGGGAGTACGTCTTCACTCCCCACCGTAAGCGGGTGAACACAGCAGCAGCAGTATCTAGCCGGCCGTTGAAGCCACGAGTGACGAATCCCGATCCCTGCGCCGCTCCGCACGAACCCCACGAACCTCACGAACGCCGTGGATCCTGCGGCGCATGCCCGGAAAGTCACTGCACAGTGCACACATTCTCTCCACAGCGGTCCTCCCCCTCCCTAGCGAACGGGGGGGGCGGGGACGGGCGGGGAGTGCAGCGGCGAGGAATTCCTGTGCCCGCCACCGGCCGAGCAGCCTCTCCCGAGCCCGAGTGCCTCCGAGAGCCCGCCAGATATGTACCGGTAGTTACGGTATGTAGTCGCGGTGCCCGACGCTCGCTCCCCGCCGCCGCCCGCGTGGCAGTCTCGACTCTCGCTTAATACGGTAATCGCGATAACGACAGTCGTCGGGCGGGGGACCAATGGGAAATGGGAGGGGAGTTGAGGATATCAATGGTTTCGTCTGCTCTACGGTATCTCGTATTTGACATTGTACGTAGCTACTCGCTGCTCGGTGCTATGGTACCTAGAGCAGGGTGAGCCTTGATGCTGGAGGGCGGATGTGCGGATGGATGTGCGGATTGCAGATGGACGTGCGGAAAGATGTGCGGATGGACGTGCGGATGGATCATCATGGACGTGCGGATACGCAACACCTATGAAACTACCATACCGACTGGAACAACACAGCGTGCCCAAATAGCATGGGATAGATCTCTACCTATCCACCTTTCCAGCTATGTACTGTATCTAGAGTAGTGCTCAATCAAATCGATGAGATGTCCATCTCCGTCGCCCACCGCCCCCTGTCGCCGCAGAGCGCCAAACGCCAACGGCGATGGCTTCGGCGTGGGGCAAGATGTTTCCAGAATCCTTTGCATGTTCCGTGCTAAGGGAGATATGCATACTCTACACACTCTACATACCGTACTCTACATACCGTACTCTACATATGCACAGATATGTAACATTACACGCACCGCACACGACACGACACGACGGATGTGGTTCTTCTTCTTCTTCTAGAATTGCGGGCTCGTGCATCACGGGTCCACACAAACGGCGGGATATGTATTATGTAGATGCCTAGATGGAATTGGTAATTGTGAGGTCGAGGCCAATTCGTGCGTCGGCAACGCAAACTCGCGACTCACGAGGCAACAGTCTGCAGCTGATCGCGAAATGCCGAAAAATAATTATCGTGCACACATCAAATCATAATCAATTCCAAGCATCAAGCACATCAAGCACCAACCCTTAACTCTCGAGTGATAGAATTCCCGTCTCTCCGAGTTCCAAGTTCCGACTCCCGAGCACACTTCCGCCATCCGCACCTAAAAATACATCTCAATCCGTTCCACTTCCGCTCTCATCTTTTGTCCAAACTCCAGATCTATCGTAAATCACCCCGCGCAACGCACGCAAAAGACCGACCGACAACCATCCCCCCACCCCCCACCTTCCCCCTCCCACATCCGATCCATCAATAAAGACGACCGAAAGTGTAAAAAAAATCTGATCAGTATCTGTGGCAGCCCAGCTTCTCGGCTGGGGTTTCAACGTCCACATACAACTGTCATCCATCATCCATCCATCGGGTCATTGCATCCCACACAGTAATCAAAAACTGCCACCAACAAGTAGAGAAGAAAAGAAAAAACGCCTGAAATACCCAGCTTAAAACAAAAAAACAATAGGAAAGGAGTAGATAAAAACGAACAGAGCGAAACAGAAGAGTGGCGATAGACGATTACAGCAGATTTCTATCCCCACCGGACCAATATGATAAAGCGGCAAGGTGACGGTGCACTGTTGAGAAGTGAAGAAAGGTCAATTGCGAAAAACACGAAAAAGCGGGATCGAAGGTTTTATCCTTGTAATCGATCAAAAGTCCAACATATCATCCAGTTCGTCGAGCTCTACGCTCTCGGGACTTCCAAGGTGTCTTTCTAACTCTCCGCTCCAGCTGTAAAGATCGACTTTCTCCGAGAAAGAAGACATCATGTGGTGGTGGGGGTGATGAGGAATCTTGCTAGGAGTCTTCTCGACATCCTCACGCTTGCTGGAGTCCTCGTTGGTGGGTGCAAGTGCGGGGCTGTTGAATGCGCCCTCGCTGTTGGAGGTCGGGTAGCCAAGTAACGTTGCGGTGGCCTCCTCGTAGGTGCGCTCGTCTTGTGCGACAACTTCTGATTCGAATTCCTCTCTGGTGCGCTTGGAAGCGTGCCTACTGCTGTCGTTGTCGCGCGATGTCGATCGGCGCTCAATGAAGATGGCCGATTGACTGAACTCGCGCTCGTCGCCTTCCAGTGGTGGGGAGGCGAGGTGATTCTTGTGGCTGAGCGAGGAAGACGCCTGATTCCTCTGGCCAGAAATCATGCTGGCGGACGTGGATGCGAGGCTGCCGGTGTCGGTGGAGTCGCCGTCGTCGAGTTCGTGCGATGAGAGGTCGACCTCGGGACTGGGCGACAATTCCGACCGTCTGCGCATTTCCTCTTCTTCCTCATCCGAGAGGGCTGGCGAGACCACGCTACGGCGGCTGGAAGGCAAGTCGTTCTCGTGCTGAGGGATCGGTTGATGGGGGCACATGGTGAGGTAGAAGTAGATGCGCCGAGGATGGGTGGTAATCAATTCCTTCTTCAGTAGGCATGGCGACGACGGAGTGAACCCTCGTTTCAGGTATGCGTTGAGGCGCGACGAGATGATTGCGGTGGGATTGGCCGAACTATAGCGAGGTAACGCATGTGTCAGCTTGCTTGCATCATAACCGAGATAAAGAGTGAGAGCGGGATGTGCGCGGCGCGACTGTGCACACGGGGGGACTGAGAGCGGACGGGGGGGTGGTCTTACTTTTCAACAAGGTTGACGATCGGGGCCAGCGAAATGGCCAATTCCTTCACGGTGTGCGGTCGGTTTCCGGTTTGCTCCAAAACCTTTGCGACTCCAGACACAATCTCATCGTTGATGTCGGCATGATTTATTTTACTCTCTGGCGGCGGGGACGGCGGCGGGGTGGGGTCGTAGCGGCCATGCTTGTGCGCCACAGTTATTGTGGGGGAATAATCTCGTTTTGTTCTTTTATGAGGAGAGTGTTCGGCCTTCGCTGAAGCGGGAGGCGCCTGTTGCGATCGCGAGCTGTGTGGCAAGTGAATTCCGAGCGACGGCAGAGAGAGCGACTTTCGACGAGTATTGTATGGCATTTGGTTTTGTTTTGTTTGAGATTCGCAGAAAAGCACAATGGTCTTTTTTATTGAGCGGGTGGCGGGGGACAGATGATTTTCTTTGTAGGAGCGTGTACGAGATCGCCACCAAAACCAGACGAGTAAGTAAGATAAATAAGATGAATAAGATATGAAGGTTGTATGGAGGAAGAAGAGGGAGAGGGAGGGAGAGGAGGGAGGAGGAGGGGAGGAGGGGAGGAGGAGGGGGGAGGAGGGGGAGGAGGACGAGGAGGACGAGGAGGGCGAGGATGATGATGATGATGAGGGGGAGGAGGATTATCGATTGTAAGTGACCCCAGGGATTGATAGAGTGGGTTTGATATGTATGTCGTCTGCCTGCTTACCGTCCACCCAGGTATGGTAAAGAGTGGTGGAAAGGGGTTTGGGGTCTATCGGCTAGAGAAAAAAAAGTCGGATAAAAAGGAAAAGACGTGGTGGGTTGGGGTGCACCGAAAGAGAGTCCAATGGCTGAGGGCGGCTAGCGCAGGAAAGGGTGGAAGGCAGCTAAAGGGACTCCCCAGTCAAGGCTTTGCAGCAGTGGCAGGCCTGCAGCTAGAGCAACAACCTAACCCACACAACGATGGGCGGCGAGACGTTCGGATGCGGAGGTGAAGGTTGGATGATGCTATGGATTCTTTTTTTTCTTCTTTTTTTTCTATTTTTTTCTCCGAGGCAGGTCGTAGGATCTGGCCGGTCTTCCTCTTCCTTCGTTCGGTCCTTGATCGAAGCGCCTTTTTAGAGCAGACCAGAAAATAGGGCAAGGTTTTGCTGACGACACCCCTAACAAAGGGCAGCGGGCGGAGATGCTAAAATAAAATAGAAGACCGGTTCAGACCCCGCTGTCGTATTCTTCTTTTTTTGCACGCAAACAAAGTGACTTCTCTGTGCGTTCCGTCGAACGGCTCAACGAGTGGCAAGCACTTGGTCGAAGCGGTCCAGTAGGAAATTATTTGCAATCGAACCTTTAGATAAAGAAGAAGGTGCTGTGTTCGCAGACGCTTACCCAGATGCCGGGCAGGTTGGAGAAATCTGAGTGAGATAGAGGGGGGACAAAAGTGGGGGATGGCAGTGGAGAAACCGTGGAGTGCAGGAAAGAAAGAATTCCTGTGGTAGGGTTTGGTCTTCTAGAGGATGTGTGTATGCGTGATGGATGTTGTTAGTGGATGTGGATGAGATTTGGCGTCATGGATGACGGAGTCTTTGATTGACTGCGAGCCCACGCCGCCCCTCCGTCCCTCCGCCCCCTCCAGGCAGGCAAACCCCTCCTCCCCTCCCCCTCCTTCCATCCTCCTGTCACCACCTACATAGCCAGCCAGACAGACCGTGAGGATCAAATCGGATTCTCGGTGTCATCATATCACAGACATCAATCCTCCCAACGTAGGCAGGTGTCTGTGTACCGTATCTGGGTTGGGCAAAATACCTACGATACTTTGTCGCTGAATGTGCCGGGATTCCCAACCGTCCCCGTCGCGGCAGGCAGTTGTTGGTCGGAAGAATATGGAGATTGATTTTCGAGCCGTTCGATATGCCGCTTTGGTCCCAACACCTGAGAGTTGAAGCATGCGGGTGCTTGTCCGTTTCCTGCCCTTCGTGTCGGCTCTTCTTTTTGGGAAAATGTGTGCGTGCGTTCGTTGTTCTTCTTCTTCGCTTGATCTGCGGTGGGTGGCCCTTGCCATGTGATTGGCCGGCTGCCGCAGCAATCCTTGCCAGATCTGTCACACGGACCCCCTCTGTTGGTTACATCTCACCTCGACTCACACCCGCTGGAATATGCGCCAGGCCTCTGGAACGGAGTGATAGGATGTGACAGGTCAGCCGAGTCACCACCCGTGAAGTGACAGCAATACACTTCATTATATAGGCATTATTCAGCCGTGAAAGGGTGGGTACGTACACGGCGGGCCCTTCAGCATCAATGCGTCAGCCCACGCACTGTGCTCTCTCCGGCAGGAAACACAACAGAGCAGCGACATTATCGACAGATGAAAACACGATAAAGCGCATATCGACGTCTGTTGCTTATCGTTCTGCCGGACGCAACTTCTACCTTCACAGTGCGGATGACCCCGCTGCCGCGCTTGGACGCCTCATTCTTACCGAAGGTGTGACGAACACAAATTCTTATGATGACTGATATCACCTGTAGCGACTATGTATTGTGCTTCCTCCGGAACAACGGCGGCACCACGCTTCAGAGGATAGATATTCGCCTCAGCCCGATAATTTCTATGTACGTTGTGTGCGGTGCAGACTCGTTGTGAACACAAGTCCGTAACGAACGCCCCTGCCGTCGAAGATATGACTGTCGTGACCGTCTCAAAAAGCCAGTAGGTTTCTGCCTGACGGCCGTTAGGGGTCCACATTCACAGCGAGTCCGCACTCTTTATGAGACATGGTCTGACCACCACTGGATCCGAATACCCAGGCCCCATCACCATCGATACCGAGCTTCGTCTGGGTCGCACCAGTCCCACGTCCACCGAAATTTGTGTTGAACCGTTTCTTGATACGGTCTGCAGCGAGACCGAATGTGCTCTATAGCGCGGGTAACGGGCTCTCGGCGCTGATCGGGTATCCTGATGGGCTCCGAGGCTGCCCACAACCTTTCTTGGACGCGTGGAGGTCTTCAGATGTGATTTGCTGCTTGGCTCAGACATGGTATGCAGTATTTATGAACGGTCCAAGAGCTGGAGAAAGAATGAAGTTTGTGTTGTTCGACCGTTTGGAAATGCCATGATGTTCATCTTCTGTATCCTTGGCGTTTCGGCAAAGTTGGCGGCGACGGAGTCTTGTTGTGTGGTAATTGCGTTCAACATTCTATTACTCCATCGAATTGCGGTCTGCGTAAAGTTGCGCGCATTCTACTCTGCGTAGCCGTAGGCAGTTACCTCCTCGTCGCCTGCTTCTCTTTACCCCCACCGGTCAATCGGATTGCCGAGGTCACGGGTCACGCTTGGCACCGGACGCAATAAGTGTGGGAGGCATTCCGACTCAAAAAAAAAAGTCTTCAGAGAGGAGGCTTCCAATTCGATCATCCTGACGTGAAATGTGATGGCTGGCTGGCTGGCTGGCGGCCGGATTTCGGACTGCATCAGCAGTAGCGCCCCACTTGCACAGTGGCAGATGCAAAAACTTGTTGCGCGGCAGAAATTCTGGCGCAGAAAGAAACTAGAAACTCCCGTCAGAAACAGTAAGCGGCAAATCGAAGGGCCCCTCCTGCGGGGAATTTACCTTCGGAGGCATTGCCTAGTTCAAAATAAGGCTAGCGCAACTGACAAGAGCACGTGCGTGTTTGCCTCACAACTGTTTCAAGTGCGGCTGCAGGTTTTGATAGGTATCGCATCCAGCCCCCATCAGCATCCAGCTGCCTCGTAAGACGCAGCAAACAAAGAACCCCCCACCCAACCGCAGAAATAATTAAGTAAGTTGTTATTTTCCGATGCGGGGCTCGAACATCGGTAGACGTATCTCCTATTTGAGGCGGCGATGCAAATTAATAATTGCGCATGCACATTGCAGCAACACCGTGATACAAGCCAGAAAGACCAATCTCTTCGCAAACAGCAGGTGATGGTGTGACGGAGACATCCTTCTGCGGTAATCCGGAATGGTGCGGACAGTCCGTCACAACGGCGCCACCAGACTTTCGTCCAGAAAAACGAATCTGCATCAGTCCGAGGTCCCTGACAATAAAGAAATTCAGCCCAAAGGAGGAAATGAAAGTGAAATGAAGGGTAAAATGTGGTGCCTCTGTCAGGCCGAAGTGGCGTCGGGTTGGACAAGGAGCAGTTTTTGTGCGAAATGCACTTCCATTTTTCACTTCATTTTTCACCTTTCGGTGGGCAGAAAGTCTCTGATCCGCTGGTCAACGCTTCTGTCTGCAACGGTGCGCTGTTAGTCACAAGCCGGGTAGCCGGTACTTTCGTAAAGCTAACCATCCAGGCGGATGGGTAGGACTTGTTCCCCAAGCCGGAATCTCCGTCGGTCCTGTGCTCGGGTCTCGGAGTATCGGGTTTCCACATCGCGTACTCGTATAATTCCACAGCGGCTATCAACTGTGAGATATCGTTTTCGAGCATCTCTAGCATTCGCAGCATACTCTTTTCCCGCCCAGTGATCAATCGTGCAAGGAAAGGCGGATATGCAGTGATCTCAAGATGAGACGTTAACCGAAAAGACGACTTGCAACATCTGGCACGACCTTGAATGTTGGTGACGCCCGGCCATCATGCCTTTCATCGCCCACCTAGGCAGCCGTTTGGCGGATCAGGAGTTCCAAATCCCCGTTATCCGCGCAAAACTTGGATTTGGGGTGACCATCTCCGCCTGCGTTATCTTGCGTGACCCTGACGCAAAACAGGAAGATCCTCAATTTTAGATCCTCAGACTCACAGGTTGCAGCTGTGTCGCAAGTCGAAGCGCTAGTGTAGCCGCCAAGGCTCGCAACGTCACGATCACCAATGCTGTGGTGGAAGCGAAAGAATACTGGTATTTGGTCTGGAAGTCAGTTTCAGTCATGAGTGATGAGGTTGACGCAGAGTATGTACTAGACTCACCAGTGTTTTGTGGTCAAGGTATCTACATAAGTCTGGGGTGCAGGCTGACGAAAGTTAGAGTGCGTAACCGTCATCTGGTCGATGTAACCCACCTATCTTTGATATTAAAACTGTTAGTTGACTCAACTCTGGTGATTATCGATATGAAGCAAATGACTCGACTGGCTTTCGGTTCGGTACCCGAAATGCTTGGCCAGCATGACAGAAACCTGGTAGAAACCTCCCATGCAACACGGAGCAGCTTCCAGGGTCGACCGTAGGATGATCACCGCGCCGTAATAGAAAAGCCACAAAAGACGTTGCACCCCAGATAACATGACTCACCTAAAAATACGTACATTCATCATTTCGCACTCGGCGACTTATCCGCCTTGAGCGGTGGCTTCGCCTCGATCCAGTACGTGGTTCCAAAATGATATCTCCTCAACTTGACTACCCGCAGCCCGCTCTCGCTAACAATCGCTTCCACATCTCTGTTCCACCAACATCCCCAGGTATCCGCATGCTTCTCAGCAAACCGGTCCAGAATGCGATTCAGCCAGTCGTAATGGCTCTTTCCATGCTCCAAGAGTATGATGTTGCCGTCATCCTTGCAAACTTCACCTAGGTTGCGGAGAAGCTGGACGGGCGAGTGATGCGAGCATATTCCCATGCTCTGGATCACCGTGTCGAATTTATCGCTAGAAGGTGACGCTAACGGGGCGGCAGCATCCTGGATAGTGAAGTGTACGTTCTTGTACGTGGGATGGCGTTTGTGAAATGCCTTGCGAGCGATTTGCAGCATGGGCGCGCTGGTGTCGACCATGGTGAGGGACGTCACCTTCCTCCCGGAGAGTGGATACCACTTGATATTTCTGCCCGTTCCGGCGGAGGCCTCAAGGACATTGCCCTGGAGTCATGTATTAGCCTAGTTGTTTTGCAATGAAAGCATAGTAGAGTGGACACTCACGGTGGCCCGCTTTGCCATGCTCCTCCGAAGCAAAGGCATGCCCATGAAAAATTCACTGGTCCATATCTCTTTGTCATACTTCAACGCTATGTTGTTGTACACATGGCTGATATCCTCCTGCTCGTCCAGGGGTTTTGCATAAACTGGTTCCTTCGGAATACTTTTCGAGGTCGTGATAAAGACGTAGGCGCCATAGACGGCCAAGGCGTACAAGAAGGTGCCGCCTATGTATAGCGGTACTTTGCTGCGAGGTTTCGGCGGCAGTGGAGGCGGCGGAGGGAGGTTCACTTTCCGCGTAGACGCCGGCGGTGGAGGTCTGAAGGACGGCGGCAAATTTCTTATTAGCCCAAAATTCTCGAAAACAAAACGAAAACCGAGGATACACAAATTGGTCCCGAATAAGCAAAAATGCAATAGACGTTCTTGTGTGTGTTTGTGTGTGGGAAGGGATTGTGGGCATGAAGCTTGGGGAGGTGAAAAACCCTGCGCGATGCGAGTCACCAATGAGGCAGCCCTCCAACCAGAAGCAGAGCGCAAAATCCCACAATGGATCAAAAGATCTCTAATAACCGCGGAGAAAGTGCATCTGCAATGGCATCCACCAAAAGTGAAGAGCTCATCACCTCTCCGGGAGCGGGGGCAAGAGCACAAACGCCAGAAAGACGCGGGGGGAGGGGGTTGAGTTCAAGTAGAGGAACTTACCTCTTCACCAACGGTGCCTGCGTATTGACATACTGCACCGCGCTGTCTACACCAGCTGCTGCTGCTGCCGCTGCTGGCGCCTTTCTCGCCGGAAGAGCTGTCTTGCGGACTCCTTTGGCCATGGTGGAACTTTCACTGTAGTCAGTCCTCGACCAAGTGCCGTCAATGTGTGAGTGTGCGGAAGAACATCTTGTTGACGACCACTAACCAGCAGTTTCACTCGCCGCGGCAAGGAGAAGGAGGGGATGGGGAGTGGCTTTGAGAGCTATTGTCGGAGAAAACCACTTCTTTGTATTCGAACGATGACGAAAGGAGCACAGTAGAGAGACATGCGCCAGTACAAGCAACTGGTGTAGTAAGGAGGAGAGCTCTTTTCCATAGACGCAGCTGCAGTTCAGTTGCTGCTGGGGCAGCATGCGGCTCTTTTCTTTCTTTCTTTCTTTCTTTGCAGCGAGATGCACGCCCAGTCATCAGTTATTATTGGCTGCTAAGCTTAGATGGATCCCCTTTTTAGGAAGTGTTCTTATTTAGGTAACTTCTCAGTTGAGCCGCCGCTTCTCGTTAAGGTTGCCCCTCCACCCCACCAAGTGGCGGCATCAAACAGTCATTCAATAAAAGTCAAGGCTCAAGCGTGTAAAAGAATCATTCAACCCAGCAGCAACGGCGATATAACTTCACCTTCAACGCGCCTCACCCCACCTCCGCCACAAAACTTCTGTAATTCTGCCTGAAGTAACAGCAAAAACGGCAATAGCAGCCATGGACCCAGAATCTCCTACACTCGCCCCAGCAACGACCCTGCGCGATATCTTTCCTCTCGTCAAGAAGTCACACATCCTGAACTGTTCATATCCCAAATGGCACGCCACTTACCGCTCTCTGACACCAAAGACACGGATTATTCCGCTGACGCCCGAGTTTCTCGCCTACCTCCGCGCCGACGGAATCGTCCTTCCCGCCGACGAGGAGCAAATTACAACGCTCGACTCCGATTCAGAAGACGAGGACTCTTCCGGGGATGGCGAGAGCTGCCCCACTCTCAAGTTCCCCGAGCTACACCAGAAAATCAAAGCCACGATCGCGGAGCTGGGCGGGCGTGTATCTCCGAAGCTGAACTGGTCCTCGCCTAAAGACGCCACATTCATGACGGCGAATAACACGGCGGAGTGTCGGATGCCCGGCGAAATCTACCTCTTGTTCAAATCGAGCGACTACATCACTCACGACCTCGAGCACGCATTCGACGACTGTGTCGACGGCCCGAACTCCAAGGAGCAAATAACCACCGCGGATATCCCGTACTCGCTCGTCCTACGCAAATGGTTCCAGCTAAACCCGAGTATGGAGTTCCGATGCTTCGTGCGCGGCCGACGGCTGCTTGCCGTGACACAGCGGGAGCTGAACCACTTTGAGTTCCTGGAGCCGATGAAGCGCGAGCTGCTGTCGTGCATTCGGGAGTTCTTCAATGAAAACTTGAAGCACACCTTCCCCGACGACAGTTTTGTGTTCGACGTCTACATTCCCCTCACCGATCAGGAGGAGAGACGGAGAACGTGGCTCATCGATATCAACCCCTTCGCGCCGCGGACGGACCCGATCTTGTTTTCGTGGGTGGAGCTGCTGCAGTTGCCATATGGCGATGTGACGGACGGGAATGAGCTCAGACCGGTTGAGTTGAGGCTGGTAAATAAGGATGATCCCGAGGCATATTCGTTTGCATCGCCGCAGCATTCGGCGAGTAAGCTGCCACAGGAGGTGGTGCAGGCAGGATTGCAGGGTGATGAGGCCATATGGGAGTTTGCGGCGAAGTGGAGGGACATTATGGGGAAGATGGAAGATGAAGCTGAACTTTAAAAATCTGGAAGCGCAGCATAGATGGCGGTAGCACATGCTTTTGTCGATTGCTCTTTGCTGGTTCAAAGTCTGTAGGAAGACGATGCGGTGTAACTTAGAATTGATGTCTCTTGCAAATATGGCTTTGATATGTGGAATATATATATCTCTAGCCAGACGAAACTCACCGTGAAATGCAAGCAAGCTGTGGGCCAAACAAAACACCAAAACGCCCCACCACAAAATATACACGGATAACACCATTCCCATAGATAGTCAGATCAACTCAACATCGCCGGAAACCACAAATTCCCTCACTGCACTATACCTGACCACATACACATCATCCTTCGCGAGCTCAAATTCGGTATCCGTACCGGGAATGCGCACAACAGCATCTTGCACGTTCCGAACGACACGGCAGAACACGGCACTATCCATATCCGGTTCCTCGACCATCGAAATTCCTCCGGCGGTATCGTCGAGTCTCCGCAGCTGCTCGGGGAAGTTTCGGAGGAACGAGGACAGGTAGTGGTTGTTTAGTAATGCGAGGTGGGACTTGAGGTAGGATATCTCCGACGGCGCGAGTCTGGAGCGGACGGAGGCGTTCGAGAGGATGTGGAAGGAGTATTTGTCGATCTGCTCGGTTCCCCGCGGTGTTAGCAGGCAATAATTTTGCAATTGACCGTCCCCTGCGTGGTAGTGGGGTACCTTGTGCATCCGTATCCTCAAATACGCGCGGACAAGATACTTGACCCTCTCGAGCTCCGTCTGTATCAGGATGAGTCTGAAGTTCGAAGTAGGATCAAGGTTTCCGGTTTCAGTTTCGACCAATTCGATCTGCTGCCGGATCCGTTCCGTAAGCCGCTCCACGAGCGCCGCCTGGAACGGCATTATCTCGGGCGCTGTCCGCTCGGCGACCCAGGCTGTGGTCAGGTTTTGGATGTCTTTCGATGCATCGCGAGCTGCGCCGCCAGCATCGAATTCTTGCAAGATGTCGTCGATATCCATTGCTGACATTTTGGGCTAGATGACTGAGAACGTGAGTGGAAAGGTGCAGGAGACGTGCCGGTGGTGTTAGCCGTGTCGGATTGTTAGCGGTGATGGCTGATTGGTGAACGGCCTAATAGACGTGTGTAACAACGCGGGATGGGAGATCCGCATCGCTTACATAGTGGGTGTGTCGTCATGTCTTCTCGTTGCTTGATTTGGGCGAACTCAAACTCTTTATCATCACAACATCCGTCCTTCCAAGTAAACAAACAAACGACTGCCACCACACAACTTGCTCCTCCGTCTACCGTATAGCGAGCAGCCTTTTGAACCAGAGTGCGAGATTTTTAACAACCCACTTCACCATGAAACTCTACGCGCTCTCCGCCGCGATACTGCTCACCTATCCCGCAGCCTCGCATGGGCTCCAGCTTCCTTTCAAACTTCCTCCCAAAGTCTCCGAGCTCAAGTCGGCAATATCCTCCTACAGCGAACAGATCCCGTCGATCGCCTCACTCCGCGATCGTCTCGAACTCCCTCAATTCCTCAAAAACCTTGCGGACCCCATCGCCGCCTCTCCCGTCCTGTCTCTTCACCGCCATCTCGTCGAGATCCCATCCGTCACCGGCTCCGAGGGCGCCGTAGCAGCATGGCTAGCCGAGTACCTGACCACGCAAAACTTCACGGTCGAGACACAGGCGGTGTCCGGATACGCGGGCGATCGCATGAACGTATTCGCATACCTGGGCAAGAACCGGACGACGCACACACTCGTCACGAGCCACATCGACACCGTGCCGCCGTTTATTCCGTACAAGGCCGCTAGCAGCACCATCTACGGGCGCGGCAGCAATGATGCGAAGGGCTCCGTGGCGTCGCAGATCATCGCGGTCGAGGAGTTGATCCGCGACGGTGTGCTCTCAGAGGGCGACATATCGCTGCTGTATGTTGTCGGCGAGGAATTCTCCGGCGACGGAATGAAGACCGCGAATCATCTCGGCGTCTCTTGGCAAGCGGTCATCTTCGGCGAGCCGACGGAAAATAAGCTCGCGGTCGGACACAAGGGGATCTTGTTGTTCTCGGTTGAGTCCGTGGGTAAAGCGTCGCATTCGGGATACCCCCATCTCGGCATCAACGCAAACTCGCATCTCGTCCAAGCACTTGCACGATTGGATTCACTGCAGTTGCCCGGAAGCGATCTACTCGGCGAATCGACGCTGAATATTGGCCGGATCGAGGGTGGTGTGGCGTCGAATGTCATTCCTGCGTCTGCGCGTGCCGATATCGCTGTTCGTGTAGCAGGCGATTTTGACGAGACCGTGGCGATGATTAAAGATACGGTCAGGGGCATCGAGGGTGTCGAGCTGAAGTTTATGGATGTTGGGTATGGTCCCGTCGAGCTGGATCATGACGTCGAGGGCTTTGAGCATATCGTCTGTTCGTACGGAACCGACGTGCCAAATCTCAAGGGAGAGCACAAGAAGTATCTCTACGGACCTGGCTCGTGAGTTCTTCTGTCTTCCGTCTGAGCTCCCTAACGACTAACATCGACGCGTATTAGGATTCTCACTGCGCATGGCGACAACGAATATGTCCTCAAGTCCGACCTCTTCGACGCCGTCAACGGCTACAAGAAGCTGATCAAGGAGTCTCTGTGGCCCACCAAGCGCGTTCCCGACATCATCGAAGGAGTGGGATTGTTCGACCAGGAGATTCCTACTCCCGCGGAACCTGAAATCACCACTACGGCGCTGAGCAAGATTGTCGATAAGGTCGAGTCGCTTGGAATTCACTTGCCTAGGAAGGAGGAGGATGAGTTATAAGGTGGATGATGGCGTGACGCGTAATACGATGATTTTGATGATTGAAATGGCTTGTTTTGCGCATTTTCTATTGCTTTATGGATGGCCTTTTTTTATTTATTGCGCGGTGGAGTTTAGCTGGGCTTTACTTTCGAATTGATTCACATGCTTCGTACTCGTACTGAATGTTGTACGTGAATCATCATTTGCATACTTTACAATTAAATCAAGCTCAATGGGACACGATTAAGCCAAATAGCCAGCAGCATAACAAATTTCCAAGTCTCGGCTTATTCAGACGTCCCAGACCCAGAACCCCCAAACCTGCTCGCAGCCAAAGCCTTAAGCATAGTCATAGTCTTCTCCTCCTTCTCCTTCATTCCCTGCACGCGCTCCTCCCTCTCGGCAATCCTCGCCTTCAGCAACTGCTCCCGTCTAATCTCGCGCTCATTCTTCTTCCTCTCCAGCGCCGCCTTCTTCTGCGCAAAGCTCTCACCGCCAGTGCTCGCTCCGAGGAGGGTGCTCTCGTCGACCTCGCCACCAGGCGATGGATCGCGAAACCCCCGCATCTTCTCATTGACCTCCCGCTTCTTCTCGAGCTGCCGCTCCCGCGTCCCCGGCTCCGCCCGGGGAACAAGCTCGTCTAACGCCTCTTTCTGCGCCCGCCGATCGAGTCGTCGCGCATGTGCGCCGTCAGCCCGCGCGTACGCTTGATCTTCCGTTTCTAGCTCGCGCTGTAAAGATAGGTCCTGCGTCTTGGGTGGGGCAGGGCCGTGTTTGCGCGCGCCGCCGGTCTGCGCGTCCTGTGGCAGCGCGGGGCCGAAATCGTCATCGGAGGAGGATGAGGAGTCGGGGGAGGCGTGGCGGACACGTTTTGTGGTGGGCTCGGTGGAGGCGCTGGCGCTGGCGGCGGTGGCTGTAGTGGTAGTAGCGCTGGGACCGTCACGCTGCGCGGATACAACGCGCTCGTACCATCCCCGTGCTAGTTCGCCGCGATTGCTGATCATTAGCCCCCCAGACTCCCAGACTCCCGGTTGTGAGCGTGGCGGTGGTAGAGGTAGCTTACAAGTGTGACACGAAGCTCTTGAACCTCCCCTTCGCCTCGCGGTCGGTGAGTGTGTGCAGCTCGATGTTCTTCTGCACTTCCAGGTAGGACGCGAATATGTTCGAGAGGAGCGTGAAGTTGCGTGCTGAGATGGGCGCCGCGTTGAGTGGGAGCACGACGGCCGGGGAGCGCGTGCGCTTCTTGCGGTGCGTGGCGTGGTGGTGGTGGTGGTGGTGTCGTCGCCGTGACGGTGAGGTCCCGGGCGAGGCGGAGCGGTGGCGTCGGGGTTCTTCGCGGTTGTCGTCGGCTTCGCCGCGGCGAGAGCGGTGCGGGCGGTGCGTGGTGTCGCGGGATGTCATGATTTGGGCTGTTGTAGTGTTCAATTGCAGGAACAGGGAAAGAAAGAGGAAGAAGCTTCGTGGGAACAGAGTAGATGGTGGAAGACAGCTCGAAGCTTACCTTAATACGTCGATTACCCGGATGCACTAACACTTTCGCCTACACAGCTCGCACCCCAGCTCTTCCAAGCCCGCATCACCGCATCACCGCAGCTCCCCACACACACCCACACACAATGGCCACACCACCCACCGCCCCGCAAAAGGGCCACTCGCGAACAATTTCCACAGACGAGCGCCGGGGTTTGTTGGTACTTTGACATGAGCATCACCCTTGTCCCCCGCTAACTCACTCACGCAGTGCTCGTCCCCCGGCGCCGCACCAAAGGCCCACTAGACTTCGACGACCTCCCATCGGCCTCCGCCAGCACCCCCACATCCTCCAACCCCGCCTTACCTCCCGCCGCCACCACCCCACCCCCGCCCACCCTCCAAGACAAGGACCTTTCCTTCCTGCTACAACCCACGAACTTCCACCCCCTCCCGACCAGTTCCCTCCTCCCGCCCTTCCTGTCCCTCCCGGCGCCCCCCACCGCCACCCCCACCGCCCTCCTCTCAACGCTACACTTCCGCGCAGCAGCCATCGCCTCCGCCGCAGCGCTCACCTCGTCCCCCCCGCCCCCATCCAACCAGCAAATCCTCACACTATGGTACACGCGCCTCCTGAGCCTATGCCTGTGCCACCAATCCACGCTCGCAGCACAAGAGCTCTCCGCCTTCCGCGACGTCACCGCGCCCTTCTATCTCGACGCGGACACGGGACGCAGCATTCTCCCGTGGGAGCTGCGCGTTCTCGCTGTCGCACTCGGCGAGCGCTCCGATCCCCGCCGCGCAATCGGCGCGTACTACGAGCTGGCGGGTGAGTGCCGCTCTTGCGCGGCGGATGCAGCGCTGGCGGTAGAAGAGCGCCGGCTGTGGCGCGCGAGGCTACAAGACCTCGGCGTCAGAGTTGCGAATGCGCTCGTCGCGCTGGGGGATCTGGCGGCTGCGGTGCGGCACCTGAAGGGCTTGAGGGGGAAGGGGGAAGGCATACTGCCGCTGTTGATGGTGCGCGTGGGAATGCTAGAGGAGGCGCGGGAGCTGGCCGGAGACGATGAGGTGCTTGAGGCGCTGCTGAGAATGGCGGATGGTGAGTGGGAGGCGGCCGCGGAGGTGTGGAAAAGGCTGCCGAAAGATGAGGTTACAGTCTGTAATGCTGCTGTTTGTGAGCTGTATCTCGCTAGGCTGGATAATGTGCGTCCTTTACCCCCCACCCCCCACTAGGAAGGGCGAGTGAGAACTGACGCGAATTGAAATGCCAACAGGCGAGAGCAATGCTTGAGGGCTTGCTAGACGAGGGAACGGTGTTCTCGGGGCTGATCTTTAATCTCGCGACGGTTTTTGAGCTGTGCGGTGACTCGGCAAAACAGTTGAAGCTGGGCCTGGCAGAGAAGGTCGCCGGCATGGGCAGGGAGTTTACTAATCCGTCGTTTAAGATGTGAGAGATGTGAGAGGGGATGGGAATTGGTCACGTTTTATGGGAAGGAATTGGGGACTTGGATACACTGTGCAGAAGCAGTCGCTCGATATGGGAGCAAAGTGCCCTGTTATCAGCTTCATACGGGTTGGACTTGGCATGTAGAGAACCATCCTCATAGACGAATGCCATTCATTTACTTCACGTACACAGCCGCCGCAGTAAGTATGGGCGATCGTCTCAACTGTATGAACCTAAGTAGGTAGGTAGCTATCCGTGACCATAGCTATCGCCATCATCAACATCCACCCACAAGTCCCAAGTGCCAGCAAGCAAGCTTCACACACGACAGCAGAGAACGACAGTACAGTTCAGAAAACAAAGCGAACGAAAGTGGTAACAACGCGTGCAACAAATCAGCCACCCAGCACTGAGACAGGGCTCACAGAGAGAGAGAACTTGCATCTTCAACACAACAGAACGAATAGGTGGGTAGAACAGAAAACTAAACTCCGTAATTGTAAAAGCCCACAAGTGCTCAAGACAAGAAACCCGGCTATCCCTCCTTAACCACCCTCTCGGCCACACCCTCTTCAGCAGCGGCCTCGGGATCGAGCTGCGTATCCTTCTTGGGAACGGGCTCAGGCTCGGTAGGAGTAGGCTCTTTGGGTTCCACCTCGGCCATGCTCTGCGCGGCCGCGTCCTCGGAGTGCTCGCCGGTAGGGATCAGAGTGGGGTTTCCCTCCGAGGCAGCGGTGGGCTTGTCGGCTTCTTCTTCTTCTTTGGCCGACCCAGACGCATGCTCCACTTCTGCGATGGTTTGCTCTCCGGTTCCGGTGACGCCGGGAAGGGTAGTAGTGGTTGTAACAGCAGGAGCAACAACCTTCTCCTCCTCATTCTTGTCCTCCTTCTTGTCCTCCTTCTCGACAGGCTCGGATTCAGTAGCAGGTGTATGATCGTCGTCCATTTCCACAGCGGGAGCATCGGCTTCAGAGACCGGAGCTTCTATCTCCTTCTCCTCCATCTTCTCCGTCACCTTCTCCTTCTCCTCCGAGACGGGATTAACAATCACCGCGTCCAACTCCTGATCCAGCGTGAAAACGGTCCAAACACCCACAAACTCACAACCCTTTGCCGCCGGCTCATCGACAACCGGCTTCTCCTCCTTGGTGGGCAACTTCCTTCCCCTCGGTCCCCGAGCTCTCGACTTCCTCACATCGGTGAGGGGCTCTTCCTTAGGGGGCTCCTCATCCTCCTTCTTCTCCTTCTTCGGCGGCGCGCCTGGTCCGAGCTTAAGACGCGACTCCAGATCGCCCAGGCCGGCCTTCAGCGCAGCGATCTTCCCACCGGTGCGCGGAGGAACCGGGGGCTTCGGTTTTGGCTCGGGGGCTTCGTCGGGTTGGGCTCGGACAAAGCCGGTGAGCTTGCCGATGGGACGGGCGGGGATGCTGGGCTTGGGCCTGTCGGGGATACCCGGCGGTGCCTTCTTTTCGGTCGGGGAATGGGTCGCGGGGGGCTCGGGCTGCTCGTGGATTGTGGCTGGGAGCCGCTTCTCGCGATGGGGACGGGCAGGCACCGAGGGTCTCGAGGGAACGATGGGCTTGGTGGAAGTGGCGGAGCCTTCGATGGGTGCGCTGGTGGTAGGACGAGCGGCGGAGTTTGATGGATCGGATACCACAGCACTGATGTTTCCCGTGGTGGCTCTCTCCTTGTCCGGAATCGGGCTGGGCTCGATCTCCTCCTGGAGGTCGAGCGATGGAGGGACGTCTTCCCAGATGTCGTTGCTGGGGAACTTTTTCCTCTCCACACGTCTCCTGTTGCTCGAGTTCTCGGGCGCCGTGTCTTCTTGGCCGACGTGCTTGTGCAGACGGCGGAGCCTCTCATCCTCGGGCAGGTCTTTCAGGTCCAGACGGTAATCGGTATCCTTCCTTGCGGCCTCCTTTTCCTTGCGTTCATACTCCTGCTCGTCTCCAGGCTCGTAGTGCTCGTGGGGCTGACCACGGACGTACTGCTGTTTCGGTTCTGAGCTCTTTCTGCGGGCCATCTCCTCTTGATCGAAGTCCTCAACCGGCTCCGCATCTCCCGGAGGAGGGCTCTGAACGGTAGCCTCGAGCTGTGCGTGTTCCGGCGCCTCCTCCCAGACGTCGCGGGAAGGGAAACGCTGTTCGCTCATACCGGGACGCTTCAACTTCTCGACGAGCTGGCTCTTGAGGGCCTCCTCCGCCTCTTCATCCGAATCGGGGAAGAGCGGCTTAGCATTCTCGTCGGCGGGGGAGAGCTCCTCGTAAGGCGTACGCATGGAATCCCTCGACTCGAGGCCACTCCTATACCTGGTGTTGAGCTCGAGAGTAGCACCTTCGACGTCGCCATGACCCATCGAACTGGCAGGCCTACTCCGGGGGTGTCTGGGGGTGTAGCTAGGGGTGTAGACAGCGGCCTGCATGTACTGGCCATCCTGTCTCTTGAGGACTTCATCCTCAGCCAGGATCGAGTAGTGGTCGCGTTCCTCGTCCTCATCTTCGTGGTGGGACTGGGCGCGGGAAACCGCCTCGGAGTTGCCGCGACGGAGGTAGCCAGGGCCATGGGCGGGATCCTCGACATGGATGACGTTGCCTTCGTCATCGGTTGTGTGCCCATGGTCCATGACGTCCGCCGATGGAACCCGTGCCGAATCCCGCGTGTGAACCGGGGACTGCGATCGGGACTGCACTCGGGACTGCGACCGGGAAAGAACTTTGGCGTAGTGGTCACTGGCGAGATAGGCAAGCTCCTCGTCGGGCACTCCATGCTCCGATTCGACCACACCAACACCCGGGGATGAGGAGTGAGCCACTGTCGCATTGAGATCCACAGAGCTCATGCCTAGATATTCATGAGTCTCCGGAGCCCCTCAAGGTGGGGGTAAAAAAAAAGAAAGGAAAGAAAACCGAAGAGAAGGAAAGGAGAGGAAATGAACGGAACGGAAAGGAATGGAAAGGAAAAGGGGTGGAAAGGGCAGAGGGGGTCGGGAACAGCATACTGTACGGCGTTTCTCTCCTCTTAGAACCGTAGGCACCCTCATCCATCTCCCATTCCTCGCGATAGACATGCTTCTTCTTTCCACCGCTCGGCGTAGCGCTAGGGGTGGGAGCCTGGACGTCTCCGGCGTTGGGGTACATGGGGACCCTACGACCGATCTGAGGGATTCCCTCGAGCTCGGAGGGGGTTTTTGAGGAAGAGATGGGCGTGGCGGAGGCGGTGATTGTAGCAGCATTGCGTTCACTGTCGGTCTTGGGGACCGGTGCGGGACGGTGCTGGACGGCGACGGGAGCGTAGAGCTCGGTAGAGGAGCCTATCGTTTTAGGCTCCGGTTCCGTCGGACCAGGCGACGGCGACGGCGACGGAAGGCCATTCTCGGAAGCTTCTGTCGGCAAGCCAGCTGCGGCGGCTGTGGCTGCCGCTGCCGCCGGACGTACGGGGCGAGGCGGGATGGCGGGTGTATTCGTCGACGAGCCAGCAGCAGGCACGGAAACCCGTGCGGGACGGGGTGGAATCGACGGCGGAGCTTGTGATGCCATAGTGCCGCAATGTATTATGGACGGAAACAGCAAATGCGGGGAGTGGATGAGATGCGGGGGAGGAGAGAGATGGATATGTAGAATGGGAGACTGTCGGATGGTGTTTCGATGACACAAAGGCAGAAGCACCAATAAGCTCGAGCTCGGGGGGAGGTTTGTAAAAAATGGCGGGGGGGGGGGGGGGGGGGGGGCGAGGGGGGCAGGAGATATAAAGCACGCACAGGCCACAGCCAGCGTACCTCACATGGAGGATACCGGTAATACTATGTACACATGTAGATACGACGTCCCCCTCCCCCCTCCCGCCCACATGTAGCAACTGCTTCCTTACTTGGAGTAGAGTATATGCTTCCTCCTGTAACCACCACGCAAAATCCACTAACAGGTACAGCACAATCTAGGAACTCGACCTTACCTACTCCGCCCTTCCACTTGCATTCCTATGTAACTACCACGGCGACACTTGCCAGCTGGTGGAAGCAGGAGTTCTGCACACAGCAGAAGCACGGGGGGAGCTGTTAGTTATGACGATACCATACGATGCCGGCCAAGCAGCAAGCAAGCAAGCACGTAACGACCACTCCAAGCAAGCAAGCAAGTCATGGGAACGCCGGCCGGTGGCCAGCCATCGGGGCGCAACATTCACAGCATTCACACTTTCACAGCGGCAAAGAAAAAAATGCTGAATTTAGCACGCAGTAAGTCACGACGGCGGGGTGGGGAAAGGAAGGAAGGCAATCTCTGTGGAAGCCCCATTTCTGTCGACGGCGATTCGATGCCTGCTTGCTTGTTGTTGCTTGCTTTTGGCCCATCCCTCGTTCGATCCGAGACTTGACCTTGCCTTGTAGGGGGATGACGTTCCTCGCCTCGCCTCGCCGCGTTCTTTCTTTCTTTCTTTCTTTCTTCTTCCGTGTTACGATCGTCGCTATGGCATGTAGAGTAACATCACCGCCGCGGCCGTTGGTTGGCTGGTTGGTGTCTCGAGAGAGGGACGTTTCTCTGGCTTTGCAGGTAAGGTCCGCAGCATAATTACCATCAGAGACAGCCGTGGAAGAGTGCAAGAGCGAAAAAGCTTTCCGTGCGTTGAGCTGCGGGGTCGTCAATCAATTCATGGAACTCACACATAGATGAGTGTTCAGATTGACCCCGCAATCGGTCAATCCACCTCCATCTGTGTAGATACAACAATCTACAACTAGTATATCTCTGTCGGGCTGTCTATGATGCCTACCATGGCCACTCTATCAAACGAAATCGAATAGTGATTACCATCCAACACCACCACCAGCACAACCATCACCACCGCCCCTCCGTCTCGTCCTCTGCAGGAACGTGCGCAGTAACTACGGGCAGCTGCGAGCCCCGTCCGTCCATTCCCCAGCCCGACTGTCGAGTGTCGACATCGCGAGGAAATCGCTCAAAAACGCAAGCAGTGGCCCCCTGCAACGGTCCCCTGTGCCACCCACATCCTCCCTCCCCCACCTCCTCCCCCTCGCACCTATGTATGTGTAGAGCACGAAGGTACATACCAACATGCCAGGCTCCAGCCAACTGCCCCGCCATCTCGCGATCCCCGCATCCACAGTCCACCGCATTACGATGATCCATCGCGTAAACAGCTGGCAGTCATTGGCCCGGCTTTGGGTTTGCCTTTGCCTGCGGGAAACGGTCCTCTACTACCGGTATGTAGGTGTACGCCACTATGTATAGGCGGTGTATAGGTTATGCTGTCGGACTCGGACTTCAACCCTCCGTGCCTGCCTGCCTCCGCGTCTGCCTCCGCCCAGAGGCCAGAGAAGAGTCTGGAAGCCTGGAAGCCTGAGGGACGGACCGCTTGGACCCATCGCGGACTGGCGATAGGAAGATCTTGGTATTGAGAGACCCTCGACGGGTATGAATGTACGGGCAACTGATGAGACCTATACAATTGGCCAAAAGCAACAAGAAAGAAGAGCAGCCTGTAAACTCCAGACCGAACAACCTCAAAGTATCGTATCTCTGCGATGTTGATAACAATGTCTGCGACGGTGGATAATGTCTGATGTGTTGAACAAGAGACCGACCGACTACTCTACTCACCTACTGTGTAGTGAAGAGGAGGGTAAAAAAATACGCTTTGTGACCGTACCGACACGGAAAAAAGCGTATCGATACGGTGAAAATACGTATTTTGACTGTATTTATACGCTATTTGACCGTCCCGAGACGCCAAAAAGCGTATTTTTTACCCCCCCTTCACTATACAGTACCTAGACGAATATAAAACCGGCATCAGAGAACATTTCAACGTTGAGTTAAGGCGACCGCGAAGGGTCTGCCCGCCATCACACCTTTGTCCGCAGTATGTAGCTGCCGTATGTAACTGTGTATGCACATATGATACCTACCAACGTGCCCCAGAAGCGAAGAGACATGTGCGAACAAAACGTGCCCACACTGCACAGATATCTACGGTATCTACGGGAGAGAACATTCTCCCGACTCCGGCCCCGGCGGCGCATGGCGGTGGGCTTTACATACCGGTATATCTACCATGATACCTAGTAACACTGAGCTTCCGTTCCGCATCGCCTCTGCTCTGCACGCATGGGCGATTCCCACTCGCCCTGTCCGTACCGTATGTATATATGAGTCGCCTGCCACTACCATGCAGGCAGCAGCCTTATGGGCTCCGAGACCCCAAGAGCGGGCCATCTCGAATGCATCATCCATAATAACACCGTCATTTTCTGCTTGTCAACTTCCGGGGCATGTCATAACAGCTTCTTATGTAGGGGAAGAATGCAACACCTACTGCAAAGGAAAAACGAGACATGGAAAACAGACAAGCCAAGAGCTATAAAAACAAAAAAAAAACAGACAAGCCACAGAAACAGACAAGCCACAGAAACAGACAAGCCACAGAAACAGAGCATAGCAAACCCGGAAAGAACCCCAATAAACATTGCCGCCGGCCCACCACGAAGGAAGGCTCTTGAAAATGTAGGTACCTACAGCAACAGCAACGGACAGAAAGGAAGACAAACCGAAATGGAGCAAAAAACACCCGGCATTACAGGTAGGTAGCCCATCATCACATACGGCATCAGACATGTCCATTGCCCTTCGCACGCTCTTCCGAAAGTCCGGTTTGCCGCAATCGCACAAGAAAGTACTCCCCAAGTCTCCAGTCGCAACTTCAAAGTTCACACACACACACAAGACGCATCGCATACATGAAAAGCATAGCATAGGTAACCGTTACTTCCGTCAGTCAAGTCGGCCAGGCAGGCGCACGGCAACCCCTCCCCTCCACGCACCAGGATCGCCGTCACCGCCTCGCACCGCCTTACCGCCGCTGTCTAAACTAAACGATCATCTGAGCGACACCTTGGCCACCTAGGGTCTTGCTTCCGACGAACTGCTGGCCCTTGATGGCCGCGAGGGCATAGAACATTCCGGCGAGCATGAGCAGGATCGCGGCAGCGATCAGACTCGTGGCCTGCACGATGCAGCTCAACCACTGCACGAGCGAGGCGACGCCGTAGAAGGCGGCTCTTCCCCACAGAGAGTGGAACTTGCGCATGAACGTGTCGAACTTCGGCGATGTCGGGCAGATGCGCAGCAGGAACGGGATCTCGAGGAAGATAAGGACTAGGCCGGTGATGCTGTTCCGTGTCAGATCTACATACGCATACACACACACACAGTGCCCGCCGGAGGGGAGAGTCCTTACAGGCAGATGACCGAGAAGATGATGATCAGGTTGAGGTGGAAGATGTTGGCAATGCCGACTGCAACGCACAGGATGATGGCGATGATACCGGTCCTGTATCCGGCCGGGAATCAGCCAACTGCTCTCAAGCCCACACTCCACCGACCGCTGTGACTCCATTGCTCCGCTCACCATTGACCGTATATACCTATGGGGATCACGTTAGCACCTGACCCTCGACTTGAAACAGCCGCAGCCCCCCCTCCCCCGCAAGCCGCTCAGCTGAAGATCCGACTCGACTCGACTACTCACTGAAATTCCTCGTCTTCATCTCGGACCCGATGCTGTCCATGATCCCCATCTTTGCGTGTTTGTATCGAGGAAGGTTTTCGTGTGGTTGTGGTTACGGTTCGTAGCGGAAAGGATTTGTTGCGAATCCGATGGGTTTATTTTGGTGTGTGTGTGTGTGTGTATGTGTGTGGTTGACAGGCGGCGGGACGGGGCGATCAGCGCAGCGCAGGCGAGGAGGGGGTGGGAAGGAGGAGGTGGTCGTTTAGAAAGTCGTGCGAGCTTGCTAGAGGTAGGAAAGCAGTTGAAGTGTAAGCCTCGAGAAGAAGAGTTCGTCGACCAGTGTCGTGGAGAAGGGAGAGGGATCGGATAGTTACCCAGTAAAGCACTCAGACTAAGCTCGACCCTTTGACGGAAACCAAAAGAGAACACAGATGTCAGATTCCAAGAGGCTTGGCGTGACGCGTTTGAGGTTTGGTGTTACGGAACAAAGGCCTGACGCCGCGAGTCGGACGATGCTGAGCCACTTGTCCTGCCAATTCAACGGTTGGCGAGCCTTCTTCGCCGCGGCGAAAACTCATTCAGAGGGCTTGAGACTCGAGAGACCTACGCACTCGGCATCCGGACATCATACGATGTGCTCAGCCTCAACGGTGAGTTGGATAGGTAGCCTGCTCGGCCTGAAAACGTAAGCCTTGACGTTGGCCGAGCTTCATACTACTGCTAGCCCCCCTACCCGCCAGAGCCCAGAACCCTTGTCTGTATCGAACGGATTCTCACAACAGATAGAAAGGCCAACAGTTACCCTTCCAAGCCACAGAGAGGTGAAGGGGTCTGCATGCCGGCGGCTCCATGTGATCCTCAACGTTACGCGCAAGGGACCACTATGTAACATGAACCCTTCCGTTGCCGTCGACGGAGCGAAACACCATTCCTTGAATCATGCTTCTCGACCTCGTGTACCTATGCGCACAGGTAGCGGTCCTGGTGCACAGTGCACACGCCTCGAGCCGCTCTCCTGCCGTAAGGTGTCATGTCAGTAAGCTGTCACTGACGCTGAACGAATGTCTCGCCAGTCGCCATTGAACCAACCCCCCCGGTAACTAACGCCACTTCCGGTCGGCTACGAATATGGCGGGAACGGGGGAGCGAAGAGGAAGCGAAAGGACATCTGAAAACCGATGGACGGCCCGTGCTTTGCTTATCGGTTGGTATGGTAGATCCGTAATCAGATCGGCGCATGGTGGAGTTCACTGGACTTCCACTCTACATGATGACGGTGAAGCATGTTTGGAAGTGCTCGGGTTACAAAAGAGCATGTGCCAGTATGAGATGGGAGTGGGACGCTGCATTCCTTCGAGCTTGGAATTGAAGAGGGAACAGGTAGAATGTGATTGTCCGCTGTATCTGTGGAGGTGTAATAGCTGCTGAGGTGCCCCTTTCCTCGTGGACCCCATTCATCTCTTTGCCTACACCCAATGAAATCTGGATTGAGAGCGGGAGGTGGTCGTCTTTTCGTACAACTTTTTGGATTCTCTGGATGTCCGAGTCTTCTGCCATGATCCGGATTAGCCTTTGTTGGGTCTTAGGGCTTGCTATGAGAAGAGCCGCTAATTTTTTTTGCCGAAACGCCATAAATTCGAAGACTGCACCATCAATCTTCTCCACTCCACATCCCACCCACCAACCGCTGCTCTCGGCCCGTCTATCGTCTCTCCTCGACGCGCAATGACGGTGCTGCTCACCACCCTTTTCGACACGGCAATGGATTGATCTTATGGTAACTTCCCCTCTCCCTCTCCCTCTCCCTCAACCCCGCGACCCCCCACCCCCGAGGACAGACAATGTCAACAGGTGATGAAAACCTAAAACAACAAAACATCTTAGTTACTCGTTGAAGAACAAACAATATGCGTTATGGTTACTGATATGCTGTTACTTCATCGCTCATGTTGATACCATCCTTCGTTGTGCAAGGCTAACATGGTGTTCAAAAGATTAACTATTGCTCAATGTCTCCGGCTTCTCAATCTGTTCAGATGGTAATTACCCATTTGACTTACCCCCCTCCTCCTCCTCTACCTCTGCCCGCAGCGCTTCACAGGATGATGTTCATTATGAATACTTACCTACATTGTCTGAATCACTTTGAAGATAACAACCTCTGACATTCTGATACCATTCGCGCTTTCTGCTTTCTTCTTCACTCATTTCGCTCGCTTTGGGATGAACATGGGCTGACCTAAAGTTAGAGATCTAGTTTCCGTGCTTCGCATTCGTCGTGACCCACCAACGTGCGCTGAGTTCATCTTTGATGATCGCATCTGGTTCCACAGAACGAGATGGGGTGCATCACCCGTGACTACCCGGCTGCTAGCCAACCTCCTATCTGCCCCTGTTGTACTCTCAGCATACTTCAGGGTTCCTAGAAAGGAGGGATATTGCCCCTCACATGCGTCGTTCATCCACCAAACTGAAATCTCGGATGGGCGCGGGTGTGGGGATTGGTGGTCATCGTTTGAATCCTCCCGGACCGCAAGGGAAGAAGGGCAGGGCAAAACGGTGACCTACATCCTTCGTTCGTGATGATTCTTCATTTCATCGTCTCTGTGGTAAGCATGACACTCCTCAATGTACTTTGCTTTCGAACGTTACAATGATGATCCCATTTTCTTCACTTTCTTAGCCGTCGTCAGAAAGCGGCTATGAAGACTTAAATGACATATCAAGCTCAACAGTCTGAAATTTCACGTTCTCCCTTCTTTTATACCCTTCACATCTGCACAACCTTTACTCTGGATCTTGCTGACCCGAGAAGATATTTTTAGTTCCAAACGTGCCCAGCAGAATCGCTATCTTACTCCACAGGTTGGTTCACCCTCCCCCCATCGTTTTACGCATATCTTTCCCTCCTCCCCTTCGAAGGATGATCAAACTAGCATGTATTACACGAGGCATGACTTCATGAATCGAGTCAGTCTATGACAGCAACCTTTATTAGCTCTATCTGATTTTGTTGGAAATCTTCACCGCTTTTGTTCGAGTTGCCAGATGTAGGAACACGGCTAACGGTGTTTGAAACTCAGGTTCCTCTATGGGAAGTTCGTTGTCTATAGCCTATCCAAATAAAAACTGTTCTTGAATTGATTCCGCGCGATGTGACTCCGCTGTGATTCCGATGATGTGAATGGAATGAAACGAAACTTGTTGCCCGAGCCATCTGTTGGCTGGATGGAGAACAAATCCTGCAACTACGATAAACGGGAGCTGTCTGTGGTCACCATTCCACACCTGCAGTTCGGACTCATACTCTACATAATCTCTCCAAACTATTGAAGTACTACCTGGCGGCAAATCATGCTGGCGGCAAATGTGCGCCGCGGAAAACAACCAGCCCAAAACTTGGCGTCAAGGGGATGGATGCACCTACCTTGCTCCACGTATGTATGCATATGTAACCAACCAACGATCCTCCAAAGCAAACATCACCAACCTCCTTCGGGCTCCTCGTGTTTGCTTTGGCGGGGCACACTTCCATGGTTATGCGTGCCAATCCTCTGCCTAATCCCGATGGACACCGCCGGTCTGCGGCACCTGGGGACGGTCCGTCCAAGGCTCCCAGCTTACTGGTCGTTCGGGAAATGCTTCGGTTGGTGGACACTGCACACAGACCTCATCCCTCCCCCCACAGCTCTCGGACCTCTCCTCCTGGAGCGAGGGAGTCGTACGTAAATCGAGGATCCCTGACCCGCTGGTCGTAGCATCCCTGCTCCAACTATGTGATCAACATATCGTCCTTATTTTGGTGTGAAGAACAACAAAATATCGTCAACAGCCACCTATCTACTATACTAGTACTTGTCCTCCCCATCTTCCCTTTCTCCTTCTCTTCTACTTGTTATCTATTCCCTCTTTTAATCTTCCGCAGTCCCTTATTTCCGTTCTCCATCGATTCCCTCCAGCTTCGAATCCTTCGCGTTCCTTCCCGGCAGAGAGAGAGATATGCAATGACGACAGCCGCCTCCGCCGCGACGAGTTCCACCTGCCACCTGCCCACGGGGGGCTGCAACTACAACTTCCCCAACCTTGGCGGGACCTCCGTATGTGGCTGCCAGAAGTTCATGCTCAAGAAGAGGTCGCAGAAACGCGTCAATCGTTGGAGCGGTGGTGGTGGCAGAGGGCCGACCGGCAGTGGCACTGGCAGGTCAGGCACGTCCGAGGACTCGGAAGATGATGAGGATGCGTGCAGATGCGGACACGACTCCTGCTACCACTCGGGCCATCCGGCGGTGCCCACGCACGCGCCAGCACCAGCACTAGCACCAACAGCGACGGATAACTACCTCTCTCCACAGCTTCGGGAGCCGCTGGAGCTACAGAGGGCCATCGGATACGGCGGATCGCTCGGGAGCGCGCGTGAGAGGTCCTTGGGGGCTCACCGTGTCGGTGAGGGCTTGATGGTGCGGGCGGATGGGTCGGCGAACGTTAACATGACGGCACTCTCGGCGGTCAGCGGAACGACGACGGAGCGGGATTCGAGTACCTCGGGCACGCCAATGGGGCTGCTGAAGATACCGTGGACGACGAAGTACGCCGCACCTTCTACGCGGGTTCGCGACGAGGCTTCGAAACAGTTGACGGATCAATTGCACAACGTGGTCTCGCACGGCATGGCGGAGAGGTTGTGCATGAACCCGAAGGCTCTGGACAGGCCGCCGTCGTCATCGTCGTCCGTCAAGGAGAGGCTAAAGAATTTGGTCGACTGCACGGCCGCGATTGAGACCGATCAGATCAATATGCGGCAGCGCGTCGAGATGATGGAGGTTATGCCTGCGACGCTGGAGGACCTCGCCGAGAAGGTCGATCTGATAGATGATCAGGTCAACGAGAAGCTCGACAACACCGAGGTGCGCTTGATGAATGAGATCGATGATCGCCTCGGGCCGATTGAGTCCTTCCTCAGGGCCCAACAGGCATACGGCGAGAAGCGGAAACGTCGACATCAGGCGAAGGCCAATCTGGAGATTTGCGACAACTCCGGTAGCATTCACAGCGGAGGTGCCAGTGGTGGGAAACGGAGGAAGCGTCCCGAGGAGCGAGATGCCAGCGAGGTCCTCAACAGCCAGCAACACGGAATCACTACCACGAGCTTTACGACTACTAGTTTCACCACCACTACCTCCAGCTTCGGGTCACCAGGCCCTTCACGTATATCTCAACATGCCGATCCGAAGGTTCTATCGGATATTGAGATGCTCAAAGCCCGGTTGTCGGACATCGAAGCTTCGGCTCCCCCAAGCGTTGCACGCCCATGGATTATTGAAGTGGTACTCATCCCACCTGCTTCTCTGAGCGGAATATGGGCTGAGGCCCAAGCCTCGGTCCCCAATACCCAGTACACCGGTAGCGAGAATGCATCCGCATCCGCTCCTACCATAGGCAAAGCACTGTGTTCGCCGCAATCTGGCTTGGTGCCTTTTTCGTTTTCAGTAAAGTCGAAAGTGTACAAACGTCTTCACAGCCGTGGGTTCGTCAAACGGTTGCATATTACTGGTCCTACTGCGAGAGAAGTCTCACTTTCCATCGAGTCCAACTTCCAGAACGCGTTGGAGTTTTGTGCCTCATACAATGTCTCCCGCGGCTCTTCTCGTTCGATGTCACAGCAGCTGCGGTTCCAGGCCTCGGACCAATGTCATCTGTCTTCTTCTTCGCAGCGCACCGCCGCCAGAGGCGGCACTCGTAGTCTGTGGGAGCCCCTCCGTAAAATCTACAAACAGGCCCCGCTGGAATTTCTCCAACCCAGTGACATCACCACGCCGGCTCTCTGGACGGTGGACTTCCTCAAAGCCAACTGCATAATGCGCGGTACCACGCGTAAAACTCTCTACGTTCTCCCGCGGACCTCCTCCAGCCGTCCCAGCGCCTCAATCATCACATGGGAGGCGATCAAGCAGCTCGACCGGTACTATGACAGCGATGAGACGGAGTGCGAGCAGGCCACCATGGACGCGGAAGAGTCCTTCTGGCGATTCGATGCCAAGCTGGACTCCAAGCGCAGCCCGGACCCGGATCCGGACCTGGACCCGGACATGGACCTGCACCACACGGCCAACAGCTTCTTCTCGGAGCCGTTCGCGAGCTTTGGCCCGTTCGCGCCCGAGAGCGTCGGGCCCGCTCCGGCACGCATCTCGTTTTCGTCCCATCTTGCGGTCAGCCCCCCGCTGCAGCTGCTACAGCAGCAGGAGGCTACCCCGCCCGAAACGGTCCCGCAGTTGCAGCCTAGACGCTCCAGCAAGTTGAACCGCATGCATACTTCGCCGCTACCACCACCGGCGGCACCACTCGTGGATGAGAAGGAGGTCGCCACGGAAGATGATGCCGAACGGAAGCCTAGTCCCCCGAGGAAGAAGAGGTCGCCGCGTGGTGGTAGTTCTACCGCTGCTCTCACATCACGCGCTACACAGTCACCCCCGAGCCCGCCGTTGACGTATCCACAAGGTGTTCAGCGCCGCAAGAAGAAGACGGCGGCGAAGGACCCGGAGTCTAGTCCAAATGTGCGGCGCTCCCGGACGGTGGAGGGAACACTGTCTCCTCTTGTTGCCCGTTCCAGCGGCAGCGAGAATGCTTTGAAAGAATCGAGCCTCAGTTTCAGTGCACGACGATCACCGACAGTGGAGGGTTCACCGTTTCCTCTCACTGCCGATTGCAGCGGCAACAGTGCGTTCGGACGCTCATTTGAGGAGTTTATGACGCTCAGAACGGGAAGATGGCAGGACTATGGCTCTGACTCTGGAGCGCTGCATCGGGGATGGGACCAGGTTGAGGGGCTGGCGGAGAGCTCAAGATATGAATTCGGGTTTAGCGATATCGAGACGTCAATCAATTGGGGATCACTGTTTGGGAGCCCAGACACGACAAATGTTGTTTCTGAGGCGGCGGCGGATCGGACGAGTGAGCTCGTTGGGAAGGAGGAGGATGCAGATGCAGATGAGGAACAGACGCAGGAGGATCATGTACAACATGCACAACCAGAGGAGGAGGGAGATGACGCTCGGACACAGGAGGACTATGAACGGCAATCGGCGGAAGAGGGAGACGACGGTCAGACGCAGGAGGATCATGCTCCGCCATCAGGGCAGGACGGAGAACATGGGGACGGAGAGGAGGACAACCAGGAGGAATCGGACGAAAACAACGCACCACAATTCCACGGACCACCGATACCTATTCCCTTGGGAATTTCGCTTGCGGATTGCGAGGGCGACGGGGGATATTACAGCAATGCATGAGCCATGCAGGCAGGAAGGAGTATATGGGATTGGATTTACACTGGATATCATTGGGATTTCATTATACCCCTGGTTTTGGTCATGACAGGCATAGATGGGGGTGTATCTTGATTTTGGAGAGAACCTGTTCACTCGCCTCCTGCCTTTTCACGTCTTACATGACTGTAATCTTCACGCTTCCACTTCAGGTTTCGAGTCTGAATTGGTCGGTGGGTTGGCCGGTGACGGGAGGAGGGATGGAAACTCCACTTCCCACTCACGTGCTTTGTATGTTGTTTTTTTCTCATGAAGACGACACAATCAATCAATCACCATACATACAAGTTTTGCCCCTTTACTCCCACACATCCGCAAACTCGCCCGCTCCAGCATATGGCCACATCGTAAAGCAGCAGCTACAACGCAAACAGTCCAAGGTCCAAGATCATCTATCAGAGTCGAGAAAGGTATCCATCCGTCCGTCGCCCAAAAAAAAGCAAAAAGCCACCGGTCTCTCTCTCCCTCTACAACTCCTTCTCCTTAATCTTATCCTTCACCATCTCAGTCACTCCCTTCGGCGCCGTCCACCCCATCGCCTCGAACCCACGCTTGAACGTGTAATCCACCGCATGCTCCACCGGCTCATCGAAGATATACGGCAGAAACGGCACGATGGCCAAGCCGAGGCCGATGGGCGCCCACGTGCGCACCCTGACATTCTTCACGTCCTTAAGCGCCTTCCCGGAGTACTTGACGACGGAATGAATGGTAAAAGCGGGCAATCCCATCGACGCCAGGGACTGAAAGATCGCGCGCTGGACCATGACAGTTCTATAATCCTCCAGCGGCGGAGTCGGCATCAACGCGACGGCATTGTTCGTCAAACCCGTCGACGGCGAGCTGGGATACTGCCGCGTGTACGCCTTGTACCCCTCGTTCGCCACGTCGCCGGTGAGGTATAGCCACGACACGCCGTACGCGCCACGGATCAGCCATGGGTGTGCCACCGGCCGGAAGGACTCCCCGATGTCCGACGTGTAGGCGACGTAGCGGTGCGCCGACCGCAGGATCGTCCGCACGCGGTTCGCGTACGCTGCGTACCGAACGTCGGATTCGGTGCTGTCGGGGGCGCTGTGGTGGGGTCAGTCGGCTGGGGAATGGTGGGGGATGGGGGAAAGGGGGCGGGGACACGAACGTTCCGTCCGCGATGTGCTCGAGGAGCGTTTCATCGGTCGGTTTGCCCGTGGCGGGGGCGGCGGGGGCAGCGGGGGTAGTGGTGGGTTTTGTCATTGCTGTGTGCGTGCGTGCGTTCGGTGGTAATATCGGTATCGAGGGGTGGTTGATGGTTGTGTGATGGTGGGGGAGAGGAGGACAAGCGAAGTCGGTTTTGGGTTGTGCCGATGTTGGTTGGTTGCCCAGCGGCAATACGTCATCCCGGGCCCGGTAACCCGGAGGTCGAAAAGTTGCCGGAACTACTGGGACATAGGACGGGTCGGACGCATCGGATGTCACTCGTCACTTCAGTTCGCGGGGGGAAAGTGGTGGGTGGAAGGTGAATAGGGTTTTAAGCGGTTATGGACTTTGGAGGGTGCTTAGATAGAAGCAGATATGGAGGTGGCTGCTTCGGAGGGAAGATCGTGGCGAGCATGTGATCTCGATACACTGCGGAAGTACTCTTGCCACTGCACTCGTAGCTAGATATAGATTGCGTATGCCTGTTGGACGTCAATGGTGGATTGCGCCTGTACATACCAGAGCCTTTTACCAAACTTAAATAAATATCGTGTGCTCTATATAGACTTGATGCTGTGGCTCTAGACTGCAGTTGCTATTCATCATCGAATCGAGTTTGAAACATTCCATTCTCCCCTCCTAGGTATCATACATGCCTTTCGCAATAAACAACAGAGCAGGCGCCACTGGCCATAAAGAAGCTCTCCACTGATTGATTCGATTGATTATTCATACAGCATGGAACCCTAAGGCTATGGCCGGTAGAGGCATCATATCTGCAATAAAGCACTTGACAAAGAAATTCCACCACCAAATCCCAGAAACAGAAGCGACAGTCCAAATCCCTTTATCCTCACAATATTTGAAAGCAAGCCTTCGGACAAGCTCGAGTTTTCTGTTGTGCGCTGTAGCGATGCGTCGTAGCCCTCCTCTTCTCGGGGTTTGCTCGCTGTCAAGGCCGGAGCCCGATGAAATTATGAATAGCAGCGGAACGTATTTAGATCGAAGGCGGGGTTGACACAATGCCAGGCGTCATGGGCCGACCTGGTTCTGTGCGCAAAGCGCTGAGCACTCACCCGGGAGTTCACTCTCCTCCGGATCCCCGCCGCCACTATCTCGATTCTCGCCTGCTGAATAGGCTCTCTAGAGTGATAGGACGGTCTCCACTCTGCTACGGCTACTCGTCACTCGGGAATCGTCCGGCGTCAAGCGCCTAAGTCTCTCTGACACGCTAAAACGAGCTCTGCTCTTTGAGTGAGGGTCCACCCGCAGCACTCCTTCGTGTCCCGAATCACCCGACATCAAACGCCGATGACTACCGAGTTAGCGGCCGCTGCGTCTAATGCGTTTATTATACACTCCATATAGCATTCCACCCCAACTGACTGACCCAGCGAACAGAACGCTTTGGAATCATGACAGCTGATATGTAGCTGTCAGTTTTCATTTCGCTTTGCTTCTTCTACATATGTGACATGGCACCGAGTATCCGGCTGACCCAGGCAAGCTCGCCTAGGTACCTACCATACCTACAGCATCCGCCCGAAGCCTAAGTACAGTGCGTGTACCTCCGCCTTCTCCGCCGGATTCCGGTGAGGTGAGAACTCGAGCGCAGACGGACTAGGTACAATATAGGGCCACCACTCGTGGGTGGGTGAGCACTAACCGCCCAAAATCCTAGATACCTGAATAGATGAAGTGCAGAATAGTAAAAAATAGATATCTACATGTGTGTACATGTACACACATAACGGGTATCACAAGCCGAAGCACAAGCACAAGCACAAGCACAAGCACAAGCACAAGCGAACGTTCCCCGTATCGTATCGTATGAAATTAACCACAGTACCGTACTGCGCCCTCAGAATCCCCAGATAGATATCCCCATATATAAACATTAAAGAAAAAACCGACAACCCCCGCAACCGACCGACCAACGCCAAAAAGCCAAAAAGCCAAAAAAGATCGACAGGAATAAATCATAAATGGCACGGACGCCGTTCCATCCGTTCCGTTCAGAAAAAATATATATACAGGAAAAATAGTTCAAGATGCGGGTGGGGGGAAAAGTGTTGCCCCCGGCTCTCGTGCGGGTTCTTGTTGTAGCAGTGGGCGAAGTGGCGGCGGCGGTGATGGCGGATCAAACGGTTCCGAGGGAAGCTCGCTGCGCGCGTTCCCCGCAAGTTCTAGCGGCGAGTGTTCCGCGTTTTGTCCGTGATAAGCTCCCACTTTTGGGAGCGGGCTGTTCTCGTCCAATGGACTGCTGTAGGGGGGCGCCCCATACATGGGCGTAGCGGTGCTCGACGAGTACACACTGGGATCGTGCATCCACTGTTGTTGAGTGGGCATCTGTGGTGGTGCTCCGCCCTTCTCACCGCCTTCGGCTTGCTTCCGGCGGAATTTTGGAAGGAAGTATACCAGCCCGACGATGAGGCCCATGAGCACTGCGAGGCCGCCCACCGCGCCGCCCGCAATCGCGCCGATGTTGGCGCCCCCGCCGTCAGAGCTGCCGCCACTGGCTGGAGTGCTGGTCGCCGTCGTACTGGCGGTTGTGCTCGCAGCTGTGGTTCTTACCTGGCCCAAATAGGTGACTGCGACCGAGGCGGAGAAAGAGCTTGCGCCGCATCCCAACGACGACATGCCCGTAATCCACGCATATGTCCAGCAAGAAGGTGAAGCCGTGTCCGAACTGCTTGGAGATCAGCACTGGGACCCGTACATACGGCTGACGGATGGACTCGATGTGTGCTATGTACCATGTAACGACCAGAGGATTGGCCGAGCAACCGCCGGCACAGCTCGAGACATCGCGCCTGTTCACGCAGCTGGTGTACTGCGAACACGATTCCGCAGGCGCATCCACGTTCTCGCAGCATCCGACGGCGCCAATGACGGTGTTGAACATACATATCCGACGAAAATCCGCGCAGGCGACTGGACTCGCTGTGGGCCACCAATATCAGCTTCCGTGAAATATTTCCTTCCCTTCCCTCCCTCCCCCCGGTGCAAGGACATCGCCGGATATATACGCACAAGGATTCGCCGACACATATCCGCAGAAAACCGCATTATCGGTATCAGCCCTTGCGAACAAAGCGTCCGCGGCCATTCTCCCGCGTATCCTGGGCGGTTCCGTCGGTTTCGGCGAGAACCCCATCCACTCTGCCATCGGCCGCTGATCCGCGCTCGGAGTCGCCGTCGCACTGGGCCATGGCGCTTCGATCCCGTGTACGTGCGCTATTATCGCGGCGAGAGAAAGTAGGTATAAGTAGTAGTAGCCGAGGCTGCGTCGTTGAGCGAGGCCGGAATCGAACATTGCTACAACTATATGTAGCTGTGGATTGTCTGCCTGTCTGTGTCGGCAAAGTGAAATTTGGGGTGTCGATCGGTGTAATCTTCCCGCGACGGAAGTACGTGCAACGAACGAACGAGGGCGCGCGCGCACCCGGGAGTTATATAAGTGCAATGAATGATCGCTGCGGAGGTGTGGCTGTGAGACAGGGAAGGATCCGCCTTGATCCAGTTACGGGCAGTCATGTCACTTATGTACGGTACTATATGTACGGATGGAATACGTCTAGCTCCAAACACAACGCTGTTGGCCACCATGCTACCACCACTACCACCACCACTTTCTAACAATTGCTATGCACAGGGGAACAAAGAGATTCCCGCATACCTATCCGGATGCATCGTCGGAAACGGCCATGGCCTATGAACAGAGTTATCCTTAAAAGAAAGAAACGCATGGGGGGGGGGGGGGCGCGAGAAAATCCAGTGGGCGAACGATCGATGTAACGTGGCTTGCGGTTTGCTCCCCGGTTGGTCGTGTACGCGCGGCACCGAGAGCAGGTTTTGGCCCAATGTATCAAGCATACCCTCGACGTACTCTACTCGTACATGGTATTCGCTCGAGAATAGAGGGTACTTACTTCGAGTACCTCGGTGGCGGTGTCACACCGCCAACCTAGGTTTCAACGCGTTATCCAGTACCAGGATGAAAGATGGGGGCCGTGATGCAAGAACATGTACATCATATGACATCACTCGGATCGGCGAACCATGGCGTCGTCTTTCGAGCTTGAAGAAGGTGGCAAGAACATTTGTCCAAAATAAGTAACAGAAATGATCGCCAGGGCATAACTTCCCGCTTGCGGAATCGCTAAGTGCATCCTTCGAAAATCCCCTAGAAGCCCCCTGTCCCGCTCGCAACAAAATCCGGCCATCAGACAGGCCGGCCGCTCTCTTCGCCTTCAATGATCCGCGAAATCCCAATACGACAGCTCTCCGTCGAGATATAGCTGTGAAACCAAGTAATCGATCACGACGCGCCGCGTATGTGCCTGGCACTCCTTCGAGCACGCGCGGAAACTCTCCTGGTCCCGCGTGATGGGCGGATAGAAATGGTCGTACTCGTCGGTCCAGCATAGCTGCATCAACTCTGCCTGGTTGATTCCCCCGGCGATGTACTTGCCTAGCTCGACGGCGGTGCGGAATTTTCCTGGAGTGGATTGTGGATTTTAGCGAGTGCTCAATGCTCAGTGAGAGGCGAGAGGTGAGTGTTACCCTTTTCGAGAGGGCCGCTAACTGCTGCGTTGGTGTCGGCAGTGGCTGGTTGGGCTGGTTGAGGTGGTCGGACTGGTTGGGCTGGTCGGACTGGCTGGGCGGCTCTTCGCGAGGAGGAGGACATTGTGAGGTCTGTCTTGTGGTGGATAGAAGATGAGTATGAGGTGATTGTGGGTTGAAGAAGAAGTAGAAGTAAAAGAAGCGAGAGAAGGTTAACAAGAGCACCAGCCAGAGAGTGCCCGCTTTTTGAGCTTGGCTGTGGCCGTGAGTTTAAAAAGTTATGACGCTCGTGCCAAAAAAAAACCTAGAACTCAATGTTAAAGTTTTCCAAGTAGTTAAAGTTCGTACTGCAAACCCGTACATCGCTGAGCTACTGGGCCCGACGATAGTTACTGCGTTGACGAGCTTCGTGTGCGGACAGTGGAGTCTGGATTCTGGAAGAACCATTGCCAGTCACTCGACCCGTTGTTTCACGCTTAGCTGCTAGTAGTTGCGGAGCCTGTGAGCCGCGCGTTTAAATTCGATGGCTTCCAGAGTCCAAACAGTGATTATCGGCCATTGTTAGCCTCGTTCCAACTGGATACCGCTCGCATCTCAGGGGGGAAGAGCTTCGCTAGAGTATTCGAGTGAGATTGGGCAAGCGCAATTGAAGTACAGTGAAACGGCCGGACGAGACGAGGCGAGACGATGGAAGGGTGAATAGAACGCCACAGGCCCCAACGGCGAAAGCGGTTAATGAACCGAAGCTCAAATGCTCGTCACAACGGTCCGCCGGTAAGGTCGCTGCCGCCTTTAGTTATTCTATCAAAGGCTATCATCGAGTTGCTACTCTAAACTCTATGATGGGGCTGGCCAGATCTTGAGTCTGGATTTAGATCTGGATCTACTATCCACACTGCGGTTGCGAGCCCACCACAAGGCCGTCAGTAATCCCGATTTCGACTTGGAATCCTTCCTCATTCCAAGGTCTTGGAACTCCTCCATCTGCACCCCGTAACCAGACTCAATGGTGGCCAAGTCAACTCCAGCACCACATTACCACACTCAACATCCAAATCATCCTCCCGATTTTGAGTAGGCATGGTAAGGTAAATTACCCTTTCATCGATTAACCACCTCTGCTCTACCTATTCACTTACGCCAACCTCTGGCCATAAGTTAAGAACACAAATTCACCCAACATGCACGGCCAGTGGACCGGGGAGCGCCGCCTTCCAAGCTGGAATACCTAAGTTTTTGAAGGAGAGCCTCGAAGGGGTACCGGTATGTAGAGAGGATGAAGTCCATCGCCACGTGGAACTCAGATGGTCGTCGACACGGCCACACGGGTTCCAGCCCTCGCAACCGCAAGCCCTCCGATGACCAACCGAAGGGAGGAATTAAGGTTAAGCTTTATCTACATACCCACCTGTAAGTTTAGTCGTTAGTTAGACTCGATAGAAGGGTAGAAGGCAGAAAAGGCAATCCGGAGGACTCCGAGTGCATAAATCCTTCATGCTTCAGGATGTTTGATCACGGCAACGGAGAGGGCCAGATAAGTGCATACTTTTTGCATGAGCCGTGGGTCGTGAGTTGCCGTTACCGTGACTACCCATTCCCGCTCCACTCCGATGGATGATGGATGATGGATCCGTACTTGGATTTAGATCCGGATCGTCCCCTCCCCCAGCAGGCTGCGGGCTGCAGCCGCCACAGCCGCCGGATCACTGATGTCGACTGAGCCTTCCGTATCTGGCCATCCTCCCACCCCCCCCCCCCCTCCCCCTCCCCCATCCCAGACGAACAAACCCTGCACATAGGATATTCGGACATTCGGACACGACCGAGCACCACCTATCCACCCATCCGCCTATCCGCCCAGCATATATGTCCCGAGGTAGGTATGTACCCAGGTCATAGGTCCCTCTACATATCATACATCCCAGGATGCCGAGCCCCAACGAACTAACGAACCAACGAACCAACAGTTCGGAACGGTAGTTATCCTCATTATCCCCAAAGTGGTGAAGATTTACAGGAATGGGCGGAATCCGGGTATATACCTACCTGGTAGGTAGGTGCTCTTCCCACAGTTCGATGATGCCGGCCGGGATGCTAGATATCCGATCCCGTACATACATCATGAGAATTGTGGACGGTCCAAGACTTTTTTAGCAAATTCATAGACAAATTCACAAACAAAGGGAGAGAGAGAGAGAGAGCAAGAACGAGCGTGCAATGTGTGATCGAGAGTCCAATTTATACACTGAGCAGTGAGCAAGCAGCCGTTCATCCCAAAATCCCAAAGCGATAATGCCATAACGTCATACAGAAAGTCCAACAGAAAACAGAAAGTCCAACATAAAACAGAAAGTCCAACAGAAAACAGAAAGTTCAACAGAAAACAGAAAGACAAAAAAAAACCAGCGCTCAAAACAAACAATTCCTCCCGAGAAAATGCAGATACGTCAGTTAGTATCTATCATGCCAAAACAATCCAATCCAATGATCAACCCAATCCAATCCAATCCAATTCAAAAAGAACCCAAGAAAACACACACACACTTCCCTCCAGAACAGAATGCCAAAAAAATCCAAAAACTTATGATACAGATGCGTGTAGAGAGTAACGGGGGTCGTCTATGGGAATCCTTTCGACCCAAAGCACAAAGCAAACGGAAAAACCAAAAATCCTCGAGGGCTACCTTCTATCCTTCTATCCTTCTATCCTTCGCGCCTCTTAAAATCCGTCTCTTCGACATCAGCCTCACTGGCCTTCCCCCCAAACTCGACCTTGACATCGCCCTGATCGCCGCGCATCATCTCCTCATACCACTCATTGTCGCCCTCCGAGACGGGGCCCTTGACTCCCTCGAGGCGATATGTCAGGCTGGGCTGGACCACGCAGATCCCCTCGTTCTGGCAGATCTCGACGCGGTCGAGGTTCTTCATCTTCGGACCGGTGGGGCCATTGACGTATGCGAGGTATCCGGCGACGCGGTATTGTCGGCGGTCGTCGAGTGGGTAGAAGCGGTCACCCCAGCGGCCCTCGTAGTGGAACCAGGCTACGGGAGCCCGTGCGTTGTCGACGTCTGGTGTGAGAACGTCCGTCGATATGTCGTAGTGGTACATGTAGTTGTTCTTCACCGGGTCCCAGAGATGACCTTTGTTCGTGTGGTCTGCGAGTAGGTGGAGGGGGATTGCATAGTAGTGGGGGCCTGGAGTGGCGTAGTTGGCGTGGGATCCGCGCGCCGAGTAGGTCACGGGCTGTGGGGGATGGTTAGGGCGCGCTGCACGAGTCAAAATCCGGGCAGGTTGGAGCGGCTTACCCTTTTGCCGATCTTCTCGACGACAGCGTACTCATACGCTGCGCCGCCACTATGCTCGCTGAAGAACATGCTCACCGGCTGGCCGTCGACGAACCGCACAACGGTATGCTCTGTTCGATCACATCGTCAGCAACCGTGGCATATCGGTTCCCCCATGGTGTGTGCTCACCCCAGTCTCCAACATGATTCCCAAACCTCCATCCAGCAACCGTATTCCCCAGATTGAAGCTGTAGAAGTAAAAGTAGAAAGCATCCACAATTCCTCCTTCCTTCTCCGTCCAAATGATGATTCCCGGAGCAGCACTCAATCCGATATCGTCCTTGCTACCTGAGGTGCTAGACGGAACGTTACGGTCTCCGCGCAACCACGATGGTGGATTCGAAGGGTCATCGTCGGATGTGAGGTAGACGTGGTCGCCAAATGTATTGTATCCGTCCAGATTCTGGAGTGTCGCATGGCCGCTAGGGGAAGCTATCGGCGTGTAGTTTAGGAACGGAGTGGTATGTAGTAGACTATTTCCCCGCACACATCAGCTATGAATCCTCCCGCTCGAGCTGGGGGGGGGGGGGGGGGGGGGGGCACTTACTGTTCGCCAATATCACCGGGCATAAACTTCTCCTCACTATGTAGATAAACATACGGAGCTGCGCGCCTCGATCAGCCCTCGTTCTTCCCCTAGCCTTTCGGGGCTCACCCACCATAATCCAGCACGAACTCCGGCGCCCTCCTCAACTTCTTCTTTACTTTCTTGTCACCGACGATCTCGCCGGGCTGATCCCCGGGACGGGCGAGCCAATTCGCACACACGCCGGTGGTCTTGCACACGCCCGCGCTCCACCCCGACAGCGCCTTCTCGGCGCCAGCGTATTCGCCGCGGCTCCACGCGTCGGGCGATACGCGGCCCGCTATCGCGATATGCCACAGCCCTAGCACTAACAGCACGCTGAGGAAGATGACCACGGGGCGGCGGAGGTGCGCCATCGGCTTGTAGTGGTGGTGGTGGCGAGCGGCGGAACGGCGGCGGTGTGTAGGAGCGTCAAGGGAGGCGGTGATGTTGTAGGTGGGGGATGAGGTGGAGGAGATATTCGCATGTTACGATCACCCAGGAGCACGTGTGTGAGTGTGTGTGAGTGTGTATGTACGTTGGAAGGGTGGAGAAGTATCTATCGAGGTGGTGGGAAAGCCGGAAGTCACGGAGTTTGGGACCGGACCTGACACGGAGGTATGGGTATGACGGAACCTGAGCTGAATCGATGTTTTAGCTGCCCGTTCTTAGTCAACCACCATAACCATTACTGATCGTCGCGCCACCAGAGCGGATTCGATCCGAGAGGAGAGGAGAGGTCCCAACGGAGTCTGCGTTAGCTAGGGCGCGGCGGAGATCGAACGAGAGGACATGGACCGGCATCATCACTTCCGTCCGTAGTGTAGTGGACATGTACACATACTGGTACTCTATCTGACTAGCAGGTATGATACTGCACACGACATTTCCCTCTTTCCTCCCGCAAAAGGCCCAATCGTGATAATGTAGGTAACCCAGGGCCAAAGTGCACATCGATACCTCAGACAATCTCCTCACCCCCTCTCCCGAGTCACAGAGACTGTTGGTGGAGGATCCAGCATCGACATCGGGGCTTACAAAGTCGTTCTGCGAGCACCGGGAGCTCCATGTTCGCTCGCATACCCTTGCTGTTTCAGGGAACGGCTTAGCCTACGTAACTTACTCGCGGATAGGGTATCGCCGTGGCTGGCTGGCTGCCACGCACGAAGCTGTAGATAGACAGGTAGACAGGTAGACAAGCAGGTAGATGGGTTCCCTTGGTATTATCTTCAGCTTTTTCCCGGCCTGCCAGCAAATCGACGACAACGAACCCAACCGCAAGATCAGGCGGACAGGATTGCCTACATACCGGTAGACACGGTGCCTACCTATTGAACGAGTATGATAGTTACCTGCCCCGCTTTCTTTAGATCCCAAATCCCAAATCCCAAATCCCAAATCCCACGCAGGTCGTCGGTGGTGAATTACGAGAAGACTCATCACGCATCAACATCGATCACACCTTCCCGGCCCCGGTCACCGTCACCGTCACCGGCACCGGAAGGGAGGAAAAAGTACCACCCGTTGCTTTCACATCCGCGGCGCGTGTTGCACCGCAGCACGCCGGATTACATATCAAGCCCGGTATTTACATATGAGGTGGATCGATGGCCTGGATGGACTATTAACCCACCCTCCACCCTCCCTCGTCGTTGGCAATTGGCAGTTGGCACTGCCGTTCCCCATGTGGATTAGAAAAGTGAAGCTCGAGAACCCCCCAAATCCGTATCGTCGAGTCAACCCACCCGGAAGACTGTCGATGGCGTCACTGGTACATAGGGCGGGGAGCAATACGGTACTCTACGGTATCCCAGTACAAATCACTACCTAGCCTCCTAGCTAGCGGCTCGTGCTTACCAACGAAGGAGCGCGTTGCGCCGCCGAAACGAAGCGAGGGACGCTGCATGGAAAACCCCACTTCTGCCGGAAAATGCCGCCAGCGTGACTCGTGAGATCGAGTACAAAGTATGTAGATTGAAGCTTTGGCCTTGAAATTGGAGATGGCAATGGCAGCGTTTGGCAATTGATATGTAAGTCCCGGTACTTAGCAGTGGTATGTACGTTTCGGTCGGATGGTGGGGATTAATGCTGCTATCTAGGCAGCCCGAGCCCTCCCATTGTGAGGGGTCCCAAGACACGAGAGACATGAATGCCCTGCCCAATTATTTTGCGCATACATTGGCCATCAATTGTCTATACACAGGTCCGCCTCTCCGCGCCCTCGCACATCCATCTACAAGTCCTTCCTGAACACCTCCGGCCCCCACTTGCGACTCGTCAGGTTGGTGAGACCCGCGCTGTTCTCGCACGTCTGCCGACCACTGAGGGGTCCGGGAGGAGGAATCTGTACGGCGCCGACCTTGCGTCCCTTGCCTGTGTTGATGCCCTTGCCGGACTTGACACCGGCGTCCTTGCCCGTTTCGGCACCGGTACCCTTTCCGTTGGTGGCGCCCGTCGGCGCGGGCTCATCCCACATCGGCAACTGCTTCGGCAGGGAGTCGGCGGCGGCCTTGAGCGCGTTCAGGAGCTGCACTACCGACTCGGCCGTCAGGTCCTCGTAGAAGTCGTCGTTGATCTGGACCATGGGAGCTATACGACATCACATCGCGTTAGCTGACGGAGGGAAGGGAGGGGAGCAGCCACGAGGGCGAGCGGGATTACCGTTGACGCAGGCGCCGAGACATTCAACCTCGGAGAAGGTGAACACGCCGTCCTCGGTGCTGTGGCCGGGGGTGATGCCGAGATGCTCCGTGATCGCCTTCATGACCGCGTCCGAGTTCTGGAGCATGCACGGTGTGGTCGTGCACACCTGCAGGTGGTACTTTCCGACTTTCTCACGGTTGTACATGGTGTAGAAAGTAGCGACCTCTGTTCACTCCGACAATCAGCCTATTGCCCTTATTCCGACCCCACCATCCTCTCCCGCTCTCCCATCATAGTCGCCACACACCGTAAACTCTCATCGGCGGAATCTCCACAAGCCTCGCCACCTCATTCATGACCGAGATGGAGCAGAATCCATGTTGGCGCTGACCCAGGTCCAGCAGCGGCATAGTCGCCGCCTTCTTGTACTGCGGCGGGTAGCGCTTCAGAATCTCATCGATGAGGCGAAGGTTCTGTTCGGTAAACTTGAAGGGGATCGAGGGATTGTTGTCCGGTGTGTTTCTGTGCTGCCCCGGTCGTCAGCGCACAGCTCAATCTCCCTCGAGCTCCCGGAAACAACACAGCTCTCCCGCACAGAGAGCAGCGAAAGAGGTGCGAGGAGTGGGATCACACACCACCTGGAGAGCATCCGATCGTCGAACGCCGCATTCCGAGAAGGCGCGGGTTAATTTCCGAACAGGAAGGGCGACAACCCGTCGACGAGTTCCGGACAGAAGAAGACGGGTGGGGAGCCTCAGCGACATGGTTATGGCGTTTGGTGGTGGATGAGGGGAGATTGGTAGGTAGAGGCGAGAGTTGGTGATGTCCTTCGCCGCTAAACACTGCTTAGTCGGGATTTGACCAACATATGATTGGCGGGTAATATCGGCCAAGACTTGTCTTCACAGCCGCTCACTCGATATTGCTGATGTTTTCCGCATACCGGCAGAGCTGCAAAAAAAAATTCGCTCTCCAGTTTGTAAGGCATGTATGCGTACACTCATACATACACATCAAAATTTATATAACTGACAAATATACATGAAAGAGAACTCCTCACACCATATCAGAGAAATCTCCAGCCCGTTGAAGATCACCAAAAATAAATACACCCTACTCCATCGGCCTTCACTTTCAAGAAAATCAGATCCGAGCGGCAAATTAAAACAGAAAAAGACCCTCCTAGACATCAAATAGAAAGTTCATTAAACAAAGGAGGAAAAGGCAGAGATTAAGAAAACAACTTCGAGAGCACCTAAAATTCAAACCCACACAGCTCCAGAAATTCCAGGATATATTCTCCCAATCCTTGCACTGCAAACTCATCGACGATTCCCCACGGTCTGCATTCAGACTTCCATTTGTTGAAGACTTCTTTGACCTGCAACTCTTCCATGCGCTTCTGGGCTTCGAGCCCATTCTCCTTCAAAACGATGCTGGTATCGTAGCAATCGCTCCAGAGGGGACTATCTGGTCTCCAGGTGTATCTCTCAAGGCACACAGTAAGGTGAACCTTTTCGATTACAGCCCCAGGAATTTTGCAAAGTTGGCAAGGCCTCGGAGGACCTTCGAACAAGATGCCACTGACATAGTCGTCTCGAGCATCATAGAACAGGGCGCAACCCAGGCGATCGACAAGGGGATGCACAATCGATTCGGGAACCATCTGTCTCAAGGTGCGCTTAGCGTATTCCTTGAGGACTATTCGTTCCTCGGCTTCTTCTTGTAGATCTTGTTCATCAAAGGTTTTGACGTGTCGTCGTTTGTCCTGGAGGCTCTTTATTCCGGGTTCCAAACGGTTGAGGCGGTAATCTACCCATTGACGATAGAGCTCCTGGAGATCCGAATAAACACGGATGTTGCTCATGAACGATGAATCGTAAATGCCAATGGCCTTGGCTCGATACGATGTGACGATAGTGATTCGATCGTCGAGGAGAGATGTGGCGGGCAATGCCAGATGCTTCACGAGACCACCTTGCAGCATCATGGCACTTCCCATACCGGGTTGTGCAATCTATGACCAAAACTCAGTAAAAATAAATAAAAACGGATGGATTACCTACCCCAACGAGCCGATTATCGCCGCATCGAATGACGGTTTCTCCACCGACCATGTCTGAAGTGTCACTCACCATGGCGACGCATACCCAAGGGTAAGAATCGAAGCTGCAGAGAAGCGTTTAGTTGGTCTCCAGGGGATGAAATGGAACGTAAGCTTACTGCCAAGGTATCAAACTCTTCTTAGCAGCAGCTTTGTCGATTTCTCCTGACGATCTGCTATCTTTGGCTTGGGTTGTTCCAGGAATCGCGAACCGCCCGGAGGTCAACTGATGAGCCACGTTGTTCAACGTCTCTTCCCTCGTCATGCCAGCGCAGCTAGCAAAATCGAACTGAATATTTGCATGGCCGAGTTCCATGGTTTCCATTACAGGTTCGAGGGAAACGCCGGCAGCCTGTGAGAGTTTGTGGACGACGGATGGATGACTCCACATACGGCGAAAGAAAGGAGAGTAAGCGGCAGTGTTACGAACTATCAATGTCTTGGAACCAAAGATAGCGGCGGTTTCATCAAGATATCGTGGATTGAGGAGAGCTTTGCGTATGAGAGGAATCGACTCGGGGGTGAAAAGCGGAAACGTTGAAGTAGCGGCAACCGCTGAAGTAGCAGAGCCCGGCTGCTGGATTCCAAGTTCTTCGAAGGTGTACTTCGATTCAGGCTGCTGATCTAGTGATAGATGAAGCTGCGCAGGTCAGCTTCAATAGTCGAGGCCCTCAACAGGAACTGGATGCTGAGATACCTTTGGATCGAAGGTGGGATCACTCCACCCCGCTCCCAGTGGTCGTCCGCCAGTCGGATTGGAGAACTGCATGTCCAAAATGTGCTTTGTCTGTCGAATCTTGTGTATAAGGCTTTCCAAGCTCTCTCCATGATTTGGCATCTCTGGGGTACGGTACTGAATTGTCATTTTTGTGTTGGTAGATCAGATATTAGGGACGTATGATTAGTCGACTTGTGTATCTAGGAGGAGCGTAAATCCGTAGTGAAATCAGGACTATTTGAAGAGTACTGAGCGGTATAAGTCCGGATTCTCACAAGATGATTGCAGGACAATCGAGGGGCAATAGGATACGTGGACAGATACTCACTGGCTGTAATATTTGACGTCTAAATCTTGGCTGTACCAGGCGGGAAGATCAATTAGAGATCAGAAGGAGGTAAAAGAGGTATATTAAGTATGAGATGGCGATGAAGACTGAGATGAGTACATATGAATAGGTAACGAGGAAGGAGAACAAGGGCGGACGAGTCGAGAAGGAGAGGAAAGGGTAGACACGGCCGAGTTACGGCAAATATTAGTAGGGACCGGGCCACACCTTCACTGCAAAGACCCATATGGATGCTGCTGGCCTAATGCGGATGGATTTTAAAAACGGCTTTTATCGCCCATGTACCCCTCTATCCTCGATGTACCCCACACAAAATTTCATAATTAAAGTAGGGGAATTCTCCACCACAAAAAAACAGATTTTGTTTCTCCACCACATTTTCTATGTTATTGAAGCACTGAAGCTCGCTATGGTGCTGCTTTTCCAATTTTTATAACGATTTTTTTCGGGGGTTATATGTTCTATCGGTTGAGAAGTAAATTTTTGGTTGGTATTTCAGTGACGAGTCAATCCAATTAAGTGGCGGGTCCATTAACTTTAGTGGCGAGTTAATCCATCTTAATGACAAGTCACTAGATGTGCGCATAGCGAGTCAGTAACTTTTATGACTCAAGCGCAAATTCCACTCATCTGGTCTACGCTGTTTACAACGCGCGACTGGAGACAAATTGGCCATTACACAGTTATGCAATACACGGAAATTCTCAGTAAAATTATTTCGATGATAATACTACAATATCTCGGGGTGCATTGTTTTTCTATCTCACTTTCAGCAGCATTGCTGTGGCTGGCTGGTGAGAGTATCTGGCTGGTGAGAGTATCTTGCTGGTGAGGGTTTTGCGTACCGACGAGGGCACCGGGTATCGGTTTAGCTCCACCGCGGGCATTCTATACCTTTCCCCAGAAAAAGGCAGCCACATATGGAGGTAGAACTAAAATCTGTTTTGTTGTGGTGGAGAATTCCCCTACCTACTTTAATTATGAAATTTTGTGTGGGGTACATCGAGGATAGAGGGGTACATGGGCGATATTTTGGCGCTTGAGGGGTACATGGGCGATAAAAACCGTTTAAAAAAGTATTTTAGAGTATCGACGTCGGTAATGGCACGACCGCACATTACCCGTTTTACTCCTTCGCTTCAACAAGAATGCCTGCATCGCCGAAGCCAAGTCGGCACATTTCATCAGTCTCATCATTGATCTCGCAACACCTACAGTCGGTGAGCTCCCTCACGGTATGTAAAGACTTGATTGACAGCTCGGCTCATAAGGTACATAATACACACAATTATGCAATGTTTCTCCCACTGAGCTCCAGCATTGCCTGGTGAATCTGGATTGGACTGATCGTTTCTTTGCTCGATTTAGATGCCATAACAAAAAACAGCCTTTTGGCAGCATCCTCCATGATTGACTAAATCTCCTTCTATTCGCCGAATTCACGGTGAGTTACATACTCTCCACGCAAGAACCCGGGTACTCGAGAGGTGTGCCATATATCATCTTTCGTTCTCAGCAATTGATCCGATGCCCTTGCTCTGGAACCGTTCCTGCAGCGGTATACGGCAGTTACAGTGCTTATGCCTTCGAATTATGCAGATTGCCGGTGGTGCGGACTGGTGTCGATCGTATCGGTCTCCAACAGGCTCTATCTCTGCAACTGGCCGTCACGTCAGCATTACCAACTCGTCGACGAGTCTCGACCGATAACTGGCCCTCTGGATATTTTTCTGCGGTAAGAGCCAGTCACTGTCTGGTGGCTTGTACTCGACAACCCGGCCCTGAATCGAAAGCCTCTGATTCGGTGGTGTGGTGGGGTCGGGGTTTGGGTACAGCTGAAGGACCAGAATCACCGGGAATCAGACAGCTTCCATATCTACGCCCCACATGTGCTTGTAGACGATTTGAACCCCACGCGAGTACCACGAATTATGTTTTGTGTTTATTAATGTTCATGGATAAAGACCCGAATACATGAGGCGTATCACAACCACGATAGAAGATGCACCTTGGACATGGTAACTGCGGAAGCGAGAGAGGGTGGATCGCCGCTGAGGATTGTAAGCTGGTAGAGAGTGCGGTGGGTTGCGAGGTTCCGGGATCGTTTCCGATTTTGGTAGTACCATGGCTCAGATATTCAAGAAAGCTCCAGAAACCGCACAATGGTACATGTGCATGTGCGTGCATTTAACACTGAATATTCAGCCTTACGTTGTCGGATCATACGGTTTGGTCACGGTTCCGAAGGCTATGCTCTCGAACTGGACCACCCCGTTGCTACCCAAGAAAAGCAACGCCATATCCGAACATCCACTTCATTCATACCGAGCTACCCGCCCTGTTCCAAGTTATGGGTTCGGTGTTTATTTGTGATCAAAATCTTCCTGTGAATATGATACTGTTTGTCGGATTCATCATCTGATGCCAACAGCACCCCGATAATTTCCCCCTGTAGTCACCCACCGGAAACACACATCTTGGCTCCTCTGGACAGTCAAGGAGCTGCATCTTCGCGAAACTTTAGTATGCATCTTGATGCCCTTTCCCTCACGCTCCTGATCGGCGGGGGTACAGAAAATCTCGTCCACGGGCGGCCAGGCTTAGCCTTTGAAGCTTCGGAGCGTAGGGAGCCTTTTGTTTTAATACCTTCCATGATTGAGTTCTCGGTGATCAGGTGATATATATGCCTCATAGTACCACAGATGGAGGAATAGCCTTACAATTGTTATGAGACACGCCCTTCTGGTGCTTCTTCTAGACGCTGACGCTTGATGCTTTGTCAGTTCGGGTGATCGTTTCCGCTTGCTTCTCGAAGTGTCAATTAACACTGAGATGTCCCATAGTTCCACTGTAGGCATAACTTCACTTCCCTTTCCATTTCTGTCATAATTAGTCGCACATGACAAGTTGACCCATCTGGAGACTTCACCTCCTCTCACTCGACAAAGAGCCTTGGCTAGGTTCATTGGTCCTCGAGTGACCACAAGTGGAGGACAGTGGTGCAAGTTGCAGTTAGCCTGGAATGACATCATCGGCCAACTTCCTCGCACTCTCCCAGCCGGGCTCTCTTCATTCTCCAGACTTGACTTCGACAATCACAAGTTGACAGTCGACAACAATGGCTTTCTCCGTATTGAAGTCGCTACTCGTGGAGCCTTTCAAACTCCTCCTCAACCTCACCCCTCTTGCTAGATTCCTTCCCAAGACAGACGATTACGCGTCGCACCCCGGAGCCCCATTCGAGGGATACTACACGCGAATCGTCACCGCGACAGGATCCACAATCCTCCTTATATTTTCATCCGTTTTCTCCGCTACCGATCGGCCCCATCTCGTGCATTTCTCGCTTTTCCCTCGCGGCGGCAACAACCGTATCGTTGTAGACAAGTTCCCGCACATCGCGGAAACGGCTGGACCCACACACCCCAACGACGGCACGCAGGAATTCGGCCGAGTCGCGAAAGGCGACGGAGTCGAGGGCACCTACAGAGTATGTCGCGACGAGCAGCGGTACAGGCTCGAGCTGGATACCGCGGAGGGCAAGATCGAGGTGTCTATTGATATCACGCAACGCACGCCGTGGTCTGCAGGAGACAAATTGTCGACGCCGGAAGGCATTTTCTCGGTCCTGACTTTCCTTCTGCCGCTTCATTGGAATGTCTTCTCGACCGCGTCTTCGGCCGAGTACGATATCCGCCGCGACGGTGTCGTCGTCGAGAAGGGCACCGGAATTGCGCACCTGGAAAAGAATTGGGGCGTTTCGTTTCCTGCCGGTTGGACGTGGGTCCAGAGTTTCTCGAAACCCCTGAAGGCCGAGGGACTCCGCACGTTCTGTTTGGCCGGCGGCAAGATCATGGGTCAGAAGGCGTACCTCCTCGGCTACAGGTCCGAGAAGATCCAGTGGAGTCTTCGTCCACCTTTCACCTTGATGCCATTCTGCTGCGCGACCCCGTTCGCAGGCGAGACAATCAACTCGAAGAAGGGCACCGCGCGGTTTGAGATGGCGTCGCTATCCAAGAAGCTGGTGGTTGAAGTCTCTGCGCCACCAAACCATGAGGGGTGGCTGGGATTGTGCTGCCCGCTTGCAGATGGACATGGTAATACCTATGCGTATGAAACCTTCGAGGGGTATGTCAGAGTCAAAGCTTTCCAGAGGGGCTGGGGTCTGGGATGGGATTTGGTCGAGGACACGACCTTTGAAGGTGCTGCGGTCGAGTTCGGGGGAGACTACAGCTTCAAGGCCTCTCAGCAGTCTGCATGGTAATGGCTGCCGCCGGGTATGAACATAAAATCTGCCTTAACACGTACGTGGGATGTACTATCGTTTCTCGTGTTCGTTGATTTCTGGTTTTGATTTCGTATATCCATCACTGCGCGGTAGATTATGTAACTATACGCGGGGGCGGTCCGCTAAGCTGGAGACTGAAGTCTAAGGAAAAGAACGCGTTTGATCTGAAGATAAGCAACTGCAGTAGGAAAATGAGTTATAGACGCTGAAGCGCTAAGGTCCTGAATGACCATGCAGGCGTCACTGATATCTATACCCTATCCATCACTAGGAGGCAATTGTGTTATCAAGTTCAACTCCAAAGTGCAGGCCTATATACAATCCAAGTGTTCAAGGGTTTGTGAAGGACGGGTGCTGGGGGTTCGGGCGGATCCCCATCTCGGGCTCACACAGCCCACACTGACCAATGCACGAACGACATCCAGTGCAGTTCAGTGATGTGGTGGGGGACCCCACGCCGTAAACAACAACCTCCACCCCACAAGCCACACCGACCATCGGTAGCAGCGTCAGGCTTAAGGATTCCACGGGTTGAACTCCCATCTGGATTCTGCCCCAGTCCGCTCATCGCCCGGTCGAGCTTTCCATGCCGAGCCGATCCACCCAAGGTCCCATCCGGATAGCTATCCGCCGAAGGATATTGACGAGCTTGCTGTAATATAACCGCCCCTTCGCTTCGTACATAAAAAACCTCATCCCCTCGCACAGCGGCCAGGAGGATGATATTTTTATTACAGAGGAAAACCCGAAGGTAAAAAACCTCTCCACGTAAGGGGCGGTATGTCAGTTCGCTCTCATAGAGAATTTGGGGGGTCGAAGATTGGATCATGGAGTGTAAGCTTGCACCGGAAAGCTTCGGTCTCCGCCCACGGACGGGGACGGAGACGAAATTCTCGTCAGTTTTGTTCCATCATTGAAAAGTTGTATGCGATCTATCTATATGACGAAAATGCTTACACTGTCCGAATATCGCCCAGGCTGTAGGTAGATCGGCCTGATCCGTCACCCCACTGCCCCGCCCACCGCCCGGGCAACCAGCAGAAAAGACAGAGCAAGGCGCGCGTAGGCCTGGTATCTCTACCCCGCCACCGATTGCCTATAGTCAATCTCTTCTGCCACCTGCTCATGCTCTATTCCGGACGGCAGACGCGGCTTTGGGCAGCGTTAGAAACTGGGCTGCCAGATCGTGCCGATATACTTAGCTACAGTCTGGGGTGATATATACCTGGATACCGTATGGGTTTTGTCATAATCAAGATATATCACATCTAATCAAGGATGGAATGAATCTCGGCCCGTGGGCGGACTGGACCGAAAATTTCCGGTGCAAGCTTACACTTTATGCTTCAATTCTTGATTCACCAAATTGTATGTTGCTAGTGCAACTCTAATTCCAAGCCCGCACCACCCATAAATACCCTCCTCCCTCCTTTCCTCTCCCTTTCTCTTCCTCTTCACAGCAGCTACTCCTTCCCCGCCCCCTCCCCCCTCCGCTTTCCATCCGTCAAGAGTCGAGAGTCGAGAGCCGAGAGCCGAGAGCCAAGAGCCAAGAGCCAAGAGCCAAGAGTCAAGAGTGAAGAGTCAAGAGTCAAGAGTCAAGAGTCAAGAGTCAAGAGCCAATATTCAAGAGCCAAGAACGAGCACAACAGCGTGGCAAGAGCAGAGCGAACTGACATACCGCCCCTCACATGGAGAGGTTTTTTATCTTCGGGTTTTCCTTATAAACAAAAAACATCGTCTTCCTGGCCGCTGTGCGAGGGGATGAGGTTTTTTGTTTTGCTCCTGTCACCAACCGATGGGTACACATTCACGCACGTCTCCGCCCCGCCCGGGCAACCAGCGGAAAAGCTAGAGCATGAAGCGCGTTTCCTGACCCGATACCTCCCCCGTGCCATTCCTTCACAATGGCCGATCTCCTCCGCGCCCTCCGCACCCTGCTCACCCTCTCTGTTGGACGCTTTAGGCGGGGTCTGCAACCGGAAGTCGAATTTGCTCCCGCAGCACAGCGCGAGTGATAATGCGTGAAGGCGTACCCAGAGCGAGAGCGTGCGAACGCGCACATACCTACATGGGGTACTAGATAGTACCGACCCGGCGGGTCGAAGACTCGAATACAGCAGCAAATCGAGCGTCTAATTAATCCTGACTCACAGCGGTGAAGAAGGTGGGAGGAGTTCCTCGCTGGTGGCGGGGGCGCGTAGGTACATCGCTGTCTACTGGACGTTTTGCTCTTCTGGCAGGTGTTCGTCCCATGAGCTATTCACTCACGGCGCGTGGCCGAGCAGGATATATACTCGTAACTCTACTCGGTGTCTACCCGAGAGCTGAGCTTACATAAGAGATGTACTTACTCTAAGCTTCCCCACGTGAAACACCGATCCCGTGCCGGCGGGGGTCCGTCACGTCCCGTCGGAGTGTATGATATACGCGCGACGCGTGGATACCTCGCGCCTACCCCCCCCGTACCCGAGACGGCTGAGAATGCGGAAGTATGTATTGTACGACGAGCCTTTCGTCTAGTCGCAATCTTGATCGATCACGACGGTTGAGGGTGTTGCTAATGTTGAGGTGGCTTCCAACTTAGCTTTCCCCGAGTACACTCTTCAATCCGGCTGACATCAGCTCTTGCTCGAGCAGCATATGTGGCCAATTACATAGGAGAGTAATTGGTTAAACGGAACGGTCTGCAAGACGACAGACAACCCCAACGTCGAATCGCACTTTCAATCCATTAATCCGTATTGAGCAACATTACATCACACCGAGATACACCCTAACGCCTCATGAAACCATGTAAACAGAAAACGCCAAACATGAAACGCCAAAGGCCCATAGCTGTCTACCACCACCGCTTCCTACCCTTCGTATCCTCCACCGCCGGCGCAACCGGGCTTGCGACTCTGTCTTCGACCACTCCGAAATCACTCGTAACCGTAACCACAATCCGTTCCCTTCTAGCTTCTGCAGGTACTATCAGATCCTCCTGGCTACTATCCGTCGGCGCACCCTGCGGCAAGAGGTGGCGCGGATAGATCCGTGCCGGTTTTGGGCGTTGGAAGTTATGCTTATTTGTGGTGACGGTGGAGGTGTTGACGCCATTCGGCCCATCGTCGGGGCGCAGACGCAGAGTCTCGCAGTTCTGTGTGGATAGGGAACCGAGGACGTAGGAGCTAGGTGCCATTTTTGAGGAGCTGGTAGAAGGAAACCACTTGAAGTGATGGCGAAAAAAGGGCTTCAAACAAGCGGCACAGGCGCAGACGCAGCCGCTGCCGACCTCGAGGATGGACCAGCAAACGGTTGCGACGAGTGAGCGCGTGTTGTCGCCAAGGTGGTCGTGGCGGGCGATAGTTACGAGGCGGATGATACTGAAGACGCAGGCTCTAGAAAGAATGTTAGTCAGGTGGTAGTGGGGGGAATTGGATGGAGGCATAGTATGCGCTTACAGTCCACCCTGTATTGTATTTTAGTCAGTCGAATATTCAGTGACGGCAGTGAGAGTAGGCACTCACAATAGTCAATAATCCAATCACGGCAATCTTCTGGCGTACCGGCATCTCTATTCCTATGAACAACAGCAGTGGCGATATGAGCACAAGAATATCCGTCACAACGTTGATGCAGGCGACGGCGACGAAGGTTTGGTGTGGGTTGACGCAATGGGCGCCGGCCATCAGTGTTACGTCCCAAAGTGCCGGGACGGGATTGCAGCTGAAAATGATCTTGAAGATGCCTGCCAGCGGTTAGCAGCCGTGAAGTGATGTCAAGAGGCAGGTATGCTCACAAGCAATATTGTAGAGAACCGAGAAGGTCAGCAGACTCCACAGGTACCAACGGATGGGACCGGAGAGCCGTGCTGAGGCCCGTAGCAAGAAGTAAAGGATCGAGCATTTGATGAACATATTGGCTAGAAAGTAGAATATTTGGCTGACAATATCGAGCTGACGTTCCTGTTAGTATGCATTCCATTCGGACATGCCGTGCAACACAACAAGTGTAGATGGTTACCTTGAGAAAGTGGGGGCTATAGAGTGACAGCTTGACATCCCATATGTGCGAGCCCAATCCATAGCGTGTCGCCTCTATGCAGGTCGTGATGCCCAAGGCGAGGGAGAAAAGCTTCACAGAGTTAGTCAGTACATACGATGCCCATCACCATCCGTCCCGTGCATGAATTGACACGCACCCATGCGAGTAAGACAAACACTGATCGAACTCCCAATCAGCACTCGTCATTCAGAAATCCTACGGAAGAAAGGAAGGAAAACGCACCGTCATCCAGTCCCGGTTGACGCACAAGATAAACCCTCGTGTAAAGTCTCAGTCCTAGAAAGATGGCTGAAGTTGACAGCGCCACGATATTTGCTTTGACCACATTGTCGCCCGTCCAGTCGGGATTGTTGAAATTGGATGTGACGCCGGCGGGCGGCGTTGCGGCGGCGACGATCTGTCCATCAGCGTTGAGTGCCAGTGTTGAGGTTCCATTGATACCCATCGAGTCGGAGTAAGGCGCGCGAGTGCTGTGTGTATTCGCCAGTAGGAAACTTGGATGCTCGGTAGTACTATACTCAGGGCGAGGGTGGGCATCGAAGTGTCGGTCGGTCGGTCGGGTTTCCGAAGTTGAATCCAGGGAGACGTGGCGGTATACTAGTAACCAAGCATACTAACCCCTATGGCCCAGCCAGCCAACCCCACAACCCATGGAATCGCTGAGAGAAAATCAGGGGAAGGGAGAGCTTTTAGAGGAGCATACTCTGCCATCTCCGCGTTTCGTTGCCGATCTGAAGGATACCCTGCTTAGCGGCGCATGCAGCAGAAGTGGAGACAGCCGTCTTCCCTGGGGCGCCATCTGATTGGGCATGGGATCTGGGATCACTGGCGCGGCATCTCGGTTGTCTCATCCCCACGCGGCCCCCCAGCTTGTTTTCGCTAAAGTGATCGTCAGGACAACGCCCTGGGCTCGCATCCATCATACCTGCGAGTCGGCTGGAGAATGGACGGACCCCCACGGACTCGTCACCGACAGCAATAGCTCCGCGTCACGGTATCTAACCGTCCGACAACTCTTCGAGTGCGTTTGCCGATGCTCCCAGATGTTGGTGCGCGCGCCGGCCTCCTGCAAGCATTTCCGCAGCCGTTACATAAATGCATCCTCGTCGTCGTCATCATCTCCGGCCGTGCATAAACTTCTGTTTCAACGAGCGTCCGTAGGGCACTGACTTCGATCTTGTGGGTGTGTTGATCCACTCATGCTCGGCGTGTTGGTCATGATGTATAATCCCCCCATTCGATCCCCCGTCGCCGTTCGAAACAAAGCCTCCTACATAAACCCATGTAGGACTGGTTGGTGGAGAGACAATCAGCGTAGGCCCCACGACCAGGTTGAGTAATCGACTAGAAGCCACTCCGGACTTCTTATCCGGCTTGGCTGAGGTGGTCGAGCCGAATGGCACAGAATTGTAACCGGGTAAACGGAGAAGTACATTTTATCTAGATAGCCGAAGAGACGAAAGAAACAGGCGAACGATTCGCTCACCGGTGACCAGTAGACGGAGTGGTCTCTGGAGGTACGGAAGAAAGTCTCAGAGCTCCCTTGCTGCTTCGGAGGGGTTGTTATCGCAGGAGATCTGGAATGGACGGTTGCGAGACGACAATGAGTCAAGGGAAAGCGGGGATGGGAGAGGATGTGGAACTGGATATTTCGGCGGATGGATGGGATGGATAGATCCAGGCACTGTGGTTGGGCCAGTCGACGTTTCGGGGCGCGCTGATAGTCGTCCCTTCACGAGGAAAGAAGAGAAATGGTGGTATGTAGGCTGTAGCTGTGGGCGGCAGCGGCGTAGCTTTCACCGAATAGGTTCATTCTGCCAAGGTACATGTATCAGCGCCCTCCTGACGTAACACCTGAAAGCGTAGTAAGGCACGACAAGCCACAAGAATCGATCACAGTCTCATCGTGCAGATACCTCCTACACAGTCACGATGTCGTCTTAGAACACCGAGACAGATGGCCCCCAGGCCTTCGGAGCCTCGGAGGATGTCTGATCCATCCGACTCAAAATAATCAGCGATAGAGCTTGTCTCTCACAACGCCACGATCGTGGCCCGAGATCCCTGTAATTCGGTCAGGGCCCTCGGGGTAGCTTCACAACGGGGACTTTCGAACCGCTTTCAGTTCGGCCTCCGCCTTTGGAACTAGGTATACCGATTCAGACTGTCCGAACTAGACCAAGATGGTGGAGAAACATCAACCGAGCTCGTGTTCCAAGATTCTCCCGACGGCGCTCAACGACAGCAACATGGAAAGACATCCTTCCCCTTCCGGAGTGCCGATACTCTAGTTACGACGGAGCTTGCCAGGCGCGAGATCGAGTGTCTCGTGTCGCCCAATCGGACAAGCTTCAACTCACTACTAGGGGATCCCAGTTCCACTCTCTCTAGTGTATGAAGAGGTATGCTACTGAACATGAATTCTGGAAAGGAGTTGCAGAGCCAAATTGCCTCACCGAGAAGCACTCAAACCGCATCGCATTACGAGAATCACGACCACTATGACACGGATATCTCCGTCCTCCTTCACGTACGCGCTGAGCTAGCAATGACCGACGATATAGCGGGGAGGATGGGCTTCTCTTCACGGCCGACCGGAATGAGACACCCCAAATGTATAGTACCTCAATCTAGGTCAATACGCCCAACAAAACCTTATCTCCTCGCACAGCATCGAGGCAGATGATGTTTTCATTCTGAAGGAAACCTTAAAGGTTAAAACCCCCATCGACTGATGTACATTCTGGCCGTCTGGTCTGCTCATGCCACGCTGTTGTGCTTTCTCTCAACTCTTGAAGGAACAATAGAAGGGAATGGGAATGTAGAGAAGCAATGCGGCGGGAGGAGAAAATGATGTATAAGAAAGGGAAGTGAGCGCAAGATTTGGAAGTATGAAGTGACGAAGAGTAGGTAGGTGCACAGGGTGAGCTAGCCATATACACCTCGCGGCTACGGTTTCTCCGGTCGACCGAGTGATCGACTCGGATCAACTTTAATGGCCCAAGTTTGATCATTGCGTGCAGCAGCTTATCACTAGAGCTGCGAACTCTCAAACTCGATCGTGAACTACCGCTGGGACTATGCATATCCAACGGTCAGCACGGAGAAGCGCTATGCAACCGGAGGCTCCTGTCCTAATGCGGTAATACCCCCCCGTTGCACCAGATCATCCGCCACTGCCGTCGAAAATTCGCATCATCGAGCGGCTAGTCACTAGTGATCACGGGCTACGAGAAATCCCCGGTGCACAGATTCATGGCCCCAAAGCCCACCATATACCTAGCTCGCCTATCAGGCTATCATAATTGCACAACATTGCTCATCCATACGCCATTGGTCTGGACTCTGTTGGTTGGTTTCCGCACGAGGAAACGATTCACTTCAGTGTGACAGCACGGCGCTTGAAAGTCCGATAACGTACGGCAGAGCTCTCAGCGGGATTCTATCCGCTCGGTTTACTTTCTTTCCCGTACCTCTAGTCGTAAGACGGCAGCTACCGATGGGATTTGCGTGTAGCTATGGCGGCAAGACGGAATGTTTCAACGGTTAGTTTGCGGCGGTGAATACTGTGCTCGACGAATGATCGCTTGTGCGTCTGGCTGCATTGTTTATTGGGCGTGCGCAGGGTGCTTGCTATGGCTGTTGCTCTACTGTAGGCACCGTATCTCTCTCACTACGGGTGAGATATCGCAGTTCAATGCACACATCTGGGCTTGTTGACTGACCAAAGCATGCGACGTCCTTACAATACCCACGCCATAGCCCCGAATCTCATTGTCACAACCGAATACGTAGAAACCAAAAACTTCGTTCCCTCGCGCAGCGCTTTTACTTCCGTAGTACAGACTGTCTTTATATGGTATCAATACAATTCACATTCGCATCAACAATCCTCTCGCGCAGCGGCCAGAGCAGCAACACTTCGTAGCTATCGTTGATGACTAGGTAGGTAGCAACCAGCAGTGGACCACGACACGGGAAGTGGCCATCAATCAAGTGTGCAGTCAATTACGCCGATACATACACCGTACTCTTCGCCGAACGACAGCCAAGTTGTAACCATCGGAGAAGATTTAGTTCTCTGCCGAGTCAGCACTTTTGCCACTTCATACGCCGACTACTAGCATACCGGCCCCAGCAGTAACCAACCCGCGAGCCCAGCTGCGTCAATATCGTTGTCTCGCACAGCGGCCAGAGCAACAACATTTTGGCCAAAGGCCATGCATGCCTCACATGTATGCATGGCCGGAGGAAAGACCTTTAAAAGGAAGAAAACCTCCGCATATAACTTGGGGAGGTAGTAAACCAAGTTATACTTCTTGTTTTTTTTCTTCCCCGTCACGAGACCGACTGTCACCCGGTGTCGGCGAGGCCATCCAACGGGGGGAGCAAGTCGGTAAGTCGAGTCTTGACCGACCGACTTGGACCACCCAGAGGAAGGGGGAAAGAACTTGTGCCGGCAGCACAAGAGAAAACCTCATCCTGCCTTGGACCTTTTCTGCTCAGCCTCGAGGGTTGGATCCGTCTATTGGCGCTGCAACAGTCTACTTTGTAGACCGGCTCCACGGATCCCTCAGTTCCTCGCTGCTACGGCTGAGGAGGATAGCTCTGTAAGGTTATCCTGGAAATCACAAGAAGGTGGGGGGGGGGGGGGGAAGACGTACCGGAAAGGGTAAAACTCGGTGTCGATATCGGACGGTGAGAACTATTTATAAGTCAGTAGCATGAATCAATAAGTAGTGTCGGATGGGAAAGAATGAGAGGAAGAGGTTGAAGAGTGAATAGCGATTGTTGTGAATGGGTGGAGGAGAAATGGAGGAAGAGTTGAGAGGAAAGAAGCATTTTATAGTTGAAGTTGGTGAGATTTCAAGCAAGCACTACCATCGCACTAGCCGCGACTCAAAAGTCTGCTTTTTAGGAAACGCCGCTACATTCCAAGGTGTCGACACATGTTTGAAATCAGACGAAGTCACTCGATGTACGAGTGAGCTCTCATGAACACGTTCCCACAGCACGGAATAACGACAAACGCGCGGGCAATTACTGATTAAACAAAAAACAAAAAATAAAAAAATAGCCACAAAGGTGGAATGGTGGCGAGCGCCTTTGCTACTTTCCATGATGAAATCTCCCGCGAGCACTCCCGCGAGTAGGCTTGCGTAGTTTGATGCCGCAATAGCAGCCAACCTATAGAGACACACCGCGACGAGAGAGGATGATAGGTACTACGGTCACCCCCGTGAGACTCAACACCTAGGCAAGGAGGTATATCCATTCCTCTACCACCCCATCCCAACGGTCGATATCTACTCTTCGCCGGACGCTGTAGGCGGCGTCTGAAACTGGGAGTATTGAATATTGTTCCCGGAGCACTGCACGAGTAATAATGAGTGAATGCGCATCCATCAGTTGTTGGACAGCAGCAAAGCATGTATTTTGGATACGCTTTGAGCCCCAGCTAGCGGAAGTCGGCGAGATTGAGGATGCATGCGGCAAGGCCAAAATATCCACGCTGACATTGTGAATCATCAGGTTTGCCCAGGTGGTGGACGGGGAAGTGAGCCGCCGGATCCTGCTGATCTGCTTAGCTACATTCTGGGGCGATACTCGGGTGGCCTATGCGTTTTGCCATGATCTAGATGGATTATATGCTATTCAATGATGGAAAGAGAATTTTAAGCATGAAACTCGGTCTGTGGATGGAGACGGTTCAACGGAAGCTTCCAGATCTTGCAAGCTTACACTTTATGCTTCAATTCTGGACTCACCAAATTCTACACGCTAGTGCAACTCAAAACCCAAGCCCGCGCCACATATAAAACCCATCCCTTCCTCTTCCTCTTCACATCAGCTATTTCCACCTTCCCTCCCCCCCTCCGCTTTCCATCCTTTAAGATTCAAGAGTTAAGAGTTGAGAGTCAAGAACGAGCACAACAGCGTGGCAAAAGTAGAGCGAACTGACATACTGCCCCTTGCGTGGAGAGGTTTTTTACCTTCGGGTTTTCCTCCATAAACAAAAACGTCGTCTTCCTGGCCGCTGTGCGAGGGGATGAAGTTTTTGCTTTGCCGCTCTCTTCGCCCAGTGAGCGCGTATTCACGGATTGTCACTCGTGCGGTGCTGCGATAGCGCATTATCCACTCCCACTTCTAGACGCCGCCAATCACGTCCGGAGTAGAGGGTGAACAGGCGCGAGAGAATCTTGATCATTGGGAGGGGATAGTGTAGACAGAAGCGACCTGCGCATGTATGCATACCAACGTCCCCGTGGTTGGTTGTCCTGCCAACAGGAGTCCACTAGCAATGTACGTAAGCAAGCGAGCTGCAATTGCACGAGACCGCCCCCTCGCCTCAAGTATCTCTGTATGGAGGGGGGAGAGCGACGGTTTCCAGGCGTCTCCAGCCGTCTCAATCACTCATTCCGTCTATTCCTTTCAACACCATTTATTCTTCCTATCTGAGGACTTACTTACTTACCGTCGTTGCGACTACTCCACAACCTCCCCTCTAGGAAAGCACGTCTACACGTGATTTTCCAACATTATTCGCGGGGAATATTGGGTTGGACGGCTGAAAACCTTTGCTACATATCCATCCGGCAAACGCAGTCGACGTCGACTTAAGCAAAACGACCGATCGGCAATAAGACTAGCAAGATAGCGAAGCGAGCGGATAAGCATGGCTAGTCTTTTAAGTTCTGCTCGTCGGTTCCGGGACTCGGTACAAAGGGAGAAGAGAGGGGGGTGCGAGGGATCGAGGCTGAAGCGAGACGCGAGTGGACGAAGACGAAGGAAGGCGGTTGAAGAGGCAGAGAAGGCGGTGCAAGAGGTACAGGAGGTACAGGAGATGCAGCAGCAGCAGCAGCAGGAGGAGGAGGCGGTGGTAGTGGTGGTGGTGGAAGAGGAGAAACGCCAAAGCAGCCATGGCAAACAACAAGACAAGCAATCATCACGAAGGACACCGGTACCACGACGAGGAATGCGCGTTGAGAAATCCCTATTGCTCAACGATACCGATCCCAAATCGTCGCCAGTACTCGTTTCAAGGGCGGACGGGGTTTCCGGGGAAGACGTGGAAGATGGCCGCCAACCATCGACGTCGACGTCACGGTCACGTGTCGCGGGGATACGACAAGGAACGCGACGATCCGGCAAAACACGTTTATCGGCTGTTCCCACTTTGGCTAGACCCCCTGGTGATTCCCGCCAATCTCAGATCGTTGCTGGCTCCAGGAAGCCGAGGGCAGAAGTGTGGAGAGTGCTTCCTAGTATCGAAATGCTGAAGGAGGGTTGGGAGGAGGAGGATGAGGAACTCATATATGATGGGGATACTATTCGAGTGTGGCTACCATGGGCAGATTTTAGGCGTCCAGTTGAACACGAACCGGAATTGGATCAGGCCGTGGAAGCAGTGGCGGAACCAATGGTTGAGCCTGAGGTGGAGCCCGAGAGAGAACCTAATGTAGAAGTTGGGGTGGAACCTGACGTGGAGCTCGAAATTACAGTCCAAGATGATGCTCAGGCAGATCAAGACCTTCCTGAGGTTACAACAGAGGATGAAGAAGAAGAAGAAGCATATGTGCCGCAGGAAGCTATTGGGGCCAATGGTGGGGCCGGAGACCGAGGAACAGATGTAACGGAGCCCGCAACACCGCCGCTCAGTCTCCGAGCCTTCCGCGCCAACGAGGAGAGGCGGCTGAGAGATACGGCTCTAGCAGAGAATGGAAAGCAGGTGCAATATTTTGCGGCTACTGCCGTTACGCCCACTCAAATCAGGAGAAGTTCGCGTCGCAAGAGTTCTCTGGCCTTCCAAGGACCCCCAGACCGGAGAACGCCCAGTGAACAAGAAGAGGAACTAACCTGGAATGCGCCACCTCTATCGCCGACCTGGTCATCACCACCACCGTCTCATGTGCGCCGACGGAAATCATTCGCTATAGGAACTCTTGCAAGGGCGGGTCCGAAGACTCCTGCGCCGAGGCTTAGGCGGACAAAGAGCGGACCGCTACGAAAAAAGCGCGACAACTACTGGAGCAAAATGCCCGAACTTGATAGTATGTGCCGAAATATGGACTACTATTACCCAGAGGGCAGCTCACCAGTGCACCTGCCCGCCACGCCCTTGGCATGGCGGGCGGAGCTGCGCAGGAACGAACATTCTTCCCTGACATGGGCCGACACTCCGTCTAGAAGTGCCCCCGATTCCGGGCTCCCTCCCCACTCAGGGCCTCGCCTAGGATCGGTGGTGATCCCCCTCCTCCCATCACCCGCACCCACCCTTGACTACGCACCTCCGTCAATATTTGAACCCGGTTCACCTCCACCACCGCCATCGCCGCTACGATTTTCGCTCGGCACTAGCCCCGAAATCAATGGCTGCGGCATCAACAACCTCGGCGGCGGCGGCGAGGGCATCACTTCCGGGGACGAAAATGCCGCCTTATTTGCCCCTATTCCAGGCAACCCGCTACGGATCGGGTCTGCCGCCTTCATTCCAAGATCTCCGGCCCTCCATATGATGTTCCCCGGTCCAAGGCCATTTTCTCCGCAGGAGGCACCCTTACCCCCGCCCGAAATTCCTTGTCAGATATGCCACTCCCTGCATCTCGGCGCTCGATGGGAATACGATCCTTGCGGACACCATGCCTGTGAATGGTGCTGGTATACGGTTTGGGAGACTTCACAGGTACGCAACGGTGCAACGGAAAATTATGCGGATGTTTCCTGTGGTGTATGTAAAGAGATTGTGGTCGAGCTTCAGGTGATTGGAACGGAAGAGAGGTGGAGTGCTGTCGGCGAGGTGGTGAAGCCACAGCCCATTATTACATCAGTGAGGAAGCGATATAAGTGGAATCCATACGGCACCCCGGAGCCCATACGACCGGGTAGACGGAGAAAGAAATAGATGGGTTCTGTATGGGAGGTTCAAGAGCCCGTGTTTCCTAGCTACTTTTAGCTATAAAATACTAATACCCCTCCTACGCTACACAAACAAGCAAGAAAACAAATCGTTACAAAACCCAAAACAACGCCCCAGGGGTATCCAACTCCACGCTTGACCTCCATTCGAACCAACCAAAAGCCGTTATCATACATCGTTACAAAAGTTGTCATGAGCCGCTTTGCTCATTCTCATCCTCGATGAAACGTCTACAGGTCGGGATCATCATCGAGATCGCCGTTCGCGAACTTGCCCTTTTCGACAATCTTGCCCCACAGCACCTCCTCCTGTCCGCCCACGAGCACCTTGAGTTCCGCCCTCACAGCCATCCCGCTGCCGGTCAGGTTCTCATCTGCGTAACGATTACGGATGCGGTCCAGGACAGTATTCCAAGAATCCTCATCAGCGCCAAACTCCAACCACGCCCTACTGCGGCGCTCCTTGATAACGAACCCGCTGATCTCGGTCACATCGAGCAACTTATACTCGTCAACTACAGCCTGCAGGAACGCATCGCGCGAGGCAAAGTCGCGATACCACAGCCGGATCGAGTGCGCGGCGATCATGGAGCCCAATACTAACGGCTTGACCTTGAGCGTGAAGAATATGTTCGGCGTTTGTGCGGCCAGCCACGTCTCGTACTGGGGCGACATGAAGTGCGGTGGAATCCACGGGTTGTTCCTCGATGCGGTAGCAGCAGCGATCGCGGCACCCTCCTCCCCCTCCCCCTCCTCGTCATCATCGAGCGGCGGGATAGGGTCGTCTTCGTCGATGTCGTCGGTGTCATTGGCTCCTTCGGATCCTTCTGAGGACGATGCGGAGGGAGACGACGGCGCGCTGTCGGTGGCAAAGTTGCTGTCGCTGTCGCTGTCCTCCATGTCGGTGTCGGACAGATCCAGCGCGTTGAGTTTTCCGTGCACCGATTCAAAGTCGCAGTCCATCGCGTTGTGGTCGTCACCACGGTCGCCGTCGCCGTCGACAATTGTGCTCGCGGGTGACGTGGGCTGGTCGAACGCGAACGACATTTCGACTGGCAGAGGCGACACGCTGAAGTGGTCGGTGCTGCTGTCGCGGCTGCCGTTTCGGTCGTTGCCCGAGAAAATGTATTGTGCCGGTGTGGTCATCATCTTTTTTTTTCTCCCGCGTCGTTGTAACTGGTGAAGTTGGGGTTGGGTTGGGGGGTGCTCGTGGTTGTGTTTGTGGTTGTGGGACTTGTTGCGGGTTTCGCGAGTCGTGAAGGCGATGAGGCGACGTGAATGAAGCGTGTTAGGTGACTGAGTGGGATGGTGGGGTTGTCGTACTGGCGCGTTTTTTTGTCCGACCCCTGCGCGATAAACAAACAAGGTTTAGAGCATTGATGGCCGAGCTTGACTCGGCCAATTTAGGCTCAATACGAAGTTCTTAGTGATAGACGATGAAGAAGAAGATGATGATGATGCTCGTTGTGAGGTGAATGAAGATTCGATCGATTACGGTGACCAGCAGGCGAACGGAATTTGGTGTGGCGACGACATGATGGCGCAACGGAAGTGAATGGGGGCTGGAAGTCTCATGCTTTGGTCGGTGCGAGGGCGGAGGTGGAGGAATCCTCCAGAGGTGATTGTGGATGGTGATTGCAAGGAAAAAGGCTCATGATGACATGGAATAGCCTAGAAAATGGTCGACAGATGAAGGCAGCACAGCGAAGCAGTGAATACAGGGTTTTTAGATGCGCGGGATTGACGACTCGGGACATCTCTGGAGTCGGGAGTCGGGACATCTCTGGAGTCGGGAGTCGGGACACTCTCCTGCTCAGCTGCTGTGCTTTGTCCGATATGTAAGTTATGTATGTAGCTACCTCTCGCGGCGTCCCACCTATCCCTGAGTACCTATTCCACCCGCCTGGCTGGCCCATTCAGCCCCGCTCCTTGAGACTTTATTCAGGCAACAACGCCCCACAGCAGTGACAGTACCACCACTACTGGAAGTCTGGAACTGATTCGTCCCAGGCGTAAAGCCACAGGACACATCTATGATTCTAGGCCCTCATGGAGCTGAGTTGTGCATCTTACCAAGCACGGTACATGCATGCATTGATTCAGCCCTCGGCGCTGGGCGCTGGGTGGGGCTGGGATGCAGTAAAGCTGAACTTGGAAACACGCCACAGCCAATAGCTGGTCGCCGTCCTTGCGGAGTTGCGTGGTTAGACACAGCGGGCTTTACGCCGTTTGATTCGACCTGATGCTGATCCTGGCGGCGGTGGGGAATCGAAGACTCGCCCGCGAGTGAGGGGTGGCCCGTGGGTTACCTAGCCCACGGTACTGGTACGAGCAACCCGGTACCAATGTCTACCCAGTGTAGCGGTGCTGCGGCGATTGAGCTAACAATACACGCAAAGCCGGATGGAGGCTGGAGAATCAGCCCTGATCCCACTGCCCAGCCCAGCCTCTCGCATACCCCGCGCCGAATACTCAGAACGGTTTGTTCAGAACCCGTCAGAACCCGTCAGAACCCGTCAGAACCCGTCAGATACGGGAATACCTACCGCCATGGCTGCGCATCTAAGCTTAAACTTGCTCCGCCATTCATATTCATATTGTCCTATGTAGGCGAGGTATGCGCGGATCGCCTTGCTTGGTACCAGTCAACCCCCCTCCTCCACGTGCTAGAGACTTCGAACATCGGCACTCCCTGAGTCTCCTCGCTGTCGATAGGGAATTCAAACCGTCACCCGGTGATCTAGGTACTTCCGTGAATCTACACAATGCACACACGAAGACTCAGGTATCGATTCGGACGCGGGATTTAACGAAAACTGGATAGTATTGCCGACAATTGCTGCCTGGAGGCTGGAGTCTGACAAAGCCGGGCGACGTACAAGTCAGAAAACTGCTCGCTGAAGTGTGTTCCAGAGGGAGTGTATTGGTTGTTGGATGAGAAGAGAGCGGGGTTTGGTACAGGTACTTGAGGAAAGTATCGTGAAAGTGAGGTGGTTATTGGACCAGGCGGTATGTGGAGCAGGTGTATTGGGCTGATAATCCCGGTAGATGCACGCCGATTGCTGAGCTTCCACAGTCACGGACAAAAAGCAAGTCGGTCTGAGAATAGCATCCTTCACAGCCTGGCAGCCTGCTCGTGACTGCACGCAAAGTACAGACCGACTGTGCTCGATGGATGACTGCACAGTGCAAAGGGCAGTGCTGACCTTGCAGAGATCCTGTTTTTTGTAGCGGAAGATACAGGCAATTCCACCGCAATCGTTCTGCGCTCCATTGGCCTGGCCAGAGGAAATATCTATTGCTTGTTTGTGGGGGCTCGCTGGAGAGCGAAGTGGATATAAAGACGTCTGTTTCCCCCGACGAATATTGATTCCCCATCCTCTCACAATCACTCATACTCACACCAGCATTTATTGTCTTCCCTCTTCTTTCTGATTCTTCTTCTTCTTCCTTCATCATCATCTTCTCCTCTTCTCCTCTTCTTTATATCTTCTGATATAATACCTACTTGGTTACTAGTTACTCACTCGATTCCGCCTATTCACACACTCTCACTCACCTAATCAATCTATCAATCAATCACTCTCCCTCACTCATAATGCTTCAATACATTCTCCTCACCGCCATCAGCATCGGCTTCTCCACTGCTCTTCCGGCCCCCCAGGATTGCCCTCAAATCTGCTGGGACGGCGTCAATGAGTGCGGCATGTCATACGGCGGTTGCTACCCCGACCCCGCCTGTTCCGGAATCGCCGCGCCGATCTTCGAGGTCCCGGCATGCCCCATGGTCAAGCGCGCCAGCCCTCCACCCTCGTACACGACTCCACCGCCCAAGTGCGACCAGCAGATCTGCTACGACCTCGTCGATGATTGCGGACAATGGTACGGCGGATGCGTTCTCACCCCGGAGTGCGGAGGACCCGTCAATCCCACCTTCCCCAAGCCCAGCGGCTGCAAGCCCAGGCCTCCGGTAGTCCCCGAGACCGTCTACTCCTCGTCCAGCGTGAACTCGGTCTACAAGCCCACGCCCCCGTCGGTCACCCCGTCCTCGTACAAGCCTGCATCGGTCACCCCGTCCTCGTACAAACCGGTCTCGGTCCCGCCGTCGGTGACCCCGCCCTCGTACAAGCCGGTCTCGGTCCCGCCGTCGGTGACCCCGCCCTCGTACAAGCCGGTCTCGGTCCCGTCCTCGTCGTGCTCGACCACACCCACCCCGTACAAGCCGGTGTGCACCCCGTGCACCACGCCGAAGCCCGTCACCACCACGGCGACCACCACGGCGACATCCACGACGACCTCCATTAAGACCACCACCGCCACCACCACGAAGACGTGCACTGCTACCACCACGACTACCGCTACCACCACTGCCACTTCCACGACTACCTGCTTCGCCACTACCACCGCCGTTTCCACCGTCTACTGCACCACCACCATTACCGCGCCGTGCAAGCCCACGCCCACCTACAGCGTCAAGACCACGCCCGTTTACTAAGTAGGAAGTAAGTAGGTCATCATCGTTATCAGTCGATGACGGTCTTTTAGAACGTTCGGAACAACACGCAAGGAACAGTCGGGGGTCAGGTCGGGGTTTCATTTCTGGCGGGGCGGGGGTTAATTTTCGGACGGACGGGACGGACACGGACGGAAGGGGAGGGGGGTTTTCTGCATTGGATTTTTTTGCCTTTTATTTGCATCGCGATCGGATCATGGAGAGAATGTGTTTTTTCTTTTTTTAAATGCTTTATGTGTGCTATGCTTTTATGCTTTCGAATAATAATGGTTTCGTCGCGAAAAAATGGAGGTTTAGCCACCGCGAATACTTGCCTACATGCATTCGAGTGCTCAGTCCATTGAACCACTGTGAGGTCTTTTTTGAAATGGGACCAGAATAGTAATCATCTCTCTCGCCAGAAGAGGCGAGAGAGTGGGAGAGAGAATCAGAGAGAGAGGCGGGGGTCCGGAATGGTAATGGGATAAGGCTGAATTCGATGCAACCGTTGCAACCTATGGCCAACTTCTTCCAAGGGAGAAGCGAGAAGGGAGAAGGATGGCCCGAGGAATACGAGGAGTATGCAAGTACTCGGTAGGTATGCCATTGCCGGGTGGGTGTGCATTCGGCTGTAGTTAGTAGTTAAGTTTGAATGGCACGGTGTTGTCTGCCACAATGGGAGGAGGAGAGATTAGTTAGTCAGGATCCGGAGGTTCCGAGTGATATGGCAGCCGGTCTAGCCGGATGTAACTAGTGGCACCAACGTTGTAGATATAGGCAGCAGAGAGGAGCCCTACCGGTGTTAGATGGCTCTTCGAAGTGGAATATAACCTCAACTGCGTCCTCACCTTTCATTCTCGGCCTGGCCCTTTCAGGATTACGTCACACGGCGCATCGCCTGTTATGCATAGATACACATCTGATCCATCCGCCATCGCGCTATCGACGGCCCGGGGCGCACACAGACGACAGGTACCTACATTACCTGCTTACTTGCTTATGTAGGCACTTATGTAGGCACTTGGTAAATTCAACGGTAAATCGATCCGGCAGATCCCTGGGGACTCCGGTGACTGTACCTACATGAGTACCTACATACATAACTTCCTACCACGGCCGTCTTCCGAGTGTTCCGGAACCGACGTTGCCTTGTTTCCAGGCCAACCACTGTTGCCCCGCTGTGTATGTGTACTATGTGCTACGTGCCAAGTTGTCTTTAGATATCTGTAGCACATCTGCCGGGCGTGAGTGGGGCGCATCCATCCACTGGCGGACCTGCTCGGCCCATCGAGCTCTCAGCTTGCCACCTTTTCGCCAGAGCAGTAGATAGATAAATACCGTCGTCGATTGAAGTTGCTCTGTTGGGCTGAAACCCCCACCGAGCTGGCCCCTTGTGGCCACTATCAAGCGAATCTATAGGTACTATGCGATACTACCTACTATATAGTACCGGTATCGATTGCTTGAAGCTGGCTATCCTGCTCTGCCCTGCTGAAACTCCATTGCCATGCCATGCCATACGACCACCTCCTCGCTTAACTACCGTTTATTGAGGCCCCCCAATTAATATGTTCTGCGGTGCACAGTGCACAGGAACTGAGTACTACGGTAATTGGCGGTCTATATATAGATTCATGGTTGGACGGTTAGATGGGTGGATGAGACTATGAGCCGCTGCCGAAGTCCGAATCCTGGAGGAAGTCCGGTGGATACCCTACCCACTTTATTTTCCAGGCATCCAGGAATCCTACCCCGCTATACCTGATATATGATATATCCAATAACCTGACGCAGGAACAATACATTAGATATACGGGTTTGTACTACATTGCCCGTGCAGAAGCTGCCGCTGGTGCTCCGAGGCAAACATTTCGCATAGTGATCAGTGATCACGAGAAACGGTAAACCCGCATCCACCTCCCCACAGAAGAGAAGTCAATCAACCCATCGCCATCACCATTGCACAAACAAAACCCTGATGATTGATCACGGACACCCCGGTCCGGCAACATACGTTTCCGCGATGGTCCGCGATGGTCCGCGATGGTCCGCGGTGGTCCGAGATGCATATTGTGCTGTTGCGGTACTGGGTCATGTATGTTGGCGGCGTATAAAGAGGGTCTGCCATATGCATCTTGCATCTGCAGCATCACGGTGACTAGAACATTGGAGCCTTCGGTACATACTGATCATCACCCGCTCCTCACTCGCTCAGATTCATACCCAGAGGCCCATCTCCAAACATGCTTCTCCTGCTCTTCGCATCGGCCGGCTTTGCTGCCGCGGCCGTCGTCTCCTCCAAGACCAAGGCCAAGCCGTCCACCATCACCACGATGACCGCCTCGTGCCAGAGCATCTGCGCTGACTACATCAACGAGTGTGGTTCTACCTATGGCGGCTGCTTCGCTGATCCGAAGTGTACCGGCGGCACCGCCTGGCCCACGTTCACCGCTCCGGCGTGCAACTCGACAACGATCACCGAGATCCTCCCGTCCACCACGCCATGCCCAACCATCTGTGCGGACTACATCAACGACTGCGGCTCGATGTACGGAGGCTGTTTCCCGGACCCGAAGTGCACCGGCGGCACCGCGTGGCCCACGTTCACCCCACCACCATGCACCAACACCAGCAGCACCACCACGGAGCCGTGCCGCACCATCTGCGTGGACGCCATCAACACCTGCGGGATGAAATACGGTGGCTGCTACGAGGACCCGCAATGCAACGGCGGGATCAAGCCGACGTTCACCACGCCATCCTGTACACCCAGCGCCAGCACCACAGTCAGCGAGCCCTGCGGCACCATCTGCGTCGACTACCTGAACCCATGCGGCTACCGGTACGGCGGGTGTTTCGAGAACCCGCGCTGCAACGGCGGTATATCGCCCACCTTCAGCACTCCACCATGCACGCCCAGCCCAACCCCCACCCCCGCCTCCTCCTCAGCCTCCTGCGATAGCATCTGCACCGGCTACCCCAATACCTGCGGCGGCTTGTACAACTACTGCATGGCCGACCCGGCGTGCACCGGCGGCACGACGACGCAGTGGCCAACGTTCTCGCTGCCGGCGTGCACTCCCACTCCCACCCCAAACCCCTCCATCACCACCTCCTGCGATAAGATCTGCACCGGCTACCCCAATACCTGCGGCGGCGAGTACACCTACTGCATGTTCAACCCCGCGTGCACCGGCGGGAAGACCACGCAGTGGCCCACGTTGTCGCAGCCCCCATGCACAGCGACGGCTTCGGGCGGTGTCACTACCGTGACCAAGTTGGCGGTGAGGACTGTCATGAGGAGGGATTGGAAGGCGTAGGCTTGAGCCTTGAGATTGTTGAGACGCAAGGGATGATTGGATAATTGGTGGATTGGTTCGTGTTTGTACTCTATATACCTACGCTACTTGTCGTGCACGGTGGAGGAGGCGGACATGACATGACGGACATAGCGAATGAAATGAAATGAACTGAGATGATCGTTTTTACTTCCATGTATGATGAAATACACGGACTTGACTTGTTTCGTGACGAATGATTCGTGGTGATTGTGACTTCACGGCTAGGAGAGGGTAGACTCAGATAGAGTAGATTCGCATCCTCTGTTGTCTGTTGTCTGTTATCTGTTGTTTGTAAGATTCGAAATTCAAACCAACGGCCAGCGGCCCAGCGGTCCAGTGGCGAGCACATCGCTGCAGGATCGATTCAAGCGTTCCGTCCGGACTTCCAATTTCCAACGTCCCCCAAGAGTCAAGTCTTAAGAACGAGCTTCTCGACCGTAAGCCTACCGCCGCCGCGCTGGCATTGGAGGGGGAAAACACGGGTAGATAAGTAGGTAATCGGGCGGATGGGTAATCGTAGACCCGTGTGGTGTGCGCAGCAGGTCAACCGTCAACCACTTGAAACGACCGAATAATAGGAGGGGTATTACGGGTGGTGCCACCGCGAATCCTTCTATTCACCACCGCACCACTACAGTCTACCACCACCACCACCACAGTCTACCACCACCACCACCACCATCCGACCAAAACACCAGAAATACCGCACGCTCAAACAAACGGTATCATCTACAATGTACTGACCCAAAAGTCCAAACAAACCAATATGTACAATCATACACCATAGCTTAACCGCTCCAAAAAACACCCACAGGTATAAAAAGAATGCAATCAAAAAAACAGACAGACAGAACTCCACCCGCTGGCTTATTTGAACACGAGCTACCTAGTCTAAGTAACCAGAAAACGCGTACATGTAAAAAGTTACCAAATGAAAACTGAATGAATCGTACTCGTAAGAAAGAAAAAAGGACTCCCCCCAAACAAAAGAAACCGCCCCCATCTAACCCTTCGTTTTCAAAATCATACCTCGTAAATCTTGGCCTTGAAGGAATCGCTGTCGCGCTTCTCGCCAGTCCTGCCCTCGTAGATTTCGACGTCCATCGTGTCTTCAGACATGAAGCGCCAGATGTGAACCTTGCGAGTCTGCCCGTAGCGGCGAATACGTCCGATCGCCTGTGTCTCCGACGATTGATACTCGTAATCAGTCGTAGTCAAAAGTGGCGACAGGAAGATGGCGTGGTTCGCAACAGTGAAGTTCCTAGTAACAATGTTAGCTGTGTCATCAATCATGAGAGAAAACCCAGTTATACTTACGAGCCGGAGGAGCTCTCGGCAGTCACGTTCAGAATCATAACCTTGGCGCTATTTTCTCCCTGGTCGTTCTGGAAATCCTGGACAGTAGTCGACTTCTTCTTGGAATTTCCCTCAATCCTTGCCCACTTGATGCCACTGGCGGTCAGGATCTTCTGAGCGCGGGTCATGAGGTCGCCGAATTGGATGAACAACAAAACTTTTTCATTCTTTGGAATGTGGTTCTTGATCAATTCGACGATTTTCTCGAGCTTCTTGCCGTGGTGGCGTCCGATTCCGTCGCGCTTGTCCTCTGCGCCTAGAGAGTCGGCCTTGACAACCGCCAATGCACGAGTGGCAGCTTGACAGCCCTCCGTCAAACACTGGGTGAGGCGCGCGGCTTCGCGAAGGCAATCGTAACATCCTTTGTGACCGCACGACGAGAGGACGGCGATTTCTGAAAGTTCCAGGTCCGATCGTTTACAACCAGGGCATGTGACTTGAACGACGGCGCCGCCCGGCAAGGCCGACTTCTGAAGGTCACGGACAACAGTGAAGTATCGCAAAGATCGATGGCGACCAGCTAGCTCCTTCCTGGCCAGCCCACGAAGATAGATGACCTTGCTCTTGAGTTGCTCAATCCGTTCCAGCGTGTCCAGAGGGGTTTCATCCACTGCTTCATCAACTTTGACTTTTGCCTTCTTGCCTTTTTTGTTCGAAGCCGATGGTGGTTCCTTCGCGGAGATCTTCGGATCAGCGACAGAGCCATCCGCATAGACCACCTTGAAGGATTTCGGAGCAGCAAATGCCTCTTCAAGAAGGGCTTTGATATCGTGGTTGGCGTCAGGATCTCCAACACCGCCAGTACGACACTGCTCAACAAACTCCATGAAGAGGTTCTTGGGGCGCTTGTCGTTCGATCGGGCTCCAGTGTCCGCCTGCCATTCCTTAGACGAAATTTGCTTGTATCTCGTCAGGGCATCCTTGAGAGAGCGGCGGATGTCCTCACAACAGCTGTGAAGTTGCTTCTTGCGCTCCTCGACAATGACATCACACGCCTGAACGGCATTATCTTCGTTGCTCCGAGATCCGTCAAGATCAAAGTGCGAGCAACGTTTGATCAAGGCTTCTTCTGCCGTTTCGGAATCACCTAGCGCTTCCTGTTGACGACGGTCCCGATCGTTGTCCATCTTGTGCTTGGACCGCTTGAGATTATAGTCCAACGCTTGAAGGTAGTGCTCAAGCTCGAGGTAGATGGCTCTCTCCGCAGCGGGTAGCTTAACCGGAACAATGAACTCCTGGTAAGGAATCTCGTCGATCTCGGCGTAGTTTTGACGCACGAACTGATTGAGGAACGCCTGGGCAACTTGTTGTCTCCGAGTATGCCAATACGGTGAATGAATCTCTCTAAAATTCGTGAATAGTTCCACAACTAGTTGAATTAGCATCAGCAATATCACTGGGCGAGGCCGCTCTTACCAGTCATGTCCTTCTGAATTCGCTTTTTATTCTGATCTTTTCCGACTTGATCGTCCTCGATTCCCAGGTGTATGTTAAGAAAAGCGGCTATGGTCTTGACATCTTCAAAGTCGTCAAGCGGGGGAGTACCAGAAAGGACCCAACGATATCGAGCCTTCAAGCTGATGATACCGGCGTGAATCTGCCCATTGTAATAGGTGAACTCATCGACGACCAAGCGGTTGAATTGGAACATCTCGAAAGGAGGTGTCACCATTCGGGTCCAATCTTTTTGAACGAGGTGGTTCTTTAGTTTCCAGGGGTCCCGGCCGATCATGCTCTGGCGTGATTTTTTGGCTCGATCAGACGACGTGCCCTCCTCAGACACTGAATCCACGTCACTATCGTCGTCATCAGTGCTTCTCATCCGCTTCGATCCCGTTTGCTCCTTGGATTTGGCATATGCAGATCCAGTCAAACGCTTTTTTTGCACGAACACCTCGGCAGGTTCATTCGCTTCCCGGCCCAAGCGACGGCTTGCTTCGTCAATCCTCGCCCAAGCACCTGCCGCACCCATCTCACGAATGTGATCAACCTGAACAGCCAGATCGACCAAAGCCTGCCTCTGCCATTCGAAAAAACGTCTTCCTTGGCCAGCTGCGGCAGTCGCAGTACCAGCAAATAGCGCCAAGTTCGAAATGTACTTGTCCGACTGGAAGATGGGCGCACTAGCAACCACGATGTCGGCCTGCATCATCTCCTTGACACTCACCTTGTTGAGATCTGCCTGTGATAGGATCTTGATAACCTTGTATCGGGTACCCGTGAACTTTTTGATCTCATCTGTCCACTGCCCGGCGAGATGGCTAGGAATGACCACTAATGTCGCCTTGATTGGGATGGCTCCGGGCATCTTGTCGGGAAGCTTGATGCTATGATGTGTGGAATCGATGAGACCGAGGGTGATGGCTGTCTTGCCATAACCAACTTCATCTGCCAGGACACCACCCCAGACGTAATTCGGACGCTCCGCCTTGCCTTCCGCTCGCCAGTTGAGGTGAGGCAGCAAAACTTCTGCAACCTCTTCCTCCATGAACGGAATGACATCTTCTTTCTCCTGCTCTTTCATCCAAGACAGCGATCTAAGCTGCTCTGGGCGCAATGGAGTGATAAAGTTTGGCGGTTGTTCTGCTTCCACATCATTCTTGTTGGAAGCCAGGGAGTAAAATGGCAACAGGAGCCTCGGTTCCGGAATGTAGTCGGTCACAAGCCTCCAGCTGAGGAGAGGTGCTCCACGAACTTCAGCTGGCATCCTAAACAGTGCTCGATGAACTAGGGTAGCCACATTGAGCCCAATCTTGAGAACTCCGGCGCCTCCGTCGTCAAGCTTGACATGGGTCACGAAAGGGGAAGGGCGTGCCTTTAAGGCTCGCTCGTACGGTGCAGCCTGTTGCGGATCCTCAAAGGGTTTAAATTTGTTCTTCACAAACAACCACTTGAGCTGTGGATGCGGTGGAGCGCAACGATTGCAGCCGTCAAGACCGCATTCGGGAAGTTCCAGAGTTGTCCACTGTTCCAATTGCTTGAGTGATCGCACCCGCTCGGTAAGCCAAGCAAGGGATTCGTATGTCGCACGTTCGTGAATGGAGTCCACTTCAATCCATTTCCCTCTCGGCCATATGGCTTCAACCTGACCACGGAGTGGCACCTTGCACTGCAATACGGTCCGTGCCGAGCCGCAGTCTTCCTTGGAAATCTGGAAGTTCAAGCCATCCGGCCCCGGCACCGACAAGATTCCGTCCTTAGCGGATTGCGAGACCGGAGGCGGACCCAACCGAGCTTTGACGGGAACCCACTGACCGTCAATGAGGGTCGCAACTTTGCGGGGTTCTGCCGTTGCGTCCCGTTGTCTCCAGGTAGGAGCAAGGTAGGCGGTCAGAGGTCGGTACTCTCCGTACCCGAGTCGACGATGATCAGATGCAAACACAAACGAGTCGTTCGACCCATCCCCAGTTCTCTTCTGATCAATGAAGCAAAACAACGGAACCGCACCATCATCGTCAATTCTCTTGTGGAGAGAACCCAATGCAGTCCCGCAATTTTGCAAGAGCTTGTACTCGCCGGAAATATCCTGATCAAACTTCGCCTTGTGCTCGTCGGGTACAGTAAATCGAAGACGACCGTAAACTTCACTAGTCATCGTCGCACTGTCCGTGTATCCAAGAGTGCTCTGCCAGGATGGGACCTTTGCATCGATGCCTTGAACCAAAATGTCGAATCGCGGGAAAGCCGGAAGACACAATTCCCACTGACCTTCTAATGCACCCTTGCCAGCCTGGCCGTGCACTAGCATTCGGGCGATCGGGCGTGCGGAGAGGCGGCGCTTTTCGCTCGTGATGCCTTCCGTCATTGGGCACTTCGCGAAGATGCGCCACTCGGGCTTCTTGGTGTTCAGAATAAGCTCGAGACGCGCATCTGGAGCATCGTATGTCACTGTCCACGTCTCCTGACGAAGTAGATTCTTGAACCTGAACTCTCCTTTGAAAGCTGCAACGGCTAGCTCGGACCAGATCTTCCAGTCAAGGTCGCGAATTGAGTCGTCCTCGGGCTTCAGTTTTTGAAACGTCGCATCATCGATACCTGTCAACCGAAGACGCATCGATAGGATGCTCTTGAGCTTTGCCTCAAACTCCAACGGCTGGAGACGGTTTTCGATCGGATCTTGATTTTCGGGGACTTCATGACTGGGACGACCACCACACTTATCGCATGCCGTAAACCCGCACTCTGTACAAAGACGGATCTTATTGGTGGTAATTGAAAATCGTCCTTCGCAAACACACACGCGCCTCGACTTCTCGGCGTCCACAAGGAGATCGCGCAGCTCGAGCGCATCTGTTGTGGAAAGATCCATGGCGGACTCTTCCAGCTCGTCCTCACCAACGATGGGGTTATTGATTTCCGAGGGCTCATCAAGAGCCATTGCATCCTCGTCAGATGAACGGTCTTGCAAATGTTCCATCGACAAAATCAACGCGCACAGTATGGCCGTACCCACAACCGTCGATGACATCGCATTGCCTGCGAGGTCCTGGATTTGCTGCGACGTTTCACGGGTAAGAAGCAGCTCGTCAATAGGCAGCCCTTGCATGTGCAATGCCTCGATTCCGGTCATTGGTCCACCACGGTAGCAGAGGTAGGCGATCATGTGTGGAGTCAAGCATGGGGAGATCCCATCCGGTTTACCACCCATTGTGTTGCGGTCGACATTTTGAGACAGATTCCAGAAGGCTCTGTGGTCAAGGTTAGCGGTTTTCTGGAAAGAAGGGTGAGATAACTGACGCTTTGTACATCGGATCATACCCATCCCGGACGGAAAGGAGGAAATTGATGTCCATTAGGTCTAGGACACGTTCGACCTGCTTCCTCCCCCAATCCTGCCACATGAAATCGAGGGTTTTGCAGACTCCACCCTCCTGCCACGCAGTTACTGGCCGCTGATCACCGAGCTTTTTCGTGATACGTTCTCGCTGATGTCGGCCCTCACACTTCTCCCAATCGACAGTACGGGCCTTGATTGGGCCAGTACGACGAGGATCACCGGCAAGTTGCATCCGAGCTTTGTACACCCTTGGATCGTCGTCTGGAAGCATAAACGCTTCCAAGGTTGTTGTGCACCTGCGCTCCATCTTCTTGACAGCATCAATCCATTTATTGGGGATGCTGAGACCTTGTACATTGACCGCAAACATGTACCCACGCATGCGAGTGTGCGGGATGTAGTATTTTTTGGAGTCGAACCGGGTATACTCGGCATCGTAGTCACACCTGTGGTAGAACTCCCTCATGTCACCCCATGCAGCACCACAAACGTTCTCTTGAATGACGATGAGAGGCCGATGCTTGTCAACCCAGCGCATCATCCCCAAGAATGTGTCGCCGGATTCACCGCCTTCTTCCAAAGACTTCTGTTTGTTGTTTAGGTTGGAGAAGTCCACGCAGGAAGTTCCCGCAATGAGAATGTCCACATCTCCAGGTACTTTGACCATGGCACCATACGCCGTCGTACTGCAGTCAATCAGCATGGCATTACAGGCGAAGGGGATGGGAAGGAACTTACGCGAACTCGTTTCCCATTTCCTTGATATCTCGGAACAGGATGGGGGGCTTGAAATTCCTCTCGATATACGCCTGTTTGTACGGCTCAATCTCGCACGAAAAGACATGCTCGATTTCCAAATGCCCCATACCTCTCTCCTTAATAGCTTTCGAGAACATTCCGAGGGCCAAAAGAGGAGATTCCGTTCCAGAACACATGGTTGCGACCCTCAACTTCCTGTGCTTATTGGGGCCCATCAACTTGGCGACGGATGGCAAAACTCGCGAAATGATGTCGTCAAATATGAGAGTCAGATTGGATACTGGCGGGAGACCACCGGGCTGATCCTCCAGCCTGGACTCGACCTTGATACCACACGGCTTAGGAATGCACGTATACGACATCTTTTTCTTCTTGCCGCCCTGAGATGCCAACGTCTGGACTTTGCCTTTCTTAGCCGGCATTTCATTCTGAGAACCGCCGGTTTCGTCGTCTGTCCCATCTTGAAGGTCTGATTCGGCAGACGCATCTTGAAGGTCGGATTCGACATCGTCGTCAAATTCGCTCTCCACTACCTCCTTGTCAGCAACGTATTCATCATCATCATCATCATCATCGTTGTCTTCATCTTCTTCCTGTTCATCGGAAGAATCGACAATGATTTTCTTCCGAGACTGACGCCTCGATGTGGATGGCTTGGAGATCACTGCCACCGCCTTTCCTTTGCCTTTGGACCGACGAGTAGGAGATTTGGGTGCCGGCCGAACCTCAACATTGACGCCTGATGATTTCGGAGAGAAATAGTTCGTGAGAGAGCGTTGCTTCTTGGGTACTATGAATCAAGTCAGTCCATGACTCCGAGCTGAAGCAAAAAGGTAATGGAAGGAGATGATCGGAAATGCGCAAAGCGGAGATAACGAATGAATGATAACATGCTATGGATTAGTAGATTGACGTAGAAGGATAGGATACATGAGTAGTAACTGCAGATACGAAGGGGGATGGTAATTCACGACGAAGGGAAAAAGAAACCGGGGGCAGATGATAACGCAGTATTTTTGTCCTCACCTTCTACAGCCACCAGCAGCAGCCTTGTCTTATTCGTAACCTTGGCCATATCGTCGTCGTCCGCATCATCGTTTTGGGTATCGTGGCCGCGGTCGCGCCCATCATCGCCACCCCCCCCCGTTCGTCCCTTCGCGGCACTTCGTGTTCTCGGTCTGGGACTGCTCTCAGGTAAATCGGTCATAACGATATCGTCGTCGCTGCCAGTCACAGGAGACTTGGACTTCTTAGGCTTGGGTCTCCAGGATAGTTTCGTTTGAACCATTCTCTACCGAAGGAGACGTCAACAAAACAGTCAGTGCGACTTCACGAGCGGAAGGGAATAGCGATTTGGGGAACGTACTCGATGTGCAGGTGAAGAGCCCGATTAGAAATCAGGTAGTAAGCTGGATATATCGGGGTTGATTATCAAATGAGGCGAGGGGTCGAGTCGCAGAACCTGCTGACTAACTGGGAGTCTGGGACGCGTAAAGGTGAACCGTAGGAAGACCGCGTAAAGTGCAAACGATTACACGAGGTGTGAAAGGTAAGGATGTGTCGAATTGGAGAAGCAGGAAGCGGGTATTGAAATCAAGGTACGGGTAAAGATTTGGAGATGTGGGTGAAGGAAAGATGGTTGAGATAGGAGGAGGAGCGGGTCTTGAGATGAAGGGATTGGAAGACGCGAAAGCGTAGCGTGTTTTTAATCGGCTACTCGCTAGCAGTACACGTGAACTAGCGGTAGTCGTGTCAAACGGGTGGTCTGTGCAACAACCTTGTGCCACCAGCGACTCGGTCACTGTGGGGCACCGCTGCTTTCGGAGGATCATCCGTCACAACTCGGTCGCCTGCATATCCTTGATGTGGGCTGAATTTTCCCCTGGCGTTGGTCGACTTCCTCCTCGGCTTCCAATCTTTCTGCCCTATCAATACGGAGATACACCGTCCCGCTCGGATATCTATTTAAAGAGACGAGATGGGATGAGCTCAACCGGATTACGAGACCTTGCCTTTCTCCGTAACGGCAAAACCGCGTCAAGAAACAAACCGGCAAACGGCACTCCCCGAGTTCCTGTATCCTGCCAGCTCAGCGATTGGCGTAATTTCTATTGGAACCGTAGATTTCGCAGCCGAAAGCCGGCTTCACTTCCTACTATCTGTCCCAAGCGCACCATGTTTGCGGAAGCGTCTCGCCCTCAACCTCCAGCGGCAGAATACTAGGTATACACACACGTCCCCATTTGCACGATTAGACCATTCACGTACTCGTTGGACGATTAGACCGCTCACGTATCTACTCGTTACACGATTAGACCGTTCGCGGAAAGACTTCACCGTTCGGCCGAACGGCCACTATTTCCAGATAGAGCTGATCGAAATCTCGTTGGCCACGAAGGAAGGTGTATACGCTAGAATGCGGCAGCCATATTCGGGCAGAAATACAATGCTGTACATACATCGACAGGTAATCCGTGCACCACCCACATAGCATTTATTCGCGATTAACTGACCGGGAGAAGGAAGCAAAGAAACCATTTCCCAAATCTAGCCCCGAACATAATCCTCTCGAGCACCAGCAGTTATATGCAAGAAACACAAATGACACCGAAAACATCCAGCCACACACTACATTTCCCAACTACCGTACAGGTGGCTCCCCCTCTGCCTCCGGACTCTTCACGCCTCAGGGTCTTCCTCGGAGATGCGCTACATCATCCCTAGAGCCACTACTCCCGCAGCCATCAAGGACAGGACCAGGCACCCACCTGAGTGCTTGCTCGCGGCACCCTCAAAAATTGCTGGGGCCTGTCCATTAACGCCAACAATATCGCCATCCGAATCCACAAGGACCGAACCCGCACCGCCGGAGCCGTAGGAAATATACCCCGAATCGGTGATGTACCCCGAATCGGTAATATATCCAGAATCAGTGATGGGTCCCGAAGCCGGGATTCCCGCAGAGTTGATGTAGCCGTTGGTGGGTGCGTTTCCAGTGGGAGTGACGCCGTTTCCGTATCCAGGGCCGGACGCTTGGCCGGCATATTGGTCGGGGCCGCAGTACGTGTTCAGGTTGCCGGACTCGGGGCCGTAACCGGCCACAAGGACAGGCTGGTAGGCAGCGCTGTTGTCGGAGGAAGAGTAGTCGGTGAAGCTGGCTTCTCCGGCAATCTGCCCTGTCTCGTAGGTGGTCTGGCCGGCATATTGAGGTTGCTGCGGCTGGGCAGGCTGCGACTGAGGCTGTTGTGGAACTGCGCCGGGAGCCTGGATCTGACCGTCGGCGATCTGGACGACGTTGGAACCTGGTGATTGTGCGCTGGCGACAGCAGTCAGGACGAAGGAGAGGATAACAAACTGCATCTTGAAATGACAGGGAATCGGAAGTAAAGAACCGTGGATAAAGTTGGAAAGTCGAAAGTCGAAAACGAGTTGATTCGGGGACGGCAAACTGCAGGCTGGAGATTTCGACAGGGCGGCGAACGGCGGAATCATATATGCCCTACGACCCGGAAGTGTTACGCTTCCGGAAGTTCATGGGGAAGGATATCGTGAAATTCAATTGGTTTGTTTAGACGATACATGGCTTAAAAAGGCGATGATTTATCAAGGTGTCTAGGTGCCTACGAAAGTCTGAGCTTAAGATCGTCGCTTCAGCCAGGTGAAAAAGCACTGTCTCCGTGAGTAGGGATGAATCCTCCGATTCCCTTGACTCGTATGAGATATGAGGCAAGATTTTGGCCTTGGCCGGAGAGCAGCTCATCTCATCGGCAGTATCCGCGATGTATACTTTGAACCCAATGCGATGGAGTTAAGGTTACCGAGCGCATCAAGAGCTTCATCCTAGGTCGTCAATCGTCGACCCCGGATGGAGAGACAAGGTTACGTCGGAACGCTTCCATGCCTACACGGATCCGTTGGGCGGCTCACTCCAACTTTGTTGAGTTATATCACTCGTTATATTGTTACTCCCACGATACTGTTGCTTTGTCTGCAAGGGCTTTGTTCTTTACGGAGAGACTCCGAACCGGGAGAGCAGGGCGGAGGGGAAGAGCGAATTCGAGGCCAGTGGAGCAACTAAAGCGGGAAGAGAGAGACGGGAGGACAGGAATCGGACGGTTTACGCATCGCTACGATCACATAGTAACTCGCACGCAATTCGATGATGGAAATTGAAATCAAAATCGGACTCTACTCTTTGTGTTTGGCAATCTCGCCATTCCCATCTTATACTAGATATATACTGTACACCTAGTCAGTTGTCGTCTGCGCTCTCTCCGCCTGTCGGACAATAGACTTTTGACCTTCATATTTCAACAAACTTATTGAGGCTCATCCCGAGTGCTCCCACATGAGCCAAGCACCCCTCCCATTTTACCTTAATCGTCCGAACCCGTAAGGTGAGAATCCTTCCGGCGGCATCTGGCGCGAATTCGAACACACGTGGAAAGCTTCACGCTTCCATTACTCGTAGGTACTAGTTAGTATGATGAGGGGGTGTTTCACCGAGCGAACGCCAAAAGTCCGGAGTTCCACGCAACCCAAAACACGCTCGAATAGACCCTGAGAGACGACATAGTCGCGCAAGCCCCAAGCGTCTCTTCGCCATGCATTAACAAATCGACCGTATTCGGCCAAATTGTCGATTTTGACCGATTACCCTTAATCGATCCTATTTAGGTTCCTGGGGCTGGGTTGAACTGGGTCTCGTGGGGGTTAATTTCGCTGCTAATTACCTGCTGTGGAGGCGCAGCAAACACGCTGATGGCTCGAGAGGTCCAGCGAACCTTTATGTGAAGGGGAGGCGTACATCTGGGCGGTGCGGTTAAGCCAAGCCAGCACGTTCTAATATTCTGCACGGGAGGGTCGGGCCGAGGCCGATCCGCTGTGTGTGCGGGGGATCGACGTCGGTAATGTTTGGTTAGTTCGGACCCAACCCGGCGCGGGGCAAAGGGACAACGTCTCGCTCATTCGAATTCCGAAGCGGTTTCAGCCCAGAATTTTGGTTTTGTTTCTAGCGGCCTACGGGCTACGGGCTTACGGCGGTTGTTCCGGATTGCGGGGAGGCTGCCTCCTCTACACACATACGACAGTTACATGCATACATACAAGTACATACCCTATCGGTACGTTTGTATGTAAGGGACTGATCTACGGATCTAGCGCTTGGAGATAATGGCGCTTAGTTGCGGGCTTATCCGGGGAAGCGGCGAGATTTCCGGTCATCGTCATAGCGGGGCCGGGAAGGGCAACGGGATCACTCTATATTCATCCAACTGCGAAGACCGGATCAGGCACTCCTTGGATGCCTTGGATTAAGGATCTTTCAAGCCAGCCTACTCTGTGCGAATATCCGCTTTCACACGCAAAGCCGAACTGACACAATACGCGATCTGAGTGATACGTGATGAGCACGGAGTACGGTTGCTCGAGGGACAGTCCAGAAAAATATCAACACGAATCAACGAGAGAATTCGGATGTGACCGGTCACCGGTGACTGGTAAGTCGAGTGCAATGCATATTCTTATCCACTATGTGTTTGTTGGTGTGCGTACACCTTCCCGCCCTTGCTGCAGACTGTAGAGTAACATCACACAAAGGGCCCGATTACACTTTGGCTGGATCGACAGCCTGCAGTCTGCAGTCTCACGGCAATAAGAAAACCTTCACTATTGGAGCAAGAAGAGTGCTGGATTCCCGAGCCGCAAAATTGTGGAATGCGGGTGTGTGGGATCATGTCCGTTCGATTTTCAAAAGCAGGCTTGTTTGGGGGCCCAGTTCAGACTAAACTTCCGTCGCCTAATGTATATGTTTCTCGTCGCTAGTCTCCCGACACTCTCCTATGGGGAGGCTTACATCATCCGCTCCTTTCCCCAAATCAACGTCCCCAACGTTTGCGAATTTTATACCTAGTCTGCGGCCCCGGTCATCCACCTGGAGTGAGCAAACGACGAACTTCTTCCTACTCGACATGGCGAACGCTCTCATGACACCGAACTCAGATATCGAACCTTAATGGGACGTCCGTTGATTTGCTAACCGTTTGTGTGCTCGGTCGCTTATCCGTTCCATATCGCTTGGGTTCCTCCGATGGTTAGGCTCGTTGCTTCCGCAGGACCCGGCTCGGGAGCTATGAAGACTTTCGGCCGAGGTATTTTTCCAGGCTCAAAGAAACGCTGTATTGGAGCCAATAATAGGTGAATCCGCAGCATGTTTGATTTGGAATCCAGAGGTCCTCGTCGCGCGGAACAGGGGGGCACATGCCCTCTACCGTGGCCCGCCATGTTGTTCGTCCTGTACGTGTCTGCACGCCAGAGGAGAGACACCCAACGTCAGAAGTTAGAACTCCGAAACATCAAGCAGCAACGCTCGAACTAGCGTATTCCCGCTCTCCGAGGCATTACTTGGGTCGGTAACTGAGCCTTGTGGTTGGAGGGACACGGCCTTTCGAACACTCTCCGGATACCACCTCATACACAGAAGCAACTGCCTACCGATGTTCATCCAGCTCGCAAACTCTGCAGCCACTTCGCCGTCAGAAACATAACTCGCAACTGTGTTGCATATGGCTTGGCCATGGTTGGTCGAGAGATTCCAATGAGGTGATTAGATTAGTCCCAGGGTTCGGAACCACAGCTGACCCACCCAGTCCAACGTCACGCCGCAGCAAGCGCAGCAGCAGCAGCAAGATCAAAGATGGACCTTAGATAGCTCTGCTTTTGCATTCAAATCTATTCTATCCTAGGTGATGAAGTTCACGAGTCCGCAACGCAGACATCAGATGAGGTGGGGGTGAATGGTGCTTGGTGAGTGGTACTCGGACGGTGACCCGCAAAGAGTGAGAGAATCATGGTTGTGGAATGACGCAGGGATATAGTTATTCAGCTCATCGCCATCATCGTCTGATGGTTACATGTGTGGCAGCGGACATCGCAGGACCGGGGTTCGCCTTGAACCCGATCTCACCGCAACAAGCGCAGCAGCAGTACCTCAACCGCGGCCAACTCTCGCGTTCGCTCCGACACGATTATCTCCTGGCCTGAAAAGTCTTGGGGATTGCGCGTTTCGATCATCCAGGAAAAATGTACGGACAATGGGCCGGCTGGCTGATATAGCTGCGTACCCAGCAACCACTCTATTAGCCGGAATGCGAAATATTACGGGGGCTTAAGGCTTCTACCTACTTCTGATCTGACCCCACTAGAGCGATACCATCCCGTTCCCCACTTCTTGGAGCTCACGGGACAATGTAGGATCCGGAAGTCGGTCCTTCGTTCCCGCGCCCGCGTCCGCGTCCGCAGAGGCATAGGGATTATCACATACTTCTCTGTTCCAACAGCGCTGCCTTCCCGAGGTTACCGACGCTGCGTGACTAACGTCATCCGAACAAGCCCCGCAATAAAGGTTATTCCAAAGACAGCTGCATGGTTGGGAAGGGCTCCCCATGCATGGTACATGCCGGTTGCTGACATTGGGGCCCAGGTACATACGCATTCCGACCGCACCGGCACATACTGTGCCAATTCCCCGGAAGGGCTTTTTAATACTGGCTACCCCCAGACGCTTGCTTGCGGCTCGAGGGGCCGGACAAGGGCCTCTGCAGTTGCCTATGTTTGCAGATCAGGTTGACTGTGGACCGCAGAGCTCCGAGGTTGATCCGACTTACTTAAGCATGCAGACTTCTTTCTTTCGGTTCAATGCGCGCCGCGGCGACCTCTCACCGCTCTGGTCTTTTGGTTTATTCTTTGATTTGCATGAGACCTCTCACCGCCCCGCTGGTATCCGATAACCAACGACAGCCGGGTCTCGAGTGATACTGCATGACATTACAACTCTGAGTAAACGAGTCATTTCGGTTGGCGCCCGGCGAAGGAGGGCACTTACTAACTATGTGTTTGAACCTTGACCTGGCCTGTCATCTGGATCCCAGGGATTTTCTCGTGAGATCCATATTATGTACATACCCTCAGCCATTGACATCGAATCAAACCACCTGCGTCGAAAATTGTCTGCTTCACTATATGTTTTCGCAATCGGCGAAGCTATGTACGACGGATGGCCATCCCATCTTGAAGCCCTTCATTGGACTGTTTGGCTCGTCTTCTAGAAGGAACACCGGCCGTTTACTAGTCCGGCAACAACGTATTCCGGCAAACTTTTGGATTTATGTCTATCTACCAGAGTAACCATACTATATCTAGGCAGACCCGAAGGCGTCACAATCGATCGAGGCGGTAGACCCATGTGGATCCCTCCCTTCACTTGTCTACAGACGTCTACTCTACATGGCCGTTGTAGCGGAAACCTCTAGCTTGGTACCAGCCCCACCCCCACAGAATCCCTGCTAATGCACATCACGGAAGAATATCCGTACACGCGGGGGGGAGGGGGGGTGGTGGGGGAGGGGAGTTCGGTCTAACGAGGTTGAGGACTGGACAGACGCCGACGATGAGCTTCAAGCACCACATGTGGTAGTCAAAGCACAAATACATGATCCGGAATATTTTTTTATCGGCCGCTCCCATGGTTAGGACGAAGATAAACACAGCACCACACGTTCCCCCCGGCTATGACCGGAGGCTTTTTTTGTCGGGTAGTTACGCACGAATGGGAACGAATACAAGCTCGATATTGTCTCTCCCTAGGAACGGTATGGCTTTTCGGTTTCAGGTAGCGACGATGCGATAATCCTCAGCCTACCGGCTGCTGGCTGCTGGCTGCTGGCTGCTGGCTGCTGACGACGGTTTAGGTGCTTCCGTCGAGGGCTACCAATCCCTCTTCCCCGCCGTAGTGGCTTTGATGCCGTGGCCCCGCTCCGGTAAAATCTTTCCCCAACGATGCGCAAATACGGCCCCTTCCTTGAGCTACCTATAACATGGGGACCGTCCCGTCTTCTTCGTGTTCTTCCTTCATATCCTGCGGCTGTGTCCACTGAGCTTCGTCCTCGTATCTCACCACGATCCCTACAACCACAACCCGACGAGTATATCATCACGTAGGCATTGAGTGCTCGCGTTGTCGACTGTTACCTCATCCTCTATTTCTATGCCATCCCTAGAACCGATGCCGTTGCCCGTGGACATGGAGTCATGGGTAGAAGGCAAGCTGGCAGAGTTGACTCTCGAAGAGAAGGCTCTCATGCTTTCGGGTGTGGACGTATGGAGGACGTATCCGGTTCCGCGCCTTGGAATCCCTCAATTGAAGGTGTGTGGACGAATTTAATCGGTCGCAAATACTTCTGGACGCATCTGACTGACCGACTAACGCAGACGTCTGACGGACCCGTCGGCATCCGTGGTGGTACTATGGTCGATGGAACCACGGCCGCAATGGCGCCCAGCGCGGTTTCGTTGGCGGCTACTTGGGATACCGATATCATCTCGCAGCTCGGAAGCCTTCTGGCCACCGAGATGCGGGACAAGAAGGCGGATATCCTTCTCGCCCCAACAGGTAGGCAGCCAGCCGGCCAGCCTCGTCCCGCTTTTGGTAGACAAGCTAATACGATCGGTCCAGTGTGTCTCCACAGATCCCCATTGGGCGGCCGAAACTTCGAGTCCTTCTCCGGCGACGACCCGTTCCTCGGCGGCAAGCTCGCAGCCGCATACATCAACGCCGTGCAGGAGCACGGCATCGCCACGACGATCAAGCACTTTGCGGCGAACGACCAAGAGACGGGGCGGTTCGTCGTGAACCAGATCATGTCTGAGCGGTGTCTCCGCGAGCTCCACCTGGTGCCGTTTCAGATTGCGATCCGAGACGCGAATCCGTGGTGTATCATGGCCAGCTACTCGAAGATCAACGGCGTGTATGCGAGCAACAACAAGAAGTTGCTCACGGATATCCTAAGGAAGGAGTGGGGCTTCGACGGGATGGTCATGAGCGATTGGTTCGGTGTCAATAGTATCGTGCCGAGTGTGGACGCCGGCATGGATCTGGAGATGCCTGGGCCGGCAAGAAAACGCGGAAAGAACCTTTCGGATGCCGTCAAAAAGGGATTCATGGAGGAGAAGACGCTGGATGCATGCGTCCGGAGAATTTTGCAATTGGTCGGTTCTTTCCAGTCAGACCGGTGATACAAGTCGCTAATCTGCCGCTATGCACTGCAGATTCACAAGACTGGAAAATACAAATATCCCGACTGGGTGGAAGAGCAGGAGGAGGCCCATGATCGTCCTGAGCACCGGCAATTTCTACGAGAGGCGGCCGCCGATGGAATAGTGCTTCTCAAGAATGAGGGAGACATCCTTCCTTTGACGGCCTCCAAGCTGGATGGCATCAAACAGATTGCTTTTATCGGACCTAACGCGGATGAATCGGTTGCCGCTGGTGGAGGGTGCGTGTTTAATCGTCCCCCCCCCAAGGTGTTTCTCCCGTACTGATTTGTCTACTCCAGATCTGCCGCCCTGAACCCCCACTACCGCCAGAAACCCTACCAGCAATTCAAAGCCAACATCGCCTCGCCACACCCCGACCTCGTGGTCAAGCACGCCCGCGGATGTCTAGCCAACAAGTTCGTCCCCGTATTCTCCGAGGTCTGCGTCTCCCCCAAGAACGGAATGCACGGGATGCACATGGAGTACTTCGGCAACATGGAGCACAAGGGCCAGGTAGTCCACAGTGCCCACAGGATCAGCACGATACTTTCGTGCTACGACAACCTGCCCAAGAGCTTCACTCCCGGAAAACGATACTCCTACCGTGCAACTGGTCTGCTCACGCCAAAGACTACCGGAAAACACATGTTCTCTATGGGCACATGCGGGCCCGGAAGAATGCTCCTCGACGGAAAGGAGATCATCAATATCTGGAACCGCACCAAGGAGTCGGAGCGCTCGGAGATGTTCATGGCGTACGCCTCTCCCGAGAAGCGGGTGGAGATAGATATGGTCGGCGGCCGGACCTACACCGTCGAGGTGGAAGGTGTATCCCGCGAACTCGATCCGATACCCGTGCACTACACGGACGAGCTCTACCGTGACGAGGTTATGGACGGCTCGCGGGTCGGATTCATGGAGGAGGTGAAGGAGAATCTCTTCGGCGACGCAGTCGCGCTCGCCGCCGAGTCCGACATCGTCGTCATGGTCGTCGGCAAGAACATCGAGTGGGAGAGCGAGGCGTACGACATGAAATCGATGGATCTTCCCGGCGCGCAGAACGAGCTGATCCAGGAGGTTTTGAAGGTCAACCCCAACACCATCATCGTCAACCAGTCCGGCAGTCCTATTAGCATGCCGTGGCTCGCCGCCGCGCCAACAGTAGTGCAGGCCTGGTACCAAGGACAGGAGCTCGGCAACGCGCTGTTCGACGTCCTTGTCGGCGCCGTCAACCCGAGCGGCAAGCTCCCAGTCACGTTCCCAAAGCGCCTCGAGGACACCCCGTGCTTCCACAACTTCCCGGGCGAGAACGACACCGTCGTCTACGGCGAGGGCATCTACCTGGGATACCGGCATTACGAGAAGGCGAAGATCGCACCACTATTCCCATTCGGCCACGGGCTCTCATACACCACCTTCCGCTACTCCAACGTGCGCGTCTCCTCGTCACTCTTCTCCCCAGACTCCCCGCTCGTCGTATCAGTGGACATAACCAACACCGGCTCCCTTTCCGGCAAGGAGTCTGTACAATTCTACGTTTCGCAGACCACGAAGCCTGGTCTGCCGCGCCCGATCAAGGAGCTCAAGGGCTTCGCCAAGGTGTCGCTGCAGCCGGGCGAGACCAAGACTGCGTGCTACACGCTCGACAAGTACGCCCTCGGTTACTTCAACGATAGGAAGATGCTGTGGGTCGTCGACGAGAATGCAGAGTTCGCGGTCCATGCTGCCGCCAGTTCGGTTGATGTTAGGGGCCACGCGGTGTTCAGGGTCGCGAAGGGGTTGAGCTGGATCGTTTAGTGGAGTGCGTGAGCCTTACGGTTGGGAGCGCGTGGCTTGGTCGGTGTGCGAGGCGTCTGGTATTTTTCGGGTTTGTTTCTTTCCTTTTTGTTTTGTTTTTCGTTTTTGTTTTTTGTTTTCGCTGGGTTTTTTGTCGGGCTTTCATTTTCGTTGGTTTTGTTTTGTTTTTGTTTTTGTTTTTGTTTTTGTTTTTCGTTGGTTTTGTTTTTCCGTTTCATCTTCCTTAGTTTCATTTTCATTTTTTTTGCTTTCCTTTTCGTTTTCGTTTTCATTTTAGTTTTGTTTTCAATTTCGTTTTGATTTTGATTTCATTTCCGTTTTTGATTTATACATTCTTTAGTTCTTTTGGTTAAGCAGGCCTCCATTCCATGATACCTACATGCATGTATGGGTTTTGATGTTTGCTAAGAGTTGAGTTCGAGGATGATGATGATGATGATGATGATGATGAATGCAGCGCGGTGACCCATACCATCTATGATCTACCTATCTGTTCGAACTTCGTGACCAGCAGCAGCACAAGAGAAACATGAAAGTAGACTATCAAACGGGCTTATGTAGGATGTAGGTATCATGTTCAAACCAACTGCTAATACAATGTTGAACCAAAACAAAAGAAAAATCCAAGACCAGAGCTCCTTACTATAGAAGGATGACTCCTCTCGATACAACACAACAGAAAACAAAACAACTCGCTCCCACCAGGCCAAACCCCAAAAATAAAACACAAGAAAGAAACAAAAGTACAATACAAAGGAACAAGCCACAGATACAAGAAAGGATAACAGACAGACATTAAGAGCGTACAAGCTAGGAGAGATCGCAAGATACATAGGAGACCATAGGGACTATCGTATCGTAGCATATATAGACATCGTAGACACATACAAGACACCAACACTGACACCTGCATTACCAGGTGCATGAGGGAAGACTCAAGAGGGATAGAGCAGAGCGATCAGTGAAACTGCTGCTGCTGCTGCTGTTGTGGTACAGCATTGGGCTGCTGGAAAGAGAAGTCCAACTTCTGTGCGGCGTTCTGCAGTATCATAACGTCGCGGTGCAGCGCTGGAGAGATCGGGACCAGAGTGTACAGCCAATGGGTGGTTTTGGTGAGGAGATCGTTCAGCGTATGAGCCGAGATCATATTCCTTAGACTGGGAGATTGATACGCCGCCTGGAGTACCAGTAGGTTTCCAAATTGTCTGCCTCGGTGTGAGCGGAATGAAGTGGTGGTGGAGAACCAGGAGGAGGATGAGGAGGAGGAGAAGGAGGAGGAAGAAGGGGAGGGGGGCTCACGCATGAGCCGTTCCGAACACGTTGGTGATAATCGGCCTCATAACATCTGGATTGAATCCGTGAAAGGCGGTGGTACTCGACAGAGCGGCTTCGATGCATTTGCGGCAGTTCATCTCCAGTTCGTTGGGCGTGATGTCGCCTCTATCCCTATCCTCCCCATTGTTCTGGTCATCCATCAAGGGTGAGCCCGGATGGCTGTAGCGTGCTGAAGCACTGCTACCGATGCCGCCATTGTGGTGCAGGGCGTGGTACACAAACGGTCGATGAATGATGTATCTGGCGCCAAAGTATTTTGCACGCAGACGCGCAGCATTGATATCGGATGGCGGAGGATCGTTGGTCTCCCAGCGTAGGCGCGGGGGCAGATGTGACCTCCACGCTTCGAGCTGGTAGTCGAGCTCGCGGGCGATGGCAAGGCAGCGTGGTGAATCCAGGTTGGTCTTGTCCTGCTTGTACAGTGCGGTGTGGACGCGATTCAACAGCTTGCGCAGTGCGATCTGCGCAAGGTAGTACATCCAGATCAGTGGATCGTCGGCCGCGATTTCGGTGTATGGAGACGGCGGCGAGGTTATTCCACTGGGAAGAAGCATGGAGTCTTCCAGCCTGGAAATGCCACTGGGAGGCAGATCGAGCTCTGCCAGGACATCACTCTCGAGCTGCAGGCAACTCCAGAAGGCACGGAGGATAAGGTCTTTGCGGAGGGCATCTTTTTCCGAGTTGAGTTTCCTGTTTCCCCCCCTGTATTAGTGGGTAGTTCGTTGCAAGGAGGGTTTGTTCGAAGGGGTGATCTTACATCCGAATAAGGATTTGACATCCCATGCATGCCCAAGATATCCACTTCCAGCTGTCCAGGACCCTACCCAATTGGCCCCAATATAGTCCAGCCAGTAGCCCTGCTTGAACATTCTCTAGCTCGTTGCTTCCGATCAGAGCGCCCATGATATCCATAGCTTGCGAGAAATAAGCCAGCCCTGGGATCACATCAATATTCTTCGAGTCCGGCCTGTCCCTACTTCCTCCCGCCGAGAACTGTTGCTGCTGTTGCTGCTGTTGCTGCTGTTGTTGTTGCTGCTGCTGGTACGGTGGCGATGCCGCCGAGAACGGTGGGGTTGCAGAAGATCCGAAAGGAGATGCCGTGCTACTGAAGACGGAAGGGTACTGGGCTTTCGGAAGGGGACCCGGCACGGGTCGGCGGTGTGAGCATACCGATCCCAAGGCCATCACGAGGAGAACCAAGGCGGAATGCACCGTACGTGGTATGCTTCTCGACGGCGAAGGCGATAGACTTGTAACTTGTTGCTGTGGGATCGACATGCTCCGCTTTCGCTTCCCCGAGATGGAGTTGTTCCGATGACTCCGTGGCGAAGGCATCGTTGATTCCGTGCCGTTGGTGTCGCCACCCATCCCTAAGCCGGACGGGTTGGAATCAACCTCTTGCTGTGAGGAAGAGCCGAACAGATCGGCAAAGCGGAATACAGTGTCCGTGATGCTGGCTTTGTCGAGGATGGGGTGAAGGATGTGGATGTTTTTGAGGTAGCTGTTGAGCAGCTCCTGCACCGTCTGGCGATCCAGGCGCAGTTTTCCGTCGGACCCCAATCCACCGATGCCCTGTTCCGACATCCGAGGAGGCATGAGATTTCCTTGAGGGTCCATCATGTTGTGGTCATCATCCTCGGTGGAGGTCCCGTTGGTTTTCCTTCCTCCTTCGGTGCCAGATTCCCAGGCGCCGTTGTAGAACATGCCACTCCAGCCTTCGGTGCTCGGACCCGCATATTCAGTATCCTCCTCGAAAGTTGGGTCCCCGCCGCTACTCTCCTCCCCCCTCCCGTAGATCCGTAGGGTACCCCGGTTCTGTTCCTCGTCGATCACGTAGCTATCATGCTTGAGGAAATCATCGTCGACTATTTTCCGGATGCTGGGCCACCAGAGAAGCTTGTGTGCGGCGGTGGTGTGCTGATACGGTATGGTGAGCTGCTCGTCCTCTTCCATGGGGATTTCCCGCATGGTAGCCCCCGGAGTGATGGATGGACGAGAGACGATGGAGGGCCGCGTCTGCGGCGGAGACGCCGGCTTCGAGGCAGATCCCTTTGGCGATGTGGCTGCGCTCTGAGGCTGCGAGTCACCACCGCGAGTATTGATGGTTTCCAAGAGCGTTTCAACGCGTCCGAGACGATCGAGTATTTGCAGTAATGTGCGATCTTGTCTGAAGGGAAAAAATAAAATTCCGCATGAGCCATTCCGAACGTTTAGTCTAACGACAAGAGGACAGCCGCTTACTTTGGAGGTGGAACTTCGCGATAGACACAAGCTACTTGTGATTCCTTGCAGAAGCCGCAGCTGGGCCTTCCTTCGTCGCATTTCGCCTTGCGCGCCCGACACGCATCGCATGCCTATTTTATTCGATCGCGAATCAGCTAAAATTCACAGAGACCAAGATCCACTCGGAGAGAGATGCGGGGAGGGTCGTGAGGAGGAGGATGAAGAGGAAGAGTACGTACCTGCGCTGCTCGTATTGCTTTTCTTCGTGGCGGATAGGTCGTCACGACGTTCACCCCCTGACCTCCGCCCAGAATTATGCCACCCTGCGCATTGACAGGCGAGGGCACGATGGGATTCGCACCGATAAGCTGGTGGCCCTGTACGCCATGATAACCACCCGTTACTCCCGGACCAACCGCGTTCGAACTTGCAGGCGAAGCCATCTCCGCACCTGAACTCATCGAACCTCGATGCTCCGTCGGCGCGCCCTGGGATATATGATGGAAGAAAGCGGACGAATCGAAGACACCTGGCTGTTGCTGCTGCTGCTGTTGCTGCTGCTGCTGTTGCGTGGTCTGGAGCGGTTTCAGTTGCTGTCTGACCATGCCCTGGGAAGGGGGCGATGAGTTTGCGGTGCCGGTGTCAATATCAGAGGGTTGCGACTGGTATCCGTTGAAGCCCTGCGCATCAGTGGACACAGGGGTGGATATGCCGTGCGAATCTACTGACAGTGGGGTGTGGCCGACTGGCAATAAGTGTGAGTCTCCACTACTGTCGAACGGCGCGTAAGACGAAAAATGGTGTCCATCCCTACCGATTGATGATCCTCCCGCCCCCACCCCCCCACTGCCGCTTGCGCCGCCGCCGCCGCCGCCGCCTCCGCCGCCACCACTCATGCTCTGCGACCGGGGTTTGCTTTCTCCCCATCCTGCCATCGTGGAGCTGTTTGAGTACTGTGACTGGGGGGAATACGCCGCCTGCTGGTGGAACTGGAAGGTCGCTTGGTCTATGATCTGCTGCGAAGAAGACCACGAATCAAGACGAGGTCTCTTGGAGTATTCCTGCTTTACTTCCATACGAGCCCACGAGTCTGGTGGGGATGTAGTAGTTGCGAAAATGGTCGCGGTCGGTACTATCGCCCCCGACTTTACGGCAGTCCCTGCAGGTCAGGCTTTCGTCGGTGAAGAGCGCGCTTTTGCCTTGCGCTGCGGGTGAGAGTGGGACGGAGATGGAGGGAGAGAGATGGAGGGAGGGGGAGAGAGAGAGAGGAAGAGCAATGCGATCTACGGGAGGGGCTTCGAAAGAGCAATTGGAAGCTGAGGTCTGTACTACTGGATATATAGCCAACCACTAGGGTATTATGGGGGTGGAGAGAGCGGGGTGGGGTAGAGTAGAGCACAGTGGGTACTGGAAGCTGCGCCGTCCGTCGAATGGTAGTTATATAACAGTGTAGCTGAGATGAAGTAAAATGCGCATCCGCCGGCGGGATTACAAGGACGTTCTCGTTCTGACCGATTGGAATGACCGTGGGGAAGGTAAGAACGTTGGAGCTTCTATTGTCCGAGGGCTGGTTCCGATGAGATGATATGCGCTGATCGAGGGGGACCGTCGGAATCAACGAGTGCAGGCTGTGTGTTTTATTGAGGGGTGGAGGGGGGATAGTTGATGAGTTCGATTCTTCGCCGTCAGCTTTTGAATCGCGGGGAAGGTGCACCGGGCGGATAGATAAGTAAAAAAGGCGAAGCGTGTTGGAGATTGTTCTCTTTCGACTCTGACAGACCGAAAGGAATAATCGCGGGTACCTTGGGCATGTACTTGGGCAGGTATAGTAGGTATAGTAGTAGTAGCAGTAGTAGTAGTAATAGTAGCGCATCACGCATCCAGACACTGGTAAAATAGCATCCATCATCATCCGCAAGTCGTTCGCACGCTTGGATGCATCCTCCCATGTAGGTAAGAAGGAAGTAGGTGGGCAACCAGCAGCTTACTTGCAAGGCGTGACCGGGGTAGGGTAGTATGTGCTTTCATCCCACTAAAAAAGATGCAGCCGGTGCACCACTCTACTCTACGTAGGTGCGTGGTATCGCCAATCACCATCAGGAACCACTGGAACCTCCATGTCGTACATACATAACTACATGCTATCGTGTAGGTAGGGGGGTGGAAACCCACGCAGAGCATGTATGTACGTACATCTCGAACAACTTCGAGATTTGCAGCTGGCCGTAGGGTCTACCCGGGACGGTCTGCATCACGAAAGTCCAAGTATGTATTATGTACCCAAGTACCTTGGTACGGTGATGACTTCTTGTAGTTGGCCGTATCTTGCCGTATTCCACGCGGCCTTTGATATTCTTCGGAGCCCGCGAGACAAATTGGTTGAAGCCGCTCGGCGCTCAACAGACATTGTAATCGCCCATGCGCATTCAAACGGCACACCCACGGTAGTTCGAACGATGGGGGTAGTAGGTACGAGGGGGTACTTCTGACGCCCCCCCCCCCACCTCATCCACCCAGACCAATGAGGCCATTCCCGTGGTCAGAGATCTCACCATTCCCTTCGCCTGATCTGCATGACAGACATGAACGACTCTACCGCTATCTTCTGGATTGAGAAGAGCAAACAGGAAGAAGAGATAGTGGTGGAGGGGGAAATGTTTCCCCCCCCGAAAACCCTGATGTTTTGAGTATGATGGATCCGAAGGGTGAAGAGGATAAAGAAAGAAAAGAAGGAAAAAAGGTATCAGGTTGTTAGCCTGCATCATGCGTCCACCGACCCATACAGGAGCCCTGGCCGATCACCATTATCACCACCACCACCCTTTTTCTGTTACGAATGGCAACCCACACCCAAACCACACACACGCCTCCCCCCCTCCTCAAAGAGAGAACCCCAGAGAACCCCGTGGTATCCAAGCTCTGTGGGGCGGCGCTGTTTTGGCCGTCAGAGGATTCGGAACATCTGGCACACCGGAGTTCATCATCCATCCACGGGGACCCTAGCAGATGTAGTCCATCCCTCCACACCCTCAGGAACACACACAGGCTACAGCACGTACACACGAGCCTAAAATATGCTCTTCCGTGCTTTCTGGAAAGTCTTGAATTCCATTCCTACAAGTCCACGAGGGCCTGTTGATCCGCAACGAGGACATTCAGATGTCAGTGCAAGTCGTCTCTAACCCCACATCGAGGGGCAAGCTAAGGTATGTTAGCAGCAGCGCAGCGTTCGGCAGGGATAGCACGTTCGTTCAGAAAGAAGGAAGGAAGGAAAAGAAAAAAGAAAAAGAAGGAAGAAAAAAAGACTTTTCGCTCGCAGCTGAGGTGTTCATTTCGATGGTGATGGTGGTGGTGATTAGTGAAATGGTGGGAGCCTGGAGGTGATGATGGTGGTGGGAGGTGGTGAGAGGTGGTGGTGGTGGTGTTGGTGGGAGGTGGGAGGTGATGTCGCATTTTACCCCACACACCATCCCACCTACCTTACCTAGGGCCGCACATTTGCTTCTTCTTCCACATCTTCCCCTTCTGCCTGGATGTGAGTGGGCAGTGGGCCCAACACTTCTCCCGTCCGTTTCCCTCAGAGAACTCATTCTCTCTCGCTCCCCCCGTCAGCCCAAAAAAGATGCATTTGCTGGCAGATTGACTGGGTAATTTTTTCATCGAGTAGAGTGTGCGGAGGCGGAGGCGTAGATTATAGGTAGGTAGTATGTATAGTAGATGGGCATCCACCCACTAACTAGAGACACACATCAAAATTGCCAGCGATTGAACCTGATGAGCCACTCCCCGCCCCCCTGCCGTATCGTCTGATTCGCAGCCCCATCGCATCGTGTGGTATGCGGAAGCGAACTCTGGGGGGGGGGGGGGGGGGGGGAAGAGCGACAGAGCGACAACGGAAGCAGCCGCACAAACGAGAGGCCCGAATGGAAATGTCGGAGAAACCAGGTGGAAGATGGAGGGCATGGGGCTGGAGCTCTGGGGCGGATATGTGTGGAAACACGAATGATATGCAGGGAGGCAGGAAGGTGGATGATGGACGGTGTGCGGTGGACGGCGGGTGGTGGACGGACTGGACGTCGTGGTGGTCGTCGTCGGCGCGGGCCAATCATAATTCGAGGCCGGGAAGGGTGGGCATGTAGTAGTGTCGGGATTCGGGTCATGTGCTCGAGTGATGGGGTGGGACATTGAAGTCCGCGCAGCCACCGCACGGCGCAAATGTTGGGGCAGCCCAATGAGTAACTAATCACGGAGGTACCGTATGTGACCACGGAGGGTGGGTGGGTTGGTGGGTGGGTGTTCGCTCTGCAGCCCCCGAATCTTCACGTGAAGCTTCGGGATTTCGACCGCAGCTGGTTCGCAAACTGCCGCCCACTATCGGTATCCAAAACCTGCGCGCTTCGAGTGGGGCACACCGATGCTAACTAACCAAGAAAGTAGGTACATAGTATATAGTATATAGTACCCAGAGTAGCAAATGCATCCTGGGACGTCGACGAGGTCGGCCTCAGAAAAGATCTGCCTGCCTGCCTGCTTCGCACTCACACCCACCCACCTAGGTAAGTACTCGGGCGTAAGGGTAGGTGGTGCCTCACCTTGCGCTTATAATTCGTAATGGTGGTGAGGTACGACTTAACGATTGGCTGTTCCTGGTAAGTACTAGGTAAACACACATCCGAGTATTTGAGTATTGGGTACTCTACCCACTGTCACTCACTGAAAGTCTGAAAGACGAACTGCCGCCGCCACCGCCGCCGCAGGCTCGCAGCCAGACTGGCGGTTCGCTCCTCGGACACCGCCTACTTGTCCACAGACAGGTAGTTACGTGCCACCGACCAGCCGATCCGCCGCTCTCGCAGAGTCGCACACTCGGAGTGACTCGCACCTTCCCGTCCGTCCGTCCGTCCGTCCGCCAGGATGACTGACCCAGTGCGACCGTGCGACGTAACCAAGTATCTATACCTAGTAGACTTCGGTTCCGTCCCTCTGGCTGGTTTCGAAGCTCGTATATCTGAATATATCTGACGGGCAAACGCCACTGGCACGGTGGCACCGATGTATGGTTGCACACCGCGCGTTCTACATTCACCCCTCGCTCGCTCGCTAATCATCTGCCTGAATACATATGACGAGTGGTGGTGTCGGTGTAGCGTGGTATATTGTGGTGTATGTAGTGTAGTGGTGTGTAGTAGGTATTAACTTGCTTTACAGCCGGCCGGATAACTACTACTAATATCTGGAGCGGTTTCAACTTTCTTTGGTGTTTCGTCCCTCCCCGAGCTACGCGTACGGCATTTTCTGAGTTACGCACGACGCCGCTTCGGGGAAACATGTATCAATTCTTCGATGTTTTTTGCAGCCGGGATTCTGTAGGGTGCACCGGTGCGGGGCCCAGCTCAGCTCCAATGCTCCATCGATTGCCCCTCCACTTCCACTTCTTCTCCTCCATTCCGCTTCGATAGCCAGCTCTTGATTACATAGCAACGGACAATGCTTTTTTTTAAGGCTTTGCTTTTGTCGGTTGATAGTCTTGAACCGCCTGCAGGTCCTCCCTCAGACCTCGGTCAGACTTTTTCCTTTTCCTTTTCCTTTTTTCCTTCTTTTTTCGTTCTTCCTGCTTCCTGCTTCATGTAACATGATGTATGTACCCAAGTACTGCGCATATTAATGTCGTCCTCTTTGGGCCATTCGAACACTTTGGCGTAAAACCACCTTCTCTGCATGGACATGGGCAATGGACATGGAATCTCGTCATGGAAGAATTCGAACGGTTGTGGCATATGTATGCTTGAGGTATGTATCATACTTGGTAATGTATTCTACATGTGCACTACCTAATACTACTATATACTTTTTCTGCCAACTAACCAAGTACTAACTACCAACTAGTACATAGTACAATACATACACACATACTCCACCAGGTACATATGATCTCGAAGGGTGGTGGGGCACGCAGAGCCCTTAACCCTTACCACACAGCTGTCTCCCCCCTCCCCCTCCCTCCCCACTTCGTACATACATAGACGAGCTGCGGCGACCGGGTTGGAGTCTGGAGGCATCTGTCTGTCTGTCGGCGGCATATGCAGTGTCATTCGCCTCGGGATGCATACATACATACATACATACATACATACATACATACATACATACATAAGGATTGGGGCTGGGGAGTGTGGGGTGTGTGGATATTTTGGTCCCGACTACATGTACGTGTGTGGTTATCGTGCACGTCGATGACAGTCCACTGGCCACTGGCCAGGGGATGGGTAGGTGATGGGTCGCGGAATTGTCCGGCCTCCGCTGCGACTTGCGCAGCGACTGAGGCGGGATGCGGGGAATGTCGGTCGTGCGAATATACGGTACGGTACCGAAGTAGCCGCCCCTCTACTACGCACGGCACGGCACGAAGCGGCGCGGCAGAGCGATGGCGTGACATGGCGTGCTATGGCTTGTAGTTAAGCTAAGCGTGCTAAGCGGGCTCGACTCTCGAGGTATTGCCGGCTGTGCTTGCACCGTTGCACGGGTGCTGAGATCGTTCTTCGTCATCGCTACAACCGTAGGTATGATACCTATCCTGGCTGTAATGGCTGTGAATTAAGCTAGAGTCGCCACGGTATGTAGCAATAGCTATATCCTGGTGGTCTCAATGCTCATATCGACGCAGTGTAGAGTACCTACTTCTTACTTATGTATGTACCAGGTAGTTCCAACTTCCAGCACAGCGCTGACTGGATGGATAGATTTTCGAAATCATGTTCTATGTAGATCTCGGGTGACACTGGACGTAGGCGGAACTGACTCCTTCCACTGAACAGGTATGCAAGTACGTACTTGGTTGCTGCGCCCTACCAGAGATATCCGATAGCTACTCTACATACCCAGATCGATGTCAACGAAACACCGCCGCCGGCCACCACCACCACCTCTGATGCCGAGATCTCCCGCGTGCGTGCACACAGGCATTGTCGAGTGTGCGCATGGTGCGAGAATATGCTTCACTCAAAGCCTTACGAACCTACTTGTTACTTACTTACTCGCTTACTTACTCACTTACTTACTCACGTACTTACTCACGTACTGACACGGCGTGCAGCTCGCGGGCGCTTACTTAGTAACGTGTGCTCAGCGGCGGCGGCGGAGGGGCATCGATCGGACTCGGTTGCCCACTGCCGTACCACGACTACTAATTGCTTAGTTACTAACTATTAGTAGGCGCCCAACCAACACTCAGCTCAGCCTTACGGTGGAAGGATTACCCTGTGTATGTATGCTGAGCCTCCCCGTACAACCCAACATCATCTTTAACCATCACCATCATTCTTTCTCATCATCACCGTCATTGTCAGCGTGTGATGGCGGCAAGCAAAGGGGGCTGATAATAGGTTCATAGCACTCTGAAACATATCCCTTGGGCATGACTACTACCTAGTACCTACCTGCCATTGTCTTCGACCTCTCCGCGATATAGGATATAGTAGTTATAACCCCACCCTCGAGTCCCCGTGGTCGGTTCAAACCAAGAACCAACTTGACAATTCCGAAATCCCCACTACCCAACCAACCGCCCATAACCTGAGTATGCCGGCCGCACCACCGAAAGCCATAATCTTCGTTGCCAACCACGGCAACGACCCGACGGAGGTAGCTGTGCCATGGTCGGAGCTCAAAGCCGGCGGGTGCGCCGTCACGTTCGCGACCGAACACGGCGATATCGCTGCGGCGGACCCCGTCACGGTCCAGCAGACACTGTTCGCGTGCGTGCTCGGCGCGACGTCGACTGCAACTTCCACGTACAGGGACATGCTGGCGTCGGCCGAGTTTAACAATCCGCTCTCGTGGAGCGACGAGGGTTTTGATATTCTCGGATACGGTTGGTTGCCCCCTCACTTACCCCGGACTGAAAGAGAAGGAAAAACCGAAACCCACCGTTTACCAAAGATGCTGCGCTGTGCTGGTTTTTCTTTCTTTCCTTTCCCCACAATCCGCTAACAGCACGACCCGCCGGATCGTACAGATATCGTGATTCTCCCCGGCGGCCACGACAAACCGATCCGGCAGTACCTGGAGTCTAAGACCTTGCACAGGCAACTAGGGCGATTCCTGCCGTACACTCAGCGCAGCAGCAGCACCACCACCACCGGCGCCGCCAACACCGACACCGACACCAACAACACCAACGACCACAACGACAGCAGCACCACCACTACTACCCAACCGCAAAAGAAAGTGCTGGGCGCGATATGCCATGGCGTGCTACCACTCGCATTTGCAAAGTGTCCGGGCAGCAGGGAGAGGGAGGGAAACACACTACTGGGCGAGTATCGACTGCAGACCACGACGCTACCGAAGTGGATGGAGGCCACGGCGTGGGTTGCGAGTCAGGCGTGGCTGATGGGCAGTTATTACCGCACCTATATCGAGCGGGGAGCGTGGACTTGTGGCGATGTAAGTCTTTTCTTCCTTTTTTTCGCTTTTCTTTCTGCGGCGCTTTTCCGTTGTTTTTTTTCTTTCGTTTTTTCTGGCTTTCTGGCTTTCTGGCCCTTATCGTGGTTGTTGTTCGGTGGTGGTGTCTGCCTGCCTGCCTCTGCCTGCCTGTCTGCCACCCGTTCGTTTGTGGGGTTGGGTTTACTAGAGTATTGCTACCAAGTACTCTAGAGCTCTAGAGCTCTAGAGTAGATGGGATGTTGATTGATCTAATGCACGATGGCGATATGATAGGTCGAACAAGCGGGTGGGATCCTTATTAACGGACCAATGAGTACAAAGTGAGTACATAAGACAGTACGGACGAACATCCGTACCACAAACCTCCTCCTCCTCCCCCCCCCCCCCCCCCCCCCCCCCCCACTCCACAGAAAAACGCAACATCTACCTACCCAGAGTACCTAGAGTACCTACCTACCTAGTAGTTAGTAGCCGGTGCTGATGTTGACCGTGTTTGGAAAAGGCCATTCGTGCATATAGATCCGAATCACCGTTACATCTCGGCACGTTTCCCGGGGGATGCTGTGCTGTGGGCTCAAACTATTCTGAAGGAGGCAAGGGAGGCGCTGGGAGAGTGGTAGGCTGGTACCGTTACTTTCTTTGACAGAGACTGGCGCATAACTACAACGTATGTAGGTGCCAGGGACACATACGAAGGACGACTCACGAGTGATATCGGGGGTACTCTACTCTACGGCACTCTGAGCTCGGAGCTTGTGGGGAGCTTGGGGAGGAGATTGAGCGGGAAAGAGGTGTGCAGGGGATCTTTTTTCCATTTTTTTTCAATTTTTTTTCTTCATAGTTGTTTTGTTATGTGTGTGATGGCGTTGGGTTAGATGTGGATATTGATGTGAGGTTTATGCAACTCGATATTGAAACGTTGGAACGGAGAGTACATGCTTGATTTACTTGTGCTTTGCTTGTGCTTGTATATCACCTCCCCACCGGAGCTACTGCAAGTCTGCAAGTCTGCAAGCCTTCATGCAATCATCACTCGGTTCGGCTTCGAGGAGCTCGGCGCAGCAGTGAGCAATGAGCAATCGAATCCAATCCAATTCACGCCGTACAGTACAGTACCGTTAGCCGACTACGCTCCGCCCTCCGCTTCAAAGCCTGTACGGTCTACTGTAGTCTGTAGTCTGTAGAGTACTTGTGTAGATATACGTCCCCATCTGTAGTCTATAGTCTACAGTCTACATTCTGCAGTCTGACCCAAATTTATGTACACTGTACTCTACACTGTACTCTACACCCAATATCCATCCAATGTCCCTCCAATGTCCACCCAATATCCCCCCAATATCCCCCAACCATCCACCGGAGTCCCCAGAATCTCGAGGAAGCTCACGGAGCCACGTAAGTGCGTAAGTGAGCTAGCTCTCTCTCCCCCAGCTCTCTCCAAACTCTCCCCCAGCTTTTGAGTCTTCCCAGAGGCCGGAGCAGGCAGAATATAATCATCTAGCTTGTGCCCACCTCAAGAAGGTTCGCACATCCCGCGTTCAGAAGTGACCGGAACACCCCCATGGACCTGGATGAGCGGATATCCGAGTTGCGGTTGCGTAACGGATCTCCCAACGCCTGGATGACGGATGGATGGATGGATGGATTGATGGGTGGAGTGATGGGTGGGTGGATTGATTGATGATGTTGACGACGGATGGGTGGACGGCGGATGTGTGTATGGCGAGGTGTACCGTGTGCGGAACCAACGGAACCAATGGAGCCACCTGCCAACGGAGCGAGCCAACGGAGCCAACGGACAGACGGACACCCGGACGGACGGACAGACAGACAGACAGACACACGGACGGGACCGATCCGTCCTGGACGAATCGAGGACAACACTTCCGGTTTACACGGACTGCACTGCGCACGCACTCCCTTCCCCAAGAGAACCCACCAGAGAACCCACCAGAGAACCCACCATGCCCGAAGATTCGTCATCGCCAATTGGCGGAACAACACCAGCGGAATTTTTGTTTTTTGTGAGCAGTCGTCTGTCCCTCCTCGGCGTTTACCTGTCTACCTGCTTGCCTGCCAGACAGACAGAAATGGACAAACCCACAGCTCCGAAGGGCTGGTGTTGGTATTGGTATCCGGCATGACAGACTGACTCAGGACAGTGCATCCATCCCGATACTATGATACTCATATGTGCGGCGGCCGTGGCGGTACGTACACCGAGTTTTCTTTTTTCTCTTCTTTTTCCTCTTCTCTCTTCCCTCCCCACCCCTCCCCTTCTTTCCCCTACCCCAGTTTTCTCGTTTCTTTTTTTCTCCCTCTTTTTTGTTTTATTTTTTTGCCGAAGTGTTGTTCGGCGGAGTGGTGGTGGAGGGATGTAGCACTCGGAGAAATACTATACCAGCCCTTGAGGCGATCCGAATGATTGGACGCGAAAGGATGGGGAGGGATGGATGGATGGGTGGATGGATGGATGGATGGACCCTGACACCCTGTGCTGTTGCCAGTCTGCCAGGTGGTGGTGGGCATGGGCTGCATGGCATGGCATGGCATGTGGTATGGTACCATACATACAGTACCCACTCAAGTATCTATGGCCCATGGGTGGATATATAAACAATGCACAGTGCAGAGATAGCATATACGAGTTTGCAGAGTATTTATATATCCACCCTCACCACCAGCAGCACCAGCAGCAGCATCAGCAGCAGCACTACCAGCGCCATCAGCAGCACCAGCAGCACCAGCAGCGCCCATCCACTGTATTCGAGATTGGAACCGATTGCATCCAGCTGCCACTTGCTCGAGGCTTGCGTTGGCCGGCCGGACAATGGCCGAGTTCTGGCCAGTCGGAGCGCGAGGAGAGACAAAAAACCGCGCAATTGCGACTGAAGGGGGTGAGGGGCGCGCGCGTGTGTGTTGCTGGGTAGGCGACGGGTGCCAGATAACGGCGGGAGGAAAATCTTCACTGGCCATGGCGTGGGTTGCGTGGCTTTGGGTATGCACCCAGGTGAGTATGTATGTACCTATGGTATGTCCGGCACAGTATATACCGGAGTTCAATCCCGGCGGCGGGGTAGATAGAGGTAGGTAGGTACCGGAGGTATGATAGTGATATGTAGTAGTATCATATGTAGGTACAGTACGTATGTACCAGGTACGTACGCACAGGGCAGAGTGACGATTATTGCGCGAGGGATTTCGGGATGGCGGTATCGGCCGGAGGCAACAGCGACACATCGGATTTCGACGGGCTAGCAATGTACCTATGGATGTATGTCGGTATGTTAGTAAGTATATGTACGGTCCACTCCACTCCACTCCACTCCACTCCACTCCACTCCACTCCACTCCACTCCACTCCACTCATCTCCTCTCCGTCCACTCCTCCCACTCGTTCACTGACTCTCCCACTCTACTGGCTGCTGCGGGGTTATATACAGAGTGCGTATGTAAAGTCTCCAGACGATAATGCGGCTTGATCTACTCTTTCCCTGCACGGCAGAATATATTAGCTGGCGCATCCCCACAACCCTAGGTTCTCCGTTGCTGGGGACGAAGAGATTGGACCAGCATGATTCGGCTAGAGTAGATGGTAAACTTGCAAACAAAAAAAAACGTAGATTGCCGCGTTTTGACGGGTAGGTCTGATTAGTCCCCACACCCACCTGGCACCCACCCACCCACACCCACCCACGAGTCCGTCCGCGAAAGATCTGCTCTACTCTGGCTGCGAAACGGCGCGCGCGCAACGGGGGCGGCCGTGGCGGGGAGGCGATGATGTCGTGGAATTCGAGCTGGGCCTGACGAGAGCAGCGATTGCGGGGCGGGAATTAACGGAAATTTCCTCGTGATCGTCCATCCGCCAACCTGCCTAACCCACTAACTCACCACTCCCATCCCTCCTCCCTCATTGAATGCCCGCCCGCCCCAATTCATGCGAGAGAACAAATCGTCGTTGATTGAGTCCTCGTCCTCGTCCTCCGAAGCCCACTATTCGGGGATGTTCCGCAGGCTGCATGCACGTACCGCTAGTCAGTACATAGATTGGTTTCCTGCGAGATAGCCAGAGGCGGAGGTATCATGACCACTGCAGGAAGCGTCGACAACCCAAGTAACTGATCAGCTCACATGTTTCACCCATGCAAATAGTACTAAGACGGGTGGTGAGCGGAAGAGAGAATCGATGCGCTGGACTCTCGGTTATGTAAGCGACCGGTCGTCGTTTCGTTGGGTTGGGTTGGGTTGGGTTGGGGTTGACGGGCGGAGTGGACTGTACTGCCGCTTTTTCCCTCCCTTCCCAACGTCTTTCCCCAACATCATCCTCATCATCACCATCACCACAATCATCACCATCATCACTGTCGGCGTCGACGGCAGCAGTGCAGCAATGCAGCACAAAAAAAAGCCATCCTCTTCCCTCTTCCCTCCTGCCCACGGGTATTGTCCAAGGTCTTTTACCCAGAGTGTGCTGTGTACTGTGTGCTCAGAGTGTTGTGTGCAGTGCTATGCTGTAGCTCAAATGAAATGAAAACTTTCATGATGACGTCTAAGCTCAACATTAGTTAACAATGAACAATGCAAAATCTGCACGTCGTAGGTTGGAACTGCCACTTGTGACTTGCCTCAATATTTGAAATTTTGCCCATGCGAGCTGCGCCGTTTTCGGGCATTGAGTTGGGTTCTGCTATACATATAGGTGGACGGATTGTTCCCCGGTATGTTTTCTTCGGATACTGATGGGAGGAGGGGGGGGGGGAAGACGGAGGGGCGGCCTTGTTGGGTATACCGTATGTAGCGGCCTGTAAGTTCGGATTGTGATAGAGGAAGGGGAGAGGAAGCAGAGAGGGAAGCAGGGAGGAGGGAGAGCTCGTGATGAGGATGCCGCAGAACCGTAGCCAGTCCGACATTGCCTTTCCCCTTCCGTGCCACAAACTGTGCGTTAGTTGTCACCTATATCGCTGGCTGTATGCATACCGACACCGATCCATGGAGGGGGGAAGAAGAGGATGATTACCTTTCTTCACATGGAACACAAAACCTTGCGGCCGGAATGCGGCCGGGGAGCTATCGGACGGAAGTACCTAACCAAGGCGGGCCTTTCTAGTTTGCCAGAGCTCGAATGGATGCGGGCGGGCATCTTTCCTTTCCTTCTCTGCTATGCTCTGTTCTATCATGCACCCTGCGCATGCTCAATAGCCTTTCTATATAGAGCCCTCCTATACTCCAGCTGGCATTGGGCAATGGCATCGAGTGACCTGCCATCGCATCTCCATCCAGCCAGACAGCAAATTGCAACTGCAACTGCAACTGCATCGCTCCGGCCGGTCCTGATTCTACTTACATACCACATACCACATACCATGTACTGTATTATCTCAGATAACCGACTGGTCAGTTTGAGCAGTTAGCGCTGTTACACACAGGCTTGGCTCGCTTCCTAATGTTTTGGGGGCGCTTGGCGCTTAGTCAGTATCAAAATTACTAGCGCAAAATCGCCGTCATGTTTCTACACATGCAGAGCATCCAACTTCAGCCCGATTCTTTCCAACAGACTTCCCTAATATCATCATCCTCAGTATCGCTAATGTTAGCAAACAGCTCTACAACCACATGCTGCCTACCTACTTCCTCCAGTAGCTTGCTTCTCCTGGCTACTACCTAGCTACTGGTTCAACTGGAACGCGCATCTTTTCCCATGCGCGCTGAGAAAGTGACCGCTGAGCCTGCTGAGGATGCGTCCACTGAACCTTCCACGGGCACGCCCACGGAGCCTGTCAAGAGCACACCACTGAACCTGCCGAGAGCGCGCCTGCCGAGAGCGCGGCCGCCGAGCCAGGCAAGAACGCGTCCACTGAGCCTGCCATGAGCGCGCCCACCAAGTCTTCTGCCGAGGACGCGTCAACCGAGTCTGTCAAGAGCGCGCCCACTGTGCGTTGTAGACATGTTTGACGAGCGATCAGTCCGATATTGTTGTCTTCATCACTGTCGTTGTCGGGAGCATATTTAGCCGTAGACGTAAGAACAAGAGCTGCGAATTCTGATATGACTCTGTCGGCGTGTGCTACTTTCGTAAGAAAGGTGACCTCGTTGTTCTCCATTCTGGTTTCCGTCGTTTCTATCTATCGACTTAATCTTTGTTGAGTGTACTGCAATGCTCTACATCTGCCATTCCCACGATGCTTCAGGAGTTTCAGCCGCATTAACCTAATCGACTGATGTTCTGCTGCAAATCCATTTCACTGACCGGTCAGTTATCTGAGATAATACGGTACCTCCTCCCACAAGCACATTAAGGCACGCCGCGCAGTTGGCTGTCCGTATGTCATTGATACACATGTACACACATACCCCAGGTAGCAAGTATCCATATCGTAACGGCGCTGACAATTCCTCAACTGTGCAACAGTATCTCCCAGCACGCACGCAACCCTGTGAAATCCCGCATCCCTCCCTCCAGCCCCAGCCCCACCTCCAGCTCCAACTCCCCCTCCGGCTCCCGCAGCAGCTTCACAGCCCCTCCCCCTCCCATCCCCCTCTCCCTCCCCTACCATCCAACTCGCTAAGCTTGGCAGTATGTAGTCCGCATTGCAGCCCACCCCCACCCCCCTCCTCATCCCAGCCACTCACTCACACTCACACACACCGCCAACCAGGTTCGCAGAGTGCCTGCAGCTCGGAATCGGACTGACTTCAGCCTGATTGCGGGGGTTGAGGTGGACTGGACTGGTTGACTTGACTGGTGGAGTCGAGGAGTGGAGTCGGGGGTGGAGTCGGGGGTGGGGCAGATCCGAGTGGTCTGCGAGATTCTGGAATTATCACTCGGCTTATCTGCCAGACGGAGACGTGGTGCGAACTGCGAACGAGGTTCAATGCTTACCCCCTCCCCACTACTCGCTTCTCCATGAACTGGTGGGGCGGCGGTCTGCGTGTTGGGTGTTGGGTGTTAGGTGTTGGGTATTGAGGCGTGAGCGTGAGAAGCAGGCGGCCATTGATATCCTCACGATCCGATAACCCGCCGGATCTGTCTGTACCTATCTGCTGTGGGAGTCAACCGGAAGGCTACACGTTGGAACTTGGGCTGGTTTTCAGATTTGATCTGCAATGTATTATGTGCCTAACGATTGCTGGAATGCTTCTAGCCGAGATGCTCATGTTCATGATCAATTCGTTTCTCAAGTTCTCGCCCGGGGCTTCCACATTCATGATTCCAATAGTTTTCCTTCCGTGTTTCCGATGGATCATGGCCCATGGGGATGGCCATAACTTGTCTTCTCCACATCTGTATACCGAGTGACCGAGTGACCGAGTCCGGTGGCTTTTCATTGAATTTGCTCCCCCGGGCCCAAACTCATTTAGACTACCGATCAGCCTCCCAGCTTCCAGCTCGGCATCCTTGTGTGAATGACCAGTGACCACATCCGTTCCAATCCATACCCATCCGACCAACCCATCCATCGAACATCCATCCATCCATCCATCCGTTTTGTTCACCCTGTCCAGTGTCATACCATCGTCAAAGAAAACAATAGTACACGCCCCCAAATCACCAATTCTCCCATCGTAAGTACACAGTTCTAAGCAGAGTACCTTTGTGCTGGCTATGGTTGGAAAAAACCCCGTAATATGAAACACTGAAGAAGCGAAACAAAGCCGGAAGAACAGAGCTCCGCAGAAAAGAGCTCCACAGAAAAGAGCTCCACAGAAAAGAGCTCCACAGAAAAGAGCTCCAAAGAAAACACAGGAAACGCAGAAAGAAAGAAAACAAATGAGTCGTTATCCGCAACGCCGTGAGTCCCGTGACAGCCACCCGCAAGATTAAATACTTACATCGTATGAAGAAAGCAACAGTGGTAAGAAACCCGGTCCAGTCCAGTCCAGTCCAGTCCGCTCATACCTCCACCTCCACTTCCACCTTCATCTCCACCTCCATCTTCGCGTCCACCTCCTCGTCCGCCTGCAGTTTAGCAGCCTCATCGGCGGCGGCAGCGGATGTCTTAGTCTTCGTGAAGTCCAACTCTATCGGTATGCCCATGCCGCGGGTGATGCACCTCCTTCCGCAGGTACGATACATCATCTCCCCGTCCTCAACGAAGGTCTTCTTCCAAACCGCGCTTCCATAAGCGATAGCTTCACAGATATTTGGGCCCTCGTTCCATCCCTGGTGATACGAGAGCGGCCACGTGATGATCATCTCGCCCTTCTTCTGGCGGACGAGGATGCTGCGGACTCCCTCGAGCTCCAGGATCCCTTGCGACAGGAACAGGCTGGCGTGGCGCACATGCTGCGAGCACAGCTTCTCGCCGGGCGCCTCGTCCTGGTTCCGCGCGACTATTCGCTCCACCTTGTCGAAATCGAGCGGACACGTGACGCGCCACATTTTTGGGGCGCCCTTGTGGTGGAAGTTGAGCGAGAGCGCGCAGTAGTCCTCTTGGTGCAGTGCGAACAGCGTGTATGCGTTGCCCAGGTACAAGTAGGGAGTGTGTATTCCTATTACAGTCTCCGTACTGTCAAATATGTGGTTTCCCGGCAGCTTGTCGAGTTTCGGGTCCACGAGACCAAGGTAGGCGCGGAGCTCTTCCGTCACATCATTGTCCGATGAGTAGAAGACTTCGCCGCCAGGGTTCTGCTTCACTATGTCGGCCCATTCGCGGCCGCGCTTCAGCATTGTTTCCTCCGGAATACGAAGGTTCTGCGAGTTTTCGTCGAGGTCGTGCGGGAACGAGGATATAGGAACTAGCGTTTTGCGCTTTGATATCACTTCGTAGATGGGCGCATATTGGTGTTTGGAGTTGAGGTGAAGGGGTAAATGCTGGCTCATTTCGTACACCATCGGATCCGGTGGTGGCGGTCGTGGCGGTGGCCCCTCTACTTCTGGAGCCGGCATGTCGGCCTCGGACTCCAGTGCTGGTGTGCAGCTGCTCTGCTTGGAGAACAAGCCCTTCCGTCCATGATGTGCCTTGCCCCTTAGAGGACGGCCCTTTCGTGCAGCCTTCGGCTTCGGCGGTGGCGGAAGAGCCACCTCAGGCGGTCTTGTGGCCACCCACTCGCTGTAAGGCATCACCTTACCAAGACTGTCACATATTCGTCAGGACCGCCGGGTCCTCTATCCTGCGCGTGCGAGGAGGGGGGAGGGACCAACCATTCTGGCGGAATCTCCAGTTTCACGATGCCCAGCCTCATCCCGAACGGTTGCAGTGTTTGCAAGATCTCCGGCCATCTCATCTCAAAGTCCTCCTTGCTGGGCCGAACGATGAACGTGCCCGGCCTGCCGTCATCTTGGAACTCCCGCTCGGCATTCAGCCATTCCGGCAGGGGTTCTCCATCGAAATGGACACTACCCTCCATATCGAATTTTGTTGTGCAACCCACAGCCTCGTCTCCAGAGTTCTCGAAAATCTTCTCCTTGAGCGCCACTAATCCACGTCTCTACCGTCAAAAACCAGACAAGACGCTGGCAACAGCGCCCCCAAGGGTGACTTACGCTTCCTCTTCTTCTGCCACTGGAACTCCAACTGATCTTCCGCCTCCCGTTTCGTCCTCGGCTTGACACTCCCGTCGGGCAGTCTCTTCGGCTCGTCGCCGAGCGTCGGCGCATCGGGCCTCGCCGCAACCGGCCACGAATCGAACTTGACACCATCGGCCACGATGGTCTTTGACTGTGTCGGCGCAAAAGCCGGGCAACCGCCGTCACCTGCGCCGCCGCCGTCGCCGCCGCTGGACACCGTCGACGCGGGAGTCTGGGCCGAGTCAGAGCGCGCCGAGTCGGAGGAATTGAGCGACGTGCTGGAGCGGGCGCAGGAACTGCGCGAGCGACGGGAAATCGAGACGGGCGGCGAGCTCAGGTCCGACGAAGGTGTGCAGTTGCGGTTGCGGTTGTCATTGGGCGACATCACGTGGTCGTGTGCGCTGGTGGCCGAGGCGTGGGCCGGCAGTCGTGGTTCGGGCGTCGGCGTGCGGTAAGGCGGGGTAGAGGGTGGTCGTGGTGCAATAAGAGTGTGGGCCTCTTCCATCGGAGGATCCATGGCGCCGTATTCGATTGGACGCTGCTGCTGCTGCTGCTTGTGGTGGTGGTGGACGGAAGTAGGTACTGGGGATTATTTTGCTTTACGGACCATGTACATAGCCTAGGTACCTCCGTTGACGTTCGGTCGGTCTGATGTCGGACGGCCGGTGAGGGACAAGGATGGATGGAGGACAGCAGAGTGGGGGAGGGGTGGGAACTCGAGAGAGAGGCTTTCAGTGACGACTGATTAGCTAGGACGAGCTGGAGCGTGCAAACGAGAGAAGAGACCAGAGTTTCCGTTAAAGAGCGGCGGGGAGGGGTCTTGTGGTGGTCGTGGATGGAAGAGTGTTCAGGGTCCTCCGGATGTTTCTTTTCAGCAACACAAGTCCCCTCTGGTCTCTGGTGTCTTATGGGCTGTCATGGTGATGCGAGCGAGGGATGAAACGTGCCAGCTTTGGTCCCAACCACCTGCACCGGCAATCCGTTATCCCACAACCCAATCGTACATACTCCACATACCGTAGAGTAGAGCAGCAGGAGCTCTCATGGCCCAACCCCTCCCTTTTGCCTCAATAGCGACCTTCGCCCACTGAAAGAAGAGACGAGACGAAGAGAAGAGACATTTGGTCCGTATGAACTGGCCCTTGTCCGTGACGCCATAGAATAGTGTATGACTAAGGCCACACGCGACAATAAATCCATTCTCTCTCGCTCTTTCTGGACCTTGTCCAGCCAACGCCACAAGGTCACCACGATCCTTTGATGGTGAATTGCCCCCTTCTTTCATCCTCATATTCTCCTTTCGGCGGCAGTGCGGGTAACGCGAGAATCGAAAAGAAAATAATGGAACATCATACTCCAAGGCTTTAACAAAGAACCCCGTTTGAAGTTTCAGCCAATGTTTCGGACTCGCCACTCCACTCCACCATCAACCGCCCTCACGTGGGACGCTGCTCGGTCCGAATTGCTTGCTTGCAATCCCCAACATAGCAATCCGATTGGACAGCCCCGCACTTTTTTTGCCAACCCTTCTAGACCTCTTCACGCCAGCTAGAGTATCCATGATCGTTGCTGTTGCGAATTTGTATCTATTCTGGAAAACCTTGCGTCTGGGTAACTGGGTCTCATTCGCTTGTGCTTGTCCTCCCAGGCTCCCAGGCTCCCACTGCCAGTCAAGCGATGGGTGCCCACCGGCACGGGAATAGAATCACTTGTATGACTCCAGACCCCAGACTCCAGAAACCCTACGTAGGCGAGAGCTACGACAGGCTCATGGCCGTTGATTGTTGGCCGTAGGAAGTCTTATGCTGAGGGAGCGCGGGGTTCGATCGAGGCGCCTCTGTGTTGCAGCGAGCGACCCGGGGCGGTGCTCACCACCTTGGCACGAGTGACAGGTCTACAACTACAACTACAAGTGTGATTCGAACCAAAACGCTGGAGTTGGGGCAGGTTTGTACTGCAGGTACTGTGTAGGTACATACGTCTCGCCATCACTCGTATGAGGGGGGGGGGGGTTGATAGGCGTATTGGTGCCCCAGGCTCAATAGGTATCTGAGGCTGGCGAGAATCAATCGCAGATGGCATGGTGAGGGAAGGGCTAGCAATGGCAGCTCGCGGGGCTATTGAATCTCACCGAGCGGCGATAGATACATACCGCTCGCGCCGTCCGGACCTCTGAATAGATCTTCCCACACATTGCATACCTAGGACTAGAGGGCCGCCGTCGTCGTACATATTTGTGAATATTGCCGTATAGTAGACCAGTAATCATCGGTGTATAAAACACCCACGGGTCTTTCCGTAGTTAGTGGCAGCCCAGATATTTTGGTATCACTCGATAGCGAGGAAGCCTCAAGCAAACAAACTGGCACTTGAACATTTTACTACTACAACTATAACTAGCAACTACCGCACATCCGGCCGCAGGCCATAACTCAATACATTCCCCCCTCCCCCCATCGGGCCCATCCTACGTTACTCACTACACCTCCCGCTTTTACAGCGCCGGGGCATTCGGATCCTCAAGACACTGGTCGACACGCATGAGCTGCTTGCCGGTAGCCTTCGCGAGCGCAATGAACTGCGGCAGGTACTGCACCGTGCTCGGGTACAAGTAGTGCAGAACGACCAGGTTCCCGCCCTTCGCCAGGTCCGCGCTGAACGCTTCCAGCTGCTTCTCGGGGGTGGAGGATTCGCCCCAGAGCCAATCCTATCGGTACATATTAGTATGATGGGATGGAAGGGAGGGGAGGAGAAGGGAGGGGGTATGTACCTGCACGTCAACACTCCAGTTGATCAACTTCCCGCCGGGCAGCTTAGCCGCAATACGCTCGCGGAATCTAGCGCCTACGTTTCCGAACGGCGGGCGGAAGTAGCTGCTGCTGATGCCCAGCGTCTGCTGCACCGCGGCAACATCGTTGTCGATCTCCCAGTCGATATCGGCGAGCGTCTGCAGTCCCTCCATCTTCGGATGCGTGTAGCTGTGCAGCGCGACCTGGTGGCCCTCCGAGAGCATCTCGTTGTACACATTCGACAGATTGGTGGAGGGGTCCAGCAGTGCCGCGCCCACTGTGAAGAACGTCACCTTGATGTCTGCTGCGCGGATGGTTTCTAGCACTTGCTGCGCTAGCTCGGGCTGGCCGTCGTCGATGGCGAAGGCGAAGCTGTTGGGGCGCGTGCAGGCGAAGACGAGGGGTGCGGTGGCGAGCTTGGACGGGATGGTGTAGGTGCTCGGTGCGGTGCGGACGATCTCGACGAGCGAGAAGACGGTCGAGGCGGTGCCGGTGAAGCCCTTGAGGGCGACACCGATCACTCGGGTCTTGACGATGTTGAAGTGCGAGATCGGGATGTAGACGTGGCCGTTGCTGAAGTAGCGCTCGGCGTAGACCTCGTCCCAGGTCTCCGGGAACGGGGCGATCTCCGAGTCGCAGGCGCTGTTGTGCTGCTGCAGTGCAATGCTGAATTTGGCACTGCCGGTGAAGGCGATGTGCAGGTAGCCGCTGCTGTAGGCGGTCATGTCCCGGCAGGTGCCCGTCAGCTGCGTGTAGAAGGAGTAGTCGCTGTCCGAGAAGTTGATAGTCAGCTTGCCGCCGGAGATGGACATGCCTGTGGCATCGTCGCCGCCGTGCCATTGACCCAAGGTGTTGGTGTCGGCGCTGGAGAAGTTGTCGATTACAAAGGGAGTGGCGGTGGCAGAGGTCGCCGGTACAGTGGCGGTGGGTCCCGCGGCGGTAGTGGTCGCTGGGAGCGTGTATTCGCTGATCGTGGTTCCGCAGTAGAATGCCATTGGGCCCATGGTCACAGATGTGCTGAAACTCTGGAAGAGGATAGCTACGAGCTTGCCCGTGTCCAGGCCGGAATACTTGCTGAAAGCGATGTTGTACACCTTCTCCGTGCCGTCGAATGTCCACCCAAGCTGTGTGGTGGTCAGGTCTAGGGATACGGGGTTGTTGGTAGTGCAATCAGCATTGGTCTGAAGCTCAACCGTGAATGTGGTTCCGGCGGGAGCTTTGATACGCAGACTGATACCGCCATACTTGCTGGTGGCACTGATGCAGTCGAACTGGGAGTAGAAGTACGAATTGGTTCCAGGAGTGAGGGTGACCCTATTGTTGGATACAACGACCGAGCTCATGGTTCCATCATCGCTGGAGGGCTATATTCCATGTCAGTGTATGTTGCTGGCCAAAACTATGCGGATCACATACCTCAAGCATGGCATTATAGTACAAGAAAGTCAGCCTCGACTGGGACGCCCAGTCGTCAATCAACAGGTTCTTGCAGGTGCCGGAGGGGGTTGATGTAGGAGCCGACGTCGTCGAAGAAGCAGGCACCGACGAAGCCGGCGCCGAAGATGCGGGGGCCGAAGATGCAGGTACCGAAGATGCAGGTACCGAAGAAACCGGTAGTGACGAAACGGCGGATGTCGTTGCGGAGGACGGCGTAGTCGCCGAAGACGCACACAGCAGCTGCGTCTGGCCGAGTTCCCAAGCACCCTGGGTGAAATCCATCCAGGCGAAAGCCTGCACGACCTCACCGGGCAGGAGAGCAACGGTAACCGTTTTCCCGGCGGCCGGAATCGCGGAGACGGTCACATACCGACTGGTGTATGCATCAGAGCATGTGGGCGACACCTGGATCTCCAGGAGGAACGAGCTGCCCGCCGGGCCCTTGATGGAGAACGTGATGGCCGCTGTGCCCGGCGAAGCGGGAGCAGCGATGCAGTCAAACGTAGTGTAAAAGTACGAACTGCCGTCGGACTTGGGGGTAAACGAGAGCTTTCCTGAGGCGGCGGAGATGACCGACATCGTCCCGTCATCACTCGTCCACCCGCCCAGGGTGTTGAGGCTACTCGACCACTGGGCATAGTTGTCGATCGATGTGTTGACGGTACATTGCGTCTGTGCCACGGCTGTGGACAAGATACTGCTGCTGGCCAGGCAGCCAAAGAACGTGGAGAGGGAGATCCTCATAGCGAATGTGAATATTCAAGTTAACGAATGCAACCCCAAAGAAAAGGGCGAGAAGGAAAGAGGATGCCGGTGATCGGTGCAGCTCTGAGAACCACAACAGGCCGGATCATCTGCTGATTTTGTAGTATTTTCATATCCGTCCTTCCTTCCTTCCCAGGCTTCCGATAGTAGTTCCACTCTGGGCTCCGTATGTACCTGCAGAATTCACATCCTGCGCATCTGGATAAAGTGATCCTACACACATACATACAGTGAGTGGTGCGACGGCAAGGTTCAGGTCGGCGTAGTTGGATATTAAACTCCTGCATTTCTGCGAGGAACTGATGCCACAAAGCTGCCTATTGTAGGAAGAAGGGCTCGAAACGGTCCAAGATTAGCGAGTTCCCAAAAATAGCTGGCCGAACTCCGATGATGCCGAGGAATTCGAGGGAGGATCTTTGAAACTCGAGACTTCAAGCGAGAAGAAAATCCTTTCGGATCATCCTACTGCTTACTTATATACGCACCTTCCTCAATGCTATCTTCACAAAAGCAGTATTTCATAACGACGGCTATGTCCCCCAGTTCTCCTGCGCGTCTGTTCTGCGCATGTCAACCCACCCTTAGAGTACAAACTCTAGATGGCCCGAAGATCCGGAGCCAGTTCCATGTGGAACGAACGACCATGGCAAAGGTACCGAATGTGTTTACTTTCCGAAGGCCACAGGCCGGGGGTAAGTGTGCAGGTTTCTGATATAGCCATTTTCCATGACATCACGACACGACCTGGATTGTGCCTGTAAGACTCCCTGCCCCCGAATAGCGAAGGATCAATTGCGGTTACCCACTGGGCTGGTGTCACGGCGGATGTCCTCTCGATGGTTGCAATTGACCCGGAAACGCCGGGTCGGCCAGCAAGGCCGCAGAATTAAGTGGAGACCCGATGAACAGCTGTAAAGAATTGGCATACATAGTGGTTTCAGCTCCCATTGACAATCCCCAGGTTGGATATGTGCCTGCCTAAACGGAGGCACATGTGAGTTGTCCAGCTGTTCCTCTGTCATCATGCCATGGACTCAACAACCGTAAGATTCACTAGGTATCTGCCTAGATCTCGATAACTGTTTTCTATTACTATTTCGCACACTATTCAAGCCATTCATCCATCCAGCAGGCTTCACATATTACTCCGATCTTCCCCAAGCACCTGGCACGAAATCCGTGGATGTAGTGCTACAGCCCAGCCCAGCCCCAGCCCCAACTCCCCCAATGCAACTCCCAAAATCAACAGCAAGCAACAGGAACAACTCCAAAAAGAGAAAGCCATGAACGCTAAATATCAATTGCACACCTCCAGCGTGGCCAGATACGCATAGATGAAGAGACTACCTAACTCCCGCAACGACAGGTTCATCGCCGACCTCAATGCTCCTCAAATCCTCGACGACCATTCGAGCCACCTTCTTGAGGAACCCTCTCTCATCCGCCTCTCTATACTTCTCCCACCGATCCAAGCTCTTCTCACTCCCGCCATCCATGGCGAGCGAATCATAGCCGCTCTTGATGACCTCGGCGACCTGTTGGGGGGTAAGATTCTTCCCGCGACCGCTCTTTTGCTCGATGAGTTGGTAGTAATGCTCCGATACCTTGATCAGCGTAGCAATAGAGTTCGAGGGCCGCTTGGAGAGATCGTAAGCGTCACGGAACTTGACGAGGACGTCGCCCGCTTCGACGAGCTTGTAGAATAGGTCGTCGTATTCGCTGGCGCCTGGGAGGAAGGAATCGCCTGAGGAGAGGGAGAGGGCAACGAGGTTTACCACCATGTCAAGGAGCGTTGAAATGTTGGGGAGATCTTTGAGATCGGTCGCATAGGAGGCCATGAAGCGCATCAGCGTGAGGAGACAGCGCCAGAGTTCGGACCAGTGGTAGGCTGGGGATGTCAGTCAGGAACAATGTGATGAGCGGAGTGAGTGATAAGAGCTCACCCAGCCTGTAGCGTGTCCGTATCAAAAACGATACCGACCGTACCAGCGCATCTACGAGCGCAACGTAGAGATCGACGTCCATTTTCTTCCGCAGATTGTGATTGATCCCATCTGCCACCATATCAAGCACAGCCGTGAGAAGGATTCTTTTCCCACGGACGATGGGCAGATGTGGTGGTTTCTGTCGACATAGCCGCACGAAGCCCTTAGTGTCGTCGCTGACGAGTCGTTTGCACAGAGCTTGGTCTTCGAGGAATATCCGTAGAACGAGGAGGTTTAGGCGCGCGTAGAGGGAGGATCGGCTGGACCGATGTGCGTGGTGGAGAAGGTATGATGTCAGGGAGAAGTAGGCGCAGATGGGAGGCTCAACTGTTGTCGCTTGTCACATCAGTAAGACACCCAGATTAATATGTGGGTACAAGCAGGAGCCATTACCTGTCGGGTCGGCCTCCTGGTAGTTGACGAAGTTAAAGCAAAACAGCTTATTCGCATTAACGAAGTCGTAGGTGGCAAGCAGTATAGCAGCCCTTGCATTTGGAAGCTCCGCAAAGTTCAGTTTTGAGATATCGCCGTTTGCCGCCGACGGCGGAGGTGTCTTCGGCTTCGGTCCAGCGCCAGCAAGTATCGTGAGTCCGACATACGATAGCATACTGTTCAGCGACCACCCTTCCGGTAGGTCATCTTGAATAGCCACGTAGTCCGCCCGACACAGGATACAGGTCATCCCGATCTCATGGATTACCCGTTTTATCGTAGCCTCGTTGACAAAATCGTCGAGCCGTAGCTGGTACGGGTTCTGGAACTCGAACTTATTGTAGTTGGCGAGTATCCCGAGCAGTAGGAACGGTTCGTACGTCAACCCAGCGGTGTCGACATCGTTGATGAACTATCCACTCCGGCCACGTTTGATCAGCAATCGCCTTCCCACAGCAGCCCTCATTCCCTTCTCCATACCTTCATGAGCGCAGGGAACAAATCCCTATGTGTGAAGTAGCTCAACAGTCCGGTCTGAAACGCGCCGCACGCAATCCCGAGCGCAACCTGTATCGCCTTCCTCCGGATGCTCACGCTCTTGCCATTCCTAATGTGTGTTTCCAGCGCAGCGACAAAGTCGGTAAACACCGCATCGACGTTCGACAATCCCGTGAGCAGGCTGATCACATCCGACGAGAAGTTCGTAAACCGTTTCTTCAGCACCTCCCGAAGGAAGATCTGTAACGTCTGTTCCCACACCCTCCGTCAGCCTGCCTGCCTCCGTCCGTCCACATAAGGGGAAAGTAACACCCACATCCAGCGCAATCTCATCCTGTGGACTTCTCCCAGCCTTAAACGTCGCCACACTCTTCTCAAAAAGCTGTCTCGTAACCGGCTGCAGGTGTAGCAGATCGTCGGGGCTCAGCGGCGCGATCTCAGCGACTAATCCCGGCGCATGTGGTCGCAGCAGGAAGAACTCTGTCCAGAACCCCTCGGTCTTCTCCGTCTCGTCTTCGTCCTACTACTCCATGAGCCATGTTTGTCGTCATCCGACGCGTGCGTGGGGGTACCTTAAACAAGCCTGAGTACAGCGAGACTATCTTGGGTTGGAAGCTTGGTCGCACGTCCTGGGTGAGGGGGGAAGCCGTAGCCATGGCGTTGTCGATGGTGTTTCGTTGCTAGGGTGTTCGTGAAGGATTATACGCGCGCCGGTATACGTGTTAGAGCTTCGTGATGACGATAAAGTTTGTTCGTATGGAGGGTGCAGATATAAGATGTGAATTCTCGACGTATGTAAGTGCTTAACCTTCTAGATAAATTCCAACACCAACGGTCACTTGGCAGATCACATGTGCTCTGCATGTGGCATCCAAAGCTCGATGGTCGCCAAGGAGGATCCATGTCCGGCTGGGGCTGATACTTTAGGACAGATATGATACATCACCCGTGGCCAGGCTGTACGGCCGTCTACCGCTTTCCAGACGCCATAACTACCAAATGTGGTCCTGAATAGCCACGGATACACACAAACCATTAGAGGCAGCCAAGATGAACAGATAGAAGTTATTACAAGCACGCAGTATCTAGGGTGCCTAGAATCCATATCCACAAGCACTTCAACCGAAAGCACTCATCATCGTCACAGAAACAGCCGCGCTTTTATCAGAGACAACATTCAAACGACATGAAAAATGAAACAACGAAACAGAAACATCGCCGCCCATCCCTAGCACCTTCTCATTAAGCCCGTTCGTCCGTCTATCTAGCCTACTCCGCCACAGGACTCATGTCGATCAACCTCTTGACTCCCGTCATCCACTGTGTGCACTCAGCGGTCTTGTTGGTCAACAAATTCACCTGGATGTTACGCGCGGTGTTGTAGTCTTTAGCAGCAAGAGCCTTGGCAAGGGTGGCCATACTCTCCAGAGTCTCCGCTGACAGCAGATCCTCGTTATTGAGATGGTCAAACAGAATGTTCAACCGCTTTTCGGTATCCGTGACCTGGCGAGAGAAATCCGGAGGCGCACGTGCCTTAACTCGTTCCATGTCCGCAGACAATAGCTCGAAGATCGGCATGTGCTGGGGCGGGATATGTGAACGATCGCCCTTGGCTATTGGCATTGTGAGTACGGTACATGGCTACGGGAAGTAGGGGAGAGCTTACGATGCTTGATCGGTTGAGGGGTAGGCGTTGCGGGCTTTGGCGGAGGTGCCGCGGCAGGTGGAGGGCCAGACCGAGGAGGCGGGGGTCCCTGGGCGCCCGGGGGAGGTCCGTACTGACTCTGTGGGGGTAGCTGCGGCACTTGCGGAGCGTACTGGGGCGCCATCGGTGGCGGCGGCTGCGATCCATACGGCAAAGTCGTAGAGGGCTGTCCAAATGCTGTGGGTGGGGGAGCATACCGTGGGCCGGATGCAGGTAGTCCTGGAATGACGTTACCCTGGGGCGGGCCCGCACGTCCACCGGAAGGACCTGCTAATGGGGATTGGGCAACCGGCTGGGGAGTGTATCGGCCAGAGGTGGATGGCTGTGCGGGAGGAGGGGCATAGGGATTGTGGGGTGGTGCTGCTTGATAACCGGTGCCGGCGAGCGCAGGTGATGCGGATCTAATCTGCCCGGCAGGAGATTGCACTCGGTTGGGAGGAGCAGCACCCTTAGGGGGTGGTGGAGGAGTCGCCCTTGGAGGAGGAGCACCCCATGGCGCGCCAGGCTGGGGCGGGGTGTAGACTGGCGGAGCTCCCGGGAACGGCGACGTGCTGGGCGCCGGGGGTGCCGCAGGTGTGACAGCTCTCCTAGCCGGTCTGATGACCTCGGGGGTGTCGTTCCAGTTGGCGGTAGCTCCTTGCTTGGGTGGAGCCGAGGGAGGCGGGGCGAACTGCTTGGGTGGAGGGGCCATTCCGGCTGGGGTGAATGTGGACCCTGGGTATTGAGGAGTGTACGGTCCAGTGGGGGCAGTTATGGTGGGCTGGTAAGGACTCTTGTAGGCGGACTGCTGGCCGGCCGGGGCATACATGTTGGATTGGGCTGGGTTTGAGGCGGGTGGCATGTACTGGTTCGTTGCAGCAGGAGCTGTAGTTGGCGGAGCGTATGCATTTTGCATGGTCGACTGCTGTGTGGACATGAAGGGTTGTGTCGGTCTGTATCCAGTTGTAGCAGGTACTGGTTGCTTGCGAGCCGCAGCAGCAGCAGCAGCAGCAGCAGTAGTGGTGGTGGTGGTGGCGGCGGTGGTGGTGGCGGTGGTGGCAGTAGCTTTAGTTGTAGTAGCCTGCTTAATGCGGTTTCTTGCAACCATAGCGGCAGGATAATCTTGAGGCAAAAGATCCAGGTATTTCCCGGCGATGCTCAACTGACCGTGAGAGGCGACAATGTCGGCATACTCGCAGTATTTCTCGTAAAGTGAGTTGAGCTTCCACCCAGACGGAAGGGACTTCTCCTCGTCGACGAACTTGACAGCCTCCCGGAAAACAGTAACCTTTTCAATGAAATTCTGCAACGATTTCGCGTGGACCGAGAACGTGGAGTCCTCGGATTCCTCTTGTAAGCCAGCCCGCTCCCCTTCCTGAAACTCACTAATCCAGATGTTGATGAGCTTGTGGAGCTTCGATCCAGCCAGGTAGCAGAGCGAAGCAGCCGCACGGAGCTCAGCCTCGTTCTTGGCCCGATATTCATCTTCCAGGCGGTCACCCAGCGCCTCACAGAGATCATTGAACTCCTTCTCGTCGGCATGGGTGCAGAGTGCAACAATAACCTCCTTCCAGTTCGCAATGTCCGCGTTGTGAACAATATCCCACATGTTCTTACCAACGACGGAAGCCAGCAGACGGAGGTAGTTAGGACCATCGTGCCTCTTGGTGAAGTACGCAGCCTTAACTTTGTCAATGCACTTGTCCCCGCCGCAAATAGCAAGCATGAATGCATCCGAGATCCGGTCTTCCTTCAGACACATATCGACAGCCCTGTCATATTCTCCCAAAACTACAGCCTTGGTGATGGCCTTGTCGGCGTCGGTTTCGTCACCAGTGAATATCCGGAACGGGTTGTTCGTCCTGGCCGTCTGAGTCGACTGGATGGACAAGCCGGCCAAAAAGTTCTCCGAGTCATCTCCATCGGCAAAGAAAGAAGACAGTCTGCTCTCTTTCCGAGCATGCGCCTTATCTTCATCTTCTGCCTTCTCCTCGGTCTCGCCTTCTGACTTCTCCAGTTTTGGCGTCGATATGTCTTCCGCCTTGAATCCAAGGTGTTCTACTAACTTCTCCTTGGTATTGACGTCAAACAACGCCTTCAACACCTGCCACTCCGACTTCTCCTCCTCCGACTTTGCATCTTGGGCCTTCTCGTCACAGATAGCAGCAAGATTTCCCTCCTGAATCGCCTTTTCGAAACGCTCCGTCGCATCACTCACGCCGGAGTCGATCGCGACAGTGGAAATTTTAACCGTCGACTGGTGCGGCGCCGAGCTGGCAAAGCTAACCAGCTTACCGCCAAAGGCAAAAGTCGCACCGGCGGGACGCTTCAACCACTTAGGAGTCTGTCCTAGGGTAAACGACGAAGTCTGCGCGTTGCTGGCCCTACTGAAGAAATCATCATCATCGGCAGTGGCAGGTGCGCCGGTATCCACTTGCGGGTTGGTGTTCTGTAATGTCCGGATGGCAATTTTGCCGTCGTAGGATGCAGTGGCGATGAAGGTGGGGTTGCGGGGATGGAAGGTTGTCTTGAATGTCCAATTGGTGACCACCGGGAATTCACCCAACATCTCACCAGTTTGCGGGTTCCAGCAGATAGACCGGTTGTCCTTTCCAGACGATAGGAGCAAGTCACTGTCCTGTCCGCACCAGGAGAGTGACAAAACGCCAGCACTGTGTCCAGTAAGAGTCTGTATAAATCATTAGCAGGTGCATCGGGATACTACGCTAAAGGCTTCTCACTCGTTCAGGCGCATTCGAGTTCCTCAAATCCCAGAGAAGGATGACGGGATTCTGGTCATCTGGAACGGCGGTGATAAGCTTGGTCTGCTGTTCCGGGTGCCACGCCACTGCGCTGACAGCTTTGCGGTTGAGGTTGTTGAGAGTGAGCGACTCCTTCTTTTGCTTAACATCCCACACCGTAAGAAATCCCCCACTCCCGCCAGTAACCAGAATGTGCGGAACTTTCTTGTTCCAGTCTAGGCAGTCGAAGTCATCCGCTCTAGCCACCTTATTGCCCAGCATAAAGGGGTTGTCGGTGTTGTTGAGATCCCATACGTAGAGCTACAGCAGATGGTTAACTTCGGAGGTGTAAGGATATCAAGCGGCGTCGCTCACCTCCCCCTTTTCGCCGGCCGTTGCCAGGAGTTCTGATTTGAAAGGATTGAATTGCAACGACTTGATGGCGCCGCTATGCTTTTTCGTTTGCGAAATCAAGGAGTCTCCGGAGTTGTTGAGCAGAGCGTCGGCACTCCAGAGGTCCAGGGAGCCGTTCTCTAGCGCGCCGGCGATTATGCCCCTAGGTTTATCGTTGCCCAACCGGCCCCAAGCGATATCGTAGAACCTACCGGTGAGATACTGATTAGCTCTTCAAGCTCCAGGCAGCTTCATAGTTTCCGTTGAGCATCAGGGGTGGCATGGGGTCGACCGACTTCGAGTCTGTGTTCACTGCGGCTACTGGTGATAGCTCTGCCTGGGAATTACCCCCCAAGTCGAGATCCCATAGCTCCAGCTGGGTGTTGTCCGAAAAGTCTGCTGAGACAGCACCCGCCTGGGTACCTGTCGCGATGAAGGGTTGCGTATCTGGGGCCCACGCGAAGGCCGCTGTGCGTTGGATATCTCTTATTTTGGCCATGCTCTGGAGGGTACACTCAGTTGCGGGGGAGTCGTAAAGTCGTGACTGGAAGATAACTTTGGCCGGGGTTCTTGCGGTTGGGCCACGGTCGTTTGGGTAATGCTGGGAGAAAGTTGATAGGAAAGATGCGATGCAATGAGGGGATGTGGGTTGTATTCGAGATCCGGCGAGTGAGCAGCACCCTGGTTACGGAGAGGCCAGTTTACTCGATCGTTAAGCTCTAGCAGTTACGGCAGCGGTGGCTGATGTTGTGGCTGGAGAACGCCAAGCTTATAATACAGAACACATTTCAAAAAGCTCATTTTCTGTTCGGGGTTTTTTGTAAGCTATCCTTTTTCTTCCAGTTTGACACTGTATGATCATTTTTCAATAACTGGGTGGCTTTACCGAGTGAGCATGTATGATGGGACTGCGAAACCCTGCCCTAACTCGTTTACGCTGCGAGACCCCACAAATCTCACAAGATCCACACAGAATTTGGATTTCGCAGAGGGGAGCTACACGACAAATCGAACAACTACGACACCCCGCCGACGCCGACGCCAAACGACCGACACGACCACCTCGCAGCTGCTTCACCACCCAGATACATCAAGATGGTGAGACCTCTCTCTCGGATTATTTTTGCGGATTTTCGCATGTTTCGGCTCCGGGATGGCGAATGTGGCAACAACATCACTGGCGTCTGTGGCGCGGGGCAAATGGACAACAGCAACAACAATAATGAGAACTTGCGAGTATTGTGGACGGACGGACGGATGAGCTGCGGAGCGATCTGGACGGCTTGGGAAGCAACGGCTAGCAGGGGGATGACGGGATGGTACTGGGCGGAGCTTGAACGTGATGTTCGATGCTGGAAGCTCATATTGGGCCGACCACGAACACGACTATCTTTACCTTCGATGACAAACAATACTCGAATATCAACATTCAGAGACCGATCATAGCCCCCTGCCGTCTGCCTCCGCATCCGCCGTCACTACCGCCACCGCCCACGCCACAGTCCCGCCACGAGGAAGAGAACGAAGCTCCCCGGAGCCTTCATCTTTTGTGCATGAGTTATGCTGCGTCAATATTTGCGGTTGCTAACCCAAATACTTGTACACAGGTCAACGTCCCCAAGACCCGCAAGACCTACTGCAAGGGCAAGTCTTGCAAGAAGCACACCCAGCACAAGGTCACCCAGTACAAGGCTGGAAAGGCTTCGCTTTTCGCTCAGGGAAAGCGTCGTTACGATCGCAAGCAGTCTGGTTACGGTGGTCAGACCAAGCCTGTCTTCCACAAGAAGGGTTCGTTATCCGCTGAATCTCCGCATGAGTCGGAACATGTCTGACAACAACAACAGCCAAGACTACAAAGAAGGTCGTTCTGCGGTTGGAGTGCACTGTCTGCAAGACCAAGGCTCAGCTGGCTTTGAAGCGTTGCAAGCACTTCGAGCTTGGGTACGTCGATCCAGACATCCGCTATCGTCTGAAGATAGGTGCTAACTGCTCAATAGTGGTGACAAGAAGACCAAGGGTGCTGCTCTTGTTTTCTAGATGGGTGGGAAATTCAAAGCCGCTTCGTTTTTTTTCGTGTTCTACTTTTCTCCTGGACAGGCGGTGTCATGGATATAAAACGAATCTAAACCCGTGTGTCGCTCGTGGGTTGGAATTGCTGCATCATTGTTGGGGGGAACCGGCGCCCGATGATGATTGCGGAACTGGAGTTTTATTGAGCTGTTTTTCCGTGCGGATTCTGTACCAAAATGATAATGCTTCCGGCTTTCTGACATGCATGCATGTCCTCGTACCTTTTCCGAGGGTGCCTGTCTCAGTAGCTTTGGGTGTTACTCGAAAGGGAATAGAAATAATCAAGTTCGCACGGATTTCACTTCTCTTGTTGGCTGCCTGCGAAGCCGATAAGGCAACTAGTGGGATTCGTCCGGACACCGGTCCCTACTTGTCGTCATTGAAGCGATCGCTTTTTTTTGCTACATGTCTGTCCCGGGTGAGCTGGCTGAAGTTGAGACAGTTCTGTGCCGTGAACTTCAGACAACCCGTATGTAGCGCCTGCGGGATGAGGTCCTGAAGAATACTTAAAGAGGGGATAGGAATTGCCCTTCGTCAAAGAAAGGGGCTGTGAATCTGTCTGCCTGCCATATTGAGATCTTCTGTGTCCGATTCTGCCATGTCCGTCCTATCCGTCCTTATTCCGAGCTCTCTCTGCTCGTTCGCGACTTTATATATATTCCTCTCTCTATCCATTGTTTTGTCTCTGCCTGGCATCCATCGATACCTGCGTCTACGGTCAAGCTTCCTATATAAATCCCGCACAACAGCCGCCGACGCACAGCGATCAAAGCGAGACCAAACAACCATGGCCCCACCACCACCGCCCCCCGTGGAGCCCATCATCATGACCGGAATCGGCACGGACGCAGTCAACAGTTTCGAGGATCTCTCGGGGATCTCTTCTAAGCGAACATCTCCCACCGGGACCCCAAATCCCGAGTACGAGAACCCGTACGATGCTCTAATCGAAGCTTGCGAGCGCGATCCAGTAAGTCCCGACAGCTTCCCCAGCTCTCCTGCAATCCTAACCCTCCCCTAGGCACAAATCCAAGCCGCTTACCAGACCCACCGTACAACACGCAACGCAAACCAGCGAACACGGCTGCTGTCGGCCGATTTCCCAGGCGTCACCATCGACCCGATCCTACAGGAGCTAGAGTACACACGGGACTCCCCGGCGGTGCAATACGCCTTCCCCGGATCGCCTCGGAAACGCAGAGAAGATGAAATCGACCCGCGCAACTGCCTCGTCTACTGGGCGCGGCCAACAGTCCCCGTAATGGACCTGATCGGACTCATCCAGCTGAAGCTGAAGGAGCTCGCGCCGGACCTCTGGATCATGCCACGCGAGAACCTGCATCTCACCGTGCTGGAGATTACGCACTCCACGACGGCGGAGTTCATCGAGACGCTGATTGAGCGCATGAAGCCAGGCTTGGAGAAGATCGTCAACCATCCGAAAACTCACCGCGCGCGGCTGGTGAAGCCCATGCTGAGCTTTGATGCCGCCGCGTTGGCGGTCAGCTTTGTCCCTGCGGCCGGTAAGGAGAGCGATGAGTACACATATCATCACCTCCGACGCGACTTCTATGCTATGAGTAAGGGCGCCAATGTTGGTGTCACCAGTCGGTATATCGTGCCTAGCGCGCATATCACCATTGCGAGGTTTGTCACTTCGAAGGATCATGAGGATGAGAGTGGAGCTGTGGACAGGGCGAAGATGCAGGCCTGGATGGAGAAGGTGTGGGAGATCAACCAGGAGATCGAGAACTGGGAGGGAGAGTGGTTTGTCGGTGAAGATAGAGGGATCGATTGTAGGGGCGGGCGGTTATGGTATGGAGGCGGCGAGACGGTCATGAAGGCGGAGGGATTCTAATGGCTCTACCTAATGTTTGTCTTTGGGTGTTTTCTACTTTTTTTTTTGTTTGCTTCCTAGGGATACCAGATACCATCATATTACAGTTAGATAATTGTGTAGGAGGACTGTATACGGGCAGTTCTTCCATAGAGTAATGCCAATCATGATTTCTGCAAGGTTGCAGGTCACCCATCTCGGAAGTCTCTCCGTTGTGGCATTTTTAGTGCTCCGTGCCGCTGCTGCAGAGTCAATTCCTAGCCACGGCTGCCATGCTGTAGACACGTATCCTGCATCTCCCGTGTTCTAGCAAGCTGATTGACTGATCTAATGATCACCCGAGACAAATTTAAAACTGTTGGGTGAATAAGGTTGTCATACGACGAGTGACGCGGTGTGACTGTGTTAGCTGCAGTAACACTAGCGGCGACACGTTTAATCGTGAATCGCGACGCTCACTCCAACACCCAACTCTCCATAGAACCTCATAGAAGCTCACAACCACCACCTACTTGTCAATACCCATCCTCCACCACTGCCACCACTACCGCCCTATCACCACTACCACCGCATCCCGCGATATCGCCCATCGCACGATCACTATGGACGACTACGACCAGATTTACGGCAATGACCGTGGTCGTGAGTTTGCCTGCGCTGGCTGCAACATCTTCCGCAGCTAATTAGCTTTGCCACGCACAGCTCAAATCACAATCAAAGAAGCGGACTCCCGACATGCGCAGATCGCGCTCTCGAACTGTGATCTTGCGTGCGTCACATCCACCGACCTTCTACCTTCGTGGCTAACATGCCGTCCGTCGCAGCTTCGCAAACTCATGGCGCCGAGTCATGATGGCCGAGGTGCCAACGATCGGTATTCCTCCCCTCCTCTCTCCACCGCCACTGCTATCAACAGCGACAACAACATCGGCACACACTAACACCGCGCAGCAATCGACCTAGTGGAAATCGACACCAACACCTCCGTGATCCCGGACGAATTCCTCTCGCACAGGCTCGGACTGATCCCGCTGGACAGCACGAACATCGACGACAAGCTCATCTACAGTCGCGACTGTTCATGCGACCAATACTGCGAGCGATGTTCCGTGACCCTCACCCTGAACGCGCGGTGCACCTCCGACTCGCCCATGACCGTGTACGCGCGGGACCTGGCGGTCGCGGAAGGAGCGCAGCTGGGCTCGCCGGTTATCAATGATCCCGAGGGCCAGGGAGCAATCATCGCCAAGCTCAGAAAGAACCAGGAGCTGAAGTTGAAGTGCATTGCGAAGAAGGGCATCAGCAAGGAACATGCCAAGTGGTCGCCGGTGGCTGCCCTTGGCTTCGAGTACGATCCACACAACAGGCTGAAGCATCTTGACTACTGGTACGAGATAGACGCGAAGGACGAATGGTATACATCCCCATCCTGGAAAGATGGCTTTGCCTGGCGGGTTTGCTGATGGAATATGAAAGGCCGAAATCCAAGTTTGCCTCGTGGGAGGATCCCCCGCTCGAGGGTGAACCATTCAACTACGACGCTGTGCCCACCCGCTTTTTCATGGACATCGAGAGTGTCGGTTCCATGCCACCGGATGAGATCATGCAACAGGGAATCAAGTACCTACAGGAGAAGCTGGCGGCTGTCATCAAGACCTTCCGTGAGGAGGGTGACGACGGTGTGAGGAGTCCCGGACAGGATTACGCTATGGGCGGCATGGGTGGTGGATACGAGACGCCCTACGGTGCCGGTGCGGCTTTGGGCGATAGTAGGACGCCGTATGGTGCGGGTGCTGGTGGCTTTGGTCAGGGCACGCCATATGGTGCTGGCAATGGCTGGTCGTAGTGGTGGCTGTTGATTGTTCTGTTGCCTCTATTTACTTGACGATGATAGGGAACTTTAGAATTGAACATTTTCAACATTAGCAAGCAAGCGATAGCATTTTAGACTGCTACTTTGACGGATAGATGAGTGACAATCATCGATATTATCCACGTCCACTTTTTGAATCATAAGCTACTGCGCTACTAAGGTATTGCTATCACAGATGCTCGCCACGCTGAATCCAATGCACCATCTAAACCGCTGCTCCCTTCCGTAGTATTCAAGATTCCTATCCCTGGACCTGGAAGCTTCTTCCAGTCGCAGTCTTCCTCTCCTTCTTCTCACTCTCATCTGCCTCAGGCTTCGCCCGGTTCAGCACCTTCAAGAAGTCTGCGACCCTCCTGCGCATTCTCGAGTGCATATAAGCCTGCTTCTCATCAGTTTCTCCGTCCTTGCCAAGACGGTGTCCCAAAATCCACTCACCTTAGCAGCCTTGATGTGGTAGTGGAAGTAATCCCTAAACGTCTGGATGTGGCTGATACTCTCCTCTCGCCGCTGCTGGGTAAGATGTCTCGGCGAGAGTACAAATGTCACGTAGCCCACATCTCCTGCGCCCTGACCCTGCGCATCGAGAACCCCGGGAACTCCACGGATCTCGAGCGGCGGCTCATTCATATACAGGACCTGCGGAGCCGTCTGTAACGCGCGACGCCGTGCATCCACAAACTCGGACAGGAACACCTTCCCGAAGATGCGGTCGGTCTCCTCGCGGAAGACGGTGGAGAAGATGACGGTCACTCGGTCGTGCGAGGCCTGGATGTACATTGCTTCCTCGTCGCGGTAGCGGATCACCATTACTTCGCTTTGCGTGGCGGCAGGCGCGCTCTCGTCGAGCGATGCTTTGGCTTGCTCGGCGAGTCCGTGGTGCGTGTCAATGGCTTTTTCGAAGGGTGCTGCCATGGTGTTGCGGCGGAGGAGGGATACGCGGCGGATTAGGTCGTCTCGTGCCTCTATCCACTACATCAGCATCACACATAAATACATCCCCGTTGCAGGCAGGTGAACATACCAGCCTCGGCCGGCAGGTCCTCCAAGTCAATGAGTAGACTGAAGTCATAACCCGACTCGGTGGTAGTAATGTACTGGCCATACTCGCGCTGGAGCACATCCTGAGCCCCATGCTGCACCAATTCCGCGTAGCACTTTATGCTGATGCTGATGAGGATCTTGGTTTTTGTCTCCGGCGTCGATACGTGAAAGGTTACGCCGTCGAAGTCGGAGATCACCTGGTCGATTGAGACCGGGTTGGCGCCCTCCACGAACCGCTCTGTGAGAATCGACTTGAGGAGGAGGTTGTGGTATTCGAGGAGAAGCTACGGGGGTTAGCTATGATGATTGGTGATTGAATGAAACTGTGGGAGCTTGGGGAGCTTGCCATGGTGGTGGTGTTGAGGTGATGACAAACCCAGTGGGAAGGAGATGGATGGAGCGGGTCTGTTGTGAACGGGAATTGGATACGAAGTTAGCTGTTGAAATCGTTGGAGCTGTGTTGCTCTTGCAAGCACCCCCGTTCCCCGCTGACGGACTGCCAAGCCGGACTCAAAGATGCCGCGGTGGCACGAACGGGAGAGACCAGGGCCAAATACCGAGTGACACGCAGAGATGTGGATGTAGACAGGCGCAGTTCGTTCTTCTATAACCATCGATAACATACCCCAAAGAGAGAAAACTTGCACAGAACAAAAACAACCACCTTCCTCATCTACTATACAAGTTTTGGTTTGTCTTCTCTGCCTATCGCACCATATATTCTAACGGCTCGCCATGGAGGGATTCAGCAGCCTCTCCATGATCGCATCCGTGTCATTCTTCCGCTGCCGAGTCGCCGCATCCGTCTGCGCCGCTATCCTCCTATTCGCGAGGAACCTGAACCCGGTCGAGCCGTAGAGTTCCGAAGGCGGCACAACCTGGTCCACTGCCAGTTGGATCTTTCCCTTCGAATCGATACCCGCCTTGACCGGTCGGTACTTGTGGACCGGGAATCGGTCTTCGTTCCTCGGTGTGGTTCGCATCGAATTTCTCTGGACCTTCGCGACAACACCAGCGATACCAGCCACTTGTCCAGTCGCAGGCTGCCATCCCAGCCGTCTTCCGGGCACCTCCTTCTTCGCCTGTTGCGGTCCGAGCTCGGGGTCATTGTAGGCGTAGGCATTGGATCGAGTGTAGTGCAATCCGGCTGAAGGATGCGTTGACGGCGGCTTGTTGATTGGAATGTCTAAGAAGTCGATGACGAGTCTCTCGAGGTACGGATGGTCGGCACGGATCTTCATGATGTCCACCTTCTCAATCTCCAATCCCTCTGCCTCCTTCTCGATCTGCGCCGGCGATACCACCTCACCCGCCATCATGTGCTTGCGCTTGATCTTATCGACCCTCTGTCGCTTGGCGACAAAGTCATAGAACTCATCCTTTCGCGGTACAATCTCCTTCTTGATATACTCGCGCAGATCCTTAGGAGCCATGCCCTTAACGAACGGGCCCTCGTACCGCCACTTATACGCCTCAGGCTTGACCTCATCGAAGACGGTATTCCTGGGATCAAAGGTGCGGGAGTCCATATCGTAGTCGTGCTCGGAGACGGGAGGGTACAGCGCAACGTCGAGCTCCTGCCATTTCCGGAGCGTGTACACATCGTCGTGCGCCGACTCGAACGTCGTCATGTGCTCAATCGTGTCGAGAGCTCCGTAGCGCATGTAGATCGACTTTGCCGATGTCGAGAGCGGGAGGCCACGCTTGAGACCCCAGTCGCCGCGGAAGGCTGAGGACCGCGGGGTCGTGATGGCTTGGAGCGTGGGATACGGCGCCGGTGGCGGGGTAGTGATGCTGAGGGACGGTGGGGGAGGCACCGGTGCCGGCATAGCCATCAACCGGGAGTTCCGGAGGAGGTGTGCAGCTGGTGATAGCGTTTTGGTCGACATGGTTGAGCTGGGGCGCACGCCCGGGTGGAATTGATGTCGAATTCGGGGGTGTGGTCGGATGTGGATTCTTGGGACTGCCCGACTTTTCGATAGCAGGACATGCCGGGTAAGCTAGGTGAGTGATATATTATGATAGGGAAAATACAACAGTGTTCGAAATGGGCGTCCTGTACTTGGAATATCAAAGAAATCATTTACTCTAGGGTAGAAAGCAGGAGATTTACAAATTCGGCGCAATTGACCTTCAGAACACATTGCCGACAAAGGGTACTCAAAGTTAACGCTATTACCATCCTTCATGTGAGCTGTGGGAGGGGCCCTGCATCTCTTCTATCTCGCAGTCTGCAGAAGTGCCTGTAACAATACAGAAAAGCTCTTCTACGCCGGGACTTCTACTTTTTGCAGCTTCTTTAATCCAAGTTTTGTGCAGCCGGATCCTATTTATTAGTCTGATGTCAAAAGTCAACGGGGGTATCATAGGTAGTGACTAGAGACGTGAACAATCTGATTGGCGTATAGAATTACAGTTATCCAACGATTCTTCGTTTCCACAACTCATGCCACCAATTCCTCTTTAAGTATTTGCCTCACGGGTTGGAGACTCGATACATGTAGAGTTCCTACAGTGCATCTATATGGGAGCTCCGGCAGGGCCGAACAGGAGTGCCCGGCACTGGGCAGGGTATTGTGTTTGCGGAGGCTGCTTCCCCGAGCGATTAGATAAGATCTAAAAGCTAGCTCGAGCCGTTAGCTGGGAAGTATCCCACTAGTTTTACTCCAGAGGTCAGAGGAAGACGAAACCACCGACCAGTGACCACCGACCACCCCGCCGCAGAGCCTCAATCTCAGCCCTAGTTAACCCAGCCAACCAACGAAACCACCATTGAACCACCATTGAACCGATCCACAGTGCACACACTCCCGTCGACTTCACTCTCGGCAGCGAAAGCAACACGACCACCACGCCCCTTCCCCGCCCCTCCTCCACCTCCCGCCTCTCATCGCCTCTGCCCTCGGCCCCCGCCCTCGGCGCCAAACCAAACCAACCAAACCATGTCGCAACCAACCATGTACTTCAAAATAATCTTGCTCCGCTCAGGCATCGGCATGACGAAGCGGCAGAACGGCGTGTTGGCCTCACTCGGCTTGCGCAAGCGCATGTCGATCGTCTACCACCCCGTGTCGCAGGAGGTCGCCGGAAAGATCATGAAAGTCAAGGAGCTCCTGGCCGTCTCCGAGTGTCCCTTCGCTGAGACCAAGGCGGAGATTCATGTAAGGCGCCAGCCGCCGAGTGGGTTCATTGTTGAGGCGTAAACCCGCGATGGGCTGGGGGGATTTGGGGGGGAAGGGGGGTGTATGATATTACGTGGTTTAGAGGAGGAGAAGGAGGGAGGGGAGGAAGGAGGAGGAAGGAGGAAGGGAGGATGGGGGGATGGGGATGGGAAAAAGGGAGGAAGGGAGGGGGGAGGCGTTCAATGTACTAAATCTCTTCACGAGCATCAGGCGAGAACAAAGACAAAAACACAAGTAACTGCCGCTCAGCCATGTTCATTTACGATTTCCTATGGCTACGAGTAGATAGAGTGCATCACACAACACACACACACACACACACACACACACACAAGATGCTCTCCATGATTTCTACGACCCATCACCCAGATGCACGGCAGCGCTGAGGTTGCGCTGCGGCTCCTCTCCCACCATGGCGAGGTCCTGGGCATTGGCTTCGCTGCCGCCAAACCGCTCCTCGGCACTGACAATGCAGTGGATATTTGCCGCCAGCTTGTTCATGGTCTCCATCCACTCGTCGTAAGGATCCGAGTCGAAGACGATACCACCACCTGTTGATGTTAGTTAATGGGGATATGGGTAGTTACTCGGGTTGGGTGGAACTCGCCAGCTTGCAGATACGCAACTCCATCCTTGACGGTCATGGTGCGCAGCGCGATGCAAGTGTCCATGCTATCGCTCTCGTAGCCCCAGTAACCGACCGCGCCAGCATAGACGCCCCGGCGCTCGCCCTCCAGCTCTGCAATCAACTCCATTGCCTTGACCTTTGGGGCGCCGCTCACGGTTCCGGCCGGGAAGATGCTCCTGAACGCATCGAAGCGAGTCATTCCCTCCCGGAGCTCACCCGAGACCTGCGAGACGAGATGCATAACGTGCGAAAAGCGCTCAACGATCATGAGTCTGTCGACGGTGGTCGTGAGCGGGTCGCACACACGGTTGATGTCGTTGCGCGCCAGGTCGACGAGCATGACGTGTTCGGCGCGGTCCTTGAGCGAGGACCGCAGCTCCTGCGCGAGTGCATCGTCCTCCTCGCTGGTCTTGCCACGCTTGACGGTCCCGGCAATCGGATGAGTGATGATGCGGCCGTTCTCGGCCTTGACGAGGAGCTCGGGCGAGGCACCCACCAGCTGGAAGTCTGCGCAGTCGATGTAGAACAAGTACGGCGAGGGGTTGACGGTTCTCAGGTGGCGGTAGATGTTGAACGGATGGAGGCTCGTTGGCCTCGAGAAGCGCTGCGAGGGCACCGCCTGGATGATGTCTCCTTTGGTGATGTGCTCCTTCAGACGGTTGACATGGCGCTCGTATCCCTCACGGCCAATGTTCGACACATATTCCTGCCCTTTCACGATTGGTGGCTGGTGCGGTAGCGGAATCTCGGGCGACTGTAGGATCTTTATGATCTCGGCGATGTCCGTCTCGGCCTTCTCGTAATCCGCTCGCAGCGTCTCCACGGTCGCATCCTCCTCTTCACGTATGTGCATATGCGTGATCACCTTGATGGTCTGGAAAAAGTGATCGAAGGCCACGATCGTGTCGCAGATCATAAACAGCGACTCGGGAATCTGCAGCGGGTCCTTCAGCTCGCGCTTCGTCCGCGGCTCGAAGTACTTGACGCAGTCGTAGGCGACGTAGCCCAAAGCGCCACCGGTCATGGGCGGAAGACTTGGACCCGCGAATTTGGCCAGTCGGTAGTTGGCGAGTTCCTTCTGCAACACGGTGAGGGGGTCGACTTCCTCGCCATGGCCAGTACCGGTCTTGATGATTTTTCGCGGGTCTGGAAAATCGTCAATGGGTCTGAACTCAATGGGACACCACCACCGACCGGGTAGGTATTCGAGCCGCACGCACCACATCCGAGGAAACTGTATCGTCCGATAGTCTCCCTACTCGACGCGCTCTCGAACAGGAACGAGTTCTTCGTCTTGCTCCTATCACATCCACCCTCTGTCAATCGCGACATCCCTTCCCTTCCCTCCCCTCCGTGGGGCATGTGACTCACGTGGCCGAGAGCTTCAGGTAGGCGCTCGACGGGTTCAGAAATTCCGCGGGGAACGAGGCGACGAGCGGAACAATGTTTGGAGCCGTGGCAGCATCCTCCGCTCGTGCTTTCGAAATGACCTCCGAGACTGTGGGGAGGTCGGGCGAGACTTTTATCTTCATTGTCGGATAGTGTTAGCGGGGTTACAGTTGGGATGGTGGGGAAGCAGGGTGGTGGTGGGGTTGAGAAACGTGCAGATCGCTCGACGAACCTGGGTGACCATTTTGAAACAACGCAACTTGGGATGACTGAATGATTGGAGCTGGACGGAAGCGAGAGGAGGAGGAGGAATGGATGGCGGAGTATTCAGATATCAATGGCAATGACTCCTACCCACAGCACAGGCAAATTCGGGCCGGCTTTAGTTATTGCTATAGGGCCCTTGCATCGGCGCGTGCATGGCGTCGTGCAGCATGTCATGATTAGGCGGTATCTATCTCTCCTAGCGAACCCGTTCGGCATCGCAACCCAGAGAATCAACCGTTTAAAGGCCATCTATCATTTGTGTGGAAAGAGATAAAGAAACAAAGAAACAAAAGATAAAACGCCACGACACCTGGGTATCTTTCGGCCGCTATGCAGAGAAAGCAAGAAAGAAAACAGGAATGCAAAGACCTGAACGCAATCCCAAAGGCCGGCTCTATGAATATGGGCATCATCAATCATTATCTATCACATTGTCACCCGACTAGACGACTCATCGTTCAACCAATGCCAAACTTTTTTGTGCTGTTCCAGCGCAATGAAGGTGAGGATCGTCTGCGGCCTGTTTCTGTCTGTTAGCTTCCTGTCCCCTATCTAAGCTTCGTATCACATCGATCCGGTTGCTCACCCCAATCTCATGAAGCTGGGCACCCATCCTCTGAATGCCCAGCGCAACCCCTCCTTATTCGTGATGTCTGCAAGCAGATGCATGAGCCCCTGGGAATCATGGCTAGACATGACCCTGGTTTTGATCACATCCACAGGGCTGCAGATGGTGGTTGCGATGAGGCCGCTGACCAAGCTCGCGGTGAAGTGCGTTGCAATGCCGTCCGAGAAGTACGACAGCTTCAACAACTGCATCTTGGCGATGTCATAGGTGGCCAGTTGCGAGGAAGTCATGAGTCCTGCACGGAGAGTGTTCGGCCACACACCGCGGAACAGCGCCCGCGGACCCTCGTCACGAGTCATCCGCACCAGGCCGTCGATTGCATGCTTATAGTTGCGACGCTTCTCCGGCGGATTCGCGAGGTCCTGCTGCATACGCACATTTATGATATCTGGGGTTCGATGTCAGTCAGACAAACTGAGACCCGAGTGGAATATTCAATGACATACCCGCCGGATTTCCAGCCAGTCCGCCCATCCTATGCAATCACATCGTTAGCCAATTTCAGGCTCAGGACATCCGCGACGAACTTACCAACCAGCCCCGAATGACATGAACAGCAACATTCCGAAACCTGCCGGCTCTCCTCCCGGCACTGTAACATAGGCCTTCATCGCATCGTACGCACCGAACCTGGTGGTTGAATATGTCGCTAACCAACCAACGTGGTATCAATCAGTTCTCGTTCCTACATGCTCCAGATTCACATACGACCATTCCGAGTCACCCTACCTTGTCGCAACAAACTAGCAGACAGCTGCGGACCGACCGTTAGTACCAATCGCTTCCACCAGAATCGCATCATAGGACTTACCCCACTATATATCGCCAAAACACCTGGTCGTCCCCACCACGATGAGTTAGCCATCCGAACTGCGACCTCGGAGCTCTTCACATCATACCTTCGTGTCTAACGATGTTCACCGCCGTCCTCGCCAATCCCAAGTTCTGCATCCCAGCCGTCTGCAGGCGGACCTTCAACAGGTCCCTATCACATGTATCATACATATGTCAGCGTTCCACGGCCTCTACTACTACAAGTTGGCCACATGTTGCTTTCACTTACAGAGGGTGCGTACAGACCGCCGCCATACAGCTGGCACTGCCACCGAACCAGAAGGGCGGATGTTTGTTCTTGACCGTTTTCGCCATCGTCGTTGCAATGCAGTTCTCGAAATGTGTCTGTCGCGTGTTACGTCGGAATCAACGATGCTGCTGCAGGAACAGAACAAATTCACTTTTTTTATTCCCATCAGGCTGATGTGGAGGAAGGAAGGGGTCCGACGTGTGCCAAGACTGGAGGGATGAGCTTGTACTCTACTCTACAATACGTATTTTCGGTGGCTGCCGCAGGCCGGAGGCTCGGAGCTCCCAGAGGGCCAGAGAAGAGAGAACATCAATTTGTCGCATGCGGCCTTAACTAACCTTTCATTTCCAGCCAGCTCCGCGGGGTCGAGAGAAAGCTCGACTATACATACCACCACGGCCCGTTGCTGCGCCGCTGCTGCCTACCAGCCACTTTTACAAAAGAAAAAACCATGCGAACAGTCATTATCCGCACCCGAGCCGCACCGAAACCGCTGTAGACTGTGAAGTCGGCGCCGGTTCGGACCCGTAGGCAGCTGACAGATGTTTTCGGGAACCAGGACTCCTCAAGTCCCGGAGTTCCAGGAGGCTTTTGGCTACCCAAGAACCGGGTGGGAGCATCACTCGTGCTCCACGCTGGTCGGATTGATTATGAAGCCAAGTACTCCATATACAGACTCACCATAGTCTGGAAACTCTCTCTCTCTCTCTTCATTTATATACAGACACTGCAGTCTGGCGAGGAAAGCGCAGATCGCCATGATTTAATAAATGAAGAAACAAAACCGAATACCTCCATAGGTACATACGGATTTTATGAAGACTGCCGCAGTAGCCATGCCAACCTGCATCATGTCCTCCCAATAGAGTTTTTTTTTCTTCACCTCATCGCACCTAGATACTCTATACATACTAGGACCGCCTCCGCGAGTATATCCAGAGAGAGAGAGAGGAGATGGGCCTCCGTTCGAATTCCAAACATCTACCACACATAGGTACAGCAACACCACACACCCCCTCCGTTCACCCCAATCTCAACACCATCTCCCTCGCCACCTCCGGCCCGACCGTTGCCACCGTCTCCCTAACGACCCTATACAGAATCCCCTCGGTATCCTCGAACCCCTGCAAGTTATCGGCCGTCGTCTGAAAGGTTCTCGCAGCCACCTTGACGGCGCCGAGATCGAACTCGTCCAATTCCTCCTGCGACATTATACCCGGCATCTGCGAGTCGATGGAGAAGCCCGCGCCTGCGTTGCTAGGATCGATATCGAGATCGGGAGGGGGGCCCGAGAAGCGATTGCTCCAGGTGCTGTCGGCTTCGAGCGAGGACTTTAGGTCTGCCGTGAGCGGGACCCAGACGTTTGTGGAGGGGTCCAGCAGCTCCGAGGGACCGTAGGTGGCTTTGTAGCGCATCTTCTGGCAGGAGGGGATGTAGTATCCTTCTCTTCGTTAGTGATGCACAGTCGAGGTGTTTCAAGAAGGAACTGTTACCCATGTAGTAGCACCCGTATCCTCCCTCCTTCGCCAGACATGCTTCGTGGCAGGCACTGACCTTGCCCAAGTGCCAGCTCTCAAAGTCATTGTGGTAGATGAAGTAAACGCCACTGACGACGTCGGGGAGCAAGTCGAGCACGCCCATCGCGATCAGCCGTCCGTCGAGGCGATAGCACATGTGGTACGAGCCAAACCGCTTGCCCGATTCCGTGGTCGTCGTGGGCAGTGGTGATTCGCACAGAAACCTCTTGAAGCCTGCGGCGCTGATCTCGTGCGGTTCCTCCTTGTGGACATTGCGCTGGTAGTTCTCATAGACCTCGTATCTGCTCACCAAACATCGTCAGTCGATGGAATCGCCGATTCGCAGGAGGAGGGCGGAGGTTACTTTTCGTCAGAGAAAGATGCGGGCTCAAGAGTGACCTCGAACTTGTGCGCCGGCTCGGGCGGGATGGATGATTCAATGGTAGAGTATTCCGGTGCGTGAACACTCTCCGCCAGGTTGAAACTGTTGTTCTGTTTCTTTTTCTCTCTGCGATGGACACGAGAGACACTGTCGTCAGCAAATTGCCCCACTACATACAGCACTCACTCCAACAGGACCTCCGCGGCCACCCCTCCTCCCCCCACCATATAGAGTGGACCGATGATCGATTGATTGAGTTCCCGGCGTCCGACCGAAAAATTGCCGGCATTCTCCCCCTCCCAGCGACCAGGCGACCCGGACCAACCAATATATTGAACGGCACAAGCCGGTGTATGTATAACTGCGAACGTGCATGATGCACAGGTGGGTATGGATGTATCGACAGACATGGACCAACTTACTCTTTGGACTTGGGATATTTCTTTGCAGCTTCCCGGATATAATCCTCGCCAAGCACGTTGCGAGTCCATTTGTGCAGACACTGCCGCTGGTCCCTGGATGCCTTGAAGGTGTCGGCGTGAAGACTTTTCGAGGCAAGGAATCATATCGATATATCATCAGCTCTCTCGGAAGCTACCACATCCATCCGTCCATCACCACTGAACCCCCCATAAACTACACCCCACTACCGTCCCCCCGTCCGCCAGCCAGCCCATTCGCAGCGATGGGCAGCATGGGCAGCGGTACGTAGTATAATGTACTAGCAGAAGGGGAGTGGCATGGCAGTTATCACTCACCGTATGGTATAGTGCTTGCAACATGAAAGGGTTATGTGAGGTTTGTACAATGTAGTTCCACTCCTGCAACGGCGAACGAACGGAGGGCGTGTCAGCAACGACTGGACGAAACGGTACTTTGAGCATCCGGACGGACCAAACGCAGCGCCGGCATCACCGAATATCACCCGGCACATACGATATACCTATCGTAATAGTGACCTGGTGCTGGCGCGGCTGGCTGAAAGAGCTTGCTAGGCAGCTGTCCGACCGGATGCGGGGAACCGGAGAGCAACCCACCGTCTCCATCCACGGTCGACGAGACATTGATAATGCCTTACTGTCAAGACCTTTGTGCGCAGGTAGAACGACGAGCCTACTCTTCCGGAACCATTCACCTGCGCATCAGCCACTGCGATCGTTCATTCCCCCAGAAATGCGAGTGGACGTGTTTGTTTGGCTGTCGGAATCCGCAATTGTGTATGTAAAAAAAACTTTCATTTTTCCTTTTCTTTCCTTCCGACGTCATGCATGTGCAGTGGGGTAGAAGTGGTTTGGTAGTGGGTAGTGGGTAGGGTATCTGGTACAGAACCAAAGTAGGGCGAGACAGACTCTAGAGAAGCCAAAGAGAAAAAAGCAGGCAATGCAGGGGCGGAGGCATAAGGGTAAAGGAGCGGGGGATCGGAGGGAGTAGGGGAGTAGGGAGGGGTTTGATTCACGTAATGGAGGATTTTCCTTGGGATCCGTTTCGCAGTAACCGCAGTGCGTGCTTGAGAAGGAACCTGCACATCGATACAACAACGCAAGGGAAAAATTGGAGTTAGCTAGCCGACCCAAACGATGCACGACACCAAACGTACTGCGCCCGCGGGCCACGAGGTGGAATGACTGGTACGGAACGAACCTTGGTACGAGAATGCGCTGGTCGACTGAGATCCGGCTGTTGCGGCGGACATGGTTGGCTATGGCCGGAGGGGGGGGTGGAGGGCGACCCTATTTCGATGGGTTCACTGGCTGATTGATTGGTTGAAGCTGAGGTGGAGGTGGAGGGGAAGTGGCAGCGGGGCAGCAGAACCAGCAGCAGCAGCAGCTGTGCAGAGGGGGGGAAGAGAACAGATGGCGATTCCGAAGTGATCGATTGACCGGTTATAGGTATAGTATTTCAGGCTTCGGTAGAGTAGAGTACTTGCTAAGCTATAGGGTAAAGTATAGTAGAGCAGGGCAAGGCAGGGGAGGATGCAATTTACTATGGAGGCATCATCGTCAGTTGGTCAGTTGCAATTGCAGCCACAGGGCGGTGCGGTGCGAGGAAGAGGAGCATCTACGAGTACGAGAACGTTATGTAGCACATGCGAGAGCTGAGGGGTGGAGGCGGGGGGAGGTGGGAGAGTGAGAGTGAGAGTGAGGGAGGGAGGGGGAGGGAGGGGGAGTGAGAGTGAGAGTGAGAGTGAAAGTGAGAGCGAGACAGCAGGTGAGAGAGTTCCGGCGTGTGGGCGGGTTCGTCCAATCCAAAGGGCCGGAACGCGACTCTGTCCAATAATACGAAGGGCCCAACTCGACTTCCGGTCCGCCTGAGATCAACTTCTTTCTTTTGGTCTTCCTTCCAGATCTCCATCCGCATCCCTGCACGCAACCCGCATAAACCATATCTGACGGCACGCATCATTCGTCCACAGCTCCGGCGACGGACGACGACAGCAACAATGGTTAACTGACGACGATGTCGTCAACGTCAACATCAACGCCACCACCAGCATCTCCATGGAGAGTGTTCAGTGAGGCGTAGCACAGGGACGGAGCAGCTGTGTACCGGAATCCCGTGCCGTGCAGATGTCCCGTCGGGTCGACAGCAATTCTGCGTGTACGTAAGTGTAAGTACTCTACGGTACGTCTTGCTACGGTACGTCTGTGGTCCGCATTCAAGCCGTAGCAAGCGCTGTATCCGTGAGATGCGAGCGGGGGAGAGGGACGGGAGGGGAGGAGAGGGGAAGCGGATGAGGAATGACTGAAGCGATGGTCACGGGGTGAGGAACCGTATGCACTGTGCACCGTTGAGATTATTGCTCGATTGACTCGTTCGTTGCTTGGCGGATTCCGTTCGTGACGACAAGAGTGAATAGGGCGGGCTCGGGTCAGACAAACAAACAAACAAGCTCGTCAAACGAAACATATATGGTCGCTCGTGGGATGTTTGCGGAACCGAAGAGCAGCGTTGAACAGCGCTGAGCACTGCGACGGAGAAAGACAAAGGATCCCCTACAGTGCATACCCACTGCACGCATAACCAAGCAAGTACCCTTCAGCTCTGCCAGGGAAACCAGACGGGACTCGGGAACCAGACCAGACCAGACCGACCGACAACAAACGGCGGAACGGTCTCCACGCCATGCCATGTCATGTCACATCGATAGCTGCGAGCGCGGCTGTTCTCACGCGGCTCTATCCCCAATCGATACAAGATGGAGCTGGGGGCGAGCTGAGCCGACGACGACACAGCCTATGTATCTAGTAGGTTACGAGAGTACATGCTGTATGTATCTCACAGCAACACTGATCATCTTACCTACATCCCACCTGATTACCTACCTAGAGTATGATAGCTCTTCACTCATCATATCCACAGGCCACATACTTCCTGGTATGTACATACTCTCGTACATACACGGCAAGGCCCGAGTGTGTGTTTGATGTACAGTACAGTAACCAAGTATGTACTCGTACTTACCCACATGCTCACCGTGCTGATCGGTGTGGACCCTTTTTTTTCTCATTACTTTTCCCAGGAATTCCGCAGCATCGGGAAGGATGTTTGTCGCGATGTGGGGATGGTGCAAAAGCAATTCAATGTGGACGGACGGGACGGACGGGCAGCGGAACAATAATGCTCTCTCTCTATACAGAGGAGGTCTGGATCATGGGTGGACTTTACTCTGACGACATGCTTCCGAGCCTCAATCATCGGAGCACGGTGCAAGACATCGACTCATCGAGGAGGACGAGGAGGAGGAGGAGGAGGAGGAGGAGAAGGAGGAGAAGGAGGAGGAGGAGGAGGAGGAGTGATAGAGAGACGGAGAAGAGGGTACAGAGTCCGAGAAGGCCGAGAGGTATGCATAGTACATGTACATGTGCCACTGGAAAAGGGTCGGGCAGTGAGACCGCCGATAAAGAGAGTTCACTATCAACATGAACCTCTTCGCCTTCTCCCCGCTGGCACTCAGGGCCTCCCCTTCCCCCTCCTCCTAATCCCCCCAAGAGTGACCGGCCTTCCCGTCCCCGTCACGCCTCCGTCAGTCAATCGGCCCTCATTATAACCCCCTCCCTCCTCCCTCCCCATCCTCCTCCCCCCCTCCCTCCTCCTCCTCCCTCCTCCTGCTCCTCTTGCTCCTCCTGCTCCTCCCCCGTCATCCTCCTCCTCATATCCCCTCCTACCCCCTCCTCACTCCTCTGTCGAGCCCGCTCACACGACACTCGCGCGTCCCAATATATCACACGTTCCGGACCTCATACAAGGCAATCCGCCGGCACTTTCACCTCTACGTACACACGTGCGCGGTTTAGACTGCTTCTCTCGAGACATTTCGTCTCGTCGTCATCTTTGCTTTCTACCCACTCTAGCCTCATATATATACATACATCCCCCTCCAATCCGTTGCGTCGGGTCGGTGCAGCGTTTCAAGAATCTGGCCTGTTCAGCTCTTCGACCAACCAACCATTTCTGTGGCTAACTGGCCGCCTCCGCCGCCGCTGCTGCTGCTACTGCTGCGTCTGTGGTCTTGTCTGGTCTCAGTCCCTTTGTCGTCGGACCCTCCTCCACCACCTTCCGCAGTCTCCCTGTTGAAGGTTCCCGCTGTCGACAAGTCGCCGCGCTACTTATTTGGCCAAAATCCACCTCTCTCCCCACCAACAACACCACCACTACCTCCTCCTCCTTCTCACCCTCCTCCTCCTCATTCTCCTCCACCATCTCACTGATCCGCAACCGCCGCCTCCCTCCGTCTACTCTCTCCCACACCACTCGCAATATAAACTTCTCACCCCTTTCGAACCTTTTTTTCCCATAGACAGCACAGCCAGCGCGAGAAATTGAGAGATGGTGCAGAGTCGATCCATGGAGGTCGGTGTAGTCGATTTCGTCGCCCCCTTGTGCTTGTACTGAAACCTACATTTCCAGGCGCGTGTTGGAAGGGTCAAGCAGAGTACGTTCATCCCATTACGTTCACCCGCCCGAATTGTTTTTTTTTGCGCAGTCGCAGTCCCAGTCCCAGTCCACCCGCCATCGTCGCCCGTCGTGTGTCGTTTCTGCACCTGCCTCCCACATATCCAATTCCAGAAGCCAGAACTTTTTTTTATGTTCCCATGCCACACCCGTTGCAGTCCACGTTTTTTATTGTCCGACGCGCGAAGGGACAAAGAGAGAGACTTACTTTTTTTTCTGTTGTTCCGCAATCTAGGATATGGACCGGACGGATCCCGACTCGTTGCCGGCGTCGTAGCCGTTTCTGTCGACAGGAGAAAAGTTTTGGTCGTTGAATCGACAAATCGCCAAAATCATTGGGTTCTTCCCAAGGGCGGTTACGAAACCGATGAGGCACGACCGGAAGACGCCGCAGCTCGTATGCCACCCACCTTCCTCGCTCGATCCGTTTTCCCCACCTACCTCTACCCCATCTACGCCGCCATATTTTTATTTTTTCCCCAGGCTCGAGTTTTATATCCTTTGCTGACGGAGAATTTGCGAGTTTACAGGTGAAGCCTGGGAAGAAGCCGGAATTACGGGACGCGTGACGCGCGCCCTGGGCGAGATCCGAGACCCCCGCCCGTTAAACGCGGTAGCGCCGCCGAAGGCTGGTGGTCAGGCACGTACGCTATATTACTTCTTCGAGTTCCACGTCGAGCGCGAGGAGGACCGGTGGCCCGAGATGCACAAGCGGAAACGGAGGTGGATGACGTACGAAGAGGCGTTGTCGTGTTTTCAGAGCATGAATCGGCCCGAACTCATAGAGGCGATCGATCGGAGCAGCGTGCTCAGGTAGTCTCGCGGGGATTCTGTATGATTGGAGGGAGGGACAAGATAGAACGAGTGGAGGCAAGGTTCTATTTGGTTTCTTTCGACGACGACGACGATGGGGTGGAAAATAATGGGTGTCTTCTTTTTTTTACTCTACTCTACTACCACGAACATGGATACATACTCGTGCGTGGTGATGCGCTCCTCTATAGATACAAAATGAGTTGTATCCTCAGTTTTTTCTCCCTTCCCTTCTGGCTTCCTTTACTTTCATAGCGTTACGGCTTGGTCATTCGTTCGTTCGGTTTCCCTGCGAAAAGAAGTCCATTGAACGCAATGAGTGGGCGGGCTGCGGGTGACGTGCGGTGATTGGATGGGAACTTGGGAAGGCTTGGGCAGTTGTCTGATGGAGATGATGGTTGCTTTATTGGTGTTGCGGGTGTTGGTTTGGTTACTCTATAGATACATGGTTGTTTTTTTCTTTCTTTTCTATTTGCGGTTTTGGTTTTGGTTTGGTTATACATGCATGTGGTTTCTTTTTCCATTTACAGTTTCGGTTTCCGGTTTGCAGTTTCTAGTTTGCAAGTAGATTTCGACAGCAGGAAGGACGTGTGCACTGTGTGTACTCGGTCGATGAGGAGAGGTGAGGTGAGGAGAGGTGAGGAGAGGTGAGGAGAGGTGAGGAGAGGTGAGGAGAGGTGAGGAGAGGTGAGGAGAGGTGAGGAGAGGTGAGGAGAGGTGAGGAGAGGTGAGGAGAGGTGTGGAGAATTTGAGGTCACGAACGATCTGGCAGCTGGCTTGGTGGTAACCCCCGTCAATTTATATGAGTAGAAAGTAATAGGTAGACAGGCAGAGGTATGGAGGTAGTTCCCGAAAGAACAGTAGTAACGGTACCAAGTAACAGTAAAGGAAAAGCAGAAGAAGAAGAAGAAGAAGAAGAAGAAGAAGAAAACGAACACCCATGATATCAAAACCACCCCCAATCCCCAAGACCAATCCCCAGAACCAAACCCGAAAGAAAAGAAGAAAAAGATAAAAGCACACTTGCAGACGCCTTCACACACACGCACAGACACACCAGACAGACAAACACACACACACAGACGCAAGGAAAACGAAGAAAAGGAAGAAATAAGGAAATCTCTGTACAAACGCCATGCTCCGCTCATTATCCAACATGCTCACATCAACTCCACCGGCGGCCTCTGCGTGTGTACCTGCTCCACCTTCGGCAGGCCAGCCAACAACGCAGCCGGCGGCTCAACGGGACTATTCTCGTCACCTGAGTCGGTGTAATCATCAACACTGATAGCGGGCATCTCCTTCTCGTCTCCCTTCTCGGGTTCAAACAAGAGTACCGAGCTCGCGCTCCTCGGCCTCCCAATCCTCTCCCTATTCGCGTCCCCTGCGGCCGCCGTATTGTTATTTTCATCCTGATGCTTCGGCTCCCAGGAGAGGCGGGCGAGCGCGTGCGCCAGGTCCTCGGCGACAACGACCTGGTTCGGCGGCTCCTCGTTGCGCGACTCCCAGCCGTGCGGCGGCGACGGCGGCGGCGAAATGAAAAATAGCTTCGACGCCTCCGGCGCTTGCAGGTGCTGGTCGATCGGCTGCAGAGGCGTGTGCTCGCCGAAGTACACCCGCACCCGGTCCCCCATCAACGCGCTGCCGTCGAGTGCGGTGCGGACACTGATCGCGTCGTCCGTGCTGGAAAAGGAACAGACGATGCGCCGGAAGGACTTCAAGGGTGACCAGCTGGCCAGGGGGGACGTCGCGGATATAATGTCCCGCAGCTGCGTGATGTGCGGCTGCGTGAAGAGGGTGGGGTTGTTGAGGTTCTAGGCGGGGTTAGTGCGTGGTCGGTGGGCGGGGAGGGAAGGCTTACGGTGATCAGAAGGGTGTTGGTTGGCTTTGCGGGCTGCGTTAATGGCGGCAGGCAGGATAGGTCCAGGCTTAGGTGCGAGCCTCGAGAGGAGGCGCGGGAGCGCGCGGGTGAGGCCCCGGGTGAGGCGATGGGGTGCAGGCCCGGGGAGGCAGCTGGTGAGAGCTGGCGGGGGGACTCCATTGCTTCTGTAGTGGAGTGCTGGTTGGTGGGCTGTAGGTGGGGATGTGGGGATGTGGGGATGGGTTTAGGTGATGAGGTGAGAGGTGTCGAGGTGTCTCCGAGTAGTCTGTATTAGTTGAAGTAGTTATGGTGTGGATACTGTCGATGCGAGAAACTGGGGGGAGTTCTTTTATATGTATGTTCCGGTATGTATGGCTTCGTTGTGCGGGGATAGGCAGGAGGGGGGAGTGGATGCAGGCCGGGGGGCGGCGGAGATGGTCCGTCGATTCGAGGTTTCTGGGTGCTCCGCTCTACTGCTGCTGGTCTGCGGTGGGGTGGCGGAAGCAGAAGGCAAATTTGTCGATGGGATGGTATGGTGACTATCGCTATGGAGGCGCAGCAGCAAGTGAAGAACTTTCTCTCTATCTTTCTTTCTTTTCGTCCAGCACCGGACTCCCATACCATAGGTACTCTGGATACCCTACGAAACTCTACCTTGAACTGTGCCGGTCCGCAGCAGCAAACAACCGCATATGATCTCGTCTCGTCTCGAGCTGCGATGTCCATATGGAGTTGTGCTCCACCATGTACTTGTCCATTCCCAGCGTTCCTGTTTGGGTTGCAGTGCATGCTCCCGGCCGTGTCTCGGAGCTTGCGCCGTCATCCGCCCCGTTTTCTAAAGATGAGCCTCCTCCTTCCGCCGCGAGGGAGTGCTGCATCTGTCTGTCTGTCTGTCTGCCATGCTCATCACCGTTCGCACCCGAATGGAACGAATTGCCACAGTGTCGGGATGCACAATTACAGATCCACATGCGCATTCCGACAGGTGTTCTTCCGGGGCCTCCATGGCCTCGCAAGGTGTCATCTGCAAAGGTGGAGTAGAGTGCTTACCGGTAACTAAGCAAGCAAGCAAGTTACCTCCACCGCCGCCGTGGCACAGCACCAGGTCAGGTCCAGCACCAGGGCCAGGGCCAACGCCAGCGCCGTCGTCGACGTAATAGTCTCGGCATTGCGCTCCATCCGGCCGCAGTCGGACTTCCCCGGGACGGCGAGGGCGAGGGGCGGGAGGGGGCACTGCGGCAAGCGCAGTTTCAGCCACAGTCCGTTCCGCTACATATGCAACAAAGTAAGGCACGGGGCATCCGCTGCGCCACAAGGTGCTTGACGCGACGCCGCCGACGCCGCCGCCGGCCCACACTCGACGCTCGACGCGCGAGACAGGACAGGGAGAGGGCCCGGCTGCTGGGGAACTTCACCACGCGTCTTCCCGCTTTCGCATCAACTTGATTACGACGATTGATTATTTTCTCGACGACCACGACGACGACGACAACGACTGCAACGACGACAGCAACGCCCAACCGTAACCGACCTCACCGAGTCCTGCCGAATCCTACATAGCCACCGGAACCATCTGAAATATGCCGCTGCTCGTCGACAAACACCGGCCCCGATCGTTGGAGGCACTGCACGTTCGTCCCCCATTCCCGCACCAAGCCCTAAAAACCAAAAGTCGAATTACGGCTAAACGAGGCATTGAATACAGTATCACGGGGGGCTCTCTTCAAGGCTGAAGTCTTTGGTAAGTCTCCGCTTACAGCCCTCCGCAAGGTGGACGGGGGACCAGGCGCTGACATTCCATTCCGCAGGCCAACAGCGGCGACTTCCCCCATCTCCTGATATACGGCCCCTCGGGCGCAGGCAAGAAGACACGCATTGTGGCGACGCTGAAGGAGCTGTTCGGACCGGGCGCGGAAAAGGTGTGTTGTAGTTGTAATTGTTGTTCCTGCTGCGGCGGGAACTTCGCCACCACCAGCACCACCACGACCACCATCAGCTGACACCGCCGCCCAAACAGATACGCATCGACGCGCGGGTGTTCCAGACCAGCTCGAACCGCAAGATCGAATTCAACATCGTATCGTCGAACTACCACCTCGAGATCACTCCGTCAGACGTCGGGAACTACGACCGGGTAGTGATCCAGAACCTGTTGAAGGAGACGGCGCAGACGCAGCAGGTAGACCTAGCCGCGAAGCAGCGCTTCAAGGTCGTAGTCATCAACGAGGCCGAGTACCTTACGCGCGATGCCCAGGCCGCCCTCAGGCGCACGATGGAAAAGTACTCGCCGAATCTGCGGCTGATCCTCGTCGCCAACTCGACCGCGAACATCATCCCGCCCATCAAGTCGCGCACGCTGCTGGTGCGCGTCGCGGCGCCGACTAGGGACGAGATCGTCAAGATCTTGAAGTACACCGCCGAGCTGGAGAAGCTCGAGTGGCGGGAGAAGCTGGCCGAGCGGATTGCGGAGGAGAGCGGGAGGAACCTCCGCCGCGCCCTGTTGATGTTCGAGTCGGTGTATGCGCAGAAGTACGTTGTCCCCGGTAAACGAGGTTGTATGCAGTGCTGACCGAAAGTCAAGCGAAATGGTTAAGGACTCGACGCCCATCCCGCCGCCGGACTTTGAGGCGTTGATCAGCCAGATTGCGGACGAGATCCTCGCCGAGCACACACCCGCTAGAATCATGCAGGTGCGCGGCAAGATGTACGATCTGCTCACGCACTGTATTCCGCCGACTACCATCCTCAAGGTATTATTTCCATAACTTTCTCTTATCACATGATGTGGGGTACTGACGACGTCGATAGCTCCTGACTTTCCGCCTGATCGAACGGATCGACGACCAGCTCCGCGCTGAGGTCATCAAGTGGTCCGCTTTCTACGAGCACCGTATCCATATCGGCACCAAGCACATCTTCCACCTCGAGGCGTTCGTGGCGAAGTTTATGAGGATCTTGGAGGGGTACTTGATGGGTATTGAGATGTGATCTATAGAGGGGGGTGGGAGGGAGAGAACATCGAGGTATCGTCGTGTACGGCCTTACTATGTACCGGTAGACCATAGCGACCCCATGTCGAGAATAGCGATAGTAATGACGAAACCGAGTGACCAACCATGCGTGGACTACATATTCTACGTGACCTGTGTAACCCGGTAGACGAGAGTACTGTGGCCCCCATTCACTGGCATCCAGATGCAGAGAGAGTACTGTAGCCCCCATTCATTGGCATCCAGATGCAGAGAGAGTGTATGACAACTATACTTCTCATCTACCTGGTAGAGTAGAGTACCCACCCTGTGGGAGATATGATACCGTATGCATCTGGTGGCTGGCACAGAGCAGACGTTTCCGGCGATGCCAGCCCTCTCCGTGCCAGCCTTCCAGGAGGTTCGCCGCACCATTGCAGTCACTCGGTTTCAACATTCAACTTCTTCTTTTTTTCTTCTTCTTTCTTCTTTCCGTGCAGGGGAGGGGAACCGAGACCCCTCGTCCCGCTCTTCGTGCTCTTCGTGCTCTCTCTACGCTCTTCGTGCTCTTCGTGCTCTCTCTACGCTCTCCATAGTGCTCTAGCCACAAGCGGCGCTCAGACTGTGGCACGTCATTTCCCACGCTCCCGATTTTCCCGTTGTCATATTTACCGTACCGGGGCCGTGATCACCCACCACCCACCCTGACCCACCCACACACGCACCTACTCGACGATTCCAGAACCCAGACTCCCCAGACTCCCCAGAGTCCGCAGAGTGAGTCGTCTCTCTTCGCAGCGTTGCGGTGTGCTGGTTTTCCCCCTCCCACTCGCTCCGTCAGCTCTAGAGTACCCAGATGGATGGGGGCAGAGTATATGTAGAGCTTACTACCACTACCGGTATCTACATGCAGCGTCCGTTACGGCGGCATTAGCGACCGCGTATCTGCATTCTGCATTCTGGGCACTCTATCTCCACCCACCTATCCACCTATCTACATATGTGGAGTATATAATACAAATCATACACACAGGAGCTTTCGTGTCAGACAAGGAAGATGGGTGGAGGCACGCTGCCCTGCACGGCATGGCTTGAATCCGCTGTATCGTAGATACGTGGGCAGGTATCGGTAGGTGCGGTACTCCTTCTACATATCATAGGTACGCAAGTGCTCTAGCTACATACTGGTATCTATCTGCATACCCGTCTCGACTCTCCATCGCGACGTGGGCGAGTGCTTACAGAGGTATCAAAGTAGATATTCCACTCAACTCTACAGGTGGCGGTGGCACTTGCTCTGCCCCCATCCAGGGGTCGCCGGTCGGTCAGTTGGTGGAGTGGGGGCTTACGGGGGGAGGTCATTTCGCGAGCCACGAGGAGGAGCGCACAGGTAAAGGGTAGGGGAGTTGTCAGTTGCGACGTGAGACGTGAGTGGAGCGGGTGCGGGTGCTTTTTTCGACCAGGCAGAGGACGGACGGGACTACTGTAACCATGGGCCCAGCCAGCCAGTCCCAGCCAGCCAGCCAGCCAGGCCCAACCCAACCAGAGGAAACACTCCTCTCACCACCACCACTTGCACTTGCACAACCTCCTGGATAACTGCTTGGGTGACTACGGTACCGGTACTCCCCCACCTACCCAGTCGTACCCTCTGCTCCAGTGAGTGCCCGACAGCACAGCACAGCACCACCACCACGCGAAGCTGCTGCGAGCATACCACCAATCGCCACTCGACTCTCTCCTTCTCTCTCTCTCTCTCTGCCTCTCTCTACGCACCCTACGTGCCTACCGTGATCGTCATCACATCCACACTCTCTTGCCTGCCCTGTCTGTCCTTACTTTATTGACTCTCACACGCCCTCTACCTGCTCTGTCTTGTCTTTTTCTGATTGGTGGCTGTTGTCTCTTCCATTCGTCTACTTCTACTTCTTCTATCGTCTACTTCGTTGCATCCCTTTCTCTTGAAACTTCTTCGATTCTTCTTCTTCTCCACCGCCTCCTTCGTCCTCCTTACTTGGCTTCCTCTCCTGCCGCCGCCTCCCTGCTTCCCGGCGCCTGTTACTCCCTGGATCCTACACCGCCCCACAAAAAAACAGGAAACACCCCATACAAACTACATACATAGACTATCCAACCCCCCCACCCCCCCGTCGCAATATATGACGGCCGCTGCTGTCAGTTGAATCGGAAGAATAACTAGCAACTGCAAACACCCGACGCTCAACACCACCCACTTCAATTCAAAACCCCTCGACTTTCTCAAATTCACATTTCGCTTCAGCGACCGTCGTCAACCCTCGCGAAAGCGAGCCTTGATCCAGCGATTGCCGAAGCCCACCCACAAACACAACACAACCAACACAACACACCATGGACAACACCATGGAGGACGTCACCCCCGTGCTGCAGCAACAGCTCTTCCGCGAGCGCCAGCGTGAACGCGAACAACTGTCCGAGCAGCTAACCGCCCTCAAGAGTCTGTTGCGACTCGACGCGGACGGCATCGGCGAGCCCGTCGACCTGCTCGATGTCATCGAGGAAACCAAGGCGAATTTGGATCGGTTTTCGACTTCGGTGCAGAGGCAGGGTGCGATAAACACGGCGAGGACACCGCCGGTGCAGACGGGTGGAGGAGGAGGGATCGAGGGATTCCAATTCGGGATTGACGGCGAGGCTGGGGCTGGGGCTGGCGCTGAGGTTGAGGAACCACAGAGTCCTGAGCGTGAAAGGAGGTTGTCTGAGAGCTCGTCGACGAGGAGCAGTTGGCGGAGCTCGCCGGGGAGCATTGCGAGCACGGCTGCAACGAGTGTGTCGCATAGGGACTCGAGACGGTCGACGTCGTCGCCGCCGGTGTTCCAGAGCCCTTCGCCCTACCCCGGCCGGTACCGCGGGTTTGGTGATATTCAGGATATGGCCCATGATGAGTATGGGCACGAAGACGAGGAGGAGGATGACGACGATGATGAGAATGACATGTCGGATGCGTCGTTCGAGCGGTTGTCGACCATCCTTGCGTCGCTGCAGCAACAGGCCGAGGCCGCTGTGATCTCGTCCGCGCCGCCGACCATCGAGGAGGAGGAGGAGGAGGAGCCGGAAACGCCCTTGTTGTGGGGCGACGGCGGGAATGCGACGAATGCGACTGCTACCAGTGACCACTCCCTCGCTTCGACGATGACGATTTCGTATCGACGGCGATCGGCACCGATTACCCCCGGATTGACACCCTCCATGATGCTGTCGATGACCGGATCCGGCCTCCCAACGGCGATTCAATTCCCGCGAACGGCATCGGGCTTGCGGAGATCGAACGCCGAGCAAGCGTTGCTGCCTCCGTTTTCGCCCGTAACCGCATCGATGCCATCATCCCCCCGGTCCTCGAGCAGCTTCGCAGCGATGGCGGGATTGATACGGCGGAAAACGACGACGGGAGTGGACGGCGTGACGGAAAGCACGGCTGCGGAACTGGACATCGAAGGGATGCTGACGGAGTTCCTGGAGCTGGCGGCGAGGAACGGAGAGCAAGATATGATGTTTCGCTGGGTGTGGACATACATGCTGAGTGGAGGGATCGTGTGGATGTTTGTTGGATGGTTTTTAGGGTGGGGATGCAGCGGATGCGGGGAAACCCTGGCATGTCAACAGCGGTAACAGCTGGGTTTCGATCTCTTCATTTTTCTTCTCTTTTTCCCTTTCTTCTTCACATTCTACGGATGGAATGTTTGGCTTGATTTGATACCCCTTCATTCTGGTATAGACGGTTCCTTTGCCGGTCTTTTTTTCTTTGCACTTTTTTTTTCTTCCATCTTTTCTTTCGGTTTCATTTGGGATTTGGTGTTGATGCTTTGATTTTTTTATTACTGTTTTCTTCGTTCTACATACGCGTTTTTTTCCTTAAAAAGCGAGGGTCTCTTTCTTCCTTTTGTCTACATACTCGACATTCCTATCCGAGTTTGATCATTGACGGTCACTCATCTCACGCTCTCTGTCGGTCTCGATTTTTCTGTTTACTGTGTGTCTGTGTGTGGCTCTGATTCTTTGCACATATTTTTTGTGGGGGCCATGTTGGTTTGGGATTACTTGGGATGGAATGGATGGAACGGATGGAATAGTTGGAGAGGTAGGAAGGGATAGTGATGGATGGAGGGGATGGAGAGGATGGGAAGGATGAGGGTCTATATGATTGGTACACTGGAACTGGAACTGGAACTACAACTGGAACTGGAGATAGAGTTTTGATTTCTACCATGTCATGTTCAGTCCATGCCCATGCCCATGCTTGTGCTTTGGAATCTCGCTGTACAGAATCGCCATGTGCTCGTTATCCGTGCCTTCTACCTTGACGGTTATCTTGCCCTGTATTCAACGGCACATCCATCCAGCATACAGTCCAATGCAGTCCCATTTGTGCTCATCAAATCCACCATCCACTCCCACCCGCTCACCGATGTCCCCACCCCTCGCCCATAAACCCGCCCCTCCCAAGCCCTCCCACAACTCCCGCAATCCCCCCTCCCCCCCCACCTTGTCCCCCTCCCCCACCCATCCCCCCACCCCCCCCTCCCGCACCCTTCTTCCCCCCCTTCTCCGCACCCCTAACCGCATCCACAACCTTTTTCAGATCCGTCTCGACCACGCATCCTCCCACGACCATTTCCTCGAGGGTCGCATGCAGCGTTTCAAAATTGAATATCAGATCGAGCTCGCACACGTTCTCGAACAGCTGGTCGAGGGCCTGGACGAAAACCTGGATCAGGTCCAGCAGGCCCAGCGGGGATTCCAAAGAGTCGCTGATGATTATGAAGTAGAGGGTTGCGTAGTGCCGGTATAACAAAGTGATTTGTTCGCTGGCGGAGGGGGAGTTCCAGTCGTTGCTGCTGGAGGACTGGGAGTGGGGGGAGGACCCCTGGGAGGGAGAGGAGAGGAGCGGCGGGAGGGGAAGGAAGTTGCAAGAGTTCGAGGGGCGAGTGCTGATTAGTGTGAATATTTGCGTGAGGAGGCGCTGTTGGAGCGATTGGTCCTGTGGTGGGTTAGTGAGACCATCCATGGTGGGGGGTGGGGAAGGAGGGCGGGGGAGGCACGATTTGGGAGTAGAACTTGGCTAGCCGTGGCTGCCCGTTGTTGTTGAAGACGAGGACGGCGTTGATCATGGTTGTGGTTGTGGTTGTGAGGGTGCGGGTCGTGGTTGTGAGGGTGGGCGGTGGAGGGCGCGGTGGGCGGTGGAGAGCTGCGACTGAGCTCGCGAGCGCGATGACGGTGGTGGGGTGGGCGCGGTGGAGCTGGTAAGCAAGGTAGGCAAGGTATGTAGGTGGGTAAGGTAGGTGGATAAGGTACCTGGGTAAGTCTTACCTAAGGTACTGTAGCCCAGTACTCTGGGTACTCCCGCTTTCGCCTCGCCAACGGCTGATGCCTCGCTCATTCACATACAATGTATATACCTATGTACAATCGTCTCTTGATGTCTCAACTCTCAACTCTCAACTCTCGCCGAGTGACTGTGTAATACCGTGTACAGTAGGGCCATGAAACCAAAAAAGCAAGGCGTTCCCCGAGTGATGTATAGTACCTACCTACTCCTATGTATATAGAGTAGAAACGTCCTGCCAGCTGACGGCGGCGGGATGCAGTCGCACAGTCACGCAGACGCAGACGGAGGGGGGTAAGGCCGATGCGCTTCGCTCGGCGGTGGGCGTCACTGGCCGTCCTCTTGCTCGCTCCGTGCCCGCTTCGTGATCGATCAGTCCCGGTTTCGACGAGCAGAGGGTCGTCGAGTCGTACCTAGGTACCAAAGCACCGGGAGTGGAAGTCTAGGTTTATGTATGGTAGCCAGCGAGAGTTGGCTCGAAGTCGAATCGTCGAATCGAAGACTGGGCACCTCCCTGGTATGTGGCTCGAATAGGTAGCTCAGCTCATGTTCGCCCAAGACGATGGTCCAACTATCTTCATCATCGAATCAAAGGACTGGATGGGCAGCTCGACTAGGTAGCTCATGTTTGCTCACGAAGATGTGTGTACCTACTATACTTCAACCCATCCCCATCATCTTCGCTGGCCAGATGTATTGTACTCAACCACTATACTACCTACTATATCTACCTCCAACCCATCCTCATCACCTTCGCTGGCCGACCCTCTTCCAGTGCCTCTTCCACTTCCGAGCATCATCGCCATCGATCGGGATTCGGGACTCTTCTCCCCATTTCACTACCATGCATGGCTGCTGGCGACAGCAACCCCAACCCCGCTCTCCGCGATTGGCCGACCCCCACTGTAGTACTATATTCCGGCGGTCATGTCCATCACCTTTCTCCAGGTCGTAAAAGTTTGTATCGTTACGAACACAGCCCCCTCATTCCTCATTCCTCATGGACTAGTGAACACTGAATACCGAACAAGAGATAGTCATGGACACGGTAGGTAGATAAGTCAACCAAGTAAAGTAAGTAAGTATTTACATACATATACAACGAAAGGAAGAAAGCAGCTACCTATCCTATCCAGCGAGCGAGGGAGGGTGAATGATGATGAGCACAACCAGATACCTGGTATCGAGTATCCAGCCTACCATACATACCCCACTCCTTGCGTGGGAAAGAGCAGGGTATGAATATAGGTAGGACGAGACAGATTGGCCGCGGAAAAAGAGATCAAGAGATCAAGAGGAAGGAAGTAAAGCCCATGCATTCCCAACACCCCAACGCGCACGCAGTATCGGCCCAGCACAGAAAGAAAGCAAGAAGAAGAGACTCAGAGAGAAACGAATAGGAAAGAAGCGATAAAAGAAGGATAAGAAAAAAAAGGTGAAAAGCAAACAGTTACGTTGAACGCCGTTGAAAAAACATCCTCATTGCCTCTGCCTGGCCCCTCATCCCCCATCCCACCGCCCCACGGCTAAACTTTTGCTGCTTTACCAACGGGACAAGAAACAAGAAACACTTTACAACTTCTCGCCCATTGTCGGGGCGCGCTTCGACTTGCTCTGGTAATCGCGGATGGCGCTCTTGATAGCGTCCTCAGCGAGCATTGAGCAGTGGAGCTTTACGGGGGGCAGGCACAGTTCCTTGGCGATCTCTGTGTTCTTGATCTTTCCGGCCTCGTCGAGGGACATGCCGCGAACCAGCTCCGTCAGGTACGACGAGCTGGCGATGGCCGAGCCGCAGCCGAACGTCTTGAATTTCACGTCCGAGATCGTGTTGGTCGTCTTGTCGACACGGATCTGTAGCTTCATCACGTCGCCACCTGGAAAGAAATGTGTTAGCAGGTGCAGCAGCGGGGAGGAGCAATGGATGTGCGGAATATTATACTCACAGGCGGGAGCGCCGACGAGTCCGGTGCCGACGTCAAGGTCGCCCTTGTTCATCGAGCCGACGTTGCGAGGGTTCGAGTAGTGGTCGAGCAGTTCTGCGCCGTCAGCACCAGAGAAATTGCATGAAGGATTACGCAGGAATGGAAGACATATCTTTCTCGTGGTAGCCACGACGGGCATTGATGACGGGGGTGGCGCGCGGGAGGACAGCGACACGACGGGCGGCCGGGGCGGCGGCGGTGATGATCCGACGGAACATTTCGTGTATTTGTAGTTTGGTGATTTGGAGTTTCGGTGGCTGTTTGTAGTTTTGGTGGTGGTGGCGGTGGTGGTGATGGTGGTGGTGGTTGATGATGTAGGATCTGATATGTCGACAACAAAGTTAGAAACGTAAGGCGGGGCGAGCGACGGATTGATATACACGGAGAACTGAAACTGGGGGTGTGGGGTGGGTGTGGCAAAACTACGATCGGGTAAGGAAAGTTAACTCACCAAGCAAGCAAAAGTTGGGTTCTATGACGGTGATCGATGATGGAGGTGTGGGGTGGAAGGGAAGAGCCAGAAAGATGGAGGCAAGATAATGCAGGACGCTAGTCGCCCTTCAATTATCTGATTTGAAAAACTGCATGGCCGAGAACATCCCTTCGCCAAGCGCGGTAGTTACCGGCTACTCGGGCCAGTATCTCCGCGCTCACTCGTCTCCTCGGATTTAAGGGTTTGGGTGGAATGGACATGGCCCCGTTACTCTGAGCCGGCCTGCCTCATGACTCATGGGCCGGCCGTCTTATCCTCGAGAGAAGACCGGCTATTTCCGGCACAGCGATACTCCGCAGTCCGGACTGATTATGGTCACCTGTCCGGGAGCAGATAACCTTGTGACTGAACACCATCGGTTGTCGTGAACTTACATATAAACGGGCGGAATGAATACACCCAAGCATCGCCTCTTTACTCCAAGCTGCTACCAAACGAAAGCGGTCGTAAACAGACCACCAGTTAACGACTCATCAGTCGTCAGAATATGTAGCATAAGTACTCGGTAGAAGCAAAGTGGTGGTTATCATAAAGTACATGACCCCCAACGTCAACCCGTCACTGATCAGAGCCAACCCAAATACCGAATAACCAACTAAACAACCCAACTGCCTCGATTACTATAATAAACAAAAGAAAAACTTAATCAAAGCTGAATAGAAAAAGGCTCTCCAAAACTCCATACTCCCAGCCCCAATCACAGCTGAACAAATCTACATGGAATTCTCATCATCGTCCTCACTTCCCCAGCCGGCAGCTTCGGCAGCCTCAGCGAGCCGTTGAACCTCGGCGAGTCCGCTCACTTCATCTACGTAGCCACGCTCGCACAACGCACGCTTGACGAAATCCCATCCGCCCTCTTCGTAAGCGTTGACGATCTTGTCCGAGCATGCGGAGCAGCAATCGTAGGCAAAGCCTCGGACATTGATGTTGCCGAAGCTATGGAGTATTCCGCGCAGGGTGTGGGGTACGTGCCCGAGAGGGTGAGAACCGCGGTCGGCATCGTGGGTGTTAGCTGGTGCGGGTGCGGCAGGTCTAAAATTTGTCAGCGAGCGATCGCGGTGCTCCAGCAAGGACTACGAACCCAAGAGGATGCTGCACAACCGACACAAGCAGTTCGGCCAAATAAGCACTCGCAAGAGGCGCAACACCTGGTCGAGTAACGGTGCATTGCTGGTCGAGTGTGGCTCCAGTTAAGCTCTGTCACCCAGTCAATCAGCATTTGCCAGGGTAAGATTATGGGGCCGGGGAAAACCGACATCTCCAGGAACCACAACATCGTTGCAGTAGTAACAACCAAGCTCGACGCCCTTCTCTACCTTCTCCCCATTCTGTTTTACGGCAGCCTCAAACTTGGCTGGCTTGACACCATGCCTCATCACCACATAGGTGTCGAACCCCAGTGCAGCATTCATAACGATCTTTCCCATGCTCTTCCCTATGACAGTCGGTAGCCATCTGCTCTCCCTAGTATCCATCAGTAGAAAGATGGCATCATGCGTCGTAAAGAGCTCCTTCAGCTTCTCGTAATCGCGCTTCACCACGGGCTCCTGTGCTTCGCTGAAAGGATGCGCAGCCATAGGCACAGTCATGTCGTAGCCAGTGGCGTTGACCCCTGGATAGATATCTTTCAATGCTTGGGCAGCGGCTGTAGCTTTCATTGTTTTGCCACCGATGCAGTCTTGGAAGGTAAACAGAGGTTGTCGAACCGGGTTGGAAAACGACACCGTTCCGGAGTCCACGAACGAGATCGTCTTTACTCCCCATCCCATCAGAACACGGGCGACGTAGGATCCCAGTGTACCCGCACCCAAGAGCAAACACTTGGTGTCCTTGATCTTCTTGAGGTCGAGGTTTGGCGCAACCCTCCACTTCATCAGCTTCAAGTTGAGATCGACGCTCATATCGGCTTGAATCTTTGGGTCCATCTGTGCGCTGAGATTTGCAATCCTAGGGCGGATCTGGTTGTCCTCATTCTTCTCCCACCCGACGACCTTAGGGATCTCGTCGCTTAGAGACAACTGTTCGATGTCATCACCGTCTAGTTTCAAATCCAAAATCAAGCTTCGTGGCTGAGATCGTCCCGCGTGGGAATCACGGAAGCAGAGAACCTTAACTTCCCTCCAGCCCCACCGCTTGCGTACAAGCACCAACAGGTTCCTCAGGGGCCACCCAGGGTTATCCTCATATTCACTCGGATCAACAAAGGCCGCAAAACGATCGAGCGGGTCCACATCTTCAAAGAAGCCCCGGTCAAACTCTCCCAACGCACCGATCACGAACTCTCCAGCCACACGCTTGACCAGGAAGAATCCCCGCTGTCGCGAGTCGCTGCGGTATCGCCACGTAGTGACCGCCTCGACAAGTATACCAGTCTGTTGCGCGTCGAAGCGCGAGATTGGACCGGACATGGACCATGTCGGCGACGAGACGAAGGCCGGGAATGCGAATAGGTGATGGAACTTGTACTTCTTGAGGTCCGCATACGACAAGACGAGGAACGAAGCGAGGAACGATGGACACTCATAGATTGTACCGTCGAGTATCGCCTCCCAGAGCTAACCCCATCATCATCAGCAACCCCGCGAGAGTGCAAAGGGTAGACGTATCCCATACCGTAGTCGCCGACTTCTTCAGCATCGCTGGGCGGTCGGCCTTCTTGAACTCCTCGATGGTATTGAAGTTCTTGATCATGCCCTCCGCTCTACACATGCCCGTCGGAACACTGCGCACAGCTGTTAGAAACCACATTCCTCGCCCCTCGGCCCCTTTCCCCCTCGCATCAGGTAGATAACGTACTCATCCACCTCAAGGGCATCTCCCTGGATCTGCATCCGTTGTTTCTCCCAAGGAGCATATTGTCCCAGCACCCGGCGTGGTGAGTCATCCAGCTTGTCGTGGTCTATCTTATGCGATGCAAGGGAGTAGTAGAATGGTAGGTCGATCGCCGACTCGAACGGCGCGAACTTCACGGACATGATGGCGGTCTGGTCTGTCTGTATGCCTGGTTAGCTGGCTGGTTGAAGTCATGGGGGTTTGTGGCTGCCTCTATTGCGCCGGACCCTGGGTCGTATATACCTGAGCTTCGAGTTGCACTTGGATCTGACAAGCGAACTACGTAGATCGAGTAGGTAGGTAGTAGTTTCGAACTCTGGCAAGAAGTATGTACGTAGGTGGGCCGAGATAGGAGAGCGATGGCTGGAGTTCACTGGTGAGAGCAAAAGAGAAGAACCCGTTGTAGCAAGATATCTAAGCAGAGGGAGGATCCACGAGAAGAGCTCGGAGCGGGGGTTTGGTTTGTAAGGTGGGGGATGAGGAGGGGATCGGATACAGGAGCTAAGGCACCGGTGGACAACCTGCAGCCCATGTAACGTAGATAAACTCCCGGTGGTGCGCCCACATCACATCCAAACTCCAGGCACCTTCCTTGTAACCAGGCCAGTCATACTGGGTCACTGCAGATGACCTTCGAAACATCACCACCACGTCTCTGACAGTTTGAATCAGGCAAAGTTGAAGATATTCCGTCTAGATTTGCTACTTCCGATCAGATCGACTCTCTCTGCCCCAACATATACCAAATATGCGAAACCTAAAAAGAAAGAAAGAAAGAAAGAAAGAACAAGAACAAAGAAGCCTCATCAAGCTGCGATAATATCGTCCGCTCGCTAACACTATTCTGCAACACAATATGGGGGAATCAATAAATACATTTATAAGCAAGAGATGCATGAACTAAAAAAGATAAACACTGTAAAAAGTCATGAAAACGGCGTATTTAAAAATGCAAACTATCTGTGGACGTTCACCAAACCCATCTTTACACTGCAGCCATGTGCCATCCCCCTCGGCTGGGTGATCCGTTTCTCCCCCGCGCGCCTCTATCCAACCATGAAAAAGAAAGAACAAGGAAAGCTGTAGTATTGTGCCCGGTCATTTCGAGTAGCAGGAACCCGTCATATGCCACCGACCAGACCCGTGAGCAGGTCTCTGGTGATTTCATAACTCAGGAAGCTACTGCCAATGCTCGGCGCCACTTTTAAGAGGTTGGGGAGCAAGCCCTTGTAGAGACCCCGGATTCCCTCGGCCTTGAGGATGATTGTAATGGCATCCCCCAGACCCTTGTACTTGTATCCGATGCCGTTCATTGTGTTGACCTGGAACCGTCGTCGCAAAACACTATCCAGAGTCAGTCGGCTGGCACCACCGGCAGTCACAGGGTACCCACTCAAAAGGGTATGTGATACTCTGTGCAACGGCTCCGCTGACTCCTCCAGCAACCAATTTTCCAATGGCCGACGGGTTTTCGGCGCCTTCCGGCGTCATGAATTTCCTCATGGCTTCGTAGGTAGCAAAGTTGATTCCGACGTACGGTGCCACGCCAGCAAGTGTCGGGCCGAGTCCACGGTAGAGCGCGACCATGCCACCTTCGGTCCTATACATGGTCCCCATGGTGGCGAACATTCCCGGAAGCTTCACATGTCGCTTGCCCAATGTTTCGAACGACGCCGACTGAATGGACAGACGGGTCCGGACGATATCTAGTGGATAAGTTGCAACTGTGTGTATGCCATTAGCAGCCACTCCTCAAGCTCTCTCTCCCGAAACGAAGATAGACGTGCCAACGGATGTTACTCCTGCCATAGCTCCCGCACACAACCTTCGAAGAGTGCCCATATCGCTACTTTCTCCGGCAAGCATCTGGACGGCGGAGTCAGCGTGGGTATGTCGGGGGATGCGGGATTGTGGGCTTTCGTTTGACCTTCTTGTAGATGGTGTAGCTTGAGAATTGCACGGCCGAGTATGGGACAATTCGGATGCAATTCGTGCCATTACCCCTAGACGTAGAATCATCACACATTAGCTTCTAGTTGCTCACACGTAACCCCTCGTCCCAGCAAATAAGACCTGTTCTCAAAACTCCTCCTCTCGCCGATCCGAGGGCAACCGCGTAAAATCAAGGCTAGAGGGCACACCTCATAAGACCCCTCCATCCCTCCTCCATCCAGATCTTTCGCAATGCTGGGCCGACTCCCTGGTAAGAAGAATTGCCGGGTCCTTGCACTTGGAAGATGATCTTTAATCGCTCTAATGGACTCACCACCGTACGACTCACGGCTCCGGCGACACCTCCGGCAATGAAAGAGGCCGTCAGTGGTTGCTTGAGGTAGTGCTTAACCACGTTCATGGAACTTGGGGTCGTCGGCGGCGGCGGATAGATGGCGGCGGAGGAGCCCATTGGGGCGGGGAGCTGAGCTTTCACGGCGGCGGAGGACTAACACCGCGACGAACCCAGGAAGGTCAGTCAGCAACCACGAATTGCCGACCCCAATTCCAGCAACGCAAGAAGTTTTGCAAGTACCTGGTTCGACGGAGCATTATCCGCCAAGGTAGAGGTGGTTGCCGACTCCCCGCTCTTCGTGGGGGATTTCCCGTCGAGGCTCATGACGATTGGGTTGCGTTTGGTTTCTGGGGGGGAGGGGAGGTGCAAAGGGGTTGGAATTAGGGCTGTCGGATATCCGAGGTGTTAAAATCCTCAAGTAGACCGGCGGCGGAAGAGCGGCGATGCTGCGACTGGGGAGATGGGTGCTGTTGTTGCGGAAGAGAACTGCGTTGGAGAACACCGAGGTCGAACGAAAAAGAGCGGCTCTTCAGGTTCCATCCAACGCGACTTTCAGTGGGGTCCGACAGATCGAGCGATTCGCGGGGGAGTCTAGATGAAGCGGGTGGTTATCTGCGGGGATGGATTCTGATAGGAAGTAGGGTGATGGGGATGAGGATTTTTTATATTGCAAATTGCTGTTGTCGTCAATTCAAGCAATCGCCGAAAGTTCTTATCCAAACGAAAGTCTAGGGACTAACAATCAAGAACAGAGTTCTTCCGGGGGCGCGGCTGAGCCTGTGAGGAGGAGCTGTTCAAGCAAGGAACCGTGAATCCTACTGTAACCGTGGCTGAATAGCGGACCGTGGCTGGTTAACTAAGCGAGTGGCTACCGGATCATGCATCGAAGCTGACGGACCGGAGTTTCACCACCGTATGTACGAGAGCAGAACCGTGTCGCCTCCACACGGCGTCCGGTAGGTAGATTGGCTTCCCACCAGTTCGGGCTATCTCCAATGAATCTCGCATAGGTGAGTGGGAGGCGGAGACGGCGGGGGTGCAATGGATGGTAGCAAGGTGGACAAGCTGTAGGGCGCACGGGGAAAGAAATCACCACTTCAACAGGCTTAATTATAATGTCCTTCACTGGTTGCGCGGCGATGCCCCCCGTTGAGCCCCCGTTCACACCAAATTCTATACTATTATGTACATACTTCTAGTCATACAATCAATATAACCAATCCTGTAACGCCTAAAAATCAACCATTGCCTCCACAGCACCGTATACATACCGTGATACTCCTCGAACTCCCCATCCATACCACCATATACCTATACCGTGATGCTCCTTGAACTCCCCATCCACTCGAGACCCGACCATATAAGCAGCCATCTATATACTCCGTACACCATTACGCCCTCAAAAAGCAACCATAAACACCATACACCTTACTCACTCGCTCACAGCACCCAAAATAAACCCAAAGACCCAAAACTCCAGAAATAAGAACCAAAAGGCCCCAAAAGACCAAAATAAACGCAAAAAAAAAGAAAAAAAACGAAAATCCAGAAACCATATGCCATTGAATCAGCGCAAACACTTCCTCCACCACCACCGCAACCGTACAGACATGCCCTGGTAAGATGTAGAAAATCACTAAGCTAACACGAATGACCAGAAACAAGAAAGTGGAAATCAGAAGCACCCAGAACTCTCCATAAGACCAGGCGTTTGCGTCGTTAGACATGCAAGAGGATTCCGAAAAAGTCGTCGTCGTAAAAAAAAAGCCCTAGTTGAGGCTATCGGCGTGCGTCGTAAGAAAGTCGTAGGTCGTAAAAAGACGCCGAGAAAAGTCGAAAAGAAAATCGACCGTGGAAGAAAAAAAACCGAAATGCGGAACGGAAGGAGTATTAGGGCAGTAAGGTGTCGAAGGTATTAAAAGGTTGTAAATGGCCGTCACTGAAACTCGGAAGTTGTCGGAGATGGTAATCGTGCCGCAGACCATCATGTTGAGTTGACGAAGCTTCGTAGGTTGGCCAAGAAAAAGAAAAAAAGGCAAAGTGGAAATGGTGTCGAAAGAAAAGCGCAAAGTTGAAACGTCGAAAGCCGTAGTCAGTCGATCGTTATGTCGGTTTCGGTGGTCATTCTGTATAGATTAGTAGATGATCATGAGTAACAAGACACGAGGGGAAGACTAACCTCGAAAGTCTAGAATATCAAATCAGAATCATCCAACGGGAATTGAGAGGTGTTGTCTAACACATTAGCCTCGCACCTAGTGCAGGTCGAGACTCCACAAGGTCGTAGAAAAATGTTGTGGTTGTGCGATTTATGGATCGCAGCTTCGTCGTCGAAATCTCCATGGTGAAGATATTGTTTGAGTGTCCCATCGCAGTTAAGACGAGTCTCAATCCACTGAGGGTTCGCACAGTGGCACTTATTCTTGCAGAGACAAGATTCGTTGCACTCTACCATCTCACCTCCCACGAGCTTGCCTCCGTTAGCAAAGTCAAAACGGTCGATATCGAAGTTGTCCGCATCCCATGTCGAGGCGGTAAAGCGCAACTTGAATGTAGTGGAAGCGTCCTGGAGACGTAACGCAGGCAAAAACGACGCATTCTCCTTTCCCGGAGCACGGGTGACATGCCGAATGTTGATCATTAGATCTCCATTCTCGACCTGGTTGTTGTCTCTCCGAACAACTTCGTAGTTGGTAGGGACCATCGAGTTTCCTTGATCGAACTTTCTCTGGAGAGGGAACAAAGCAATCTGTTCCTTCTTAGGAAGTTCTAGATATCCAGCTCCCGGCTTCATGTAAATTCTCGTGGTACCCATCTCGACAGCTTCGATGAGAGTTAACTTCACTCCATGTCTGTAGATGTGCTTCGGACCAGAAGGCCTCTTTGAGATGACCTTCGGGGAATTGGCTAGCAGGCGCCGATTCCTCTTAAGTCCAAAGACCCGGCTAGTCAAAGGAGTAGGCATTGTAGGCATGTTGTCGACTTGTTGATAGTAATGAGAAATTTGGAGGAGGGGAGAGTTGGTTGGGACTTGTCGAAGATGATCGGTAAAGGGAAAGTTGTTGGGAGGGCGACGGTCGGTAAAGGGAAAGCTGCTGGATCGGAGCTGAGAGAGTGACTTTCGAAGACGGTCGGTAAAGGGAAAGTTGTTGGAAGGGCGACTGTCGGTCAAGGAAAACCTGCTGGATTGGAGCTGGTTGTTGTCCGTATTAGGTATTACTAGAGAGGATGTCTATGTAGTGGGTGAAGGAATGTCTTGAGTTTGTCGGTGGAGGGGTCGATCTGTCGAGGAATTAGGGAAATGTTGCAGGCTAAAGTTGAGGGAGGTTGTAGGAATATCGAGAGATGGGTTTTGTAGGAAGTCCGGGAGGTGATGAACGTTGACGCTAGTGTGGATTCTCTCGAAAACATCGAGAGTGATGAGTTGTGAAAGGGTATAAATCCCAATACCCTACTTTGGGGCTTAACGTGGGGTGCGGCGTGGCGTGTGGCGGTGTTTTGGAGCCGCATCGCACATACCTATTAGTATTCGCCCAATATTTGTCTCGTACCAGCCGCGCCGTGCCTTGGATGTTCGCGGTTCTGCACAGCGAGTGACGATGAGTAAAGCGAGGGTCTGGTGTGAGACAAGCCCACGATCACACTCCGACATCATGGAAGTATAATATCCTATCAAGTGCAGTAAATAGGCTGAAAGATGCTCGTATATATCATCTAACTGCCACGGCCTAATCGACAAGACAGATGATCTTCCCCTGCGTTTGGTTGCTCTCCATCAACTTGTGCGCATCCCTAATCTTGTAGCTGTCAGCGACCTCGCCGGGAATCGAGAAGTTGTGACGGGATGTACTTACATCCTTCCAGCTGAAGACTTTCTCGATAAAAACTTTGAAACCGCCATCGGTGAGCCCAGGCAACGCTTCCTCCACGACTTTGTCTCTCAATACCCGCTGGTACTCCACCTCCCTACTTCTGAGCGTGGTGCCCTCGATCCGCAACCTCTTGAACAGGATGGGTGCGATGTTGATCTCTTTGGCGATAGCACCAGACATCATGGCGAGAATCACAATCCGGCCATCCCTAGAAGCGCAATTGATGTCCTTCTGGAGATGGGTTTGCCCAACTGGATCGATGATCAGATCCACACCCTTCCCGTCCGTGGCCTTCATGATCTCCTCAGCAAAATCCTGAGTCTTATAGTTGAACCCAGCCGTTGCCCCAAGGTTTTCAGTGCAGAAGTTTATCTTCTCCTGGCTGGAGGTTGTAGTGTAGACCGCAGCCGCGCCGTGGGCTCGTGCAAGCTGCATGGCAGCAATGCCAACACCAGACGCACCAGCGTGGATGAGAACCTGCTTCTTCAGCTTCGCCCCGACTATGGCCAGGCTGACGTGCTCACCCTATCGCCCTCCTTGAAACCACCAACAGTCCAAAGGGCTTGGGTGGCGGTGATCCATGTTTCGGGAATACCAGCAGCTGTCTCCCACGAGAGGATATCCGGCTTGTGGATGCACATCTTCGCGGAGACATTGATAAACTCGGCATAGGCCTGATACAGTCCTCAGCGCTTGAAAAGTACGGGCCGGGAGAGAAGGACACAAACACCGCCATATGCGAGACCGAAGACTGCATCGCCCTCCTTGAAGTCGGTGACCCCGTCTCCAAGCGACTCGACAGTTCCCGAGAACTCGACACCGAGTGTCTTGGGTGCCTGGGGAGGAAGCATGTACCTCCCCTCCCTTTGCATGAGATCTGCGAATCGCGTCGGTGAATGTTTTAAAATTCCGCGGGTCGTGTGGTGAGTTACCCATGCGGTTCAATCCAAAAGCCTTCCCCCTAAATCAGCACATGAATCTTGGAAGCAGAACAGCTCATCCTACCCTGACTCTAACCAGCAGCTCGCCCTCCCGAGCAATTGGCGTCGGAACGTCGTCGTTTATGAAGAGGGCATCGGCATCGCCGACGTCGTTTTTGATATCTGGGGTTCACGTCACTTTCTGGAAATCCCAAAGAAATAGAACTCAAAGAAATACATACCTACAGCGCGCATCTTCAGTTTTGAAGTTTCGATGCGTATCCGAGCGAACAGTGCAGAGGATGAGGCCGGGAGTATTGAGTTGATGGGGATGAGGGGTATGATGCCATCTGCTTACAGAGTGGTGTGGGATCCCTGCGGACCGAGGTCACCGCCTACGGCAGCTGTTGACATGCTCTGGAGCCCTACGGCCTCCTCCGGCGTAACGCCGAATCCATGGCACGTCTCTCGCGGGGTATCTGGACCGTGTTCGCGACGAGGATTTCGCGATTGGCCTAGTTGGTATTTAAGCGAATGATCAGGCGTGTGAGCAGTAAACTTCTTGAATTGAACACTGAATAGTGGGGGAAGCGTAGGGGGGAAATGGCAGTGTAAAGTACGGTGGATACAGAGAGGGTTAGGAAAGGACGTAGAGTATTGGCAGTACGCGGATATGTAGGTTAACTACACGCGTTCAGTACTGTGGTCGGCACTGAGACGGTCCGAAAGCTTGAATCCTGCGTACTTCCCGTGTAGTCTTGGAGCTGAAACTCTCGGCTATCTCGACGAATACCGGTAGCTAGAAAGAACACACCAGGTTGGGAGCTGTTCGGGTATGTAGCGTGGGTCTGAACACTGATCGAGGGTTTCCTGTGCAGACGTTGGGCTGAGGTATGTATGTACCTACAGCGGGACAAAAACCGACTATGCATCTACTTTCTCATCATGCCTAGGTAGTTTGCACTTCATATTCGTAATTCCTCTCCCGCTGAAGACCCATGCTTTCACAACAACCGGCTACTTTTCTCCTGTATCTTTGATCGCTGCGAATGGTATTGTGTGAACGGGCACTTGTCGTGTTTGGCCTGGCCTGGCCTGCTTACCTACCTACACGGTTCAGGCTAGGAAATCTCATTGACCGCGAAGGTAGACACTCAGCCGCTGGCTAGCTCGAGCAAATAGTGACGATGATCCCTATCGGAGAGGACGAATTGCTACAAATATATAAACATGCAGTGTCAAAAGGAAGGTTCATTTGGTCAGTATTCGTGTCGTTCTTGTTTAGGTTTCGACAGCAGCTGCTATAACACTACCCTCCCACTCGGACATCGACCATAAAATACATTCAAATTTCACGCACTCTCTCTTCTATTATAGACTTATGCTGAGAGGACACAGTTCTGTTGTTGATACCACCCGTCGGAATCTAGGTATTGTGTACATGACATTCTTGAATCTTGATGCTGCTTAAGCCTTGAGTTCGACCTGTATGTACAAGACTACAAGTGCTCGATCTAAGAAAACCCTTCTTCTTTCAAGCGATTGAAATCCTTTGCAGCTACCCCGGCGGTCTGGCCTAGGTATGTACACTTCTATGAGTACTTCTACCTGGATACGGACGATTCGTGGTAATTCTGATTCACACGGTCTCACTCGTTTTATCGGTTCAGATGTATCGTGATATCGAAAAATAATGGTTTTCGCAAGCAATTAACGATTAAACCAAAAAAGCACTGCGATGAAACAAACCAGAGATGCTTTATATAGAGCTGATTTATTAACTCACCGTCTTCGTCATGACAATACGACTCACTGATCATGTTCTAGAGTATGGCCAATTCGACATTGACGTGGGTCGAGATCAGTGGCGCCAAGCACCTGCGGCTTTTCAAGGAATAGCTTCCATCCTGACGACAGCTATCATCTTCGCGTCTCCCAGCCCACCAGCTCAACCACGAAAAAAAAGATGACCGACATAACGCCCCTCTTCTCCACGCTTCTGACACAAAAACATGCACCGGCAATACCACCAAAGCGCTCACCGCCCCCACCGGCCGACGAATTCCTCAAAGAAGCCTACCGAATAGTTAGCCCGCCCAGGCACTGCGACGGACGAGAGGGAAACAGCTAACATGGGGCGAGCTTCATAGGCAACACATATCTCCTCGCTCCTATCGCACCTACAAACAACCCGGCAATCGTACCTCTCTACCGCGCGTTCGCCGAGCAGTAATCACTTGACCGACGCCCATCGCGATGGGCTCGACGCAGAGACCAAGACGATAATCCGGTCGACGCTGGCACTCATCGGTCGACTGGAGTCTGCGGAAAAGGTCCGGGTGCAAACCGAGACACGATTGTTCCGGCAGCGACACTCGACGCTGAAAAGCCTGTTCGAGGACGAGAGCAAGAAGGAGAGGGAGGAGGCTGGGATGCGTGTAGTTACCGCGCATAGAGAGGGCGTGATATGGTTCTTGAAGAATCGGCTCGAGAAGGCGAGTGAGGAGCAAAGGGAACGGCAAGAGATTAGGCTGCAGAGGCAGATTGAGCGCGGGAAAAGTCTGCTGCACAAGGCACCTGTGTCCGCCGGCGGAGTGCCGCCGGCCAGTAGGAGTGTAGTCATGCAGGAGGAAGAGGAGGAGACTAGGAGGGCTGTCGAGGAATTGAGTCCCGATCAACTTCGGATCTTCGAGAAGGAGAACGAGGGGATGTTGAAACACTATGAAGACACCCTTGAGCAAGTCCGGTGAGTCCCCAGCGGTCAACTCTTTCTCCCCTTCTCAAGCACAGCGAAACTGATCTTCACTCCTACAGCACCGCCGAGAACTCCCTCCTCGAGATATCCTCCCTGCAAACACAACTTGCCACAAATCTCGCGACGCAGAACAGCCACATCGATAATCTCCTGATGGATTCCATGCAGACTGCCGAGGACGTAAATCGAGGAAATAAGGAACTCAAGAAAGCCGCCGAAAAAACCTCGATGGCCCGGTCGGCTTTCTTCGGCACTGTGGTGTTTTGTGGAGTCGTTTTTGTATGGGATTGGTTTATTTGAGAGCTACTCATAACAGAGGCGGAAGACGACAATTGATGTTGAGTGAATATATGGTAATCTAGTGAGAGAGGGTCGCGAATGCCTATAGTACGGTTTTCCCATGTGAAGTGCTTGTTATACACGAACAATTACGCCTCCAATCTAAAAGCCTTTGACCCGTTTCCCTAACCTGGCCATCACTCCACTCGCCAATCCCATTTCCTTCTCGATCTTTTCAGCCGACCACTTTTGGTCATCCCTCATTTTCAAGACCTCGCGAAGTGTCGGAGCATCGATCCATGAGCGCTTCATCCTCGTTGCCGGGTTATTAGCCTCCTCCAACTGCTCGTCTTCAAGCGCCTGCCGACGGGTGAGTGTTCGTAATTGTGGATTCTCCTGTCATTCTGATCAGCAATTACCGCCGGATCACTATGGAGCGTTGTGAACCCGTACCACGCCAGCGAGATCATAGTTCCTGGCAGCATCAGGAATCTGGGCTACGCCCACGCTCCTCAACATGCTGGCAAAGTCCGGATCTGCGGCATCTTGTTTTATGGCTGCAATGGTCAGCTGGTGCTTCTTCGATTGCGCGACGCGATGGATGATACCTTCGGTCTTCGAGAACTCGGCCTGGGCCTCGGAGCGTGCGGTTGTCTCCGGTGATATCGATTCGGAGCCCGAGGGGCCGGAGGCATTGGTGGTTTGAGATGAGGGGAATTGCGTCGGTGTCCGTGTGGGGTACTTCCGGACGACGGTTGAGCCAGCGGCGCCAGCAATCTTGGACGACTTTCCCCCCATATCGTGGCTGTTACTCTTAGATCTGGGGGAGTGCGGAGGGTATCGATCTATCTGGGATGATACTCGAGGCGTGGAGAGCTGTCGTTGAAATTGAAAGGTCAGGGATCCTACGTCATGATTTGCCGGTTAGACCTGTGTTACCCTCTAAAACATCGCACTACAATGCCGTTTGATGTCACTCGCGTAGACACATCTGGAGATGCGATCGAGACTCTTCTGTCGTTGTGTCAAGCAATCTTGGACATCTTAAAGCCGCGGATCTCTGCGGCTTCTTGTACCGCAGTTCAGGTGAAGATCGTCAGCGTGGCTCTTTGTCGGAAGGTATTAGTACCTCACGGACAAATCGTCCGTCAACAACGACGTCATGGTTGTATCACCGCCGCGGACCGCTCGCGATGCCCACAAACACGAGTTGATGATGATATACTTTTTGCCAATTGGCCCAGTCGCTGCGCCGTATTTTAGACCCGCTCTTCGTTCTGTGAGACTGTAATTCCCTCTACTACAAATCATGTTCTCCCCCACCACCGCCTCCACCACCCTTCGCAGGCTCTCACAGTTCTCAAGAACCATTCGACCCAGACCGATAATTTCACAGTTCTCCAAACCCACTCTACCGATCGTATACACAGATATCCACCGTCGAGGACTCGCACAGATGGCTTCTTCCACAATCTCGCCGGCAATGGAACACTCCACTGCCGAAGACTTCGGCATGAACCGCACCTCGGGCTACAAGCAGCCAGTGTGGATCTCGACGGAACCGTACTCCAACCGTCCCGATTTCCCCAAGCTGAGCCGAGATGTCCAAGTAGATGTTGTGATCGTTGGCGGCGGCATCGCGGGTATCTCGGTTGCCTACGAGTGTGTGCAGAAGGGATTGAGCGTTGCGTTGATTGAGGCCAGAGAGGCATTGTCGGGTGAGACGGGAAGGACTAGTGGACATCTTGCGAGTTCGCTGGACGATCACTACTACGAGTTGATCAATAGTATGGTACCCATCTTCTATCAGATGTTTTGCAATTGGACCCGCACTTATGTTTTTTTGTAGCCTTCGGCGAGCAGGGCGCGAAGTATGCGTACGAGAGCCACCAATGGGCTCTGGAACGAGTCGGTACCATCTCCATGAATGAAGGGATCGATTGCGAATACCGTAACCTACCGGGCATCATGATGGTCGAAGTTCCAGACACCGATCCCACGTACAACAAGAAGAACAATCTTCCAGACGAAGTCGATGCGTTGAAGAGGCTGGGAATCCCACACAAGTTCTATCCTAACGGAAGTATCGGAAAGGCCTATACTGGTGCGGTGTTGGAGTACGAGCAACAGGGTGTTTTCCATCCAACGAAGTACTTTTGCAAACGTTTCGAGTTTTGGAATCGCCGTGCTAACGTTGCGGGCTTGTTCAGATACCTCAATGGGCTCCTCAAGGTCCTCAAGGAGAAGCATGCCGACAAGTTCCAGGCCTACACCCACACGCGTTATGTATCTCACAAGGACCATGGTAGCAGTGCCGGTGTGACCGTCAGCACTGAAGGTGGCCAGACACTCCAGGGAAAGCACATGGTGATGACCACGAATGTCCCTCTTCGTAAGTAACACCTTCATAGGTTGTCACTCATTCTAACATCCCATCAGAAAAAGTCGCTGTCGTGGTAAAGGAAGCCTACTACCGCACCTACTGCATCGCCATGCGTGCTCCCAAGGGGGCTTTCCCGGACCAGCTTCTCTATGACAACGGTGATCCATACATCTACGTTCGCAAAACGGCTCATCCGGATCCTAACTTCGAATACCTCGTTATTGGTGGAGAGGATCACAAGGTGGGACAGGAGACACAGGAGGGGTACGGAAAGCACTACCAGCGTCTCGAGGCCTGGACTCGGGAACACTACCCTTTCGTGGAAGAGACTGAGGTGATTATCTCCCATTTCCATAAAAGCGTGGCCTGTCCTGATGAAGTTTTCTAGTTCCGCTGGTCTGGTCAGATCGTCGAGCCGAACGATTACATGGCCTTTATTGGTAAAAACGCAGGAATGAGCGAGAACAACGTGTACATCTGCACTGGAGATTCTGGCAATGGTCTCACACACGGCGTAATCGCTGGCCGTCTGTTGACTGACCTGATGATTGGCGTCGAGAACCCTTGGGCGAGCTTGTACAGTCCCTCACGCAAGCCAAAGCCTCGCACAATTCCCGAGGATATCAGGGAGAACGTCGACCAGAACCTCCAATACATGCGGTTCCTAAAGACCGATGTTTCTGATATCGAGAGCATCCCACGCTGCTCTGGTGCTGTCATGCATGGCGGACTCAAAAAACTTGGAAAGCCTGTCGCAGTTTACAAAGACGTAAGTTATGCTTATCCCCGCAAACACGTAAACGGAAGAGGAACTAAACTGAAGGAATGATAGGGTGACGGTAAAGTTTCCACCTTTAGTGCTATCTGTCCACATATGAAGGGAGTTGTTGCCTGGAATGCGAGCGAGATGAGTTGGGACTGCCCAATCCATGGATCCCGCTTCGACGGCTTAACCGGAAAGTGTGTGATGGGCCCAGCTATCCGTGGATTGCACGCGGAGGACGAGGCTGGCGAGGAGGCTCAGAAGGGAACTTCCGGTTAGGTTTCACGATCAAGGCCGAGTTAAGCTTCGGTAGTCGTAATGTCTTCTGTTCGACATCTGGGTTTGCGTTCTCTAGGCGAAAGGGTTTGGGACTTCAATGAACTGCAAATCATCATCAAATGTCATTTTTTCCAAGTGCATGATAACTTCTTTGCAACGTGGCCCGAGTTATGATAGGTGGGAATGCTTTGAATATTGGGACAAAAGAAGGAAGGCTGGCGAAGCTTCATGAACGTGCATCCGTGGCCGGTCATATATTGCCTCTCCGGGCAATTCTGATGCTAAATTCGGAAGAAATACCTGTTCCGATCGTGGATGTCTCGGCAGAACCCTCCCCGTCAATTTAAAGCTTGGCGCCGTTCATTCCAGAGCATTTCTTCTCATCGCCCCAAATCACTCCAACCATCTCATTCCAACCCCCAAATCCTTTCACCTGACAAACTTCTTTCTTCAACCACAACCTCAGCTCTAACACACCAACGCCTCCCCTTCCTTAATACCACCACTACATCGCGACAACAATCATCAGCAACACCAGCATGTCTTCCCGCGGAGGCACCACTCTCTACGTCACGGGCTTTTCTCACGGAACCCGTGCTCGCGACCTTGCCTACGAGTTCGAGAGGTACTGAATACCAACCATCCTCCTCCCCTTACGATCGTTCGATTCCTCCTCCCACAGCCTACCTACCCTCGCACACAGCTCGCTCGCGATGAATCCTATACCCCCCCGACGTTCGTCGAAGCGATCATCCGTTATCAACACGCTCTCCCCTCGCGTGCGTACGACAGAAAGAGAGAAAGAAAGAAAAAGATCGATCAATTATTCCCCTTCCTCCCCTCTAACTTCGCCTGCCACGTTCGCGTTCGTTCGTTCTCGCCGTCGTCTTCCGTCCATCTCGCGTCGCCGGCGACCGTGCATCCTTCGTTCCGTTACGCCACAATATCTTTCGTTTATCCAGTCTAACGTGTGGCCGACGCGCTTTTCGGAGTCAACAGGTATGGCCGTCTTGTCCGCTGCGATATCCCAGCGCCGAGGACTGCCTCATCTCGCTTGTGAGTCTCTAGATAACCCCTCTCTCCTCCTCTCCTCCTCCTTCCGAGGACCCATCGTTGTATAAGGATTCAGCTTATTCCGTTCGACCTGCTGGCAAAATAGATTTGCGTTTGTGGAGTATGAATCTCGTCGCGATGCTGATGATGCTTACTATGAGATGCACGGTCGTCGCATCGGTCGTGATGACTACTTGAAGATCGAAGTAAGTCTACAATCAAGCTTCATTCGAAGCTTTGCCTTGTTGGTGTCTGAGCTAGTTTGCTAACTTTCATGTAGTGGGCCCGTACCCCCCCATCTGCTAGCTGGAGGTTCGACGGCGGTCGCGAGCCCCCTCGTCGTAGCCGTGCTGGTTCTCCCCCTCGTCGTGGCCGGTCTCGCTCGCGCGGAGGTCGCGAGTCGCCTCGCCGGAGGTCGGTTGATCGTCGTGACAGCCGCGACCGTTCTAGAAGCCCGGTCGCCCGCAAGGACGATGATCTCGACCGTGGTGTCCGCCGTGACAGGTCTGTTGACAGGGACAGGAGCCGTAGCCCTCTTCCTGCTAACGGAGAAGATCGTGAGATGCGCAAGGGTATGTCTTCTATGCCGTCCATTTATCTAGGAGTAAAGAACACGGTCCTAACATGTGATGCTAGACTCCCCTCCTCCTCCCCACCATGAGGATGACTTGGATACTGCGGACCTCGCAGACTAGATCACTCACAAGAAAACACGGCGTTAGTGCGGTTGTATGAATGCGGCAGAAGTTTCCTGTGACTCGTTTGGATGGAAAAAGTTTCGGTCGGATCAATTTCGCTTTCATTACAGTCTGCCGCCTCGGCGACGTGTTTTAGCCCCTTCTACAGGGTGGGCTCCTACATAGTAGTTCACTTTCTTCACATCTGAGTTCGTTCTCCTACCGAAAAAATTACTTTGCACGGAGAGCATTCTTGTTTTTTGAACTTTCATTTCTTTGTCTCATGTGTGTGCTCAGGTATGGTGTGTGTTGTGTTTGCGAGTTGTGTACTGTTCGATGGGCTGAGAGATACGGATCACCGATGATGCAGTTTGCTTTGTGTCTGTTTGATTGCATTGCTATCAGTATCTCTTAGCCTCCACGATTGCTGTTGTCTTTTGTCTCATGGGGAATTTGGTATGTTTATCTGGTGGTAGTTCCGTTCGCACGTCCGTTTCGTTCCCGACGACCTCGAACCGGAACCTTTTTGTCGTCGAAACCTAATCCTGTGAGACGGTTCGATCGATCATCGATTTATCCCTCGGGGTCCAATGAATGTCTTGGAGACATTCGCTCTTGCTTGCTTATGATTTCACCACGCTGGTCTACCCGTTATGGAATTGATACCTACGGCTACCGGTACTTGTGGCCTTAACTTCTTGAGGGAGATTAATTAGTCGGATAGCACTTTATTCTATCTTTCTATGCCGAGCAATCAAAAAATCATCTTCTGTTTCTATAATCTAAAGTACCATGCAGAGGGATACCCCAGCCTCGGAAAAACGTTCCGCCATGTGACATGGCCAACTACCGCCCGGCTCTAACCGTCCCCCAACACTCGGTCAAAAACCGTCTCTCAGCACCCACAACCGCGCCCAGCAGCACCACTCCCGCACCCACCGCCCAAGCCCCTTGCCTCAGTAGCCCAAACTCCTCCACCACCGCGCCCCTCACCGCAGCACCCACGGCGACCGCGGTAGCCACCACCGCCGCACCCGGCAATACCGCCGTCCACGCCACGCGCACACCCCGCTGCCCAAAGTAGCTCGCAATAAACCTCGAGCTCCACGTGATTCTGAGGAGCATATTCGCGACATTCGCCCACACCAGTCCCTCCGCGCCCAGGGCGAGTGTGTGCACGAAGATGTAGCCCGAGGTGGCAAAGCACACCGAGAACCCGATCATGGCGAGTGATTGCGAGTGCAACTGGCTCGGCGTCGCAACGGCTTGCACGAATGCTTCGCTGACGCCGTTGATAGCCAGGAGCGGTATGTAGTAGCAGTATGCGGTAAGGGTTTCGCCTGCGGCGGAATCGCTCCAGCGCCGGCCGGCGACGAGGCGGAGGAGGATTGGCGCGAATGGGGCGCCGAGGGCACAGAAGAACAGGCTGAGGAGGAGGTAGAGTTTTGATATCGTCTTGAGGACGTGGAGCGCCTGGGTCGTGTTTTTAGGCGTGGGAGGAGGGCTCGACGGGAGGAGTCCGCTGAAGAGGGTACGGCTGGTCTCCTCGAGCGGCTGGAATAGCATCCGTGCTATCAGGCTGCCGTAGTTACTGGCAAGCGCGTAGGAGCCTTGTGCGGGTAGTGAGGCGAGATACGTTATCAGCAGGCTGTCGCCTTGCGTCAGAACGTGCTTGATGGCGCATTGAAGCCACATCGTGCCGGCTAGGGAGGAGATGGGGGCGGAGAAGAGGTGGAGGTGGTAGGTCTCGCGGTCATTTCTGTAATATCGTCAGTGATATCCTGTGTACTAGGAAGCAGACAACCTACTCCTCCTTCTTCCCAGAATCATCAATCCTCTCCAACCCCACCGTCACCCCCTCCCTCCACATGCGCTGCATGTAAACCGCCAGCAACACTCCTCCATACGCCAATTGACCCATAGCAAACGGCAATGCGCCCAATTCCCTCCCCGTATTCACCCCCCAAATTGTCACACCACATGTAACAGCACACCTCGCCGCGGCCGCCGCACTCTCCGCCGCCGCACGGAGCTTATACCACAGATTCATCTGGGCAACCGCAAACGCCGGTTCTGCGGCGAGCTCCAGCAGTGTAGCGAGGACATACAGCAGCACGCTTTCGCGCCAGTAGCGGACGCTCCCGGCCTCGCCGGCACGTAGGATGTAGCCACTGCCTAGCAGCGCAGAGAAGAGCACGCCCAGAGGCAGCGTTAAGAGCGCGATATTGATCACCGCCTGTACACTCTTCCCCGAGCCGCCCGACTGCCGTTGTAGCGCATTCCTTAGAGACTCCCGAGAGAAGTAGAGGATGCTGATGGTGAGGAGCTCGAGTTGTACCGAGATTCCTAGGAGCGACGGGGAGAGGTAGCGTAGGAGGAGCTGGTTCACACCGAAGGTGAGGAGGCGCGAGGAGACTTGTAATAGGATTAGGAATTTGGCGCCTTCGGCGGAGCGGGAAAGGAGGGATTTCTGCGGTGGCGTTGACGGTGATGGTAGCGGTGGTGGTGGCTTTGTGGACATCATTGTTGAAGAGTAGTGATTTTGACAAGGGGCTCGCGACACGGGGATGCGACACGGGGCCAGTCAATGTATCATGAAATGTCACTCGCTATTGTTAAAAAAAAAACATCAAAAGCTCTGAAGCTTCCCAGCAGCAAAAAGAAAAGAGTAGAAACGGAAAGAAAACCACTATGTAACTTGTAGAAACCCGAAGTAGAAACTCCTTGTTGTAAAGCAGTAATTATCCACGCCATACTTGATGTCTACAGGTTATCGTCAAAGTCGTGCATGGTCTCCTCCATATCCTCGTCACCCCACGACGCGACATAGTCCATTTCCATTATTTCCGAATCCATGGACATCTGAGTGGCATTACCACCACTAGAACCTTTGTTCTGCTTGGAAATGAACTGTATGTACTCCTTGGAGAGACCAAGCTTTCTGTCCATCTGCTTCACTTGTTTGTTGAGAGTTACGATTCTGGCAATTTGTTCCTCCAGGGCGGCGAGGTTGCGATCTTCTTCGACGGGGATGCTGTCAAAGTGAACGGTAGTTTGAGACGCCGACGCATCTGCTCCTGATTGCAAGAGTGTGGCACAGATCTCGTCTCGTTCAATCTGGAGTACGGGTCAGCTGGGGTTTCTTATAGCTGGGAGTAACTGGGATTGACCATTCCCAGGATTATTCGCTCGGTCTCCTCGTCTCCTCCGACATCACCACCTCGTCCTGTCACGTCGAGCTTCTTCTGTGCGATTTCGGAGACTCCGAGGGTGACATAGGTGTCCCTTAGTGCGACGATCTGCATCCGCCGGAACGCTTCTATGCACTGTGACGCCAATCCTGCGTTTCCATCGTTGCTGAAGTAGTCCGCCGTCGATTCAATCTCCTGGCGGAACTGGCCGGCTTCCCCAGATATGAAGGCGAGGGCAAAAATTTCGTAGGGTTTCGTTAGGGCCTTGAGGATGCGAAATGTAGAGCCTGTGGTTGACTTAGGTGCTAGGGGAATCTGATCTCTTGTCAGCTGGTAGGATTCCTAGGGACTATGAGGAAATTACTTTTCCATCTAGCAGCAGTCCAACCAAGATGAACTTCTTGTAAGCTTCCACCTGGATAGTAGAGCAAGCATTGCCGGGCGCAGCAATGGCCTAGTATAATCAGCACCGAGTCACCCACCACAGCTAGAGGGCATCGTACATGGCAGAGATAGTCCATGGCCCTCCTCCATCTCTTGACACCCATATACAGCATGGCGCCATACAAGTAGTATTCCAGCACGTCTCTGTGGCTCACTTCGGGACCTTTTCCATTATCGTCCCGGCTGCCCTTCGAAGATGGGAAATCGAAAACGTCTATGTCTAGGACGGGAATAGCATCTCTGTAGCACTTGGCCTGCAAGCAAAGACGGGTGAAGATGGGGTGCATGAAGGAGAATTGCGACGGGTTCGATCGGAGGAGGGCTTTCTTCAGCGGCTTGACGGCTAATAGGGTCTATAAAAGCATCAGTACGAGTGTGAGTCCAAGGCGGCAACAAAGCACGCACTCTGTCCATGTCCGCCGCATATTTGCAAAACACCTCCACCACTCGTCGGAACTCCCTGGATGTATGCTTCATCTGCCTCCCATCATGAACTGCGAGGAACTCCACGATATAGCCCCAGTTTGTTTCCAGCGCAGATCGGCCTCCCATATCAAGCTTCGCAGCTCTAGAAGGCCCAGTCAGAGCTATCCCGGTACTTTCTTGCGAGCAAAGGAAACTCACAGCACGAAAACATATGGTAAGCTGTTTATTGCGGGATTTAGAAGATCTAGTAGGTTCGTTCCGCTAATACCGGTCGCGAGACTGGATGCCGGAACCTTGTAGAGGTAGTTGATGAGCAGCAGCTGTGCCTGTTTCGAGAGCTCAGCGTCGGTGAGGTCCAACGACGAGGGAAAGGCGGTAAGCTGGTCAACTAGCTTCTCCATGGCGAGCCGTATCTCTGGGGGTAGTTGAAGTAGCGGTGAGTGGAGCGCCCGTATTGTGGATGGTGTTGATGGTAGATGGAGAACGGTGAACCTTGAAGGCTTGTGGGGGGAACTCTCCGCGTCTCTCCCCCACTACCGAAGCGCATAAGCCAAGCATTTGCTAGATACTTTTAGGTGGTTTTCCAGGTTACACACAGTTAGTCACTCAGCCGCCCCCACCTGCTGCCGATCTTGTCCTTCTCCGCACTTTTCTTTGAGCACTCGAACAAGCACTTACTTTCTACGCATACGAATTACGATCTAATAAATTCCAAGCGAAACACAATGGCATCCACTCAGACCTCCCTATCGCCGGTCGATATCGCCCGCACTGCTGCCCTCGCTTCTAGAACTCTCAAGGCCGTCTCCGGTGGCGATCGCAATGCCGCTCTCACGGCCGTCCACGATGCCCTCGAAAAGTCGAAGAGTGTGATCCTCGAAGCGAACCAGAAGGACATGGAAGCGGCACAGAAGCTGGTCGAAGCTGGCAAGATGCGCGAGTCGCTGGCAAAGCGTCTGTTCCTGAGCCAGAGCAAGTGGGAGGGCATGCTCGAGGGAATTCTGGAGGTCCGGGACTTGGAGGATCCTGGTATGATCGATCTGTGCTTGTTGTTGACTGTGGCCTACGATTGACGACGTCTAGTCGGAAAGGTCACGCTGGCGACCAGGCTCGACGACGGGTTGGATCTTTACCGCCTTACCTGCCCGATCGGGGTGCTGCTAGTCATCTTTGAGGCACGACCGGAGGTCATCGCAAATATCACAGCACTGGCATTGAAGTCGGGAAATGCCGTGATCTTGAAGGGTGGAAGGGAGAGCACCAATTCGTTCGCCGCAATTGCCCGTGTGGTTTCCGAGGCCCTTGCGACGACCACCATCCCTCCAGGAGCCGTTCAGCTCGTCGAGACCCGTGAGGACGTCAGTGCCTTGCTGGACCAGGACCAGTACATCGACCTTGTCATCCCGAGAGGCGGTAACGAGCTTGTTCGACACATCAAGGAGAACACCAAGATTCCGGTTATGGGCCATGCGGATGGGCTCTGCGCAATTTATGTGCACCACGATGCAGACGAATCGAAGGCCGTCAAGGTGGTACTCGACTCTAAGACGGATTACCCTGCCGCCTGCAACGCTGTTGAAACTCTGCTGGTCCACGAGTCAACTGCCGCCACCGTACTGCCCAAGATCGCATCGGCGCTCCTTGAGGCGGGTGTTTCTCTCCGCTGCGACTCTCTTTCGAAGGCCGCCCTCCAGAGTTCCACTCTTGATGCAGCTAAGAAAGTGATCCTTCAGGATTCCACGGAGGAGGATTACAACACTGAATTCCTAGAGCTCACACTGGCGGTTAAGGTCGTTTCTGGACTGGACGAGGCTGTCCTGCACATCAATGCGTACAGCTCCGGCCACACCGACGCCATCTTGACAGAATCGAAGGAGGATGCAGAGAGCTTCATGAACAGAGTCGATTCCGCAGGAGTGTACTGGAACGCTAGCACTCGGTTCGCCGATGGTTTCAGATACGGCTTCGGGACGGAAGTCGGCATCTCGACCAACAAGATCCATGCCCGAGGACCCGTAGGACTGGAAGGCCTCACTATCCACAAGTATCAGTTGCGTGGACACGGACAAGCGGCCTCTGACTACGGGGCTGGCAAGAAGTCGTATCTGCACCAGACGATTGAGAACGTGGAAATCTAGGCATTTGTTTCTTTTTTCATACAAAAAAAAGAGATACCATTCGTGTAAGAAATAAAAGTTTTTGTTTGCTGTTTGCTGTTTGCCGTTCTCGCTTTTAGCAGGCAAGTACATAAAAGTACATCTTGTAGCTATGATACTTTAGTCAGGCACAGACGGAACTCCGTGCAGATCAGTAAACGGAGTTCGCACATGGACCAGAGTAGTGCCGGCGGACTGCAAACTCCTAGCGCCCAGGGTTCGGCGTTCGGAGGTTCATATGCACCATCTTTAACCAAGCGAGGTGCATGGGCATCAGTTGGAGCTGCCATCCCATCCAGCGTCGCCGCGTCGGTGCCATCCTCTCCTGCAGATTAGAAATGCGGTATGTACCGCTATGTACCGATACCTGATGGGCGGAGTAGAAAGGTACATCCCTAGGATACGACGGCGGAGTTGATCCCCCGCGCAAAACAAATCAAATCCGAAATCTTAGCTTGCATATGTTTGGGAGGGCGGGAAACTGATCTATCAGCAAAAGTGGGGTTGCCGAACAGAGACGTCATGGAACGCGCCGTGCCGCCGCATATATGGCGGGGCAGATCCTCCACAGGTACCTACTGGATTTTGAAGCTCATCCAAAGCATCGAATTCTCCGACCCGCGCACCGTGTCATAGCTTTGTGCCTACGTCTACGTCTCTACATCCGCTTTTCTATCCTATCTGCGAGGAGGCCGAATACTCTATCCCTCCGTACACTGCTGTAGTCCAGTCCAGCACTCTCCACAGCCACCATGCCCGGTATCAGAATCGCGATTGACGTCGGTCCCTCTTCATTTCACTTCTGCCTATAGTCGCTCTGCTGACCCCACCAAAAGCGGGGAGGAACTTTCACAGACTGCGTTGGCAACCCGGGCACGGGCAAGCTCGAGGACGACGTGATCATCAAATTGCTCTCCGTTGACCCACAGAACTACGACGATGCGCCGCTGGAAGGAATCCGTCGCCTGCTGGAGAGGTTCACCGGGAAGGAGTTTCCACGTGGGCAGCCGCTAGATACTTCTGAAATAGGTTCGTGCTTCGTATGTGGGGTGTGAGCGGGTGCGTGGGTGGGTGCGTGGAGGAGTGCTGATGGCGTTGGGCGCAGAATCGATACGCATGGGAACCACGGTGGCTACGAATGCGCTCCTTGAGCGGAAAGGGGAGAAGTGCGCGCTCATCGCGACGAAGGGGTTCAGGGACTGTTTGGTCATTGGTCAGGCGCATTTTATTGTGAACATGGCTATCGGGGATGACGCTAATTGTGGGGTGTAGGTAATCAATCGCGCCCAAAGATCTTCGACCTGGCTATCCACAAGCCCGACGTGCTCTACCAGACCGTGGTTGAGATCGATGAGCGGGTGACGCTGGAAGACTATGCGGAGCATCCGGAGCGGGAGACTACCGACGTCACTACGGCGAATGATCCTGACCTGGTCCGTGGACTGTCCGGCGAGGCGGTGCGGATCCTGCAGCGGCCCGACGAAGCGGAGATCCGTGAGAGCCTGAAGAAACTATACGAGGAGGGGTACAGATCGATAGCGGTGTGTCTTATGCACTCGTATACGTTCCCGAACCACGAAGCCCTGGTGGGGGATATTGCGAAGGAGATCGGGTTTACACATATCTCGCTGTCGTCAGAGCTGATGCCGATGATCAAGCTGATACCGAGAGCTACATCGGCCACCGCGGATGCATATCTTACCCCGGAGATTCGGCGGTACATTGACGGGTTCTCGAAGGGGTTTGAGGGCGGACTGGGATCGGAAAGCGTCAAGAATTCGGAAGGAAGCAAGGGCGCAAGATGCGAGTTCATGCAGAGTGACGGAGGTCTCGTCGATGTGTCGAAATTCAGCGGCCTGAGGGCTATTCTGTCTGGTCCTGCTGGAGGAGTGGTAGGATACGCATTGACATCTTATGATCCGGAAACAAAAACCCCGGTGATTGGATTCGATATGGGAGGAACGAGTACGGATGTGTCTAGATACGGCGCGGGGAGGTACGAACATGTGTTCGAAACGACAACGGCTGGAGTCACTATCCAAAGCCCGCAACTTGACATCAATACCGTGGCTGCTGGTGGTGGGTCAAGGCTATTTTGGAAGAACGGCCTCTTCGTGGTTGGTCCCAAGTCCGCCGGTGCACACCCAGGTCCTGCGTGCTACCGCAAGGGTGGTCCCTTAACCGTCACGGATGCGAACCTATTTCTCGGCCGGCTACTACCAGAGTTCTTCCCCAGGATCTTCGGTAAAAATGAAGATGAAGCACTGGACGAAGCCGCCAGCAGGAAGCTTTTCGAAGAGCTTACAGAAATAATCAACCAGGAGCTCGGAAAGCACATGAGCCCTGACGAAGTTGCGCACGGCTTTATCAAGATAGCCAACGAGACAATGACACGGCCCATCAGAAGCTTGACGGAGGCGAAGGGATATGATACCAGCCAGCACCGGTTGGCGACCTTCGGAGGTGCCGGAGGACAACATGCCGTCGCCATTGCGGAGAGTCTGGGGATCAGCCAGATCTTGGTGCATAGGTACTCGTCAGTCCTCTCGGCCTATGGAATGGCGTTAGCGGATGTCGTCCATGAAACCCAGGAGCCGAGCTCGGTGATATTTGGCGAGGAGCAAAAGACGGGCCTGGTCGAAAGGATGGAGAAGTTGAAGGGGAAAGCCGGTGCATCTCTTCAAGACCAGGGGTTCTCTCAGAAGGACATCGTTTTTGAGGAGTACCTGAATATGAGATATCGCGGTACCGAGTCCGCATTGATGATTGTCAAACCCACGGATAGCGAATTCGAGGACGAGGAGAACGCCTATGGCCATGCGTTCGTCCGACAGCATGAGCAGGAGTTTGGGTTTACTCTTCCGGACAGAGACATCCTTGTTGACGACATCCGGGTGCGAGGTATTGGAAAGAGCAACATCGAGATGGAGAAGTCTGTTGACCAGCAACTGAAGGAGATTCATCAAAAAGAGGTGGACCTGGCCAAGAAAGATTTCGTGAAAAGTATTTATTTCGAGGGAGGTAGAGTGGAGACCCCCGTCTTCCGGCTCGAGAAGCTTGCCATCGGTGACCGCATCAAGGGGCCTGCTATGCTGGCCGATGGTACACAAACCATTGTTGTGACCCCCGGAGCTATAGCTTTGGTTCTTCACACTCACGTCGTTATTAACATCGGTGACCACCACAATGTCGGTCCGAAGAAGCTGGGAACTGACAAGGTCGACCCAATCATGCTTAGCATCTTTGCCCACAGGTTTATGGCGATTGCAGAGCAGATGGGAAGAGCGTTACAGAAGACCAGTGTCAGTACCAATGTCAAGGAGAGGCTGGACTACTCTTGCGCTCTCTTTGATGCTGACGGCGGACTCGTCGCCAATGGTGAACTTCCTTAACTTCTCTCTCTCTTTTCCAAGTTGCTAAAGTTTATGCAGCACCCCATTTACCGGTACATCTTGGTAGCATGTCGACCTGCGTTCGGACTCAGGCGGAAATATGGAAGGGCAAGTTGAAGCGTGGAGATGTTCTTGTCTCGAATCACCCTGAGTTTGGAGGCACTCATTTGCCAGGTATTTCAAACCCAATATGATTGTTCGGATATGACACTGAAAATAACCAGATATCACGGTGATCACGCCGGCATTTAACGGCGACGAGATCATATTTTACGTGGCATCCCGAGCCCATCACGCCGACATCGGTGGTATTCTTCCCGGCTCAATGCCGCCGAACTCTCGCGAGCTCTTCCAAGAGGGTGCCGCCATCAAGAGCGAAAAGCTAGTCTCGGAAGGTCGATTCAACGAGAAGCGGATGACTGAGCTGTTGCTCGAGGAGCCAGCACAGTACCCAGGTTGCAGTGGAACTCGCTGTCTCGCCGATAACATCAACGATCTTAAAGCACAGGTCGCTGCAAACCAAAAGGGAATCAATTTGATCTCCACCCTGATTGGCGATTACGGTGAGGATGTGGTCCAACATTACATGGTTGCCATCCAGAAAAATGCCGAGCAGAGCGTCAGGGCGCTACTTAAGAATGTGTACAAGAGATTTGAGGGTCATGACCTTGAGGCGGTGGACTATATGGATGATGGATCGCCAATCCGTCTGAAGATAGAGATTGATCCGGAGAATGGAGAGGCCATCTTCGACTTTGAGGGAACGGGGCCGGAAGTCTATGGTACTATCTCACGCTTCTACCTACTCCTGTAACGTATGCTGATAACCCTCCAGGAAACACTAACGCACCAGAGGCCGTGACCTACTCTGCGATCATCTACTGCCTGCGCTGTCTCATCTCGGAAGAGATCCCTCTGAACCAAGGCTGCCTGAAACCGATTCACGTGAAGATCCCCAAGAACTCCTTCCTAAGCCCAAGCGAAGGCGCTGCGGTAGTGGGTGGAAACGTCCTTACCAGTCAACGCATCACGGACGTCGTCCTGAAAGCCTTCCAAGCCTGTGCCGCCAGTCAAGGAGACTGCAACAACCTCACTTTTGGCTACGGCGGACAAGTCGAGGGCAAAGGCCACGTCAAAGGCTTCGGATACTACGAGACCATTGCTGGAGGCAGCGGAGCCGGTCCGCACTGGGATGGAACCTCGGGTGTTCACACGCATATGACGAATACGAGGATCACCGATGCCGAGGTCTTTGAGCGGAGATATCCGGTCATCCTCCGAGAGTTCTCGATCCGTGAGGGCTCCCGCGGACTGGGAGAGTATGAGGGCGGTGACGGTGTCATCAGGGATATCGAGTTCCGCGTGCCCGTCCAGGTGTCTATTCTTAGCGAACGACGTATTTACCATCCCTATGGTATGGCGGGAGGCACGGACGCCGAGTGTGGACTCAACCTGTGGATGAGGAAAGTTAGGGACCCCAAAGATGGCATGAAGAAGTTTAGGACCATCAATATGGGAGGTACGTTACCCAGTTTCACAATTACTCCCGATGATAGCTGTTTCTGACGCGACTGATTAAAGGGAAAAATACGGCACCCATGAAGCCCGGAGAGAGGATCATTGTGTGCACGCCTGGGGGTGGAGGGTATGGGAAGCCAAGTGACAGACAGGGCAAAAAGACGAGGGAGCATGATCCCACTCATTCGTGGAAGGGTGGAAGTTTGGCCTCCAGAATCTATCAGCAGGAAACAAACTAGATAGGATTCTAGAGGAATATCAGGCGCTTGATCTTGGGATACCCCGTATAACAAGGCCAATGTGCCGGTGTTTGATCATTTCGTTTCATAGTAATGCATTCGACCCATTTGGGGTGATTGCCATAGTCTAGTAAAGGCCGCATGCGACAATAAATTGATGTTGTCTCTCTCTTTCGACCCATTTGGTGTGCCGATGTTTGATAGCAGTTAAGAATTTGAGGCTTTTTATCATCGAGTGTCTGATCATGAATGACTGTGCTCTGTGCCTTGACGATGCATTTGATTACGGTGCCGCTATTTTGGTAGCGAGGATCCCCCCACGGAAAATGTTATGAGCGGGGAACTGGAAATTTTATAGGCGAACCGAGTTAGGAGTTATGTGCGTAGGGTTTTCTTGGTGCCAACCCTAGTTGTGCGACTAGTGGCTTCAGCAGTCAAAATTCTCAGCTTTCCGCACAGACACTTGCCACGCCCGCCCGAGTTAGGTGTTTTGTGTGTGGAAAGACGACTCTCAGACAATCCAGACCTTCCGCCCCAACGACGACGACCCAGACGAACTAACACCACAGCAGCCATGGGGTAAGATACGATTAATTCATGCGCGAGTCGAACAAATTGCTGATTTGAGGCGGCAAACAGTATCGATCTTGACCACAGGAGGCCTACGCACCACCGCAAGGTACGACTTTGAATTCCACCCCGCGTTACAACCCCATTCCTACGAGATCCTATTTGCGACGCAAAGCGAGAGGTGTGGATTGGGAGACTGCTGAAGTCGCGGGACGAGGAGGAAGTGGAAACACATGGGAATCGTCAACACGACATGGAGGAGCTAAAATGGGGTTTCGCGATTACAACTATGAAGAGCTGTCCGCTGACGGATCCGGGGCAAACAGGCTGCCAAGAGCGACAATGTGTACATCAAGCTCCTCGTGAAGCTGTACCGCTTCCTCGCCCGTCGTACCGATAGCAGCTTCAACAAGGTCATCCTCCGTCGGCTCTTCATGTCGAAGATGAACCGTCCCCCGGTGTCGCTGTCCAAGATCGCGCGCTTCGCCGCCAACCCCAAGGTCAACGAGAAGACACCCAAGAACGCCGAGCGGACCGTTGTCATTGTCGGTACCGTCACCGACGACAACCGTCTCCTCACCACCCCCAAGGTGTCGGTTGCTGCTCTCCGTTTCACCGCCACTGCGCGTGCCCGTATTGAGGCCGCTGGAGGCGAGTGCATCACTCTTGACCAGCTCGCTCTGAGGAGCCCCACCGGTGCCAACACCCTGTTGCTCCGCGGACCCAAGAACTCCCGGGAATCCGTCAAGCACTTCGGAATGGGCCCCCACAAGCACAAGAAGCCGTACGTGGCCCCTCTGCATCTACTGGAAGCGTTGCCTGTGATCACGGTGGAGCAAATTGCTGATGCATTGGTCGCAGATACGTCGAGTCCAAGGGCCGCAAGTTCGAGCGCGCTCGTGGTCGCCGCAACAGCAGAGGTTTCAAGGTGTAATCTACATGTTTGGGATAAAAGTCATTTCGTGTGGGGACTTCGTTTTTTTCTTTTATTTTCGGTGACCTTTCGCAATGATAATCAAACTCCGACCATGACGAGATTATTGAAACTTCAATACCCTCTGTCTGCAATATGTGACAGAATTGGCGCGAGGGTTCAGTTCATGTCCCGAGCCGTTTGTGTTGGCCGTCAATCTTGCGTTTATCGGCCATCAGCCTCTACCACCTCCATAGTACAATCGATATCATCCGAATCGAGTAGGAGCACGTCTCGAACGTAAGCCAAGCATAATGAGGATGGGCATAATCTTTTCCGTCGGCCATCTCTTGGGACCATTCCGTGAGCCGGTTTGAGCGAGATGCTATACAAGGCGAGCTGGCGTATGAAATCAGCCCATGAGATGAGCCGTGGGTGTGATGCGCGTTGAGTTCTCCAACTTTTCATGTATTTGTGGTCATGTACATGACTGTATAAAGAAGATATTCGGCAAAAGCTTAGGTAAAGCATGTGGTCATCGAACACGAAGAAGAAACCAGATGAAGTACAAGATGAAGTAGATTACAATCCCCACCCGTACAATGTCCGCCCATCACACAATCCCACCCTTTTTTTTTACCTACGCGCCGTAAAGATTGATCTGTTCGACCATCTTTGCCGCCTCCTGGGCATAGTTTACCGGAGTAGCGCTCATGACTTGGTATCTGATCCTGGAATTCTCCTGGAACGTGTCCTCCTTCGCTCTGCACCTGAAGACGAACGTCTTACAGATGGCCTCGGCAAAGCATGCTTCGTACTCTTTCTCGTCGCCCGACTGCTCGCTGCGTTCCTTGAGCTCGTGCATCTCGTCCGCGGACTTGCCCATGATCAGCCGACCAATCTCATCGAAGCAGTTGAGCCAGGCCTGGCCGAAGGCGTCGTTCACTGAGATTGTCATGATGTAACTGGAGGTGTGGTCAGCTTGAGTAGAGGAAGAGAATGGTAGGGGGGTCCTACCGGTATTGAGGCCTGGGGTGTGTAACACCGCACTTCTCGCAACCCCAGCTGTCGTCATCCCTCGGTATCACTTTCTTGTTGCACTCGGGCTTGAGACAGGCTGGGTACGATATGTTATCGTGCTTGATGTAGACGATGGTAGCTTTGGTAGTGAAGTACTCCGGCTTGCCGTCCTGGCCATTCATTCCGATGTTCTCTTCCTTCACCTGGAGCAACGTCTTGTATGGATCATTCCGTCCCGTTGCTGCACCCACGGTCGAAAGCCCCGCATGGGTCTGGTATGTGGACAGGTCTCTCTGGCCCTGGCCGTCATACCAGCCCTTAAGGTTGTGTGCCTCATCGACGTCGGGGTTCGCCATCATCGACGAACTGTAGAGCATACTAAGAGAGCGACCGCCGAAGTCACTGACTTTGACACCCTTGAACGCAATCACCGTGTCCGGGGCGATGTCGAAAGTCTCAGCATTCTTTCCCCACACGGTGCAGCGGACGCAAGTGTTGGAGCTGTCGACAAGTGAGATTTCGCGCTTGGAGTATGGCTTCTGGGTGGCCTTGGACGTGATCTCTTCCATATCTCCGACCTCCTTGACTACACCCAGCACGTCGACGAATGCATCTTTCTCGACACGCTCGAGTTCTGAGAGGGGCACAAAGTTGAAGTTAACCTTCGGCACATCATCATCGTTACACTGGTTGCCAATTCGTCAGCTAATTTCCCATCTCGCTCGTCTGGGATGGCAAGAAACCAACGAACCACTTCGATTTCGGTTTCCCGGCCAAAGGTGAGTTCATAATCGTTGTTGACGTTCGAAAACTGCTTCTTGGCCATCACAACTCGGCACTTCGAAATGAAGTAGACCTGACCCTCCTGCAAAACTTCGTAATGTGCATCACACTCCTGGTTGAAGGCTGTGGCACGGATCTCGCCACTTTCATCGAGGAAAGTAACGGTAAAGAGCCTGCCCTCGCTCTTGCTGTTGCTCCATGACTTGATGTCCGACTTGTTGGTCACGCGTGCCTTGATGGTCCACTTGTTCTGGTACGGAGAAATGGCTTCGATGGGGTATATGTTGGAACGCGCACTGTAGAAGAACTGTCAGCTCTGCTATCCCAAGTCAGGTAGACATGGAACTTACGCTCCACCATCACCACCGGATGCTGCCCTAGAAGCTGCGGCAGGGATCGGAGAATTTCGCTGAGGTGCCGGCTTATTACCATAGAACGATGGGGCCGCGGCGGGTTCTTGAAATGCGGGGGTTTCCGAGGTTTGGTACGCTGCGGGTGCTGAGGTTTGGCCAGCGGTGGCGGCTTCCAGCGCTGTTGGATTACCAACTTTTTCCCTAACGCCGTGGGCTTTGAGGACTTCCAACTCGATGATGATCAAGATCCTGAGCTCGTTCGTTAGTATGATGACGTTGCTACCGGAAGTGCTGGTCCGTACTTCTTGTCTTTGACCTTCTGGGCGTTGTAGTTGGTGAGCTTAATGAAGCAGCCCTTCTGCAGTTCGCCAGACTGGACAACATGATTCGTTTCTGTGGTTCATCATGAGCTTGAGGTATAAGTGGCAAGGACGGGCAAGAGCTACGTGTCGAGATCATCGCTTGGATGAAATGAGTTGAATCTGACAACACAACGCGGAATCTTCAAGCCATTAGATCTTCTGTCCTTTAAAATGCACAGCGTTCTGACATACCGCTCTGGTGCATTGGCCTGTGCTGCTATTGGTTTTATCTGAAGCACCTGCAAAACCGGATTTGGCACGGCCTGTGCTGGTGGAAGGACGGAGGTAAATGCTTTCCTGAGAGCATCGACGGTACAAGGATTGTCTCCCATTTTGGACGAACTGATAGGTATTCCTGGCGCTGTTAAGTCGAAGTGAAATGAATGAAAAAAATGTGGTAGTAGAATCACAGGAAGCGGTGATGCATGGGGTGGTGATGAGCGTCGAAAAGATCAGATGTTGTGAGTCGCGTTCTGGGAGAAGCGTACGCGATTGGGGCTGGAATAGAATCATGTCACATGACTATGTGGCGGTGCCAATTACATTATTGCATGTCGAAATCCATGTAAACCAATCAAACCACAAACAACCACCAGAACAACACCAAACAGACAGCAATAGAGAATCATTCAGCCATGGTTTACGAGTCTCCTCGCGTCTCTGAAGACCGCTTGTCGTCCGACGCCGCGGCTCCCAAGTCTCCAGCTATGGGAGATCACTGCACCAATAACCCTCCACTAGGTTGGTCCGAGCAAGCATTATGACGTAGGCGGGGCAAGCGGTATAACTGACGTCTCTGAACCCTCCCAGATGCCTCCGAGAGTTCTTCTGGGGTGAGCTTGTGTTTCTTCGACTCCAGTACAGCTCGAGGGAGCCAATAGTCCGTTATGATGGTCTCGTTTTGCTGAGAGATGTACAGGAGATCGTGAAGCTCGGTGAGACCGAGGTGAGCTCTCTGTCGCGGATATCTCACTCCGGCTCTTCTCACGATGCGACGTTCAATAGGTCTACGTCTCAAAGCCGTACGACGCAGAGCTACGGGAAGCCAGTCTCTTGGTTCTCCTGACCAACGGTGTCGGTGTCCACTCCGTCAACAACCAGGTCCAGGCAGACCACTTCGCGAAAGAAGGCTACTTTGTCGTGATGCCCGATTTGTCGGTGGCCCTCATTCTACGTAGCTTCAAAGAGATTCTAATTCACATGCCTGTACAGGTTCAATGGTCAGTCTCACAAATGGGGTCGGAACCGCACAGATTGACCCAAAAGCAGGCGATGCTGCTCCCAAATCCGCAAACGTAGCCGCAGCGGTCCCGGAAAAGCAAGAGCTGGGGCTTTTGGACCAGATCAAGATGAAAGCTGTCGAGGGCGTGAAAGGCTTCATGATCGGTTCGTTGCTGTCTGAATTCCAGTACCTACCTATGTGATGTTTATTTGCCTACTTGCCGTACAGATATGTGGATCGCCCGTCACACGCCGGAAAACACCATGCCAATTATCGAAAACGTCCTGACGGCCGTCAAGGAGCAGTACGGTGACAAGCAGTACAAGGTCTCTCGCGGGATCTACGTTGTGGGCTACTGTTTTGGTGGAAAGTATGCACTGAGGCTGGCGGCCCGCGACGATGTTACGGCAGTCGCCATGGCACATGGTCTGCCTTCTCTGAGTATCCTTCCGCCTGGGACAGTCGCTGATGTTGGACAGGAACTATGGTCGACTTGGAGGACATCAAGGGAGTGAAGAAGCCGGTCACATTCGCGTGCGTCGGTATGTGCACTTCCCTAGAACTTCATGATTCATGTACTCATGACTATGTCTGCTCCGATAGAAAACGATCCCTTCTTTCCAGATGAAGTCCGCGAGGAAGGAGAGAAGTTCCTCGAAGAAAACAAACTGGAGTATGAGCTCCTCGTGTACAAGGACGTCCCTCATGGTAAGCCCATTTCCTTAGCAATCCAGTTCGGTCTTAACAGTACCCAGGATTCGGTGTTTATGGAAGCTATCCCGATCCTCTCATCAAGGATGCCCAGGCAGGAGTGTTTGAACAGTTTCTTGAGTTCTTCAGTAGTCACTAAGGCATTGAATATCCCCACTAGATATCATGAGAATGATTGATGTAATTTTGGGGGTTGGAAGTGTTTTAATTACTCTAGTGCTTGATGAATGGATCCAACTTTTTTGTTTCATCATCATAGCATTCGACTTAGTAGATCATGGCTGTATACATGTCCGTTTCCACCCCACTGTCCGACCCCGCTGGGGCCCGGCTCGACGTGAATTCCATCTTGCTCTCCGTCTGACCCTGAATGAATCTAACTTTTTTTGTTTAATCATTGGTTGCATGCGACCTAGCTAGATCAAGGCATATCTGAATGGATCTAACGATGAAGCCGCGATTTGGTGAACGAAATGTCGAGTGCTTAGCTATGATACAGTCAATGTAGATCTTATCTCCAAGCGGTTAATTAGCGTCTTCCGGAGCCTCAATGCCCCACTAATGAGCTTCCTTCGTCAACCATCAAACGGAGCAGAAACACCTCTCGTCTCTCACCATCTCGGTTTGAAATCTCCTGCTCGAACTATCCTCGAACTCCCCCATTTCCCATATACTGTCGCGCCCCGAGACCGTCTTCAGCATGAGCTGTCCCCACGTCGCGGAAGCTCGTACGCAAGCCCTCGCGAAGAACCGCAACGTATAGAGCTTGCGTTGCTGACCTAGTATACTAGGTCTTGTGGCTCCGAGAGCCAATCAGAGCGTCCATCGAGAAGACTGCACGCAGTGCTTCGATAGCATCGTAAGCTTTCACGGCGTGGATTTAAGACACCAATCACTGACTAATAGCTGCAGGACGAGCCTCAAGGTCTGAATGTCTGTCTGGGCTGCTTCAACGGTGGTTGCGCTGGCGAGAGAAACCACGCCGAGCTCCATCACAAGTTAGCCAAACACCCACTGGCCCTCAATATCCGTCGAACCAAGAAGCCCAAAGTCGAGGTGGGCTGCTACGATTTCACCCCGATCACACCTCGGATTTGCTAAGTCAGAGTCAGCGTGATGAGCCACCGCAGAAAATTTCTAGGCTTGCCATTGCGGCTGAGACCGAGAGCGATCGTTACGATACCCATACGGCGGTGATTTGCTACGAATGCGGTGGGAAGGAGGTGGAGAGGACTACCGGGAATGTATGCTGGATGACCACCTCCATTGATCATGCTTGACGGATGTTGATTTATTCTTTCCTGGCATCATAGCTGTCCGCGGTCATAGACGGTATCATGTCGGCAATGACCTTTGCTACCCAGACGGAAGTCAAGGCTTGGGAACAGGAGATCAACCCGTGTGAACATACGCTTTGCTTGGAACAAACAGAGTCAAAACAGCTTGAATCCCAGAGTGGGTCCCGTTCTGCCTGCGGCATGGGGGTTTATACTGATTACTGCAGATCTCGCCCATTGTGCTGATTGCGACTTGAATGAGAACCTTTGGCTCTGTCTGCAGTGCGGAAACCTTGGATGCGGACGGGCCCAGTTCGGCGGAGTCGGCGGAAACTCTCATGGCTTGGCTCATACCGATGCCACGGGACATCCAGTTGCCGTCAAGCTTGGCTCAATCACACCGGAAGGCAACTGCGATGTTTACTGCTACTCTTGCAATGACGAGAAGAGTGACCCTGAGATCAAGGCTCATCTTGCCCACTGGGGAATCAACATCGCGGAGAGGCAGAAGACGGAGAAGAGCTTGACGGAGATGCAGATTGAACAAAACCTGCGTTGGGAGTTCTCGATGACTTCGGAGGATGGCAAGGAGCTCAAGCCGATATACGGACAGGGCTTGACTGGGTTGAAGAATCTGGGCAACTCTTGCTATCTGGCTAGCATAATACAATGTTTGTATTCATTGCCTGCCTTCAAGGAGAGATATTTCGAGAAGGTGAAGGGCTTGCCAGAAGTCCCGAACCCCGCGGAAGACCTGGAAACACAGCTCCGAAAGATTGGAGATGGATTGTGGTCGGGACGATACTCAAGGCCAGACTCTGATGTTATGGCTAGCGAGTATTCCACCGAGCTTCCACACCAGAAGGGTCTTGCTCCCTCTATGCTGAAGGCTCTCATAGGAAAGGGACATGAAGAGTTCTCGACCATGCGCCAGCAGGATGCGTTCGAGCTGTTATTGCATCTCTTCAATCACATCGAGAAGTCCGGACACCCGGAGGGACTAAAGGACCCAGTTTCGGACTTTAGATTCATGCTTGAACAGCGATTGCAGTGTTTGGGGTGTAAGAAGGTCGCCTACAGGACCGATATACAGGACAACATATCTGTACCTGTACCCGCGAGAAGAATTAAGACTCCCGATGTTGTGATGGACGAGGCCGGAGAAGCCGAAGCTGGAAAGGACAAGAAGGATGTCTTCGAACCTGTCACCATCAAGGAGTGCCTCCAGATTTTCACCTCCGATGAGGTTGTGGAGTTCACTTGCAAGGGTTGTGGTGGCAAGCAAGCGACGAAGTATGTTATCCGCTCCATAATGTCGATAATTTTACTGACGATAGATGACAAGACGCTCCCGCTTCAAGTCCTTTCCTAATGTCCTCGTCATCAATTGCCGCCGTTTCGAGCTCGTCAACTGGGTGCCAACAAAGCTCGATATCCCCATCATAGTCCCCGATGAGGCCTTCCCGCTCGATGATTACCTCTCTTCGGGCATCCAGCTCAGTGAGGAACTACTCCCTGAAGATTCCGCTGAAGGCCAACCCGCTTTTGTCGCCAACGAACTCGCCATGGCACAGCTCGAGGCTATGGGATTCCCTAAGCCTCGCTGTGAGAAAGCACTCTACAAGACTGGTAATGCAGATGCCGAGACAGCAATGACTTGGCTCTTCGGCCACATGGAAGACCCCGATATTGACGATCCCCTCGTTATTCCTGTCTCCAGTGGCGCCCAAAAGGTCGGCCCGTCGCAAGACTCGATCGATATGGTCATGGGCATGGGCTTCACAGCCGCCCAGGCGACGAAAGCACTTAGGGAGACCCACGGAAACGTCGAGGCCGCGATTGAATGGATCTTCTCTCATCCGGAGGATAGCTTCGAGGACGAACCTATGACCAAGACTACTGCTGCTCCAAAGGCCCAGGAGGAACCGGGAAATAAAGAGCTCCCTGCGAACTTTAAGCTCTCGAGTATTGTCTGCCACAAGGGCGGAAGCATCCATGCGGGCCATTACGTCGCGTTCATCAAGAAGGATCTCAGCCATGTCCAGAGTGAGGAAGGAGAGAGCTGGGTACTTTTCAATGACGAGAAGGTGGTCAAGAGTGGTGACGCTGAGGAAATGAAGAAGTTTGCGTAAGTTCAGTGACTCAAGTTTTCGAACGATTGCTAACGATTGTAGATATGTCTACTTCTTCAAGAGGGTTTAGAGCATGTCTAGCATCGAGGGGGAGGGAAAGCGGATGTTGTTTGCTGCTCTCATACGATTGGTCGATTTGCTCGAGATCTCGCGTGATTGATTGATGACCCAAATAAAAGACATCGAGGAATTGTTGTAGCCTTTGAAGACTCTACTGTGATAGTAGATCATGCTAAATTGTACAAGATACTATATAAGCCGTGAAGGTCGCTCCTGGGTTCCCCATGGGCCTGCGAGTGGCTCCGCCGAGTCACCCGCAATGCAAAATGGACACCCAAAAGATAGGTACAGTTACAGGTATCCTAGCCATGAAAAGAAAAAGAAAAAAAAGTATAAGTATTGCTCTCCGAGTAAACGCCAAACTAAATACTAGAAAGTAACCCCTACTTATTCCAACAATCTACTAAACTCTCCTCCCAAGGCCTTCAGTTCAGCGTACGTCCCTTCCTCGACAATTTTCCCCTCCCCCACCACTACTACCCTCTGCGCAACCCTCATCAATTCCTCGGCATGGGTAATCATGAGCACCGTCATCCTCCCCTGCTCCTCTCTTAGCAACCTCACCACATTCTCCTTGATGGTTTTTGCACTCTCCGAATCCAAGTTCGCCGTGCACTCGTCAAGTATCAACACTCTCGGCCTCCTCACTAGCGCACGGGATATCGCTACTCGCTGGGCCTGTCCTGCACTCAACCCTCCGCCCCCGGCGGAAAGCAGCGTGTTATACCCCTCCGGCAAACTCTCCACAAACTCGTGGATCCCGGCGAGCTTCGCGGCGCGGACAACATCCTCGCTCCCTACCTCGCCCGCGGGCAGGCCGTAGGTGATGTTGTCTGCCACGCTGATGTCCCACAGTGTTGGCTGCTGCGGAATGATCGCTAGGCGCTGTCGTAGCAGCCGGGTAGAGAGTGTGGTCAGCGGGTGACGCCCGATGAGGATTTCTCCGTCGTTGGGGGTGTACAGGCGCTGAAGGAGTGCTACGAGTGTGGATTTGCCGCTGCCGCTGGAGCCGACGATGGCTATGCACTGGCCTGCGGGGATTGTGAGGGACAGTCCGCGGAGGACGGGGATATGAGGACGTGCGGGGTAGGAGAAGACTACGGATTTGAAGGTGATTGCCGCGGGGAGAATGGGGAAGGAAAGCGTGCCCGATTGCTCGTGCGAATCGTGGGGCAGAGTGGAGAGCCGCAGGACTCGGTGTGCGCTATCCTTGCTGTTGCTTATTTGCGGGATCATCCCGATTATGACGTTGGCGTTGGCGGTGGAGAAGAGGAGGAGGGTAAAGACACTGAGGACGTCGCTGAGGCTCTCATTGGATTTGAACATTAGATGGGCGCCGTAGTAGAAGATCAATGCTACCATCATATTAGCCAGTGAGTACAAGATATGTCGGAGCGGAGACTCTCACCAGTAGCGAAAAGCATCGAGGAATCAGACAGGCCAAACCAGAAGCCCTCCCAAAAGCTCCTTCTAATACCCAGAGCCAACCCCGTCTTCGTAGCATCAAAGTACTTCTTCCTAAAGAATCTCTCTATGTTGTAGTTCCTCACCGCGCGGATATTAGTGATAGCCTCATAGAGGATACCACCCGTCATCTGCGCTGCGTTGTTACACCTATTCTCATAGTGACCCGACATCCACGCCATCCCTCTAGAGATCCCATACATGACGGGCGCAATCGATGATCCGACCAACGTCAAATGCCAGCTTGAGATCAAGCTCCACGTCATACAAATCACCATGAGAGACACACCGACGAATGTGAGCCCCGCGAATCTACCGACGATGTTGCGCATCTCCTCGACGTGCTTCTCGAGATCTTCGATTAGGTTTGCAACGGAGTTTTCGTCGCGGGAAAACCAGGCTAGCGGTTGGTCTAGCACCCGTGAAAAGGCCCGTATTCGGTGATGGTCGGCCCAGGATTGCCCGCTGAACTCCAGGAGGTAGAACATCAGGTAGTAATTTAAACCGTCGGCGAAGGCCACGCCGATGATGCTTAGTGCCCAGTTTCGGGCAGTGGATTCGGGGATTCGAGTATCGAGGATTGACTGCAGCAGCCGGGCAAGAGCGAAGGCGAAGACTGGAGTGGAAGCGGCATGGAAGAAAGCGGCCACGAATCCGAGGACCAGAAGGAACTTCCCTTTGGTACTGAGCGCCGGCCAAACCGTGGCGAAGATCTGCCGTAACGTTGGCTTGCCCTGCTGCACACGAGATATAGCTCGTTTTGGCAGCGCTCTTTCCTCATCAGTGATAGGTTTCGGTGGATTCGATCCCTCCCCAACTGTACTAAAGTTCAGAAAAATTTGAGATATCGGGCGTGCCGAGGGCGTGACCGCAGATATAAAGGGGAAATCGGTGAGCGTCATCACTTCGGAGAATCGCTTGTCTCTAACAATGCTGACCTCTGGGGAACCTATCTCTTTCGGGACCTCATCCGCGAAGGGCCCGTCATGTCTCGTAATTCGATCTTGCGCCCCTATTTCTTTCAGTAAATTGTTGGCGTACGGGCCATCATATCCTGTGATTCGATCACCGTCCTCGACGGTATTTCCACTCCCGGGCCGTCCCACCCCAGAAGCATCGAGGAACATTTGAAACGGGCCAACTTCTGTCTCGAGATTTCTACGATGCCCTTCTTGCACGACTTTGCCCCTCTCCATGACGTACGTGAAATCGTCCGGCCCGATCTCGCAAATATCATGGGTGATTATGATCGTTGTCTTGCCTTTTCTCCACTCTCGTATGGTCTCCATCACGATGCGGCGATTGGACACGTCCAGGGCGCTCAGTGCTTCATCCAAAATCAGTATTGTTGCGTCGCGAAGGCGGTCCCGCGCCAAAGCTACCTTGAATTGGGAGTCAGTGATAAGAACACACGTAGTCCTGGGGATCTTGAAAACCTACTCGCTGCATCTGGCCACCCGATAGCTGTTTACCCCCCGCACCAACAATGGTATCCAGTCCACAAGGAAGATCTAAAATCGTCTTCTCCAGAGCCATGGCCCTACATGCATCCAGAACATCCTCCTTCGTAACGTTTTCGTAGTCTCCGCGGCCAAACGAGATGTTGCGGAATACGCTCTCGTTAAAAAGTGGGCTCTGCGCCTGCACTACCGAGATGTTGTCTCTGATCCATCGAGGATCCAGTGTTTTGATGGAGTTGCCATCTATGGAAATATCGCCGGCGAGCGGGTGATGGGCACCGATTACTAGACTTGCTACAGTGCTCTTCCCGGACCCGCTGTGGCCAACGATGAAGGTTGTTTCGTTCGTCGGAAGGCGGAGGTTGACGTCTGTTAAGACCAGCTCACTAGGTCGCGATGGGTATGTAAACGAAACCTATTCGGATTAAGACCCGGAAGAGACAAGGAGTTGGGAATGCCTTACACCTGTAAGCTCGATATCACCACTGCAAGTCATAGGCATGCGTCCACCAAGCTGGCGGCGGCCACTGCCTGTCTTATTTTCCATCGTGGTTAACAGCGCTTTCAACCAAGCGCCAGCAGCCCTGCCCTTCTCCAGAACCATCACCTGCGGCATAACCGTTTCCAGTGCCTGAGTAGCCATCAAACAACTCCAGAAAGTAGTCATGATATCCCCCGGCGAGAACTGGCTTCCTCCGCGGACCAACTTATTCCCGTACCAGAATCCCTCAACGAACATGCCCAATATGAGGATCCTGGTGAACCCCATCCGTAAACCATTGAGGTGTGACTGTTTCCTGTACTCCTTCGAGGCCCAACCAACCGCTTTGACGAAAGAACCGTGCTCTTGTGCCTGTCCGTTGGAAGCTTTGACGGTTTCAATCCAAATGATGGCCGAGCTCGCGGTTTTGGAGGCGACAGCAAGATACTTCTTTTGTCCATCGATATGCGGCTGGATTTTTGACGATAGATAGGCGATCAAGGCCAAGGCAACGGGGATCAATGCCAGAATAACTAGAGTCAGGGACCACGAGTGGTAGAACGCGACACCGACAGCTGCTGTGGCTGTCACCAGTTCCTGTGTAGCAAATCCGAGTGGCTGCGAAACAGCTAGTTGTAATGCTTTGATGTATCTACCAAGAATTCACTGTTAGCCAGATGAAATGGTTTACCGAAGAAGGAAGAGGAGGATCAGATTGGCAACCAACGTTTGTGAACCCGTTATCATGGCCGAAACACCAGTCTTCCTCTCCTCAAACCAGCTGAGATCCTTGCTGATGAGACTATCGAAGAGTTTGTCCCTGGCGGATTTTGCTTGGAGCTCCCCGAACCAGAGCCACATAGCAAAGAAAGCGCCGTTGAGTATCCAGCTGCCACATCCCAGAATGGTGAGCCACAGAGAATACTTCTTCACTTCATCCATGAACTCGTCTGGGCTCAGAGTACCGCTCCCGAACTGCGCAAAGGCTCCAAAGATCTTGCCCATCAGTATGGACATACCTGGGATCACCAGGCCGCTGATAATGGAAAGCGTAAGCGCTGCTCCGAGTACGATTTTATGCCGCCCGGTGGTGAAGGCGAAAAGCGATGTCCAAGGCACATCCTTCTGCTCATCTTCGTCAGTCACAAGGGGAGCGTCACTGGGTGCCTCCGAATCCAGTGACGATCTAGCACTGTGATGACCATCATCGGTTGGTGGCGGTGTTTCATTGGTAGAAAGGTCGTTCAAGGCAACTTCGTCCATGGCGGTTCTGTAAGAGTCGATTGAAGTTGCTGGTGTCGACGACATTCCTTAAGAACGGTGGGGGAAGGAGTTGGGCTAACAAAAGATCGGAAAATGGGGATTGAGTATTGTATGGTCGATGCATTCCGATGCAAACAGGTCCGCGAATTCAAAGAGTATATCAAACTACAAGATTAATAATGAGTAATAGATTGTGAATCCTAAAATTTCTGGATACTGGTGGCGCATGGCGGTCTTGATATTGGTGGCGCATGGCGGTCTTGATATTGGTGGCGCATGGCGGTCTTGATATTGTTCGCGAGGTATGGCTTGCAAGGACCAATCCAGCACATATATCCAAGACATGCATCGAGAACACGAAACGGCGTACCGTTTGCCGAACGAAACAACCTCCTCGTCACTCCTTGAATGGAAGACAAGAGGAGCATGTTCATCCCAAGTTATCAGTACGGATGCGTACGTACTAGACGGGCTCAGGGAAAAGCCACCTAATTTGTTCTCGAAATATTAATCTCATCCCGCTGTCTAAATTCAAGACGCCGAAGTACCCCACAAATGCACCAATCTTTTTTCGAGATCCTCACGAGTAGATTATCGCTTAGTTACCAGCAGCAGCCTTCTCCTTCTCTTCCTCCTTCCTTGCGTCGTCGTAGATCCAATCGTTAAGACCCGCACGGTTTCTGGCGATCTCAACAGCGTAGAACTATACGGGTCAGCTATGATATCCCTCGCATACCACTCCAAAGGCTTATGAGTCCTCGGCCGCTAGATAAAGGGAACCCCCACCTGCATTCTAGGAGCAAACATGGTAGTCTTCTCCTCGTACTCGGCATTTGCGGTCCGGCGCAGGAGAGTACCAAAGTTGTAGTCCTCGACAGTCTTCTCATATTTCATCATGAAGCTCCTCCATTTCTCCTTGCCTTCTTTGTCCTTCATCCTGTCCTCGTCGAGCTCCTTGGCAGCGTCGAAGTCCGGGAACACCTCGAGCAGGTGTGCCATGATCTCGTCATCCAACTTGGTCAGACGCAGGTCGGTTCCGCGACGCTTTTGCAGGATGTTCCAGTAGGTCTGCGCGTGAATGACCGCCTTGACAGCAAACTGCTTCTCGATCTGCAAACTGGTTTAGTTACACTTTTCGCTGGTATTGGAGGGGTGGGAATCTGACATCCTCCAAGTTCTCGGCCTCCTCCGCCGTAAATTTCTTGGGGACCTGACGAGCAACAGACATTGTGACTGGATGTGGTGGGAGGTGAAACGGGACGAAGGAATGTTGCGTTCGCGACTGGTGACGGAGGGTGCGCGGTAAGAAGCGTGGGGCAGCCAACTCTATTCTCCGTACCCCTCCATCTAATCTTATCGCGTCAGATCCTTGGCAGCGCTATCACCAAATATCGCTCGAACTTGCAAGCCCGTGGTGCCTGCAGATACTCGGGCTTGTACCTGACGGGGAAACGGACATTGATTGATTGATTGATTGATTGATTGATTGTTCATACAGCATGGAACCCGAAGGTTATGGCCGATAGAGATATCTACAATACAACATTTCGACAAAGAAATTCCACCACCAAATCCATACAGAAATGACAAGCCAAATCCCTTCGTCTCGCAATATTTTGAAAGTGAGCCTCCGAAGAGGCTCGGGTTGTCGGTTTTGCGCTGTAGCGGCGCTTCGTAACCCTCCTCTCCTCCAAAAGGTACCTTCACTCGGTACTACCCTCAACATAACCAGTCTAGCGCACACGGCATGGTGCTCGAAAGGAATCATCGTCTCGGGGTTTGCGTAGCTGTCAAGGCCGGGGCCCGATGAATAGCAGCGAAGATATTTGGATCGAAGGCGGGACTGGCAAAATGCCGGTTGTCATGGCCGACGTTGTCCTGGGCCAAGCCCTGAGCTCCCCCCCTGGAGTTCACTCTCCTCCCCGCCGTCGCCGTATCGCCTGCTAAACAGGCTCTCCTAGAGTGATAAAATCGATGATGATGTGCGGGGAAGCGATGGTGAGACTTCTTCAGAGGTTCGGATGTAGCACCCGTGGTAGTGCAGTTCTCCGGCCAGGGACCGAGGCTCGATTGATCTCTATCGCTTCATGCTCATCGTCGTCGAACTCATCGGTCGGGGCACTAAATCCGCGGTCGGAAAGAGTGGACACACACGCCACATGAATCCTGAAGCCAAAGTGAGCGGGGCATTTGGTGTGCCAACGCATAGTCTTGGCATTTTTGGAAGGTTGGTGTGGTTGTCGGAGGTGTGTGGGGAAACGGACGTGTATCTGCCATGATAGTAAGGTCGAACGCAATGATGATTCAAAAACAAAAAGCCTGTACCTGACTGAGTAGACCTAGTATTTGATTTGTTTAAATGGAAGCTAAGACGAGCGCCTGAAACTGTTTCAGTTACTGATAGGTGCCAATTTCTGTCGCTTGCAAGTCCGTTCGGCCCAAATACATGCAAGCGGTACATCCACAGCCGTACACGGCGTATAAACCAAACTCTCAGTGATATCTCCCGTAAGATAGCCGTAAATCACCACCAGTAGCCCTTGTATAAGTAATCGAATACGGACGAAACGTCCATAACGCCTGTCCCACCCTCATTATTCATTTCTCTCACCCTCTGTAGCCCCAACAACAGCCTTCACAAACCCTTCAACCTCCGTATTCTCCTCGTACCCCCCATCCCTCAGTTTCTTCAGCCTCGCCAGCGCGGCTTTATCTCCTTTCTCCTGCGTCCACGTAACTCTCCCCGCATCACCGTCGCCTCTTCCCCTGCCCCTGCCCCTGCCACGTCCACGACTCCCGCGCGAAGCATTCTGCTGTCGCCGCTCCATCTCCTCATCACTTGGCCGTTGAGCGGCATTGTATATTCCCATCAGATGCGACTGCAACGTTTTGGAGCTGAGCATATGCACGATCTCGGGGGAATCGAGGAGTGGTGCGAATTTGTGTTGCAGCGTGATGGCTGCGGGCTGAGTCTCTTCGGACACTGGAGGTGGTGGCGGTGGTGGTGCGGCGGGGGGTTCGAGCGTATGTGTGAGTTTGTGGGGTTTGTAGCAGACGAGTGAGCAACTGGCGTGCTTACGTTAGCTAGGTGCCATTGGCCGACTAGGGGGGAGGAGAGTTACTATGGTGTTAGGCAGGTAGGACATTTGTATTTTGAGGGGTTCTCGTGACAGAGGCCACAGACAGCTGGGGGGTTCGAAGCCATGATTGCGGTTGTAAGATGCTTACGGAGGGGGACGTGATGGTTAAAAGGTTTTGGTGCAACCACGCAGAGACGCGTTTGACTAGTGCACCGGTTCACGTGTAGTTGGCAGGGAAGTCCGCGATGAGGGGCACGGAGAAAAGGTTGGGGGCGGGCACGGTGCGCGAAAAGAAGGGACACTTCGTGGCAGGGCGTCCGTCTCTGACCCGTTTCCCGCCTATGTACCGGCACGGTGGTGATCTCTATGCTTAGAAATGCATTAGATACGCAGTGGCGAGTCACTGACGACCAAACGTCATTAGTGGGCTCTCGGCCGTCACCGCCGAGTTCTCGCCGAAACTCCCAACCACAACCACAACCACTTCACAATGTTCACGACGATACCAACAATGACCGTACGAACCACTCCCCGTGTGCTTCTCCGGGGGCTCTCCCGGCGCACCCTCACGACCAGTCCCCGCCCGCAATTTCTCTTAGCTACCAAAGCCCACCGCCCGCTTGCCCCGCGACACCCGAAGCTCCACATCTCGTTCTCCCCCGCGCGCAGCATGTTCATCCAGACCGAGACGACTCCGAACCCGGAGGCGCTGAAGTTTATTCCGGGGGTCTCGGTGCTCCCCGAGGGCGCTCAGAGTATGGAGTATCTGGACGGGCGCGACACGCACAGCTCCGCGCTGGCGCGAAAGCTCTTCGCCGTGGACGGAATCCGCAGCGTTTTCTACGGCCCGGACTTCATCACGGTTACGAAGAACGAGGATGTCAATTGGGCGCATGTTAAGCCCGAGGTGTTCTCGCTCATCACCGAGGCGCTGAACAGTGGGCAGCCGGTTGTTACGGAGGGGGAGACGTCGATGGCCGCCGATACCGCGCCGGCGGAGGGGGATACCGAGGTGGTGGCGATGATCAAGGAATTGCTTGACACGCGAATTCGTCCGGCCATCCAGGAGGATGGTGGAGATATTGAGTTCCGCGGCTTCGATGTCGACAAGGGCGAGGTGCTCTTGAAGCTCAGGGGCGCGTGTAGGACCTGTGATTCGAGCACTGTCACGTTGAAGAACGGGATCGAGAGCATGTTGATGCACTACGTGAGTTCGCCTCGAGGTTTGTTCAGACGGTCCGGACGCTGACGAATGCAGATCGAGGAAGTCAAGATGGTGACCCAGGTTATGGACCAGGAGGAGGAGATCGCAGTGAAAGAATTCGAGAAATTCGAAGAGAAGCTGAGGAAAGTCAAAGGGTCGGCGGTGTAGATGGGTTGTGCGAGCGCTTACGTTTTTCAAAGGATGCACCAAATGTTCGGCCTAAAGGGATAGCGGTGGCTGCTGGGGGATGAAGTCGGACAGACCACCCGTCATCTATCCATCTATGTAGATGTAGTTTGCAATGCTACTGTGATATCATTCGTTCTATCATTCATCCCTCGGTCTCCAAAACGTCCATGCGATCCCGCCAAAAACAAGACTTGACACTAAATTTACTAAACACACCATCAGCCTTGTCCCTTCCCGTCTTCTATGTTCCCAGGGCAACTCACCTAATATACTCTGGGCCCATGAAACTCCCATGGCCGTCACATGATCATGGTGGATTCTATTCAACCACGAGCAAGCGACGGTAGACAGTAGGATCAGCATAATCACCATGACCGCAATGGCCCGATACACATGCTATCACGCTGTCAGCCTTCCGCACATGCGCGCACACCCAGGAGAATTCAAACGCACCACTTCCCGGCTCCCTCTACACAGCCTCAACTCGACATTCCTCATTTCGACAGCCATCATCGGCAGCAGCGCCGCAAGCTCCACCAACTCCGCTGCCGGATCCATGCTTGCCTTCTCCACATCCACCTCGACCTCGACCGCGGCCCTGCCCCACCACCATCGCCGCCGCCGCCTTACAGGCTGCACACACGTCCTATATCTCCAGCCCAAATAGCGCCCGCCCACGCCGACACTGGCAATATCCACGACGCTAGCGGAGATCCAGCACTCCCGCTGGTCGTACGTCACCACCGCCGATAGTTTCTCAAACACGGCGGAGGCGGGACACGCGGGACACAGCTCGAAGGTACGTTTGCAGGATATCCCCGAGACCGTGACGATGGTGCCGCCGGTCGATGTTGTGGGACTCTGCAAACAAATGTGGTAGGGAATACCGGCTGGTTGGTAAACGGGTGATATCGTGTGATTGCGCGTACATGGGCGGGACATGACGACAGGTGAGGGTACGCGTAGGCTCGGCGGCATGGCGGTGGGGATAGTGGGATAGTGGAATAATGGGATAGTGATATGGTGATATGGTGATATAGGGATTGAGAGGTCTGGTGGATTATATCCAGCGGATGGGTGCTCCCCGACTCCCCAGCGAGAGGTCATAGTAACTGAGACAACCGAACGCAAATCTCGGAGAAACACTCCCATAACTGATAGTTCCCGACCCGCCGGAGGCATAACGCCTTTAAGATCTAGATTTCACGTGGAGTGGACTCTAGCCGGGCATCTCTATTTCGGGACTTCAAGTAAGAAATAGTTCTGTAGATAACAACACCATAAACACCAAATTACCAAATTACACTCGCTTGCAACAGAAGGAACAAAAAGGAAGCCCATAGGAAGCCCATCACATCGCAGTTTCAACCTGATTCAGTACATACACAATTCGCCAAATGTGTTGACCAACATGAGCAAGCCAATATGCGCAATACCCAGTGTCGTCGTCAAAGTCAGCGACGGCGCGATAAAATCCAGAATCGCAAACATAATCATGGGGTAGTGAACAGAAGAGTTGGGCGCCGCTGGGATGCAAGGTCTCGTGAGGGACAGCATCTTCATGAAAAAGACAACAATCTTCACCAATATAATCGACTGCGGCGCGAGCAATTTTCCTCTCCAGCCTGAACCAGTTGGTGGGACGACTTCGAAATCTAGGAGAGGTTCGATCGGCTTGGGTGAGTCGAGATGGGGCCTCAATATCATCGACGATTCGGTCATAGAAGATCCGGTCACCGGGTCTTCGGGGGCTATTGTATTCTCCTTCTGCAGCTTTGGTTGTTTCGGCGACCCAGAGGGTCTCTTCGGGGAACCGGGTGGCGTAGCGCTCCAACTCAGTTTTGAATTCCTGGGACCGCGTGAGGAACCATTACGTTTATCCCCTAGGGTATGTCCGTTGCTGGTAAAAGACGGGGGTTCCTTGAGCGATCGTGGCCCCAGGGGATCGGGAGTGATTGATCGCGGAGTGTCAGCGATAGGCGAAATTCGCTTGAAGCCAAGTGTTTGGCTCTCGTCGATTACTGGGGGACTGTTGTGCGCAACGGAGCCGCGTCTCTGTGACCGTGTTAGTTTCTGGGTTCCAGTGTGATCGTCTTCACCAGAACTTGTATGTACCATCGGTGGTGCCTCCTCGCTGACACCCAACTCGATTCCAAGGAGGATTTCCTCTGCGGACGGTCGTACTGTCGGATCGGGGTTGATGAGAGCTTTCAGAGAATGGTACAACTGCTCGGGAAGGTCTGTGCGGATCATTTCGTGCTCATCCAAGCCTTTCCAGGCCGATATCTCAGCACGAAGAGCCTCCATGTCTTCGTTTTCTTCGTTGATCTGATCAGCACATATGTAGGGGAGTTTTCCGAAACTCATGAAATGTAGGATCATCCCTAGAGAGAAGATATCTGATTTCGTTGTGAAGTTTTCGTATGCCCCGCCAGGTGCTACCCGCTTGAGGACCTCCGGTGCACAATATGATATCGTTCCCGTGTTGCCTGTTGACTCCCGTACTTGATTCTCCATCTGTACTTCTCCGAAATCGCTGACCAAGACCTTCAGTTCTTCGCCGGGAATCCCAGTGTCATGTAACAAGCAGTTTGAAGGTTTCAAATCTCTGTGTATGAAGCCGTTTGAATGCAAGTGATTTAATCCCTGGGCGATGTCTCGGAAAAACGAGATGATCTGTTTAAAAGGCATCTTTCTTATGTTGAAGAGTTGTCCTGGAGGTTCTGGCTGTCCCCGAGACTTCCGCCGTAAGCGTTCCTTCAACGACTCTTTGGTGGGCGGCTTCGGAGAGCCCAGAATAAAGTGGTGGAGATCGCCGGAATTACAGTACTACGGTTGGCTCGAATTCAGCTTCCAACACAAGGAGCCAAGGAAGATATCTATACCTGCTGAAGGATGAAGGCACAAGGCACGCTAGGGCCGAAAGCTTCAGAGCTCATTAGCAAATTCTAACTGACAGATACCGGCCACAGGAAGTATACCAGAAATCTGCGCATTCTCAAGCCAGACATGTCGATATGAGACCAGATTGGCATGCGAAAGTCGCTGAAGCAATTGAACTTCCATCAACACCTTCTCTAACCACCCGTGATTGTTTCCTGAACTGCGTGAGTATGACATCATCACCCCATCCGAAGTCAGGCCGAAGATGTCTACTCACCAACCGGCACTCTTTTGCAAGCAAAGTTCCCGAGTGTGACACTGTCCAGAACATGTCGTACGAGTAACACCACTCCCTTCCCTCCCCTCCCGAGCTCACGCTCTGTGACAAAAAACCTGTGTTTCTCGTGTTAAACATTGGAGTGGAGTACCGCATGGCGAGTGCTGTACCTTTCAAAGTAGCCTGGACTGAAAGAACTGTCTTTGATGCCTCCATCGCGTTGCGAATTGGGCGCGTCGTCTTCGCTCGCTGCTTCGTCACTCGAGCTCTGGTTTGTCTCCGGCGTCAGCCTCGGGAGCGGCACCGATCTCCTAGTCTCCGGTGATGTCGAGTCCACCACCGGGATCCTACGTAGGCGACTGTGTAAGCCCCATCACAGCGGCAGTCGGTCAGACCACTTACGAAGAATCCAGCATCCGGAAGTAGTGTTGGTCGACAAAGCCCGAATCCGCAAGTGGGGTGCTGCTTCGCGCTCGGTGGCCACCTAGTCCCGGACTGAGCGGATCGGAGGTGGGCTCGTCGCCATGATGCATGGGTCTCTTGCAGTACGGGCACGATTGGGAGTTGGTGGCATCCACGGGAGTGGCGGGCGAAGCTTCACGGAGGATTATTTGGCGCGAGTGCGGATCGTAGAGCACGAGCGTTTGCTGGTGACGTCTGCAGGTGAACGCGAACGCGGGTCAGCATGCTGAAGCAAAGCGGCGAGTGTCTTTGTCGAGGCCTTTGTTGAGGCCTTTGCATTGGGAGAGGGGCGGTCAACGCACAGGACAACACTTCGTGAATCGTCGGAGCTGTAGCGTATTAAAGACATGTCGACGGTGGTGGTGGCGGTAGTGGGTGTCGAGCTCGGGGGGATGAATCGATTGGGCGGCTGATGTGTCTTTCTTCTTTGGTCAAGGAAGGGAAGTCGCAAACAGTCCCTTCCGAGAACGAGAATTTTATGTGGTGGTCATCACCGGAGAGCATAGGACTGGCTGTAACAGGATATTCTAAGGGTAGTTGGACAAGTCACGGGCAGTTGAAGCGCAATCTGGCAGATGCAGGTGCTGCAGGTGCAAGCAAGCGGAAAGCAAGCTATGGATTGAGGCGCGATGATTGGTGTTGGCGGGAGGCACTCGCTTCCGACCTCATTGGACAGGAAACCTAGCATACTCTACTCAGTGTTGAAAACGGCAGTACGTGAGTTATCTTATCTTATCGTATTGATCCCATCTCATCTGGATTCCAGCGCAGTGTTCATTGCTGTCGTGTTTCTACCGCGTCTCCCGCAACCTCGTCCGCTTCCGATCTGCCCGCACCATCCCGCCCGCTCTGCCCACACCATCCCACCAGCTCCCATGCTCGTTGCACCGCGCCATGTCGCTGCCCACTATACTTATGCCAACATACAATTCTCCAAATAGAGCTCTCCGTAGCACCCGCCAGACTCGCATTGGTTTCTCACACGCGGACCTCTCGCCTACCGCGCCCTTCGATGACAACCCAAAATGGAAGCTCTTCATTACTACAAGTAGCAAGATATGTGCTTGGGACCGCGATGGTTGCGAACCGATCTTTACATCGTCATCACGTGGCATTGTCGCGGCAAAACGCGCATTAGATGGTGCGCCTCCTACCGCGGGGCACCTCGGATGTCCGGTCATTTCGCTGATATTGGTTCGTAGGATCGGTACTGGCGATTGCAGATGCTCAAGTGGTTATGCTTCACAAGGTCGAGGACGGTCAGGACAAATCTTACCGGTTGAGGGGAACGCAGGTTAGGGATCTGCTCGTCTGGTGTAGCCATGGATTCGCATCTGACTTCTTGATGTGCTGCAGAGATGCCGACTTCTTCAATACTCGCATGATTCTCGTAACTTGTTTTATACAGACTCGCTCCACAACAGCGTTCAGTCCTACTCGCTCTCGGATAACCGCGTCGCCGATGCCGCAAGATCGCACCCATCCCCAATCACTGCCTTTGCCGTTTCCTGCGATTCCAATCTCATTATCTCAGCGTCTTCAAAGCCCCCGACGGTCCAAATCCACAACCAAATGATGGCTACAACAATATCGCTCGTCCCATCTGCATCTTCGGCACCCGTAGTCACCTGTGCATTCCATCCGAGCAGAAAGCACATCTTCCTGTTAGCTTTCGGTGACGGCGTACTGGCCGCCTTTGATTACACGAAACTCTCTCCCGCTAAAGCCGGAAACAAGGAGAACGCAGGACTTGGAGTCACAAGGTGTCATGCGCGAGGCATCCATACGTTCCGGCATCTGCATGATCCCAGCATTGCAGGTTCTGCCGGAATCACCGGTGCTGGATTCGTTCCCGGTCAGCGAAGTCGAGCAGTTACTGTGGGCGAAGATGGGAGATGTTTTCTGGTCGATTTTGAGAAGGGAGATACTCTAGGAAGCTGGCATATCGGTGCTCCCGCCACAGGGTTGACCATCAGGGAGATCGACGCCGCTGCCAAGAGCAGGAAAGAGGAACTCGGTGGTTACTTCATCGGCGTGGGTACTGTGCACGGAAGATGTTTGGTATATGACGGGAATGGCAACAAGGTTGCAGAGCGGGTGGTTGACACTGAGGGGGAGAGTATACTCGATGTGGAATGGGTGGGTTACTTCGATCCTGCTGAGAAAATACTTGACACTAATTAAACACTTCCAGGTTTGCGGTGATGTGTCCGCACCAGAGGTTGATATTGCTCCCACACAGCCTTCACCAGAAAATGCTGCATCGAGAGAACAGCCTGGAAAGTCCGACCGCACGCGGAAATCCACCAAGGCGCTCCAAAGCCAAAAGCTCAATATGAGCAGTTCGCCCGTGTCTCCAGAGGAGGTTGATGAGGATGGCAACCCCCTTATCAAGGAGGTCTCGGCAAGACGTAGACACAGAGCATTCTCGCCGCCAGTCTACGACTCTCTGGAAGATGCGGCCGATCAGGGGTATATGATGCTCTTCAGCCCGGTGAAACGGAGTAGGGTGTCCAAATCTGCATCATTACCGGGAAAGAAAACCGAGAAAATCCACAGACCTTCGGACCCTCGGGCCCGTGCTTCGACACAGAGTAGTGATCACCGAAGTGCGATAAGCGCGCCGCAGCTGTGGGATGATGGTGTGCCTGATAATGGAGAAACTAAGGAAGAAGCTGAAGTAGAGCCCGAGGAGCTGGATGCCTTTTCTGCGTTTCAAGGGGACGTGCAAAAGGACACCACCACCACCGGAGAAGAATCGGGCTCTAACAACGTTTCTATTTTCGGGGGTCTTTCCAGTGTGCGTACAGATCGAATCAAGGTGGACGAGGCAACCGATGATGGGCGGATCCTAAGCGAGATCCGGAGTATCCGAGCATTATATTCTGGGAAGTCTAAGAGCGTCACGGAACCTGAAAATCCACCAGCATTACCTGAACCTTTTGTTCCCCCTACTAAGGCTAGAAGTACACCTGCCAGTAGGGCTGGTCGAGAATCTGTCGACGCTTCTAGCATTAAAAGAAGTATTAGCGCCCCCGAGAAAAAGATGCATGCATCCGAACTTTTCGTACCCGACGGGGAGGACGGTACTCATCAATCAGCTTTTGGAGCCACCGGAGCTGGGCCTGAAAAAACCAGCACTCAGGAGGAACAGGTTCAACCCGATCAGAAGGAACAGGTTCCGGAAGAACTGGCAACCGAAGAAGATGAAGACATCTGGGCAGCTCTCGCTGTCGGCAAACGCGCCGGTAGGCTCGGACGCAAACGCAAGAAAGCTCCCTTAGAGGAGGAGAGCATGATTGCCAACACTTTGCCCGACACCCGTGCTGACCCATCTCGCTCCTCAACCATACGCTCGGCTAAAAGCCGAAAGACGGTATCCTGGTCCGACGATCCCGAGCCACAGGCAGACTTATTCCCAACTCCGATGGCCTCTTCTTCTGTGATGGGGCAGTACGGTGGAGAGGGAGTATCTTCGTCTCGTTCGTACTTGGGATCTCGGCCTCTTTCGGTCCTCTCCGAACACCACAACGATAATTCTCGAATCGTCACCAATAGTACCGCCACAGCTTCCAAGCCGATAATAAGTGACGGCGGTGACATCGGTGGAATAGTCAGAGCAGCAGTGGAGCAGATGCAAGCTGCAATGTCTCAACAAATCAGCGCATTGCAGGCAGAGATGCAACGGCAGTTCAGTGCACAGCACGACGAGCTCCAAGGGCTACGAACCGAGATGGCTCGCGTCAGGGAGGAGAATCAGAAGCTGCGGGGGGCGCTCTTCCAAAGCACCGGTGTCAGGGATAGCGTTGGAAGGGCTATGGGATCCGGTAGCGGATAGGGAGCAATCCGTTAGTGGCGACTTGAGTGTGGAGTGTTTCCTTACCTTTTGGTTTGCATTGCGTCTTGGTGTTTTGGAGTTTTGGTTATGGCTACGTTACGGTGGTCACTGGGAAACATTATACCTTGGGCTGGATTGTTAATTCTTTTGATATTATTATCACCTTTGATAGACTGCGAGATTGGGATTGAGGGTCAGATAATGGCCCCGACGGTACCAATACAGGATGTGTTGTGAGTATTACGAATGACTAGCGGAGTGGCGTGTATTGAACTTCAGTGCAACCGCTGAAGCGCCATAGACGTACATACCAACTAACGTCCATTCGCAGACTCAGATAAACTCCATTGTCCCACGAGCACCAGGCCCACAGTCGATAAATAATATATACCACCAAAGTCCATAACCAAACAAATCAAAGTGCCCACAGCTCCAGCCACCGATAGCCATAACGCCTGCATAAACGCCCAAATCCTTACCAACAATACTTCAGCGTCACATACCCATCCCGTTCATTATCAAGCCTCCCCTTCTCGGGCAGATCCTCCTTCCTTTCCGCCGTCGGCATCGCCTCAGCAGGCACCACTCTGCCAACCGCTGCCACAAGGAGTGCAATCAATCGCGGTGCAAACATCCCCTTCGCCGGGCACACAAAGCACCCCTCACCGAACGGCATCCAGCCCATCTCCCCCGCCTGCCGCTCACTAGCAACAAACCTCCACCTCTCGGGCCTGAATATCGCGACATCCTCCCCCCACACCTTGCTGTCCATCTGCAGCGCCTCCAAATCAATAGCCACCCACGCCTTCTCCCCAACCGCACGGTAGACCCGCTTGGTAGGCGGATACAGCCTTAGCGCCTCGCGCACCAGGAACATGGGGGACACGCCGTCTCTTGAACTACGGAACCGCTCAGTGCTCGGCCGCTGCAGGTAGAGATTCAGCACCTCGCGCCACTCTGCGGGGCCGCGGTGCACCTCGATGAACAGGCGGAGGACGACGCGCCACAGCGTCTCGTAGGCCGGCAGCAGGAGGTTCAGCGGGTTCTCGGCTACGTCTGGGAACAGTGTCCGCATCACCTCGGAGAGCTCTTGCCTGGAGGCCAATGATGGTGCACCGGTCTTGCTTTGCACCCACAGCGCGTGGATCAGCTGCGCTAGCCGGCCTACTACCGCTTCGTCCGCTGGCATGTACGCGGGGAAGAATAGGTGCAGGATGATCGTCAGGACGTAGGTGCGGAGGAAGGGGATGAGATGGAGCGTGCGTGTGTGTTTGGACGGGAGGAGCGACTGTGCAAGCTGCGCCATCGAGGCCCATTGGGATGGGGAAAGCTTTAGGAGGTGGGATGCGGTGTGGAGGAAGGATTTGTGGTGCTGGAGGGAAGTGGTGGTGAAACTGTTGTTTATGCCGAAGGCGGTGACGAGGCGCTGGTTGGGGAGCGCGCGGGACTGGAGGGGGGTGAATGCTGTGGAAGGGTTGGCGAGAAGACTGCGGGCCTCGTCGAGGGTGCAGATCAGAGTTGTCGTGGGCTTGCGGTGGCGACGGTGGAGGTAGAGAAGCGTTAGGATCAGTACAGCGAGAACGACGAGTGGATGCATGGCGGTGGCTACTGCTAACCACAAGGGTTGAAGCAACTGATGATGGAGGAAATCCAGAGGGAAGGACGCAGAACTTTCGAGGACTTCGGACAATCACAAGCAATCACGCTGAGTGGGGTTGGTGATATATACCCGCCAGCCCCGAAGGCAGCAGGCTCTTGACTTGACCTTCCTCTCAACCAACTGGCCAGTCATCCAGCCAGCTCGTCAGCCGAAGGTGCAATGTTGCCCCCACAGCTCTCCCCCACCATTCAGTCAAACTACTGGACGATTGGACTGGACCATTCCGAGGGGATGTTTTACATTCCCGGATACCATCAACCACCGGCTCAACCAAGCGAAGGGATTGGCCCGGGAAGAAGCATGTCGATGTTTGATGGCCGTATATTGAGACCTCTACATAGAGTCCAGCATTGAACCCCGCTGGCCCAGGCGCACTGCAAGCGCATCGGCAGACAGATCTTCGAGCCAGCCCGAACTAACCTTCCGAATCCGACTCGCCGGTCGAAACGACCAAGGAACACACTCATGTAGGGCTCAAACATGGCCATGGGTTGGTGGGAAGTTTGCATGGATGATTTGCACATCTGCTGCTCTAGTCTGCTCTGATATGCGGGCCGACACATTCCACTGATACATAGGAAGCCGTGCGGTTTTTGAACTGCACTTTGGTCTTTTCTTCGGGTCTCACGAGCTGTGCATAGGCAATCACTATCTACATTGCAATTTGAATACCACAGCCCAGTTTGTCTGTTCAGCCCAACCTCTGCTGACTTGGGTATTGATACCCAGAATTTCTGGTCACACGGGGCAAATTCCAGACTAGATTACAGACCACCACCGAAATAAGGGACATAAATACAGATAGCGACAACCCTCCGAAAGACCACAGGTTTCGCTTATCTGCCTAGGTATTCGATTGCCACTGGAACTACCTGTCCTGCAAACGCTACTTGGAAGGTTCGAGTGAGCGATCCATGCGTTCCCCCAGTCTAGATCACACCGCGTGCAGAAGATGGGCGGTGCAACGGCGATGCTAGAAGCACTACCTATTGTCTCGGCCGCGGCAAGCGATGCGCCGGACCAACTGAGAGGGTCCTACATATCGACGGGGAGAGAACGTAGGTATCAGCCAGTGCCCATCGAGGTCTGTTTTACGGCCGCTTGGCCAGTCTACGCAGTCCTACGGTAGGTATTCCATGGCGTTCAGTCCGCGGTATGGGAGGTGGATGAGGTGGAGTTTGGTCGGTCCTACAGTCATACGTGATTGTGCGCTGAGACATGGTTAAGGCACGCAGGTGCTCTCACTCGTCGCTTGCCAGGGACTCGCCGCTTAAATGAGCGAGCGATGTTTCGCCATTCACTAACAAACGAATTGCGTGCTGCACTTCCGTGCGATATCGATTGGCTCTTAATAGCAAATAATTAACTATGCCAGCAATGCTGGCTTCAATACTAAACCCCTCTCTTCGTTTATATAATAGTTTCATCCGGTGAGAAAGCTCACTGACTCTCAATCGAGAGTTTACCGGCTTTGCAAGTTAATCAGCCTCTTCCTCCCGCAGGAAACATAACCAGGTCGGAGCATACCATCTAGTCCAAAAAAGCCCTAAAATTCGTCTCCTATATTACATTACAACCAGCCCAGCAACGACCGCAACCAGAAGCGCCATTCCCCCACTCGTAACCCGCATGCCAGCGCTGGTCTTGATAAACATTGCCGGCTCGTACTGCGGCGGGTCCTCGGTTGCCAGGGTCCCGTTCCAGCAGTAGTCCGTGAAGCACTGTTTACACTGTTCCGACTGCTCCACGCCCGTCCGTTCGAGCTGGCGGTGAATGATGGCGCAGCCGATGCACGCGGGCCAGCCGTTCGCGTCCGTCACGGTAGAGTTTCCCTGCGTGGCGACGTTCCAGCCATTGGCGATGATCCCGTCGCGCTCCTCGTTCTTGTACGACATGGTGAAGGTGCTGACGTTGCTCTTGTAGGTGTACGGGGTGTTGGGCATGTACACGACGAGCGGCGGAGCGGTGGCATTGGCGCGGCCGGCGGTGATGTTCTGGGCGCTGCAGCCGAAGAAGGTGGGCCGCCGGTTGAGCCCGAGGTTCACGAACGTGTTGGTGTCCGGAATGTACGGGAACAGCGTGCCGTTCGAGATGTCGCCGTGCATGGCCCGCTCGTATGTTGCGACCATCGCCGTGCCGTTGGGCCAGTTCGACGTCGTGGCGTCGTCGTTGAGCGTGTCGGCGGAATTGTCGAAGGCGAAGATTACGTCCACGTTGCGGAATGGCTGCACCAGCGGGACCAACGGGAGGTTCTGGAGATCAGAGCCACCGTCGACGAGGGTGAGGTTGCGGATCGCTCCGGATGGGTTGGTGTCGGTGTTGACACCGTAGAAGGGGTTCGGTGTGTAGGCGGCGATGTCGGTTTCGGACTCGGAGAAGTCGGAGAGGACGCGCTGGGCCGCTTCCAGGAAGATCCCGCTGATACCGGAAGAGTTGAGGTTGAGGAGGAATTGGTTGAAGAGACTGGATGAGGTGCCCAGAATATATCTGTTGATGGGTTAGAAATGTGATGCACATTGGGTATGTACTTCTTGTCCTGTGAGTGTGGGGGTTTGAGACTCACCCAGCATTATCAAACCCGCGAACGCAAACATTATCCTCCTCCGGCTGGCCGTTGGTCATATTCGTACCCAGGGTCTCCAACGGGGTGAATGAGTACAGCGTTGGATCCCACGATCCCATCTCCAGAGGATTGAACTCAAAGACCGTAGCGTTCCGTGAAACGATCAACTCCCCAGGATGCCGTTCTTCGGCCACAACGATGGGGAACGGATGATCCGCGTTCTTGTAACCATCGGTCAAGGCTATGGATGAGAACGTAACTCCTGGTCCGCCATCCGTCCAGTTCAGAAACTGTCGCGACAGAGCTCTACCCCAGTAGTCCGTCAACGTTGTTTCAAACCCAGCATCCGCCTTCGAGTTGACTTCGCTCCGGAGATCGCTGTAGTACGAGAGCGAATCCGGGGCCAAAATACTGCTCTCCAAATCCCACAAGTCATCGCTGCTCTGCAGGCCGCCGATGGTGGTGAAGTTGTTCAGGATGACCGAGCCCAGAAGCCACGAACCACCAGAAAGGCCGGCAAAGTACGTTGCGCTCTGCAATAGTCCACCGACCTGGCCGGTACCGGTCGTGCCGGGGGTCCTGGAGTCCATAGCCTTGATCACTCCTCCACCGCTCAACATGGCCCTATACCCGCCGCCGGAGAACGCCAGCGCAACCGTGGGCGAGTACGAGTCGATGAACGCATCGTAGTCGAAGTCGGTCATGCCCGCACGGCCCAGGAAGTCCCGGAGAGCAGCGTCGGTGACCACATGGCGCTTCTCGAGGAAGTCGGCTTCGCCGTCCGAGATGTTCCGCGCGGTCCGGATCAGCGGTTGGTCCGGACACGATCCTTCTTTCGGAGCGTAGCCGCCGGACGGAGAATTCGATATCGCCCGGCGAGATACAGACTCGGCCCGAGCTGGAACAGCGGTTGCGTGTGCTACGGCTGAACGGTTTTTCCGATTGGCTGATCAGCGCTTGTGATTTTCCGTCTGGGAGGCCCAACGGACAGAGACAGAAGAAATAAGGTTCTGGTTACCGTTTAATAGTGTTGCCGCTGCAAGGGCAGATTCAAACGCGGATATTAGCTTCATTGCGAGACAAGCGCGCGATGTAAGCCAAGAAGCTCTATGCAAAATTTATGGCGACTATGTGCGTCAATCTGACGTCGAGGGCCGAGTGCGGAGTGATATGCAGTCCGACGAACAAAAACAGGTAAGTTCCTAACTATGCTGAAGGGTCGAGATGTAGGCGCCTGTGGCCACGGAACAAAGTAAATACTGGGAGAAGTCGATAATTCAAGAATGCAGGAATGTGAGAGGGCTTGCCACTCGATGACCGTAGGGAGTTCCCTAGTATTTATGGGTGCGGTTGGTTGGCTGCGATCGGGCCGAAGTGGGGAGAGAGTGGTACATATAGGTACCCAGGGATCTTAGTTCGATATAAACCCAAGTCAAGTACATGTACGTAGTGTACCTCTGCTTGTGATCAAATACAGACATATGCAGCGTTGGCAGTGACCCCGGGGGCCGGTCGACCAAGGGGACACCTTGAATAGAGTCCTTGACTAGAGTTCAGCAGTGATGCTCTAACTACTCTAAGCCTAAATAGCCAGAATACCCTAGAGTAGAGCACTCTTGATGTTTCCCTAAACGGTATTTTTCATCTACAATTTCCGGTTCTAGCAATCATTTGCACGTCTCCGAAATCCATCGCGCTAAGAAAGTTCGAAAACCTTATGCCTTCCACGGGTAGAACAATCCAGAGTAGAGTTTTTGCGATACGGATTCTCGGGGCAAAGCTCAAGCACGTGGCTCCTCCGCGATGCAATCATCTTTGCAGTCGACGTTGTTGGATCATGGGAGACCTCCGCGTGCCCATACTCGCCAGTGAAACTCCTAGTAGTACCCATATCAAAAGGCATCACTCGGCAAAGCACGTGATAGGTGGTCCATCCTGTGATCCTGGTCACAGCTGCTCATTTAACAGACCCCCGTCCGGGAACGGCCCGAAAGCTGAGCCCCCGTTCACCGCATGCCAGCCAAGCTGCCCAGATCTTGCTTTCCCTCGCAGCGTGGATCGTGAAGATCAAGCATGGGCACCTCAGCACGCACACGGCTACATGAGTGGGAACCTACATGTACTCGGGTGGCCAAAAAGTCTATGGCCCCCACCATCTGCTGCAATCAGTGGCTCGGCCACTTCTTGACCCAATAGAACGGCGGCAGAGCCACAGATTGCAGCAGGGCGGGAGGGTGTCATAGGCTACGTACGGTATCCGGCAGTTATCGATCGATCGGATGCGCAGGATCCGGAGGAAGAAAAGCATCGAGCTAGGATCCGGCGCTGGGCAGAGAGTCCAATGAACGGACCCCGACTCTGTCTCGTATTCCATCCATAGCCATGCCACCACGATATGACACAGATTCCTCTGGCAACTTTCCTCTCACCACCGCCGCCGGGCTCCAATCGTCGAGATATGTTGCTGCAGCAGCGTTGTGCTTGGAAGCCGCGCGGTCATCGTCTTGTCTGCATGGCGTTCCTCTTGGTAGACGGATCCCTAACTTAATTCTTGCTAGAGTAGCACTCGGCGAATTGTAAACGGTAACAAGTGAGTTGAGGCTTGAGCTTTGTTTACTCTAGAGTAGGAACCTAGCACGCGAGTGTTCGTTCCCATGCGGGAGTGGATTGGTTAACCGCTTCACATGCCACACTAGGGGACATGTGTCTATGTGACGAATAGAGTCAAATCATGTACCATGGTTGGCTGGGATCGTGCTGCGCCCTGATGGTGACCTCATGGCTGCTCTACTCGTGACGGAGCGTTTAGGGCCCGGACATCAGGTCAGATACAGTACATTCCTTCCCCGAAATGGCAATTCTCCACCTTAAAATCACCCGTTCAAATAAAGATTCTCGGATATATAACTACCAGAGTTGTCGGTTTTCGGATACCTAGAGTACCATCAAATGCCTGTCACGAACAGTGAACACCCCCTGCACGGATGTGAGAGTAATTCCACGGTCCACCGACGGCGGCAACCGCATCCGTGTGCACTGCTGTGGAGAATGCTACGGTAGGTACTTACTCGCGACACCGCTGCCGCTTTCATGTAGAGTACTCTATCTACATCAAAAATACCGTTCATATGTAGGTAGATTCATAGGTAAGCCGCTCGAGAAACTTCTGGTCATCCGGTAATCTCAAGATTATCACACAACGTCCACATGTGTCCGAACTGCAGCGTGTAGGATCCTCGGAACTTTATAGCCATGGGTGGCCTTGCGGCGTGGGCAAGTCTGCAGGGTGCTCGGATTACCGTATCGCCGGTTGTCAGCTCTCTCTCCACAAAAGTTTTGCTAGACCGCTGCCTCCCTACCTTCAAGCTCTGGTAACTCAACTTCTGATGGGTCACCTAGGTACCTATCCAGACACTTATCGGTCATGTGTAAGCTTCTCGAAATCTTCAAAGCACCGGAAGGTAGGTACATATCATTCTCAACTTTCAAGCGGCTTTGCAAGCAGTGTTTTTCGGTATTTGATAGAAGCGGCAATGTGGTTTTATGTTGCACGCGACTGGACTCTGGAGGCACACATCTGTTACTTTTTTCTCGCGCCCAACGTAGGACCCAGGTAAATAAGTTGCTCTGTTATTTCCCCAACAGGGAGATTCCCCAACAGGGAGATTCCCCAACAGGGAGATTCCCCAACAGGGAGATTCCCCAACAGGGAATCAAAATCATGCGGCGTTTATTCCTGAAATGAACAGACAACGGTTGTGCGGCGTAGGCATCCCACGGCTTTGGCCATATGACAACTCGCATAACCCCGAGTGGCTGGGTGAGAATAGAGTACATAAGCTCGAGTCCTCACCGGATCGTCGCCAAGGTCATAGGATATCGCTTGCCCGAGTGGTTGCCCTGTAAGAAAAATCTCGATAGCTGGCTCTGCCCGAGCAATGGCTTCGTACTCGTGCTCGTACTCGTACTGGGCTTCGTGACTCGTCCAATCGGTGGTTTGGGACCTTGGTGCGCATTGCTAGACTACCTACACCGGGCCGAAAGGCAGTGGGGTGGACACGGTGACGTGAAACTACCTACACAGTCGTGATCTACCCAAGTCAAATGCTATGATAGCTATGGTGGTTAAGCAAAAAAAGAACATTGCTAGGGTATCTACGTGCTTCGTTGCTATATAACCTCAGATATAAGCCCCAGCCCTGTCCGCGCGGTAACTAGCTGTCTCAGCCTGTAGTAGAGTATACATACCGCATTCTTCTGTGAAGTCCGTCCTCGTCGCAACGACAGCCGCCCATAGCTCGCACATCAATGATCACACACGACAAGCAGCTCGGCCTTCTCAGCTCTCGGCGCATGTCATATCTGCGGAAGCCGCAATCCCGACTCTCGAGTACAGCTTACCTTTATCTAGGATTATACGTTTACGGGAGAAACCGTTTTCCGTCACGATTGCTCGAGGCGACACCCGAACGGAAGCCTGCTACCCATAAGACCCAGAAATGCTTAGATAGAGTATGGCTCCAGAGTCCAGAAGTGGGTTCGATTCTGTCACGACTGCGCAGTAGGATCTCGGTCAGCAACAGTATGTACTCTAAATTCTCGCCATACTCTTTGTGCGCATTTCGTAGCTCGGCGAGCCAGCGGATCCGGATAAAGCGTTGTCCTGTGGAGTTCAACCGTTTCCGGGCTCTCTCTCCGAGCGCAGAAATCGAGGTGTTCGATGACGGAAGCTGTCGATACATCTCCAGTGAAAAGCTTGATCTGATACGGGTATGTACCAACTAATCATCGTTGATCAACTGGTCTCAAGTACTGATTGTTTGGTGAAACTTGGTTGATATTCAAAACCACTACAGTTTGTAGGCTCAGCCTATTCCGTCGAACCATCTCCAGTGATCTTCTGTATGAGAGTGGAAGGTATTTGGCCGAGAAAGCAGCTCTACTCCAGTCTGTACTGGAGAATCCGAAGGTGATCACTAATTTCCTGCCGAGAGAGAGAGAGAGAGAGAGAGACGACATCAATTAATTGGCATATACGACTCGTCTATGCTATACTTTAGCGGCCTGTTACCTCAATGCCTTGCCGCTGCCGACCTGCTCGTAACGTTAACGTGGAGGTGGTGATGATATCTCGTGAACCTGAAGTTGCTTGGCAGCTGAAAATAGGGTCGGTAACCTACATTAGCGGGCTTGGCTTTCGGCGAAAAAAAGTTCGCGCTTGTGGAACCAACGTCCATCGCAAGTTCTTCTCTTCTTCTCCTTCCACCTCCACCTCTTTCTTCCCTCCTCATCAAGAAGTCCTCCCAATGGCTCGACACTCAACCTCCGTCATTACTTCCTGATTAGTTCACCACGGACACGGGCTGCGTCCGCCAGCAGCAGCCTTCTAATTTGAATGGTGAGAACTTCCTTCATACGCCTCACCTTCCCTACCCCATCTTCCCCCGTTGTCCCCCCATCCCCCTCCATCTTTTATGACGATAAAGAGCCCTAGCGCTCGATCTTTAAACCCAGCTCTTCGATTGACACAAGTTGTCTGTGAGATAAGAATTTAAATCTGATCTTTGATACCAAACCCCGCTTTCTGCTGCTACAAAATCACTTGCTCCACTGCAGTTGCTGACTCGATTTCGTTGTTCAGGATACACATGATTGAAATCCTATTCGCCCTGCTTTTAGGCCCGGGAACGCTGCCAGGCGCATAGCATTCTAACAGTGACACTGTTCACAGCGACAACCCGATCGGTAAGGATTCCCTATCACTCGATTTTTTCCCCCCAAGCCGCAATCCAATATGATGATATATCATAGCTGGCACCAGTCCTAGAGATTTGTACTCTTCACGATGCGGAACAGCTTTTGCTTTATGCGCCAGTCGCCTTGGCGGGTGGCTGGTTTACCTGATACTTTTTGCCCAACTACCCTTTTTGCCGCACCCAAACGTTAAGAAGCGCGTCCGCTAACGATAAGCGCTTCAGAGCAGATTAGTCTGACGATCCAAAACATCGTTCTTTTGAATATGTTTAAAGGGACGCGATTCATTCCGAACCCACTTCCTGTGTCACCTATTTCGTTGGAATTCCGTGGGACTCAAGTGTTATTCGGTACCGGAGAGGGGGGCTGAGATGCGTGCTACGGATCTGAAGTATCACTCTATGACAGAACCACCGAATATACATGGTCAGTGGGGGCCCGCATTGCGACGTCTCCCCTGCACCAAGTACCCTGCCTGCTGCACTTTGTATCGTGATGGTGAATCTCGGGACTATCTGCGGCCGTTGGTATATAAGTACATTAATAGACCTCTCCCAAATGACCCTGAGCACTGCACCCTGCAAAATCGTGACCATTCTTTGTGTTCCAGAGTATCGTCGAACTTGTTGGTAACTGCGGGAGTGAACCAGCTCACCCGCGGTACCCCTCTTTCTCTGCGCGTCCGTGGGGGGTTTTGCGAGGGTTGCGCCATCGTCTCCGTATTAGAAATCCGACTTTGCAACGGCAATTGATGGTGGTCGATGATTGCCCAGCCCAGTTGTCCCCAATTAGGTTAATGGGTCGTATGTCATGGGAGCCGGAGCGCTGAGCACGTCATCCAAACAAAACGTGGGCTCAAATCCACCCCTCAGGAGAGAACGTGAAGGAAAGAAAAAAAAAAGCGATGCCCACCGAACATGAGCGATGGCGCCATGCCTTGACAGCCGGTGCCTCCCCCCCTCCCCCCAATCTCCTACCGTCGGTAGCGTCTGCCCCGCCTCCTGCCCCACCATAAAACCCACCACCATCTCTCATCCTCATCCACATCTACAATCCATCTACCAAACCTCTCTACCCCTTCAACAAACAAACCCCCACCACAACTTCAATCACAATGGCCGACGAGCGTCAGAACCCGTAATTCCTCCCCGGATCTTCGGATACGAGCAGAGCAGATTTGCTGACATGTTTTACTGCAGCATCCGTCTGGGAACCACTGCCCCGAACTTCGAGGCCGAGACCACCCAGGGTCCCATCAAGTTCCACGACTGGATCGGCGACAGCTGGTGTGTCTTCTTCTCGCACCCCGAGGGTCAGTTACCGTATCCTTCCGCCGGCCCCATATTCCCCAGTCCGTCTGACATGTCGTGCCTCTTCCAGACTACACTCCCGTCTGCACCACCGAGCTCGGTGCTTTCGCCAAGCTCCAGCCCGAGTTCACCAAGCGTAACGTCAAGATGATCGGTCTCTCGGCCAACACCGTTGACTCGCACGATGGCTGGATCAAGGACATCAACGAGATCTCGCAGTGCAACCTGACCTTCCCCATCATCGGTGACAAGGAGCGCAAGATTGCCTACGCCTACGACATGATCGACCACCAGGACATGAGCAACGTCGACTCCAAGGGAATCGCGTTCACCATCCGCTCCGTCTTCGTCATCGACCCAAAGAAGACCATCCGTCTCATCATGTCCTACCCCGCCTCCACCGGACGCAACGCCGCCGAGGTCCTGCGTGTTGTCGACTCGCTCCAGACTGGGGACAAGCACCGGTGAGTTTCAGCCCGGTTCAGATTGGTATGGGATTGTTACTGATTGCGACCACAGCATCACCACCCCCATCAACTGGATCCCTGGTGAGGACGTCATTGTCCACCCCGGTGTCAGCAACGAGGAGGCCAAGGTTCGTTGACCATTTCCCCCCGGAAGCCTGCATTCGGATTTGCTAACACTACTGCGCGTAGACCCTCTTCCCTGACTTCCGCATCGTCAAGCCCTACCTTCGCTTCACTCCCCTCCCCGCCGACAAGATCTAAATGTGCAAACAAAGGTCATGGACGGAAAATAATGAATAACGGCGTTTAAACTCTTCTTTTTGCTTCTTCTTCTTCTTTTGCTTCTCCTTCTCCTTCTACTCTGGGAATACCTGTATTCAGGACCGGGGCATCGCATTGTAGCTCAATATAAAGCTGTAAAGTGGATGCATGATATCAGGCAAAACCTCGTCGCGTGAGAACCTGTGCAAAACTCTCCATAATAGCCGACGTCAGGCAGGCGCGAGCACAAGCACAAGCACAAAAGCTAAGCTTAATCCCAAGCTCTTTATTACTTGATGCGCTCGATCTCGAACAACGTATGATGTAGCATGTGCGGTCCACACAGCACACGGCGCAAGCATCAATCAGAGCGATTCATTCGTGCTATGTACACACGGGCAGATGCTTCCTTCGCTCTCCGCCCTCCCGACGCAAATAACTCCCACGCGGCGCCCATCACACTGATCGGTGATTCGGATCCCGCGTTGGGGATTTGTATGTAGGTACATCACACATCACACATCACACGCATCAGATCTCGTGTTGGAATTGTTTCCGTCCGGGTCGACGCCCGCATGCGGCGGTGGCGGCGGTGATGTTTGTGTTCGCGGATACCATCTGCCTTACCCTGCGCATACATACCAAAGCAGTTATACCGTACCCACTCCACTCTAGAGTATTGTACATCCTACCCAGCTGCGGGAGTGATGCGAATCATGCGATGAGACAACGTTCTGCCCGCCGCGCCACGTTTGCCCCGGAAGATGCGATATCGATCTGCGGCCCTGTGGCCCTGCGGGTCGCGCACGGAAATTGTGCGTGCTATGCCCGTGCCCTCCCCCGCAACACACATGTACCCTCCAGCCCTCGGAGCGATTGATAATCGATGTCTGACCGCCCCACCCCACACCCCCACCCACCCACACCACACTGCATGCTACCATCCGTGCGGTGCGATGCGATGCGGATGTGCACTCCCACTCCCACCCGCAGTCCCACTCCCCTCCCTCCCACTCCCACTCCCAGTCGACCTCTCGATCCGCTAACGGCACCATTATCCCCTGTCCTGTCCCGCCCGCCCGCGTATTCCGCCCGCTTATCGTTGCAAGGCAGTTGTCGAGGGCGTCGATGTCGGTCGTGGATGCCCAACTAAGTACCCACCTACCCATAGGTATGCCTACATACCCAAGTACTCTACGTATCCGGGTAGATGGTAGATACCACCTGCCGGCCCTGAGGGTTCCACAGCATAAGCTGCGTACATTGCTATGCTCACCGGCACTCATCGAACAAACAAACAAACGAACGCGGCTCATGGGGTTGTCCGCTATGGGGTAATGAGACGAGATGGCGGGGGAAGGGGAGGAGGGGGTGCTGAGGGTGCTGAGGACAATCGCGAGATCGAGAAGTGCTGACGAGGCTGGAGGAGGTGGTAGGCACATGGAGATAGACGGGGGTGGTAGATAGATGGAGGTAGACGGAAGTAGACGGAGGTAGACATTATGGCTTTCTTTCGCATCGATATCAAAGCCTTTCTGCCTGCCCGCCTGCTCGCCCGCCTGTCTGCCCGCCCGGTGCAGCATAATCGAGCCCCCCACTCACTTGCATTGGACTCAACCCCTCCCGGTCAACCAAAGACGGTATCGACAAGCTGCACGAATGCAGATCGGGGCCGCTTCTTTGTTCCGGTACGAGTTTCTGGAACTCTTGCCGGGACTGGGAAAGGTTATCATCGGTGCTGCAGACTGCAGGTTGGCTTAGCTAGGGCTACATGGAGCATCATGGTTACTTAAGGTGTCCGTAACTTGTTTAGTGTTGCATTAGGAAAAAGCGATTAACCACATATGTAGAACGGCCACGCTAGATACTCTATTTTTCAAATTCGGTCCTTCTTTTTTCTTCTTTTTTTCCTGCAGTCCTGCGGCGACATTCTTGCCCAGCAACTCAGGCCTCCCGTAAAGTTTAGACTGGCCTTGCTCACCCACGACCACCTGCCACCACGGCCACCGCCCCCACCCCCGTTCCCACTCGCACTCCCACTACCGTTCCTTCGCTGGAATGTTCCTTCTCAACGCGGTATGAACTTGGTGAATTTATCATCAGAATTCGATTTCGCCTAAACTAGCAATGCGGCCTAACTGCCTATGTCCTCTCGATACCTTCTACCGTACTACCAGCCCGAGCTATCCGGCATGGGACGCTGGTGCTTTGGGCGTTGGCTCGCAGCCAACCGTTGATTTCTCTCCCTTTTCCTCGCTTTTCGCTTTTCTACATAGTATTTAAGCAATCCCGTCTCCCAGGACACGGCCGCATTTGCCCCTCGTCCTTACTATGATACGAGGAGAAGGTGAATTTGAAGAAGTCCCAATCGAAGTCCATCCCTCGCCCTATCACTGTCCCTGTCACTGCCACTGCCACTGCCACTGTCGTTGCTACTACTGTAGCTACCCTCGCTTCTACTACCTTAACTCTATCTTTCCTTCAACGACACTCGTACACTGGGATTGCTTCTCGGCCTGCCTGTGCCATTGAATCGAAGGCCCTGACAAGTATTCAATATACACTGTATCTGCTTACAAAAAATCTCCATCGTCACCTACAAAACCCGGACCAGCGGAAGCAGTCCAAAAAAAAGCCAATCTCGAAAAACTAACCATGGTGCTCCCCCATGGTCCGCAGACCGCCGGAGACTGCCAGATTGTGTACGAGCTTGATCGCGAAGCCGTCGAACGAGCAGCAGAATACGGCACCCTCGAGGATGAAATCCAGCGGCAGAAGACACACATATCGACGCTACCCAACGACTCGGAGGAAGATGACCGCAGCAGCGACACCCGCGGCTCCCAGGTGGGGACTGACTACAAATACCTCGAGTGGACAACACCGGTCGAGGAGCTCTGTCCCAACCCTGGACAGCTGCCGCGTGGAGTGATTGAGGTTGTGGATCCGTTTCGCTGGGGAAATACCAAGAAGAATGTTACGCTCGCTCTCTGCTGCGCTTCCACGTTTGTGGCGGCCTACACCGCGGGTGCCTACACCAGTGGGCTGGCGCAGATGGAGGTCGAGTGGAATATGGAGAGGGTGCCGTTGCTGGTTGGCGTTACGTGCTACACCACGGGATTCGCTATTGCTCCCATGTTTCTTGCGCCGCTGTCGGAGGTTGGTCGTTGCTCATCTATTCTTGGAAGCTGGCGACGCAAGTGCTAATGTGCGGCTAGGTGTACGGTCGTCGAAATGTGTTTTTGGCGTCATACATCCTTTTCACTGGTATGTCATTTCTCGGGCCATTACTGTAACAGCACTTTGGTTGGATCGGCGGACCGGCTGACTTTGTGAAAGTATGTACGTTGGCTTGCGCGCTTACCGACAACTATGCGGGAATGCTGGTGGCCCGCATCTTCCTCGGCGTGGGAGGTAGTACCTTCTCGACTCTCTGCGGAGGTGTCATCTCGGATATCTACCATGCCGAGTTTCGAGGATTTCCCATGGCTTGCTTCTCGACGGTTGCCTTGTTCGGCACAGGTGCTGGTCCGCTGGTCAGCGGGTTCATTGCGGAGTATATGAACTGGCGATGGATCCATTGGGTTCAGCTCATCTTCAACGCCGTCTTGCTGGTGGCTGCTGCGATCTGGTTCAAAGAGACGCGAGGAAGTGTACTATTGATCCGCCGGGCGAAGGCGCTCAACAAGTACCTCGACGAACATTGCCACGAGGGGGTCGACCCAGCGACCGAGAAGGGTAGCCTACGTGTCCGCTGGAAGGTCAAGGCCGAAGAAGAGCGAGCCGGCCTGTCTCAGATGGTGCGAGTGTCGCTCACGCGGCCATTCCACCTCCTCTTTACCGAGCCCGTCGTGTTCTTCTTCAGTCTGTGGACCGCATTCAGCTGGGGAATCCTCTACCTGTGAGTTACACCACTACTTCTCGAAAGAATGTCCTTGGACGGATGGATGCTTACAGTGTGGGTCGCACAGATTCCTCCAGGGTGTCCCGCTGGTCTTCCAGACATCGCACAAGTTCACCATCTCCCAGGTCGGTTCGGTCTTCACGTCGATGTGCATAGCTTCGTTCCTTGCACTCGGCCTTAACAGTCTCGTCGAGGGCTCAGCGCGGCGCTTCATGCCCCAGGCCAAAGGCCCCGAAACCCGGCTCTACGCTTCGTGCACGCTCGGGGCCCTCCTCCCCATCGGCATGTTCTGGTTCGGATGGACGTCCTTCCCCAGCCAACACTGGATTCTCCCCACCTGTGCTGTGGGCGCGGTGACGATCGGGATCTTCTCGGTGTATCTGGCAGTGTTCAACTACTTTGCCGACACGTACCACCGGTACGCGAGCTCCGCCCTCGCCGCGCAATCCTTTTGCCGCAACATGCTCGCCGGGTTCTTCCCGCTGATCACGGACGCCATGTACCACCGCATGACGTTCCAGGGAGCCAGCAGCTTCCTCGGCGGCGTGGGCCTGATGCTCAGCATCATCCCCTGGGTCCTTGTCGTCTACGGCGATAGGATCAGACGGAGAAGCAAGTTTGCCAGCGAGATCATGGAGGTGTAGTACAGCATCCCGCATCTCGCATCTCGCAGCGGCAGTTTTGCTGCTGTCTGTTTCTATTTTTTTCTTGATTTTTCTTTCGTTTTTTCTGCCTTTTTTTCTTCTTTCTTTCTCGGTATTTGCTTTACTTCGCAATACATATGGCTGCGTTACATCGTACAAAAGTTCTTGAAGTACATACGGCGGCAGAATTCACGGTACATAATTTTTTCTTCTTGTTTTTGTCTTTTTTTTCTTTGCATTTACTTTTCTTTTTCTGAATTCTTTACCATTTGCTTTGCATTCTGCGGATTTTTTTTCTACTCTAGTTTCTACATGTTACGACGAGATCGGGCTACTCTACTCTAGACGGAGTTGGGACATTTCGGATCGGGCTCGGGAAGTAGACGGGGCATGGCGGCGGGGGTGGGTGGGGGTGGGGGGTGGGGGATGGGTGATGACATAATGAGCGATGCTTGATTCGACCGATGCATGCATGAACCGATGGCTGGATTTACTCTACTCTAGCTAGTCGTTACGAGCATGTACCTAATGAGCTTGGAGCTTGGAGCTGGTGGTGCAGAGGCCCTGAGGGAACTGGGACACTGGGATACGGGACACTGGGGCACTGGCTCGATGTGGATATGATGTGTTTTGTTTGGCTGGTCGGCTGGTAAAAATGGAGAGCGGTGAATGGTAATTGTTGCAACTGTTTTGCTATGCATACTTGTCCCGAGCCCTGGGGAAACTTTGAGGTCTTTGACGACGAGCAGCCACAATACCGGTAGTATACACCCCACAACTCGACTTTCCGATACAGTCCTCCCTCGTCTTAACATGAACAAGCACCAGCACCGTCCAGTCCAGAATCCTGAATCCTGAATCCAGATCGAGCCGACCTCATGAACCCCACCACCACCACCACCACCACCACCACCACCACCACCACCACCAAAACAACAACAACAACCCCACCCAGCGAGGACCCTATATATCCGGATCCGGCAACCCGGGATCGAGCCCTCGCTCGCAGCTCGCTCGCACCACACAACCACACAACCACACATCTGTGCTACCGCTTCATCAGCCGCATGCATGCACCGTCCCAGAGTCCCAGCAGTGCCCCGTCCCAGCAGCGTACCGTCCCAGCAGCGCCCCGCACTGTCCCAGAGTTCCAGTAGTAGTAGTACCGTAGATAGTAGTCCCTCCGATAGCATGCATCCCGCATCCGCACCGCACCGTTCCCGGGTCCGCCGCCCCCGCCCCCGCCGCCGCCCCCGCCGCCGGCTGCGTGCATGCGAGCCACGCACGCCGACATCGCACCGCACGAACGCAGGCAGACACCGCACGCAGGCAGGCAGGCAGGCACGAACGCAGGCACACAAACAGGCATGCAGGAGTATGTTCACACACGGCTGTGTCACAGCCGATTCCACCGTGTCGTACCGTGTCGCGTAGGTATTTACGGTACAGTACAGTAGGCGGCGAGCGCATGGGCGCTCACTCGCCGCCGCAGAACATCCCAAGTTTCCATGATTCCATGATTCCATCGTCCCGGTGATAAAAGTGATAAAAGTGAAAGTGAGAAAGTGAGAAAGTGAACCGGCTGTATATAGCCTGTACATAGCCTGTCGGGACTCGGGAGCGGGCGCCGCCGCCGCCGCTGCGAGGATCAAGTCGTCCAGGACTCCAGGCCATGCTACATTTGTAACTGTGTATCGTGGATGGCACGCTACGCTACATTTTATGTAGGTAATTATGCATATCCAATGCAACTAGACAGCCTGCATATAACGTAGTAGTTACCGGTAGATATGTATGTAGGTATGTACATACTTGATCCGGATTCTGGATTCTGGATTCTGGATTCTGGATTCTGGGGTTCGGGGTTCTGGATTCTAGAATCTGGGGTTCGGGGTTCGGGGTTGGGCCCCCCGGGACTGGCCCCAGGGCGGGCATGCGAATATGGAAATGGAAATGGAAACGGGATGGAATGGCTTGGTCAAATAGTTACAAGATAGGTATCTGGTTAAGTATATATACCAGCCAGCCAGCCAGCCAGTGTGCAGCAGCAACAGCTCGAGCCTCAAAGCCTGAAGAGTAGGTAGTGCACTACCTACTACCTACCTAACAGTCGTATGGACGTTAGACACCCGACGCCTGTCTCAGTCCTCAGTCCTGGCTCCGGGACTCGGGGGTAACTAACTGGTTAGCTACCGGTAGTTAGCGGGAACGGGTACGGGCGACGAAACGGGAATGGATGCCAATAACTGCTAACAATCGCAAGTGCTGGTTTTTCGCCATCCAGCGGTCATCCAACGTCCAGCCATCCCACCGGCGGCCGCCGCCATGGCTTCTAGAATACATAGTACCCATATATATGTGCCCAGCATGTTTTGTGGATTCCAACACTCGGCAGATCTAGAGTGAATCCAGGGCAGCGTGGCGGTCAGGAACCTGGGAAACGGCTTCCCTTCCCAAAATATTGCGTGGGAAATGTTTCCAGGCCCGTCTGGCTGGGTGATGGATGATGGGTGTCGGGCCATCCCTACCGATAGGGCCAAAGATATCGAAAGGGAAAGGCGGCCAGCCGGTGCCCAGTTGGAACTTGCAACTTGGGCTCCCAAGCAAGCTCGATACCAGCTACTCTACTACCTATGATAGGAGGTATAGGAGGTGCCTGGTATTCCAATCCAGATTCTAGACCGCCAAGTGGATTTGCAGTACCTGGGTAGGTACTACATAGGTAGGTAGGTAGTCCGGAGGGCATGAGTCTAAATACTCCCAGGATTGTTCCGACTCACGAGGCCGCCCTAGGCACAGGATTCAGGAATGACCTCAGGGAGGGTGAAGGGCCCTTCCCCACCCCTGGAGCCATTCCCATTCCCGGGGCATTTGCGAACCAGACCGAGTGACCCTCCGGGCTCGGCGACACATCACGGGCTCGGCTTCGTCACTGGCTTCGTCACTCGCGGATCTTCACCGACTCGAGGCTGCGGTCTCCGGTGCCGCTCTATCCTTCAAAGTTCACGGGCTCGATCCTCCCACTAACTACTACCTAAGTGGGTAATACTACGGTAGTACTAGTAGCATCTAGTGGTAGTAGCGGCCCGCACACACACACCGGGCTATCGTGGACGTGCACGGCAGGCCAGCAGAACCTCCCTTATGTGTAGGAACAGTTTGTTTTAACGGCTCAGCTACCTACTCACATATGTAACCACTATTTGTCCATCCAGTCGACGTCCTCATCCAATAGCCTCTCTGCGGTGTTCGAGCGATGTTCGAGCGATGTTCGAGCGATGCTCGAGCGAAGTGAAGTGAAGTGAAAGCGAAGGCCGAAAAGCCACCAACTACCACTGGTACCGGTAGGAGTGCCTACAGGCTGTGTATCGATACTCCTTCACCGGGGGCAAGGCAGTCCTCGAATATGGCTGCAGTCCTTTGATATACGGCATATCATCTAGTTACGGTGAGGTGAATCCACGCCTGCCGCCGGTCGACCAACCCAATAGCAGTTGTATGTACTATGTATAAATCCCATAAATAATTATAGGTATTATTCACGGCTCCGACCCACTCGGTGACTCGGGAGTCTGAAATGCAAACCTGAAACACCGTCCGGAATGTTTCCAAGAATGTCTCTTCTCCTCTCTCCCGCGGGTCTGCCGTCTGCGGTCTACTCGGAGCTGATGAAACAACACTCACCACTCCTCACCTCCCCGCCTCTCCCGCTCAGCTGTCGGTCGATCCTCATCACATCACCGGATGTAGTCACAGGTCACAGTCAGAGTCAGTCAGGGACAATATTGGCAGTATTTCCCCTTCTATATACATACGGTAGTTACGATACGATACAAACACACGGAACGCAATATATACTATGCTAAACATGCACGCTATGAAAAGAAAGAAGAAAAAAACTTGAACTCCGGTCCCACACCCCCACTGGTCCCACAGATCTACACCTAAACCCTCAAACAAACAAATGAAAAAATGAAACTGAGCGGAAAAAAACAAATAAGGAAAAAAACTGATAAAAAAAGATTATGGTTCCCAGGCTCGGGATTGGTATGCTATGCGATGCTATGCTATGCTATGCTGTGCTGTGCTATGCTGTGCTGCGCAAAGTACTGTGATCGATCTATGAAAAATGAAAATAAAAAGCTGGAACCAAACTGATAAGCAAAGAAAAAAATGAAAATCCCGTTTCATCGTTACAACCAGAGAACCCACCGTACCATTCGAACACCCACGGTAACGGACCCCCTCACAATCCTGAATGCGAGGAAAACACTCCATACCACCCAGAGCAGGACCACAACCATCCACTCGACGGAGCCCCATAGCATCCTTCTGAGCAACCGCATCTTCCCGCGTCCCTTACGCCGCCGGGCAAGCGAGAAAATCTCGTCCTGTAGCTTCTTGACATTGAGTGTGAGCTCCGTTGTGACGCGGGTGCTGAGAAGGTCCGCTTCGTCGGCGACAGCGCGGACAGCGGGTGTGAGATTCTGTGATACCTCCTTGCTAACGCGGTTGACACGGCTGTGGTAGCGCGGGGCGGTTGGTTCCATAAAGCTGCTGCGGCGGACGTTGTAAGTGCCGAGTAGTGTGTCGAGACGGTTGGTAGAGGTGTTGATGGAGCGCAGGCGTGGATTGAAGACCGAGGGAGCGGATATGTACATGCCACGAGCCACGATGCCGGTGGCGATGAGTTTGGCCCGCGCATGATGTATGTCGCATTTAGAGATGGACGGCGACGGATCCACCGGCCGGGGAGGAGTCTGTTTGGTGGGTTCTTCCAGGGCGTCGGAGAATTGTTGTAACGGCGGCTGTAACGCGTTGAGACGTGACAATCCCAGATGGCCGTCAGCTTTCCGACGAAATGCATCAAACTTGATCGCCCCCATTGGTGAGCGCTCACGGGAGATTAGTGGAATCGCAAGAGGCTCCCTGAGCTTGCTACCACGACGCTCAGGAGAGATTGAGCGGTCGCTATCAAAGCTCCTCCGAAAATTGTTCACAGAGTAACGGCTCCGGTGATTTGGCGGTCTTGACTTCTTGGAATTCTCTGACTTGAGCTTTGTCTTCTCGTGATCTTCTCTCTCCGATGCGGAGAGGGTTCCTTGTCGCACCAATGAACGCTGGTCCTCGTCGTCGCTTGCGGTGAAACTTGATGCCGTCGGCGATGGCATTGTCCCGTCTCCACGCTTCCACGGTATCAGATCCTCCACTCTGGAGACTTCGTTGCGGAGCTTGTCGACTCGAGACATGACCTTCCCGATCGCCGAGCTTTTCTCCTTCTCCCCCGGCTTCTTGTTGTACCGTTCCATGTCGAGCGATTCTCGGCCGCTGTCCTCGACAAAGTCCTTCTCCTTAAAGCCTTCTTTGCGAATGCTCAGGAGCTTCTTTGTCGGATTGACAACCTTACCATCTCTTCTATCATCGTCCCTGATCTCTGGAGTTGCCGACCGCACTCGTGGAGGGCTGAGTGATATGTTGATGCTAGGCACTACAAAATCCGCTCTGTCTACAGCGATCCCCAAGCCGGAATTGCCGGTAGTAAATCGCTCGAGGCTACTCTTGCTGCCGCCAAAGATTGTAGGAAACCCCGTCACGATCCGGCCGGTCAACTTGCTGGGACTTCTCCCCGTCGGCGCTGATTCGTACTCCTCATCTATATCCATACTCTTTCTGTACTCTGGCTGATTGCTCACTACCGGAATCGGGCCTCTCTCTTCAGTCTCCGATGGAATCCAATCCATATACTTCGATTCCTGCATCCGCCGCTTCTCCTCCATTTCGAGCTCGTGTTGCTTCAGCTTCTTCTTCTTCTTCTTTCCGTGGTGATGGCCTTTGATCATACGTCCCAGCTTCCTCCGTCGGCGATGATGCTTGGGATCCTCCTCTACATCCGCCGTTGCTAGATCGTGTTCTGGCTCCGTGTCGGTAGAATCAAAGAGGTAGTCGGAGTCACTATTTCCGTCCTCGTCCGAAGAAGTAGCCGTGCTTTCGAACCCCTCTTGATCGCCCCTCAGAAAGTGGCGATAATCCTTAGCACCAGCCGCCATCCTCCGTTTGCGTGGCGAGTCGGTGCTGATCTTCCGTCTGGTATCTTCATCGCTGGGCCGAACCTCCACATCATTCTCAGGAACTTCCAGAGACACGCGTTTGTCCCTCATACTTTCTATGCTCTTGACACTCCTCCGCTTCTGGCTCCTCAAGTCTCTCTCCCGCTCTTCGCGCTTAGATTCTTCACACCGCATCCAATAGTAATCCGCCAACATTTCCTCCGGCTCAACAATCCAGTCCATCTTCGGCCTCTTCAACTTCCTTCCATTGCCTGGCGGTGGCCGCGGTACTCCGCCCGCACCAGGAGAGGATATCGGCGCGGCAACATCCTCTACCCACTGTTCAACCGCGCCCGGATCCTCCCACTGCGACGCGTCGAGGTGTATTTTCTTCCTGTTTCGGAGCTTGCGATTCCTAATGACGCGCAAGGGGTTGTACTCGTAGATCTTCTTGTCCGGCAAATCCCTCGGATGCTGTAGCATAGCCAATTTTTGGACTCGGTGCTCCTCGATCTCGAGCAGCTTCTTGAATATAGCCGAGAGCTCGAGCGCTTGCTTCGCCTTCAGTGTGCGCTGTATCGTCGCCTCGGAGAAATGGTACTCTTTTTGCACCTCGCGTAGTCGCTCGGTCCCTAGCGCCCACCGTTTCTTGACCTGTAGATCCCCGGCGCCGCCGAACGGCAGCGGCGTGAGCGACGGCGTGGGAAAACTTGATCTTCCAGGGGTGGACGGAGGCGGCGACGAGGGCATTGTTTGTCGCTTCCCAGCACCTGTAGACGTAGATGTCGACCTCCCTGGGATCAAAAACGAGCGCGTAGGCGAAGCCGTCCTGCCCCTCCCGCTCCCACCCCCACCGGACTCCCTGCGAGGCCCGGATGAGGGGGATACGGTCATGGTGTTTCCGCGCTGGCGGCGAGTAGACGACGACTCTCGTTTCCGTTTCTGCGCCTCGGAGAGGACCAGTTCCACCATCTGCGCGGGGTCCGTGTCCTGCGCAGCGGTGGAAGCATCCGCGCCGAACGTGCCAGTGCTGGGGCGGGTGCAAAGGCTCGGTTCCGTGCCGGGACGATCGAGGGAGCCTCGTCGACTGCTCGTATTGTCGAGGAGAAAACCGCTGGCTGCATGACGGCGCGCGCGGGCTGCCGTGCTAGGGGGGTGTGCTGAGGGGTTTGAGACGCTGCGGTACGACGCTGAGGACGGGGAAAGCGAGATGTTGTTCTGCGGGGCTAGCGAGGAGCTGTACACCGGTGTTGAGAGGCGGGATGATATTGACGGCTCTGTCGGTGTGAGAGAGGGCTTGCGCCGGTCGTGAGGTTCCGTCATGGTCGTTCGTTGTGTTGATGCGAGAGCTGCGAGCTTACCGTCGGGTCGGCGGTTTAGGTTTGTTGCGCGAAGGTAGAGCGAGATGAAGTGTCAAGAGCCTGCTCCTCCGCGAATGGAGAGGAAGCGGTGATGTATGGGCTTGCTCTCGTCGTCCATGAGCGGACGTAGAAAGGCCGGTGAGATCGATTAATTGTTGGGAAATGTCGAAGTTGGTCCGGTTAATCACTTGTCCCTTGCAGCTCTACTAGTAGAGTAGCTGCAGGACAGCTGGACGGACAGCTGCAGATCGCGTCATAACGTGTCACGCGGTCGTACGGATTTGCATGTGAAGGCATAATGCGCAAATCAAATCAAATGATGTATTCAGAGTGCTCAGGACAGGAGTGAGAAGTACTTAGAAGTAGTTTATTGAAGGCTATTTGTCTCGTTGCTTCTTCGTCTCCCTCGTCTCCTCTCCATCCTCATCGTTGTCCTCATCTTCATCGTCTTCGTCTTCTTCTTCGTCTTCTTCTTCGTCTTCTTCACTCTCTCCTTCACTCTCCCTCTCATCCTCGTCATCATCTCTACCAGAGCTTTCCTCCTCACCCTCCTCCCGGCTCCCCTTTCCGCCAGACCCATTCCCCTTTTTCCTCAAAAGCTCTCGTTCCCGTTTCCTTTGAACGTATTCCCTATCCCTCCCGCCCAAATATACCTTTACCTCTTCTAGATAACCCTCTGTGATCTCATTATCTTTTTTCGGCAGTCCCTGGCTCGCCGTCCACACAGTCCCCTTCGAATTCGTCCCCAGGGTCCTAAACTTCATATCCTGCCCAAACATCTTCGCACACTTCTTCGCCGTTTCCTGGAGTGGCGCCTGCTCCCACCCCTTGATCGCCGCCATTCCCATAACCTGGCTCCAGTCACGCAGCTTAACACGGTACCGTCGGTTCCGGAGGTAGCGGGCATAATCTTCTGGTGTTGCTTTGCCACGTTTACGCTTCTTTCCCGACTGCGGTTGGCCAGCGGATGAGGAGTCACCGTCGTCGATGGCATCCGGATCCACGCCGCCTTCTCGCGCCTCGGCCTGTACTTTTTGCCACTTATACTTCGCATCGCTGCTGGGGATAAGGTCCTTCACGTAGTGTTCCCGTTCCTGATGTAGCCCCACAAGCAATGTATCAAGGCGCGAGATGACATCCCTAATCACAGGGCGGACCAGTGTCCCAATCTCGTCATCATCCACCGCGAGCTCCAACCCCTCTTTCTTCTCCATTCTGACCCGCTCCTTCGCCTTGCGCATCACCAGAGCAGTCAACATCTCCTCCAACATGGCACTCGGCGCCTTGTGTCCCCCCCTCTTCCCCTTTGCCGCACCGGTGGTGGTACGGTGCGCATCATCACCCCTCTTCCTCCCCAGCGCATGCGTATTTCCTGGGACATGATCTCGCTCCCTCGGCACGTCCTCCTTCCCTAGCGGCCACGCAGTCCACTGGCTCCTAATGAACTGCCGCAAATTTTCCGGCACCTCATTTTTCTCACCACCGTGCTCGTTAATAGCTCCGTGCGGTAATTTCTTCTTCAAAACATGTGCATTGAGCAGGTGTGTGCCGAGCTGCAAATGCGCGTCCCACTCCACGCTCTCGATTATGCGCCATAGCGGCGTGACCGTGGACTGCGTCTCCTCCCGGTCGCCCCAGCGGCGCCGCGTGTTGCCTTCGTCGGAATCGACATCGTTGTACACGCTCTCGTCCGGCGTTTGAAATTGGCGTGGGAGCCCCTCGTCGTCGTCGTCGTCGTCGCCGGAGAGAGATGGCGGCTCGGAGGCCGTGCGGTAGTCGGAATTTGTTGGGGAGGTGGGCGTGGGAGAGCGCCGTTGTGCGGGCTCGGGTGAGGGCAAAGGCGAAGCGTCCCCGCCAAAGATCGAGAGGCGCGACATTGTGAGGTTGGGTGAAGGTGGGAGAACGCGACGCACGATTTGCTGCACGTCGATGGGTGCCGGGATGGCGGGATGTTGCCGGGTTGCCCAACGACGGCTCGGCCCGTGGTAGAGTGAAGTTAATCGACGGTACCGTATGTAGAAAAAAAAGATACCGCAAATTGAAATCGAGCGCTCCGGAGGAATGCCAAAACTTCCTATTATTTAGAGACAGTGTTTGCCCCGGCTAGGACAGCTTAGGCCGCACGCCGTACGCCGTACGGTGAGAAAGTGGTTTGCAGTACCACGAGACACGTAAGAAATTCAATTCTTGATCTGTTTGTATGTACGATAAGTATCGTATGTACATACACGCCGAGAAACCAGACAGCTAGTGCAGTGGATGATCTCCCAGCCGATACGGTACTGGTATTCCAAGCTTGAGTCTGCGGTTCCGAACTTCACCTTGGGCGTGCGAGGTATGTGAAGCGCATATTGACAACAGCTCTACCGATCACCAACATCCGGGTTCAGTCCTCAATCTCCTCAGCAGTCGAAATCACCTATTCAATTCTTTGCTGTAATTCGTGTCCCCGATACCTATAGACTGCACGACCGAGAAAAACAACATGGAAGAATCGACCGTATCGTAGAGAAAGAAAAGCCCACCCTATGCTAAAACAACAAAAACAAAGTACTAAGGGAACCATGTAAAGTAAGTAGGTAGAAGCCCCACACAAGCAAGGTATCAAAATGTTCCACAGCCCCTCCAAAAAAAAGGCTATCTTACATGACAGCCATATCATCACTGCCTCGCCGTCTTCTTCTTCTCCCTCAACCGACTGAACGCCTCAAATACCTCGTCCTCAACGGTTGAAATCTCAGCCACCGTCAAATCCGCGCCGTCTACCATTGCCAGAGCCTTCCTGATGGCTTCCATTGCGGTCATCGCGGGCGGGCTGGCGGCAACGGGCTGTTCCTTGTCTTCCTCCACTTGCTGGATAGTAGGTTTCGACTCCTCCACTTGCTGAATAGCAGGCTCCGACTCCTCCACCGTCTCTTTGTCCGCCTCAGGCGTCGCAGCACTCTTCATCATGGCTGACGCCAATGTCGAGCGTCGCTTGCTCCGTCGCGCTGAACGCGGGGTGACAATCTCCGAGTTACTGGCCTCCGACAAACTATGTCTTGGGCTTCTAACCTGGAGCTCGTCCGTGTACTCATCGTTCGCGAACAATCCCTTCGCCTTGCGACTCTTTGTTGGTGTAGAGCCAAACTTTGCAGCAGCAGCAGCAGCAGGTGGAGGCTGGGAATCGGCGACTGAAGATACAAAACTATCGAACTGGGTTTCGCCAATAAACGAGACATCCTTCTCTTCTACAGCGGCCTTTTTGGGGGATCGCACTCGTTTTGACGCGTTGCGTGTACGCATCGGTGTCGGCGATGGCGCTGGATCCTCTATATTATTGTTGTTAGTGGTGGCCGCCCTCGCCGCGGTAAGGTCTATGGACGTACCACTCCTTTCATCGAGATCTTTCCTGCTGGAATCGAGTGCGCTCACAAGTCCTCGCGGCGGTTTCCGTCCCTTGTTTTTCCTTGCCGAAACCCTCGTCTTAACCGGCGTGTCATTTGTATCCGCAGATTTTACTCTCTTCGAGGACCGCTCTGTTTCTGGCGACACGGGTGCCAACGGCGGAGGATGACTCGCCATAAGAGAGTGCTTAGCTTCTACTACGACTTCAACAGTGTCGAGTACTGGCAGTGAGGGCTTGGGCTCCTGTGGTAGGGAAGAGCCTCGCTTTCTCTTCTTCGCGCGCTTCTTGTTGCTTCGCGATCGAGGAGTGCCCGGCGTTGCAGGCGTGTCTGCTTCACACGCCACTGACGTAGATGCGTCGGACATGGAGGTAGACATACTAGCGCGAATGTCCTCGCTGTTTCTCATTGGCGGTACCACAAGAGTGACCACCTCTGAGGTATCCTTGACGCGTCCAGCGACTCGCGCCTTTTTGCGGACAGGAGAAGGCCTTTCGGGCTCCTCAACTTCGGGCTGCGGGAAGTGATCGGGGGCATCCACGAAAGGTTCATCGTCGGAAGTTCCATCAGGCGGTATACCAGCAGGAGGCCCAGGCGCTGGCTTTTCCATACTAGTCTCAGAATAATCCGCCATGGGGGTATCACCACCCATGTCAAGATCAGTCAACTCGGAGGACATCTCACGAGGTATGGTTGCTTCGTTATTGCCCTTACGCCGAACAGAGCCAGAGACTGATGGAGATCGAGAGCCAATGTGAGACTCCGAAATGAATGAAACCATGAAATCAGGTGCCATGGTCGACTCTTTAATCGTAGTCTCAGGTATTTTGTCTGAGTATCCGTGACTCTGCGAGCCAATAGGCGTTTGGTTCCGCCTCTTTGAAGTCGGCGACTCGTCGCCCACTTTCATGGTCTCCCTCTTACTAGCGGCGGGTGTGGCTCTTATCAACTCAGGGAACATCACTGCCGCCTGAGCCTGCTCCTCTCGGACCTCTTTCTGGTGTTCGGTGATGAGTTGCGAGTCTTGAGCTTCGAGTGACGGCGTGCCTTCGATGGCTACAAAATCGAGCTGCGAATCCATGTGTTTTGGCTTTGGCATTCTCTTCGTGGGAGTGGGCGTAGGCTGGTTACTTCTCGGTCTTCCGCGAGCTGGTGTCTCCCTAATTACACTCGTAGGAGTTGACGTGCGTGCCCTTGAGTTAGGAAATAACTGTCGAGCTGGTGTTGGGCTGGACCATTGTATATCGGCAACCGATTGAGTATTTCCTGCGTCTTGTGATTCGGTGAACTCGGGAGGCGTGAATACACCCGAATCGTCCTCGGGAAAGCCGGGGAGCGATAGATCAGTGATAGTCCTCAGCCTCGCCAATGCCATCCGCACTCTGCTAGGATAACTAAGCGACTCCTGCTTTCCGAAAGTGTTGTTCCACGTCTTAATGGTAATATTGACAGTCGATTTCCGCCGGCTTTCAAGGCCGCTTGACAATAGAACATTCAGATCGGACAGAATTTCGCTGTCATGTCGTGGTAGAGACTCGACGGCTTGGAGGACGTTTTCCCATAACTTTGTAGCAGCCATAGCGCTGAATCCATTCTGTAATTACATGAGCAACCACTGAATCGGAATTAGAGATCTGGATAACCCACCATTCGAGCATTCTGGTTAGAAGGATCTTTGGCCCATAGCCCAAGGCCCTCTTGCATCTGCTTCAACGGTGCCATTGATCCAGATGGTGACCGCGTAATGAATTCAAGAACAGCCTTGCAAAGATCAACTCCCAGGGCTGTAAATTCCTTGTCAGAGGATTCGTAGGTTTGTAGAAGTGAACTGTTGGCCAACGCATAGAGGCTCTCCAGTGAACTGCAATAGTCAGCATTCCCGTAAATTACACATGGCAATTGTGGCTTCATACTCAGTGTTTGCCGATTTTTGATCACCAAGCCCACGGTGACCCTTAAACATACTCTCGATAGTGGGCTTCTTCTTCGCAATGCTGGCATTCCGCAGGAGAATAACCGTCCGCTCCACGTTCAATCCGCTAAAGCAAAAATCAGCAACCATCACACGAAATAGACTACAGGTGTCCAACAAGCGGGATTTCAGTTTCAGCGTGCGAAGCGATTCTGCTAATGGTGCGATGATGTTGGCCGCGACGTATGCATTGCCAAGCTCGCCCTGGACAACCTCAACGAGCTCCTTAAACAGATTTTCCCATTCCGATACATACTGCTGAGATCCCCAGGCAAGCACCGTAACCGCGTCTTTGAACTCCCCACCCAATGGTGATGGGCTGAGGAGCGCCTTGGTTATTGCTGGCGCCGGCAAAGCCCCACGGGTCAGTTCGGCCAAAATATCCCAAAGACCCAGATGCACAGCATTGATTTCTCTTCGGGGCAGAAGCGTCTCGCAGGATGCCAATAGATGGAGTTTCTTCCGTCTAGAATCCTGAGACACGCAGCATTTTGAAAGAATACGCCTGGCGCAGTTGAAGTATTGCTCGTCGACTGGAATTCCAGGTGGAGGTTCAACCAGAAGTCGCACGATGTGCAGTAGTGGAGGAAGCCGATGTCCGTTGTTACTATCGGACTGGTATTTATGAATGGGCGTGGATGCAGGAATAAACCTCGACTTCTCATCAAGAGCCAACTGCTTCTCTGTGAAACACAGTGTTCCTAACGAATCTAGAGCCGTTTCAACCAGGAAGGTGAACCGCTCAATGAAAGAGAAACCGGAAACAGGCTCCAGATTTTCTGGTGCTTCGCCCCACATGCGCTGGAACATGTTGAAAAGACACGACACAGCCTCCATGAGTTCTGGTACAATCTTGATCTCCTTATTGCCTGCATCTGCAAGTATGCGAGTAAATCTTTTCCACACTAGTCGAGCTCCCGGAGCATCTGTGTCCTCCCATGTTGTCCGACGGAGGGCGACCTCGACTATCGTGAGGACCTTTTCACAATTTGACCGTACCCATTTCGGATCCAATCGAGGTACCTCTTCGGTCTTCATGAAAGGGTGGCCAATCAAGAGGCGATCCTCGCTCCACCGCTTCGGAGTGGTGCCATCGAAGAGGGAGCACAGTATGTTGCATCCATCCATTGCCTCACTGCCCGCCAGGACCAGGTTCTGAATCAACCCAACTACTACCACCTCCCAGATTTCCGAGAGTTGCTTTGCCGACGCACTAGGTCGGAATCCATAGTATAGGTAGACACACACATTCGATAGCGCTGCCTTCCGGGGCTTCCGAGTGTTAAGGCTTGCATTTCTTGGGTCCAGGTACTGCTCCACGGGTTTACACATGAGCTCCAACAGTTTCCGCTGGGTGTTCGGTCCGATGTTGGAGACATATATGAGTTTCGACCAAGCCAGCTGTGCCTCCACCTTGACCTCCGGCTCCGAGACGTTGAAACATGTTTCGATGATTCGCAACCACGGCGTGAAAAAGTCCCACTTGTCCCCAACAGACTGGGTCAGTAGGAGGAGCACCGCCCACAGCTGCGAGACGTATTGCCCCTCATGCTCCTTCTTGACGAAATGATCGAGCCGGCTCCGTATAGACTCGAACATCCGCTTCCCGTCATTATCCTGGTTGAATATGCTGCTTATAGTACGAGCAACAGCCTTATCTTTCCCCATCACCAGAGCAGCCTCGCGCAAGAATATTAGTGATCGTGTTCGGACTTCCTTGATGTGGTTCAAGAGTCCTCCGAAGGCATTGCGCATCCAGTCAGGTGCTCTCGCAACCATGACCGTCCGTGACTGTGACAAGAGTTTGTAATAGATGTCGATTCGCTCCTTGGTAATAGATTTCCCCGTGATCCGCTCATCCAGTGTTTCCAGAGCCGTTACAAGGCGGTTGCACCTTTCTACCGTCATCGTCTTCGTAGGGAATCTCTGCTGCGCCAAAAAGTGGAGATATAGGGTGACGGAGGCCTTAGATGTCTGGGGATCTTCGATTTTCTGTATCGCATGCAGGACGAAAAATGAAGCGCTGGAATCGTCCATAGCATTGGCCAAGCGTTCGTACCAGCAAAGGATGGTCAATAACTTCGTCGCCTGCTGTGTCAGTTGGCTGTCCAGGTTTCCGCCGTCTTCCATCTTTGCTGCCAGATCCCGCCTCATAGCGCCGCATATCATAGACAACCTCCTCTCCATTACACTCCAATCAGGAATATCATCATAGGCCCGGAGGGTGTTGCAAAACGCAATGTAGGTGTCCAGTTTTTTGCTCCGCTCAGTGGATGCCAGCGCCTCGATCACCGACTCCAGCATGTGCGAGAACGAGGCATAACTGTGGGCCACGAATGGCTGATCAAGGGGAGGCGAAGTAGCGCCCCGAAACGGGCTTGAGGTCTGCTTCAAGATCGATTTCAGGGATTTTAGATTAGTCGAGGCCGACGGACGCACTCGCGAAGTGGACGGCGTTAACGGTGTGTCTGGTTTGTGGTAAGTCGTCCACCCGGACCAGCCAACGCGTTTTTTGGGAGGTTTCTCGGAAACGGAATCGGCGGAATCGGAGGGCGGCGAAGGGTCGCGCGAAGACACAGGAGACGAAACCAAGTGCAGCATCTGGTTGCCACTACTGGTTACAAGGCTCTGGTCGACTATGTTCTTCGCTCGTGGAGATTCTTTTGGAGGCGTAGGCGGTCTTGGGGTCGTCATATCGAGGGAGGATCGTACGGGTGTCGTAGGAACCAACGGGTCTTCGGCATCGGAGCGGACCATGGTGAGAGAGTGTTTGGGCTAGCAAGCGAAGTGAGTTGACTGATCAGAAACGACGCGCAAGTTGTCCGAAATGGAGCATATGTAGAAAACTCGAAGATGGTAAATTACGAAAACGGTGCAAAAACGTGAACAGAGACAGTAGAGAAATTATTCGAAGCGAAGAGCGAGCAAATGTATATGGCGGTGCGTGGGCCTAGTATTCGAATGGAGGCGGAAGTGTATGAGGAACAAGAATGAGAAGGGCGGTTCGTTAAGTCAGTTGGGGTCGTGATCGTTGGGGGTCGTCGCGGCGGAGGAGGCGGGAAAGCGACTAATTACCGGGGGTGAACAGTTCAACGCAGAGTCGCGTCCCGACCCAAAGAACCCGCGTAAATGCGAGTTTTAACAGACAGTTTTTTTCTCGTGTTTCACACCACCGGTTTTTAGACGTACAACGACGCGTTAATGTCAAGAGTGACACATTTCTTCTCTTTTTCCCAATTTACTCGCTTAGTAATGATTCAGGTGCGTGCAAACATTGTAAGCAATAAGTTTTGCAAGCAAATCGATGTCTATCACGCCAGCCAGAATTAAGGTGACTCGCGTCTGGAGACGTGACCAACGCGTTGAGAGCGGACGGATGGCTGGAGTCCCCATCCATATTTGCACTCCTAACAGGATGAGAACTGCAAGGCGAGCGGTGCCGGCCAGTGTCTGCCTCCCAGTAAGCTCAAATGCCCACCAGAGCGTTCCGGACGGGAGCCTCTTACAAAAACGGTCCAGTCGATGGGCGGTCTCGATAACCCGTCCACCTGATCTCCGCGGCGCGGAAACAACCGACCAGCTCATATTACATCACTCGCTTTGTAGTTTCAGGCTGATCCCTGTATCTGTGAAGCCTCGGGCCAATATCACATCTCCATCTCCCCGCCTGTAGCTCTGCAGCTTCCCACAGTCCGTCAAGCACAAGCAGAATGTCAGCAGAACAACTCCAGGCCCTTTGTTCGGGCGCTTTTACCGCCTGTGATATCTCCGATGCCCTCTTGAAGCTGAAAGTTCCGCACGCCGGATTCCTAGTGGATATCGGTCTCTCCTCATTACTACCACCTTCTTCGCACCGGATAGCTAACAAATTCCCACGGCAGACCTCAAGCATGCAGGTTCCACCCGAGGCTTCGTAGCGGCACCGGCGACGACAGTCCTCTTCGCGCTCAAGGCATCCACCGAGCCGCCATCGATATCCGGTCACTTTGCGGACAATGCCAGCGCCCCCGGCACAATTGCCGTTCTTTCCGCACCGGCGGGGACTCGGTGCGCAGTCCTCGGCGGATTGGTTGCTGCCCGGCTAGCGAAGCGCGGGGTGCGTGGTGTTGTTGTCGGCGGCAGGGTGCGTGATCTGTCAGAGATGGAGCTCGGCGATGAGTGGCAAGTTTGGGCGCAGGGAACAAGTACGGTCGGTGCTGGTGCAGAGACTAGGTGTGTGGGTATTGATGTGGATATTGAGGTTGCGGGTGTCATGGTGAAAGCGGAAGATATTGTTGTGATGGACCAAACCGCTGGTGGGGTGGTGGTTATTCCCAAGGACAAGGTGGCGGAGGTTTTGGAGCTTATGCCGAAGGCCGTCGAGGCGGATATGTTGGTGGGGGAGGATGTTCAGGCGGGAATGGAACTTGGAGCTTCTATGAAGTCACGAAGAGGATAAAAAGCAGTAGCTACGGCAGAGTCGGCGGATATGTTGGTAGCGGAGGATGTTGAGGCGGGGATGGAACTTGGAGCGTCAATGAAGTCACGGAGAGGATAAGAAACAAAAGCTACGGCAGAGTCACAACAGCTTTCAATCGCTATTTGGAGATTGCCTTACAGAACCACCTGGCGCCAATCCCCTCCCTCCCTACCTGCTCCGTTATCTCCTCAAACCCAATACGCTTATAAAAATTCCCGGCACGAGCATTGTCCTCCGCCGCCCCCAAGTGCACCCCCTTCACCCACTCCTTAACCAACTGACTCTCCATCTCCGCAATCAACTTCGGCCCCCATCCTTTTCCCTGCCACGGTTCCACGATATCCACATGTATATGGGCGGGGTATCTCTCCAGTAACTCCTTGGGGAGCACCAACAACCTCCCCGCATTTTTCGCCCCATCCCTAAGGTCCTCAAACAGGAAAACTTGATCAGATAATCTAGGTGGGAACGGCAACTCTCCATCCGGCTCGAGGAGAGGTATGTATTCCCATTCATACCGTATCGCAAAGATCTGTGTGTCGGCTACGGCGAGGATGTAGCCAGCTACGTCGCGGCTGATGTTGTCCTTGGAGGGAACATCGAGAACCCATATGTGCTCGGGCTCGAGACGGAGATATGGGTGCGCATACAGGTAGGGAACCAGGTCGAGGACATCGGAGAGTGAGTGGTGGGCTGTGAGTTCGCACTTATGAACGGGCAGTCCTGTGGTTAGCGAGATACCTATGGGATGGGAAGGGGAAGAGTTACGATGCGCACGATGGAGTCATAGTCTTCCGGCCGGTAGGCGCGGATGAAGGGAGGAGCGTCGTCGGCCATGCCAACTCTCTGGAGTAGTGATAGGCGCTGCGGGGATGCAGCGGGGAGAGGTACATAGCGACCGGTTATTATTGTATCGTTATATAGGTGACCGGTAAATTACGGTACCATGGTAAGTCGCAGCACCATTTTACCGAACTTTGGTAACTACAAATTATACGTACTTGTAACAAGGACGGCCTCTCCCGCTGGCATCAGTAATGAGGTCCGTCTAATCAACGCCGAGTGGTCCAGTGGCCTATAGTGATATCTGGATGGTAACCGTATACCCTCCCAGAGACAAGAAGGAAGGCACGACACATTGGTGCTCATATACATCCACAGACAGCCAGCATTCCCTGGTGTTAGTAAAAATCCGCCAGGAAAGGTTGGGAGACACCTTAATCGTATGAGATCACGCGGCGACCCCACCAGCTATATTGTTACGATTCTCGTTAAAAGCCACCGTCGTTCTCGTCCAAGATATTGCACATTTGTCATATTAGTCATATGCGCCTTGTTTTCGCCTCCTCGAGTGCGCCTCGGGAATCCTGTTTATTCTCATACTTGCTTCTTCTTCTGTATGGTATGTCTAGCTGGTCATCCGCTGTGTTTTGCGAATGAATCAAGCAACTGAATAATATCACACTCATTTTTCCAACATATATGTCATAAGCTGGCTCCTTTATTGGTTTATATAGCGGAGATGGTGATTAGGAGGCTTCGCTGAGCCGGGCACTGCTGGATAGAAACCTCGAATAGGCTCGAAGGAGATGAAGCTGGATGCATACTGCTACTTCCTATCGTCAGACGAGTAACAAAAAACCCAGACAATGAGTCAGTCACAAGCGAGCACTCGTCTTCCCATGAAGTGAGCAGAATGAGTCCCGAAAACAAAAGACCCCGTCAGAATAAAATTCAACCAACTTTAAAGTGATATTTTAGATTGTTTCTTAGATTTGTTTTCTGGTTGATGCATTTCTTCGTGTTTGAGGCTCTCCCGCTAGCAGATGCCAGCTACCAGCAGATTTTCGCCGACACCTGCCAAGCCCAGCGCCTCAAATATAATCTCGCGTTCTCCTCCCTTCCTTTCCTCTCTTCAATCCTTCCACGTTTTACAAGTTTGTACTCCAACTTCCCCACATCCTCAACGAACACAACAACTAACAAGATACCCTCTAGATGATGAAAGCCTAGCGTGCAGTCTATGAATTGGTCTCCCTGCTTCGTGTATGCGTACTCTCCTCTGTTTCGGCAGACTGGCTTAAGGGTCGCTGCAAAAACGTTGCGGAGTGTGGGCCGGTGATTTAGGCGCTTGGGCACACCCACCTTGTTACATAACCAGGCGCTTTATGGCATCTCTGATCCTTAAACTGGAGGATTCTTTTCCTTTATCTTCATGTTGTTGCGGCATTCTGTCTCGGTTCTTTCTTTCGCTTCAATGGAAATTTTTCTCTTTGTGCATCTTTACGTGTCTTCGGTTTCTTCTGTGATTTCATCTTCCATCATCTTCTCATCACTCTTCGCACAATTAGGTGGGGTCCTAGGCGAGAATTATCCTATGGCCCAGTATATGATCTGCGATACAGCAAAGGGTCTGATCTGATCTCTCGCGACCACGATCACGACTTGCAGCAAATATTGGACGTTGAGATGGGTTCCAGGATTCAATGGTGCTTCATCTGGTCCGCGTTGTTGGCTCTGCCGACCATTCATATTCTCCCATACACTACATCCCGCCGGCCTTCATGCTGGTACGATGGAGTGGGAGTGAGCTGCTACATATTGCGTACGGTGTCTTCATTGGAGGATTTGTGTTAATATCAAATGATGTTTGGGTTCGCTTTGAACGGAGTCCCATGGAACATCACTCGTGTCACTGTTCTACGTGTATTTTTGAATGATCATTCGTAGCATCCACAGTGAAGGGAACTGCCCTTCCGACGTTGCAGAGGTACAGTGACGGCCATCACGCCGATCGCATCGCTCGCCGCGATCCTCTTGGACTCCCAGGCTCGCCCCTGTTCCGGCCCAAGACCCAAATTATTATATAAAAACAATAATTGGACAGGGAGGCCCTTAAAGTGTTGTTTCGTTTCGTCGAGATTCCGTCCTTTTATATTCCGAACGGCTGAGTGCTGTGGGCCTTTCTATCCTCTTTTCCTGAGGACATCATCGCCTGGACATCGACTGCAGCTGGAGCCCCACTCGCTAATCACAAAGCAAGCCAACCAAGCCCGGCCCACTGCGGAACTGAACGCCATCGTGTCGGCTCCGAGAAAAGATCCATCTACTCTAGTAGACAGGTCTTAGACAGATATCATACCTCCGTCTCATTCGACATCGAACCAACTGGCGGGCTTAACGTGAGCTACTCTACACAGGTACCCGGATAGTAGTTGGCAGCGGCAATAACTACTACAGGCATCGAAACAACCCCCATTCTGCACGCGTCATTTCTGCGGCTCACAGCGCAGTTGCTTCAGCGGACGGAAACTCTACCACATCATTAATATCCAAGCACCCCGCCCCGAAGGAATTGTCGCGCTCAACCCACTGCTCGCTTTCAGCTCCCACGGTGTTGCTAGTTCTCGATCGCGTTACATTGTCTATCGCCGCATACGCCTAGCCAGCGCGATCTGCGACAAGAGCGCGGCGCCGCCGGAACCATCGGTATCCAGAACTCTACCGCTACATAAGGGAGTAAAGGGCAAGCAACGGCACACAGACCCTCCCCACCCTCATACTCCTCCTCCTCCCTCTACCCGCGCCGGCCAACCAACGACTGCCACCACGTCCACCACCACCCCTACGGTGGGCATCTGGGGAGTTAAAGCACACTGGGAAAGATATACTACCTGGGACGTCGGAGGAGGGACTTCGAGGCGTCCGCAGAACGACCGATGTCGAGCTCGTTTGAGAAGTCGGTGAAGGTCTGTCTGTCTTGTCTGTCGCGAAAGGCCGAGAGGAAGCCGCAGCGCTGACGGGTGCGGTACAATACTTAGGGGGCCACTAAACATAAACTTGCGGCACCGAAGGCGAAATATGTCGAACACATTCTCATTGCAACGCATGCCGGCGAGGCGGGGATCGCTGAGGTGTTTCGAGCTATCAACAACAGATTGAGGGATACCTCATGGACGGTATGATTTCACGCGGCGCTGGTGGTGATGGTGGTGATGGTGATGGCGGCGGCGGTGGTGGTAACCAGACTTGACTTGCCCGAATACTTACGAGCCCGGCAGACCATTTTCAAAGCTCTCATCGTCGTACACTACATGATGCGGGAGGGCGAGAAGGATGTGACGTTGCGATATCTTCGACGTAACCCACGGCTGATAGCTCTGTCGCACTACTCGGACGGTCAGTTTTTGGTTTCTTTCTCGGGGAGGTCTAAGTTTGAAGGGATGGCAACTGATTTGACGCAACGATAGCCCAGATTCAAGGGAAGAACATACGCAATTACTCGAATTACCTCAACGAACGGGCGAGAACCTACGGCGATGTGCGGACGGACTATGTTCGGGACGGCGAAGGTCGACTGCGGAAGCTCAGTGTGGATAAGGGGTTGTTGCGGGAGGTCGAATGCGTTCAACTTCAGATAAAGGCGCTGCTGAAGTGTAAGGTAGGGAAATGCATGGGTGCCAGAACCTCCGTGAACTTTGCGCTGATTATGTAGTTTCTGGACGACGAGGTCGACAACGAGATCACGTTGCTCGCATTCAGGCTGTTGATATCCGACCTTTTGGAGCTCTTTCACGTCGTCAACGAAGGAGTGATAAACGTTCTCGGTTTGTTGACCCACCCCCCAGCACATTTCTGCAGAAAGCATTCTCATGGTTCTGGCGCGCACAGAGCACTATTTTGAGATGTCACGCTACGATGCCGAACGGGCGCTGAGAATATACAAGGTCTTTACCACTCAGACGGCGGAAGTGGTGGAGTTCCTTCAGGCGGCACGCAGGGTGGAGGTATCAACCCGGTTACAGATCCCGAACATCAAACACGCGCCCACCAGCTTGACCTCCTCATTGGAGGAATACCTGAACGACCCTGATTTCGACGTGAACCGGAGACAGTACCTGGCACAGAAGGAAGGAAAGGAGCCCGGGGGGGCAGCATCTCAACCGGCCGCTGGCAAGACTGCGCCTGCACAAAACGGGCCTACACCCGCCCAGACTGGCACTGCGCAAACGACAGCAGCGCCGAGAGAAACCTCGGGGATTGCACCAGACCTTATCGACTTTTTTGAGAGCATAGAAACGGAACAGACCCCCATGTTTGCCGACCAACAAGTGCCAGTTCAGCAGCAGGTTCCCCAGATGACAGGAGCGCCTCAGATGATGAACCCGTATGGACAGCAGATGTATGCAGCGCAGCCGCCTATGCCGCAGATGCCCACACAGCAGACAGGCGGATTCCCTATGGGCTACCAACAGCCCAATACCAATCCGTTCCCGCAACAGCAACCTGCGCCGGCTCAACCCGTTCAACAGCACTTCACCGGCACCGGATTTGGAGGCTACACCCCGCAAGATCAACATATGCCGGTGGTGCCCTCCATACCACAGCAATACATGCCTCAGCAGCAACAACAGTCCATTTTGCCGGAGATACCAGCCTCCATGGTTCAGCAGCAGCCTCAACACTTCCAGTCTCCGCCGCCACCGGCAGGCCTACAAGTCCCGTCGTTGACTGGCCACGCCACCAATCCGTTCAGGCAGTCCATGCTGATGTCTACCAGTACAGGCGGGGGTCCACAGAACTTTGGCAGTTCTCAACCGCCGCCAATGCCCGGACAGCAGAAATCTACCAACCCCTTCGCGCGCAGTATATCAAGCGCCTCGCCATCGACACTTACCGCATCGACTACCGGCGGCGCTGCAATAGGCCGCTCGGCTACCACAGCTAGCACCAACCCCTTCGCACGTACCGCAGTCACCAACACATCACCGCAGCCTACAGGCGGATCGGGACTGTCAGTACCCGGTGGCACGAACCCGTTCCGTGCCAGTATGTTGGTCCAGCAGCAGCAGGCGCAACAGCAGGCGCAGATGCAGGGAAACTTTTCGGGGCAGACGGGGACCATGGGTGGTCTGGAGACTTTGGAGACTATGCCAATTTTCCCTCGGACGAACAACACCGGTACACCGCCACCTGGTGCCTGGCAGTAATGGAGCTGGGAGGGAAAGTGTCGAGGCATTTGGTCGTTTTGTGGGTCGGTTTAATATCCCCGGTATATAGTATTCCTGTTTCTTCAGCTTCTGACTTCTTCTTGTTCCCTTTCTTGCTTTGGTTATGTTTCTTCTGGTTCGCTTATTATCATACGAGCGCGATAATGATTGACCTGTGAGGTATTCGCTGTACTGGAGGAGGCCTTTTGTAAACTTTCATTCCGTCCGGTTTTCTTGGCTTCTCGAATCGACCGAACCAGGGGGGTTTTTTCTTTACTTACTATTGTCTCATTTTTTGGTATGGGTGACGGCGGGAGGTGGGGTGGCAAAGTGCTGGGAGGGAATGGTAGCTGTAGAATATGGCTTTTTATTTTTTGTTTCCACTTTTATGGGTTTTCTTGCATTATCATTCACGCTTCCTTTGAATTATCGTATGTACCGGGGACTGTTGGAAATGTGTACTGAAAGGTTGCCGTGCGGGGGCGGTGAGGGCGGGAGAGATGTATGGGAATAAATTCATCCATAAGTAAGTACTTCTTGACAGCGGACTGGCAGGCGGGGATTATGCGGGCCCGCGCGAATGAATCAACACCAAGGCGGGGCAGAGCAAACTCTGTGGCAAACAATTCGTGTTCTCGCTTTTTTTGGGCTTTGTTTTGCTGTTTTCTAGCGTAGAGAGGACGGAATGAGTGATTGCGCATGCATCGATAACTAATTTTTACTTTTACCCTGTGCGGCGTGGTGGCTTCTGCCAAGTTCTTCAAAACCATCTCACAAAATCACCCCACGTTCACCAGTCCTCCGCGCCCCAAACCTCCCACCCACCCTTCTACACACACCTGGCAATTCCGTACGAGCCAAACATACACAGCGGGATCGTGCGCAATGTCTACAGTATCGCGGATATGTCTCCGCTGTCGAATACGAATCCTCAGCCGGGGTCTCACCCCGCGGCCCAACCAGCTCGGTCTGCTTCCCCGGACATCGGCACGCACGTACAGCAGCACCAAGGCCCCCGAGACCCCCGAGGAGCGTGCCCAAGCCGCGTCTGATGCTGCCAAATCGCTGGAGGAGGAGTTTCCGCTGGCGGATCCAGTGAAGGTGAGGCTCGAAGGACGACTAAAGCCAGAGGGCCCACGGAAACAGGCTGTGTGGAGGACCACCAAGGGAATTACGACGAAAGACGTTGAGGCGTTCTTGAGCAAGGTCAAGAAGAGCAAGAAGCAGATCGAGGTCGATGAGGCGTTCATGCCTACCATCAAGGATGCGAGTAAGGTCGATAGGACGTACGAAATGCTGCTGTCTACCAAGCCGCCCCCAAGAAAGCCGAGGCCTCCGGTTTCCCTTACAGGACTGCCGCCGCCGCCGGAGGGACTGGAGCAGAAGTGTGACACATCCCCTCCCCTTGGTATGATTGCGAGAAAGAGCGAGGGCTGACGACTGCAGTCAAGTTTCCTCGCGCGACACACAGAGTTGAGCAGATCAACAGTCGTGTCGGTAACAAGGACGTGGTGCTCCACGGCTACATCAAGACGGTGCGGAGGGTGAGCAAGAAACTTGTGTTCTTGCATCTCTACGATTTCTTTACGGGCCCCAATGTCACAATTCAGCTGGTTTCGAGCATCGATGCAAATACCTCCGAGGAGCGAAAGGATATGCACAACGCTCTGCTGAAGCTTCCGCCATTCGTACCGGTGGCTATTACCGGAACGATCGTTAAATCGGTTTCGCCACCTGCGCCAGACACGCTGTCACTCGGTGAGAGCAAGCAGTGGTCCGACTCGGCAGCGCAGGACAGGCCGGAGATTCGTCTCGATTCGCTGGTTCAACTCAATTCGGTGTCTCCTGACCTTATCTACACTCCCGAAACCGTGTTCCCGGCTGAGAAGCGACATCTCCAGCTGCGCACCATGCCAGAACTCGCTCGGGCCCTGAACATGAGGAGTCGGGTGAACGATGTATGTCGCTCGGTGCTACGTAGGCACGGATTCCTGGAGGTGGAAACTCCATTGTTGTTTAAGTCTACACCGGAGGGCGCCCGGGAGTTTCTCGTTCCCGCTCGCAACAGAAGCCAGAGCGGCAGTGGGGGGATGTGTTACGCTCTGCCGCAGTCACCTCAACAATATAAGCAGATTCTCATGGCTAGCGGCGTTGCTAGGTACTTCCAGGTCGCCAGGTGCTTCCGAGATGAAGACCTGCGCGCGGATAGGCAGCCCGAGTTTACGCAGCTCGATCTCGAAATGTCGTTTGCGCGCCAGGAGGATGTCATCGAGATCATGCAAAAACTTCTCAGAGAGCTGTGGTCGAAAGTACTGGGCGTTGATATTCCCTTCCAATTCAAAAGGATGACTTATCGGGATGCTATGCGTTACTATGGAACCGACAAACCTGATCTGCGATTCCATAAGCTCAAGGTCGATTTTGCCCATCGCAATAGCTTCAAACAAGCATTGCTGACAGATAGTCACAGATTCACAAAGTCTTCTTCGACGAAAACCAGGAAACCCGGTACCCCGGCGCCCAAACGTTTTACATCCGTCGTGGTGACGCGCAATTAGAAACTATGAAGCGCATTCACGAGGAGCTCGTGGCCGAGCACCAGGTAGCTGGCGGGCCAGACCGGTTCATGTCCTACGTTGCCGGCGAAGACACGGCGAATGGTGTTCCTGAGCACGGATTATCTGCTGCCGAGGTCGAGGCTATCAACGAGGCCCTACAGCTCAATGAGGGCGATATCGTCTTGCTGAAGAACCATTTTATACATTACGCAGTAAGTTGCATCACACCCGTCAACGCCCGTCATGACCGGACACGTACCAACATCTTCTAGGGCAGCGGCACGCGACTCGGCCAACTGCGAACAGCCCTGATCAACAAAGCCATTGCAGCTGAAGTCCTCAAGCCTCCGACCGGCTTCGAGTTCGTCTGGATAACCGAATTCCCGCTCTTCTCCCCAACCGACGACTCGGAACCCGGCCAAAGCGGCACCTCCGGCCTTGCGTCAACCCACCACCCCTTCACCGCCCCGCACGAAGAAGATTTCGCCCTCCTCGGCACCGAACCGCAGCGAGTCCGCGCGGAACACTACGATCTGGTCGTCAACGGCGTCGAACTGGGCGGTGGGTCGCGGCGTATCCACGATCCCGAGCTGCAGCGGTACATCCTGGAGGAGATCATCAAGGTCCATCCCGATAAGATCCACCAGTTCGATCATCTGCTCGATGTCCTGGGCAGTGGATGTCCGCCGCATGCGGGGATCGCGCTCGGCTTCGATCGCTTGCTCGCTATCATGATGGGTACCGATAGTGTCAGGGATGTTATTGCGTTCCCGAAGAATAATAAGGGCATCGACCCATTGGTGAAGAGTCCGAGTTTAATCACGGATGCGGAGTTGGAGACGTATGGCCTGCAGAAGATGTAGTCCTGCATCTGTGTATTATATCTTCGATTTTGAGGGGAATAGGGTGCATTTAGAGGGCTTAGATAGAATCGGTCAAATGTACATCTCTTGTTCAATGCGTCCTATTAGTTATCCTATGAGTAACGCTGCATGAGTATCCAAGATGGACTTGTATCTCAGGTTCTCAACAAAGCGCCGGCCTCTTTATGTTCGCTTCCGGAACGCTGGCACCATTGCCGAAGGCCCGTTGCCAAGCGGGCAACTCTATCTTCTCGGCACCGCAGGCCGAGCCCGTTAATCTCAGCGGTCCATCTATCTAGCGGACATGGGCGGGGGGGGGGGTAGGTAGGTATGTATGCCATGCATAGATGCATGTGAGGTCATACTCTAGATAGCACTCTACTAGTAGAGTAGGACTGATGATGGACGGGGATTGGAAACCCCACTCCCTGCCTGCCTACCCTCCAACCTCCCATAATTTCCCCCCCCTTCATCAAGCATCACCTCTTCTCCCACAAGTGTTTTGGCCCGGACCGGTCTGGCCATTCATTTTTACTCACTCACGACAAGCGACAAGAGACACGAAATAACGAGCGACGACTACCATAGCTACATAATACACGACACTCACGATGGTGACTCCCGGTACGTGCAGAGCAGTGCAGAGCAGTCGAGCTCGGTGATGGCGGCGGCGGCGGGAGTGCTAACATCCCCCCCAGCAGACAAGCAACGGCACACTTCGGAGCTCCTCTCTCAGCTCCGCGACGACCTCACCCCGCCACGGCTCAATGCGACCGGTCAGTCCCGCGGTGGCCATGGCGCGCCTCCACCCCGCATTGCAATTCGCTGACGGCCATCCCGCACAGCGCGTTTCCAGGCTCTCGAACAGCTCAAGGTGTACAGCCGCGACCCGGTCGGCAACGACGAGATGTACGCTGCCTCTGGGATCGGGGTGCTAGGCGCGCACGGCTTCGTGGTCAACGCCGAGGACCGCCAGAGTGCGCGAGAGGCGCAGAGGGCGCTGGCGAACACCCTGCTCATGGCGCCGAAGACCAGGCAGTTCGTCGTGGATTGTGGGTTCCATGAGAAGGCGGCGGAGGCGTTTACAGTAGGTGCTGACGCGATGCGGGAAAGGACGCCGCTGAATTTGAGAAAAGAGCACAGATTGCGATGATGAGTTCTTGCTGGCTAGGATATTGCTGCTGATTACCTACGATACCTCGGCGGATTTGAAGAAGCTGTTGAAGGTGCATGGGTTGGAGACGGCGGTTAAAGAGGTATGTTGGCGAGGGCGGCGGTGATGGTGTTGGCTGTGGTGGCTGTGGTGGCTGATCGGGATAGGCTCTTGCACGACATGCGGAGGACGTACGACCGTCGAATCCCATGGCTACTATGGCTTTGTCGGAAACATTAAAGCTGTACTTCAACTTGACACATTACGTGGCGGATGAGGAGGGACTAACAATAGGGTTCGTAATTGCTGAAGAGATGGTGGTTGTGTACGTGGTAGTGGTTGCATGCTAATTGAGACAGTTGTGCACCGTCATTATTCAAAATGCTCCGGCAGCTCGAGCCAGCATCTTTCCCTCTCCAACCGCCGCTCTCGAATATCCTCAATGCAATGGTGGGCGCAAGACTGTCGGCGTGCAAATATGCTGCATTCCCGCCGGAAGACCCGCTGTTACATGTCAAGAAGCTAGTAGATATACTGGATAAGGCGATAGACCCAAAGTTCACCAAGCTCGGCGCAAACACCTCTGAGAGCTGGGACGAGGCTGGAACCCCGTTGGTGACGTTGTTGAGGGCTATTGCAGACATCGCAGACGAGGATGTGAAGGACTACCTCAAGAGCCGGTTGCTACCATCCGAAGAGTGAGTTCTCCGTCTACATGGTGTCCCATCGCAGTGCTAATCATATGTGGATGCAAAAGGGAACGGAAGCAGCCATTAGGAAAAGGCACGACGCTCGCCGCTCGCCTCCTCCAGCTGTCAAGCTCCGCTTCGGCACCGAACACTCGAGAGCACATCTCCTGGCTCCTGTTCACCCTTTCCGACCAAAACGCCGAACAATTTATCCTCAACATTGGCTACGGCTACGCCTCGGGGTTCTTACTGACCCACAACATTCCCCTCCCCGCCTCATCCGACATGCCCAGCGCGTCGGCCTCATCCCGTCCCATCAACCCAATCACCGGTCAAACACTCGACTATGAACCCACCCTTACCGATCCTTTCGCCGGGATGTCACAGGAAGAGAAGGAACGCGAGGCGGAACGTCTATTTGTCCTCTTTGAAAGGCATGCAACCACACTCTTCACCACTACCCCGTTACTGTTGTATCGGTCGTCCCGCAGGCGGGTACGTAGAGCCTGGGCTAATGTCAGGTTGCGACGATAATAGATTGAAGAAGACGGGGGTTATCAATGTTGAGAACCCGGTGCGGCAGGCGGTCGAGCAGGGCCGGTTCCAGGAGCTGCCGGATGATGCGGACGAGTAGATGGGCGTGTGAATGCCTATCCTATGTATATTGTGGTCTACTGGCTCTACGTGTACCTTTAATACTAGTACCTATACTTGCAATACTTGCAATGGCACGGCTGTGTCGGTGCGTCGGTGTGTGTCGGTGTGTCGGTGAGAGTGCCGTATGTGTGTGTGCGGATGGCGGATGCGGGCATTCGGGCCGTCGATGATTCTCAGCTTCCTCCTTTTTCGATCTCGAGTGCCCCCGGGCCCCCCTCCTTCCTGGTTCCCAATCATATATCTAGAGTAATATGTGATATCCCCACATGCTCTATGTCACTCAGCATTTATCTGCGGGGGATGAGAGGTGAGTGTGGGTGGGGGAGGGGGGGGAAGGGAGGGGATTAGATTGGGTGCCGATGATGAGCATCGGGGCGCGGGCGCAGGAAGCAGCTGGCTGAGGCAGCAGCAGCGCCAAGCAGCAGCATATACCAGCAGCAGTTTAATTTAGCGGAGCGGGATTGAATGAAACGAATCGAAACGTTTTTCCTCGATCTGCCACACCCACCGTCCTGCCTCCTGCGCGCATTTATTCCACCGATGATTGGATTGGATCCCTCCCCTCCCTCCCCTCCATTGCCCGCCCCGTATGTAAGTCGTCACTCCCGCCCTTTTTCGTTGAGGCGCAGCGTCGCAGCGTCGCAGCGTCGCAGCCAGCATCGATCGCCGCAAACGGCCGAGAGCGGACGGTGCGAGGGTGCGAGGGCGCGAGGAAGGGAGGGGGACAGATCCTCACTGGGTGCACCCCTTACGTCACCCTGGCCCTGCGCGCTGCCTGCCAGCCATCTTCATCGTGGCAGGGTTGCGCTTGCCTGTGCAGGCAGGCGCCGTTGAGAGCAGTTGCTTACCAGTTAGGGCTGAGGTAGACTGGCCGTCTCGCCGCTGGCGGGCGGCTGTTGGGGCTGGATTTTCTGGAATTGTTGTCTACATACTAGGCTAGGTTAGAGTACCGGTACCGTAGTGGTTGGGGGGACCTGGGGGCAGGAAAAATGTTATCTCTGCCTTTCCACCTAGACAAGTAAAAGGAACCCTAAAGGGGCGGTGGGCGGTGAGTGGGTGTTACCTATCGCCCACCCTGTAGTTACTCTGCAGTGCGCACCGTGCGTGCGGGTCTCAGGTCTCAGCTTAGCTTTTTCAACATTCTTTCCAGGGGATCTGGTCGATACCGGTAGATACACTTTCTTACTTTCTTACTTGCGTATATATTCTCGCCTCGCCCGAGAACTTCTCTTTCCGTCTTGTCTTCTTGTCTTCTTCCATCACCGACCTACCAACCGACCAACCGACTGAGGCAGATCACGAGTACTACATACACAGAAACAAATCACGAGCAAATAAACAATCCGCCACCAACACTACCACCACCACCACCAACGACCATCGCACTACTGCACGCACTAGACCCTTCGCCCATCCTTCTTCCACCACATCCCACCACATCCCATCACCAAACTTCTTCCTCCACCTCACCCACCTCCCCCCTCTCCACCCACAACACCACAGCAAGAATGCACCCCACAACCAAAGCCCTCACCTCCACAACCGCGATCGCGCGGGCGGCCGCGTCGACAACGATGCGAATGAGCTACAGCGCGCGGACGTCGCGGCTGACGGCGGCCGGTCTCGCCGCGTGCCGCAATCCGCCGCCGCCCCCGCACGCGCCCCGCACCTCGCTCCCGCCGTTTCGCGCCCCGCCGCTTACGCCTGTTTTCGAGATTCGGGGGAGGGGGTTTGCTACGTCGGCTCAGAGTGCGGCGGGGAATGGGAAGAATGGGAATGGGGGAAGCAATGGGGGAAAGAAGAGTGGAGGAAGCAGCACCAGTAGTCCTGAGTATAAGGCTGCAGAGCGGAAGTGAGTTACTTCGTTGTTGGGGGAGGGGGGGTGCTGGTGGTAGTGGGGGGGGGGGGTGGTGGGCGCGGGGCGCGGGGTGTAATGGATGGACAGAAGGACGGGACTGATGCGACGAGGTGGCTGTGCGGAGTGAAGGGTTAGGATCGTTATCATCGCGCTGCCGGTCGTGTTTGTCACCTCGTGGGTGCTCTACCAGCGATGTTTGTCTCCTCCATCTTTTTCTTCTGTTTTTTATTCTTTCGTTTCGTTTTTTTCTTGCCTTTACTTGCTGGCCATGGGTCTGATAGATGCTGGCGGGATAGTGGTGCTCGGCGAGGAAAGGAAGGTGCTGCCGCGGGGTCCGGTGGTTTAGGATACTACTTACTTGGGTTTTAATACGGGGTGGGTGGGTGGATGGATGGATGGATGGATGGATGGCGGGGTGTGGCGATGGGAGATGGCAGATGGCACCGGCAGATGGAGGTTGTGCATTCGTACGGGCTGCATATAGATCGGGATGGAGTTTGAGTTTGCTTTACTGTTGCTGCGCTACTACTACTACTATTACTACTATTACTACTATGGCACGGCACGGCATCATTGGTCGTTTGAAGTAATACATTTGTTCTGTTCTCGAGTCGCTGGAATCGCTGGAATCGTAACTGGTATTAGGAGCTTGAGGATTGGGATCTGGGAATTTGCGGAACCGTGGGCACTGTGCAGGCTGCAAGGGACGTCATGATGCAGCTACATGATGTAGAGTACATACATTGTAGAGTACCTAGGCGAGTGTGGATGCTTCTGTGTAGAGTATTGTACACCTCGGATCGTGGGTTGTGTACGGTAGAGTAGAATAGATCTACCTCTGGATGTTGCAGTGGGGGGATACACGGATACGGCGGATGCGTGCTTGCCATCGCTATTGCCACTGTGTTTTCGCCTCTCTTCTTGTTCTCATTCTTGATCTCAGAGTCGATCTCGGAGTCAAGGCTCGAGCGGAGGCAGGCAAGTAACTACATTACCGGTATTCACTCAGCTCCGGCAGGTTTTCACTTTTCACTCGGATGATCAGTCACCCAGACGATCAATCAGTCGACGAGGTCAGTCGATGAGGTCCAGACTACATAACAAAAACAAGAGTTGCGAGTTGCGAGTTGCGAGTCGGAGACATGCCGGATACACGGATACGCAAAAATAAAGGTTTTGTCCATGTCTCGACTCCCTGACTCTCGGCCAGTCAGAATCGAATCTCGATGTCGTTATTGGTTGCTCATAAACCATATTTAGAGTACATCATCCCATACCGAGCTACCATAGCTGCCCCGTCTCCCATAAAAAGAAAAAAAGAAGAAAAAAGAAAAAAGCTCGTCGCATTTACTGTCCATCATGGCCCATCACAGCCCATCACCCGCCTCAACCGAACGATATATCATGACTAAACCGCAACTCCCGGTCATGATTAAACAAGCAAAAAGAAAACGCATCTCGCCTCCCGTTGTTCCTTGACGATGTTGACCTGCCGCCTACCAACTCTCACCCCCGAAAACCTGCACCCCGCCACCATAGACGAACGTGTCCACATCGATTCTCTCGAACGTAGCGATCCTGTCGCCCTCTCTGCCGCCCATCCAGTGGAGGGCGACCTTATCGTTACTGACCAGGAACAGCTCCGCATACTCCCAGTTACCATTTCTTGCTATGTTTGCCACGTTTGCCGCTGCTGCTGCCGTGACTGGGTTTTCAGCACAGCTCATTCCACAAACAACCATCTAAACGGGGGGGTAGGAGTAACATACAAAGCCCATGTCTGCGGCCGCCAATCCTTACGCCAGCAGGGACGACTCTGGCACCGGGCCACTCGCTATCGTCCGCAACCCTGACTATGTTTTCCAGATCCCTGACGGTGAAGAGTACTTTCCCACGGGGGAGGTCGGTGTCACCGGTGAGCTTTACGGCGTCTATGGTGGCCGTTGTCGGTTGCAGGAACAGGAGCATCTGGTACCCGTAGTCTGGGATGTCGGCGATGAAGATGCCGCGGAGCGGGCGCGCGCGGGTGGGTGTGTACCATGACGCCGGGATTGCGGAGAGCGTCTCGATCTCGCCGCGCATTTGCGTGGTGCCGTGGCGCAGCTCGCGGCGGAACCGGAATAGGTCCGCGCTGGCAAAAGAGGGGTACGGCGCTCGGTACGTACCCGCGTCGAAGCTCTCGCTGTTGGCGCAGCGGTCGACGGTAGCTGGCACGGAAGACGGCGGCCAGAGGAATTTGCTGCTGCTGGAAGGTGGGCCCGCTGGGATGGCGAGCACCCGGAAGAGGCTCACGGCTATGGGACTGTCCGGGATGAATTCGACGATTTCGCCGGTGCGCGGGTCGGGTTTGGAATGCGAGTTGACGGAGAGGAGGGAGGCGGGCCAGCGGCTCACCCGTGTTGCTGGCGAGGAGACTGGGACTGACGGGTCGCGAGACCATTTCTTCACGTTGGGGGGGAAGCGCGGCGCTAGGATCGTGTGCAGTGTTATCGTCTCGGTTTCGAGCTCGAAGAAGGTTGTGACGAGGTGGCCGCTGCAGTTTTGGTCCGACCACCAGAGCCGCGGACGCAGCCATAGGTGCTCGTGCAGTGAGGCTACGAGGGCCCGGTATGGGTACGACGGGGGAAGGCGGAATGAGTGCAGGAATGGTGCCCAGAGGGATGGAGTGGAGCAGAAGTCCTGGAGTTTGGTGTTGACCTGTGAGAGGCGGGCGAGGTCGTAGTGGGATACCGAGGATAGTATCTCAAGTAGGATCTCTAGACGTCGTTAGCTGCGTACCTGGACGGAATGAAGATGTGACTGACCATTGGGCAGTGCGAGGAGTGGTGATGAGTTTGCAGCTCCGTTCTGAGCATTGGATGCCTCGCCGCCAACTGCTTGAGCAGATCCGTTTGATGCATTGGATGCTTGGCCACCGACTGTCCGAGGATGTGGCTGATCGTCTGACAACAGCTGGCGGATATCCATTGCGGGCGAGTAGCAGCTGGCAATTGGGTATTTGTTGATAATTCTGCTGGACCAGCCTGTACTAAAGAGCTTTCGAGATGTGTCGACACTGGTTATTTGCACGGGGAGGGGTATGAAGTTCAAAGAGACTCGAAGGGTTCAGTTGAGCACTTCAGCCCCACCTCCCCCAGACGTAGGGACCCTGCACGGTCCCCTTGGCTGCGTCCCAGCTAACTACCTAGCTAATTGCTGACATTGACCTCGACGCGCTATCATGTGATTGCCGAAGCGAAGGGAGATCTTCCGGATAAAGATGTAGGCGCAGAAGAGAAAGGGGACGGCGTAGAAAAAGCGCCTCGTCACCGGTTGGGCGGGGCACGAGATGGATATCTAGAAGCACAGGAAGCGGAACCGATCATCCGGCCGGCCATTGGCTGTGGATGTTTGAAGCGCGGTTGGCCAGACGGAGACCAAGATTTCGATGAGCTGTCTCCCCAGTGCCCCCTCTACGGTATCCGGTCTATCTAAGATCCTAGGTACCTACGTGCTTCTCCCTCACCTTCATGGATGCCGCTGTTGCGGGACCGGCGCCGGCCGGGGAGAGTGAATGAAACACAATGACCTCGCCATTACGCTCTCCGCCAGATGACTGGAACAACCCAACGCCACTGGTGGCAGAGAGAAGAGGGGCAGAGGCAGTGAGATCCACAGAACCGATCCGCATCGAGGGGATGAGGAGGAGGGGTAAGACACTCTACCCTATGGTAAGAACGCAGTGCACCGATACTCTAAGCAGGCAAGGGAAGAGGGCAGTCGTGTCTGTCTCGTAGCGTATTGAGCGCCCTTGTCTTCCATGCAGTTCTCCCCAGGGCAAATCATCGTGCTTCGCCTTTATTTCTGCGGGAAGTGATCCGCGATCGTGAGCTGTGCCTTGTGCTGAGCTGTCTTTGCATCATCCCTCTTCCCTCCCAGCCGCAAACAACTTCGCAGGGGTCAGATCGACCTGAAGCCGAAGAGTTTTCTGCAGAGAACAAGGTCTCTCTCCCTTGAGCTGAGCCATCCAGAGCCTGTCGTGGATCCCAGATAGAGTGAGTGTCTATATAGAGTATCTACCGTAGATGTAGGTCAGTAAGAAGTATCTGGTACATGGAGTTGAGGATGCACTTCACCTGCGCAGCTAGCAAGGCCCGAACACATGTCGACGGCTTCCATGCAGCGCTATTGCAGTCAACCATCTTCCCGGTCCCTTAACTAGCCCCAACGACGAATGAACGGAAGAGGACGTGTGGCAGGCAGGCAGCAGAGCGGAAGTAGTTAATCGAGCAGCCAGCAAACTTACCGCCCGTTCATCACCCCTCCCTCCACCACGGTCCATCACCACCGCCGCCCTTCATCACCCTCTACCACCCTTACTCTCTCCCCTTCTCCCCCTCCCTCCCTCCCTCCGAGCGGCGTTTCTCGCTCACTCGTCTGAGCCGTCTCTCCTTCCCCTCTCACTTCTCAATTTACGACCGCTCTCCTTTTTTGGAACTGCCCCTTCGGTTGCGAGTTGCCATAACAACCACCACCACCACAACACAACGGCGCCGGCATCGACGACAAGTTGACGAGTCGACGACGCGAAACCTGGAACCATCGAGAAGACCCGCTCCCAAAAACCCGCCTCGCACTGAATCACGCGCGTCCCGCCTACATCGCGCGTCATACTAGTACATTACACCACACCCGCAAGTCATAACCACAATTCAAATCCACCGACGTCACGTTTCAGCGAAACTGGGCTTTTTGGAACATAACCACCACCACTACCACCACCACTACCACCACCACTACCACCACCACCCTCCACTCCGATACTTCCTCTCCTCTTACCACCACACCATACTCCACTCTACCTTGCCTTACCTGATCGCACCTTGTCACACTTGATCCTTTTCGCACAGACCATACCTTATACCTTCTTCGCAATAACATCGACTGCTACGATAGATACCCCGTCGCTTACATTTTGAATTCACCCCCCAAATAACAGTAAGACAAAAAGCATCATCCAACAACAACACCGCGACCGCCAGAGACATGCCGTCGTACCCGTACAAAGTGCGGGTGCTCGCCGCGATCGACTCGCAGTTCCACCCCAAGACCGCCAACAAAGCGATTCCTTTGGTGTCGATCGGTAGGCATTCTGGACCCCCCCTCGTATCCCAGCGCTCTGTGGAACTTGTTGCTGACCGGGCGGTGTCTGATTAGAATCTGCCTTCGAGAAGATATGTGGTGAAAATGATATTGCGATCCCGGCTTCGTGGAAGAAACGAGCACGCATTGTGAGTGATCCGAAGTGCACTTGCAATGGTTCGGTCCTAACGTAATGTAGACCCTAAAGGAGCTCGTTGAAGAGGGATGGCTCATCGAGAAGGGCGGCGACAACCCTATATACACTGTATCTCCACGGTTACGGCGGGTCATTGCCAGTCACAAGTTGGCCCTGCATGTTCCGACCTCGAACCACGATCTCAAGACATTCACCAGCGTCGTAAAGTCGCTAAAGAACCCACCCGCTAAAGATGGGAACGAGGACGAGCCTGCTGTCCCGACGCCCCGTACTCCAGCTCCCGCATCATCCCGTAGACGGAGTGCTCGGTTCAGCGTGGTGCCGCCCATGGTCCAGGATATCGAGACGCAAGACGAGGACGAGGGCGGGCACGCGGCACTGGCTCGTCGGTCACCAAGCATACCGATCAGCGTTATCGTACAGAGAACACCAGGCTGGAAGAGAAAGAAGCCTGCTCGCCTTTCGGATCCGGGACCAGTACTAGTGCCGTTATCTGGTGCTCGGCGCAAGAGTGGGATGGGTATCGCGTCAGCTTCGAATACACCATCTGCTGCCGCCCGAAAACGCACTAAGGCTAAACGACGGGCGACCATGGCTGTGGTTCCCAGTCGCGAGCCAATGTCGGAGATGCCGTCTGGACAGGCCAAAGTGGTTCAGTACATGCCCCTCGTTCAGACTCTTTCACGTCGCACTCAGCGGGCTCTGCGTCGCAATGCCCTCAGTGAGGAGATGAACAATATCCACGCCGAGGAGAGCGCTGCTCGCCGGAAGCATCGCGAGGAGCTTGCGCGACTTAGGCAGGCGCTCGCCAGTTCGCAGCAGCGTCTCGGAGAACTGGAACGGGAGTTGCTAGCGGCCAAGGATGCGGCTTCCGAAGAGCTGGAACACGGTGCTCGGGAGGCCCCGAATTCTCACATCCGCGACCAAGATGTAGATGTCAACATGGGAGAAATGGACTGTGGCGAGGACGACCAACAAGGTGCGAGATCGTCTTCACCATTCGATTATTCCCCAGCTCCCGATTCGAGACAGCAGAGCAGTAGTCTCCACACACCGCGCGCCGACCGCGATCAGAGGGTCCGGATCCTTGAAGCCCAGATAGCATCCCTTCGTGAAGATATCATGCGACGCGCAGAGGAGGCCGAGCGCTGGCAGGAGGAGGCGGAGCAATTCCACGATGCCGAGGAACAAATCTTGATCGAAGAGAATAAGGCGCTTGCGCATCAGATCGAAGAACTCCGAACCCCATCTCATCAACCTGGCACCCGGATGACTTCCGTGGAAGTGAAAGAGAGGATCGAGCTCAAGGCTGTTGTTGAAGAGTCCGTCTTCAATGGAGGAATGTCCGTCATGACTGGTGGCGATGGTGACTCGGTCAGCAGCGGTGGTGAAATCTTGGAGGAAGATGAGGAGGAGGAATCCCAGCCTGACCCGAGGATTGCCGATCTTCAAGCGGAAAACGAGAAGCTGCAGAGGGCCTTGGAAACTTTCAACCGCAAAATCGAGGATCTGGAAGAAGAAGCCGACACTAGCTTTACCAGTTCCGAGGAGCTACGTCAGAAGGCCGAGCGATACCACCAGGAGAACAATGCGCTCCGGAATATCGGCGAAAAACTGGCGGCCAAAATCCGAGATCTTGAAGAACTCGAAGGCGAGCGGTTGGAGAACGTGATGGATGAGGGGGCACAAACTGTCCATTTCATCGATCACGAGAAGGAGGCACTGGAAGGCAAGGTTATCGAGCTTGAAACAGAACTCGAGGAACTGCAGGGAATGCACACACACATTACCGAAGAGAGGAGACAGCTCGAGGTTAGCATTGCCGAGCTCAAGGCCCACGTCAAGAGTCTCGAGCATGCCGTGGAGGTGGGGTCGGAAGACAGGGAGAAGACGGAGGCGAGACTGGTCGGTTTGCAGGAGACCATCACACGTTATGAGGAGGAGCTAGCCGAACACGTGGAGGTCCAGCAAGAAATGGAAAATGAAGCCGCCGACCGGCTCGAAAACATTCAGGCCCTGGAGAAGGAAGTTGAGGACCTTCGTCTCGAGAATATTCAGTGGCAAGAGGAGGTGGCCGATAAGGACAAGGCGATCGGCGGCCTGACCGACCAGTTGAGGCATCTTGAAGTCCGTATTTCCGACTTTATCTCGAACGTCGCAAATCTAGAGCAAGAAATCGTCTCTGCCAACGAACAGCTAGAAGCAAAGGACCGGGAGATCAAGGATTTGGTGGACGAGACAGAAAACCTTCGCCAAGAAATCGAGTACAACAACGATAGGCTCGAGCCTCTTCTAGCGAAGAACGTGGCCTTGGAGACTGATATCAACCATATGGAAACTCAAATGGATAGGCTTGCGGACGACCTCGGAGCTCTTCAGGATAAGATCCACGATAAAGAGGCTGAGATCGAAGACCTTTCTCAGGCCTGTCGGTTGGCTGTGGATGAGACCAATGAGAAGCAACAGAGAATCCATCAGCTCACGGAAGAGAGGGATGGTTTAGCGGCAAACCTTAAGGACTCGAAGAGAGACATTCGGGACCTAAAAGAAAAATACGCAGGCCTTCAGGAGGAGGCCGCTAACAAGCAACAAAAAATCTTTGACCTTCTTGACGACAAAGATAAGTTGAAAGATGAGCTCTCCCAGAAGGAACAGGCCATTGAGGACCTCCAACAACGCAATTCAGTCCTCGACCAACGCAATTCGGCCCTTACGAACGAACTGCAGACTGTTGACGGTTTCGTTGCGGGTCTTGAACAGGACAGGACAAGCCTGACTACCGAGGTCAAGCACCTGAAATCGAATGTCGAAGAACTGCATGGCAAGTGTATCAACCTCACTCAAAAGCACCTAGATGTTTCTGGAAAACTCGCTCAGCGTACCGTCGAGAATACTGTCCTCGAGAGGGAGATTTGCGGTGCCCAGGAAATTAATGACGCACTCAGATCGGCCAACGAGCGTCTTCAGTCCGACAAGAACCAGTTCGAGGCGTTGATTCGGGACCTCGAGGATGCTTCTCTCTCTTCTGAGGATCAACGGCAACAGTTGCTGGAGACAATCTCTCGATTGGAAGACGACATCGCCGTACACAAGAAAGCTGCGACAGCCGCTGCTAATGCAAGGGAAGAATTCGAAAAAACAATCGCAGGTCTGCGGAATCGAATCAGCACCCTTGAGAAGACGTCAGAACTGTCGCAGACTGAGAAGGAAGGCCTCGAGAGAGATATCGGCCAGCTAGAAATTCGGATTGCGGAACTCAAAGCCGACCTCGAGAGCGCTGTTGACGACAAGAATTCCGTCAATGCGAAGCTTCTCGAAGCAACGGTTCAGATCGAGACTTTCAAGCAGGCAGCCAGTGCGGCGGCAGCGGAGCAGGAGGGCATGGAACGTCAAATTGCTCAACTGTACGCGGAGGTTGATGCATCGAAGAAGGCCATCAAGCTTTTGGAGAGCGATAAGGAGGATCTGGAGATGCAGATCGAAGGGCTGGAGGCAGATGTCAAAGAGTCAAAGGAGGAGGTGGCGGCTCTCAAGGCGGAGAGGGAGCTCATGCGCCGTGACATCTCGGAGCATCAGTCTTGGATCGCTGACCTGGAGCATCTGCTTGAAGTGTCCCAGAGAGATAATGCTGGTCTCAGGACGAACATCGAAGAACTCCAAGCAAAGATAGCCGCGCTTGAGACTTCGCTCGAATCCTCAAACTTCGCCAACCAGGAACACCTTGAGGAACTGAAGATGCTGCAGGGACAGATCGATCAGTTGAACAGGCAAGCCAAAACAGCGGAGGAAGAGCAGTCTATCATCGCTCAGAAGATCCAACCCTACATCAATGGTCAACAACCCCTCGACATGGCTGTGGACGAAGTCCTTACTGAGCTGGTTATTGCTAAGAACCGAGCACTCGAGAGTGAGGGACTTCGTCGGGAACTCGAGGCCAAGATTCGAATCCTGGCCCAGGACGCCAATGGCAAGATCTCTCCGGAGGAGGTTGTCGAGAAGTTGAAGGAGCGCTTCAAAGATGTTCGAAAGCGTGTTGAAAACCTCTTCATCAAGCGCCAGGAGCTTGAAGACTCCCCCTTCGCCAACCGCCAACTTGGGGACTGCAGCAATGACCACGCCCTGGGCCTCTTGGGAACCCTCATCGAGGAACTGGACGAAAAGCTGTTTGCCGCAAGGGAGCATGCGAAGGTCCTCCAGTCCAAACTCGACACCGAGGAGGGCAATGTTGCTGAGCTTGATGGCTACCTCGATGAAATCACTATGCATCTCGACATTGCTAACCCCAACGTGGCGAAGAGCGATATCCCTTCGTTCGTCGAGCAGTATGTCCTCTCATGCGAGTCCAAGATTGATAGCCTAGAGGAGACGCTCAAGAAACTTGAGGAGGACATCGAGAAGAAGGATGATACGATCCGGGACCTGGAAGCCGAGCTCGAGGATGTGGAGACGCAGAAGTCCGAGGTTGATAAGGAACTTGCCGCGGTTAAAGCTTCCGATGCTGCCGCAAACCACCGACTCAGTGAAGCCCGCAAGCAAATCGAAGACCTCACTGAGGCTGCCGAGGCGGACCGCATGGAGATTGATGAGTTGGAGCAGCAGATCGACATCCATATCACCACCGAGCGGGAACTTCGTGAACGTCTCGATCAACAGGCTGCCTCTCATGTGCAGGAGATCAAGAAGCTTCAGCACGAGAAGCTTGTTGCTGTCGCTGCCGTGGAGAACAAGTTGGCCGAAGCTATCCTTGGCAAGAGCCACCTCGAGTCTCGTCTTCAAGCTACCATGATCGAGCACGCTTCTCTAGTCTCCGAACTTGAGAACGCCATGGGACAATCCAGGGAAGACATGGAGAAGCTTAACGGTTTCATCATGCAGTTGCAAGGCGAGCTCGAAGAGCTGAACGCATCAGTTAAGGATGCCGACGACGAAATCATCGAGCTCAAGCAAGAGCTCAATGACACCGCGGCCAAGTCGGAAATGGACATTGCCGCTCTTCAGACCGAGCTCGACGACACGCGGGCAGAGGCCGCGGCCCGTCAAGAGGACCTCGAAGACCAGCTCTCCGACGAGCGAGAATCGGCTCGCAAGTTCCAGAAGATCAGCGAGGAGCGTGCTGCCGAAATCGAGGGCCTTACCATCGAAATCGCGGAACTCAAGCGTCAGAATGCCAGTGACAAAGAGGCGCTGGAATCCAAGATCCTCGGACTCGAGCAGCAACTCCAGACCGTGCGCTTCGAAGCCGGAAAAGAGAAGGTCCGCCTCGAGCACATCATCAACGATCGTGCGCAGCGTATCACGGAGCTCGAAGCCACTGTGGTTGAATTTCAGGGGTGGCTGCGGGACGCCGAAGACAAGGAGGCCGAGTTGGAAGAGACCCTCACGCTCCAAGACTCGGAACACCAGCTCTTCGCCGAACAGGTCATCCGGGAGAAAGCCAATATCGTCTCTCAGAAGAACCAGATCCAGGAAGCCCTCAACCAGACCGAGTCCAACCTTGTGCAGTTGAAGGCGGAATGGGAGGCTGACAACGTCGCTCTTCGCAACCTCGTCGACGAAAAGAAGCAACAGATCGAGTCGCTCCGAGTCGATATCTCAAACTACAAGATCAGTACTTACAAGCTCGAGCAGAGGATCGCGCACCTCGAGATGGAGAAGCACGAGCTGGAGGAGGAGCTCGAGACGGAACGCGAGAAGGGCCTGGAGACGTTCGCCGACATGCAGGTGGAGGTTGAACGCTTTTACAGCGGCTTTGGTGACCGCAAGGGACAATACGTGCGTGAACAGAAGCACCGCGCGAGCAAGAAGCGCAGCCACGCCGAAGCCAGCGCCTCTTCCTCCATGTCTGAGGAGTACGGTAAAGCGCCGCTGAGCCCCGCCAGCACCAACCGCGTCTTGACCACCATCACCAACACTCACACCGTCAAGGTCAAGTCCAAGAGAAGGAGGATCAATGGCGACTCGGGCATCGGCATTGAGCCGTTGGAAGAGGAGGACGAGGCGTATGAGGGAAGCATGGGAATGTTGTCTCAATAGATAGTGTTTTTTGGATGGATGAATGAGAGCGAAAATGGCAATCTCCGGTGGTGATTTGTTTTTTCTTTTTTCTTTTCTAGTTTTTTTCACGACGCGATGAAGGTTTACGGCTGCTGATACTCTGTATCATACTCACTTTGTGCTGGCACGTTTTTGTTTTGTAGCATCATGAGCGCGTGGAATCTTCTGCTAAGCCTTTTTTTTTCTTTTTTTTTTCTAAGGGGGCGTGCATTTGCTTGCTTTCTTGCTTTCTTGGTTTTTCGTTCTTGATTTTGTTTATGTCTTGTTTATGGGGCGGGCGGGGGTTTTGTCTGTTTTTTTAACGGGTCTACTTTTTTTCTACTAGGGTTTGGGGGGGATGGGATGGATTGGATTGGATAAGGGATACCAGTTTGTTTATTATGCCTTTTTGATGGGGGATGAGGGAGAGGGAATGGACGGGGGGAGAGGGTGGAAATGTCATTTTAATCGTAGGAGGAGAGATGTAACACTTCGGAAGTCGGTGGGAATTGGGTGGATGGGTGGGTAGTTCAATGAGTCGATGAGTCGATGGGTTCAATGGTACCGTATTATCTCTCGTGAGAGGCTCGGGTATAAATGTCACCACTATAGGTTCAAAGCGCGCATTAGCGCAGACTAAAGTGCTTAGGGACTAGCGCAATATCAAAACACGCCTATTTGATAGGAGAGAATTCTCGGGCTGTCCACAGAATCTTCGTGCTGTCCACAGAATCTTCGTGCTGTCCACAGAATCTTCGTGCTGTCCACAGAATCTATTACAATATGTGAAAATCTAACTAAAACTTGTGTGCTCGCCAACAAAAATCGTACTCAGCGCCATCATCCTCATCCTCATCCTCACTGTCACCTTCAGTGTCGGTAATTTGCGGGGAAGAAGTTACATGGCTACACTGAGGTTTCCCTAACAGCCTGGCACTTCTCCGGGCTCCTACTGCTGGAAGGGCAGCTGGAATTGAGGTTTGTGGTGCAGCCGGTGATGCGGCTGGTGGTACGACCAGTGATGCGGCCGGTGGTGCGGCTCAGCGTCGGCGTGCGGCCGGTGCAGCTGCAGGAGCGGCCACTGCAACTGGAGGTGCGGCTGGTGCGGGTGGAGGAGCGGCCGGTGCTGCTGCTGGTGCTGCGGCTATGTATTGGGTCCAAAGTGAATCGACTGTTCGACTTCGTTTGACTCTGGAACGAGTGGCGGCTGGAGGGGGGGCCGTCGTGGGGCGACTGCGATGGGCTGCTTCCGGGGCCCTGATGGATGTTTGAACTTAAGTGGCGAACGCGTGCAAGGTGGCCTGGCCGGATTGGTAGATTGTTAGCTGTGAGAACAATGATGTGAGGGTTTCTACTGGCGGCGCTGAGTCCGATACTTGGTCGTTCATAATGGTTAATAGCTGCATTGTTCTTCCGAGATGTGAGGAGGATAGTACTGTGTAGTTGACGATACTTCCAGCTACAGAGTCGTGTGTTCAGCTGTATGAAGATACCTGCCAGCCCCTGAAGGTTGAACACCTGACGTTGCATAATTGCTCGGTGCGCTAATCATAGACGCCCTAGCCATCATGTTTACATGCACTAGTGCCTATAACAGGAGTTTTTATACCCATACCTCTCATGTGAGATAATACGGTATGGCGGACATGATGAGGTTAAATGAGTATGATCAAATAGGTAGGTAAAAGCTTGGAACGAAATGATACGAAAATATAATATACTTGGTACTCCAAGCTAGCTAGCATGTATGTACCGCCATTTCATCGACCGTGTGTGCAAGTGAACTGTCCTTGGAGCAGTATCGAGGTTTTGCAACGTCCGTCGTACTTACGTCCGCCTTATTTTTGTCCGTAATTAAGCACAAAGGTTTAGACGAGGTTTTGCAGCACCCGCCGTAACGTATCGTTCTTGGCATTGCATAACCCATCAAAAACCAAAAAAAGTTGGTCGGGCCGCGGGGCGAGGCGACCCATAACCAGCCAAGTCCACAGCCAAATCCACAACCGTGATGCCGTGACACCGCGACGCCGCGACACGCAACTCAACCGTTCACAATAAAAAAAACCTCCTGTAGCGACCGTGAGGAATTTCATTTGATGCGACATGATTGTAGCGAGGATTGTGGGAGTTCTCTCTCTGTACCTCCGCGCGCGCACCACAGGAGTCTCTGACATGAGTTGTCGTTGAATTCTCAATCAGGTAGTTTGTTTACATCTTGGCAGCATACGGCGGACAGGGGTTATGGTCAATTTTCCCTGTTCTTCGCAAGGACAGCGTCGTCAGCCTCGTCCATAGCCTCGACGATGTCCTTGACTTTAATCCCTGTATCCACCCCTGCACAATGCCTGCAACCCTCCGTTGCCATGACGACCTAAGGACGGCGGACGTTGCAAAACCTCGATAGTGAGCCAACCTGTCCTTGTAACATTGAGGCTCGGTATAATACGGTATACCGTACATTGTAACATTCTATCCTAGGTTAGTTAGGTAATAGTTATATCCCCACGACGACGACAGCCTCCATTCATTCTTCCACTACTACCGCCACATCCACAACTACGACTACAACCAACACAACAGTCGACACTCGACACTCGACACCTAACACCAAATGCACGGCGACCTCAGCTCTCAGCTCTCGACGACACATAGCTTCGGCTTACTGAAGGCCCAATCACACAGTACTAGTACCGTAGACCATCTCCATCACCAATCACTTTTGTTTGTCGGAGGTCTTGCATGGCATGGCAAGAACTGAAGCTATATGGGTACCTACAATTGAAATGGAGATGGAATGTCCAGTTGAGTTGTCAACAAGATGGGCTTGTTTTATGATCTATGATCCCAAGCCCTTAGAAGGTGTATAGTAAGTAGAACATGGAAGGCATATACCTACCAGTAGTTCGTGCTTAGCGGTCAGAGGTCTACATACAGGCTATGGCTGTTGACTTATGCTCTACTCCTCCCAAGGGCTGTCACGAGTAACTATTGCAGACAACGAATGGTCGTACCACCGACAGCTGTAACAGTTATGTAGGTAATCATGCGATTAATCTTATTCCGTGCACGCTCCCAGCAGCACCCAGCATCCGCACCCGCACCCGCAGCAAGTACCAAGTAATCACACGCCATCACTCAGCAATAGCAACAATCACATCGTCCATCACCCTTCATCACATCCACTCTTTCCTTAGCATGCTCATTCCATCACCACTGTGATAATGATCGCATACAGCAAAAAAATAATCGTGCCCAAGCCCTAAGCAATCCATCCAGCCCAATAAAACAAACAAACAAACAAACAAACAAACAAACCCGCTAAGTACATACATAAACCATTCATCGAAACAAGACCAAAAATAAGACCGGGAAGAAACAACATTTCATGTCACACAGGATTCTAAAAAACCAACACTGAAGATACCAGGCAAAACAGACAGAAGAAAAAAAACACTCCGGTTTCTTATACAACTAGAGCAAAAAAAAGGACAAAAGATATACAGCGAATCGAATATCGAAAAAAACAATGCCAAAACGCGGAGGAAGTATCAAACCATACACCGATTCGTTGTCTGTTACCACATCTCCCTTAGTGAGATGTGGGGCGTAGTGCTGATGTCTATTGCCCATAAATCCCCGATTCCGCCTACTCAGCGGGCCAGCTCCTGACGAGAGGACTGCCGATTTTAGGGGCGAACTGCAGGCTCTTCCGCTTGGCCATCTTGATCCGCTCGAGGAGGTAGGGATTGGCAACCGCAGTAGGGCCCAGATCGAACTTGGGCGGGACGGTCTTGGGGAGCAGCTGGCTATTGCTCTGCTGGCGGGCCGGGGTCTTGGGAGCTTTCACGGCGGTTTTGGGAGGTGTCTTCTTGCTGCGGTCCTTGGGGCCAGATGAGAGTTTGGAGAGGAGCTCGTCCATTCGCTGGGGCTCCATGGACTTGCGGCGCTGATTAATTGTCAGTATGTGGCTCAAGTTAGTTTTTAGGGAGTGAAGTGCCACTAACCTTGTGACCTCCACGCGGGACGTCGTCCAAATCGATGGCGTATAATCCCTCGTCTAACCACTCGTCGTGCTGAGCACACTCGATGATCCATCTCAGTGCCACGCAGGACACCAATCCTCTAGCTGCCTTGACTTTCTGCAGGGTCCTGGGGGATCCATCCTTGAACACGACGTGGGTGATTCCGACCTTTCCAGGGGTGGCAGAGTCGGGATTCCAGGACCACTGTTTGAGCACCTTGGCGCCCATTCCCTTGAGCATTTTCTCGAATGTCTCTCCACAGTTGGCTCCGTCGTTGGTGTACGCGTCGACAAACACCACGGCACCAGCAAGCACGCCACCGGACCGTTCATCGTGCATATGGTCTATTGGGGTGGACTTGTTGTCGTTGCCGAAAACATCGTCGTCGTCGTCGTGGAACTTGACCGGAACGGTCATAGGAGGTTGGCGCACATCGGCGTAGCCAATAACGACATCGCTGATATCCTCGCTCAAGAGCATCGGGTCGACGGGAACCTCGTTCCACGATCCGTAATGAAGCGTCTTGCTAGGGTTCATCACGGAAAGGTTGAGCTCGTGCCCGAACTCACGGCCACTGTCGCGAGCAACATCGCTCGGACCTGTCGCCACTTGTGGGGGCGGAACATTCTCCGAATCACAGTCCATATCATCCTCATCCTCGGCGTTGGCATCAAACAAACCGAAGCTACTACCTCCCTCACTGGGACTACGGTAATGCTTCGACTTGGGCTCATCAATATCCGCAGCCAAGTCGGTGTTTTTATCAGCCATTCCGATATCAGCGCTCCCCTCCTCCGAGGAATCTCTCTTCGAAATTTGAGTAGGAGTAGGAGAGATCTTCGACCGGTTGACCATCGATGGAGGTGTGGCAGGAGTGGTAGAACCAGAAAACACGACATCAAGGGAACCACCCGATACCATGTCCGAAGCTTCCACAACATCTCCCACAAGGGGCTCTGCTTCATTCTTCTCAGTGGAAACCTCCTTCTTAGCTGCTTTCTCCTTCTTGATAGAATTCAAGAGATCGATGAAAGCCTTATTACCATTGAGGCCATTCTTCGGAAGCTCCTGTTCCTTCTTAACCGGCAACTTGCGCTCGATGATAGACTTAGAACCAAACACGTTGTCGGCATCGTCAGCCACCTTTGGTATAGCGAAGGGGTCACTGGATAGATCCAATGAGAACTTCAAGGATGATCCTCCGCCTCCCAGCTTCGCACCCTTTCTCACAGGTCTTCGAGCGGGTGACGATAGTAGACTAGGCTTTGAAGGAGAGGCTTGAGCATGTGCCGTGGAGCTGGAGAGTTTTTGCTTGGCTGGCGACAGGGGTAGTCTCCTTGCTGGTGACCCAAATAGAGCCGATGCTGGCTTGGGCTTTGACATCAACAGCTCGGCTCCATCGATAGCATTCTTCTTTCCAAGCGGTTGCATAGGCCGCTTGGGCTTCTCGGCAAGTCGAGGAGATGTTGGACACAGGAGCTCGTCCTCCATGTCCTTGTCAACAGCGGTGAACACTCTCTTCGGTCTACGAACCTTCATGGGAGAAAGAGCGGGGAGCTCGGGAATATTCTCGGCGAAAGTTCCAGTAGACGGTGGTTGGAGTTTCGTTTTGGTGACTCTGATAGGCTTGACCGAGAGTGCACCCATCGAAGTGGATATAAGCACGTCAGTCTCCTCGTCGATATGCTGGGATTCCGTCTCGGACTCGGTCGGCTGCTTCGGGGGTATGTTATTCTCCTTGTCCTCCAGAGCAACCTTAGGACTTGTGGCAAAGGTGACCTTCTTGGTATGCGCTAACGTCATGGCACAAATGGTTTTAGCATCGATTTGCGAACTATTATGGGATAATTTGCGCTTCTTGTTATTACCGGTACGGGCCGAACGTCTAGTAGGAGCAGCGGATAATCCAGCCGATTTCGATCTCATGGCGGGCTTCTTCGTTAGTGCACCCTTCGCTCCAGCTCTTGTGGTGGTGGTGGAGGTGGTGGAGGTGGTGGTGGTAGTGGTGTTAGTAGTTCTGGTCGCCGGTATGGGTGCCTTGTCGGGCTTCGAACGCGAGTTCTCAAGGGTGAGGGTCGACTCAGTCAGGGCCTTTCGCTTCTCACCAACGACATTTCGCGTGGTACGGGTAGCTGTATCGGAGAGAGAAGAGGAAGCTGTTCCAGCTTGAGACCGCGAACGCGTTGGGTATCGTCGAGGTAGTGGGTCTGGCATTGTGTCGAGGTGACGAAGGACAGAAATTTAGGTTTAAAGGAGGTAGATATCGTTCGAGAAGATGTAGGGCGAATTGATAAGGAGGCGGAGGTGAAGGTGGTGGTGGTGGTGGTGGTGGTGGTGCGGTTGGTAGTGTTGTGATTGCGAATGGTGGTTGGTGTCTTGGGTATTGGGTGTTGGATGTGGAAGTGTGGATGGTGAGGTAAGGAGGAGAGGAAAAAGCGAGAAGGGGAAGGGGACACGAGCACGGGCTGTAAACAAGCGAGCTGTGAGATGCGCGACGTTGCCATAGCAGCGGGGTTGCGGCGTGATTCGAGATAAGATAAGCAACACTTTTTGCCAAGAGGCGTCCTACTCCAACAGCACAGACTGATGCCAGCACCACATATCACTCGCTCTTCACAGACTTCAGTGCGCACACAAGTGTTCACAATCTAATCTCGAGCACCTTCAATGGTTGGGAATGCCCAGTTGCAGTGACGAGTGCGATATTCCTTTTCGACTGATAAATCGCGAGTGATCAATTTGTGTCTACGCCAAAAAATGTTAGGGCCCGTTTGGATGGCCTCAGTTTTAGCGAAAACTGTCAGTCTTTCGAGAAACTGAGCAAACAAAACTGTAACCCTGTTTGGATGGCACAAAAACTGGGAGAAAAAAACTGAACTTGTGCGGCTACGGCGATGAACGGGAACTGGCCTCTGGAGATCTTTTCTTCACCACCACTCAGTACCGCATTTTAACTTCAACCATGGACCCCCTTTACGAGGAAGAGAAAAAAGCGGGGCTACAATGTGTCTACTATTAAAGTTCTGGTGAAGCCTATTATTTAGACTTATGGCTGAGTATACTGAGAACTGCCAAGCACTCTGTTCACCTCAAGGTTTTCCGGAAACTGAAACTGAACAGTATTCGGTGTCTCGACGGGGAACTGAATTTGGCTCTAAAGCTGCAACTGAAAAGTGAGTGCATCCAAACGGGCCATTAGAGTTTTCATTGTTGGTCACTCGTACTGCCATGTTCTAGACCTCCCCACACAAAATTGCCAAACTTCAAGGCTCACAAACTAATTAACCAAAACTTCTAATTTTTTTCTGGGTCAACTGCAAAACACTTGAAGATTTGTTCTATCACTCTATCGAGCCCTTTTAATTTTTTATCTGTGTTGCCGTTGAATAAGGCCGGTGGTGGGGGTGAGCATTTTTTTCGTCCTCAACTATCATCGGGGGCGGCTTGCATGAGTTGAGTTTTGCGATTTCACTCACTTTGAGTCCAATCACTATGTAAATGCTAGAAATTTGATTTTAGATTTTGTAAGAGATCTCACGCCGAAGTACCTACATATCTCTCTGGGCTCTGAACGATCGTGCTATTCCTGAGGTGTTGATCTCTGAGTGGAGACGTTTGGTGCGAATCCCGAGTCCTGCAAAGCACCCCTGTCGGACACACGTCTCAGCCGCATATGTCATCTCGCCTAGGCTTTGGCGGGGCAGTTCGCTGAGTGCAGCCCTAAACCAAACCCTGACACACCTCCCCCACCATCGCCTATCACCACCGAACAACACAATAATGAGTGATCAGCCTGACGCCGCCGCCGAGAAGGAGCTCCGTCTGAAGGAAGCCGTCGAACAGGCCGCGCTCCCGTACGCGTGGAAACAGACCATCGCCGATGTCGACATCTCTGTTCCCGTCCCTGTCGGCACCCGCGGACGCGACCTCACCGTTGTGATTTCGTCCAAAAAGATTAAGGTTGGGCTCAAGGGGCAGGAGCCAATCATGGAGGTTCGTCAGACTCACTCTTCGCTTCGGACTACGGCTTCTGATGGATGATAGGGTGATCTCCCCAGTGCGATCCGCGTCGACGAATCCACCTGGTCCCTCGAAGACCAAAAGCTTGTCGAAATCCACCTGGAGAAGGTCAACGCGATGGAGTGGTGGCCGCACGTGCTCACACACCACCCCAAGATCGATACCACCAAGATCTCACCGGAGAACTCGAAGCTCAGTGATCTCGACGGCGAGACGCGCGCGATGGTGGAGAAGATGATGTTTGACCAGCGACAGAAGGAGATGGGCAAGCCTACCAGCGACGAGCAGAAGAAGCTGGATATGTTCAAGAAGTTCCAGGAACAGCATCCCGAGATGGACTTTTCGAATGCCAAGTTGGGTTGAGGGGGGCAGTGCGGGGCTGAGAGATAGAGACGTCAATCAAATCAAGATTACCCAGTGCTTGACCTCGCATCAAGCTCATGTCATGTGCAAGAAACCACGGGATATCACTCTGTGGTGCTGCAATGCCTTCCCATAATGGATATATCACCGGAGAAAGAAATATACACCACCCCCGGCTCCGGTCCCCGCGATCCGCGTCCTTCTCCACTGGTGAGGATATGCGAAAACCCCAATTCCCAATCCCTCGGGTTCCATTGCTCTCGTAACCCTTAGAAATCCGATCTCCCACCATTACCAGCATCACAAGATCCCGGTAAAAGAGGTGGATAAGTTGATGGATACCCCATACGATGATGTAGTTTGTACCACCACAATGCACCTCGGCCGTTCAGATGGGAATTGAAGGGAAACGGTGCCGCGTCCCGGCATTCCCAGAATCTTGTGTACTCCCCAACTCAGTTCTTACCGTTCGCTTCTTGACGCTGACCTCGACGATGACGGAAGCTACGTTAACCATGCCGGCGCCCTCGGGAGAAACAAGCATCAATAATCCGGACCCCAGTGAACCGTTGAGATTAAAAAGCGGGGGATGGAGATTAGATGGGGTTTTGCTTTCCTATGGAACAGTGGCCGCGTGCTCCCCCTGCCCCGGTCGCTCGGAGCCGCCCAGTGGTTTGGGGTTTGAGGGTTTATCCATGGTCCATGTGATGAAACAAGGGGATGCACCGTCACTCACTGGTGGAGAGGGAAAGTGGAGGAAAGAACGGGGCTACGTAGATACCCTTTGGAGTAGACGAAAATTCAAGTATATTGATTTTTGGGGTGTGGAAGGATGAAGCTCGAATTGAAGGGCACCGGAGCGGAGAGGTGGAGGGAACTTGAAGGGTATAAACAATGGGTGTTTCCACCATCTTTGGGCCAGAGTTTCATCTTCACGCTCCTAGAGAATCCCAAGCCATCATCTACCTCGATATCCTCCAGCAACCCATCGGCGCCTTCTCCCAACGCAGATCAAAACAGACAGACAGGTCAACAACCAAATAAACATGAAGCTCCTCGCCATCACACTCGCAGCCCTCGTCTCTACTGTCGTGGCATATCCCCAAGCGTATATCCCCATATCATCGTCCCCCTCCAGTTCTTCTGTTGACACCTCACAGAACCCTCATCGAACGCTCCGAAACTACAACCTCAGTCACCAACCCGACGCCACCTAAAGACACCCCCATACCGTACATCTCCCCCCTCCCTCTTTACTCTCATCTTCTAAAACCCCCAGCAGTGAGCGTATCGTAACAACCTACCCCTGCAAGATCCAGGGTGCCCTCTATTGCTGGATTGATGGAAAAAACATGGGTAGCTGTAATGCTACTGAGGGGTTCGTAACGAATGATTGGTTTTTGCCGGTCAAGGTGGGCGATTGGAAATGTACTCCTGGGCAGTACTTGGGAGTTCTGTAGTGGCATAGGGTGCCATGGAGGGGGGAAGGAAGGCGTTTGATTCTTTTCTTGTACATGTATCTTGAGCCGCTGGAGCGGTGGATGTTTTTGATATTTGGATACGGTTCAATAGGATGGGTGATATCATATGACTATACGTTTGTTCTTCCCCGTCATTATCGTAATCGTTATCTAAGTTACATTAAGTACTACCATCCGGATATGATCTATGCTCTCCCATTACCTCCAGCCAGCCACCCCTCCATCTTTCTCTCTACCACCTCCAACCGCCCCTCTCCCCAAAAGTGACCGGCACCCTCTACCTCTACGCTCTCAAATCCCTCCCCCAATGCCACCAGCATCTTCTCACCCCACCGCCTATACTTCTTGACTCCAGTGAAAACATCATCATCGCCCCAAGCAACCAGAATCTTCGTCCCCTTCCCCTTCCTCTTCGCTGCGGTAGGTGGGTCGGCAACACTCTCCACCGCCGGCGCAAAGCCGAACGACGGGAGGAGGCAGGATGATATCGGCGGGAGCGGCGGGGAGATCAGAAGGTATCTCGTAACGATCTGCAGCGCAGCCAGGTCCACCTGAGGCTCCAGCGGTGCAGCCACGAGGGCCGACAACGGTGGGCGCAGATCCGACTCCGAAATCGACGAGCGCTGGGGCGGCAGCAGCGGCGGCGAGCGCACGCCAGAATACGAAGTCCTGCCAACCTCCGAATGACTCCGATACCAGCCCCTTGCGCTCCTTTTCCCCGCCGTAAGCGCTTTACGGAACGCCTCGTTCGGCGGACTCGTCGCCGCCTGCACCAACTCGTCGCAACCCGGGCACTGCGCTGCGACGAGCGCCCCATACGAGTAGCCCGCTAACACCAATTCCACCCCGTCGGGCGCGCCATTCCGCAGCTCGGCCGCAAAATCGAGCGTCCATGCAGCGACGGCGGCGTAATCCCCCGTCTCGGCTTTGCCCGTCCAGCTGGTCCGCCCTTTGGAGTGGCCGCAGCCGCGGAAGTTGAAGATGCTGGTGATGAACCCGTGCGCTACGAGGACGGCACAGATGTGTTGGACTACGGGATCGTGACATGTGCCGCCGAGGGGGCCGTAGGGGTGGGCGATTATCGCGATGCGGCGGGAGGAGGGAAGGACGGTGGGGACAGTGAGGCTTGTCTCGATCGGGATGGCATCGTGGAGGGAGGGGATGTGGAGGTTTAGAGTTGTGCTGTTTTGTGGCGTGTGAGTGTGGGAGTGCGAGCGGGAGTGGGAGGAGTGTTGGCGCTTGTGGTTGGGCATTATTTCTGGGCTGGTGTGGTTCGTTCCTTCTGGAAGGACGAGTGGAAGCTTGGTAGCTTTGTAGCTTTGGTGGCAGGTGGGCGCGTGTCGACTCTATTCTATGACAGATCCAGTAGAGGGGTTAGGGTTGGCGCTTGTTTAACCACGTCATGACCATTCGAAGTGTGTTTCAGCTTCACGATGGGACATTCTCCCGGAAACTTATCACCGGCGGGACTGGACGGTAGTTAAGCCTCAGCGAATACTGCACTTGCAGGACTAGGAAAATCGTAACAGAACACATTTGCAAGTGCCGCTGAGAGATAGTAAAAATGAAAACCATAACTGATCGTAAATACCTACTTCCGTACATCTCGCAATTTAGCTCCATGTTATTTATTGCTCGTACGTGGGAGGTGGTACTAGGGTTGCCTATGTTTTCGACTTAGTTTCAACAACATCTTGAGCATGGGCTAAGGAAAATCGCACATTCGTGACGTTGGTGTCAACTTCCTCCATTGGACTATCACTCGCATGTAAGCAACTGGGTAAGTTCTCGAACAGTTGAATAGACTGCTTACACTAGTTTCCAGCTCCTACGAGGATCCAGCTGCTTACTGGAGCATTCGAGAGTGTTTCCGCCACCGAAAGATCTTCCGAGCGCCTCTCCCAGCAGGTTTCCCGTGGCCTCTTCCACAATCTTCCAGTTCCTCCGTCCGTCGAGCTCCAGTGTCCATAGCTTCTCCCCTCCAGAGGGACACGTCTGCCACGCACGGACGGTGTCCTCCATCGTCGTCGGAATGGTCGGGTCCATAGTACCCCGAGCACGCAGGAACCCACCCGTAAGACGGTTCCTAATCTGGAAAGAGGCGACCGCGTTACCACCCACGAGAGCGCGATTGTGAATTATCGTCCACTGTGTTCCCCACGTCTCCCGGTAGTTTGATGTGTGATTGGGTCCGGTGGGAGAGATAAGGATCGGGAGAGACGATGGGTAGGAATGGCTTAGGATGTTGCCGGTGCTGACGTTTTTCAACTGGTGCCAGCCTATAGGCACCGAGGACATGGGGATCACGAGCTCCCACTGCAGATGTAGATTAAGCTTGCTGGATTCATAGCCTCTGTTCAAATTCCCCCTGTCGATCGCGAGACCCGAGTACATACTGACGATGTTGAAACACACGCTTGCCGCTATCATTCAGCTCGGGCACATCTAAAGAAGCTGGAGAAACTACATGTGTAGTTGGCGTATGCACGTACCATTCCTTACAGTCCTCCCTTCTCTCAAACTTCCATAGTTGCCACGGTGCACCGTGTGACTTGTGTAGGTGGAGATGCTTCTTGTCAGGCGCATCTAAGGATTTCTCCTGTGCCAGCTGTGTTATCGTGTACAATGTCGGAGCTTTATCGAAGAACTTCTGCTGCTCCGGGATGGGCTCGATCCACCAGACTTGCGCCTCCCGGTACAGCGGATTCCCTTCGTCGCGTTTCTCGGCCTTCAGCTTGTTGTTTCCAGCGTCGAAGAGAACATGGCCGGTCGGGACGTGGCGGATGAGGTAGGAGCCGGCAGGAATGCTGTCGGACATTGCTGGGTGAATGGCGGGGAAGTTGCTTCGGCGTGGAAGGGATTCTTCTGCGCTTGAACTTGAGCTCGAGCTCGAACCGGCCACACCCCTCCTTCCTCGTTAACACTGGATGGTATCGAAAGTCACGGGACACGCTAAAACCAGTACTATGTAACATGTACCCATCATACTGTCAGCCCCTCACGTGCTCTTTCAGCTCCTTCACGTGTCACTGATCCTTCTGGGCTCGCTCCCATTAAATATCGGCATACAACAACAGGTACGTACTGTAGGCAGTAACATTTACTTACTCTGGTATTACTAGCTTACTATAGGGCTGAGCACCACATAGGAGAAATTTGGATACTAAATAGTAAAGCTTTGTATACATTTCTACTTTACCAGCTTTGATATTTTCAATTTCTAGTTCATGGGTTGTATCATACCTAGTACCTACTGTACAGTGAAGGGGGGGGGGGGGTAAAAAATACGCTTTGTGACCGTATCGGTACGGTCACAAAGCGTATTTTTTTACCCTCCCCTTCACTATACAGTACTTATGATAAGTAATTGGTTTGGCCGCGATGCCTACTTCGAACTCACTATTAGTTAGTACCGAGTACAGTAAAGTAGTGGTAACTAACTAACTAGTGCCGATATCTAACCGTTGTTGAGTCCTGACCCGACAGTCCCAAGGTACTACATACCTTGTATATACCTGCCTCCTATGTGCGTACGAGTGAGCTTGCACGATAATAATGCGCCAGAACCTCATTGAAACAGTGTACGCTCTCTGATGTTCTTCAGTGAACGTCAAACCGCAAAATTTGCTTGCCTGGTATACGTAGATGGCTTGCGCCCGAGTAAACTCGGCGCAACACCCAAACGAACGCGGGGCTTCAACTTCTGGGGTCTATTTTTTTTTTGCAGATAAGCATGTACCGTATCGTGTGAACCTCACCCTTGCCGCCTGGGCTGCGCAGAGAAACTGGCTGAGATGGCTGCCGAATAGGCCAGCTATGCATGAGTACTTAGGTAAGTATCACGATTCAAGTTCTCTCAGCTATTTAGCAACTCAGTTTGTATAGAGTGTATTGACATTGCCCGCTATCGTCGTTTCCCATTCGATCTTATAACAGTTATACCCGCACCTGTGCACGACATATCCAGAAAACCCCCATTCCAGACCGGACCGAGAGTTCTGCATGTCGATTGCGATGCTCTCCACAGGCCAAGCTACGGTGCAAAAGTCGGGTTGACATTCTTGGAAGGATAAACAGGTGGGGAGCCCGTTCCCTACCGTTCCCCTTAGTCTGAGCAAGTGGGGAAGTGCAGGGAATTCTAGTATGATACTATTGGCCACTTACCGGCATGGTCACGGCAGCATCAACTTCTTGCATCGGTCTACGCCGCCTCACGATCAGCGCCGGAGCTTTGCGAAGAGTACATAAGTAGGTAGGAGGGGGTTAGCAACTCACATCAGCTCCCAGCTCGTGTGAGGATTTGGCCGTTTGCTGCAGCATTCGAGAGTGTTTCCGCCACCGAAGGATCTCCTGAGCACGGCCTCTCCCAGCAGGTTTCCCGTGGCCTCTTCCACAATCTTCCAGTTCCTCCGTCCGTCGAGCTCCAGTGTCCAGAGCTTCTCACCGCGATAGTAAGACGTCTGCCACCCATTGACGGTTTCTTCCATCGTCTTCGAAATCGCCGGGCTCTTGCTGCCCCGAGGACGCAGGAACCCACCCGTAAACCGGTTCCTGATCTGGAAAGACCCGACCGCGGCACCACCATTGAAGCCGTGGCCATGGATTATCGCCCACTGTGTTCTCCACGTCTCGTAGTAGTTTGACGTGTGCTTGGGTTCGGTGGGAGAGATAAGGATCGGGAGGGATGACGGGTAGGAATGGCTCAGGATGTGGCCGGTGCCGACGTTTCTCAACTGGTGCCAGCCTATCGGTACCGAGGACACGGGGATCACGAGCTCCCATTTTTGATTTGCATTGTTCTTGTTATCCCACATGGTTATGCGCTCGGTCTTGTCCTTTTCAATGGACCTGTCGAGTGCCAGGCCCGAGAACTCGTTGATGATGTTGTAGTGCATGCTGACACAGGAGGAGGCCACACTATTCAGCTTGGGCCCGGCACATCTCGAGAAGCTGGAGAATTTGTATATGTAATGGGGGAGGCTCATACCGATCATCGCAATCCGCCACCTCGACAAGTCTCCAGAGCTGCCATGGCGCACCGTGCGATTTGTAGGTCCAGAGGCGGCCGTCTCTCTTTAGATCGGGGGCGTCCAGGGAGCTCCCGGATGCCAGTCGGGTTATCGTGTAAAGCGTCGGAGTGTTCTCATCGAAGAACTCGTGCTGCTCCGGGATGGGTTCGATGTACCAAGTTTGGTCCTCGCGGTACTGGGGGTTCCCCTCGTTGCGGACCCCGACTTTCACCCCCGTGCCAGTGGTTCCGGCGGACCACAGAACCTTGCCCGAGCCTATAAGGCGGATTACGTAGGAGCCAGCGGGAATGATGTCGGCCATTGCTGGGCGTAAAAACTTTGGGTGCGAGCGTGCTTCGTCGTGGTTGCGTGTTTCTTTTCTACTCGAAGATTGATGAGCTGACAGCCGCATCCTCCTTCCCTATCAACCCTGGAGGGATGCCAGAACGCTCGAGATGAGAGACAGCCATACGTCATGTGACACGCCATGCCTTCGAGGATAAGAGGGATCTTGAGTCTCGACACCATCTGCTTGTCCGCACTTACTGGCCTCGAGGTGGGGCTCCACCGGGAGATGGCCAGTCGGAGCTCAGTATAAGGTATGAAGTACCGCTGCACTCTAAAATCCAACTCTCTCTGATTGATTTGCTAGTACGGTATTGGGCTATTGAAGGCATTTTGTTTGGCCGCGATACCTATGTACTTAAATACTTACTTAGGTACATTGTGTGGAAATCACTTTCGCAGCTTGGGCTGGATAGCCAAGTGGGCTGGCGTGGCTACCAAGTGGGCTGACTGCTGACGATTGCATTGCCGAAACAGGAGTGCAAACATCACGGCACTCCCCTTAGTTATTTTAGCCACTCGGTTCTTATTGAGTGCATTGACATAGGTAGTTATCCCGCTGTTCTCAGATTCCATCAGGCCTCATAAAAATTATCCCCCCATCCATGCACCATATATTCAGAATCTCGTTCCAGACCAGCCCAGGAGCTCTTCGCATCGATCACGCTCCATGCCCTCCAGAACCAAAGCTACGGCTTTGGGGTCGAGTAGACAGACTTCCCAGCATAGACAGGTAGAAATCCCCCTTCCTGCTATTTTCTCAGTCCAAGCAAATTAGGGAGCGCAGGGGGCAATTACAGGCACGAACGTAGTCGCATCGATGTCCTTCATTGGCCTACACCGCCTGGTGGTTAACTCGGAGCTCGAGGGAGCAGGAGAGGATGTGCAACTCACACTAGCCTCCAGCTCCTCGTTGGATCCAGTTCCTTGCTATTAGCTTCAACACGATTCCCCCCTACCGACGTCGAGGCCGGTGCCTCACCCAGTAGGGTTCCTCTTTCCCGATCCCGGATCCTCCAATTATTCTGGGCGTCCAGCTCGAAGGCGAGTGCATCTCCACCGTCCATCACGGTCACGCCGCTTATATCCTCCTGCTTCAGACTGTTCGCGTCGGACGTTGTTACGAGCAGGCATCCGGTGAGCCGGTTTTTGATCATGTATCTCCCCTTATATGATTTATCCCGCCCCAACGCAAGGGCGCAGATGAGCGTCCATTGCGTATCCCAGGTCTCGCGGTAGTTTGAGGTGCCGACCGGCGGAAGCTGCTGGTTGATTAGACGCGGCGGTGAATAGGCGTAGGTATGGCTTAGCACGTGGCTCGTGGATACGTTCTTGATCTGGAGCCAGCCGACGGGGACCGGTGTCATACTGCGGCGTCGTCGCGGTTAGTTGGTGTTGGCTCGACTTGCTCGAGTGATGGATCGGCGATCCGGGAATGGAGCGTACGGGATCACAAATTCCCATATCTGGGCGGGAGCATCGCTCTCCAGTTTGACTTGGTATAAGTAAGTTTCGTCCTCAGGTTCCGCGGGTTCACCGGGTTCACCGGGTTCATCGCCTTGGCCGAATTGGTCGGATTCCTCAGCTTTCGTAGTGGGGGAAATCCCTCCTTCAAGAACAAAGCCAGAGTTAGAGTTGAGGATGTAGTAGAATTCACTTTGCACAGTATCATTCAGCAAGTCAGCAGTGGTCCTCCCCTCCCCGCCTCACCTCCTCTCCTACTCCTGACCAAATCGCATTGGACACGCACCCATCCTTCCTATCCTCCAGCCTGATAAACTTCCACAGCGCGGTAAGATGGCCATGCATGCGGTATCTACCGATAGGGGCCATTCGGTCGCAACTGCCTTGATATATTTCCATCACCTGTGTTTCCACAGTGCCCATCCCGATCTGTGATAGCGTGTACGCCACGTCTCCCGAGCTCGAGAACTGGTATTCGGGGAGGGGCTCGACCCAGAATGTCTGTTGCTCGCGATGGAGTATCTCATCGCGCTCGGCGAGCTCGAATTTACCTTGGCCGTTGTATTGCACCACCAGGCCTGTGGTCTGGTTGCGGAGGAGGTAGGAGCCGGTGGGGATGGTGGGGGCCATTTGCTGGTGGGGGCGCGCGCGGGAAGGTGTCTTGTCGTGGAGGGGCTCTCTCACGGCTTGAGCCCCGCTCTTCAATCCCCCCATGCCGTGTAACGTAGTTGGGGTTTACTGAGGCGTAGACTGCTTGGGGGCTTTCTGTTTCATCCTATCGTACAATACAATCGTACTTGGTAGTAAGTAGTCGACCATTGCCGATCTGGAGCACATACAAGGTGCAAAACATATAGTACAACTGTTCCCGTCCCGCTCGGTTTCCGTCCCGATTTACAAACGAAGGGCCGTCGAGCGTTCCTCGGAGGCTTCACCTGTTGGCGGCGGACAAAAGTATCCCCGCATACATGCACCACAATCCAGAACAACCTCATTCTAGACCAGACTGACTACCTAGGAGCTCTTCACTGATTCCATCTATTCCTACACTTCAGAAACTATGCTAGGGCTTGAGGTTAAACGAACAGTCTTCGCAGCATACATAGGTGGAGTGCTTGCTTCCTGTCTATTATCTCAGTCGGAGCAAGTACATACAGCGCAGGAGCTCAAGTATTGGTGCTTACCGGCGCAATCATGGTCGCATCAACTTCGTGCATCGGCCTACACCGCCTCATGATTAGCCCAGAGCCCTGTGGGAGAGTACATAGGTAGGTAGCAGAAGGTATGCAACTCACACCAACCTCCAGCTCCTCGTCGGATCCGGTACACTGCTATTAGCCACAACAAGATTCCCCTCCACTGACGTCGAGGCTGGTGCCTCACCCAGCAGCATGTTTCCTTTCCGATCCCAGATCTTCCAATTCCTTTGGGCGTCCAATTCGATGGTGAGTGGAGATCCGCCGCCCATCATGGTCACGCCGCGCCTATCCTCCTCGTTTGGACCATTGGTTTCAAATTCCGTCGTCAGCAGGCATCCGGTAAGCCGGTTTTTGAGGACGTATTCTCCCTTGTCTGAGATGAGCGTCCATTGCGTATCCCAGGTCTCGCGGTAGTTTAAAGTGCGGACCGGCGGAAGCTGCTGGTTGATTAGACGCGGCGGTGAATAGGCGTAGGTATGGCTTAGCACGTGGCCCGTGGATACGTTCTTGATCTGGAGCCAGCCGACGGGGACCGGTGTCATACTGCGGCGTCGTCGCGGTTAGTTGGTGGTTGGCTCGACTTGCTCGAGTGATGGATCGACAATCCGGGAATGGAGCGTACGGGATCACGAATTCCAACATTTGGGCGGAATCGTTGCTCTGGTGCTCATCTTGGCACAGATAAGTGTATTTCTTATGATCTTTCCCAGATATATTCATAAGGGTGCCCCCTTCGAGAGCGAGGCCAGAATGAAGGTTGAAGATGTAGTAGAATTCGCTTCGTTCATTCCGATCAGTCAGTATCATACCCAGTGGTCATACCCAGCGGTCTCTCTCACCCCTCCTTCTCCCCTCTAGACCTAGGTAGTCACATCGAATACGCACCCATCGTTCCTGTCCCCCACCCTGGCAAACCTCCAGAGCGCCGTTGTATGCCCGTGCGCCAGGTATCTACCAATAGCGGTCGCCTTCTCGCGCTTACCGTTGACTACTTCCATTACCGCCGGTGGACCCTTCATCCCGATTTGCCACAGTGAGTATACCACGTTCTCGGGTCCGGAGAACCGGTATTCGGGGAGGGGCTCGATCCAAAACGTCTGCTGCTCGCGAAAGAGAATCTCTTAGCGCTCGGCGAGTTCGTATTTATGTTCTTTGTCGTTGTATTGGAGGACGAGGCCCGTCAACAGGTTGCGGACGAGGTAGGCCCCTATCGAAATGGCAGACGGAGCACTGCTGTGAGCTGGTGGCATTTTCTGCATCTTCTCCTCCTCCATTTAGCTTTTGTGGGGGATGAAAAGAAAAACTGGTGGCGATGATTGCAGCGTGGCCACGGTATGGGGAAAGAATTATGGGGTGTAGGTAGTTGATTTGATGGTGGGCGATTCCCAGGGAGCTCTGCGGCTTCACCATGCGGGGTAAACTGCAATCTCCTCTCAAGGGCGGCTAACTGTGGCTGGGACGTCTCACAAGAACAAAGAAGGTGCAGATTCGTATGGTGAGTAACCTATGTTTCACGGCGTATTACCGATGTATAGCTAACCTTTCATAAAGACGCCTTCTACCATTGCATTTACCTACATTAAGTAGGTACTTATAGGTCGAAATTCGGAAGTCTCCAAAGCGTGGGATCTGAGATACCTACCTAACCTAGGTATCACCCATTGGAACACATTGACCGGACAGTTAGTATTGCTCAATCAAAACGTCCAACCCAGTCTGCTAGGCACTTCGCAGCCCACTAGCCGGCTGATATAGCGAACACTGGTCCGACTCCTAGCCTGGTAATTATATGTATAGGTAGAGTGCGTCAATCGTCAAACCGAACCGGGCAGAATCGGTCTATCCAGTCGAGACTGCTGCCAATCGGACCATAGCATTCGATGGGGGGGTATCTGCCAGTTTGACTGAGGCCTTGTTTTTGTTTAATCATTGATTGCATGCGACCTAGCTAGATCATGGCAATATCACTCCGTTCACCCCCCGTTTCCACGCCACTGTCCAACCCGGCTTGCACCGAGCGGCCCGATGTGGCTTTCCCTGCCCTCCGCCCCGGGCTGTCCCAGAAAAGTAGATACACGGTAAAGACTGAAATGGGCCTGCATGCCCGCCCGCCCCTTCCCACCTCTCCTCTCTCCCCTACGGGCTAACTCGCCCGCTCTTCCCACCTGCCCTCTGTCCCTTCGTTCGAAGGTTTTCCAAATCCTTTATATGGGATTTCCATGCCTTTTGCGGCCTGGCGTTCCTGCTCCCACCGACGGTGACGGTCACATACCAGTCCCTATACGCCCCTGCCGCGAGCATTGTCAACCCACGACGGGACGCTTCCCTCTCTTCCAAATCTCACCCGTCTCTTCTCCCCTTTCCATTTCCCTCTCCCTTTCCACTTCCGCTCAACCCTCATCCATCTCACCATGCCATAGAGAAGTACTGGCCCGGGGCCGCGGCCAGTGTTGACGGTACCTAGTTAGGGATTGCTCAAGCTCGGTATTCACACCGGCATGCTCCGAGCGAGTGCACGAGAGTCGATAAGTACCTACTCCGTAGCTGCTTCTCCGGCCGGCCGGTATGGTATTCGATGTCCCGTCAGTTTCCGTTTCCGTTTCCGGTTTGGCCGCTTAACTAGGTGGTGTGGTGTCGATGCGGTGCAGGAGGCGGCAGCAGCGGTAGCGGCTGTGAAGCTATAGTAGCACCGTTTGCACTTGCGCCTGGAGTTCCCGGCTCTCTTCTCCTCTCCTCCCGGATCCTCTGTGAGATTGTCGGTTCGCTCACTCGTCGTAAATAGTAACTAACAAGAACCGTAAGTTCTTTCACCTCGTCGGTTGTTGTCGCGTTTGCTACTGACAAATGATATGCGACAGCAACTAACCGCGCTCTAACTAATGTCGTCGTGCACGACCGCAAGCAATTTGACAAAGGTTTAAGGCCGCCGGCTCGGTTTGGTTCCGAAAACGCACGATTGAGATGCCATGAATACAGTGTACCTATAGTACTTACCCGTGTGGAAAGCACAACACAAATCGGACGTGAAGCAATAATTACCGTATTACGGTGAATAAATAGCGGATGGCCACCCAGACTTAAAAGAGTTACCTACATGACTTGTACTCACAGATATCAAAAGGACTCATTTGACTGGACTGGACTGGCGGGACTTGATATCAATAATCAATCACAACCACATCTTCAGCCGCTAAATGAAGGCAAACCACTCGGATCGATAAACGTGACAGAACAGGCATAAGTAGCGACATTTTTTCTACAGGTCTCTTCGATTCGTCCATCGGCTCGGTGTGGTATGGTAAGGTATGGTAAGGTATGGTATTTACTATCCTACAAGTCCAGCACGCACGCGCATCAGCCTCTCTCCAGCGGCTCACGGATCACAGCTCCGTTTTCGTACCTCTCCTTCCGGGGGCCGGTGCTGGGCTCTCCAAATAATCCTCGAGGCCCAGCGCGCCGACCATCCAAGCCGTGGTGAGCACTGCCCAGTCCTTGACGGTGTCCATATCGAGGTGGTCACCATCATCGATCATCTCGTGCCAGACGCGGGGGAACGGCGAGGGGATGATGTGCAGCACCTCGACGCCGCGCTGCATGAACGGCACGTGGTCGTCTTGCACCATCCCGCCGTACCACTGGCCCTTGTCTTTGTCGACCTCGTGGAACCAGCTGCCCGGGTTCGCCTTGTGCGAGGCGAAGAGCCCCTCGGCGCGCAGTTGCTGCTCGAGGTGCGCGAAGCCCGTGTACGCCCAGTGCGTGGTCGGGAAGTAGGAGGGGATCTTGGGCGCGGCTGAGCCAAGCAGGTCCAGCAGGATGAAGAGGTCGATGTTGGCGAGATGTGTCTTCCGCGCCGACAGCGGGGCGTGGTATTGCGATTCCCAGTGTTGCGCGAGATCGCTGCCCGGTATTAGCATTCTCTCTCCTTGCAGACTACAGAGGGGAGTGACCTACCGCGCCCCGTAAAGACTATCCGTGTCCGTCCAGCTCTGCCACGCCTCCTCGCCGTCCAACAGCAGCACCATAACTCCGCGCTCCTCCTCCATCGCCATTTCATCCCCCTCCTCCTTCAGCTTCTTCCAGCGCCTCGTCAGGGCCGCATCGATCGAGCGGGCGACCTGGAGGATGATCGCGCACGGGGCCGCGGAATCCGTAGCGCCAATGAACCCCTCTGGGGTGAGCTTCGAATCATAATGAGCTACGAGGACTAGACGGCCGACGTCACCGGGGGCGACCCAGGGCGGATCCTTCGTAGCCACGAAATTGACGAAGGGGATTTTCTTCCCCTTTGACAGCGGGGTAGTGTAGCTCGAGTTCTGCGTGGTGACGCTCCAGTCGGGCAGGGAGTTGCCAAAGAAGTCCTGGAAGTGCCGCAGCACCTTGAGTGAGCCTGGGGTTCCGGGGACGCGCGGGATCAGGATCGGCGCGAGCAGCGCGCCGCTGTGCACATCGAAGTCGGAGTCGGACGGCCGCGAGAGGCGGCGCAGCGCCGTTGTTGACGGCGCGACGAAGAAGCCCCGCGCTACACTGCTGAGGAGAATCGTCATCTGCAAGCATTGCAGTGGTGCCCACATCTCGGTGACAATGCGATGTTGTGCTTTCCGCTGTTGGCTGAAGGTGGGTGAGGTTGAAGCTGGACACGATTGACAGCTATCTACCCAGAGTAACTACCATAGGTAAGCTAGTTACTGTGGCCTTAAGCCGGCGCCAACGTTCCGTCGGTCGGTCGCCCTGCCGCGCGCGCGCGATCCCTGTAGGCTGCAGGCTGCAGATGGTGATCGTTCTGGCGGGGGGGAAATCCTACATACCCGTATGTACTCTGCGGCTGCCAACGACAGGGGGCAAAACACTCTGTCTCGAACCCGTGGCTAAATCCGTGGGGTGGTCACTGGTAGTCTGTAGATAACAGTTTGGAATATGGGGACGAGATTTGCAAGTGGAATTAGGGTTCAGGGTTAGGAAGGTACCCTGAATGTTGGATGATGGATTTAGGTTCGGCTGGCCATTTGGGCCCTTTCATCGGCCAGAGGACCTTTCATCCGGTCGAGACGAGGCTACCGGCAACAGGTAGGTTCGCACGTGCCGATCCGAGCGAACGACTCATGGAGATCCATCGAAACATCGTCTGAACTCTCGGCCGCAAAGACCATCGCCGGGACAATGGAATTCGAAGTCTAGACCTCCGAGCCCAAAAATATCTATGGCAGCGGAGAACTTTGGGAATCGAGATGCAACTTCAAGTCTCCCACTGTCCAGCTTCCGTCCAGCTTCCGTCCTGCTAGATATAGAGCACAGGCGACAACCGAAGCCCGGAAGCCCCGGAATTCGGAATTCGGAATTCGGGTTTGACGGCTCGGTCAAAAGAAACGTACATGATATGTACCTCTATGTACCTAAATTGCACCGCAGTATGCACTGTGCATGCCAAAATCTAAATTTATGGTGACAAGTGTCGAATGCTCCCCGCCAAATGCCGAAAGCCTGAAAGCCTGAAAGCTGAAACCCGCTGTCGAGACTCTCGACTCTCGATTCTCGACTCGATTTTCGACACTCGACACTTGACATTCGGCACTCTAGAGTTTCGGCTGCTCATACGACAGTTCCATTGACAGGCAGTTCCATTGACAGGCAGTTCCATTGACAGGCAGTTCCATTGACAGGCAATTCCATTGACAGGCAGTTCCATTGGCGGGCAGTTCCATTGGCGGGCAGTTCCATTGATACATAAGCTGTTCCATTGATACTCTAGGTAGGGCAGACAGGATGGTGACTCGAACTGCCCATCACTCGGACAGTGCGAGTATCACGGAACGTTCTGTCTGAACGGTCGAATCCACCACTCCAGCCTCCAGAAGCTCGCTCGTCATCCACTGCCGCCGACTCGGTATCTAGAGTATATATTTCTAATGCAACTGCCCCACCCACGGAACACCCGGACATCCCGAGTGTGCAGCTTCCGAACTGTGCATACAAATGATGTCCACCCATCCATCCAAGCGGCCCGTGCTGCACAACTAGCATAGAGTAGAGCAACTAACCCCCATGACTTCATTTCATTAGTAGCGAGATTGCCTCGACGCTATCGCTGGTTAGTCTAGATACTGCTGTTCGGACATGCACAGACCACACGCACCCACGGTGTGATGTTTCCGCACCCGCACCTGTACCCGCACTCATTCGTCGTTACGTTTTGTTTCTTGTTCTTGTGTCTCGTTGTGAATTTGACCGAGAGCTGGTGGCTACTCTAACCAGTACGTACGATACCTGCTGTGTAGCAGGCAAGCGTTTTTTCTCTCCATGTAGTACATTCGGTTTTGCAGGGAAGAGAGAATAAAGAGAGAAAGAAGAGAGCGAGAAAAACCACAAAACCCATAAAGATTCCGACCAAACGCCATTCCCGCCGTCATGTGTAGCATACACAAATTATAATAACCACTACTCATCCCTCCCGCCGACCTGCATCGGTAACGTTTCCATCTCCGGCACCCAACCCTTCGGCCTCTCACTCCCCCTCACGATCACGCCATACACGGCGTTCTCAACCTTCTCGACGCACTGCTTCATGACGACCATCTTCCTGTCAACATCTTTCCCGATGTAGCTGCCGCCCTCACGATGCATCGTATCCACGCCCTCAAACTCCTCACGGATCCTCCTCAAATCCAGCAGAATCCTGTGCGCATCGCCCCCCTCCCCGCCCGCAAGCGCAACCATAGTAATAGCGAAGCGCATAACCTCGCCTACAAAATCGAAGATTCCAAGTATATAATCCGCAACCGTGAGCTCGATCCCGGCGAGCACGGGGTCGGCAGCAGCAGCAGTGTACGATAGCAGCGTCCCCGTCACGAGGTAGTGCCGGAACGCCAGCGCCTCCATCAGCTCCTGCAGCCCGCCCGAAATGTTGCGCTGGTACCGCTGCGCGTTCACGCCTTGCAGGTCTGCCGCGATGCTGGAAAGCGCGGAGTGGATCTCGGATAGGCGCTGCGAGGACTCTGCCTCGAGAGCCGCGGGGAGTGGCGCGGCGAGCTTGCGTGCGCTGTGGGGGGTGCGGGGTTAGTTGTACTGGACTGTAGACTGGACGGCGGAGGTGCGGGCGAGCTTACCGCTGCAGCGTGAAAATCATCTTCTTGCTCAGCGCGGTGACGTCGCGCGAGGCCTTGATCACGCGCTCGCGACGGTCGTGATGCGTGTCCAGCTCCTCGCGGAAGTGCAGGAACATTGGCATGAATGGGTTGTTGCTCGCCAGGAGCTCGGCGTCTTTGGCGGTCGTGTCGACTGGCTGCGATGCTCGCCCGCCCTTGGAAGGAGGGTGCTGGTGGTGACGCTTGGCTGGGGGTTCGTCCATTGCGGGAGAGGGTTTTGGTTGTGGTGTATAGTAGTTGTTGCTGGGTGTTGCTGGTTGTCGTTGCTGGGTGTTGCTGGTTGTCGTTGCTGGTGGATGCAGCTGGCGGGTGCTTTGGTGGGGTAGATACTTCTTAGATCATAGTTGTTTCGTTTGTTCGCGGGAGTGGGGGAGGGATTGGATGATGATGATGACATGCAGCCACAGCACTCTACCTCTACCATACTAGCAGGTATCTACTCTAGGTACCCAAGCAAGCAGATATCTACGTGCGCACCAGCGACCCGCGCCCGTCCAGGTAGGTACTTTATCGGAGGGATACCATTGGTACAGGTGAAACCCGTCGATATACAGCGAAACCACCTACTACCATGGCACCTACTCTACTCCCCACCCAGCGGGGCTAGCTGGCGCAGCGGACAGAGTTGCAGCTCTATCATGTATTTACAGTGCAGCCTCGAGCTCGCACGACCGGTCGCACTAGCCACCGTGTCCTTTCTGAGATCTCTCGATAGACGCGACGATACGAGACTGTGGCTTCGCGACAGAAGCTGTGGCAGTGTGCAGTGTGGCCACTTAGAAGTGTGTGCAAGAATAGAAACGCGTATGCAGTCAGTTCTGTGGCAGTGATGTGAGAGCTTAGCCAGAACTTATGTAGAAGATGCTTTTTCGGTGCTAACGGCCGTAAGCGGTACCTGCAGTAGAGGTATGTGCCTCAGGATAGCAGCAGGCAGATCCCCTCCCCTCCCTCCGTCGATTTCGCTTGCTTGATTCGCCCGTCGCTGAGCAGACATCTTCTTCTTCTCCTCCTGGCCGGCTGACTGGCCAGCTGTTCGCGAATCGCCGTGGTTGCTACCCACCTGTGTACCTGTGATGCCGTATTGGTCGGTTAGCGGGACACGGCTTCTTCAGGGGCGGACAGAGTACCTGTAGAGCAGTAGTTAGAGTAGAGATGCAAACCTTCTGCGACGGAGAGAGAAAGCGACGGATCGAAGGAGGCGGGCGCTCTCTGCCTCATGCTCCAACCATCTTGCTAGGCGCTCGTCAATTGGCGGTGGTTGGTTGGGGGCAAATGGTGGGCACTGGGCAGTGGGTGGTGGGTGGAACATCAGACTGATCGCGTACCCAGACAGGCGACTCTGCGCCGCACACCATCATCCCCTCTCAGTGCCTTTGCCTTTGCAGCATTTCACAGGCAAGGCGGCCGACAGACCGGATTAATCTGACACCCACCACCAAAACAATTCCGCATGCACACAATTGTCATTGTCTCTTGCCCGACCGCCCCCTCCTCCCCGAGACGAAGAAAGAGTTCTTAATCCCCCCGTGCTGTCCCCCCCCCTCCTCCGTCTCCTCCCCCGTTATTTCGCTCAAATCGCACTACCGGCGCGCAATCAATCTCTCGCAAGCCATCACACGCGCTCCCACCACCACCACCAACTCCACCGCTGCCTCCACCAACTCCACCGCTACCTCCACCCCTCATCACCCACTCACTCACTCATCCACCCCAACCCAAAAACAACGCTCCCACCTCCAACCCAAATCCAAAACCCACCTTCGCCTCTCCAAAACCTGCACAACAGCAAGGGAAAAAAAAGCCCCATCTCGTACTGCCCTATCTTCGCGTCCGACGATATCTCCTCGTCCTATCTGGTTCAGGAAAAGGGTGTGTGGGAAGGAAAAAAGCGTCCACTTCGATTTCTCCTGAAACCGCACTCCTCGACTCCAACCCACCCCCCATATCGGGAGAGAGAAGAGAGCCAGTGTTGCTCCCTAGGAAATTAGATATCTAGCTCCCCAAAGCGTGTGTGGTAAGTCTCTTCCAATATCAAAGTACGTACCTACAAGTACTCTAGAAGTGAATACCCTCGCCCGCCCTCGCGCGGTGTGTTAGAAAGGGAAAGGGAAAGAGAAAGGGAGAGAGTGGGAAAGGGAGAAAGAGACACAGAAAGACAGAAAGACAGAGGAGGGGGGGAAAACAAACAGACGGACAGATTTTGCTTGCTCTGTTACTTGCTTTTTTCTTTTTCTTTCCTGAACACCTCTCATTAAGACCGGCAGGCAGAAGACAGGCCCATTATTCAGGAGACACCCTCTCTCCCCGTCGTCAAACAGCTCTCCACCCGAAACATTCACCACCACCACCAACACCACCACCAAACCCACCAAACCCACCACCACCACCACCGACACCACCAACGATACCACACAACATAGCAAAACACACCCCCCAAATCTCGCAGACATAGCACCCTCAGCCTTCCCCCCCAACATAAACCCCATCACCGGCGCCCCTGCCAACAGCTCGCCCGCCATTTACGACATAATCTCAAAGTTCGAACGCCGTACCCCGGGGCTAGTACCGACACCGAAACACGTCGTGATGGCCTCTCCGGAGTCATCCGGCCAGATCGGAGGGGCTCGCGCAAAGAATGGCGGCGGCGGAGGCGTCAAGAACCTCCTCGCCATGTTCGAGAAGGGCTCGTCGGCACCCAGCTCCCCCGGCACAGCACCTCCGATCAATCGCGAGCTGAGTCCCGGTCCGAAGCCGCTGAGTCGAGTGCGGACTTCCTTCGTGGCCGTGGGCGCGAAGGATGGCGCGGGGTTCGGATTACAGAAGCTGCCCATGTCGCCATCGTCACCGGCGACCCCGGGTGCCGACGCGACCGTTGGCGCTTCTCCTTTCGGGCCTGCCTTGACTGCAAAAGTCGAGATCACATCGGCGGAGGATCTGGCGGATCCGCCCAAGAAGGACGCTCCCCCTCCCGTCGTCGCGACACCCGCCGCCACAATACCCGTCGCGACACCCGCCGCGAAGGCCGAGGAGCCAAAGATCGAGAGCTCGATCCCAGCTCTGCCAGCCCCAGGCACCAAGACGGAGAGTGCGAAGGTTGCGCCTGTTGTCGAGAAATCGGCGACAGTTGTACCAAAGGTGGAAACGAAGTCCGCCAAGGATAAGCTGGCAACAAAGGAACAGCCGAAGAAGGAGAAGACAGCGCCCAAAGCAGAAGCACCGGGCAGCAAGACACAAACAAAGCCCTCGTCCGTGCTAGCGTCCAAAGCTTCCAAACCGGCTGCGAAGAACCTTTCTGTTCCGGCGGCCGGTAGAAAAACCCCTTCTCCTCTGCCTCCTTCTCGCAGTCCCACACGCACTCACACAAGAACACCATCCGCGCCGGTGAATTCTACGACTGCTCCCAAGAAGTCAATGGCTCCCCCAGCACCCAAGCCTGTATCGAAGCCTCCAACGAAGCCCCGACAGCCCGTCATGGCTGCGCCGAAGCCAAAGCCAGTTCTGACGCACAAACCAGTCCCGAAGCCGGATCCCAAGGAGGCCACCAAGCCAGCCGAACTCAAGGGATCGGCATTTGCGCCGACGGCCAGCTGGGTCGCCAAGCAGGGCGGTGTCCCCGTCGAGTCCGTCGTCGCGCGCCGACCACCATCCGCCGCGGCAGCTACCCGTACCTCGAGGTCCACAGAGAGAGGCCTCAGGCGGCAGAAATCCACCATCTCGGACAAAGAAGGTGGCCGATCCAGCCGCCCCGCGTCCTCGGCCGCACACCACATTCCCGCACCCAGCAGCGATTTCCTCTCGCGCATGATGCGACCAACCAAGAGCTCGGCGAGCAAAGTTCACGAGCGAGTTGAGTCCTCGAAGTTCCAGCCTGCCCTGCGCGCCGGTTCGGCGATGGGAGGGATGTCGGTGGAATCTGGCTCCCCGCCTAGATCGAAGACCTCGTCGCATGGATCCAGCCCCAAGCGGAACAGCCGCGAGATCCCCTCGCTCATCATCGAGGCCCAGCCCGGTTTCTCTACCGGCGCACCGTCGCCAACACGCAAGCGCTTCTCTGCCACAATACCCGCCACGCACAACACCCAGTCAGACTCTTCGGATGAAGCTATTCCCGAAGAGCAAGAGGAGGAGGCCGTTCGATCCACCACAGCGCCACAGCACGATGAGGAGGAGGATATGATTCCGGAAGAGGATGAGGTGGTTACACCACAGAAGAATACACCAGAACTTACGATCAGCACGTTGGAATCATCAGAAGATGCCGCAACTCGAAGAAGTCGCAAGGATGACGATATCGACGAGGGCCATACTCCCACCACCACGTCATCATCCGCGACGTTGGTTCACGACGGCGAAGTTTCAGATGTCAAGGCCGATTAGACTTGGATATATACCGATTTGAGTTTTTTCTCCTATGTCAGCTTCTACCATTGTCGTTAATAACGGTTGATTTTGCTTTTTTTGTTTCCGCCCCACCCCTCGATCTGTACCATCTATCATCCATTTTTTTTGTTTTTTTTTGCTCTCTCTCTCTCTCATTGTTTTTCACTATCTTATCATAGGCGTGTTGGGAAACTGGCTTGGTTGCTTGGTTGCTTGGTTGGGTGGTAACTATATCGTATGTTACTTACGAAAAGGCGCGAACTTGGATATCAGAAAACAATGGGGGGTGGGGTGGGGAGTCGCAAGGCAGTACAGGGCAGTTAGTGGCGGGGGCGGGGAGGGAGTGGGAATGGGGGGATTACGGAGCGTGTTTTCTCATGTGTTTTTGTTTTTGTTTCTCTTTTCTTTTTCTTTTCGGTTTTTTCTCTGGCCCTCCCCTTTCTACACCTTTTTTTCTTCTTTTTTTTTCTTTTCCTTCGTGGCCAGAAGGTAGTGGTGGTGGAAGTGGGATGCTTTGTTGTGTGAGTGCGAGGGGTTCTTACATATACCGGATTTGTAGTTGCGCGCTTTTTTTTACATAACCCTTCTTACTTTACTATACTTTAGCGGTGCATCTTGTGTTTTTCTTGTTGTGTTTGCGTGTATCAGTACGTAGGATGTATACATACTGGTGGGACCGTGGGAGTGGGGATGGGTATCCAAGTATCAGGAAGGGAGGAGCCTAAGGGGCCTGAGGTTTGCACGGGACGGGTTGGGTTGGGGGATTGTTTGAGGGAATGGAATCGATGGAATGGAATCGAACTGGTGTCAAGTCATAAAGGAATTGGGATGGTGCTTGTTTGGTTACTCTCTTTGGACTTGATTCTGCGTGATCGTGATATCTGCAAACAGAACCAGAACCACCACCCTACCTCTTATGTAGGTGCAGTAGCAAAAAACGGGTAGCGATTGACACTGGATTGACACCACGTCTATCTATGGGATACTGGAGGAGCTGTACCTGGGTGATGGGAGGACTCAGTGAAGGAGGAATCCTGCCGGCGGAAGGATGCGGATGCGGATGTGGTTGATTGGTACTACTTACATAACATAACGACCGACTCCATCCTGGAGGGCAGCCACAATCTCCAAAACCCAGCTTCTCTGATACCTATGCCAATCATAAGCCTCATAGCATAGCGATGGGAGTTACTCTAATGGCTTGCAGCATAAAATCCAACTACCTACTACCTAGTAGTAACACATGTAAACTCGAGTTCGTTGAGTTGATCGATTCGAAAATAAGCTGCCTACTATACAAGCAGCATATTCTGTACACCGTTTCGCACCGCCCGTCTACAGCTTGACTACAATAGGTAGAACTCCCGCTTTGTTTGGTACTGTGCACGTGATTCAAACACCGCAGTCTGTATGCTAATTCTAAGCATTTAAGCTTGCAAGAGTGGTTGGTACATAGGTAGATCACCATGCTGGCACGGGGCCAGGCCAAATACTTCATTAATACATACTGTGTCAATTTCCCCCCGTCTTTTGCTACTGTGGGTAACTACTTCGAAACGATACTGACCACATCCTCATCGCACACATAATGATTCAGGCCGACTCTCTGGGGCACATGTCTCGCACTGGCGCCCCACACGAGGGCATACTTAAACTTCTCCTTCAGACTGCGATGGATTTGGTTACAGACGTCCTCGATTGTCGAGTTCTGTCTGACGATGAGGGCCTCCGAGAAGTCCGGGGCGATGCCCTTCCGCTTGGTGTATATCCGGATCAAGTTGAGTTCCTCCCAGGCGCGGTCGACGACATCGGTGATTCCCAGGTCGAGCTCGCACGACATGACGACAGTCTGCGGCTCTCGCGCGAGCGTGTCCAGGTACGGCAGAGAAATGCAGTCGATCTTGTTGTACACGTATAGGCATTTGATGTACTTCCGGTGCGGCGCGAGAATCACGTCGATCAGATCGTCGACAGTGCAGTTCTCGTCGCGGACTAGCACTTCGCAGTTGAGCATTTTGTAGTCGCGGCAGATGTGCGAGATCATCTGGGTTGGTTGGGTTAGATATGCGTGCGTGCATGGAGTATCACTCGGAGGAACGCACCTTCTCGTCCAGGTATTTCGGTGGGGACATAAAATTGATCTTCATACCACCGGCCTTCTTGACCTTGAGGTAAATATTCGGCGGCTTCCTGTTGAGTCTAATGCCGACTGCCTCGAGCTCCTTCTCCAGCAGCGCCCTCTGCTCCGCCTTTTTTGTCGCATCGAGCACCATCATGATGAGATCACTCGTCTTCGCGGCGGAGATGACCTGCCGCCCTCGTCCCTTGCCCTCCGCCGCGCCCTCAATGATCCCCGGCAAATCGAGAATCTGAATCTCTGCCCCGCCGTACTCCATCACTCCCGGGATCGCCGTGAGCGTCGTGAACGCATATGCCGCCACTGCCGCCTTGGTCTTGGTGATCTTCGACAGCAGCGTGGATTTTCCGACAGAGGGGAACCCCACAAGGGCTATCCGGGCATCTATCCGCTCGTTCCATCAGCCCCATCCCATCCCGTCACACCCCTCACCCCACCGCACCCTCCCCATAAGCATAAGAACGCACCTCCGGATTTGGACACGTCGAACCCCGTTCCGGCGCCGCCGGACTTCTCGCCGGGACCGGGCTCCAGCAGCTCTGCGCGCAGCCGCGCAAGCTTGCCCTTCAGCAGCCCCAAGTGGTACTCGGTCGCCTTGTTTTTCCTGTGAGCGAGCTCCGTTCAGCGCGGCGCAATGAGGAGGAGGAGGAGGTGCGGCATAGGGTGACGAACTGCGTCCGCTTCATCTCATCTTCGATCTCTTTGATTCTTTCGGCGACACCCATTTTGAAGGCTTGGTGGGGTTGGCGTGGGGAGTTGCGTGCGTCGTTGCTGGTTGGTTGGTGGTTGGTAGGCGCGGTTGAGCGTGAGGTGTGGTTGAGGTTGAGGTGTGGTTGAGGTTGAGGTTGAGGTTGAAGTTGGTGGGGCAGGTGGTAGGTTTGGCGGGGAGGCGAAGGGAAGAGTGCAGGGTTGTCGAATCGCGCGGACGAGCTTGGCGAACCACACTGGGTTAGCTTGGAACTTTACTGTAGTTACACCATTGGCGCGTTGACCGTGAGCTTGTGAAGGAACTGCAACTGCACACAAGTACGCGACACATCACCACATCGCCACATCGCCTACAATCACAATGGCCGACGAAGCACAACCGCCGCAAGAGCAGCAGCCAGTCGACATCGACGCCGACGCAACAATGACCGAGCCCGCCGACGTCATCTCCTCCTCCGAAGTTGCGCCAACCTCGACGACTCCGACCGATGGCGATGGTAATGCCGACAGCGACGCCACGGCGCTCACGACCACCACCTCCACCGACGACAAAAAGATCCTGAAAAAGAAGAAGCGGCGTCCAGCACGGGCGCAGGTGGACCCGGACACGTTCAAGGGCGGCGAAATTCCCGCGCAGACCGGAACCGTCTTCAACATCTGGTACAACAAATGGTCGGGTGGAGACCGCGAGGACAAGTACATCTCCAAAGCGCACGCTGCGGGCCGCTGTCAGATCGCCAAGGACAGTGGATACACCAAGGCGGACAAGATCCCCGGGAGCTACTTTTGCCTCTTCTTCGCGAGGGGGCTTTGTCCGCGTGGAGCCGAGTGTGAATATCTCCACCGCCTGCCGACGGTGCATGATCTGTTCAATCCCAACGTCGATTGCTTTGGCAGAGACAAGTTTAGTGATTATCGAGATGATATGGGCGGTGTGGGAAGTTTTATGCGTCAGAACCACACGCTGTATGTGGGCCGCATCCACGTGAGCGATGATATTGAGGAGATCGTGGCGCGGCACTTTGCGGAGTGGGGTCAGGTTGAGAGAAGTAGGTATCCCCGTCTCACCACGGGCTATGAATGATTTTTCTGATGCTAATACGGAGTCCAGTACGTGTCCTGAACTCGCGCGGTGTCGGCTTCGTCACTTACTCGAATGAGGCCAACGCGCAGTTCGCAAAGGAGGCTATGGCCCACCAGTCGCTGGACCACAACGAGATCCTCAACGTGCGCTGGGCAACACAAGACCCCAATCCTGTCGCTCAGGCGCGTGACAAGCGCCGCGTCGAGGAGCAGGCCGCCGCCGCTATCCGTGCAGCGCTGCCGGCCGAGTTCGTGGCGGAGCTTGAGGGGAAGGATAGGGGCGCGGCGAAGAGACGGAGGATGGAGGGCAGCTTTGGGCTTAGGGGATATGAGGCGCCGGAAGAGATTTGGTATGCTAGGGGTGAGGGTGCGGTTAATCCTGCGGGAAGGATTGAGAACGGAGAGGAGAGGTTGCTGCTCCAAAGTGGTGAACAACAACAAGCTGGAGGGATCTTCTCGAGTTCTGCGCTGGAGGCACTGAAGGGGCTGAGGGAGGGTGGAGGAGCGAGGATTACCAGTAAGAAGGAGGAGGCACCGTCCGGTGGCGGACTGGGGCTGGACTATGGCAGTGATAGTGATTAGGGTGAGCCCGAATGACGACCATTGGAATCCGGAGCTTGTTTGCTGTGTGTAGATTTCCTTGCTGTTTCTTTTCTTTACTCGTCCTTTTTGCGGTTGTATATTACAGTCCGACTACAGTAATGCCTATGACAATCAGTCAGCGCCGAATGGATGGTATGCTGCTCTTCATTTCTGCAGCTTGCGTCCTAAGCCTTGCTTCTATGCTCCCAGAATGTCGCTGCTGAGCTAATCGAGCTCTAATTGCCGTGTTACTCCGAGTCAAGGTTTGATTTGTTCGATGTCCCTGTGCCATGGGTTTTGGCCGTCCCCAGGGCCCTCCGAAAAGATGGCCATAAGGCTGTGAGACTGTGATGAAGAACGCTGGGCCACGATACGGCACCCGGCGTTAGTCAACACGCAACATCAATAGTTGCCCTACTAAGGCAACGGTCATTGGCTGGAGACTTCGTTATCTTGTATATTGGCATCTCCATATGCCGACGTACTGGCGTTGCTTCTCCACACCCCAGCTTACAGAGCGCCGTGGGGTTGATTACGTTTTTCCAGTGTTGACACTCGAGAGCTACCGTACACACACCTCCGACAACCACACCAACCTTCCAAAAATGCCAAGACTATGCGTTGGCACACCAAATGCCCCGCTCACTTTGGCTTCAGGATTCATGTGGCGTGTGTGTCCACTCTTTCCGACCGCGGATTGAGTGCCCCGACCGACGAATTCGACGACGATGAGCATGAAGCGATAGAGATCAATCGAGCCTCGGTCCCTGGCCGGAGAACTGCACCACCACGGGTGCTACGTCCGAACCTCTGAAGAAGTCTCACCATCGCTTCCCCGCACATCATCGATTTTATCATTCTAGGAGAGCCTGTTTAGCAGGCGATACGGCGACGGCGGGGAGGAGAGTGAACTCCAGGGGGAGAGCTCAGGGCTTGGCCCAGGACAACGTCGACCATGACAACCGGCATTTTGCCAGTCCCGCCTTCGATCCAAATATCTTCGCCGCTATTCATCGGACCCCGGCCTTGACAGCTACGCAAACCCCGAGACGACGATTCCTTTCGAGCATCATGACGTGTGCGCTAGACTGGTTATGTTGAGGGTAGTGCCGAGTGGAGGTACCTTTTGGAGGAGAGGAGGGCTACGACGCGCCGCTACAGCGCAAAACCGACAACCCGAGCCTCTTCGGAGGCTCACTTTCAAATATTGAGAGGCGAAGGGATTTGGCTTGTCATTTCTGTATGGATTTGGTGGTGGAATTTCTTTGTCGAAATGTTGTATTGTAGATATCTCTATCAGCCATAACCTTCGGGTTCATGCTGTATGAACAATCAATCAATCAATCGAAAGCTGCCGTTGCCAGTGTTTACGATCTAGTGCCGCCAAGCTTTCCTGGTTGCCAGGTGCTTGAGCAAAACAACAACAAAGGTCCACCCTCTCGCCTCACGTCTCCCCCGACATCCTTCATACAAACACGCCCCCTCTTTCCCTCTTTCTTCCCCTCTTTCTTCCCCCCTCGGTGGTGTGACATGACAAAGTAGTCTCATCCGTACTAGACAGTTACTCCTCCAATTTTTGGGTCGGTTTTGCCAATTCCTTTCTTACCTCTTCGTTCTGCCCCGTATTCATAAGGCCATAACCGTGGACTGTTTGCGACCTGCGACCCGCGACAACAACAAAACACCACCGACAAGAAGAATATTTCAGCTGCTCGAATGGCGTATTACGGCGGCCACGGAGACGACACAGGCACACTATCGCTCCCCGTAATTGACCCGAGCTGGCAGAACGACCGGTCAACACAGGACCGCTACCGCCTCGGACGCGAGCTAGCTCGCGACTTCCAGGACATCTCGTTCTCATCACTTCCTCCCCCGGGCGGCGACCAGACCGACATGTCGATGTCGATGGACGTGGGCAAAGAGGCCAACGCGACTTCGACCAAGCGCATATACGTTCCGACCAGGGCTGCTCCTTCTGGACCTCCCGGTACGATGCTCTACCAGACACCCACTATCGATTCCAGACTTATGCGTGAGCATTTCATTGACTTCACAATGGCGGCAGACGATCTTCGCGATACCACCGATGCGGATTCGTATGAGATTGGGCGGGGGCGGCCCGAGGGCGCGGGAGCTGGCGGTGTAAGCTTCGATGATCGGGGGGCGGATCTGTTTTCGGCTGGTTTGACGGGTTCGAAGGGGAACGAGAGCAAGAAACGGACCGGTGGGAAGCTGGACGACAAGACCTCCTCCTCGAGAGAGGTGTCGGGTGCGAGCCGACGAGAAAAGACGAAGTCGCAGGCTGTCGATAGGTCCTTGGGATCGCCCGTTCAGAGGAATTTGTCGTTTCCTCCGACACTGGACTTCGGGGCCGCAGCGGCCACTCCTAAGCGCAGGAGGTCGCGTTTGTCAACTGAAAGTGCCGAAGCACCATCGAAGATCGTGGACTATGTGTCGAACTCGGGGAGTGGTGGATCGAGGGCGTCGCGTTTCGCCAACCCACCAACGGCAAATCCACGAGACTCGGAGGAGGATGCATTGGAGGATATCGGAAACAAGAGTAACCGCAAATGGTTCTCGAACACAAGATTCCAGCGCCCGACCAGTGCTGCGTCAAACCGGCCGGACGACGACATCACCGAAGATCTTCCAGCGATCCTGGGACGGACTCGAAAGCCGGCCCCTACCGGTACGGTTCCCACATCGTTCAAATCGACGTCGGATTTCCTTAAGGAGCTAGGCCTCGACGGCCATACGCAAACGATCAACCTCCAGACGACTCTGAAAGAGCTGAAGCGAGTTGGTCCGTCCGATCCGCCCGTCCGACCTCGTACGAAGCAAACCCCTCAGAAACCTGCTCGTACCACCCGCAACATCGATCCCTCGTTCATGATGCCGAGTATGCCCGATATGACGGATTTATTTGGTGGTAACGAAGTGACGCGTTTCTCTGCAAAGAAAGGTGCTTCGGCGGAAACACATTTCCCAATTGACGCCATTCCAATTCCCCACGACTCACGCGCTCTGCTGGATGGCATGAAGCAGCTCCAGGAGAAGGTGGCCATGCTCGAAGATCAGATCAGGCGTGGCAAAATGCAGGGAGAGCGGAAGTTCGAGCCTGGGAGTCTAGAAGAAGAGCGGCTCGTTGCTGTCAACTCTGTTGCCATGGCCATCGCTCAGAATGAAGATTTGAAGGCTGCCTACAACGATCTACAAGCCCAGTTCGAGCAGGTGGAACACGAGAAACAGTCAATCGAGAAGCGCGCCACCCGTCAGCGCAATGAATTCCGTGCTCGTGAGGAACGACTCCGACTATACGCTAAGCAAGCTCGACTGGCAATGGAGGAGGCGGCCCGTCGTGATGTCGAGGAGCGGCAAGCTGCAGAGCGGGAGACTGCACGCCAAAAGCTTGAGGAGGAAGAGGCGGAGAAGCGTGAGGCTGAGCGGATCGCGAAGGAGCGGGAAGAGGAGGAAAGGGAAGAAATCAGACGGCTGGAAGCCAAGCAGGAGTTCGACCGATCCGTTGAGGAACAACTCAGAAAAATCCGGCCAGACTTGTTTGTGGGTCGTATTGAGCCACTTGTCATTCCATCTGCGCTACCGGCGCCACGAAAGGCAACGGTGGAGGTTGATGGAAGGAAGAGGACCATTGTGATTCCTAGGGCCCGTAAGTCTTCGGCAAGTGAGACTTCTGAGACAGAGATAGTGCCGGAGGCCGGGAGGAAAGATAAAGGGAAGGGGCGCGAGGAACAACCTAGGCCGACTGAACCGGAAGCGTCGCGAGCTGGCCCGTCTGGGTTTTTGTTTGACGATACCACCATGTCGATCTCTCAGGAGGAGGTTCGCCGCATTGCGAAGGAGATCAACCAGGAACGCAAGAAGCGAAAGGCTGCTGCCGTTGCCGAGAAGGCCAGAAAAGAGGCGGAGATCGAGCGCCCCAGACAGCAACAGACCCGGCGTCCGGCGGAGCAACAGGCCCAGACAAGTGTGCCAGCGACTGCCCAAACTGCTAAAGCTACATCCTCGGCAAATGCTCTTGCCACTGGCGCCGAGTCTTCTGCGGAATCCTCTACCAAGAAGAAGGGTCGCAAGGTGGTCAAGGTCGTTTACCTTATGGACGCAGATACTACGGAGATCCGTGGCCTGACACAAGAAGCCCAAGAATCGGAAGTTGCCAAGGTCACCGAGTCTGCATCGGGGTCTGCGGGCTCCATTCAACCTCCTGCTCGCACCGGAACGCCGGCTCTCTTCCGTGCTCCCTTTGACTCTGCTCTTGCCGGGGAGCGCACCCCTGCGGCCGAGCCCGAGGTCAAGGCACCAGAGAATGTTGAGGACAAAGAGGCTGAGGCCACTGCCCCCCTCGTTGAGAAGGAGGTTGTTGCTTTGGCTCCGGAACCTCGCTCGGCCCCGCGAGTGGTTTTCAAGGACGTTTCCGAGGACGAAGCTTCGAACGATAGTGACCAGGATGCTTCGGTGGACCACAACGCTGAAGACCACGATACCCGACAATGCACTGTCTGTGTCCGATACGATGGTCTGCGCTTGCGGCAAGAGGAGATGGAGCGTGAGAACCCTTTGAAGGATATCGATAACTCTTGCCTCTACCCCGCCCCACCGCTTGAGCCTGCCTCGAAGCGTCCAGCTCCCGAAGGGTTCGATGAGGAGCCCACGCTGCGACCCAGTGTTACCCCGCAAACACAGTTGGAGCGCGTGGTAAGGCAGCTCAGGGATGAGTTCAGGCATCTCAAGATGTGAGTTCAACAGCCAGTGATATGATGTGGCTACAAGTTGCTAATAATCCTCAAGGATATACCAACGCAGGAGTGAAGAGTTCATGTTGCTCGACCCGGCTATCCAGAAGAAGCGCCGCAAGGCGATGACTCGGGAGCTGAACGAGCTCGTGCAGGAGATGGACTCCAAGTCTGACCAGATTTACGCGCTATACGATGTCAACGAGGGGTTTGTGGAGCGTGAGAGGCCCAAAGAATACGAAGCGGGTGACGAGACCGAGGATCTGATTAGGTCTCTGGCCGTGTAGACTGGGGTTGATTCCCGGTACCTCGCCGTTTGACCGTTTGATTTCTATTGTCGAGGGGTGTTTTTTTTGGGATACCAAGTCTCTTCTTCATCATTTACTTCCTTCATTCTTTTTGGTGCGTTTTTTGGGGGCTCGATGGGTTATCTTTTTAGTTTTTAGTTCTCGGAGTGTTTGTTAGTCGCCTTTGTACATGTTCGGGTTCATTCATTTGCTTATTCTGCTTTTGTTATCGTGGCATTGGGGGCAAGTGTGTTATAGTAGCCTCATGATTCATCAAGGCATGCTTACTGGACGTTCGATTGCCATCGGTTCTGTGTGAGCGAGGTCTTGGAATGATGTGAGTTAGGGTTAATAGCGATTGTTGGACGCACCTATAACTGGCGTCTGCTCCGTCATCGTAAGCTCCTGTGCAACGTTACACCATCTACTGCATCCTTGACCTCCAATTTACGGCGCGTTTTCTCGAAGCTCCACTCCCGATCCAACCTTGAGCTTTTATCTCTATTTACCACTTCCTATTCAACCACTTACTATTCAACCACTGTCCACCACCCACACCGGACAAGAAACATACCCACCACCGCCCACCATGACTCACGACGGTACGTCCACCGACTTTCCTCCAACAAATGCCCACAGCTCGCCATGCTAACCCGCCTTAGACTCGGAAGAATACTGCCCGGTGTGCAAGTCCTCGCGCTACCTCAACCCCGCAATCCAATTCCTGATCGAGCCGACGTGCTACCACAAGATGTGCGCGTCGTGCGTGGACCGACTATTCGGCAACGGACCTGGTGACTGTCCCGTCGCTGGGTGCGGCAAGCGTTTGCGCTCGCAGCGGTTCCGCAAGCAGACGTTTGGCGACATCACGGTGGAGCGCGAGGTCGACGTGCGGAAACGCGTCAACAAGGTGTTTAACCGCCGCGAAGACGAGTTTACTACTAAGCGCGAGTGGGACGATTACCTCGAGATGGTCGAGGGGACCACGTTCGATATCGTTAATGGCACCAAGAAGGAGGTCGAGGCGGCTGAGAGGACGCTCAGGAAGTATGAGGAGGAGAATAAGGCCGTTATTGAGAGGAATGTTAGGAAGGAGCGCGCGGAGGCTATGGCGTTCCTGGCGAGGGAGGATGCCGAGAGGGATGTCCTTAGAGCTGCGAGACAGGCCGCCGTCTTTGAGACGGAGGAGGAGAAGAGGGAGATGCTCATGAGTCGGAGGGCGCAGATTGAGGCTATGGCGAAGGGCGATCTCGAACAGGTCGAAAGGATCAAGGCGGCGTATGCGAGGCGCGCGGAGGAGAGGAGGCAGAAGGCTCGACTGGATGTTGTTAATGCTAAGGGCATCCGCGAGGGTCGAGCACTGGCTATGAATTCCTTCTTGGCGAAGGTTGGTAAAGAGGATGAGGAGCAGGAGGAGGAGGAGGAGGAGGAGTGGCAGCCGCTGGGCAAAGGCGTCGATGATACCAGCCGGTACTACACGATTCTGGACGAGTATCCGAGGTATGACTGGGTGGACGACTTCGTCGACAGGACCGATGTCTCTGCTGGTGGATACTCGCGGAAGGAGTGGTATCAGAGGAGTCTCTTTGAAGCATTCTCAGGGTTGACGGTGTTTGTCAAAGATAATGGGAAGGGCGAGATGGATGGGGAGGCGGAGCGCGCCGCGGGACGACCGCTTCCCGATAGGACGGACATCACAGTTATTGATGCGGTCTCATAAGAACACATCAACCCTGGTTTGGTGAATTGCGGGGACGTTCTATTTGGATATTTAGTTGGGCTTGTATATTGTTCTGAGGTACACTGGGTAGACAGCGATAATCAGCGACTCTGCCGCGACCGGACATCCTCTATTAATGATCACTTCGCCCTATGGCATGACGGTCCTTAGTAAGGTTCACTTTAATGCTGCCTGTATGTAGGAAATACGTAGTGGAAATTTCCAATACCAAGCTCGGGAATACCACTGCTCTGATTCTTTCGAACCTCATCGCCGGCCTCCGTGATGATAACCTCCAAGCTATGCCACCACCGCTCCGGCCCCTACTATAGTAGAGCACCTTGACAAGTTGATAGAGACACTCCGGAAACCACATGGGAGGAAAAAGCTGTTTTGGATCGCTATCCACGGCCGATACACCGTTCTCTGCAACCAATTGCACATTGTACCCCCGGTCTTTGATAATCCGAATCATGGCGGCATAGCACCAGGCATCACTCTTCCCGCGAGACCTGGATGAAGCTGTTGTTGAAATATATGGATGGAACAACAGAGATAATTAATTCGATACAGCAAAAACCCCAGCGTCAGCGGCGAGGCCTCTCTTGATATACAAGACTGCGGCGCCGCCTAAGGTTCGCCGCTGCGTAACCATATGCTCGTCGACACTCCATCGCGGCCGTCGAGACTCGACCTCGACCGTCCACCGCGAAACCTTATTCGTGCCGACGTCTCCGGGCGACTAAAGTTTGACAGTTGTGATGTTCGGTGATCCGGTGAAGCGTGTAGGTATAAGGCCTGGGGAGCTGTTGATTTCTCGGAAACTTTGATGGTGAATTCGGGCTGCGGGCACAGGCAAGGAACCGGCTGATCAAAGCCAGCAGCAGTTTTCTCACGGCTACGTTCGAAAAGGCCGTGATTGTAGAGTAGGTGTACCTGGGAAGATGCATGCTCCCCAGAGGATCTCATCTGTGTGGGAAGCGCCAATTCCATTCTGCAACAGATTCTTGCAGGAATCGCATGTTTCCGGACGGACAGTAGCGGTACCAGCATTTCGCCTGAGGCGGTTTATGACGGAAAGCATGTCGTGCTTGAATCGAGGTACCTAGCCACTGTCAGCATACATTCAGGGGAAAATTCACGTCACGGAAGGTTTCCACTTGCACGTCAGACTCACCAACTGGGCGAGATCTGTTGACGCTGTTTCGGCGGAGGTGAGAACATAATGCTGGGTTCTTAGCAAGAGTGCAGCAGTAACAGTACATCGCAAGTGCAGAAGATGGAGGCCAACTAGCTCTCCTGTGATGTTTCAAAACCTTGCGTCCTTGCATTGGGTTGCTGGAGGATGTCCAGGTTTCGCCGGCGAACTCACACCCAAACTGCTGAGAGTCTCAGACATCCGCCGATCCGCCGCCCATGGCGTCGGTATCAGTCCGCGACAGCACCAAAGCTTCGTAGAGTTCCTCACACACTCGCTTATGGCGAATCGATGCCTCCGAGTCTTTGAGATGTCCACGATGGCTGGCTGGAACTTCACAAGCTGCACTACGTTAGGTGCTAAAACGCAGTGTAACACCTCCCTCGTGGCCCGCAAGACATCATCTGCGGGGCCTCGTTCCTATGGGCTGCCTGCTGCTGTGCCGAGTGTGGTTCTGAAACACGATCGCCTCGCGCCCCTCGTCCCTATAAAACCCGCTCAAAATCCAAAATATCTTCACAGCGAAACAGAGTTGCACTTACACTTACACTTATTGCTATATAGCACAGTTAACTACCCCCCTCTCTAGCGCATTGAATCATGCGCGGCCCGAGCTGTGTCGTGGAAGCTCCAGGAACACCCAGAGTTGCTTCCCTGCATCAAGGGGCCGCGCGCTTGGCCCAACCGAACATGACCACCACTCCCAGCACTCCCGCGGCCACGATCAATCCCTCAACAACTACGCCGACAACAGCGACAACACCTCCTCCTCCTCCGATGGCCACCTCCAGCACTAACCCCAACCACCCCGATCCGCGGTCCTCGACGCCCGTGGCAGCTGCGCAGCCCGCAACCTCGTCCCAGAACTTCTCGACATTGGTCTCCACCATTCTCAAGACCACCGGCAAGGAGCCCGCGCCGCTAGTTGGGCCCTCGACTACCGTCGTCGGCGATGTCCTCTTCGTCTTTGGCGGGCGCATCCTGTCGCGCTCGAGACCACAGCTCACTAATGACATGTACGCGCTCGACCTGATGACTCGGGTATGGCGGAAGCTCGAGACAAAGGGGCAAATCCCGCCACCCCGGTACTTCCACAGCGTGTGCGCGCTGGGCGATTCGAAGCTGGTGTGTTTCGGCGGGATGTCGCCGACAAATACCACTGCGACGCCCTCGGGGGAGGAGGGAATCCACAATAGGACTTTGCCGTCGCCGGCTGGCGGCGTTGCCGCCGGCCAGCAGAATCAACCGGACCAGAGCGAAGTCCAAGTCATGAGCGATATCCACGTCTTTGACATCCCGTCGTGCACCTGGACGTTTATTCCCACGCCGAATCCGCCGGAGGGGAGATACGCGCACTGCGCTACGATCCTGCCAAGTACGGCGTTTTTTACGGCTGCCAATACGGTGGCGGCGGCAGTGGTGGGCGGGGAGAGGTTGGATGGATTTGGTGGTGCGGAGATGGTTGTCGTGGGAGGCCAAGACTCGGCGAATCATTATATCGAAGAGGTTAACGTCTTCAACCTGCGTTCGTTGACGTGGACATCGAGGAGTCCGTTGGATCGGTCGTGCGGAGCTTACAGGTCGGTCGTGGCGCCGTTGGGTAATAAGCTGTCGGTTTCGCAGATAGGGGCCGGTGTGGATGCATCGCCGGCGGGTGACGAAATAGCACCCGCCGCCGCTCCTGCTCCCACCCCTGCTCCTGCTCCTGCGAATGGCAATGCGCCGAACCCCAATGGTCCAGGCGCGATGTTGATCTACTCGAACTACAACTTTTTGGATGTCAGACTGGAGCTACAGCTCCGTCTGCCGGATGGATCGCTGACGGAAAAAGCGATGAACGGACAGCACTCACCTCCTGGGCTGCGATTCCCGAACGGCGGGGTTTTGGATAATCACTTTGTGGTGTCGGGAACATATCTCACCTCCAACAAGCAGGAGTATGCGCTCTGGGCTCTGGATCTCCGGACGCTGGTATGGTCACGTATCGACGCGGGACAGGTGTTCGCGCAGGGCTCGTGGAATCGCGGAGTGCTCTGGAACCGTCGTAGCTCCTTCCTGATCCTGGGGAACAAGGGTCGTTCTCTGGTGGAAGACTATAACCATCGTCGTATCAACTTTTCCAATCTCTGCAAAGTCGATCTGGAGGCGTTTGGTCTCTACGAGAACTGGCGCAATACTTCGCATCCAGCCGCACAGAGAACATTCTCGTCTGCGGCCGAGGACTTCGGCCGCATGTTCATGAGCATGCCCGAGCTTGCGGATATGGAATTCGTGTGCATGGAGGGCGAAACGGTACCCGTCAACTCTCGAATGATCGCAAAGCGATGGGGCCCATACTTCATCGAGCTTCTCAACTCGACCAAGCACGAGCCCGACCCTACAGGTCGTGCAGTGTCCATGGCCACTATAACCCCGCAGTCCTTCTCGGCGCCCGCGGCAGCAGGAGGTCTTGGGGGCATCCCGCCCCCTTCACAACCACCAACGACAGCACAATACAATCCCCTGGACCGCCCCAGATGTCTCTACTTCCCCCACTGCCACTCGGTAGTCCTAGCACTCACAGAGTTCCTATACACCGGCTCCCTCCCACCCCCGGGCGATCCAGGCGTCATCGCACCCATCCTTTGCTCGCTCCTACAGATCGCACGACCATACCGCATCGAGGGACTCCTCGAAGCAACCGTGGAACGGATCCACCAGCAGCTCGATGGCAAGAACGCAGCGGCAGTCTTCAACGCTGCCGCAACCGCCGCCGGTTCCGGTTCCGGAATCGAAGCTGTCTACATGGACCATAAACATCTCGACGACGACGTTTCAACCGCCGCCGCGAACGGCAACGGTGATGTCGGCGCGGATGAGGATACGAGTGCGCCGCTCCCACCACTACCGGGCGCGACAGACGACGACGAGTGGTGGGAGAACGTCAACATCATTGGCCTACAGAAGCGCGGTCTGCGCGGGCTGATGGAGGGCCGGAGGATGAGAGAACGAGGGAAGAGTCTGGGCGGGAAGATCGGCGAGGCATCGGTCGGGACGTTCGGGGGGCTGCCGGCGGGCGGGGGGTAGTGGATTTTGGGTTCATCTGTGTGTTTTTGGATCATTTGGAGCGCGCTTTTGTAACTCATTTCTATTGCACCATTTTATTCCCTTTGTTCTGGATGATCTAACGGCTGTTTTCTTATTCTTTTCTTTTTTGATATAGCGGAGGAGGACGAGGAGGAGGAGGGATGGGGTGTATACCCAGTTGTATAGGCAAATATTGGTGATCGTATCTACTATACTTAGTATGTAGTGGGAAATTTTGGGGGATTAGGAGAATCCTACTGTAGTTATTCTCAATAGGTACTCTACTCGCAGTATCATATTGGTTGCCTCTTACTCTCAGAGGGTCAAGGTGCTCAAGCCTCAAGCCTCACTTCGCTCGCTAGTTGCTATTCTAGCTCGTCGACACTCGTTATCCGTTGACCGGGGGCACCGGACACCCACCACACAAACTTTTCCCACAATTTAAGACTAACTCCCGTCACCTCACCACCTCACCATAACATCTCCCAACACCCAACACCCACCACCCACCACACCACCCACCACACCACAACACCCACCACACCACAATGACAACTCTCCCATCCACGCTCGAGGCGCACCGCCTCCGCCTCGAAGGCACCCTCGCAAAACTCCGCAAGGCCCTCGATAACTGGCGCATCTACTCGTTCGAATACGAAGCGTTCCGCGAAGAGCTACTGGCGCTGCCTGCCGGCGCGTCGCGTGATGAAATGGTGAGCACAACCACCTGCTTGGCTTAGTTGAGGATTATTTGGGCACGATGTTTGCGTGTGTATGTAGGGGGGGAAGGGAGGAGGAAGAGGACGGGAGAGAGGATGGGAGACTGATGGCATCTTGGGTAGTTTGCGGTCGGATTAGAAATCGAGGGCGAGCTGGTCGACGACCGCGAGATCAAAGGACTGCTCGGTGATAAAGTCGGCATCAAGCGCACGCGGGATCAGGTCGTTGTCGCGGTGGGACATAGGATTGAGTGTACGCCGTATTCGATACCGCGACGTGGGAGGGGGTCGATCAACGTTGTGCTAACGTGGCTGAGGGTTAGATGTCGACGAGAATATCAAGAAGCTCCAAACGCAGGTCGATGCGACGGAGGAGAAAATTGCGCATACCCTCCTCGTGAGCGAGCCGGAGGCGAAAACGGAGGAGGGCCTGGCCGTCATGGATATTCAGGAGGAACTGGATGATGAGGGGAACGTCCTGAGTATGTTGCTGTTCTCTAGCCTGCCTAAGAGGAGATGTGCTGACGCCCCGGTAGACGCTTGGGTCAACGGGAAGAACCCTGAAGCGGCATCGAGGTCGCTGGATCCTAAGGAGTTGTTGGAGCTGGGGAAGCTGATGACCGAAGCTGAAAAAATCCGGAAGGAGGAAGCGAAGAAGGCCAGCGCAAAGGCCCCGGAGACTAAACCGACTATGGCTCCCACAGAAAAGCAACCTCAGTCGACGCCTGCCGATGACGATATCGACCAAGAGGAAGAGGGTGGCGGATATGTGCGCGTCATCGACGACCCTGAAGAGCCCAAAGAGGAGGACTGGGTCAAGGCAATTCCCGGAGAGAGCGAAGAGGAGACCAAGCTCCGCCGAGAGATGCTGAAGTACAACATGGAGGAGATTGGCGCGGTGGTGGCCGAACTCAACCTTGAAGAGGACGGCGACTACTATGGCTACGAGGATTACTCTGATGATGATGACGACGGGGAACACACTGAGGGCGATGATACGGATGACGAGGATAAGTACGGCCGGACTACTCGCCAAGTCGTCAGCGACAATTATCGGAGGGAGATGGAAGAGCTCGAGAAGCGGTTAACTGGAAAAATACCTAGGCCTGGACCGACAGCTGTGCCCATGAAACAGCAGCCTACGCAACCAGCGACTGCTGAGACGAGCAAGAAATCCACAAATGGGAAGAAAGGCGTTCGCTTTACGGAAGAGCTTGATATTGCTCCAGCGTCGGCTCCAAAACCTGCTGTGGTCATGGCCCAGCCGGATGAGATCGACTTCGCGCCCGACGAGGAAGATGCCCTGCCGTTCCTTGAAAAACTTCTGGAGAGACAGGAGATTTCCAACGCTGGCCCTGTTGCTCCGGTGCCAATCCCAGTGGTGCCGTCTGTCGAGAAGCCGAAATCAAAAGTGTCCCTCTTCAAAAAGGAGAAGTTGGCACCCTCGCCACTGCGACAAGTCGAAGTGCCCCAGGAACCAGCGAAGGAACCGGTTGAAAAACCGAAGCCGACAGCACCAGTGGTTGAGACGGTGAAGGAGAAAGTGGTTTCCTCATCTACGATCAGTGATTCCGTTATGGAGCGTGCTCCAGGTGCCCCAGTGGCACCAGTTCAACCGCCTAGTCTGGCGCCCAAGAAGATGTCCCGCTTCAAGGCGGCTAAGGCCGCCGAAAAGGAGAAGGAAGAAATGGAAGAAGGACCACAGGGCATAATGTCCAACTCCGTCCTTGAGCGCGCGCCGCCAACCATTTCCTCCAAGGTGCGAGCCCCATCTGACCTCGACCCAACAATACATCGTCAGGAAGTCGCGATGGAGTTTCACAAGCTGCGGTCAAAGATGATGCACCGACAGGGAGGGTTTATGCCGACGGAGGAGGAGCAAGCCATCATTCCGCTTGATCAGGACGGCGAGAAGGTCAAGATCAGCCGGTTCAAAGCGGCGCGATTGAAGGGGCTTGATCCTAAATAAATACTAGATACTTACATAGCATCTCGCGAGATAATATTTTCTCACATTCTTCAGATATGGAGATCCCCCATTCTTTTTCGCGCTCCCTATTCTCACCCCTTCTTTGATAGTTGCCCCATGTGCACTCACTAACAGTATCCATCTGCTTTCGCGAACATTCTTAGCTATATGCTGCTACGGGAACGCTATTATCTGCTTTATTCAAGCTCACTCCCGCGGTTTCCATCTGCGGGGGGCGCATGGCGCGTTCCTAGATTGATACTATACGGAAATCCTCTGACGGGTGCCCTGGGCGATGGGGCACGTCGACTCGTTTCATTTCCAACATTCTCATACTAAGATAGAGTAGCTGAAGCAAACTGGTAAAATGATATATGATAATAATACACTTTGTTCCCACCGGCTGTTGACAACTCCTTTTCAAAAAATATTACGCCCGAATTATGTTACAAAACCCAACTTTCATCCAGCCAGAGCTAAGGTCTACGACAGCGGCTTCTCTCCGTCAGGTGAGGGGGAATCCAATGGCCTTCCAGCCGCCGCATTCGCCTCAATCTGTGCCTCGCGCTTCACCTGCTCCCGGTACAGCTTGTCCGCGTGCATCTGTATCTTCTCGTCGACCTCCGGACTTCTATTCGCATCACTCAGGTAACCCAGCTGCTTCAGGAACGCCTATCCTCGCGCACCGCGCATTAGCCCATCCTCCCTCCTCCCTCTCATCCTGCACGCAAACATAACATACCTGCTGACTCTTGTAGCAACTATCGAGCGTCCTGCTCTCGCCCCTGCACCCGACCAGACTCCGTAGCTGCCCGTTGCCATAGCAATCATGGAGGGCCGCCTGCTCGAAAACACAATTCTCGAGTGCAGCCCTCCCAATGCCCGCCTGGCGCTCCTTGTAGGACGTGTACACATCCTCGACCGCCATCTGCGGCGTCTTCGCCTCCGCCTCGACCACTCCCAGCGGCCGGTACTGCGCCCAGATGTCGGAGTACTTGGGGCCGTAGGCGGAGAACGCGGTCGGATCCACTTCTTTGGCGGCGCTGGGGGAGGAGGTGGGGCTGGAGGACCCAGCCTGAGACGTCGACGGCTTAATCGGCGCTTCCTTTTCGAGGAACGCTCGCGCCTCCGGCGAAAGGTGGCTGAATGTCGTGTCCTTGGCGCTGTCCGACGGGGTGTTCCAGAACCAGCCCATTGTTGCGGTGATGTGGCGCGAAGGTGAAGTGCGATTGGGTGTGGTGGTTGTGGTGGTGGCGGAAAGGTGTGGGTTCGGGGGTGCGGCGGCGAGCGTGCGAACGGCGAGGTGGGGTGAATGCTTGTGCTACTAATAGTAGCTAACGCCCTTTCCGGGTAAGATTGGTGGCATCGGCGAATGATACCCTGTGCGTGTGGACTCGGATCCTGATCCATCACGGCATGCAGACTCTGTAGTATAATACACCCACGGAGCAATTTCTAGAGCTTGCTATGGAATCATAATCGATCCCCCCCTCCGATCGTGAAAAACTAAACCCGCAACTTTCGTGCGGGTGATATCCAGTGATTGCCTCTAACTAACGACCCTTCCAAGCACTAGCTAGAAGGGACGGCCTGTACTAAGTAGTAGCTTCAGAGCAACCAGGAAAGCTGGTAAGATAATAGGCTTCCTCGTGCCGCATAGATGCTGCTCATATGGACGGTGCCTTGAATGAGATCTCTATCGCATAGGAAGCTTTCTTTGGTAGTGTACACGTGATATTAGAGTAATATAAAGGTACATGGTATGTGTACACATGTTAACAGCGCAACGAACTGAACCCAAAAAAGTCCACCGGCGCGTATGCCTGTGTCGGCCACAATGTACACCGCGCCGCTCCGAGCCAGTGTGTCCAACTTAAGATCTGGATTACGGGTGCCTGCAGCTGCTCGTACGGCTAGGTATACGGAATACGATCAGATGCTACCTCCACTCCTATTCTGTCCCACCAGTCCAGCCATCTCGAGTAACGCCTGTGACCAACCGCGCATTAGCCACTCTCCTTCTCCCTCTCCCTTCGGTATAAAGAAGTAGACTCACCCTATCTGCCTCAATATCCTTCCCAAGATTGATCTGCCTTCTCAGCAGCGCCTCGCGCTCCTCCCACTGCCACGCCTTCCTCTGCGCCTCAACTTCACTCTCCCCGCCGCACCCCCAAACCTCGATAGCATCGACCTCAAACCGATCCTGCCACCCCTCCCCCTCCTCACCGGCCAAAAATGCACCGCCACCACCCGCACACGTAAACACGCCAAACTCCAAGGCGTGATCCAGGACGAGTGATATCGGCCCGGTATTGAAGTAAGGCGACGGGCGATGGTGATTTTTCCAGCCCTGTGGGGGTGTGCCGAAGCCGACACCGTCGTCGCGGTTGAAGTAGGCGTAGTCGCGGGATTGTGTCGATGCACGGAATACCCGGTGCACTGGCGAGAGCTGGAATAACAACGTATTGGGGTCGCCAAAACACTCTTTGTGCGCGTGTTTCCAGGGCGTTTCCATGAACACGCCGTAGGTTACTGCTGCGTCTTCGGTTGTGCTGCTGGAGGGGAGCCGGCGTGGTGGAAGGAGGTTGGTGAAGGCGCGTTCACGGGCGTTGGCTGCCGCGGGGTCCGAGGTGATAAGTCGGCCGCTGACCAGGAGGATTGTCGGGGCGCTCCATTTCAGCACCTTGGTCTCGAAGCTGCCCATCGAGAAGCCGTCTTCGCTGCCGGTGTAGAGCGGACGAACTCTTCGCCATAGGCGCTCGCCCTTTATAAAAAGGGACAGCTGGCTCAATACGTCGAGCGTCATGATCTCACCTTCTCCAAGCAGTAGCGGCTCACGTGCTATCGCCGTGGCAGCATCGGACGGTTGATGTCCGTCCACATTCTTGCTGAAGAGGAAGTGATTATACAGCGCCGGCAGTCCCTGCGAGAAGAGGTATGGCATGCTTCCTCTCACTGTATCCCTAAACTTGCGATAGCACACCCCTTCCCCGCCGCCGAAAGCTCGGAGCACACACTCCGCCGTCCGTCTTAGCCCCTCGCCCTCCTCTTCGCCAAACCGCGGCGCAAACTCCGCCAGCAATTGATTCTGCTCCAATGGCGCGATAGCGATCAGGAAACCCACGAGCCTCCGCAGGTTCTCGACGGGAATCCGCGCACGCACTCTATTCAGAGGCTTCTCAGACTCGTTGTACACATCGATCGCATCTAGCGCATCCAGAGCCGCCAGCGACAGGTCCTCGGAATCGTCCGAGTCGTAGACGACCACCGAGTCCCCTCCCACATCATCATCTTGCCCGTCCGGCTTATCCAGCACCCTCTCATGCACCGCCAGCGCTCGAAATAACAACTTCAGCACCTCGACCTTCCTGCGCATAACCTTCCTATGCCTTCCCGTTACGATGGCCACGACCTTGACCAGGCCCTCAAAATCCAGGATCGCGGGGGCCAGGCTCGGGAACGGAAATGCGGCCAGGTACGACGTAAGCTGGAAGATGACACTGCCGACGTCCGGCGGCAGCGCCAGGAACCGGATCAGCGTGTCCTCGCTCCAGTACAGCGTTCCGTCTTGCACCTCGGCCAGTGACTTGAAATTGTCCTTGAAGCTGTACAGCTCCAGGGGGTGGAAACATTTGTGGGCGAATTTGGAGGCGAGGAGCGAGGACAGCTCCTCTGCGGTTGCCGGGGGAATACGTCAGCGGACTGTGCTACACTGGAAGGGAAGGCTGCCATGCAATGACATCCAAGACAGAAACCACCTGCTGAAAGCTTCCGGGCCTCGGCAGATTGGGAGTGTCCCATTGCGATGCTGAGGAGATTGAGGATTTGCTGTGTAGTTGACTGAAAGTTGGAATGTCGAGGTGGGAGGAATGACGCGACAGCTCCAAGACATTCTGACAGCTCCACCCGACCCAGGCCCAACGCGGCTACCGCCGGGTGTTTAGCCAACGTTGCACGAAAGTCGTCAAATGTAGCGACAGCTTACGGTACTGCGACGCCAAATCAAATTCATTCTTTTGTGCGCCCCGTGCAATAATCATACAAAAAACCCACACCTCGACTCTATCCCAGTTTATTGCTCTATTCGGTGATATCTATTCCTCATGTTTTCCATCCGCCGCTGCCGCTGTCGAAGACGGCAATAGGTAGTTTCTATATACCAAATTTTGCGTCTCGTCTACGAAGGGGTATCCCAGTTCAGAAAGGAACATCTCGAGGTCTGCCTTCTTTCCAGGAGGTACTTGGATGCCGACCAGCACCTTTCCGACATCTGTGTATTGGAGTCAGTCCTGTCCGTAGCTAAGGAAGGGTTAGAGCTCACCTCCTCCGTGGTTGCGGTAGTGGAACAGAGAAATGTTGAATTCAGGGTTCAGCAGCTCCAAGAACTTTCCGAGCGCACCTGGTCTCTCGGGAAATTCTAGACAACGTCAGCCAGCCATTTCTCACCTAGGGACAACTGTCCCTACCGAATCTATACAGGCGTTCTTCCACCGTGATGGCATCGGGCAACCTCCCACCAACGAGGTATCTCGCATGAGATTTAGCTAGCTCATTTTCGCTGATATCATGACCGACGAATCCCTTCTTTTGGAAAGACCCGAGGATTTGTGGGATCTCCGTATCTCTATCCTGCACAAGGATAGACATAAAGATCACGGCTTTGTCCGGATCGCCGAAACGGTAAGAGAACTCCGTGACTGGTCGCGGAAGGATGCACTGCATCATCGAATTGAAGACCTTGGGCTGGTCTGGAACGATCACGGAAAGGAGCACTTCGTTGCCTTCTCCCAATCGGGCACGCTCGGCGACGAACCGCAGGCGGTCGAAATCCATATTGGCGCCCGAGAGGATGGCGCAGAGGGAGGAGCTGGGGCTCGACGGCTGATGCCGAGTGGCGTACTTCTTGAGACCAGCAAGGGCCAGGGCGCCAGCAGGCTCGACAATGGATCGTGTGTCTATATATACTATCAGAAGTCGAGCCCCGAGCGAGACGGGGGTGGTGGCTTACCTAGGAACACATCTTTGATGGCTGCACAGGTCTCGTCTGTCGTGACCTGAATAACCTCATCCACATGCTCCTTGCACAGCCTAAACGTCTCCTCTCCCACGACCTTCACCGCCGCACCGTCTGCAAACAAACCAACCTCTTGAAGTGTAACTCTCGTGCCCTCCTTCAGTGACTGGACCATAGCGTTCGCATCGTATGTCTCCACACCAATAATCTTGACATGCGGCGCCACGCGCTTCAGATACACCGCAATGCCGGCAATCAAGCCTCCACCACCAACACAGCAAAACACCGCCTCCAAATCCGCAATGTTACACTGTCTCAGCAGCTCCATGCCTATGGTACCCTGGCCAGCGATGACATAGGGGTCGTCGAACGGCGGGATATTCGTCAGTCCGTGCTTGATCTCGAGGCGCTTGCACTCCTCCTTCGCCGAGTCGAAGTCCTGGCCATAGAGGATGACCCTTCCGCCGAGCCGACTAACATTCTGATGCTTGATGGTCGGGGTGCCGAGCGGCATCACGATAGTCGCCGGAATGCCGAGGTGTTTTGCCGAGAAGGCGACTCCCTGCGCGTGGTTGCCTAGGTCACACACCCACTCAACACCCCATCCCCATCGTGCGCATTCAAGAGCGCCATCACTCACCAGCAGAACACGCAACAACACCCTTCCACCGCTCCTCGACCGGCAAGTGCGCCATCTTGTTGTATGCGCCGCGCACCTTGAAGCTGAACACGGGCTGCAGATCCTCGCGCTTCAGCAGCACCTTGTAGCCCAGCTTTCCGCTCAGGTTCACCGCCGAGGTCACAGGAGTCTCCTTGAGAACGTCGTAGATCCGCGACGTCAGGATGAGCCGCAGGTACTAGATTTCCACACACATCCCGGTCAATTCCACTCTCCCCCACGCTGCTCGAATTAGCTTTGGGCATTCCACTCACATCTGGAGTGCCATCCGGAAGGTTCATGGAGACCGCGGTGCGCTCACGGGGCAGGTCCGCGACCGTGGAGCTGTAGTCAGTCAGAGCTCCGGTCGTGGGTGCGGTCGCCATTGTTGGTTGTTGTCGCGGTGTGTCGAAGGTAGCTGTGGATGCGAGGGTCGTAAATAAACAGCTCGAATGATTGCCCCACCAAAGGAAAGAATTTTGCGGGGAGGGGTGCTTCTGCGTGGTGGGGTGGTGCTCGCTTGCTCGCTTATCGTTTTATTCAGTTCACCCTATCGCGCTTGCCTCCGGAGGCTGGCGCAGGAACACACGAGAGATCATTCAAAGACGATCGTTTTGAATGGTCGAATTTCATGTGAATATCGGCCCGGTATGTATCAAACACACGCGCCAGAGTGTAGAACCCGTGACCGTGTTTAACCATTTCGGTGTATTTGTCATACTCTCCCGGGTCGTGGAGTGGTGACGTCTGTACATGCTTTACATGACTGTCGGAAACATCCCGACACGACTCCACGCCACATCCGCATCCACATTCCACAGCTCCCCTTCATCCCGCCAACATCCCACCAAACACCCCGCCACTCCACCACTCCACCCCGCTCACCACCCGTAGCAACCATCCACGATGTCCGGCCGCCCGCTCCCTTCGTCGTTCGACGATGACCCGTACGTCCCCAGTCTACCTCACCTCAACTCAATGCTAGCAAACGCTAACCCAGTCCACGCACAGCGACTTCTACGAAGAAAACCGGCTCGCAAAGCTCGGCCGGCGGCTGAAGGAGGAGCCCTTGATCCCTTTGGGTCTGTCCTCCCCACCTCCCTTCCCAACAAGCCATTCCCCTTCCCCTCCCCACTTACCTCCCAATCCAGCTAGCTAACCCCCCACAGGCTGTGCACTAACCTGTTTCGCCCTCTACAAGGCCACACGCTCGATCCGGTCCGGGAACAAGGAGCAGACGAACAAGATGTTCCGGGCGCGGATATACGCGCAGGGGTTCACGCTGGTGGCGATGGTGGGCGGCAGCTACTACTACCAGGAGCAGCGCGAGAAGGAGAAGTCGCGGGATGCGACTATTGCCGAGCGCAAGTCGAAGGAGAAGCAGCAGGCGTGGATAAGGGAGTTGGAGGTTAGGGATCGGGAGGATCGGGAGGTGAGTGCTGCTCTTAGGAGGGGGGAGAGGAGGGGGTGCTGGGAGAATGGGGGGCTAATGTGGGGATGGCATAGTTGATCGAGAGGGCGAAGAAGCTTTCGGCTAGGAGGTTAGAGGCGGAGAAACAGATGAAGGAGGAGCAGGAGGCGGCGGCAGCGGCGGCGAAGGAGAAGCCGTGAGCTAGCCGTGCTGAGGGTTGGCAGATTGTAGAATATATTATACAGGACGACGATTTGCTTCTGTCAATCAAAATTGACAGCTTGGGAATCATAAGTAGCTCCATGGTATTTTGTGCGTGTTTATGTGCATGTGTATGTGTATGTGTATGTGAGTGTGAGTATGAGTGAACCCGGTGGGCAAGACAGCATTACAAAACAGAAGGGTATGAACAAACAAACAAAAAGCAAAATAGACCAACTTGTACCCGGAAAACTACATGGCCGCCGACGACACAAACACAACAAGGCAAAAAACAACAGAAGAGCAAGTGGAGAAAAGAGGAGAACAAGTAGAAAGCAAACAGAAATAAAACCAAAGGTTGAGGTGCGAAGTCAAGTCAATCAATCAACCCAATGCCCCCCACTATCTAGCCCCCAATCCTGAATCACAAACGATATCAAACGTCGCTCTTTCCTTGTCCCCACATCGCATCCCCCAGTCCAGCCAACCTTCATTCCTGTAAAACAAACCCGTTCCGGAACAAGCAGAAGAAGAAAAAAAAGAGAGAAAAAAAGCACAATACTCCAATAAAAACGCCTTATTTCCAGCAAAACAATATGTCGAGTCATACGAGAGTGTGTCTAACAGGCCGGAGCTCTTCTGGCCGTAGGTACGGGCCCTGGAACCCTTCCTCATCTTCCGTTTCCGTCTCTTCGGCTTCCGTGTTCTCGGCCTCGGTGTCGCCCGCCGCCGAGAAATCAGACGTCAGTCCGTCGCCATCGACCGACTCCAAGTCTAGATAATCGTCCTCCTCGTCGCGTAGAATCCTGCCACCGAGTCGAACATCCGACGCCCGTACTTTGTATTCCAAGGCCTTCTTGCCTTCTTTGATCAGCTGATCCGTGACTAGAAGACATCCTCTGAGCGACTTGTTCATCTTTGCCGAGGATTCCAGCAACGCCTGGTGTTTCGATAGATCCAGGGCGAGCCGCTTTTCGTCTCCCTCTCGATGCTTCTCGTCGTTGGCAGTGCCCTCCGACTTGGAGTCGCTTTCCTCCTCCTCCTCCTCCTCCTCCTCGGACAACTCTTCCGTCTCGGTATCCTCGTCTTCCTCGTCATCCACCTCCCAATTCTCCCCATCGGTAACGTTGGCGTTTTCACTCTCGGATGCGGTGCCAGAGGCGCTGCCGCCCGATTGGCTTTTCGATTTCGTCGGCGCCGTCAGTTTTCCGGATCGCGCGAGCCGTTTGTAGCGTCGCAATTGGGCGGTTTGCTTCCTCATCTCACGTTCCAGGGTCTTGTTGATCGCCAGTAGCGATGCGTTGGATATCTCTAAATCCATCACCTGAGTACACGGTTAGTCATGTCGCAAGAAGAGCACCGATAACGAAATTCTGATTCTGCACCTTTCTTTCCCGCCTGGAGTTTGCTGCTCTTTCCTCCATTGCTTTGATTCGCTCGGCAGCCGTCATTGGCGGCGCCGGCGCTGGCGGCGGCGGCGGTGGATCTTCCTCCTCGGGTTCGTCCTCCTCCTCGTCGAGATCCTCTCCCGACGAGCCGCTCTCGCCGGTTCCACTCTGGCCCTCATCGTCGGCGTCGCCATTCTCTTCCTTCATCGGAACGGACATATCGATGATCGAGCTGATTGAAGCATTACGGCTGTGCCGCACCTTCAGATCCAGACTCGACCTCCGCGACGACGAATACGCGGCATGTCTCTGGAAATACTGGGGCGGAGAGTGTAGTCCGCTTGGGGAAGCCAATGGCGACAGTGGATATGCCACTTTCGTCGGCGAAGGTGTCGCAACATGTGCATCACCAAACCTGGGGGACGAGGGGAGCTGAGGCGATGTCGTCACAGAGCCGATCTCGGAGGACGGCTTCCTAGGAGGCAGCAGTTCCTCTGCTCCATTTGCATACACGAACTTGACCCGGCTTCGCCCCTCGGGCATGCCCGTGGATGCAAGCGCGGGCGTCCTCGGGCCTCCGATCACGGACGAGGGGCGCGGCGAAGCTGGGTATCCGACCGTCGACCCCGGTCGGCTGGATGGCGGCGAGTGGTTGGCATTTCGCGCAGAAGGCATCGTGAGGATCGGGCCATTGGTCATTAACTGTGGGCTAGCGCCGAGGCCTCTTGGGGCCCTCGGCGCACGGTACGGCTCAGAGTCATCCTCCAGCGAGGCGCCATCGGCGTGAAAGAACTTTGGGCCCGAGCTGGCGACCGTAGCCGCGACATAGGGTGCGGGTGCGGTATAGACGGGCTGGGACGCGGGTGCGGTATAGACAGGTTGGGTTGTGGGTGCGGGAGTGTACGTTGGGCCGCCGACTTCACTGGCGTGAAAGAACATGCTCTGCGACGACCGTGCATTATTGCTGGTTGCGGTCACGAAGCTGCGGTTGCTCGCAGCGCTGGATGGTCGGGCGGGTGCGTAACCACGCGGAGTCAGGGTGTGATGGTAGGCCGGGTCCGGCGAGGCTACACTTTCGGCACGGGTCTTGCGTGCTAGAGATTTAGGGGAACGCGAGGAGATATTGGGGTGGAGGTTGCTGGCGGAGTTTAGGTTCGTGGTTGATCGTTGAGATGTCGCGGCCCTCATGCGAGGTAAAACTGGGGTTGTGGGGTTCTGCGGGGCGCCTTTCACTGTGGGTCGGTCGGTGGTGCTCGCCATGGTGAAGAGTCCGCTCTTCTTCGGTCTGATGGTGTCGGAACTCGGTGGTGGGTTGGTGGTGATAGCTGGGACCTTCATGGCATCTGGGCAGGATTTAGAGTGTTAATGGGCGGTAGAGGTTATCGACGTGCGAGTTGGAGACAGTTGCTAGGTATTGTTGTTGTGGAAGTGTGTAGCTAAAGCGAATAAAAAGGGAGAAGCTCTGGTTGGTACAGTTCATAGCTAGGACGCTCAATTGAGAGGTCTGTGCTCAGGACCGGCGCATTGCGAGAATAGCGGCGGGCAGCTCTCAGTCTTTTTGTGTCGCGTCTGACGGCGGGCGTTTTGCTTTTCCTTTCTTTCGTTTCTTTTCGTATTCTTTTTGTCGAGGCTATTTCCTTTGGTTGAAGATATGTAGCTTTTTGATGGATGAGGGGGAGGAGGGCGGGACTTCGGGCGGAGGCCGGGGGGTGGGTGGGGATCAGCCAGTGATCAGCGAGGATGGAGTGATGATTGGAGAAGACAACAGGTGATATACGGGGAGTTGAGGGTACGGGGGGAGGGTAGTACCGGGGAGTTATCCCGAGGTCGGTGGTGCAGAGATGGAGGAAGAGTGAAGGGGAAGGGGAGGAGGAGGGCAAAGCGAGGGCAAAGCGAGGGCGCAAGGGACCGAGAGAGAGAGAGGGAGGGTCTTTCCCGCCCGCTTGCTGGCTGGCGGAGAAGGTTTCGCGCTGCTGTTTGCTGTCCACTGTCCGCTGTCTGCTGGCTGCTGCAACTACTTCATTCCAAGATCCTGGAAGTACCCGTCCCACCTCGCTCAACACGCTCCACCGCCAGCATCATAGCGTCGGAATTCCTCAGGATGCTATGCAGAGTGCTTGAGTTGGCGCGGATCTACGTATGCACATGCTCACGGGGTTGGCGAGGACTGGCCAGTGAGGCGCCAGTGCATTTCTCGTGGGCCGCAAAGGAAATGGGAGGGGGGGACATAAAAACAAAGCCCGTCGCGAGAGGGAAGTTTGAGGCATCGCTCGTCACTCAAACTCTTCACCGTATTTTCCCGGTCGCCTGCCTGCCGCGATAATGTGGTACTTGCACTCTATTTCGAGTCCCGAGTCCCGAGTCCGTCAGAACAACGGATGACATTCGCGTCGCACAAGTCAGGTCACGTGCACTGATGACTCCGCGTTTCTTCGTCGCGTCTTCCCCTCCAGAGGGGCCTAAAGTATCTAGGCATCCTCAACGTTGACGCGCCGTGCACAACAACGACAGCCACCAAAGCCCTCCAGCGAATATGGCCACTGATGAGATCCCGTCACTCGGTGGAATTCTGCCTGCCGATGGAACCCCATCGGATAAAGATGCCAACCACCCGAGCCCTCCGGAGAATATGGCCACTGATGAGATCCCGTCACTCGGTGGAATTCTGCCCGCCGATAGAACCCCATCGAATAAAAATGCCAAGCACCCGAGCCCTCCAGCTGCAGTCCCGGCAAACACGACCGGCGGCGAGCCCCCCTCAGAATCCCGCTCATCACTCCACTACTCCCTTCTCGGGCCCAGCCTGTTGAAGGCCGGGCAGGAAGGCGTCGACCAGACTCGAGTCAGTGAGATTATATACAATGCGAGCAAAGGGTCCAAGTTTTTTAGCCATGAGAAGAAACGGGATGAACAAGTACTATAATTTCATGGGTTTTCTGTAGATGATGAGATAATGAGATGCTGAGTGTTTCTGCAGCTCACGGAACGTATCGAGACCTTGCTGAAGCGGAAGGTGGAGCTGGAGAGCGGCGGGCTGGCGGGCGAGATCAGGAAGGCGGATGAACAGGTCAGTAGTCAGCCAGGCCCGGCTGGAAGAGATGAGGGTCGTTCTGACGACGGATAACTAGATCGCGCTGTTGGAAAGCTCGAGAGATCTGTCGCAGATAATCGGTATACCCAGAAGACTGGCCACCATACCTATGAAGCACAAGCACTGAATCTTCCTCCCAATAGTACACGTTGACTGCGACGCCTTCTACGCCTCGGTAGAAGAGCTGGACCGGCCCGAACTCAAGAACGGTATCACTTTGCAATACATCACATCGTGCGGGAGCATCTGCTAAACCTCGCCTGCTACTGAAGTGCCCATGGCCGTCGGCGGCGGTGTACTCTCAACCTGTAACTACACGGCGCGGCAGTTCGGTGTGAGATCGGGGATGGCGGGGCATATCGCCAAGAGTATGTCTCTCTTTCTCTCGAGATCTATACTAGAGCTGCTGACATTGTGTGCAAAGAGATATGTCCGCAGCTCGTCTTCGTAAAACATAATTTCGAAAAGTACGGAGCAAAGGCAGAAGAGATCCGCGCCATCCTGAAGCTCTACGACCCACGATTTGAGAGTGCGAGTATGGACGAGGCCTATCTCAACCTTACCCAAGTCTGTCCACCCGTACCCGCGGTCTGCGGGACGATCTTGTGCTAACCAATGGCTACCTACACTGTAGTACCTAGAAGAGCACCCCTCATACACCCCCGAAACCCTGGTAGAACACATCCGCGCGTCAGTGCTGGAGACGACCAAGATCAGCATCAGCGCCGGCATCGCTCCGAACGCAAAGATCGCCAAGATCGCCTCCAACAAGAACAAGCCGAACGGGCAATTCGTGAGCCCCCCCTCATCATTGATCCGCCCGCATTCTTACGTCTGTCCAGCGCATCCCCAACACCCGCGCAGACGTAATGTCATTCATGTCCACGCTCCCAGTGCGCAAAGTCAACGGGGTCGGGCGGGTCTTTGAGCGGGAGCTCGAAGCATGCGACATAAAAACCTGCGGCGACATTTATACCCACCGCGGACTCCTCCGACCTTTATTCGGGGACAAAGCGTGCACCTTCCTCCTGAACTGCTATTGCGGGATCGGGCGGACGGTGATCCGCCCCGCGTCGGAGTACGAGCGCAAGAGCGTGGGCACGGAGAGCACGTTCCGCGATCTTTTTGGCGCGGAAAAGCTGCGCGAGAAGCTGAGACATACCGCCGAGGAGCTGGAGAAGGATTTGGTCAGGACTCGGCTCGCTGGGAGGGTGTTGGTCCTCAAGGTGAAGCTCCATACGTATGAGGTCTATACGAGGCAGAGGAACTTGGGAAGGCTGGTGCACGGGAAGGAGGAGCTGTATAATCTCGCCCTGCCGCTGCTAACAGGGCTGGAGGCAGAGTTTCCGGGGCTGAAGCTGCGGCTGATGGGACTGAGAGTCACGGGCCTGGCTAGTATCAAGGACGGAAAGGGGAAGACGGTGGATATGCAGAAGTGGCTCACAAGCAACGCTCCTGCACAACCCCCACACCCCCCACCCTCACCCAAGAAGCGGAAACAAGACTCCTCCACCGCCGACGCTGACGCCGACGAGTGGGAAGTCTGGCCAGAGGAGGAGTTCGAGCGTGCTCAGCAGGCCGAGGAGGAGGAGGGAATGCAGCTGACGCAGGAGCTCTCCGACGAGCTGGATGCCGCCTCAGCCACCAACCCCGTCCCCCTCCCCGCCACCCTCCCCTTCCCCGCCCCCGAACTCGACCCCGAGACCGAACCAATGTCGTGGCAGTGCCCCATCTGCGCCACCCTCCAGCCCGCGGACAATACGCTGTTCAACCAGCACGTCGACTTCTGCCTGTCGAAGGAGGCGATTCGCAGCGCGGTAAAGGAGGCGTCGGCTGCGCAAACTCCAGTGCTGGGTGGAGATGCACATTCGAGGAAGAGGCGGAGGTTGGGGTTTGCAACGGGGCAGAAACGGTAGATGGTGGCGGTGGAAATGGAGGGGAGGTGAGGGGATTGGGATACTTAGCGGGGCAGGGCATGGCATGGATGGCATGGAGGGATTTTGGAGATAATTGAATGCGAATTGCATGGCAGAGCATGGCAGAGCATGGCGGTTAGAATTTATTCGTTCTTTGATTTTGGATGATTTTGGATAATTGAAAAGCGTATACCCAGGAGCAATTTAGATTTGATATGGTGCTTATGTAGCAGCAACGTATAGCCAGGAGGTAGGTAGTCCAACAGTGCGAGCGAGGCATCGTAAGTCCTTGCGAGTCCTTGCGAGTATGTACTCAATCCATGGAACACATCCCTCTCACCAGCACCGCCTTTCGCGAGTATTCGGGGGATCCCTTTCCCAGCCGCAAAACCACTCTCAATCCATCCATCCATTCGTTGAAAGCAGGATCCGGAGGTTACTAGCCGTACGGTGCACACGGGCGAACATCCCACTGTCCGCAGGTCTTCCGCGGTTCGTGTGAAACTCATCCTCGCTGCCCAGTGCCCTCCACCCTCTGCCCCGTCCAGTATGTACTCTAAGCGTACCACTACTCCCTCGAATTCACTCGGAAACGCTATGGCTGCGTACCTATATCTAATACCGACACGACAGCAAAGACAGCAAAGACAGCAAAGACAGCAAAGACAGCAAAGACAGCAAAGACAGCAAAGACAGCAAAGACAGCACACCTAGTTATGTTGATAGTGACAAAGAAACCCCGTCTATTGTGTATCGAATCCTCACCCTTCGCCCAGCCCAAGAAGCACAAAAAGAAGCCCAAGAAGAAGCCAAAGTAAGCCGCCCAAGAAAGAAACCCCAAGAAAGCCGCTCAAAAAAGAAGCCCAAAAAGAAGCCCAAGAAAGCCGCCTAAAAAGAAGCCCAAAAAGAAATCCTAAAAACAAAATCCCTTGATGCAATAGGAGCCTATGCTAAGCGCCTTATACGGTGCGAGGTAGTTATAAAGAAATCCAAAGAAATCCAAGGAAACCCCGCCACTAATTCAGCCCAGCCCAGCCCAGCCCAGCTCATCCAAATGCAAATGTAAAAATGTAAAAATGTAAAAATGTAAAAATGTAAAAATGTAAAAATGTAAAAATGTAAAAATGTAAAAATGTAAATGTAAAAATGTAAAAATGTAAAAATGTAAAAATGTAAAAATGTAAAAATGTAAAAATGTAAAAATGTAAAATTATAAAATTATAAAAATGTAAAAAAAAACACAAAAAGAGAAGATATCTAGCCCGTCAGTAGACATCTACACAAAAAAACCATCATATGATGGTACTCCAATAACGCCGATATGGGTATTCCGTTAATGCTGGGTGTTGGCGGCGACCGTAGTCAAGGAAGAGGGAGAGGGGGTGGCGGGAGTGGAAGGCGTCTCCTGGGGGCGGTAGAACAGCAGGTAAGCCTTGGACTTAGCGACCTGTTCCGGGCCCACGGCGGAAACACGCTCGTCGTTGAGGCTCCACCACTGGTTTTGGTGGTCTCGGACGTAGGCGAAATAATGTCCCGAGTTCGTTCTATAATCCGTGTATCAGCCAGTGTATCCCTGGGATGGATAGTGTAGGAATACAAACCCGTTTCCTTGATGGACCACGACGGTGTAGAGTTCGTATATCTGCGGTGGTGCCTGACTACCGTCCTCTTCGCCGTCGCCGAGCCAACGGGATAGATTCAGGTCCTGCAGCGGAAAGCGCACGAGCGTGTCGACCTTCTGCTTGCCGTTGCGTTTCCAGCGGAAGCGCTTTAGGTGGATACAAAGGATTCGGGGGAGCTCGCCGAGATTGATATTCTGGGTAAACCCTTGCTCCGAACCGCACGCATAACAAGATCTAGCGGAGGGGGAAGCGGGAGTGGAGGGCGTGGCGGACGCGGTGGTCTCAAGTTCTTCTGATAGCGAGAACAGGTCAATACAATCCTCGAGAGTGACGTGGCGGCCTTCGGGGATGACGAGGCTGAGATCCAGAAACGGGTCCGCCTTGATGGTGTACTTGCTGCAGGCAAGACACGAGATCTGGGGGAAAGTTAGAACCCATGCATGTTGAATTGCTGTGGTCGAATAAAGCATACCTTGTTCCAAAGCATTCCTCCAAACACGTGATTCACGATTGTATCCTCGGAATCCACGCTAGCCTGGTCCTCCTTCTCAAGTTTAAGTTCAGAATGGATTTGATCCAGAGCACACTAAACCGGTAGATACTGCCATTAGCTAGGTCTAGAACTTGTTAGGCACGCAGAAACTCACCCGCAGAAACTCCTGGGCATCCTGCTGTTCGTTTCTCTCCTGGAAAAGCGGTAGCAGGGCCGAAACGGCACCCGCAAATGCATCTGGCGAGACCACCGGAGCCAACCCGCCAGGATTACGACGGCGCCGCTTGGACGCTGGCGCATCCGCCGCACTCGAGGTTCCGATTCCCCACATTGAACGGATCAACCTTGAAAACTCGTTGCAAAGGTTGCTTTTTGGTCCATAGAAACGGTATCAGTGAATTGAACTCCCCATCATCTAATGGGGTCTAGAAGAGACATACACATCCTGCGGAATTTCAGACTCCAGCTGTTCCTGTAGTCTAGCTTCCCTTCTTGTCCTGGCACGACCCGTGTGAGCCGCCGCTTTCACCAGCGGTTGCGACTCCAATGGCTCGAGAGCTTCCGGGAGTGCACGCTGAACGAAGTACTCTCGCAAGGGAGCGGTGTGGCTTAGGGCTTGGATCACGGCATTGTTATAGCTGCCCGAGTCATCAGCATACCATACACGCGCCTGATATGCAATGGAGAATGCACGAACCAAGTGTTTCCCAAATTTTTGAGGCCTACAACTCTTGTGCGCTTTGGCTCGGGCTCGGGCTCTGCGCCGGCGACGTCGGTAATCTCTCTCTTCTTTCCGCGGGGAGCCTTGTTGTTTACAACTCTTGTTCGCTTTGGCTCGGTCTCGGGCTCTGCGCCGGCGACGTCGGTAATGTTTCTTTTCTTTCCGCGGGGAGCCTTGTTTGTCTTGTCTTCTCCTTTCTTCTCTTGCTTTCGACCCTTCGTGGTCTCATCTACCGCTGTCGTCGTTGCTAGTGCCGAGTTGTTTATGCGCAGGTCATCCGGCGCCGGCTCCGGCTCCTTGCAATCCTCGGCGATGTTAGAATCCGGCGGTGAGAGCGCGCGACCCTGGCCCCCACTCGACCCTGCCAATTCCCGCGCAAGGCTCTTTGCGACGTCGTCGCTGTCGGTAGCGGTGGTAATAGTAATGTTGGTGGTCGACATTTGTGAATTCGCTGTCATGGTAGGAAGGGGAGAAATGGATGGTGTTGGGGAAGGTGGATATTCGACAGCGCCTGTAGTAGGAGTAGTCGGGGGAACTTCCTTTGCTGCTTCCATTGTAGTTGCTGGCTCGGTTGTTCTGGCGGAGGACGTCGAGACCAAGTATGTTGCGGTAGGGCTAGTAGTGGTAGCAGTAGTAGTGGTAGCAGTAGTAGTGGTAGTGGAAGTAGTAGTGGAAGTGGAAGTAGTAGTGGAAGTGGAAGTAGTAGTGGGAGACGTGAATAACGTTGACGAGTGCTGACACGCCGACGAGTCAGCGTTGTGTTGTGCTTGCTCCAAGCACGATATCTTGTGTGTCTTTCTCTCCTTCCCCGTCACGACGACACGACACAACACAACTCAGCGAAGAGGGCAAGGCAACCGAACATGTGATTGCTGTCTCTGCATCATTGCGAGGCTCATCATCCCCTTCTTTTTCCTCTTCTTCTTCTTCTTCTTTTTCTCCACTCCACACACAGAACGACCCTTTCTTTCCCACAATCTTCAAGTGTATTTTTTTGGCGGCGGCAGAAAAAAACGGTGTTCCTCGCTCGCTGTCGGTGGTAGTAGTGGGGGCGTGCGCAGTGTGTGTGCGGCGTGTGTGCGTGTGCGGCGTGTGTGCGTGGTGTCACTGGTGTGTGAGACAAAAGCCACTTGCAAGTTGCAATATGTAGTCCTTGGTAGGTGTATGTAATGGTGGGGTAGAAGAGGCAGGACCTTGAACCTGCCTGCCAGGAACAATACCAATCCGATCTTTCCCTCGGCTTCTCCTCTTCTTTTGTCCCGGTTGTTCTGTGGGGAAACGAACGAACGAATGGATAATAGCGGATAGCAGATAGCAGATAGCAGATAGCAGATGGGACGAGGGTCCGCTACGGTAGAGTACTCTAGAGAAGGAGAAGAAGAATTGGTGGAGAAGAGTAGAGCAGAGTATATAGTAGATCGAGTGTATAGCAGCTGCAGAGGCCACTGATAGTCGTGAAGAACCGCTGTCGCTGTCGCTCTCCCCGCCCGCGCGCGCTCTGGTGGGATCTTGTTATCGTTATTGGAGGCGGTGGCGGCGGTGGTGGTGGAGACACTGGTGAGGGGCTGCGATGGTCAATGGATGTTGAAGAGAAGGAAGCTCTGACTGCCGAGATACTAGGTATAAGGCTGACCAACGCCTATCCAGTGTCTAGCGAACCAGGTGGGGCCACGCCCAAACTTTATACATGGAGTCAAGCAGAACGACAGCGGCTCTTATATATAGAGTACGGTCAGCCGCCTAATAGGCAGGCAGTGGCGTCAACGCGTCACAAACTCACATTTAGTTCGCGGTCCTGTGATATACAACTCATGATCTCACGGACTCGTGATCTATCCGGCCACCTCCCGCGGCTCCCATGCGTGGGGCGCACGCCGCAGACAGATGATCTTCCCGCGCGCCCAAATAAGGAAGGCCTCCTTCCCCCACCAGGCGCCCCACCACCACGCCACCCCCTTCCCCCCTTCATACTGAGTGACCCGCTGTGACCGTCCAGCCATGGATTCCCCTGGGGCCTGATCTGCAAAATCTACGGTGGAATCTGGCTGGCAACCTTCGACAACAGGCACGTGCAGAAAAAGCGACAGCCATCCACAGATACAGATACAGATAAGGTGTGGTTCGTGGGCTAGATACGCCAAGCGAGGCTCACACTCTTCGTGGCTCTCTCTCACCATTCACGCTCGCCCATGCTATGATGTTCCACACTCCGTACCTGGGTATTCCATGTTCACCGTCTGATTGCTTGCTTCCGGCAAAACCCCATCTGCTGATGGAACGTATACAGTACATGCACGGTGAACTCGCAAAAAAAAACACTCAGTTCTATCGAATCGACCAAGGGAGACATACATGCTCAGCAAAAGCAAAAGAGCCACTGCATACAGGACGAAAAAGAAAGAAAGCAAGAAAACCGACCCATATTCCCCCTCCCCGCCGGAGTAGGGTGACCTTCAACACAAATGACACCAAACGGCACGGTAAAAGGTAAGGAGTATTAAAATAGGAAAAAAAAAGCCACAACGAATCGCAACAGAAAAAACTCTACCCGTAGGCACACATGTCACATGCATCCGGATTCTACGCACGACTACCAGTAGGCATCTTTACTTCCTCCCAAGATTCGTCGTCCTTGCCCTTTTTCTTGTGCTCCTTCTTCGCTTCCTTCTTGTGGTCCTTCTTATCGTCTTTTCTGGCGGCCTCAGCAACCAACTGCTCGAAGGCTCCCTCCGCGAACTCGTCGTCTGGATCGCGCTCGGCCTAGAGTATGGTTGTAAGATTCCCCGAACCTGAAACCCATGTGGGGGGTGGGGGTGCACTTACATTCTTGAATATAGTGCCGACCATTATCAAGGCGTGCGCTCTCTCCACTCGTTTGGGCAGCGGGACAGTCTTGTCGTAGAGGACCCGATCGCACACATCCCTGGGAAAACCGCATCAGCACTCCCTCCCACGGCGTGAACAGGTTAATATGTTCGGGATCGAGCCTTACCGTAGGACACTCTGTATCTCGAACTTGCTCCCTCTCCATGCGGCAGCGAGAATCTTTCCAGTCACTTTGCGCTCGTACTCGGCCTTCTTCTCGTCGGTCCATTCGTCGCCACCCTTCTCCTCGAGTTTGGCCATTTCTTCCATAGTCATCTGAGCATCTATGGCAGTTGAGATGGTGCCCCACGTCTCCTTCACCAGAGTACCCTTGTCCTTCAGCCGGCTAAAGAAACCGCCGATACCCAAGAACTTCTGGGACTTGATGAACGAAGCGCCCTTCATGATATAGACACTACCAATAGCTATAACGCACTATTAGGACACTGTCGTACTGCAAGAGCATGGAGATTTGGACCCACCATGAAGGATGTCGAGGCCAAAGCTCTCCATCTTGAGGTTCTCAACCTCATACCTCGTCTTCTCGTTAAAAGCATAGGTTGTCTCCTTGCCCTTGTCGGTTTCAGTCCAGACGGAGATGCGGTCAACAAGCTTTCTGGTCAAGGTGTCCACACGATCCTGGCGGACCTTCTTACGCTCTGCCTCGTAGGCGGCCAACTCGTCACGCTGTTCCTTACTCAGTCCGCCCTTCCTCTTTTCCTTCCCTTTCAGCTCCCTCTCCCGCTCCGTCATCTCGGCCTCCTGTCGTACGTCCTCGTCCGATCTGTCGGTCAACAAAAACTGATTTGCTGGGGGTCTAGGGTGAGGCGTAGAAGACTCAGAGCGGGATGGGGTGTTTAACGGAGCAGCGGAGGCAGCGGCTGATGTTGTCGCGGATTGCGGTCTAGGCGGCATCTCGGGGGCGGCGGCGGGGGCGGAGGCGGCGGTCGCGCCAGGCGCAGCGGGCGTTCCCGCTCCCTCGCCCGCTACCGGTGCTTTCCCATCAGCGGTACCGTGGATCTGTGGGCTGTCGGCTTCCTTCTCGGCGGCTTCCTCCTCTTCCTCGACCTCCTTCATGATTTCCATCGTTTTCGTGAGGTCCTTCATCAGAGAGATTTCTCCGATCCTACACCGCTTGTCAGTTGTCCGGTGGCAGTACCGCGATCGCATAGGATACCCACAGGTCGACAAACGCCTCTCCGCCGAAAATCATGCCGAAAAACTCCGAGGGGTCCTCTGCGCGTCAAAAATCGTCAGTGCTGTCATGCCCCCCTCCCCCACACTGCGCGCGTCGATCCGAACTGTAGATCATGCTTACCGAAGCCAGAGTCCGGGACGGCCCGGGCCTTGCCATACAGATCATACTGCTTGCGCAGGTCTTCGTTGCTGAGTACTTGGTAGGCTTCACTAATCTATGTAGCGACAACGCGGGGAACAAGCTTGTGTCAGCCACAAGAACAAAGAGAGAGAGAGAATGGGATCTCCAGCGACGATCTCCAAAGTCGCGTCGAACAGCAGGCAGCAGGACAGGATTTGCAGCGATCACGTACCGACTGGAATTTGGCATGTGCACTCTCGTCGCCCGGATTCTTATCGGGATGGTGCTGGATAGCGAGCTTACGATAAGCCTTCTTGATCTCGAGCTCGGTGGCTCCAGGCTTGACTCCCAGGGAATCGTAGTATTCTGTTTCTTTGACCATCTTATGGAAGTTGTGCGGTGGTTGATGTGGAGAACGGGGGAAGCAGGAGGGGAAGTGCGCGATGTTTGCAGGCACAGGTCTCGGCGGCGGCGCAATATTTTGTAGGTGATGAGGGCTTGCACAGCCGCTTCATGACGTCCAACGCGCAAGGGTCTTTTTCGTAGGCGCTAGTGACTAAGTAATGAGTGCATCCTAGTAAATCACTCGATAAGCGCACGTGCAAGTTGAATGTAGGAATGCGTGCAGGCTCCATGCCTCGCAGAAAACGAGGTGGATGTCCGTTGAGGATCATGGGTAAGATGGATCTTCAGGGGACTTCTCTTGGATGTACAAACTGCTTTTCTTTGTCGCCGTCGCAATTTCGCAAGTGCAGATCGCCCTGTGGCCGTATTCAGTGGAACTTCGCAATCACATGCTTGTGCTCGTAGCAACTGATTGCCCTTTCTCTCCCTGTCCAGTAGAAAATAGAAATAAAAGCTATTCATCTTGGTTTCACGACCATAAAAACAGCTGGACATAACTAGATAGAACGATAACTAGCCGTATGTTCTTTTGAAGAGCTATTCGAACTCGATGATCTTGGCGACGAGTGAGTCTGTGTGTCCCGACACGTGACTGCGTCCAGACTCCAGCCTCAAGACAAGAATACTGGTACAGGTTAGTGTGTTATCCCACTACCAATCATATCAAAGAGTGTCGAGTGACTACTATGCTCTGCAAAACATTTACCGAAATCCAAAGACTGCAGGTATCACAATTGCACACATAAAGCCCAATGACTCAGATTCGGAAGTCCTGGAGTCTCTGTTTCTTTTCGTCCGGCAGGGATGGCCATTCCTGCCCAAGAGGTTGCCTGTACATATGGCGGTGTGATGGGCGAAGAAGTCGGGAGATTGAACAATGGGCTCCCGAAAACACGGTGGATCTACCTGCATAGAGCAGGTACAGCGCACCATGAATCCGAAGCAAACAATACGGTGTTGGTGAGTAAGTATGCCCCCAATCGAGGAAAAAAAAGGTTTAGTCGCAAGCAAGTGTCGTGATCGATAGACTGTGGAGGAGGACGTTCAGATCGTTGTGAAATCTATATCATAGCTTCACGAGATGATGTTGCTTTTGCCAGAGCTCCCTACGATAACTGTGTATGTACCGTTTACCGCACTCGTCGAGAAGGCCAGTTCAACCACGCAGCCGGTAGGTACCTAGTGAAAGACGTGTCCACCGAGGATGTTGTCGGAGGGCAAGCTTATCGAACGTACTGGAAGATACATTCCGAAAGTGGCCAACTTGAAGTCTGAAAATACCGCCGCAACACGGATACGAAGGGCCTTGCCTTGAAGAGTTACTTCCACGGGTGCAGCTGCATTGGAAATATACGATACGCTCCCCGCCTGTTATCGACCCGAATCCCGCATCTCACAATCCCCGCCGGGCATATCGTTCCCACCTTCGAATTCATAATACCAATATTCTCTCAAGCTCGAAGGCCTTCAACGAGAAAATCTACTGCGTTATCTCACACGTCACTAAGACCTGTCATTTTTCACGACCCCAATAGATAGGTAGGGATGTCTCAATCATCCATCCTCCTTCATTTCCGCCATCATACAGATTATACCCATTCAAGACACTTCGTATGTACAGTGTGCATCCACTGCCTGGACGAAACGGCTCTCGATGAGCTCCACACTACATATGTTCCGCTAAGAATTGGAAGCCCTCGATCCACGTCTATGAACGATGTAACTAAGGGTCAACATGGCTCATTCAGCACTAATCTCATAATCTTGGTAGCCATACGAGGTGGCGGCTGCTGAGTGACATTGCCATGTACCTACTCCGCTTCGGTTGTAGAGACAGCGACTAACTTCTGCTTTTGGGAAAGCAGAAAAGAGAGTACCTACTTCGCTATTTACGCGGCACCTCCGACTGGGAATTGCATTACCCTCGCCGAACCGGAAAGACCGAGCCATCGAGACTGATTTGCTACTCCAATTCCTCCTGCGGTAGCAACCTTGACGACCGAAGGCCATTCTCCGGATATGTCACTCAGCTAGGGAAAGCCAGCATCAGTTGGGGTTCCCAAAAGCAGAAGTCAGTCGCTGTCTCTACAACCGAAGCGGAGTAGGTACATGGCAATGTCACTCAGCAGCCGCCACCTCGTATAGGTAGCTACAGCGAGCCGTCAGCGAACTCCAACAACCATCGAAAGCAAGCGTTGCAACTCACAACCACGAAATTGTGCGTTGTTGTCGCCTTTTACTTAGCTGGTCTCCCGGACAAGTGGTTTGCGTGCAGGTCCAGTAGTTTGGCATGGACGTCATCGTATGTGAGCTCCGTCTTGGTGTGGAGGTTATCGACGATGTTCTCCATCGAAGCCAGTAGCGATGTGAGCAAGAATGCGGTCTTTGTGTGGTCTGATGACGTCAAAGTCTGGAGGCATTGGGCTAGGGAGTTCGTCGGTGGCTGAGAGGCAGCGGTTTAGGAGTCGGTTCCAGTTGCTACTGAAGTTTTCAAGATGGTTTTGTATAAAGCCGCCTTCTTTGAGCTTGTTGTCAAGCACTGCCTTGAGGAGGGTTATCGAGGTAGCTGTTTCGTGGTCGTAGAGGTTCTTAAGCGCTGGCCATGCTTCCGCGGCAGTTTCAGCTATCGAGATGTTGTGCAGGATGGTGCTATCGACTGCTGTATGAAGCAAGTGGAGCGCTTGGTCGTTTATCAAGTCCCATTCCTTAGCTGAAACTTCGACTGCGTGGGTGTCGGTACCGGAGGTTGCCTCGGCGGGCTCGGTGGGCGCGAGTGTTTTACCAGCCTTGATATTCGTCGGTCGTACGATATTGCCGTTGAAGATATCCCACCATTGACAGGCCCTAAACGCAACTTTCCAAGTTCTGGCCCAGATGAGATAGTTATACTGTCCAAGGAGTTTCGATGGGTTTTTAATCTGTAGCGAGCTGTGGGCAGAGGTCTTGTCGGTGTTTGGCATGGTTGCGGATTGGTGGGGTGAATCGATTCGGCGGACTTTTGTTGTCTTATTGCAGGCCCGGGCTCATAACCTGTAGTTTGGGCTATGCGGAAGTTCGATCGTACGGACGGAAGGTTTGGTAGAGAGAGAGAAGCGGAGAACAAGTGATTGAATTGACTGTCTGCTTGGTAGAGATATGAAAAGAGCGGACAACATGGGTAGTTTATATACAACAAAAACAAGAGATACAGTGCTATACAGAACGACACCTGTCTTCCAATCCTCGAGCCTCCTCTTCCCACATTGCGTATGCCCATTGCGAATGGCCATTGCGTGTCATATCTTCTCCCACATTACGCGTCCTGGCTTTTGGGTTTGCCAGGCTGTGGCGACGCACTTTTCTTCAAGTAGCTCATGGCGAATTACATATCCTTTTCCACCCGGCTATCACCGACCGCTGGCCGCGAGCTCGATACCGGTTCCCTATATATTGCTCTTCGCCCAGCTCTCCTCGATCAGCTCTGGGGGAACGAGTGTGTTCCTGTGAGTGAGTAATCCACTAGCCGTTTAGAGGACCGGTGGCGGTAGCGGGTCGAAGTTCGGTTTTCTTTCTCTCACTCACTCTCACACACTCACACACACACACACACACACACACTCTCTCTCTCTCTCTCTTTCTTGTAGCTGTAGCTCCTAGACCATATCATAATATATCATTGCTCCATCTCGATCGTTCTAGTGATAACAACCACGAGTCCTTCCAACAAGCTCCAACCTGCGCAACTGGTTCGATAGCTATGGTGATCGGGGAAAGTATCAAGGCGGTGGTGGGGGATGATTGAAGCCTGCTGGATTTGCTTCAGAGGCCAGGAAGACTTCATGGTATGTAGTCATGATGACCGATCGGATGAAGAACAATGTCAACCCGTAAGCTTGAATCGGGATAGGTATAGGTACTAATTCAAACCTGGAATAAATTGGCATTACGGGACCTGGTTGGAAATACAATAGTAGCCGTGATCAATTTTTATGCAACTGCAAGTAGGACCGAGTCAGCGCCAACCGCCCGCCCAGAATCCTCACCACACTCATCTTGTCATCTGGCATTAACCAGCCGGCAGCACGCGATTCAATAGACTCTGCCAGGTATTCTCCTCTAGGTTCATGACCGTACTGGGTTTAAGGGTAAGTGGGGCCTCACCTTGCGCTTATAATTCGTAATATTTGTGAGGTACGGCTTATTGGCTGTTCCTGGTACATACTACCAAGGTGGCCACCGGCCAGCGCAAATTACCAGTCTTCAAAAAGATTCCCGCGGAGTTGACGGGGCGTATTGTACATAGCACAACCACACGCCATCACTCGAGCATTGATTGCCTTGTGCGAGCCTGCTAACTAGCCGCCAACTCCAGTCAACTACCTGCACCGTCGAATCCGCCGGACACAACTGTGACGTAGCGATAGAGGAGCTATCGGCGGGAGAAAACGAATGTGGTTAATAGTGGCCATCAACGTTGGCGGGCATAGCGGGGTCGTCTTCTTCTTCCTCTTCTTCTTTTTCTTCTTCTTGTTCGATCATCTATCGAATAGACGGCCAACCCCCCATTTCCTCTCTCTCATCTGTGTGCGCTTCCTTTCTCGTCAGGCCTGGAGAGGCATTGGTAAAGAGCCCTCGCAGAACCACCGGACACCACTGACTAGCCAGCCTCAACCTCGGGACCATGCACCGACGGTGGGTAGGCAATCCGAATCGGGGACGCCGAGCCGCAGTCTCGCTATGTACCATGCACCGATACTGTGGCTTCGCGGTGCTGTCACTAAAACGTACCGGCGCGCTATGGACGGAAGTGTGTGTGTGTGTGGAGGGGGGGAATTATTGCGAGCCCCGACAGTCCGCCGCGTGGCCGACTCCGACCCCCACCCACCCCGCCGAACAGAACAGAAGAAACGGCATCGATCCACCCTCTCAGCGTGCGGCATCGTGAGGTGACTCTACCATGCTATCGGGAGTCCCGTCCCCAAAGCAGGCGGAGGTGGGTCGATACCCCTCTAGTTCATCCGGATTACGGTCTTTTGGGGGTCACCAACGACGTGGTCCCGTCCGGGGACTGAATGGAGACTGCGGTGCCCTACAATAGGGTGTATCCCGGGGGCCCTGTGTGAGCTAACTAGTTAGAACGATCATGTATTCCCGTTTTGTATCAAGGACGAGGTGCCGAACCGATGGTTGGCCGCCCTGCTCTGATGATATTGTTCCGAGCTGACTTTTCCGAGACCATGGATGAGCTTTGCCTCCCGAAGCCGGAAGACACCGGGTACTCTATCTACCATGATATGGAAAGAGGACTTCTCTGAAGATGGTCGGTGTACTAGGTATCGACTAAAATCTGCATCTCTTTTCGTAGTGGAGTCGCTCACCGCTGTCACAATATCTACTAGGTATCTACATACCTACTAGGAGACTCTCCCAAGCTCGTAGAGGAATCCAGCACAGGCCCCCTCATGGCTTCATCTCCTAACCACCTCTCACCGCCACGACCCAACTGCATCTCCCACTCAACGCATCCGTTCAGCTCTTCAAGACCAGCCGCTCCTCAACTCCAGGCCCTAATCACCACCCATCGTGACCCTTCGCCCCGTGCACACTCTTCTCGACGCTCGGCCCTCATCCAACTACCCCACGACAGGCTCCACCATGAAGTTGCCGTCACGACCCTCCACCCGCGTCTAGACGAGATGGAGAAGGTCCAGCATTGCTCGTTCAGCTCTAACTAATATCTACAGCGAAATCAAACAGATCAGGGCAGTTTCCGATCCCGGGGGCGGGGAAAGGAGGAGGGGGAGAGAACACCGAACGATCCCGCTTGCTTTCATCTGGGTAGCATATCCGCTGTGGCTCACGGAATCCGGGCTGTTGGGTAAGCAGAGTGTCAGTATGCATGCATAGTTCTATGCACATATGGTCAGATAAGCTACATGCTACTAGTAATAACTAACTGACCTGTTGTTGATCCCTCACGCAACCCGTGGGAGTTCCTGCAGGGGAGAGCGTCGCTAACTAACCACCTAGTTACTGCAGAGGATCCTGTACGTTGCCGTGCATTTTGGTGCGCATTGTGAAGGTAGAAGGGGGATGGGGATAGGTTTGAAGGACAGTGCTGGATGCCACCTACCTGGGTAGTCAAATACCTAGTGGTTTTATTAGCAAGATCGAGAAGGGAATGATGAATTAAAAGGTGACGATGGAATCTGCTGGCTTGCTGTGTTCGGAGGCGCCAGGTGCCCGCCTGTGACCGCCTGTGACCGCCCGCCTGCCTTTTACGGTCCAGAACTGGGGTGTTCTCGGTGGAGTTTGCTCATAACTAGTACCAGTTATAGTGTCCTACCTCTTAGGCACCGGGAGTCCTTTGGTCCGTGAATTCGAAATGATAGTTAATACCGTAGCCCGATGGGGGGCCTGGGTAGGTATCGCTCCCTCTGGTACCTACAACAGTGCTATCCAGTGTCCAGTAACTATCCTCTGTCCTCCGTGCTGTACCATAGTTACCATTCAGTTTGTGTGTGGTCACGAGTCGCGAGGCGGTGCCGCGGTGGTGGCGGCGAGTGGCGGCGAGTGAGCTCGAGTGTTTCCGGGCGGGCATGAGCGGGCTGCGGACTCGCCACAATCGACGACGCCCCCTCACCGACCCCCTCACCCAATGATGTACATACCTACATGGTAGATAGGTATGTACCTACTAATAGTAGGTAGCGATCCTTCCGAGCTCATAGTTGACTAATGCCCTATAGACGTCCAAAACCCCGAATGCGATGTTATCGATCGCCGGCTCGAGTTTCTGAAATGTCGGTTGACCACGGCCACAACCGACTGTGGATGTTGGTCGCGATAGGAAGCTAACTGTCTGTTTGTCACTGATGTCTCTGGAGTCTGCTGTAGTGAGCTGTGACTGTTGGAACTTGGACTTGGGGCATGACTTGGTTAACTCGTGGAAGAGGCTGTGGTCTCGACTCTCGCCGCGAGGGTCACCGGCTGAAGCAGCACCCGGAATTAATGACCGACCTACTGAAAAGAAGAAAAAAGGTGAGTTTGATGCCCAAGCGGCAGATGAGAGGTAGGACTGACTTTCGGGACTTGACTTGTGGTCGATGATGTGGTTTTGGTGCCACCATTATTCAATCCCTTTGGGCTGCGGACCCAACACGAAAGGAAAAAAAACTAACGGAGAGAGATCACCAATCGGATGTTTCTCATCACGATACGGTAGTTAGATCGAGCCTCTCTCAGAGTTAGTTAGTTAATCCCTCCCTGAGACCAGCAACCGGGTGAGGATCGTGAGATCCATCAGGCGTTCCATCAGCAGTTGTTGGTATGTGGTCTATGTACCTACATACGCCAGTCAACATTGGGCCTTCCGGCCACACTACGGATGACATCTGAAGTGAACCCGTTGAGTGTAGTACCTACCGTAGAATAGTTACTTGAACGGGCCAGTCGATCCGCTGTCCCCTTCAGACTTCTTCCCGACTCTCCAATCGTGTCCTCGGTGAGACCGGTCTGGTCATGTTGAACTTCGATCGGATGCAGTCAGTGGGAGTCACCAACCAACCTCCCACAGATAAGAAACCGCCCGCTTCCCGGAGCGGGAAAAAGGTCCATTTCGGATTGACCTCGAGAATGCGGACCATACTCCGCGTGGACGGCGCAAAAACTGTGGGTCGGTCGAGCACCATCACCACCCTTCGCAATGAGGGCTGGGCCACTCGATGCGATGCGCTGCACAGAGTATGTACTCGACCTACCTGAGTGTTCAGCTACATACCTGCCGGAAACTGAAGGACTTTGACCATTCGTCTCAGGAAACAGGCCATTGCGAACGAACACTGTCCCTGCTACTAGTATGAAGAGTACTCTACTGGACGTGGTTCGCCTGGTCGTGGTTGGTGGCAGTTTCAGCCGCCGTATCATATATGTAAAAATAGTCTTGCCGAAGAACAATACAGCCAACCATCTCCTCGCTCGAGGTACGACATACGGTAGTCACGTAGGCACATAGAGTACATAGAATACATGGTTAATCCACACCAGAGGACAGCGTCAAGATCCCAAGTGTCTGGACTTTGGAGTTCGATATCCCGACTTGTTGATCCGATGGCGGAATTGTGCATGCGGGGGCTTGCAAGGATCCATCCATCGGAAAAATCATGTGGAGATAAGCGACTTATCGCTCGCCGCCGCCGACATCACATGCCGCGCCCCCCACCGTCCCCCACCGCCCCTCCCCGCCCTCGCTCCGGCCCCGCGGAAAATCCCCCGCAGCCAACCGCTGCGCTTCCATTTGACGCTTAGATATCCGCACCCCGTCCATCGCAGCACCTTGTAAACATAAGTTCTTAGTCAAGTACATACCGTGCCAAGAACCTCTGGATACCGACCTTCTGCCCCGGGTACCTGCGGCTTCTTCCAGTGCAGAATCCACCTCTACGTGAACAGGTACCTACGGTCCTACTTACCTATCCTCGTGATTCGTGAACAGATCCCGCGCGTACCCGACGCGACGGCAATTTGTCTGACAGCCAGTTTAGTGTAGTTACATACTCCGGCTGATCAGCACCCCCCAAGAAGAGCAAAACAAGCAGGTAGCCAGAGGGAAACAGCTTTTGCCCAGTCCTTGACGTAGCTAGGTAACCGATTCGCATTTGGTGTTACTCCGGAAACGGGCACTTGCAGCACCATGAGGTTGATAAGCCGGTTGCTCCGTCGTCACGGCCAAGCATCATCATCATCCCTTTGCTCCGCTTCCCGCGTTGCTGGCAAACCATTCACATCATCTTCACCTCGCTCGATTCTGCCCCGCATTTCCCTTTCCCTTGCTCTTTACCCCCGTGTACGGAAACTCGCGACTACTACTCCAACGTACAGCTCGCAGAACAAGATGTCAAAGCAGGAATTGCCCCTCTTCACCGAACTCACTGCCCCCAATGGCCTCAAGTGGACTCAGCCGTTGGGTGAGAGCTTGCCGAGACACTGATGATGTCTGTCCGAGTTGAAGCTTACGGATGTCCCAGGTCTCTTCATCAATAACGAATTCGTCAAATCCAAGTCTGGAGAGACGCTCAGCTCGACGAGTCCGATGTGAGTGAGGATCGATGTCGAGTCGATGATACATCGAGCTGACGATCGCGCCTCCAGTGACGACAAGGAGATAACCAGCGTGTACGCGGCTGACTCCACGGACGTCGGTGAAGCCGTCAAGGCTGCACGTGCTGCCTTCCAAAACCCCGAATGGTCCGACCTTGGTTCGCTGCACGGTGGTGGCCCCCTTCGATCGAGCTGGATTGACGATGTGCAGCGACTGCGGCCCGAGGTGCGCTCATGTTCAAACTTGCCGACCTTGTCGAGAAGAATCTCGACATTCTGGCTACTCTGGACACGTGGGACATGGGCAAACCTCTCTCGGTGACAAAGGCTGAGGATCTATCCGAGACTATCAGCTCGCTGAGGTAGGATTACCTGTATCCAGGCATCATGCAGGCTGCTGAACCAAGACAGATATTACGCTGGATGGGCGGACAAGATCAATGGTGCACCTAGTTGTCCCTTGGAGTTATTCCTGGTTTCCTAACCGGCTTCCAGGCAAGACGATCGATATTGGCCCGCAGAAGCTTGTATACGTCCTACAGCAGCCCATTGGTGTTTGGTGAGTATCCTTGCTTGCTCCTCGCTATAAATGTACTGATCCTCGAATGGTGGCACAGTGGACAGAGTACGTCCCGGATCTCTGGGAACCATTAATGATATATGCTGACCACTCCACGATCCAGTTATCCCATGGAACTACCCTCGTATGTGTCCCCCCCGTAGCCCCCCAGCAGCATTGTGTGCATAATCTGATCTTAACTCTGCAGTAATGGTGCGTCGCTCGCTGAATTTGCCTGTGCATGAGTACCTAATGCCTGCGCGTAGATGGCTGCCTGGAAACTCGGCCCAGCGTTGGCCACCGGAAATACTGTTGTCCTCAAGTCCGCAGAGCAGTCACCTCTCTCGGCTCTTTTCCTCGGAACGCTCATCAAGGAGGCTGGATTTCCACCTGGTGTGGTCAATATTCTCTCCGGATACGGAAAGACAGCCGGAGCTGCCATTGCATCCCATGAAGACATCGACAAGATTGCATTCACCGGGTCGACACTCACTGGTCGTGGTTAGTTGCTTACCTCAGAAACGGATAATGAGAAATACCCCGCGCTGAGAGACAATAGCAATCATGAAGGCAGCCTCCGTCAACCTCAAGAACATCACGATCGAGACGGGCGGCAAGAGCCCTCTGCTCATCTTTGAGGATGCTGACATCGAACAGGCCGTCAAGTGGGCACACATCGGAATTATGAGCAATTCCGGACAGGTCTGCTGTGCCACTTCGAGGATTCTGGTGCAGGAGAGCGTCTACGACGAGTTCATCAAGAAGCTTGTCGACTACACCACGACGACCTCGATTGTGGGAGATCCTTTTGACGACGATACCTCTCACGGCCCTCAAGTTTCCAAGCTGCAACACGAGAGAGTCATGTCGTACGTCAAGAAAGGAAAGGAGGAGGGAGCTGAGCTCGTTCTCGGTGGATCCACGCCCGGCGGCAACTTTGTGGCTCCAACCATCTTCAAGGATGTCAAGGTGGGATTCTCCCCACGATCTGCATGCCCACCCTTAGCACTGACGGGAATCCCCAGGATGATCACACCATCAGCAAGGACGAAGTCTTTGGACCCTTCGTCTGCATCGACAAATTCAAGACGCAAGCAGAAGCTATCAAGCGTGCCAATAATACTACCTATGGTCTCGGTGCTGCCGTATTCACCAAGGATATCACCAGAGCTCATGTGGTCGCCCAAAAGATCGAAGCCGGAATGGTGTGGATCAACAGGTATATATATCGTTCCGGCCTGCAGCGACGCAACCCCCAAACTGATCGAGTACCTGCAGTTCGAACGATTCACACTTCGCCGTGCCTTTCGGGTATTTCAATTAGGCCCCGCTTTTCTGTACGCTTCGCTAATCATCCGTAGTGGTGTGAAACAGTCTGGTATCGGAAGGGAGTGCGGAGAGTATGCTTTGGCTAATTACACTCATTCAAAAGCCGTCCATGGTAAGTGCTCCCTACCGGTCAGCGGCTAGCTTGTGGTCGTGCATTCTGACAGAGTTCCCCTGCAGTCAACCTTGGAAACATGCTTTAAACGGTAAGAGGTTTCGTCGAGGCGAGAGTGGGGGTGGGTTTGCTGGATCATGGGCTCTCGCCACGACATTGGTTGATCGGTAGTTGGTGGGTCTTGTCCAGCCTTGTCGACAAAGCAGGATTGTACCATGAGAGAAAACAAGGACATTGAACCTGATTGCCTGAGCGACTTTTAGCTGTAAAGATACCATGATGATATCCCCAACCTTGCCGGAGAGTGATAGACCATGCAACAGAGAAACCCATGTTCCACCACTATGCTTCACCCGTGCTCATGCCTCCATCCATGAAGCAGGCTAATCCCCCCGGCAATGCGGGCCGCCTATCATTATCGGAACAAAAGTCTGGCTTCACTTCACGGATGACATTCCCGCTGGGGAGTAGTGGGGGCTAAAGTTCTTCCGCGCCCGCCGCCACGCCGCACGTATGTACGTACAGGGAAGCCCCACCATAGCAGCAGCAGCAGCACTACCTCAGCACCACCACGGCCACCACCACGTACATAGAGCACATACAGTGTGTACACGACGACGGAAGATGATTTTAGAGTGCAAAATATAGAATTCTGTCGAGAAAGGGAGGGAATTGTAATAGATAGGGTTTTTTTTTTCGTTCGTCACATTCATTATAGTACTTACGGTCGATACTTAAGGTCTGCCATGGTACCTGCGTTGGTGTTTTTTTTCAACTGCGTAACTACGTTAGCGATCGTCCGGTTGTGTTTGCGTTTTTGATCTGATCTACCTAACTAGTCTAACTAGGACAGTCACATACACATAGGTGCATACAGACCGTACTTTGCGTCACTATCTACAGGCTACAGGCTACTTACCTGCTTGCATAGGTACAGCTCCATCACCAGCACACGGCCACGGACACTGCACGGGTCTCGGGACATTCATCAACGACATCAACGACTTCATCCCCTCCATCCCGACCAGCAGCAAGCAATCAAGCAAGCATATCACCTGACACCTCACACTGACCCCGCCCCCGCCCTCCCTGTCCATCGCAATGCCGGAAATCGAAACCCTCACGATCACGGCGCCGTACCTGCCGGTCGCCTGCGCGCTCGGCGAAGGTCCCTTCTACGAGGAAGACACGGACGTTTTGCGCTTCGTCGACATCATCCGGAAGGAGGTGCACAGCGTGTCGCTCGCCGCGGGGCCGGCCTCGCACAAGGTCGTTGTGCTCGAGGATAGTGTTGGGTCAGTCGTCACTCTCGGGATCGGCGTCCATGCGGGATCACTCGCTCGCTTGAGTATGGGGAACTGATATTGGGATTGTTGTGGTAGGATCACGGCCGACATCGATGGCCGCACTGACGAGTACATCGTTGCCGCGAAGTATGGCTTTGCCACGCTGCGCAGGGACACCGGCGAGTTGACGTATGTCAAGAAGGTGTACGAGGATGAGCCTGAGATGGCGGAGCGGATGAGGTGCGTTGTCGTTGCCATTGTTGTTGTCCCTTCATGTGAGACATCAAAGGCTGATGTTGGGGATTAAGGTTCAATGATGGCGCCGTCGACTCCCGCGGCCGCTTCTGGGCCGGATCTATGAACGAGTGAGTATGCCTGATGCGGGCGGGATGGCGGGAAGGAAGCGACCGTCGCTATTCCTCACACCCCCCTCCCCCGATCCCCACCCCCCCGCCCACCCCCTACGATTGACGGACTCGAGCTAATCTATATGCCTACGCTCTTTTTTGCTTTTTCTCCATCTCTCCAGCTTCCATGTCAAGAACCTACAAGCAGAAGGTCAGTAAAAGAAACCAAAAAAAAACCAGCGCGGGTCCGTCCGGCTAGCTTCGAACCGAAACTTTGTGCCGACCCTCTACGAGGACTAAGGATGGCGAAGGACGAAGAATGGCGGATGGTGAGAGGACGGGGGGTGGGGAGTGGGGAGAGGAGAGAGGAGAATTGGGCTGATGCGCATGCAAAAAAAACAAAAAGGTTGTGTCTTCCGCTTGGACCCCGATATGACGCTGCACAGGATGATCGAGGACGTATCGATTCCGAACGGAATGGGATGTAAGAAATGAGCCACCCCCCGAATGATTGATCACACACACCCCCAGCCCAGCTTTCCTTACTCTACTCGTGCACGCACTCTCACTCTGAATAGCCCAGCCCCTAGAGGGAGGGGGGAGGGGGTGGTGGGGAGATGGGAGAGAGCGTAGCAGGGTGAAAAGATGGCTGACATTCCCATCACGGCCACCGTAGGGAGTCCGGACGACAAGACGATGTACTTCACGGACTCTCCGTCGCGGGGGATCTACGCGTACGACTACGACTCGCCCACGGGGGCGCTCAGCAACCGGCGGGTATTCTTCCAGCTCGCCGCGGACGAGCCCGGTGTTCTCGACGGCTGCACCATCGACACCGACGGGAACCTGTGGACTGCTGTCCACGAGGGTAGCAGGATCCTGAAACTCTCGCCGCAGGGTGAGGTGCTGGCGCACGTCACTATGCCCGCTTGGAAGATCACCTGTCCTGCCTTCGGCGGTAGGGACTTGGATATAATCTTTGTTACCACTGCGGGCGTGGACGACGGTGAGGAGACGCCAGAGGGATCGGGACATCACGGTGCCGTCTTTCAAATCAAGGCGGGGGCTAAGGGTGCAAGGTCGAACAAGTTTGGTGCGTTCTAAAGGAGGAAGAGGAAGAGGAGGAGGATGAGGAGGATGAGGAGGATGAGGAGAAGGGGGAGAACGAGGAGGGGAGCGGTGCGGATGGGAAGCACGCGATATTAGAGGTCATCAAGCAGACCACGGATGTTGACGGATGGTAGTTTCTAGCGAGATTTGGAGGGGTGGGGATGTTTATTGTTTGTTTGTTTGTTGGACTGGTCAGATGTTTACACACGAGGGTGGGGGTGGAGATGTTTATTATTTCGCGCACGGGGGTTGGGCAAGTATTTCCGGGCCCAACATTCAACTTTGGGCTATGGTATGGTCTGCTTGATTGCTGGTTGCTGGGATGGCTTTTAGACTTATACACACATACCGTACCCAAGTACCCGTATAGAGAAGTGGTGGTGCTGGTCACTGGTGGGGCAGGCGTCAAACATAGAGTACGCAAGTCATAGATGCATACGCAGGCCGCTTAACCCCCGAGCCTCTCGAGTCTCGAGTCTCCAGAACTTTTACAACAGCTAGCCACCTTACATATGTAGCGGTGAAGGTTCGCGAAAAGAGGGGAAGCCAGAGCCAGAACTGTAGGTGCGTGACGTCTCGGTTCGGATTTAGGGCCAGTCAGCCAGTCGGTCAGTCGGTCTGGCGTCTGTGGTCTGGATCCTGGAGCTCGGTCTGGATCCCAATGGGAGCGCGGAGAGAAGCCGCCCGGAATTCGTTTCTTCTTTTGGACTTTTGGTTGGGAGTGGGGGGTTCCAAGCTCTAGGTTCCAAGTTCCAGGTCAAACGAAGCTCTGCCCTGCCGCAGCCGTCTTCTTCTTCTTCTTCTTCTTCTTCGAGAAGAACACACGTTTTTTTTCCACTTTTACTTGCTGTTATTTTTGTTTTGGTTGGATTGGCGACGACACCTACCGCATGCGCGCTTAATTTCCGCTCCACTGTAGAGGAGAGGATGTAGAGTACGGAAATAGTCGCGACGGTAGGTGGTATGGACGGTAGGTGGGAGGCCGGTGACGGAACGGATGGTGGGCACGAAATGAGCATCTGTTTACCGACTTGTTTGCCTGCTGGCTGGCTTGCCAAGAAGGGTGATGAGGAGTGGAGGAGGAGAAGGAGACGGCTCGTCCATGTAAATACCTAGGACCCGGTTACGAAACGAGTCGACTCGGCGTGGGGTGAGGCAGCTGCTTGCTCGCTCTCTCTCTCTCTCTCTCTCTCTCTCTCTCTCTCTCTCTCTCTCTCTCTCTCTCTCTCGAAGAGGACGTCCATCCCTCTCTCTCTCTCTCTCTCTCCTTGGCGACGACGACGGTGCGACTGAGCTGAGCCACACCCCTCCCTCACCTTCCCGGTCCCTCGTCCCCGCCCACCGTCCCGAGGACCTGTATCTGGATCCAATCTGCATCATCCATCCATCCACCCCTCACACGTTTTTCATATCTTTCCGTTCTGGTTCTGTTCACACATACACCCATCTACATAGAGTAAAAAAGTATTCCTTCCATCCCGAACTCCTCCGTCCCTCCTTCCCCTCAATCCAGCTGCGGGAAGAACTGTTACTCTACATAGAGTAGAGTAGAGTATCTAGAGTACAGAACCCATCGTATCGGATGAAGCCTGAAGGAAGTCCAAAAAAAAAAGTAAAAAGAAAAGAAAAGTGAAAGAAAAGTAAACCCCAAAAAAGAAAAAGAGAGGGAAAAAACACTTGAACTGCACAGCACTGCACTACACTGCAGCCTCCAGCTTCCAGCCGTAGCTGAAGAATGCACTCCGCGTCGGCAAACTCAAGTGCAGTGATGGTGCAGTGATGTAGCGACTCGCTCTTTCGCGAGGGAGGGATGAAGGGCAAAGAAAGAGTCCGCATGCCGCAGACCGCAGGCGACCCGGATCAGACTGACTGGACCGATAGCCAGCCAGCCAGCTACACAACCTCCACAACCTACCTACGCACATATTTATGTACAGACCGCACGCGCCTTGCAAGTTGCAGGGGCGCTGTGGGGACCTGGGGAGAGGCTGCGCTCACTGCACACCCTCCTTCTCTTCCCTTCCCAACGCCGACGAATGCCGGCGCCGGCCCCGGCGCTGGCGATGTTCCCACTGTTCCCACCCAAATCCCACCCAGTGCTGCGGGTTGCTGGCGTGTTTCTGTGTGTCTCTGTGTGTGTGTGTGTGTGTGTGTGTGTGTGTGTGTGTGACACAGAGACACACTGACAACCTCGTGTCGAAGTGGGAGTGCAGGGGTCTTGCGATGGTGATGGTGATGAAGTATCTACACAGGCAGAGTACTTACTTGCTCTACTTTCTTAGCCACGGTACCGACCTCATAGTTATGGCACTCATGGCCGCGAGCGGGCAGGCGAGAGCGCGCTGCCGCTTCCACTTCCACTTCCTTCACCTCTCCTTCCCAAACAAGCAAATGCCTAGAAAGAAAGAAAGAAAGAAAGAAAGAAAGAAAGAAAGAGAAAGAAAAAGGAACAATTACCGACGTAAGTCGTACTCTACAGTGTATCTAGAGTACCCATTCTCCATTCAGTCGCTTCTTTCCTAGCTCCCCATCCCCCTCCCCCAGTGCCCCCAGTCCCGAGACCACAGACTGGCCGAGCGGTGGGGGGATCCCATGCCATCGTTCCTTGCTTGCCCGCTGGAGCCTGGGATTCCGTCGGTGGATGGTCGGGAAACGATGCTCTCTCTCTCTCTCTCTCGGAGAGTGAGTGAGTGTATAGTAGAGTAAACGCGAGAAAGAACAAGAGAGTTAGAGGACTGGGGAGGAGGAGGCGGAAGTGAGGAAGTGAGAAGGGAGGAAAATCCAACAGCTCAATTTGCGCGGCCATGGACCTGGCGGGGGGGAGGGAGGGTGGGGCACTATAGTATATTGCTGGCTGTGCTTGGTGCTGCTGCTGCGTGATGTCGACCGGGATGGAATGGGAGGGGAGGGGTGCGAGGTGATGGTGATGGGGAATGCATCGAGGCATCTATGCTATACTCCAGCAGAATGGCGTGTATGTATGTATGTACAATACATAGAGCACCTACTCTGCCACACTCCCTGGCTGGCCGATGATGATGACGATGACAGATAGAGTATGTAGAGTGCATGTACTCTACCCTACCCGCATGCCGATGGAACGGCATGACATATATGGGGGGCCAGTCGTCGGGCGCGGCTTCCCAACTAGTTACTCTAGATCCGGCCAGAGAAGGGTGATGGATATATGTGCTTAGCAGGTACCTCCGGTATATGGACTCCCCCCGTATGGAGGTATGAAGGGGAAGGCGGAAGGAGCGAGTGTCTTTTACCCGACGGTAAACTCCAACACACGTAGATATCCACACTACGGTCCCGGCTCGAGTGCCGTATCGTATCGTATCGTGGAGGCCCTCGCGAGCGCCGGAATCGAGCAATGGTTTGGGCCACCACCACCCGCCAGGTCCTGCCTGCCTGCCTGATGACTCTGCGGTCCCGAAGGTCCCGAGTAGGAAGCTTCTTCTTTCGCCGCCTGGTATGTATAGCCATCCACTTACTTACCCACTGGGTATAGGTACCCGCAACGATATGAGATGAAACCGTGCGCCCTCGGTACATACTTACATACGGTCATGGAAAGCTTCTTTCACCGCCCGGTATGGTCGACTATGTACCCGCAACGATACGAGATGAAACCGTGCGCTCTTGGTAGGTGGATGGCCGCGACATACCCGTTGACCCCCCCCCCCCCCTCCCTCCCTCCCTCCCTTCCCCAGATGGTAGGGTAGGGTACATATGGTACTCCGGCTTGATTCTCCCCGAAGCTCGAGTCAGGCCTGAGTGGTAATCTTGACTCTCTCTCTCTCTCTCTTTCTGGAATGCGAGGCCGGCCATCTGGCGGGGTGCAAGTTGGAGTGCTCATCTCTCATCTCTCGTCCCGAGAGAGCAAGAGTGAGAGCGAGAGTGAGAGTGATAGGGCACGAAACTCCAAACAAGTGCCTGCCCCCTCCGTCCCCTCCGTATAGTGTCTGGAACCTAGCCCCAAAACCATCATTCTGCGAATCGTCAGAGCAAGGGCAAAGCCTGGGGACGCCTCTCTTTCTCTCTCTCTCTCGTCGTCTCCCCTCCTCCCCCTTCCCCTCCCTCCCCTCCCTCCCCTCCCTCCACTCCCTCCCAAAGAGGCCATTCAAGAAGTCGGCTAGGCCACTTCCTTCCTCGCTCGCACGCTCGCTCCCTACTGGATACACACCTACAGTCCGACTTGGGCTGTCCGTGTCCATGTCCATGTCCATGGCCGTGGCCGTGGCCGTGGCCGTGGCCGTGGCCATGAACGATGCCTTCATTGGAGAAGGTGCCAAACCAAAGGAACGCACCCACGCACATAACTATAGACATAGTACGTGCAGATCCCCGCCCCCCCCGCCGTTCCAGCGACTTGGCGGGAAAGGAACCAGTTACCACCACGTCGCCCTGTGCAGTATGTACGGTCTAGTATCGTTGTAGAAAGTAGAGGAGAGCTGGCTGCCTGCGCCTGCGGCCTGAGATGTGTTGTCCGTGTATAGTATATGGTAGTAGCATAGGTAGCATAGCATAGCGAAGGCAGGCAGGCAGGCGGATACGCGGCGGCCGCCGCCCCGAACCGTTGCCGTCGCTGCGAAGCCGCTTACGTGCCGCATACCCGCCCCCTCTTGATCACTTGCATCGCCGCCGCTGCTGTCATCGCCGTGGTCGTGGTCGTGGTCGTGGTCGTGGTCGTGGTCGTGGTCGGCCGTCGAGGAAGGTTGACGGTGCGAAGAGTTGCTTATCGTGAGAACAAGCTTTGGGCGAGTCTGGAGGCCGTCCACCGGTGGTGGGTTTGTTCCGCTAGCTGGCTGGCTGGCTGGCTAACTAGTGAGGAAGCTCTGCTTGGGGCTGTTCTTCACCCCGTCCCACATCTAGAGTACCTGCTAGTATGGTAGCGCTCGTTCGAAGCGGAGGAAAACTCTGGGCCAAAGGGAAGGAGGAACATGGGCATGGACATGGGCGTGGGCATGGGCAGGGCGAAGCGGCGGTGGTGGTCGACATTGCGTCCCGGCCCGCTCTTTCGTTGCCACGCCGCCACTAGATACCACCCGTGCAACACCGGCCTCCCCTTCCTCTCATGTCCCCCAGTAGAGTATCCCCTCTCCCCCCGATGGAGGTTAGCGAATCCCTTTTCTTTCTTTCGAGAAGGCAGGTTCAAAGACGAAATCGCCGTGGATCACACACACATCCCGGCGGATTGTGGAGAAAGCGAGCCAGAGCATCAAGGACAGGCGAGCTCTGGGCCTGCGGTGACACCGTTTCTGTCACTCCGTCGAAGGAAGGAAGGAAGGACAGGAATGGCAGGGAAGTCTAGGCCTGGCGGGAAGGATTCCAACCGCTCCGCTCCGCAGTGGATAAGTTTTCATCCGTAGCTTCCAGCTTCCTACTCCACGGGCTCGAGAGCAGAGTCTGCTGTTCACAAAGGGCTGGGGGTTTTGTCCTTCAACCTTGGAGGGTGGGGCAGGGCAGTGCTGCGTAACCTAGCTCTTCCCCACAGTTCTAGTCCTCTGGCTGTTTTGCAGACCAGACGGCGCTTTTGCCAACACCCCTTCAGAGTCCAAGCCGGAGACGGAATTGAGAGCACACACACACAGAGAGAGAGAAGAAAGGTAGAGGTATCAGTTGATCGTCTACCTACCGTATTCTGTAGAGGATGATGGAGAAAGAAGAAGAAAAGAAGAAGACGAAGAAGCCCCACGTGGTCGACCCCGCCATGCCCGCCAACGTTGATGCCCACTATAGCACTAACCACATCCGTTTCCTCCCGCCGGCAGGAGGTCCTCATCTCGCTCGGCCACACCGCGAGTGAGTGCAGCTAGGTATGATCCCGAGGTACGTAGGCACGATAGTAGTGTTCCCCCCGTTATGCTCTCGAGTGCAGTGCCGGTCGTCCATGTGATGGACGGCTGCTCCGGGGCTCGAAAGTGGGGGGCCGCCGGGGCCGCCGGGGGAGAGGTGGAGCCTGGGGGAGAGCCGTTGTCGAGTGATGGACAGTGCGGACGGCGTGCCATATAGAGTGTGTACTATATAGGTAGCACAGGGTAGGTAGAGTACCAGGTACTCTACGTAACATACATACTCCAGATATTCCGCACACCTTGAACCCCCCCCTCTTCCTCCTCCAAGTTCTAACCGTACACGTCTTCACGCTTCGGTTCCCTCTCGCCGCTCGAAGCATTACCCGTGTGGGACCGTATGTGTGTAGACCAGACCAGACCGAAACCAGACCGGACCAGACCAGACCAAGACCAGACCGGATCCCTGGAAATTCCGTGCGGGATCATGGATTCATGGATTCATGGATGCAGCAACAACGTGGGAGGAGGTGGGAGCGGTTCGGCAACAGGTTGTGTAGAGTATGATACATGGAGTAGGGTATGGTAGAGTAGAGTAGGTAGAATAGTTCAGCAGTAGCAGCAGCACATAGCAGCGCCAGAAGCGACGATGGTTTTTTTTTATGTAATCCCGAAGTCGGAAGAACCCGTGACGAAGCTGAGGCTAGTTGTTTTGCGGATGTGGATGTGGATGCGGATGCGGACGATGTTGGCTCATCGCGACGGACAGGGAAGCTAATAGATGTTGTTTTGTGTTTTGCGTATTCCTTCGGCACTCCGTGTGGTTACTACCTATGGTAGATATAGGTAGAGCAGGAATGTACCTACGATAAGCCCACTATTCTGCCGGTGTGGTTGCAGGTGCGGGCGGACTACGACAGCGACGACGATGAACCAACGAAAGTTACGAAACCAACGGAACCAACGAACCAACGAAAGCGTGAGGAACCGACTCCGCCCCCGCCCCCCGCCCGCGCAAAGACGAGGACGAAGACGGTTGTTTACTCACCACCCGCCGCCCCACCGCTCACTCACGACGGAGAAGAGTGCCGATGTGACCGGGCATCTTGCCGTCCACCACATCGCGTGTGTGAGTGTGTATGCATGTATGAGGTAGGTACTCTACTGTACTCTACTATATAGCAGGTATATCTAGCAGGCACCATAGGCACTCCATCGTCATCCGTGCTCCAGGCCCGACCCGACCCGTATCTCCGGGTCAACGCACGCACGCGGTTAACTATCTGCCTGTTCCCAGTGGTCACAGCTCAGCAACGGACGCCAGCCAGCCATCCAGCCAGCGGGCGGGTCGTTTAAGCGGACGGGCGGGCGAGACCCTTTGCCCTGCCTCGACCTCGACCTCGACCTTTCGCTACAAAGATAACGGTAGATATCGATTCCCTGCTGGCGGCTGAGGATGCAGCCGGCTCACTGGCTGGGCATGGATCGAAAGGTGCCGCACATCCTCCTCCCCTCGACGGTACGGTGCGGTGCGGTACGGTCTTGGACAGCTGTGATGGATGTCGACTCGCCGGTCGGAGATGCACTGGCCACAAAGTACGGTGCAGTACGGCACAGGACGGTACATCACAGTACGGAAGGTATCATACCACACTCCGCTCGACGCCAACTGACGGCGGGAGGATTCATCATTCGCTCCCCTCCCTCCCCTCGCTCCCTTCCTCTCCCCTCCCCTCCCGTCCTGGTTGCACGCATGATGTCTCGGTACGGATCCCCCGCGTCCAGAAGTCGTCGACACAGTCGCATTATTCTGTCGATGCTCCGACACCCTGATTGCTTGCGTGTGCAGCTGCGGAGCCGGGGCGGGGAATCATTCGACGCCGGCCTATGAAGCGACTCCGCTGTGAGTCTAGGAATAAGTTGACTACATGGAAGTGTGCGTAGGAATGATTTCTCTCCCTCCCCTCGCACCCATCCCCCCGCTCCGCAAGTAAGCAAGCAAGCAAGTGATGATGCAGTAGTTGGTCGGTTATAGTAGTTAGCAGCCCTTTGGGGGGGCTGCTGCCGTCACATGAGCGAGCGTCCATGCGCCCTCCATGCAAAACAGACCGGCATAGCATCTAGAGCAGACGCATGTGCATGTGCGATGTCGGATGTGTCGCGGCGCGAGACTCTGGTTGGAAGACCTTCTTCTGACCGACAGGCAGACCGGCAGACCGACGCACATGTGCATTTCCCGTCAGCGAATGGGGGTACGAGACTCTAGAGACTACATGCCGCTGCCGCAGCAACATCACGTCGGATCACCACCGACCATCGGATCACCACCTCCTATCAGATCACCACCACCGCCTCCACCACCACTACCGCCGCCTCCACCTGCTTCCATTGCTACCGCCTCCACCTCCACCACCACCTCCATCGCTGCACCTCCTCCTCCTCCATCTCCTCCGCATCGACCGCACTCGCTCAGCATGGCGACACGGCGCAAAACAAACACGGCCAACCGGAACAAAACAAAAAAATAAAATAAGATTTGGGCGGGCGACCCAAGGCGGAAGAAGGGAAAAAAACAAAAACAAAAACAAAAACAAAAACAAAAACAAAAACAAAAACAAAAACAAACAAACAGAAACACAAACCAGCAATTCTGTTGGCGTCATGCTCTGGGTGGAGCAAGTAGAGTAACCACTCTACATTGATACTCTACATGCTCTACCTACTCTACTAAACTGACCAGGTAGTGGTTACTGCGCAGGGTTTCCTCGGGACCGGGTGTGCGCAGAGTTGGTCCTCAGTCCTGGGCTCGCTTTCCCTTCCAACGCCAAAGCTCTGGGAGTTGGGAGCGACGAAAGTGCAAGCCACAGCATTCCGGTGGAACTCGCACCACCACTACATATCACCACTACACACCACCACCACCTCCACCACCACCTCCACCACCGTCCAACCCTTCCATCATCGTGGCCAGTGAAACCAATTCTCTCCTTCCCCCCTTCCCCCCACCCACCTCCACCACCACCGCGGATGTCCCAAACCAAGTACAAATCTACCGGTCACCTACCGCCGCGGTGTATCGCGCACGTTTGTGGAGTTGGTCCGCCATCGGTCACCGGGATAGCGGGAGGGGGATGCCTGCACGAGCGAGTATGTACATAGAGTAGGTAGAGTAGAGTAGTCCTACCTACCACACTCTCGCTTCACATCATAGGTACTCTACTAGGTAGTTCGTTAGTAGATAATGTCAGAACCACCACCACCCCTCCCCCTCCCCATGGCCCTCCGTCTTGCTTGCTTTCTTTCTTGCCCGTTGCTTGCGGAGTTTCTTCGCACGGGTCTGGGAATCGCGGGACACACACACACACACGCACACACACACACACACGCACACACACACACACGCACACACGTACGTACTCTACATGACTACGAGGTTTTTCGGGCTGCCACTCCTGTGTATGTATGGATAGAGTATGGATGTGCATACTTACAGCATCCGTTCGTTTCAATTTTCAAGCGGACACGGACAACGTCGATGCAGGCCCCGCATGGAGTGGAGGATACTCTATCACTGCAGCCGATCACGATCGCCCCCGGACACGCTTCTTGTGCTTCTTTTTCTTGTTCTTTTTTCTTGGGGTTCTTCTTCATCTTCATTTTCTTCGGCTTCTTCGAGTCGTTGTCGTTGTCGTTCTGTTTCTGTTTCTGTTTCTGTTTCTGTTTCTGTTTCTGTTTCTGTTTCTCCTCCTTCTCCTCCACCTCGCTCTTCCTCTTCCTCTTCCTCATCTTCCTCGTCTTCCCCGTCTTCCTCTTCCTCGTTTTCCTCGTCTTGCTCCTCTTGCTCCGGCTCCTCTTCCTCCTCATCGTCATAGACGCTGCTAACAGCTAACTAGCAGTTCCATAGTCGCAACCGATTAGCTACCCAGTTATCCAGCTACTCTAGTTGCTCGGTTGCCCTTGCCCTTGCGTCGTGTGGGCTGTAAGCTGTGGCCTTTGCTGCCTCATACACCGCCAGCCCAGCCAGCCAGCCCAACCCGCCCATTCGCTTATGTAGGTAGCCACCAGCTTCCAAGTAGTGGACCGGACCGGACTGTGGGTCAGGTCAAGACTCAAGACTCAAGACTCAAGCATCATCATACTCTACTCTAGCATAGTCACACTTTTATTTTTTTCTTCGTCGGGCGGCGGCGGGGGTCCTACTAGTGGACTCCTGGGTAGTTCGGTGGCTCATCCTCCGGATGGCGCAAGAATTCAGGGTCGGGGTCGCGGTGGATGGGGTTGATGGAGGGCGCGGGGGGGAAGGGAGGGGGAGGGGAGGGTTACGGTTGTGGTACTCTAGTTAGGCCCGCAGAGAAAGCGAAGCAGAAAAGAACGAAAGAAAGAAAAAAGTCCTGGCGGTAATCGGCGCGGGTCTCATGGCTGGTCTCATGGGGCTGGTCTCCTGGGCTGGTCTCATGGCCCATTTGTTCGGCTGGGACATTACGCACATAGCATAGCATGGCATACCTGCTCTAGCAAGGCTGGCTGGCTGTACATAGAAGCCTGAAGGCAAGCAATGACAACAGACAGGTACATACATGTACATGTACATGTACATACTACATGTAGACTACATGTATACTACGGTGTGTAGACTACACATACTATGGCATGTATGTACCAGGTACATGCAGGGCGTGGGCAAGAAGGGCAAGGGCAGCAGAGCAGAGCAGGTCAGGGCCCCCATCCCCCATCTCGTCACTCACTCCTCACTCCTCATCCGCAAGAGCAAGTGTTGCATGTCGTCAACTTGGGCAGCCGGTGTACAAGTACAAGTACACAGTAAGTACTTGCTGGCTTAGTACTACATATGTACTTGACTGGTACTTAGTTGGCTCGCGCAGGACAACAGCTTGTGTATACTTGTACATACATGTACAAAGTACTTAGGTACATGGCCGCGTTGGACCTGCTGGATGCGAAGCCGTACATACGGTAGGTACTCCAGGTACTCCAGGTACTCGACAGGTACTACTTACCTAGGTTGGGTACTTGGGGTGGTAAGTAGAGTACTCTAGGTAGAGAGTACTTGGGGTGGCATGTCCTGTCTGGCCCTGGTCCTGGTCCTGGTATGGCATGTCCGACAGTCCGACAAGGCGGTAGATACTATGACGGATGTGTGGGGATCCTGTATTCGGAGGCAGGCGGGCAGGCGGGTAGGCGGGCAGGCGGGCAGGCGGGCAGGCGGGCAGGCGGGCAGGCGGGCAGGTCATATGTAGGCAGGTAGGTAGGCTCTGCCGAAGCGCTTCTTCTACTTCTTCTCCATGTGCTCTTTCGACCGTAGGGAGGAGGGGCGGGCGGCGTGCGGTGTCGAGGAAGGGTTACTGAGAGGAGGATCGAAAATGCGGGATGAGCAGGAGGAGGAGATGTCCAGGTTGTGTCCAGACCGTGTCCTAGCAGATATGTAAGCAGATGTCCAAGCAGATGTCCAAGCAGATGGGAGTGATTGAATGGGTGATTGAATGGGTGATTGGGTGATTGGATGTGTGATTGAGCGAGTGAGCGAGTGAATGGATGATTGAATGAGCGAGTGAGTGGTGATTGAGTGAGTGAATGGATGTGTGTGTGACTGAACGGGTGAGTGAGCGAGCGAATAAGCGAATGAGTGACCGACTGCCACTCATCTCCACTCGGTCCGCACCGCTCCAGTGCCGCCGCCGTCGTAGGCGAACCTGGGCCCGAACAACGTTCCTGCAGAGTGGTCCCTACCTACCTGTTTCCTGACGACTATCCTACTCCCTACCTACCAGTTACTACCAAGTACTTAATTGACTAAGTGCCCCTAGTAGTTAAACGGACGCGCGCAGAACCGGAGGGATACCTTAACAACGGGTCTAGGGTACTCACTTATTTACGCTCTTGTGATAGTTTCGTCCACCACCGCCGCCGTACCAGAGCTTTGTCACGCCAACCCCCGTTGAGAAAGTAATAGCCCCCAAATTCCCATTGGATCCACAACCCGGGGGCGCTCTCTGGTCGCACGTTAACCGTACCAGAGCACTAAACGACGACAAAGCCAGGCAGAGCACTATCGGGTAGTTACCGCTATTTCTTTGGGGGGTGTGGGCAATGGACGATCCTTGCTTGTTCCCAAGCGGAGCCACAACTGGCTAGGTAGTTGAATGGGTAAGTTAAGTGAGTCGGTAGGCAGGTAACTACTACTCTACCTATGTCTTTTCAAGAGGTAATTGGGACCCGACCACCATCCACTTTGACTCTTCCCATCTCGCGTCTCGCTCATGCTCATCGGAGACACAGCTCTCAGTCTCAGCGAGCCACTAAATAGAGCAAAACCGCACAGTTGACTCTCACTAGTGGGTCTACTGTTTTTTTGACATCAACACCACCACCACCACCACCACCAGCAACCTCCGACCTCCCGCGACCAACCAACCAAACATCCCTCCCCCCCTCCCCCCGACTCCCGAAGTCCACCATAGTCACAATCATACCTGAGCTAGTCAGTAAGACTGGACTTTCTCTCCTCCCAGTCGTATCGATACTGGGCTCTCTGCTTCCACCACCTCCACCTCCACCACCTTCACCTTTCATCCCCCCCGGGCCTGCCAATAACCCCCAACCCGCCGCACATACCTCTGTCTTAACTGCCCGCCTCCCCACCCCCCCTCCACTCACACCCACCCCCCCCCCCACCACACACCACCACCATCACTTCTTCAACCGCTGAGTGCTCATCTAACTACCTACTCGTCCTCCTGCCTACTTACTCACTTACTTACTTACCATCCCTCACACACACTCACACACACATACCCCACCCCACCCAACCCAACCCACCCCCAGTCATCAAGGACGTATATCCCTTTCATGAATGCAATGCTTTACGGGCTCTCCTCGGATTGCGGGTAATACTTCAAGAGTGCCTGTCAATACTTCCCTCTGAGATTTGCTGCAACACACACACCCATCCACATCCGCCCGGTCCTTGCAATTGCATATAACAATATCTGCTGCTGCTGCTGCTGCTGCTGCCAGTCTTGCTTACGATTTTTTCCTGCGAGTTGCTCTTTCTGGCGGACTCCGGTTACGACCGTCATCTCATTGGTCCCGTTGCACACCCCGTTGCAAATATCTGCAAATACCTCACATTGGCTTGCATAACTGTGGAGGTGCATCCGCCTCTGCTTCCCACGCCATCATACTTCGGGCGTCGGGAGGAAGAGGGTCGATGTGCTGTTCTTCGGGTACGGGGCTCCTCCATGTCGCAGAATATATCTGCTGCACGGGATTCGAAATCACCTCCGCGCGATCATGACTCGGAACAGCGACTCCAACGACCGCAGCAACAGCAGCAGCAGCAGACATATCACGAACATCCACCCACAACTACGGCCAGCACCGCCGTATCGTCAACTAGCACATCTTTTACATCACAAACCTCGGAAGCATCCGGGCCTTCGGCCGTGGTAGGGAGCCCCGTTGCCAGACCGCGAGGTGGAGCGCTCGATGTCAGCGCAATCCTCAATTCCCCGCCTCCGCAGCTGCGGCGGCAGCAGCAGCAGCACCAAAGGCCACGCGTATCTCCTTATGATGCTTCCCGCCGCCCGAGCCTGGCGAATATCAACTCGCCTCAATCGCCCCAGGCCCTAGGCCGGCTCGGGTCCGTTCTGCAGTCACGGCCGCCGTCACCGATCGAGGTGGGCCCCAGCAGCAGACGGACTCCCACCGCTCAGTTGCCCGGTCCCGGTCAGATGCGGAGACATGCCGGAAGGAACAGTATGACAGGCGTTCTTAGTGCGCAGGATCACCCTTTCCCGCTCATGTCTCCGCCGCGGGGTTCACCATCGTTTCACCCCGCGAGCCGTTTGGGCGCGCCGAGCACTCCACCTGCATCTCTCCAGCCTCCACATCTGCCACCCGCTCCCCCTCCGCCTACACATCACCACCTCCAACAGCAGCAGCCGAACCAACAGCAAACGGCGCCTGCTCATAACCAGCCGTTTTCGGGAGGTGACGCGTATACGCATGCTCCCGGATATGGGATCGGAACCCCACACTCTTCGGCAGATGCCAGTCCACGGTCCTTCTCGGCCTATACGACTGCGTATTCACCGTATAATCACGCATCCTCGTTTGTCGGTGGATACCAACCCGCGATCCAAGACCAACATGGCTCGCTCTACGCCATACCGTTGGGTTCGCACCACGGCAGCGGTCAGGTAACGCTCAACACTCCCGACGGTCCCATCATCGCGCCGTACGACACCACCTCAGGCTCGCTGGCTCAGCACGAAAAGAGGAAGAAGAACGCCAGCGCGTCTTCGAGGTTTCGGAAAAGGAAGAAGGAGAAGGAGATTGAGAACACACGACGCATGGAAGAGCTCGAACACAACCTCAAAAAGATGGAGGAGGAGCGGGATTTCTACCGCAATCAACGGGATTACCTGCGTGGCATCATCGTGCATGCACAGCAAAACAGGGGACAGCTACCGCCACTACCACCGGGGCTATTCGACGCGATGGAGCGGAGAGACCTGGCTGGACAGGAAGAAGCGGAAGGTCAAGCACGCGGAGATGTCGGAGGAGGGGTGGGGGGATCGGGATCGGGAGGCGGAGGAGGAAACGGTGGAGGGGGGATGGGTCTTCCGGCCATAGCAAATCAGGCACTCGGGGCTCAGGGACTGCCAGGAATCGGGGGGAACGGGCAAATACGCCCACAGAGTCCACGGACCGGAAACTTTAGCGGAACACTGCCGGAGATGCAGCATCAACAACCGCAGCCGCAACAACTCCAGCAACATGCTCAGCAGGAGCACCAGCAGCATCAACAACCACACCAACATCAGCAGCAGCCACAACAGCAACAGCAGCAGCAACCACAGCAACAACAACACCAGCTTCCTCAACCGCAACCACAGCAACACTACCAACAGCTTCCATCCCATCTGCCTGGACAGCTGCAGCAGCCACCACCGCTACCGCCACCACCACCGCCACCACCACCACAACTTGAGCCGCAGGCTCCAGCCCGCAGAGGACGTGGGCGCGGACGTGGCGTGAGAGGGCGGGGCCTATAAAGCCCATTAACAATGTTAATATCGATACCCAATTCCCTTTGTCTTGTACGCTATACGTCTATATTGTCACGGTGTACGTGTGCCTTATTTTCAGCCGGCCACTTCACTCATTTCCATTTCCTTTGTCACATCTCTTTTGTCCACATTTTTTTTTGGATCTGGCGTGGGTTCATTGTATGTTGGGAGGTGGGGAGGGGGGGAGGTGTATTTCGTTTTACAATGTTTGTCGTTTTCCGGCTCTTAGATGGGGGCATGTAGCAATACTCGCGCGTTTTGGGAGGGGGATCTATCGCAATTGGGAAAGGAGGGGGGAAGGGGGGCATTTTGATTTTTCTTTTTGCTGGATGGATGTCTGTACTGTGATTTTGGGGGGTTTTGCACGGGGGTGGGAGGGGGGGGGGGGGGGGGGGGTAGGTAGGGGGATCAAATTGGCTGCTTTTTTTTTCTTTCCCTTTGTTTGGTCCATGTCTGGCTGTCTACCTACGCATCTCTGCTCTCATCGTGGCTTTCTCGGCATATTTGTTTCCTCCTTTCTTTCTTTTTTGTCTCTCTTCGGCACGTTGTTGATACAGCATAGTTGCTTTGTGGTGGTGCATTTACCGGCATTGTCATTTATCTATTTGGTCCTGTCCTGCCCTGTCCTGTCTTCAGCTATCATACGGAGAGGCGTTTGAGTTTTATTTTTATTTTCGTTGTTATTTTCTTTTCTTTTATTCTCCTTTTCTCATTTGTTTCATTGCAGTTTGTAGGTAGGACGATCGGAAGGGAGGGGGGGGGGGCACAGAGTAGATATGACTTCTTCTCGCCAATCCACGGCTGTCCGAGGGCCAGGACCAGAACCAGAACCACGCGCTCGGGGCGCTGGTGTGGTGTGGCTAGTGGTGCGAGTGCGAGGCACTCTTGGATCGGCGAGTGGCTACATATCAACTATCATAGGTAGTAGAGACATCAAGAGTATCTACTTTGCTACAGACTCTACATACTAGTACACTCCGTTCGATCGAGGTTGCAACTTGCAAGCCTAAAGGGCTCCGGGGATCGAATCCTTTTGGTTTTTTGTTCTTTCTTCCGGTCCGTTTAGAGTATGTGCCTACTCTTCGAGCACTTCTAACATCCATCCATCCATCTATCGAACGGCGACATCGCCCTCCGGATACCGTAGAGGACGCCGTGTACGCCGTGTATGTAGAGTAACTAGAGCACAGTTCCGGTAGTTAAGCAAGTATGCACCCCACCATTCCCTCACGTAGCACATACATGCATACACACATACATACGGTAGAGCATATAGAGTAGAGTACGGTAGGTTATCCGCGTGCTGCATGCGACGAGCAGCGTGCGACGGGCCACGGGCGACAGGCGACGGGCGTCGTGTTTCGCTTTCGTGTCCGCATCCACTGCACCCACACCCACACCTAGAGTTTGTACACCCTGCTTGCTTGCTCGCTCGCTCCAAACCGAGGGCTTGGTTTTATAGCCACATTGGTGGTGGGGGGGGGGGGGGGGGGGGGGGGGGGGGGGGGGGGGTTTATTTGCTGTATTTGCTTTTTCTTCGGGTTTGGGGGGATTGGTTTTACCCACCGCTCTCACACACACATTCACGCACATCCATACACATTCACTAGAGTACTACATAATACCCATACACCCATCCCCATCCCCCGGGTTCGAACTTAAACTACCTACATAGGCATGTAGATGTGTATGGCACCGTGTGTGTATCGGATGGTATGGTATGGTACGGTTCACGGACGGTATGGATAGTGTAGGTATGGCATACGACATATGGCATAGGTATAGGTATAACGTAAGGTGTAAGGATACCAAGCACATACATCTTACGGGACGTAGTCACGTAGGTCCTACTTTAACCATGGGGGAATATCTTTTACATATCATATCATACCACTGACCAGCTCTCCTCCCCAGCTTCCCTCCCATCCCTCCCATCCCATCTCCAGTCAGAGATTTTATCACCCGGGTACTCGGGCTGTGGGATGTGGGATGAAACCGTGGCTTGCTTGCTTGTTTTCTTTCTTTTTTTGGACTGGACTGGAATGGCACTGGGAACGATTGGCTGGATGGATGGATGCTCATTGCTGGGAGGGGACGGAGGGCGACTCTGCGAGGGAAGGAGGAGCCGGAAAAGAAATAAACATAGTTAGTAGGTAGAGTATGGGTGGTGGTCGTGGTCGTGGTGGTCGTGGTCGTGGTGGGCTGTGCTATCACGGGATAAGTAAATCATCTATATCTATACATGGTAAGAAGAACGTGCCTATGGGATTGTTATTACATACCATTATTTACTGTCTTTTGGGGGCGGAAGGACGGTAGATGGCATCAACCATCTACCATATCATACTAGGTATGTATATACTACCTACTACTCCGGAACATCCATCTAACGCTGGAAATCCGGCAGTACACATCCACATGCTTTTACCGTACCCAAGTCAAGTTGGCAGGTTATACCGGTATAACTATTACCCATGTTAGAGTGGAATATGTGTGATGTGCTACATACGCCTGTAGAGTGGAATATGTGTGATGTGCTACATACGCCTGCTCGCCCCCCGCCCCCGCCCCCATTGCGATGGATCATGGCACTGCGGACGGTATTTGTCTGAACGGGCAGCACGTATGTTGTCGATAGTCGAATACTGGTACTCTACCGTATATGCGTAGTGTGGTGTTGTAAATAGTAGGGTATTGTAGTGTGGAGTAGTGTAGTGTAGTGTAGAGTACGAGTGCCCAACCTATGCTAGTCTCCTACACACGTTCGACATCAGTTCGCCATCAGTTCGCCATCCGACATGTCGGTCGGTCATTCGGTCGGTCGGTCGGTTTTGTCGGTTGGTTGTGGGGAGTCGGAGTACTCTCGGGACGGGGACAGCCGCAGACCGGATGAACTCCCTGAACCGCATGAACCGTGAGTACCGTACTCGGTACTTCCTACCACTACGTAGAAAAAGATAATTCTAATAAACTAACCAAAAATAAAGAGAATAGTAAGAAAAAAAAAAGGATGGAAATTTCATCTCCCTCCCAAACCTACAATCTAAAATCCACAATTACCAAGTACTTCCGCGAAAGAAGGAAAAAAAGAAAAGAAAGCATTATTGACGGCGGGTGCGCGGGCGGGCTGGCGGGGGCGGGCGGCCAGACAGACCGACGGCGGCACGGTGAGGTATCCTACATACAGACTCTACAGACTCTACATACAGACATCCGTACAGAAATACATACACGGAGGGGCTGGTGCATGGTGACAGCTCATCATTATCAATGCGATGGGTGCAATGCGATGCGATGCGATGGCTGGATGAGGACGACGACTGTGACTCCGACTCTGACGATGCTGCTGCCGCTGGTGCTGCTGCTGACGATGATGATGATGATGATGATGATGATGATGATGATGATGATGATGATGGATTAAGCTTATGGGTCGACGAGTCACGGGAGTAACCGGTCCTGCAGCTATCCACTGTACTAGGTATACCGGTACTACTGCGCGCATGTATAGTAGAGTAGTGTATGTAGTCTACTGATGCTCGGTATCATATCATATCGGTGTTCGCATATGTACTATGTAGTGTACTGTACATGTGGATAGATAAAGAGACAAAGCAAAGCAACCCATCGTCATCATCATCGTGCACTGCACCCCATGCGAACCCAGCCTCCCGAATTACGTGCGTATTAACCTGGACCACGGCATCGTTCGCAGGATGGACTGTGCTGTAACCAAGTATGGTACTTACGCACGTTCTGCACGTAGCGTACACATCGGTACCTAGTAGATACATACGTCCAACCAGCCAGCCAGCCAGCCAGCCAGCCGATGCCGATCCTAAAGCCGGTCCTCCTCCTCCTCCGCCTGCTCTCCATCCTCCTTCTCCGCCGGCTCCCCAAGACTCAAAATAAACCGCCAACACTCCTCGGGCACGTTGGAGACGCTAAGTCTTCCCTGCTTCAGCAGCGGCATCGTCTTCAACGGACCGTCCGCATGGGTCCAGAGCTCGCGCAGCGGAATGATGCGCTTGAACTTGCGCACGAACTCGACGTGGACCAAGTACCACTTTGGGGCTTCCCGGCGGGACTTTGAGTCGTAGTACGGCTCGTTGGGATCGAACGCCGTTTCGTCGACCGATGCCGGGCGGGCGACGCGCATCACGCCCACTATTCCCGGGACCTTGCAGTTGCTAGAGCAAGAGCACACGCGAAGAAAGACGTCAGTTTTTGGTTTTCTGCTAACTTAGCGGAACGGAAAGGGGGGGAAATAAAACTAAGAATAAGAATAAAAACAAAAGTAAAGATAGAGTTTTATTTTGCGGCTCCCGCTTCGGCGGACATGCTACTGCAAGGGGGCGAGAAACAGGAAGGTGTTTGAGGTGATTGTTTGCGCAGTGCTCTCAACCCCATTACCAGAATAGGAAAAAGGTAGAAGATGGTCGGCACCTGCACACACACAATCACCACCTCCACTGCCACTGTCACCACTGCCATCTCCGCTACCACAACCACAACCACAACCATCACCTTTACCACGACCTCCAACAACACAACCACCACCACACACGTACCTATGGTAGAAAAAAGCGAGGTCTCCTTCCGTCATCGACTTGAGGTTGTTCCTACAGACCATGTCAATCTCGGCTGCCCGGATCCTCGGGTTCGGGTTCGGTTTTGGGGGCGGTGAAATAAGTACCGGGCGCCATAGTTACGGACTGCAACACACGCACATGCAGAAGGTGCGAATCCGTCAGCCAAATCTCAGGGAATCCCAAACAGAAACAAGTGCCGGGCGGCGGTGTGCGTAGAAATAGTTTTGGGCTCGATATTGCCTTCCCCGGGAGGAAAGAAAGAAAAGAAAGAAGAAAAAAAAGAAAAAGTGGAGAGAACCCCGAATTGGGTGTTTTCTTTTTTGCTCACCTCCGTCCCACCCTTGTGGCTCGTCGCACGCCGCGAGATCATCGATGGAGAATTTGACGTCTTTTCCCTTCTCGATGCGCGTCTCCGGTTCCGCTTTCATCAGCCAGTATCTCGCCGGGGAGACCTTGGCCTCAGCCTGATCGTTTGCTTCGATGACCGGCGACTCCTTTCTCTCCTCCTCCTCCTTCTTCTTCTTCCTCTCCGCCGCCTGTTTCGCCTTGGCCGCCGTCTTTTCTTGTTTCTCCGACACTCCCTGCTACCACTTTCGTCTGAGGATCGAGTTTATTTTGTCGCGCGCGACCGCACTGGGAGCTCGCACCTCGGTCTGACTGTGGACGACAGGAATAGGAGTGGATTCTGCCGTTCGTGCTGCGGATCGCGTGGACGAACGGGTGGCCCGCTTCGTTACGGCAGGAAGCTCGTCCGTCGCGGATTTGCGCTGTCGTTTTGGCGGCATGATTCGCTGTGGTGGTTGGAGGAGGAAGTGATGGATGTCTGTGGGTTTTGGGTGGTGAGTGAAGGATCGGACGCGTGCTTCGTGAATTCGGAAGGGTGGAGAGGGATGACGCGCTAGAGTTAGATACGATTGTTTTAGAGTAGATACGGTACGCAGCCTCTGCGCCAACCACTGACGGTTGACCATGATTGACCACTGGCCAGACCAGGCTCCAGCTGGGCGACGGTTCTTGGTTCTTTTTTCGCTTCGCTTGGATGCAAGGCAGGTGCAGGTTACCTAGCTAAGCGAGACGCGGATCGAACATTGTACGCCGTAGCCGCGCGCGCGCAGCTCGTCACGGGATTTCGAACGTAGCTGACGCGCCGGTGATGGGCCCCTCGGGGGTGACGTCCAGAAACCCGACCGATTACGCGTTTCTTCAGTTTTTCCCACCACCACCACCATCACCACCTGGCTGGGCTGGACTGTCTCGACGGGATTCCCGGTTCATCCCATCTGGAAATTATTCTTCGGAGATTCGGATGTTCTCTCTCTCACATGGAATGGATTGAGCGCAGCTGGCCGGCCGGAGTCGAGTGGGCTCGTGCGCGCGCACGGGCAGCGAGCAGCAGCGGGACTCCCACGACCAGTCTCAGCGCAGTCGACTCAAAGGAATTCCAGCCCGCAGCCAATCGAGTTGTCGCAGAGGTGTTTCTCGATTATTAGCACCACCTTCGGCTGTCCCGAGAATGCGCAACGCATATGTGCGAGAACTCTAGATGCCGATATGTAGGTAGAGTACATACATATGGTCGGTCGACTCAGCGGAGCTGGTCCATGCGCGCAGGATGACAGACATGGGAGGTCAGGCAGGCGCCACCTGATCACGCATCTTTCGGTGGTGGTGGCGGGGTTGAGTGCTAGTTCCCTAGCCAAAGGTGTGCCCATGCACATGTGCACCAGCGGGTGGAGTGCACGTACGTATGGCTGGCTATGATGATGATGGCTGGCTGCGATGTTGACTGGATTTGATGATGGCTGGCTACCTAGCTAGCTAACTGGCAAGCTAACTGGCAAGCTAACTGGCTGGCTGGTTGGGCATGTGGGACGTTGATGGATCCGATCTGCAGCTATGAACGCAGGCAAAATGAGGCGAACTTTCCGCCTCAAAAATCGAGGCGTTTTCCTGGTGTGCCAGCCACTGTCCCCTACCGGTTACCAAGGCCCCGGGGTTGTTCCCTCTCGCAGCATGACTATCCCGAGAATACTACTCTGTAGTCCACCAGCGCTTTGTTCCTTTTTTTCCTCTTCTTTTTTTTTCTTTCATGTTCTTCCTGCTGATGATTTTGTTTTTCGGAAGTCCTTGTTGCACTCCTCTAGTTACTATAGTTGGGTTCGATTCCGAGCTAACTAGGGCTTTGTCGTAATTGCAAATGATGACCCTCTCTCACCATCATCGTTGGTGTGGGGTTGGGCTGGGGTGGGGTTTAGTTACTCGTTAGGGTTCTGAGTAGCCTTACAGAGATTACTCTGGAACAAAGACTCCAGACTTAAGACTCGCAGCTTCCCGCTATCTCGGTTTGGGGTCCCGGACGGGGCGTCCGCGATGTCGGCGGACGGCAAGAGGAGTAGGACTGCGGCTCGGACGGATTTGAAGTCCGTCGAGATGAGATGGTGATGTGCAATAGTGCAAGGGATTATGATGATAATGTTGATGATGATGGTGATGATGCGAGATTCGTGTATGATGAACGAAGGCTCAACATCCAAGTCAGTCCTGCTCGCAAGTCTCGCACGGTATACATTACTCGAGGTAGTTACTCTAGTGCTACCTATACGTGATGCGGAGAAGGTTGTCATGATGTCGAACCGACGCGGCGTGGGCAAGGGGAGGGCAAAGCGTGTAGCAGGGCGGGCGAATAATTGTCTACCGGTAGTTAACCCCCCAAGAGGGGAAACCGTAAGGCAGGCAGACAGTGCGGTCTGGCAACTATGGAGTCCAGCGAGCCTGTGCTGTTCCGTGCATATATGCAGGCCCGGCGCAGCACGAGCTATAGTATTAACTATAGTAGAGGTCCTAGAGGATAGGTGACTGAGCAGTGAGTAAATTCCTGGTGGCCTCGGGGGGGGGGGGGGGGGGGGGGGGATGGGGAGTGGAAAGAGACCCCTCCTGCCCACCCCCTCAGCTACCCGAGAGTCGAGAGTCGAGATCCCATCGACGCGTTGCTTATGGGCCATCTTCCTTTGAAACATTGGCGGGGCCAGCATAAGTACCGGAGGTTTCGAAGTGAGACAACCATCATCTGAAAGCGGGGTCTCGACATATGACGGCAACAACCGAACATAACTGAACTGGTGGGGATGATCTCGAAGAGGAGAGGGGGGGCTGGTGCATGAGTGGACCTGGGGCTTGGACTTTCCCAAATGTCGAGAGCGTCACAGCTCATGGCCTGGATCACCGAGCTGACCTGAGTCACTCACCTGCGGGGGATCCCAGGCCCCGTTGGAGATGAGACTTTTCGACTTCGTACGGGTACATACCGGTACCGTACGGTGATAGTGACCATGCCACTCCTTTGGCAAAGCCATCCTGTCCGCCAGGAACACAGCAGAACAAGCAGCTCCACCACCAGCAGAAGAAGCTGCATCCAGAGCTGTCCTTCACGCCTGAATACCCGACATGTATTCGCTACACAGCTGAGACACAGACACCCATTCGACGATCCCTCGAGAGTCAAGACGGCCACCCAAACTAATCGAGTGACAACCAGTGCTATATTGTAGCCTGTGGGCAGCAGAGCAGGCCGGCATACGAAAGATCCCGTTGATTAATTTGCTTCTTCTGCTCAGCGAGTGGATCACTGCTTCATATCGGGTCATAGCGTTCTAATTTATTGATAGCTGTCCCAACCTCCCGATGCTGGCTGCAGCATCAATAGTCGGGGGATATCGATGGGCCAGTGGTGGCCTTCGATCCTACGATGTCAGAGGGGACTCTACTATATCATGGGGATATTGCTGGATCCTCCGTCCCTAGTCTGGGCCTTCGCCCTCCCCCTCCCCGCCCACCCGATGCGTGCATTCTACCTATCGTAGTGGACTTCACTCGATATCGGAAGAGGGGGGATACGCAACAAGCTGCAATGTGTTGCACATGAGGCACGCACGCGGATCAGAATCGACTCTGACGTCGAGATCGTCTCGATGAAATGCATCGACCGCGAGAGCATCTTCGGCCTCATGAGCACATTGCAGGAAATCCAGCCAATGCCCTGAGAGCTCCGGCAATATAGCAGGTGGTAGCGTGATATGAGTTGATTCTGCTATTGCAGGATGGCGACAGCACCCGTACAATTTGCTGCCCTCCCATCCGAGGTGTGTGTAGATATTGCAATTGTCGACGAATCACCGGTGCGGAATTTCCAGTGGCTACATACCAGTAGTGGATTGTCAATTACTTGAGCGAGCCAGCCGCGGGCAACAGCGTGGAAACCAGCCCCACGCATGGACTTTTCTGGCTGCTACTCGACCAGTCATTTCGCTTCGAAAGCTGCCGTTCGAATCCATCACCATCCCGTAGGGCGAAATCTACAGTCGCTCTCTCTTTTTCTTTCTCTCCCTCTCTCCCTCTCCCTCTCTCTGTCGCATTCCTTTGCCCTCCAGCTCGTCGAGGGAACCTCCGTTCCCTCCTCAGAAGCGAAGCCGTTATCTTTGCCTTCCTCGGGGTCCGCCGTCCCGCCCCGTCCCGCCCGCCCGTCCGCCCGTCCGCCCCCGATCACCAACAAGCCCCAACCCCAAGCCAAACCTACTCTCGCAGCATACCAAAACCCGGGTACAAGTGAATCATTTCGGTCTCATGGATGGACGGACGGCAGCGATGCGAGAGCTACTAGTGAGTAGGGTACGCACGCTGCAGAGTATCTGTCCTCCCCCGCACCATGCCCGCAGCCCGCGTATGTACTCCATAGGCACAATGATCAAGCTACCGACAAATGTCTCGGCCGTGTGTCCGGACGAGAAATGGAGAGACAGACAGAACCCGCTATCCATCCATCTAGGCACTTCGTCCCGCCGCTCGCTTCTCCCCTTCGTATGTACTCGGGTTGCAGGCACGTTTCGGTCCATAGCTCGCAGCTTCACTCTACGTTCGAGGACGGGGAGTTAACTAGCCGGATGTTGGCTTTGCTGTGGATATGTACTGATGGCAAGGGGCACGGCACGGTCCGGGCCCCAGCCGCCGGCGGCCTGCTGTCTCTATGTTATTACCTAAGCTGTGTGTGTGCCAGTACGTTCGATTCCTGCATCGTCAAGGAGACTTCACCTACCTAGGTACTCTATGATCTTCGTGTTAGATGTCGTTTTCGTTCGCTGACGAGGCATGGGTGTATAAGTAAACATCGAACGATAGACAGGACCCTTTACTTTACATACGCACTCAGGCCATCCCGAAGCCAAGGCAAGATTCCGATATTCCTGGAAGCTGGCCGCTGGGCTGCACGTAAAATCCCATCCCATCTTCCTGGGACAGAACTAGAAACCCACACCGGCTACTATACACTCCTGCCGTGCCAGGTTACCCCGGCCCGCTGGGCCCGCCCCACCCCGAGGTCCGGCAGTTGCTGCTACATACACATCTAGGTGTCGACTCCTCCTCCCTCGGGCTAGTTCACGGGTAATGCGAATATCATACCAGCTACCTAGGTTGCCCATACTCTACACAACACCGAGCAAGCTTTGTTGGGGTGGGAGATATTGTCATCCTGTCTTTCTGTTTCCAGGCGATCTGTATAGTGCATACCCAGATGGCGAAATAGGTAGTCAATTAAGCATACGAACCTTCAGCTTAAACTCCCGCATGTGACAGTGACGGTGCACCATGATTGCCCCCGTTGCCCCCGTTAGGCCGTTGGGCCGTTAGGCCGTTGGGGTTGACATCGACCGCCGGCGAGAAGTCCGACCCGTTGTTGCTCCACAATACGCGCCTTCCCGGTGTGGAGTCGGAAAGAGAACGAGTTCCAGAGATTAGGATGGGATGGGATGGGATGGGATGGGATGGGAGACTGCATTGAGATTGCATGCGGGGGGGTGGAGTCTGGACACACAACGTTGATGCGCCCGGTACGAGACCCAGCAGTGGGGTGGTCGAGTGATCACGGCTGGCCGGTGGGAACCCGTATGTAGACGCAGGCGGGCAGGTGGCGAGGTGGAGGGTGGTCGTGATCCTTTCCGAGGCGGTGATTGGCGTACATACTCTCCCTAGGTGCATGTGCGTGAGCCGGACACGGATAGATAGATACCCGTGCGGCACGGAGAACGGTCGGTACCTACCTTGGATGCCCGTCCCATACGCTATCATAATACAACACTCGTGATTGGAGTGACGATGTGAAATCCGCCCCCGTTCTCTGGTATTCTTTGGTTTAACAGACTAGGTATATAATAGTTCAATCTCCAGCCTCCATGGCGCCTAGATATAAGCTCTATGAAACGCGGTACCTCAAGCAGCCACCTACCCAGTTTTTTTTGGTGGAGAGGTATGGTTCTTCACGCGAGATCACTCGCTCCGCTCCGGGATCTCAAAGTTCCCAACAGCCGGCCGGTTGGAAAAGTGGAAAACTGGGAGCTATGTACATATTTACCACGTTCAAAGCCGGATCCACAACTCAAAGGACTATGAAACAGCAAAAAAGAAAAAATTGATGGGAAAAATGGGCCCGGCTTCTTTTTTCTCGACCAGCCTAAAGTTTAAACGGCCCGATATTTCCAACCGCACTTCGGATACCGTATCGGGACGGGCGTGGAATCGCCGGGGTTGGGGGCGAAGTGAAGTTTCGGATGAGTGGACGGATATATTCGTATGCCCCGTAACTAGGTATTCAAACGAGGATTCAGCTTTCAGGGAGATCCGCGTAAAGACGGAACTCAGAACTCCGTTTTAACTTTTGTGGGGATTCTGACCGGGTGGGGCTGATGATTTCGATGGTGCCGAGAAAGCACCTCCTGAAAGCATCAGTGCATCACCCGTTGGGTGGAAGGGCGGTATTCGTTGGAACTTCGGGGTGTTTAACAGCGATCGCGAGTTGTGACTTGCCAGAACCATAGGTATCATACCCAAAGAAGGGCCTACTATAGGGGGACTATCATGTATGTACGAATATTAGCCCTCTGAGATGATAGATCGAGAACGGGCGTTCGTTGGACATATCTATGTACCGTGCTGATTACCGACTGCCTGGACTGCATATCCAAACAGTTTCACAAATGCTTGTACATATCTGTTCGAGACGAACCGAAGTTGTCGTTGCAGATACCTATCTCGTCGTATATCTAAGGTGAATACCGTTGGCTACACCCAGTGTTCTACATACCTAGTCCGGACGGACTGGACGGGATCAGTCCAGTCTCATCCGTTCCTTTGGAGGACGGGATAAAAGTAGTCCGTCCCGTCCACCGTTTCGCTGGACGGTGTCGGACTGCAGACGTCTGGCAGTGAAAAAAGGTTCCAATCTTTTCAGTACATACACGGCCATTAAGTCTATGGGGTTGAAAGTGTCTGGTCCTTAACCAGCATAATGAGAGCATTGACATGGTGGAGGCATCATTGGCTGTCATTCGCAGCCCGCAACTGCTCCATGCACTTCCGATCTCCGGCCTTAGCCGAGCAGGATTCCCAAAGACTGTCCTGACCATTTTTTTAGGTATTTAGCTCTTCTACAATTGTTTAGCCATCACCTATTGGATCACTTGAACGTCACGGAACCAATATGATCCTTTTGGGCTGCCGGAGGATGATGATGGGTGGACCTGCCCGGGGGCTACATTTCTACCTTGAAGCTCCGTACCAGCTGGAAAGTCAAAATTTTATCTCGGAAACATATGGTACCAAAGTGTAGTTATAAAAATTCAACGGAACTGAGCTGTTGTAAGACTACTAGGCCAGAGTCCCGACAAAGTCTTCAGATACATAATTAAAAAATAGACATAGTTATAACGCTGACCGATAACATGTAAGGAGCTTATTTACATACGAATCGTGAGGAAGTTATGAATATGATAAATAGAGGTGTGAGGAGGGAGGAAAGGGAAGAAGGATATTGAAGTTCTTGAAGGAGTTTACGAGTGATTGGCGTAGGTATATACACCAGCCACACCATTACTTAATCAAGTGCGGGCATCAAACCTCACTCGACCACACGGGAAGCCTTGAGATGACCATTTACTCCTCTTCGTCTACTCGAGTACTATATTGCCATGATCTAGCCAAGTAGGTTGCATGCAACCAATGATCAAACAAAATCAAAATCCTCATCGTATACTCTGTTCTGTGAGTTTCTAATTCTACGATCACGTGCACCCAGCCGAACCAAATTCCTACTCATGTACCAACTCTTCCGTCCGACAGCCAAAGAACAAATCCCCGCACTTTGTTTGTCACTAGCCCTATTTAACTTCGCTCATAGATGTCTATATATGGCCGAGAAGGATATAAAATCTACTACTGCTGTTATCACGATTCTTCGCGGCTCAGCAGCTAGATACATGCTCTGATGGCTATCTCCCAGTGATAGCAATTACTGATCGGACAAGAAGGACTCATCCTCTCCGGGAAAGAGAAAGGTGAACGAACGGAGGAAAGGTACTGGTATGGAACAGAGGTATGGTATTATTATCAAGGGATATAGATTGCCATGGCTGGCCACACGGTTATGATTCATTACGGTCTTGCGGGCACTGAACGCATAGAGATCAGTAAGATTCTCTGGATCTCTCTGCGATTGATGACTCCTGACATGCAATTGCCGTTGCCTCTAGGGGGCCTTGGAAGCCTCTACAAACATCCTCCTTTACTGCAAGTGCCCAACGGAAGAAAACGGGTTACATTCTGGCTTATCGTTCCACGGGAAGGAGTCATCCCCCGCTCTCACGAAAAACAGGTGTGTCTTGAGTAGAAAACGCTATGCTGAAAATGCCGTCCTTTTCAGAACCCGTATCTAGTGCTCCCCTTTCTTTCCGCGTGATAAGTCGCAGGCCGAGATCAGTGATGGACGACGGAGAAGCAATCCGTCTTGACGGTGTCGAGTCATCCATCGACCATCAGCCATCTAGACACACCCTGAGAATAGGCAGCAGGCCACAGGTCTTCACGATGAGATAGGAATGCCATTGTGCAGGTGCTGCGTCGATAATGAGATGTGCTAATCAAATGTTGACCCCGGCGGATGGCTGTTTCCTGGGTTTTTTGGTGAGGATTCGAAACCGCGGGTTGCTGTTCCGAGCCCCGGGTTTCCAAAGTTCGTTTGTATAGAGCGGACTCTCGCTACCGGGCTATGGGATAATATTGCCTCGTCATATCAAAACCAGGACGAAAAACAAAGTAAAGGGTAGTGGCCTAGCGAATAGTCTGACAGTTCTAGAACATTGACCATCTCATGTACTCGTAGCCTTGGGAACACGGGAAAGCGTGCCATCTTATTATCGGGTTTGTGGAGCGGATGCTGAGAAGCGCCCACTTAAGCGCGGGGGACGCCACAGCAGAATGCGGGACTGGATTCGGGTTTCAATCCAAGAGAGTGGCAATTGGGGCTTCCATTTCGTCTGGTCTCTTGCGCTAGTACGCATTCCCAAACGCTTTCGTGCCTGGAAGCAATTTTGTATCCCTAAGGCTGAGGTGCACCACAGCTCTTGGCCGGAACACACAATCACACCTCACAGCCGATTCTTGGGAGCGTGCACGCCTGCCTTCTATTGTACTACGTAAGTAGGTACAGCAACAGCATATTCCGTCCCGCACGCCGCCAAGCGATCAAGACCGTAGCGTACAAAATCGTAGGGCCGCCATCTTTTCAACCGCAAATTTCAACCCTGTCGTTGCTTATGCTTCTGGTTCTTTGAGCAGATAATGTAGACCCGGTTCTTTCTGCGGACAGACTGTTGCAAGGCAGATTCGTCAGTCAGGCTTTCTTCCAGCGTGCAACCAGAGGGAATAGCCGCTAGAAGTTGGGAAAAGCAAAAGCGACGACGATGACACAAGAGCAGGTGTAACGAAGGCTAGGACGGTAGCTCTGTGTGCGGGGAGGGGGAGACGGCATGTGCCGTGACACCGAAAAAGTGGTGGTTTTGGATCGACTTACCATGCATCCGTCACAGAGCTTCTTGACCGAAGACCGCACCTTCATGCCGCGCAGTTGCGTCTGCTGGTGGAGTAGGGCTGGGACGCCTAGTGTCGGTGTGATGCGAAGCCGCGAGCTCAAGGTGTTCGGGATCGAGGTGAAGGAGCGGGCCATGGCGGCCGACGGCGACGCGAAGGGAGCCAAGACGGACGCAAACGCGAGCCGAGAGAGGCGGCTGCGCAAGACACTCGGGGCGAAGAGCATGACTGAGCGGGCGGGGGCGGGGGTGGGGGAGCGTGGTGGGATGGTGGGGTAGTGGTAGCGAGATCCAGCAGTGCACTGCGGTGGGTTGAGTGAGGTGAGGTGGGTGAGTGAGGTGAGGTGAGGTGAGGTTGGAGCGAAAAAGCAGGGCTCGGCCCAATGGAGTAAAGCGCCACTAGCGTGGAATCCAAGCAGCTCCTCGACTCGCCTTGTGGCACGAGACACAAAGACCTTGGGCATCTTCCGTGTCCCACACCGCCTTCCTGTCACACCTTATTCAACCTTCCTGATGAACTCCCCAATATCTACTTCAATGCTCTTGGAGACCGTCACCAGAAAACCCCCCACCAGCCACCGTCACCCACGACCTCTGCTCCGATCAAGCCACAGTTCATGCCCTTGAGTCAAGTCCGTCTGCGCTTATGGCCCCTGGCTCCCACACGGCTGGCTATGGTTACACACTTCTGTTCCTGCTACGTCCAATCATCGGCGCGGAAGCCAGTCTCTGACCCAGATGACGGATGAGGCGGTGTAAGCTCGTCTGAAACATGGCAATGCTCACTCGAGCTCTCTGAGCATTTTCGGTCCATTTCCATTGCGTGTCCCAACTCGTGTCCAGACATCATGACGAAACAGAAGGCAGATCTCTTGCCTGCCCTCTAGTCGGATGCTGTCGTCTGAACACTCCCCGTCATATCTCCTCGACGTGACAGCGCAGCCTTACGCACTTCGGGATTGGCGCTCACGTACGTCTGGCTCGTAGCCATCGCGGTATATTCCATCCAGCTGCCGAGAACCTCAGGTCCCCGGACGATTGGTGTGCTCCCAATAGCCCGATCCCTCCGCCCCCGTGGGATTGGTGCGCTGAACACCACAACCGCGCACACTGTCTGGAAGAGCGCACTCAGCCTGTACTCCTGCACTGCACACACACACACGCACACCTACACAGATGAACCTATCTCCTGCAGCCACCCCAGTGACCGTTCGTTCAGCCACACTCGAAGCCCCAGACGAGTTCACGATGGCAGTTTTAGTCATAGCTACTCGCTTGTTGCACCTATGGTTAGTCGGACCTGCATATGGGCTTGTTCTGATGTTCCCCATGACTAAATCAGATCAGCGAGAGTGAAATCTGCTGAATGCGATGTCATTGGTCACTTCGACGTCCAGTGTTCCAGCTGTATGCTGCCTCCGCAGGGCACGGGTAACACAGGGGTCGAGTGGTGGACGAGGACGACGAGGGCCAGTCGGTGGACAAGCCTAGATCCCAAAAACCGGGCTTTGACAAGACTCGGTTCTTTCGCGGTCTCTCCTACATGCATCGTTCCCTAGTGTCTCGATCCCGCACCGAAACCCTGTGGGGGGTTATCGTTTTTCCGAAATAGAGGCCTGAGATCAATCTAGCTAGTCCGACTCGTACTGAGGAGGAGGGAGTAGTCATACTGCTCTCATTACACGCTGCGCCGCCAATCGGACTGCTTGGACTCACGGCCTGGTGGTGTACTCCTCTGGCATCACTGATACTCATGGAGATCCACTGCGGAGAAGACTCAGTCTTCCGGGCGTATATAAGTCTTGGAGCCGACTCCGGATTGTCGCTTCGAACATCAGCAATCTATTCATTCGTGCTACATCTTCAAGCTCCAGTCTATCAGACAATTCGAGACCAACATCACCGAGCCATACCCCTCGGTAAAAAAACACCCTGGAGGCATCATAGCAAAACGCACCTTATCTTCACCAGCCATGTCCCTCAACGATCTTCCCACCGAGCTCCTCCTAAACATCCTTTCCTTCCTCGACAATCTCGACCATGTGTCTTCGACCAACCGAACTCTCTCAACCACCTCCAGAGACCTACAGGTCAGTCAACTCCGCGGCAAACTTGCCCAAATCCCGCACGCCGACCTTCTCATGAGAATCTGGTCTCCGCCGTCATTCTTCCGGCGTGATGGCTACGGCCGTCGTCAAACGCAACACGTCCACGCCTCGCAACCACAGGACCTAATCAATATGCTCTGCGATCCTGCCGTGGTCCCACGGGTCGAAGCGTACATCGACAGTCTGCACAACAAAGCTCGAGTCGCCCAGCAAGTGGCCGAGTTCCTCGTCACCATGGTCAGCTTCAACGGCTTCCGCAACCACGACGACCGCATGTCCTTTGCTTCCACCGTGGTCATACATCTCTGGTCTGCCCAGCAACGCTACAGCCACGACACCGACGGCTACATCGCGAGCCTCCTGGAGGGATACGTCTTCCGCGACCTGTGTGCACGTGACCAGTATCTGATGGATCTGTCGGCGGACACACAGGGCTGGCTTGTTGCCTGCTATAACGCCCTGAGCCAATACCTTAGACCGCCGTTTGTTCGTCGTGAGCAGCATGGTGAAGGAATGTGGCTGCAGAGAGCGATTGCAAGGGTAGGTTCTCCTGTATTCCATATTCCATATTCACCATTCGCTAACCGGAAGACAGGGTGGTATGCAAGCAGTGCTGGGCATGCTCCACCAAAGGGCCGGCCGCCATTAAACTACGATCTACGGGTTCTACCGACTAGATTTCACCCCACAAACCATTTCCATAGCAGCTATGTAACTCCTACGACATGTGGGGGAGGGGAGGAAATGTGTGGTCTAATGTTCTCATTATCTGTTTACTGTTGCTTTTATTTCGTTATCGAATTCATGTTTTGCGTCGCTCTGGTTTGTGTGCGGATGCCTGCGTTGCTTTTTCCTTCCACAGGCATCAGTGGTCTAGTAGTAGATACCTAAGATGCCGGAAGATAGATATAAAACCATAAGTCAGCCGTTTTATTAATTCCGTGCAAAGCTTGCCTGCAGAACCGTAGTATACCCAGGTGATGTAATCATGGACCATCACTCACCTGCCTTACGCCCAGAGTCGTAATAAATCGCTCCTCTGTGCACATGGCATGCATGCAAACGCGCCTGGCGCTTAGATACATAGCAGTGTAGGAGCTAACATACGTGTGGGGGATGTAGGATGTACTATAGTCAGCGCGAGGCTGCGCTTCCCAAGTTCTCACTATGCTGTGATACCTACTCTACATCCGCGAGCCGGGCTTGTATCACACTCACACATTTGTGTGACAGTTGCACAGCACAGGGCGGAGCGGCCTGCAACACAAAGTCACCGCAAAGTCATCGGTCCGCAACGTTGCTTTTCCCTCTGTCTCACTCACCCCCGCCGCCGTTCCCGTGGCGCTCGTCGGTGCTCTGGTGATGGCGATGAGTGAACGTGATGAGTGCTTATTTCGCACTCTTCACTCTACTAGGTAGCAGACCCGTAACTACTCTATATCACTGGGACCGCACACGGTGGAGGAAGGGAGGGAGGGTCGTCCTTCAACGACAGCGCTCGAGGAAGCGAAGCGGCTTTATATGGATGTGGATGTGGATGTCGATGTGGACGGTGGAGCCTGGTCGGCGCAGGTGTACGCACTATAGTGCGGGAGTGCTCGTTCAATGTACTCATCTTTTACTCATCTTGCGGGTGCGGGTTGCTCATCCCCCCACTCATTCCCTTCCCACGCCCACGCCTACGCCCACGCCGTCTCACGCCCGCGCTGTTTGAAGATTTACATCCCCTAAATGTTCTGCGCTCTACTTCTGCTACATACAACACGGCAATCACCGTCGTGCTGCGAGCTATTCACTGTGCTCCGCCAGGAGACAGTAACTATCCTCTGAATGCGCGGGTCGTGGGATGTAGATATTTTCAAGATTACTCGGGTCTTTTGCTCTCCACGGTCCCCTCTCCCGTCTCGTGTCTAGGTAGCCAGCTCAACGCCCCATCTACGGCGAATACACCTCCACGGAGACGAGGACACATCCGACAGCCAGTCTCAGACGTTTCTTGGGTGGATATTCAAATAGAAACCATTTTCTCCTCGTCGAGAATCAATGACTACCAACACACGCACACTAGAGAGTGGCTACAGATAGCAGCGAATCCATTAAGTGAATGCTTTGTATTCGGATATAGAGACTAGTAAAGAGTAAGGTGTACGTGTAGGGTACATAGTCGACGCGAAAGCAAAGGAAAGGAAGGAAGGAACAGACAGGCAACAAAAAATCTATGTAGCTCGCAGGTAGAAAAATAAAAAGAGAAGGAAGGAAGAAAAAAACACTAGCATTTGTCGGTCGCCAATTAAACCAATATCCAATCCAGTATCAAAGAAGAAAATGACCGCAAGCAGTTGGTCTGAACAGCCCAACAAATCCTTCGAACGCCCATCCCACGCCACCCCATGTCTACTCGATCCTCTTCTTTCCCTCCTCCAGATGCATCAGCCTGATGTTTCCACCGCCGAGGCTCTCCCCCCTGCTGTGGTGACCGGCCGCGGAAGTGTATCCTATCCACTTCCCAACGATCACGTCTTTCTTCGCACGGTTGAGCGCCTCGTTATAGCTCTCCGACGCATGCGCGGGGACATTCAGTTTTGGCCAACTGACGTAGAGCATTCCGTACTCCTTCAAGAACATGACGGCCCAGACGGCAACCGCGAGCCAGAATAGTGCGAATACGCGCATGGTGATCTGGCCACCGGTGCCCTCGCCCTGGCGAGGAAGAACGAACGCTGCGAATTCCATAAATAGCGCCGCATAGAGGATGTAAGGAATGCTTTGGACCACGATCGGACGACGGTCGACGAAGAGGAGTGTTGAGGAGATATTATTAGTTGAAGGGAGGTAGTTGCCCAGGAAGAGGTCGTAGGCATCTTGCCGCGGTCCGTCAGCGAAGTTGTTACGGAAGTAACGGGTTATCGAATTGGAGAGATCGGCGAGTGCTCCAGCTTTGGTACGCTTGCCGGTACGCGTGAAGTCGGTTTTCAGAGCTCCTGTGCCGGAGTAGGCGCGACTGACGACGTCGGCATTGTCGGCCCATGCTGAGAGGAATAGTCAGTTACCGTATTCAAATTCACTCGGTTCGAGTGATACGTACCGTTTCTGAACATGAATTCGAAATTGGTATACGCTTCCGCGGTTTCTCCAGGCGCCAAAACGCCGATATCAACCAACTGCCGGTTCAGGGTATATCTGGCCAGCATGCTCTGGATGACATTGGTCCTGTCGAGACAATCCATGCAGTTCGTCCGCACCACGCTCTGCTGATAGCATTGAACATTGCTGGTAGCACCACCGTCAACCGAGTGAAAGTACTTTTGTTCGACGAGTCCACTTCCCAGTCTGTCCAGAAGCAACAACGCTCTGTCCCATCTCAGCCCTCGGCACTCGTGGTGAAAGTCGAAGTAAATATAGTGCAGGCGATCCATCTTCTGCTCTTTGGTAGTAGGCTCAATCTCCCTGAATCTCTCCAACGTATTCTCCGAGGCTTGCTTCGACTCTACAGGCGCCGAAACAAGGATCTTTACGATCTGCTCGTAGGCAGCCTTTACTCGCTCCTCTCTGCCCTTCTGATTGACAAGGTTGACCATGTAGTTGTCCCCGTACAGTCGAATTTGCTCGTCGAAATGTGCCCGCGCAGCTTTCGCAGCTGTATCCACGCCGCGAATCTGCAATTTCGGTGTGTACGACAGGTTGTTCACCTCGGCCCAATAAACAGGCACACTTCCTCTGGTCTGGACGTAACTCAGAACTTGCACGCTTTCCGATCCACGGTTTCCGCCGATGGTGCTCTGGTCGTAGCCCCCGAGGCCACCGGAAGAATCACCAATCACCACCACCTGCTCCGTCTCGTTGAAATTTGCAGCATTGCCAGCCTCGTCGACTCCGCGAGTGAGGTAGCGGGTTCCGGCGCGGTGGCGACATTTACGTGTGATCAACACAAAGGTAAGAGGGGTATTCTTGATCTTAGTAGTTGAGATCTTAAGATAACCGAAAATGACGGGGAGAATGTAAGGATCGACCTGTATCCTTGGTCAACACAGCCTCCTCAAAGTCCGCCTAGCAATGGCGGGGTTTGGCGGGGGGACCAACATTTGGTTGCGAACTCCTCAGATCAATCAAATCTGACTGGATGTACCTATTCCAGAAAAACCTCTCATCCGTCTGCACAGACCAGCTTAGCATTAGCGCACTCTGCTCCCGTTTCACGCCGCGCGGCGGCAGGGCCGTGCGGAAATCAATTTAATCACCTGTTGCCACAGCGGAAGAGAGCGGTTGGCCACAACTTGTCGCTGGAAAGTATTCGTCAAGTCGAACGAGTACGAAAAGTACATTGGTGCGGTTCGGAGGTGCGCACGCAGCAGTGCAAGGTAGGTGTCCTCATCAGGGTCCTGTCAAAACAAAACCACTGTAAGCTTGCGGAACCCGAATCCCGAAACTTGGAGGTAAACAAACGTGTAGTGCACGCTCCTGCATAGGCAAGAACTCGGTCGCCTCGATCTTGTAGACGGTGTGACCTCGAATACGGCCAATGAGCTTGGCTTTCGTGATTATAATGATGTACTTGTCTTTTACGATATCAGCGACTGTGGCCTGCCACGCCCCCCTTAGAAACACAAACCGAGACGCAGTCGGATCATTCCCAAGATTCCGGCGATGCTGGTGACCCGCTTTCCCCCCATCATAGGAGAGTCGACCATCTTCACGTCCCCCGAGGGACGGTTGACAACGAGAGCTGGCGCATTTGGCGACGAGGGAGATCTGAAGATGTAGTGCGTGGGCGCGGCGGTGATGTTGATATCACGAAAGGGGTTGACGGCGGCCATTTTGGCTTTGTGTGCCTTATGTTGACTTCGCGAAAGGGAGGTGATAGGTAGGCCTGGGAGCTGAACCGACTGCTCAGATAAGAGCGGCGGGGAGGTAGAGCTCGGAGATGCGACGATATAAAGAGCGTGCTGAAGTGGCTACGGAAAAAGGTGAGAGGGAGAGGTTTGTTTTTTGGTGTTGGTCAGTTATTTGACGGTAGACGGCGAAAGTAGGTTGGACCTGGGCGAGCTTGGATTTGGCTTGTGTCCTGTTTTAGAGTTGAGAGGGTCCCCCCCGGCTGAGATGACGACGCGGATCGGAATGAGGCTGAGAAAGAAGCGAACACATTTCAGGAGCGGCATGCAAGGTAGCGAGACAACAACAACTGTGGCTTGTGAAGACGGAGCATTTACGAACGATCAATCCCACCGCCAAATGCCCGTTTCACCAACTATCACGTAGTAGTGAAACGACTTCATACCTTCGCCGCCATGGACCGGCGGAGCATCTCGATAATCGTCTTTGCCGTGTCATTGCGTCTCTTCCTATTCACCGCATTCCCGTCGCTTCCGGACCTCCTGACCAACCGTGTCGAACTCTCGACACCCGTTACCAGCTTCAAAAGACTACAGGAAGGCCTCTTTCTTTACACCCACGGCGTCTCTCCTTACGATGGCGGCATCTTCCACCAGGTATAGAGCTTCATATTCCAATGATCTCAATGATCCCTCTTCTGACGTGAAAGACAGGCTCCACTGCTGCTAGCCTTCTTCTCAAGCATCCCCAAATCCCCGATCGTCACGAACCTCATCTACATCCTCGCGGACGTACAATCTGCACTCTCCTTGATCCAAATTGCGACATCCGGCGTCTCCGCCTCGACGCCTCTCCACACTTCCTCCCGCGCGAAAAACTCTCTCCCGTCCTGGGCTGCCGGCGCCGCGTTCCTTCTGAACCCCTTCACCGTGGCAACATGCCTCTCCCGGTCAACACTGGTGTTCACCAACACCGCAATTCTGACCTCGGTGGCGAAGGCCGTGCAGGGTGATGGCCTTGGCGCGATCCTCGCCCTCGCCATGTCCTCGTACCTGTCCCTCTATCCGGTCCTGATCCTACCGGCGTTGGTTCTGCTGTCGTATGACATGCGGTTCTCGTCTGCGGCGGTCAAGCCTGCGCTGGCAAACTATGCGGCGACAATGACCGGTGTGTTTCTCACTGCCATGGCGGGACTACTGGGAATCTCCTACATGATCACCAACAACTCTTGGGAGTTCCTGTATTCCACGTACGGGGTGCACCTGCTGCTGCCGGATCTGACGCCGAATGTCGGGCTGTGGTGGTACTTCTTCATCGAGATGTTTGACTCGTTCCGCGAATTCTTCCTTTGCGTGTTCCAGCTGCATCTGTTGATATATGTGGGCGGGCTTTGTATTCGGATCCGGTGAATGATTCATTATGCGCTGAGTGAATGGGCGTGGCTAATGTGTATGGCGGGGCAGGAAACAACCGCTGTTCGTAATCACGACGATACTCGGCATCAGCGCGATCTTCAAGTCATATCCATCAATCGGTGACATGGCACTGTATATATCGCTCCTGTCACTATACCGCCACGTATTTCCACGTCAGTCCCCCCCACCCTCCACTTTCCCACGTCTCACTGACACCCCCCAGTCATGCGCTACACCTTCTTCGCGACCTCGACTTTACTCTACGCGACCCTACTTGGACCCGCCTTCTACTACTTGTGGATCTACGCGGGCTCTGGCAACGCCAATTTCTTCTACGCCATCACGTTGGTATGGTGTCTCGCCGTGACGGTGATAGTAGCGGACGCACTTTTTGCCGTGCTCCGCGATGAGTGGGAGACTGAGCACCCGGAGATGAGGGGTAAGGAGGTTGTGCGGATATAAACCTGTTGTTCTAGATATCATACATACACACACAGTGCAGCATTCATAGCTCCTTGGAGAAGATGAAATAAGATGGCTCCCGCATAGCGCCGCTGCGGAGGAGCTTTGGCTGTGGGGATATGATGTCGATTTCGTACCTGTCCGTCTGAGTATCAGCCACGCTTTCCTTCCCCACCACCCAGAGTAGAAAGCCCACCCAATCCGCCGATAAAACTTCAGTGCCCCCGTATTCGCCGAGAAAACGGTGAGCATGGCCTTCGGCAGCCCCAGGTTCTTCCCAAACCCCTCCATAAGCCGCATCAGCGTCTCACCGTGTCCCTTATTCCTCACGTTCTCGGCCAGCTGCACCTCATAGCTACATTCCCGTCAGCTCGGCGCCCACTGCCTGCGGGAGCAAAGGCAATATATACCAGTAGATAACCTCCTCCTTCTGCTCCTCGGTGACCTTGAAGCTTAGGAAGCCGTCTACGTCCCCCCCTTCGTCGTCCTCCCATTCCTCCTCCCCCTCCCCTCCTCCTCCTCCTCCTCCTCCTCCTCCTCCTCCTCCTCCTCCTCCTCCTCCTCCTCCTCCTCCTCCTTGTCCGGAGAGTATGAGATACCGCATATCGTCTTCCTCCATCTCCTTCCGCTTGCTCTTACTGTTCCACCCCATGTCGCTGTGCTCGTACATCACGCGCATGTTGGTGCGGATCAGGTTGAAGCATGCTGTCAGCCTATCCGGCGGGAGGGTGGTGGCGGTATGAAGGGTTATCGACAGGTCCGGGGGCACGGCGGGGAGGAATTCATGGAGGGAGGACAATGGGAGGGCGTTGTGGGCGTCGATATCGACCATGGTGGTTGGGGTTTGTTGGGGGGAGACACGGAAGCTTGGAGGGAGGGATGCGTTGGTTTTATGTTGGGCTGGGGGAGTGCGTCGTTAGCCGCTTTTGGAGTGCGTGCGACAAAACGTGCGATTTATGTACGAGCGGATGTGCTGGAGAGGATGTGCTCGACGTGGCGCGCGCGCGCGGGCGGGCAGTGGTATATGTCCTATTGCATATGGTTCCATGCTACATAGTATCCCTAAGCGGAAGAGCGGGCATATAGCATCACTCGCCTGCCCGCTCCCATCGATTTCATTACAACCGTGATATCATAACCAAGTCTGAAGCTCCAAGTTCCCAAACGCCATAACCCCAAACGCAACATTACCCCTCATCCTCTGTCTCGGTGACCGTCTCATCCGCCGTACTCTCGTCATAGCTCGGATGCAGTTCGGCCCTCTTGACCTCGGCGGTCTCTACGCCTCCAAAGCCGACCACGCGTCTCAGCACGTCCATTCTCTCATCGAACATCCTCGCGAGCTCCTGGACGCCCTGGGACACCTTGACGCCGCGCAGACCGGTCTCGACGCCCTCCAGAACCAGCATCAGCCCGCCGCCGCCCTCCGACATCTGCGGCGCCTCGGTGATCTCCGCCGCAACGAGCTGGAAGTCGCGCGAGAGCGCGTGTGCAGACCGCACGTACGTGGAGTTGTCGGCGGAGACATCGAGGTCGACGGTTATAACGCGGGTATGCGGAGTGGCTGGCGGCAGGTCTAGCGTTGGGTCCGTCGGGTCGTCGCTGAAGATGTAGTGGACGTGGGGGTGCGCGTGTGATGGGTTGCTGGTGGTCGGGGAGATGAGAGTGAAGAAGGGCTGGAAGTTCGGAGGTGCGGGCGGAAATTGGTGGCCTTGTTCTTGACCTGGGTGTTGAAATTGTTGTGTTGACGGCGAGGACATAGTAGGTGTGTTATGGAGGTTGAGATGAGAGCTCAAGATGGGGAGCTCATGGTGGGGGGTAAGGTTGTGGTGGAGCTTGAGCTTGGTTACACGGTGCTCTCGGTGCGCAGGGATCAATCACCTTACTCGGGCTGGAACTGACAACACTGAACTCGAACTCGGATTCAAAGATCTCCTCCACCACGGTTCTCGGCAGGCAAAATATGACTCCAACCTCGCAAGGATAAAGCACAAAACAATCACAGGCGGAAGAAAAAATAAGCAAATAGATAAACCGCATCCCGTAAGATGGAGTGTGAGTACAATCGACGATGTATCGATACCTGGTCCAAAACAATAATACACACTATATACAACCGTTTGGTGGTATCATGGAAGAAAGAAAGCCCAAAATCAACCCCCCGTTCCCAATAGCAACGCAAGAAAAGACAAACACCTGTAAAGGAAGTAGAGTAAAAGGATACCACAAGAAAAGCAAGACCCGATGATTAAAACAAAATTAAAAGGTATATCCGCATCTACCGCATTCGCCGTCTAGTTGTGATCGCCGCCATCCCGCTCATGCCTTCATCGGCACCCGCCTCCCCAACCTTCCGTTTCTTAATTAGACTTTTCTTGGGGTCACCGCTGCTAGTCGCAGCAGAAAAGCCATTTTCCTTGAAAGTAGGGATGTTGGATTCCGCTACTCCTCCACCTGGTTCTCCCTGAGCTCCAGACTGGTCGCGGAACATCTTCTTTTTGTTGTTGGTGATGGTGGGGTAGAAGGCCGCACCAATTCCTGCCCCACCTGATTTCGGATCAGTCAATATTGAAGAGGCACTGGGGGTCAGTTTCTGTGGAGAGTTGACCTCTTTCTCCTCCAAAACCGTCCGGACGACGCCACCGCGCGATCTATTGAGAACATCTTCCGCAGAACCCGTGCTTGGCAATATGGTGGGAAAAGTGTATTTTCTCTTGCGGGGCGTATGACCGGTAGGGAGACACTCTTTGAGTGGGGCGGACTCAACCTTGATACGGAGTTGGGATAGGCGTTCTTGAGCGTTGGAGCTGAAAGATTCGACTGCAGCAATGCTCTGGGCAGCGAGCTCCGACGCCTCCTCGAATGATCCCATTTCGTTTCGAAGGGTGTCAATGAGGGACGAGAACTTGTCAACGAACTGCCGGCCACCATCCACGATCTTGTTGATGCTCTCCATCGAAATGCCGTGGTATTTGTCGTTCATGGAATGAGCGTTTGCAACCGCCTGGTCCAAATCTTGCAGCTGGACACCGACGTCTTCCGTCTGTTCTTCCACGAGCTTGATGGTTTGTGCGTGGATGGACTTGGTGGTTTCCTTGATGGCCAAATTGCGGGATTCAACGTTCTATTACAATCATTAGTTTCCGCAGCAAAGGGCTTGACTTTCTACGGGCACAACTCACCTTCCAGTCATCAGTCAAAACAGACCGAACAGTCTCCTTTGCATCACAGAGCCTTGTGTAAAACAACTCCTCTCGCGCAGACCAGGATTCGATAGTCTCCTCGTGGGTCTTCGAAGCCGCTTCGAGTCGGGTTTGGGTGGCGCCAATATCCGCCTTGACAGTCAAAACACGCTCGGTCAAGCGCTTGTCTTGTGCAGCCCCGGTGTTATTGATAAGGGTGGTGATCTGGGAGATCAGGTTCTGACGATCCGCCGCAGCCTTTTCCCGCTCCTCAACCAATATTGTCTGTAAACTTGACTGGGCGGTCGTTGTGGCAGCTGACGCAGTTGCTGTTGCCTCGGCAAGCTGGCTACGAAGAGTCTCAATTTCGGACTTTTGCGCAGCCATGTGCTCCTGAGCTTCTGTGACCATGGCCTGGAAGCCAGCATCAAACTTCTCGTACGAGACGTGCAACTAAACCTGATAAGTAATTGACTATGAAATTGGGGCGATATGTGTACCTCGGCTCCAAAATTCCCAAGGTCTATAATAACATCCTCCGCCATCCGCTTCGCCGCATCATTCAATCCCCTAAGACCATTTCCTATCCGCGTTTTCAGGTCCACCCTCAGTGTCAAGATCTCCTGGAGAATCAGATCTGTATCGCGTTGCCGCTCATGCGTTGTAGTGAGGCCGGCATCTGCGGTGGCCTGGAAATCTGCAAAGCGTTGCTCGACAAAGTTATAGGCATCCTGTAATGTGTTCTTCTCGGCTTCCACAAACGAAGCGATCCGCTGAGAGATATCACTCGAAATGTTCGCTTGCTCATCCTTGAAGAGATCTACCGCATCCTCAAGGGCATGGGTAACTTGCGAAACCTGGGACGAGCTCCTCATCCACGACGAATGATTCTCAACTTCCACGTTCGCCATTCGTCCGATCTTAGCCCTTAATCCGTCGATGTCAGAAGTGGTGGAACGAGCCGTAGCAAGAAGATCATGCGCGGCGGCACCAAGCTCCGTCTCGGTTTTCTGGTGTGCCTTCCTCAGTGTGGTCTCCTCCTTGAGTTTTGTCGTTGTATCCGACAGAGTGATCTCGGTATTCCTCAAAATTTCTTTCGTCTCCTCCATGTGGCGAGTCTGCTCCTCCAGACTGGCCTTGGTACCCAAAAGCTCCCCCATATTGTGTTCGAACTGCTCTCTCAAACGGGTAATTTGATTCTGCAAAAGCTCTTCACCCCGTCTTGCCTCCTCGACTTCCGCCTTTTGAAGTTCCACGGTCTCGTTCAAGCGGCTAAACTCTTCTTGTGGAAGGAAAATACCGTTCTTCAGCCGGGCAGCATGAAGAGCAGACTTCAATCGTTCGATGTCCGCGACGTATTCCGCAATTACGGTCTTCTTGTTCAACATCTGGTTCACCTGGGGCTTGTTCTGAATGTCCTTTGCCCTCGCCGCATAGTCCAACGTCGACATCGTCTCCTCGAGGTTGATCTTAGCGGGTGAAATGGTTGCGATGATGGTGGTCTTGGTACGACCTCCAAGGGAATCTTGCAAAAGACGGGTGAGTTTCGACTCCCTACAGCAGCGTTAGTCTATCTTGAACCCGAGCTATGGTCCCCCGGATGTCGCACCTGTAAGGAATGTGTGTAGCTTGGTCGACCAACGCGTTGATGACTCTTCCCAAAGTCAACAAGCTCTGGTTGATCATGCCTGCCTCCCGTGCGCGTTTGTTCTCTGCCCCCGAGCGCCCAATATTCTCGGATCCAGCCAAATCAACAAGATTAAGCTTTCCGGTCCTGATGAGAACTTCGCCATCCTCAGCGATAGTCTTCAAATTAACCGTGATGGTGAATACGGTATGTGATCGCGAACTGAGGTCGTTACATTTCGTAGCAGCCACTTGTCGCTTGTGACTACCTTCCTGAAGCAGTGCCACACCCTGTTTGGCGGACATGATGTATGTCTCCTCCATTCCTTGGACCACAACGCCGCCCTTTCCATTGGCCGCATCGTATATCTTGACTTTCTGCGACTCGTCCACGCATAGCAGATCTCGCAGCTCTTCATTATAGAGCTCGATGAACGAGCACTTCACCGAAGTGTCGTCCTTGTCCTTTCCAAGCTTCTCGAAGAGCTTGTGCAGAGCGCGGGGGATGATTCCGGCGAAATCGGCATACGAGCCATAGTTGTCCGACATGTCTCCGGTCATGGTGTATGTCTTTCCAGTGCCGGTCTGTCCGTACGCAAAGATGGTACAATTGTAACCATCCAACACCTATCGTCCGCGAGTAAGCCGCGGCCGCCACCATCGCAAACCCTCCCCTCCCTCGCAGAGCGACTTACCTCGTTAAGGAGCGGCTGTACGACATTGTCGTAGATCCTCTGCTGATCGGCCTCCGGTCCAAAAGTCCTATCGAAGGTGTATATCTTATTTTCTATCGACGCGAGCGGGCCTAGCGCCAATGCAACCTCCGTCGTGCTGGGATGCGACACGATGACCGCGCTATTCTCCGCCTTCTCCCTCTCCGATCGACCTCTGCACCTGACCACAACGTTGATATTCGCCCCACTGACCGGGCGCGGTGGAGGACCATGGTGGTCATCATGTGATTCGCCCGATGCCTTGCGCGGCGACACAGTTCCGGCACGTGATCGGGTCGATCGTGCTGGGGAGCTCATAAGGCTGTTGTAGTTTCGCGTTGAGGTTCCGGGACGTGCTGGTGCTCGCATTGATCCCTGGGCGGCGGTTTTTCGGAGGCCTCCTGCTTGGAGGCGCGAAGAGCCGTTCATGGCTCAGTGGGGGTTTGGGGGTGTATGAGCGCGCAGTAGATATCAGTACGAGTCCGAGAATGCGAGGATTGCGAGGGGCGTGTCGAGCAGCGTATAGGCGAGCGTGGGCGTTGAGTGATGTTGTGTACAGATGAATAGTGTTGGGTGAAGAGATTTCCTAGGATACCAAAATGAAGTGATGCGGGTCTATGTCGAGTCGAAGCTTCACGAAGGGAGGAGCGAAGGGTGTCGTGGGGTGTCTTCGCTTGGATTGCTAGTGTTTTGACGTGCAGAGTCAAGTAAACAAAGGAAGAGAATCACAACATTGCCAAGCCTTTTTGCATGCAAGCGAGAACCGGCACAGGTCTGTGGTCAAAGAGCGGGGCACACCAGACATTGAAACTTCATTTTACAGAACATCACGGGAAAACAGCAATACAGTGAACAAAACAATGCTACTGGACTACCAAGTGGCCCCCGAGGAGTACGAACCCAGTGACTAGAAAATAGGCCATAAGGAGACGTTAAAGGGGCAAATAAAACAGGATGCGCGGAAAAAAGAAAAGAAAAAAAGAAGAAAAGTACATTTGAGAACCCACAATCCAGCCAAACCAAAAAACAACCGCAGGAAATAGAAGAATACCTAGGCCAAAAACACCGAAAACTTGTGTAAGAAACCGAGACAGAAGCGAGATATAAGGCCGTCCGAAAAATCAGTTGCCCCTTTCCCGAAAAACAGTATTACCATAGTGTTACAACAGCAAGAAAAAAAATATTGTCAGGCTAGGTGGAGCGTGTGGAACTTGTCACGAGCGTCGGAGCTACTCTGCGTCTCTTCTTGTCTCCACCGGGTTGCTCGGCGGGGGTTGCTGGAGCACTGGTTTGACCTGCGGCTTCTTTTGAGTTGGTCTTGGATGACGGTTTGGGAGCTCCATCCCTCTTACCGAGAACGCTGCTGTTGCCATTTCCTCCACTCTGAGGGGTTTGTGGCGGAGTAGTTAAGGGAACGCCCGATACTGTTACGCCGGGGAGCGCTCCAAGAGTGGGCGTTGGGTTGTTGACTGCTGTGCTTGAGGTTGTTGACGATGCCGATGGAGACCTAGCAGGAGAGCCTGGGCGCTGGTATGGGTGCTGAGCCGGCGATAGCGGAGGAATGGGTGTAGAACCTGCCCTATTGCTAGGCGTCGAGGTAGGTTGGAATGTTGGAGTCGACACAGAGGTTGGCGTTGGCGTGGCCGGACCGTGGACAATCCCGGTGTATCTCTCTCCCAACTCACCCAAAGCAAACATCACCACCGAACAGAATCCGTCGGTGGACGTCATCAGCAAAGTCAGGCCGTCCGTAGACCTAGAGTACGGTTAGCATAGCATCTAAACATCGCGAGGCAACAACATACCAAGTGAGATCTGTGAAGGCAGCATAATGCAGATTGCTAACAACGCAGATGGGGGTCTGTTGCTGAGTGTCGTAAACAAGAACTGCATCTTGCGTAGCGACCGCATAGACCACCCTGTAGGGAAGCGAGAAGGCGGCTGTTGGGGTGCTGGGAGTGGATGGCGTGTCTTTGGACGCTCCTGGCGTCGAAGGCGGCTCCATCTGAGTAGTAACGGCCGGCGGCGGGAGGGAGGGAATTGTATCATCCGATGATGAAGTGTCAACAGTGATGCTTTTCGTGGGCACACCGGCTGATCTCAGTGTATAGAGAATCGGCGAACACTTGATTGCGATCGACGGCTTCTTGTGCCCTGGCAAATGCGCAATTGGTGGCTTATTCAGTCCAGCACGTGTGTAGATGTAAACGGTATTGATGATCTCGTCCGACTTGGTGCCATCTCCAGCCACAGGATGAGACACCTTATATTGCCCCGCGGGGGTAAGCAACAGGCTACCGTCGGGCGTGAACGTTAGACGCCGGAAAAACGACGTCAGAGTTTCATTGTAGTAGATATTAGTATTCCTCACGCCGAGTCCGTGAACTTTTGGCGAAAAGTCCATCGGCTTCACCGCCGGAAGCGGAAGAGCCGGGGAAGGTGAAGTCGACCTACGCAGCGACGGCGAAGAGCTGAAGGAGCTACGGCGGCTGGCTGTAAGCATTGGCGGATTCATGGGCAGCGAAAAGGACGTAGGCGTCCCGGGTGTCGACGGCGCAGGCGAAGCTATCACCGCTGACGAGTTCGGTGGGAAATCACTGCTGCGCATTGGGATGTCCGGTGGGGCTGGACTGTTGGAGGATATCCGTCTGCGCGGGGGAGGAAGGTCCATCCGCGAGATTTTGCCGTGCTGCGACAACGAGAACTGCCCATCTTTTGACTTAAGCGTGTAGATGTGAACCGATCTGTCGGAGCTTTGCGTCGCAACGAACTCGTTCAGTGGGTCCCAAGCGACACCCTGCACGTAGTGATTGTGTTCGGCAATCTGACGAACCATCTGACCTTCAAACCTCACACATCTCAGCATACCAGTAACGCCTCACATCGCGAAAATCCCTACCGGTTTGAGCATTCCACACTCTGGCAACGTTGTCCATGCTTCCCGTGATGAAGAATATGCCGTCGGGAGACCAAGCGAGATCGTAGATCTCCGATCCCATGGATCTACACATGTGCTTGAGCCTCCATGTTTCTTTGTCTTCATGGTCTTCCTCTCCGAAAGCGGCTGCATGATGATGGTTGGGTTCGGCCGGCACCCACAGGATGATGTTGCCGTCGTCGCCAGCGGATGCAAGCATTTCACCTATAGGCGCCGAACGTGGGTCAGCCTAGCACCGTGCAAGAGGCGATCAAAGGAAACAAGCGTGGAAGGAAGGACAGTACCTCTAGGACACCACCGAACGACATTGACAGCTTGGTTGTGTTTGGAGAGCGTGCTCAAGTAGACTGGTTTCCGCTCGTCGCCCTCGCCTTCCAACTTCCAGATCTGCAGGCGCAACAGAGCGTTAGCAATCGATCCCCACACGGAAGGAGAAACGACAGGGCGCTTCAACATACCCGGACATTGTTGTCACCGCCTGCCGTTGCGAGCCGGCCCTTCCCATGAGGCTCAAAATGAGCGCTGTAGATGGGTTCGTCGCGCTCACTCCAGTGAACGGTAAGTGCGAGCGCCGCGGGCATGGTTGAAAAGCCTTATGGAAGGCGCAATAATCGGGTAACCGAGCCCGTGGAGAGGGTGGTAAGGCTGCACAATGTGCCGCGACTTTTTGGTGATCGTGAGGTTGCTTGTGGATCGGGGTGCGCACGAGGAGAGACAGACGAGTAGTTCAATGTTATTGTGAGGATTGAAGAGCTGGTTCTGCGGGAAGGTTATGGAATTGGGAAACGAAGGAATACGTAGAGAGAGAGAGGGTGAGGGGGAGAAGTCGGGGGGGGGTGGGTGGTTGGAGAAGTTAGATGGGGGGTGTATGTGTGACGGTCGTACGGGTTGCAGTGGTTATGGGTCGCCAGTCTTTGCTATGAGCTCCAAAGCTCCTCTTCGCCCCAGCAACGAAACCACGGCCACGGACGATACGGAAGAGAGAAAAAAATATATATATGAATTAATTCTAGACTCAGCTACAACTGTATTGGATTGGAAGTTTGTGTGAGAGGAGTTCGAATCTTGAGTTTCCCCCACACTCTGAATTTTCCACTTTAAACATGCGTCCACCAACCAGCGTTCAACTGCCGAACGAAAACAGTTTGCATTGCAATTAGGGCTCAGGGCTTGTGATCGGGCATTGCAGGAATATCAAAACATCTTTCGGGCTGTCATACGATTCGCAAGCCGCTCGGATTCTCGATCCTGCGACTCATCGTCCTATAGAGGACCTGGCAGCTATCGACCAGACAACCAAGTCATCAGAGCCTCGAGCAAGAAGTATTTACCTCTGTACTTCATGCGGTAGACAATACTTCTGATATACCGGTGCGGTCCTCCGCACAAGGCCATGGTGGCTGCTTACAACGATCCCAAAGAACACACAACCCCATCCGTACTTGTGGTGTCTGCCGGGCATGGGTGGTCGTGTGTAACGCCTGCGATAGATACGATAGAGAGAGAGTGTCCATATCAGTTCATCGATAGATATGATAGGCATGCCACTATCCAGTAGTTAGTAGGGTAAGGTGGATTCAATCGAGTGATATCTCTCCTGCTGACATGATGGTAGATAACTGACGAAAGCCTCCATTGCTGCCATCGTGCTATCTGCTATCGTGTTATCGATACGAAGATCGGAGATCTTTGAGTAGCACGTCATGCCCGTCCATAATATAGGTATCTCTGGTAGGTACAAACGGATTCATCCCATTTATGTCTATCATTTAAAGGGGCCGAAAGAGAGTCCTTAAACGGGGCCCTATCCCTCCAGCGGGATTCGAAGTTGCGAATAAACAATGCCCACAGGCATACACCACCTTCAGTAACCAGCATCATCGAATCCTACCCCCCGCTCATAGGCGCGTCAGGCCTCACGTCACGTGCATTGGGAGGCCCAGATAAACGGTTGTAGCCGGTTTACCGCATCTGACCAAACCCGTTACGGCAGATTCGGGCCTCCTTGTGATCCTGCGATCCGAAGAGTGGCAGGTAGATCCGGGAAAAGGCTCTGCTCCTGCCGAACCGGATACGACCGTGCATTCACTTCATCGACTCGAGTCTTACAGCAGGTCGAAATTGAAACCCGGAGTTCGCCATCTTCAGAGTGCTGCAGCTGGTTGCTCACCGTGAGCCATCGCGTCTGCCCGGATTACGGTGTGATGTCCACTTGCCTAACATCTAAACAGGAAAAAAACGGCTGTCTGACTCAAACGATTAGCGGAAACGTAACACAGAAGCGCAAACACTTGAGAAAAAAAAGAGTGATTAGGGAAGTACTAGAAGTATAAAGCGACGTGAGCTCGAAGAAATTGGGTCCACCTAGGTACAATCTCGCAACGTTGACCGAATTGAAGAATTCTTCACCAGCGCGCCGCCAACCCTGCCCATACGGATATCGATTCCTCCAAGTCAACAACAGTTTCGGTTGGGTGCGACGACCGAGCCTGTCCAAACGGCGACTGTCCGAGAACGCCGTGCGCACGAGGTGGTGCCTTGCATGATGGGCTTCATCACTGAGCACACCGAGGTTCCAGTGGCGGTGATTTCCGCTGTTGTCATTGTTGGTTCTACACTGCTGTGTTTGCTTCGATTTGTTCGCCGAATTGCATCCGACAAAGAAGAATCCCACGAGGAAGCTCCAGGCAGACTTTATGAAGATGAAGATGGAATCTCTACTCGCGAATCCATGGCTGGTTACATTGTACGACCGCAGAAGATCATTATCCTCATCGCGGCTTGCTGTGGTCTTTTCGCATCGATAGCGTTCGGAATCAGAGTATCTGCGACTCCGGCCAAGACGACCAACCACGGAATGGCCATTGCGTGGATTTCCACGGCCAATTGGGTAAGTTTCGATTCTCCCATAACTGAGGTTACGACGTTGACCTGTCTTTCAGGCCTGTCTCTTCGTGCAAAGCATCTTTCTGTATCTCGAGCGAGCCTGTGGCCCCAGTTTTGGTCACTGTAGGCGCTTATTCGTGCTCGCGATGACGTTCCTGGTAGCGGAATCGGCAATCCTGCTTTTGAGGCCTCCCTCGGGCATCAGGACTCCAGACTTCTGGTTCCCTATCATCCAGGTCCTTTCAACGATCGCGGTCGCCACGGCGGCGGTCTTTATTCCGCGACGGCCTGATGTGTATTTCAACGGCCAGCAAGTTGACGGGATGCGAACTGCTTGCTTGTTTTCACGATATACCTTCTACTGGGGAACCACGATCCTCCAAAAGGCGGTAGAAAAGGGCCACTTTGATGAGGAGGACCTTCCTGTTCTAGATCGTGCAAGACGAGCAGAACGTCTTCAGGAGGAATTCTACGCCATCCAAAAGTCTCCAAAGTTGTATCGGCACATCTTCCGGGTGCACTGGAAAACATTTATGATGACTTGGGGCCTGACTGTCATCGCGACACTGTCGACCTTCACCCCACCGCTCATCTTGAATCAACTCCTGAAATACCTGGAAAAGCGCGACAGAGGAGAGGGAGACGACATAACACAAGCTTGGCTGTGGGTTGCAGCACTCGGCCTCATCAAGCTCTTCGAAACTATGATTCTATCATATATGTACTGGTTAGTCTCTATAACCGCGAGGCTTCCCGTTTTTTGGCGGTGTGCATTGCTCATACTTCACCTTCCAGGCTGTCTTATATGGGTTTGATGATTCCACTTCGAAACCAGCTGTCTGCCGTCGTGTTTTCGAAAACTATGCGGAGAAAAGATGTCAAGGGAACGCAGAAAGCAGGCGAAACCGAAGGCAATGGGGAGAAGGAAGACGAGGAAGACGAGTTGAAAGACACCAAGCAAGGCGTAATCAATTTGCTTTCTGTAGACTCCGAACGTATAGCTACCTTCTGCGCTCTGTCGAATATCTTTATCGAGTCATTCACAGGGACAATATTTGGCTTCATTTTCATTATCATCATCCTCGGGTTCGTGCTCTGACCCCCGTCTGGACCTCTTGCACGGTGTTGATTTGTCTGCTATCGTAGGTGGCAGAGCTTGGTTGCGGGTATGGCCGTCATAGTCGTTACGACTCCACTGAACATCTACTGCACGAAGAAATATTCCAAGGCTCAGGACGACTTGATGAAGATCAGGTAAGCCATGGAGCTCATTGGACCAAATCATACGGATGAAGATCATTGAATCTCATAATTATACAGGGACAAGAAAATGGCTGTTGTATCGGAAGCCCTGCAAGGCATCCGGCAAATCAAGTTCTCTGCCTTGGAGGATAGATGGGAGCACAAAATCCGATGTGTGCGCGAAGAGGAGCTGGGTATACTCAAGAGAGTGTTCATTGCAGATACCATACTCATCGCGGTCTGGATGTGAGTTCTCTCGCTTTGTTTGTCTTTGCCCTCGGCCTAATGGTGGCCGAAGAATCAATCCAGTGTTTCTCTCAGCAGTGGCGCTCTCAGTTTATGCGATAATCAATGGCTCAATTTCGCCATCGATTGCCTTCTCGGCACTGGCCATCTTCGGTGAACTGGAGTGGACTCTCTCGATCGTACCAGAAATGGTCACAGATGGTTTCGACGCATTCGTCAGCGTTCTGAGGATCCAAAAATATCTCGATTCTGCGGAGATGAAAAAGACCACCACGGATTCGCGCAGGGTCGCAATGGTACATGCTACTTTTGCCTGGTCTGCGGATACGGATGCCGAAGACGAGGCGGATAGGTTCTGCTTACGCAATATCAACTTGGAATTTCCTCTCGGCGAACTGAGCATTGTTTCGGGACGTACAGGCTCGGGCAAGAGCTTGCTTCTATCGGCACTGCTGGGCGAGGCGGATCTGATCAGTGGTAGGATCGAGATGCCCCCGGCACCAGCCTGGGAGGAGCGTTTCGACTCTAAAGCAACACCAAGCAACTGGGTGAGCAACTAGTATGAAGGCGATGGCTCGGATACAAGAGTGCTAATACGTCTAGGTATTGCCTAATGCCGTTGGATTCGTAGCGCAAATTCCGTGGATAGAGAACGGAACAATTAAGGACAACATCCTCTCCGGTCTGCCATTCCACGAGCGAAGGTACCGCCGAACCATCGAGGCATGCGCGCTTACCAAAGATCTCGAGATGCTTACCGACGGAGACATGACTGAAATCGGTGCCAATGGAATTAACCTGAGTGGTGGACAACGCTGGAGGGTTTCTTTTGCTCGCGCTGTTTACTCACGAGCCGGAATATTGATCCTGGACGACATCTTCTCAGCTGTCGATGCTCATGTCGGGAAGCACATCTTCGAGAACGGATTGACTGGTGATCTGATGCGTGGCCGCACCCGTATACTGGTTACCCACCACCTCAAGCTCTGCATGTCCGAGGCTGCATATGCGGTATTCCTGTCAAATGGTACCGTCGAAAATGCGGGGTCGGTGGCACATTTGCAGGAGCTCGGCATCCTTGACCGTATCATCGCTAAGGTAGAAGACGGTGCTGAAGAGGCAGAGGAGCAAATCGTAGAGGAAGATAACGAACTGCGGAGGACTATCACGAGAGAGAGTGCCATGTCTCGTCAGACTGACCACGTTGGCCATGGGGCTCCCATCATCATTCCTAAGACGCTGCAGTTCATTCAGGATGAGGAGAGAGAGCGAGGTGCTGTGAAGTGGACGATATACAAGGCGTATCTAACTTCGAGTGGAGGGTATGTGTCATACTTCCATTGGGCTTCTCTTTACTGACTTGAGCTCAGTTTCTGGGTATGGGTATTCATTGCGATATTCTTTGCTTTCCAGGAATGTCTGCTTATAGGAAGGGTGAGTAAACCGATCCGTTCCAGCCCCAACCGCGTGGTGGTGCTGATTATGTTCGTATAGCAATGGTGGATCAAGTCCTGGACCTCGGAAGGAGCTCAAGTATCTGCACACCATATCACCAGTTTGATGCAATACTCTTTGCAGAGGCTTGCAATTGTGGCATCCGAAAACCACACTCTCGTCTACTGGATTGGTGTTTACACAGCTTTGAGTTTCATCGCTTGCCTTTTTGGCACACTAAGATACGGTATGGACACTCTCCCTTAAGAGTTTACTATGTTTTTGGCTGATACTTTCGATTTAAAGGCTATGTCTTCATGACTTCACTTCGGGCATCACGTGTCCTCTTTGATGAATTGCTCAATGTGGTTCTTCGGGCACCTCTTCGGTATGCTTTTACCTGCATCCAAGACTCGTGCCAATACTGACATGAAGCAAGATGGCTGGATACTGTACCTACAGGGCGGATACTAAACAGATTCAGCAAGGACTTTGAGACTGTTGATTCGCGTCTGACGAACGACATTGCGTACCTTATGTGGAACTTATTCCGAGTAGTGGGCACCAATATTGCCGCGTAAGTATCGCTGAGCCTGGATGCAAACGCAATAGCTAATTTACGCCAGTGTTTACCTCTCGCCCTACGTTCTACTCGTTGCCTTGGTATGCCTCGGCGTCAATATCCAATACGCCTTCCACTATCTGGCTGGTGCACGGGAGATCAAACGGCTAGAAAGCAACAGCCGAAGCCCTATCTTCGAGCTCTTCGGCGCAGCGCTGACCGGCGTCGCCACAATCCGAGCATTCGGGCGATCTCAAGGGTTCACCGACCGAATGTTCGCCAGAATCGACGTATTCGGGCAGCGCACATGGTATAACTGGGTGTTCAATCGATGGGTTGGGCTTCGCATGAGTCTTGTCGGCACGGTATTCGCGGTAGTTATCGGAGTCCTCGTGGTCGCGATGCGTGACATCGATGCGTCTATGGCGGGTTTTGCTCTGAGCTTTACGCTTAATTACACTGGATACGTCATCTGGACCTTGAGACGCTACGCAAATGTGGAGCTGGACATGAACAGCACCGAGCGGATTGTGGAATACACCTCGCTTCCAACCGAAGACCGAGGCGGCGTTCTTCCGCCCGCTGCATGGCCTACCGAGGGCAGGGTTGAAGTCGACGATCTGTACGTTAGTTACGCACCAGAGCTCCCACCCGTCCTCAAGGGAATTACATTCGACGTCCAGCCTCGGGAGCGTGTAGGACTTGTCGGTCGAACCGGCGCCGGAAAGTCATCCCTCACCCTCGCACTATTCCAGTTCATCCGAGCAACCTCCGGCACAATCTTCATCGACGGTATCGACATCTCCACCGTCAACCTTCGTGAGCTGCGTAGTCGTCTCGCGATCATTCCACAGGATCCCGTGCTCTTCTCTGGAACTATCAGGTCCAACCTGGACGCGTTTAATGAGTACACTGATGCAGAGCTGCAGGAGGCGCTCCAGCGAGTGCACGTTGTGGGAACGTTGACCGCCGACTCATTCTCGGCATCCGGCTCCTCGGCGACGGGTGGTGAAAATCTGAATGTCTTTGCTAGCCTAGACTCGAAGGTTTCGGAAGGAGGTCTCAATCTGAGTCAAGGGCAAAGACAACTGCTCTGCCTTGCTCGAGCCATCGTTTCGCGGCCCAAGATACTCGTGCTGGATGAGGCTACGTCCGCCGTCGATATGGAGACAGATGCCCTCATCCAGAAGAGTATCCGCGAGGAGTTTAGGGACTGCACGACGCTTGTTATTGCGCATAGATTACAGACGGTGATGGACTATGACCGGATTTTGGTTCTTGGTGACGGAAAAGTTTTGGTAAGCAATTCATACCTCCCCTCCTCTCTTCCAGATCCAACTAATTATGATCCTCAGGAATTCGATTCTCCCTGGAAATTAATACAGGCAAAGGGTGCCTTTTACGACATGGTCCAGCAAACTGGTGCGGAAAGTGAAATTCTGGAAGACATTGCGAGGAAGGCAGCTAGTGCCGAAGATCTAATGAGCTTTTGATGAGATGGTCGTGGGGATTTCAGTTTCCTTTTTTCTTCTTTTCGTATGTAGGTGTCAATCGAAAATTGGCTTCGTTCTCAGATCAAGTACCTAGGTGACTTGGTTTTGCACCTACATCTTATCCGTCTAGACCCGGAGGTCACGACTCACTGGATGCTCTGCTGCCATCCGGAAGTGATATTTTGATCGAATAGTAGTGGCATTCCATTAGCATAGGTAAGGGAGCAAGTGCTTATGGGTTTGCTCAAACTTCAAAGTAATTGCACCACTCAAAATAGAACCCTTTACAGCCAACTATGAGATGCTCTGCCATTCATGAACAACTGGATACCACTCCAGGATTCACTTTGTATCACTTTATCTCACTCGGAAAATATGCCCAAAAAGAAAACGGCTAGGGCTGAGCCAAGCCGTCCATCTCATCCACAGGCCGTGAGCCACAACGGAAACTCACAACACGCACGCGTAGCCTGCCGAACCCAAACATCGCGCTCCAGCCCGCCGCCCGCCCCACCAGCAACGTCGCCCGCCGCCGCCTCACCCGACCGACGATAAGAATATTCCCCTAATGCACAACCCCTCAAATGGCCTCCCGTACGAAACTCATCCCCGCTTCCGAAGCCGCGCGCACCCAACTAACTCACCGCTCACAGAAAATGAAAGATACCAGGAGCGGCTGGCTGCGCGGTTACGAGGTGCTGGGTAAAACTTCCCTTCGCATGGCGATGGAGTCTGGGAAGCTTCATGCTGAAATTTCGAAGAGCGCGCAAGGTTTCAAACCCAGGGTTTGATCTTGATCTCCTAGCAACACCGGAATCCGCTCCCCCGGCGGCGCCGCCAACGCAGCTACCAGCAATCGTGACCCCGACTCCGCTCGTACCAGCGGTCCGGAGCGCACCGGCAGAGACTCCGAAGACGCGCCGTACCTCGCCGCGTAACGTGCGAACGACCAGCAACAACAACAATGAGCCGCGCCGGTCCGTCTTCGGAAGTGGTACGCCGGAGGCTAGAGGGAAGCGAACGCGGCAGCCAAGTCCCGACAAGTTTTTGGATACGCCGGAGGCAAAGGCGGTGCAGCAGGGACAACAGGCGCGGGTGGCGGTTAATGGCGATAGGGAGGCACGGAGGCTGGCGCGGTTGAGGGGTGCAGGGTATGTTGGAGGAGCTCCTGGTGGGAAGGGTCTTTGTTGACAAGCATTGACAGCACGCGGACGGTTGCTCAAGCTGGGTTCGATATTGGTGGCTTGTTGGAGTCACCGGCGTCGCCGGCGAAGAAAAGGAAGATTGAGACACCACGGCACGAGTCGGCCTCGCAGCCGGAACCGGAACGTATACCAGAGTCGCAGCCCGAACCGGAGTCGCAGCCCGAACCGGAGTCGCAGCCCGAACTAGAGTCGCAACCGGAACCGGAATTGGAGCCTCCGGTGGAGGAGGAACGGATGGATCATCGGAGCAAGGAAAATGCATTGTTAGATGAGCAGCACGAGACTATGGTTGAACCAGAGCCTATACCTGAGCCAGAGCCAGAGCCGGAATCGGAGCCAGTAGCAACATTCGAGCCCGAACCTGTTGAGTTTGATGTAACACCCGAGGTGGAAGTTGAGGTAGAGGAGCCGGAAAAGCCACCAGTCCTCGTCCGAAGATCGCCCCGCCAAACCCGAAAGGCGCCACCGACTCCACCGCCCGCCTCGCCTATGGTCGAAAAGCAAACGCCAACACCACACCCTGCACGGAAATCACTCGGGAAGAAGCCCGCAGCGCCAAAGATTAGCGAGGAAGAAGAGCGGGAGGCTGAGGAGGCAGAACGCAGTGCACTTAAGCAGGCACAGGTGGAAGCGGCTAGGGAAGCACGAATAGCACGCTTTGCCGAAAAGAAGGCTAGGGCAAAAGAAAAGGCGGAAGCAGAGGCACGATTGGCTGCCGAGGAAGAAGCCGAGGCCGCGGCAAGAGCGGTGGCACTGCGGGCGCAGAGGGCGAAAGCGAAGGGTAAGGAAAAAGCGAGGCGACAGCCAGAGGCTGAACCTGAACCGGAGGTGAGCGAGGACGAGGTGGAGGCGGAGGCGGAAGAAATCGACGAATCCCAGGTAGTAGAGGAAGACGAGGAAACTCCTCCTCCGCAACCCAAGAAAAACCGGAAGTCATCCGCTCAGAAACGGCGGGATGATGACTATGCCGCGGGGGAAGGCAATGAACCCCGCCAGAAACAACCCAAAGATGGTGTTGAAATCCTGATTCATCGTTTCGACAAAGCCGCCGGCATCATCGCACCTCCGCCCCAAAGTAACCGCAAAGGTGTCAACCCTGCAGACATTGTCTACACGCTTCTTATCGAGCAGATCGACCGCGTCTATCCGAATTTACAAACCAGAATTGAGAAAGAGGCTGTAGGAATCTTCAAGGAGGAGCTCGCGGCGAAACTGCGTCAATTGGTATACTTCCCACCATGCCCGATTGTTAGCTCGAACTATGTGCTGACTGATAAACCACAGACGGATAGCATCGAAAACTATCTGAACCTCCAGGTCCGGAACCGCCAAGCTATCAGACGGAAGCTACAGCTCCAACAAGAGATTCTGGAGATCAAGAAGCAACGGCAACTCGTGGCTGTGCAGCAAGACGAAGTTAGAAACAAGCACGAGAGCGCGTCCAAGCGAAACCAGGTTTGTCATTGCCACAATTCCTCTTCTAGCCCTTTTTCACACCAGCTAATGACTGGGTAGATCCGGCAAAGAGTAGGTTCGGCCTACGAGGGCGTCACCGACCTCGTCGAGCGCGCAGAAGTTGAATTCGCAAACCTACCATTATCGGAACTGGAAGCCACTGTCGAAAGCGGTCTCGACGCACTCATATACCGGCTTGCACCGCTCGTAACAGGCGGTGGTGCGGATGGATCGGGGATGCTGGGCAGGATTGTCGAGTTCAATCGCGAGCTTGAGAGACTGACGGAGATGCTGAAGGAACATAATAGTACCATGACTTTGTAGGGGTCAAGAAATACCATTTGTTTTTTCCCGGTGGGGTTTTTTTGGACATTACTGTGTGTGTTTTGGTGTGGCTGGGGTGTCTTCTTTCTTGCATCGGCGTTTGGTATAGGGCTGTTTGGTGTATGAATTACTTACCTGTTTCTTTCTTCTTTATCTTGCCAGGTACGCACTTGGTACCGTCTGTATAATAGCCGCAGCTGTGGAGTACTGTTATACCCATTGCGTTTGTTCGATTCGAAGGTGGGGTGGGGTGGAGTCGGAAAGATGTTGGTTCTCGTTGCGGAGTTGGGATCCGAGTGATATGAGTGACGGTGAACCACACCAAAGAGGCTATCCGTCGTGGATCCCATAGCTACTAACTACACTTCATTGCCCCATCCAATGCCTGAGGATTTTTGTCTGCAATACCCATTCACGCACCCAGAACCATCATCTGCAATATCTCTTCCATGCCCCATTCACTCACCCAGCACCATTGTCTGTAATGCCCCCTTCACGCACCCAGCACCATCATCTACAATACCCCATTTACTCACCCAGCACCATCACCTGCAATGCCTCATTCACGCACCCAGTACCATCGTATGCAATGCCCCTTCAATGCCCCTTCAATGCCCCATTCAATGTCTCGTTCAATGCTCCATTCAACGTCTCACTCAATAGTCACACTGATGATCACACTTACGATCACTCGGAGAAGTGCCTAAAGATACAGCATTCCAAGCTCTCACTACCACCCGTAGGGCCTTCCACCCGCCATTCACTTCGCCCGCTTCTTCTCATCCTCTAGACACAACACAACACAGCTCATCCGGTGCAGGCAGTGGGGTGGGTAGGAAACAGTGTATAAAGTATGTGCTCAGCCATGATCCACCGAGGTCGATTCTCGAATGCCATGATGATTAAACAACCCCCCAAAAACCAGCGGAATTGAAGCTGCATAGGGGGGGGGGGCGCGCTGTACCGTACCGTACCAACTAACCAACCACAGCGAGAACCGTGCAGATCCTACAGCTGCAGTTCCAGTCTTCCAGAAGGACCAGAACTTCAGACTTAGAACGACAGCGTCCAGCCAGTAGGTAGGCAGCAATTCCCAGCTGTATCACCCACCACCCGTAAGGCACTCTCAAGGCGAAGTTGGATAAATGTCTCAAAGTATTCATATATCGATCCCTACCTAAGTATTTCTCTTTACCTAAGTAACAATCCCATTGCCATTGCCATTGCCATTGCCACAGTCCAGTCCATTCCAGTCCAGCCTAGCTGTACCCACCTACGCAACCAACGACAACCCCAAACCCACCCAACCCAACCCCCCAGCCCTCACACCCCTCCCTCCCTCACTACAAGAAAAACTGCAAAACAACCTCATTACTCCACCTCGTCTGCAGTCCCAGCTCCTTCCACGCAGCGGCCACATCAACTTCGAGCACCCTCTTGTCGCTCTTGCTCTTCTGCACCGTATGTACCGGCACCGGCGAGCCAGCAAGGATGGCAAACATGTCGTCGATGTTTCTGTCTTCGAGGTCGGAGATGTAGAAGCCTTTTTTTACGCATCAGTTAGCGGGCTGCGGGTGTAAGGGGGGGGGTGGGATGTGGTACCAAGAGTTCCCAGCGCCTTAAGCTGCACCTGGATCTTCGTCAGAGTCCCATCGTCGCCGATCCAAGTCTGGGTGACAGCCGCGGCGCCCGCCAGCTGCGAGACCAGACCGATGACGCCGACCTCGAAGTCTGCGCGTTTCGTGACGGGAACGGCACTGAGGAACTCCCAGCCGGCGACCTGCAGCGTGAGCGATACCAGCACCTTGTCAGAACCGGGCGTCGCGGGACCAAAGATCTCGCCCGTAGTCTGCGCGCGCACAACGTACTCCTTCCCGTCCAGGATGTTCTCGAACTCGCTCAGGGAGATGAGCTCGGAGTTTTCGTCCGTGGAGACGTTGAAGACCGCCATCATTGACACGGCACCGTAGGCGCTGCGGACTTTGAGGAGGCGGTTGGAGTTGTACGCTACATATGGGTCTAGTGGGATACTTGCTGCGGCGGGACGGAGAACGACGAGGCGGTTGGGTTCGCGGATGGATGTAGCGCCCATTTGCTCGATCAGTGGTAAGGAGTGGCTACCGGGTGTATCGGTGATGTAGATGGGGCCTCCGGAGATGCAGCGGCCGGCCGCGTGCAGTCCCGCGTATTCAGGGAGACTGGTTTGGAACATATCCCAGTCTGGGAGAACGTTCAGATAGGATGTGTATATGTTGTTCATCGCATTGCAGAATAGATGCCACGGGTGTGAGTCGGGGATGTCGGGGTAGAAGTCTGTGTCTCATGAGCGTCGTTCACGGCCACCACTAACTGTTAAGATATACTGACCGTCCGAGTTCCGAAGCAGCACTGTTGGGCCACGGTGTTGAAGCAGCGAGTGAAAGAAGGTGTCCGGGATCATTGCCATGCAGTATATCACCCTCGCTTGGAAATACCTCAAGCCACTAACCTTGAATGCATCCTGATAGGCATGGCCGAGTCTCTTGCGGTCAACGGCGTGATCAAAGTCCGAGAGAGCGCTCTGCACGTCACACTTGACCGAATCCACACCACTGCTCTTCAGGAACCTGTAGAAGTCATTGTACATTCTGTCGACATCGGTTTCGTCCACGATAGTGACGTCGTGTCCGCCACGCCACTTGATCGTCGTGCATTTGTAGTTGGAAGCGATCCAGCCATCGGGGGAAACACCCTCCCAATATCCGACAATGGCATGCCACACAGCGATGTGCGCGATGTACTTGAAACGGCGTTTTATCTCGGATGTCAGTCCTTTCAGACCGTTAGGAAAGTATTCATTGGCTTCGAATTTATCCCAGCGCCTTTGGTTGTCGAGCGACTGCCAGTTATCGTCGATGATCACGGTCGAGACGAATACGCCCTTGTCGTGCAAGTCTTGCAGCGCATTGAGAACACGATCCTGCGTGAGTTCTCGTCCGAGCGAGTTCCACGTACAGTATCCCAAACCGTCATACCATGATTCTCGCCACAATGGCTCCATCTCTGGTGGGGCAGTTTCCTCGGTAACTCCCCACTGCCTCAACAGGTTCCGAGCTTCATCGAACGCTGCACTGATAGCCGAATGCCAATCCAAGCCTGTAGCGACAAGAGCGCGGTGGGATTGAGGCTTGCCACTGTCATTCCTCGCATTCAGAAGTACTCGTCCACTCTCGGAACGGATGTAATTGGTCGTGAAACCGAGTCCCGAAATTGCGAGAACCACCACGTGGCGGCCATCCGATCGTAGCCAGCCAGCAAGGAGTGTATCCTCATCAACATCAAATTTGGTTGTTCCCTGACGCGGCCCCATCCACGGCGCCCGTATCTTCACCTATTTTGCGCGTCAGCACTCGGCCTCCCCGACGGCAAGAAACTCCAACTTACTAAGGCATAGAAGTGTTCCAGCGATACCGGCGCACCCATGTTGGTGGTACTCCACTCATCGTCAAGAGCTGGCGCTGCCGACTCAACATCGAAAAGCTCCACACCCTCAACACCGGAACGAATCTTTTTCACTGACAAGGCGGAATCCGGATCAGAAAAGAGCGAATCGAACGACACGGAAGCTGCAATCTCTGGCCGCCGAAAGATGATCTGCCCATCTCCCAGATGGGTCTGGTCCCGAATCCAGATCCACGAATGGGAAGCTTGAAGCTTGAAGCGCAGTGTAAACTGGAGAGGATTCGGGTTTCCGGTGGAGTTTAGCATCAGTGTGTACAGACACTTCTTGCGTCGGGATTGTTTGCTCGCATCGTACAACTGCGCCACTGTTATTCAGAAAGGTTGTTTCGTGGGGCAGAAGGTCGGGCTACCTACCGTAAGCTCCGAAGATGTTGCCGGGGTAAATGCTGCCGACTGCCATTCTGCGCCTTTATGGCCGTACCATAGCTCGACAATCCAGTTGTTTGTAGGCTCTTCCGATACTTCCAAGCAGGCAACGAAACGGGCCTATCAAGCACTGTCAGAACTGCTCCGTTGCCAGGCGAGATGCCGGGAAAGGTGGTGTTTTACCGCTTCGGAAGAATCCACTACCGTGGAGCTTGCTAACGGGGGTGTGAGGACAGCACTGACGTCTTCGAACGTGAGAATTGACACAGCTACAATAGAGGAGCTCAGGCTTACACATGTTTGATGAGGTTCTGAGGGCTAGCTGGACGTATGAATGGGACACGTTGTTGATAGTGGCGAGGTGTAGAATGGACAGAGGGAGGCTTGTGGACAACAGGTACAGTTAAGGTGAGTAGCTCCGCAGCTGACTGTGAACAGCTTAATGAGTGTCGTACATCGCACTGCAGTTGAGCCCTGCAGGTGCAGCTACAGCACGAGGGCACATTCCAAGGTTCGTAGAGTGCGTTTCGCACACGGGCACAGCTGATCAGTTGACGGCCGGCTCCTCAAAATGCCGCAGCAACTGCCGATGCCGTGTCGTGAGGATTACGGGGAAATGACATTCACCCGGAGCCGACGAAGCTTAAGCATCGCGGCGCGAAGATAGGGACGATTTGCGGTGCAGCGGGTAAGTAGCGGGGTTTCGATTCGAGGAGCTATTGATTGGTGGCCTGTGCGCGCCCCACCAAACTAAAACTTAAAGATTTCTCCGCGTCCAATTCCGAATCACCGGCCCGTCGACGAACACTTAAGTACCCATTCACGTCCGTACCGAACGGCTTCATGGAGCGTCTATTCGTTCGCTCGACATTACGCCTAGCTGCAGTACATCTCCAGCGACCACGAATTGTACCCGTGGCAATACGATGGAGTTCCTCGCAACCGGAGGTGGCATCCCCACGTTCGCTCGTGAAAGAGTTGCGGGACAGAGGCCTCGCTGAGAGCATCACTGGGTGGGTATCCTGTGGTCTTCCCAATCATCGGTGCTGTGTAGTGACGTGGAAGTATGGGAGTCCCATAGACCGGAAGGCCAGCTCAGCTCTCTCGTGGACTCGCAACCAGTGGTGGTGTACGCCGGTGTTGATCCCACCGCAAGCTCGCTCCATGTCGGCCATCTACTCCCATTGATGAACCTTCTCCACTTCTACCTCCACGGCCACCACGCGATCGGCCTCGTAAGCTGCAGTCCTACCATGTCTCCTCCGTCGATACATCGCTCATCCGGATTTCTACATGTAGATCGGGAAAGCCACCGCGTCCGTGGGCGATCCTTCGGGGCGAACCACCGAGCGCGATTCGATCGAAGCGGAACGGATACGGCACCAGTTCGAGAGTCTCTGGGCGCAGATTGGGCGGTTCTTCGAGCGCGGTCAGTCGTACGCGATTTCCCGCGGATACGACCAGGCGAAGATGGGAACGACGGAGCTGGTGACGAACGGCGAGTGGCTGGATGGGCTCGGAATGGTCGAGTTCTTGAGCACTATCGGGAGACATGTCAGGGTCGGCCAGATGCTGGCAAGGGAAAGCGTCAAGGCTAGAATGGAATCTGCGCAGGGCATCAACTATGCCGAATTCACATACCAGCTGTTGCAGTCCTACGACTTTTGGCATCTGCATCGGACCAAAGGCTGTAGATTACAGGTATGGCTGCCGCTGCTATAGACCGTAGCAGAGCATGACTAACCGCCGAGGCAGATTGGAGGCAATGACCAGTATGGAAACATCACTGCTGGAATCGACTTAATATCCCGCATGCGCAAGAGCGCTGGTCAGGGGTTGGCTGACCAATTCGATCCCGCATACGGCTTGACCGTTCCGCTACTCACGACGGCATCTGGAGAAAAGTTCGGAAAATCGGCTGGCAACGCAGTGTGGCTCGATGAGAAGCTTACTACGCCGTTTGAGCTGTATCAAGTAAACCGCTCTATGTCCGAACGTGACCTGGGAGGTCTATACTCACATTTTGTGACAGTACTTCGTGAAGTTGCCGGACGAGGTAGTGGAGAAGCATCTCAAGATCTTCACACTCCTCTCCCCCTCCCAAGTGGCAACGGCTATGGAGAAACACACCGCTGCTCCCGAGGCACGAGCTGCCCAGATTCTCCTGGCAAATGAGGTGGTGACTCTCATCCATGGCGAAAGCAAAGCCACCCAGGCATCGATCCAGACACAGCTTCTCTTCCCTCCCAGCTCAAGCGCTATGCAGTTTTCCGCACAGCAAATCATCGATGCCTTTGACGGCGACGGAAGATTGATCGATGTGCCGAAGACGGAGCTGGTTGGTGAGATGGTGAGTAAAGTCATGCGGCGGGTAGGCGCAGTGAAGACCAGAAGCGAGGCGGACAATATCATCCGAGGAGGCGGTGTTTACTACGGGCAGGAGGGCAAGAGGATAGACGATATGAAGGCTAGTGTTCAAGAGGATTGGTTGCTGGATGGCCGGATCCTGCTGCTGAGGATCGGCAAAGGGAGGTTTGCGATTGTCCGAGCCGTGTAGTGAGCCGCTGGTGGCTCTCCACCCTGCGTTGTTTCCGCTCGAAAGATACCAAATCTCAATCACCTCATAGAATCTCCTAAGCACAAAATAGAGTGCCTGCGTAACTACTTGTACCGTTCGTAAGTAAGGAAGTATTGTACATACATCTTATGTGTTTTCCTTACGATGACTTTCCGACGGTACTCAGAGTCCATAGTAGATATCACTCGTCCAGACTCCACATTTGTACTAGTAATAGGTGTGTCAACAACGCGTCCCGTCCGTGGTCACACAGCAGGTCCCTCGTAACGCAAAAATCCCGGCGCCCAGGCCCCTGCAAACAAAGGCTCCCAAAGGCTAACTACTAGCAGATAGTCCCCTGGTCAACGCGCTGTCACGTCCCTACCGCGTAAATTGAGGAAGGCGGCGTGCCAAGTATCACACATTTCCGTCTCCATCTCTTTCCGCCTTCCTCCTTCCTCCATTGCCTCACCTTCACTTCCCTGGCCCTGTCACCTGCACAGCAATCAATCTAATCCACTCCCCTCCTACCCCATACAAAAATCTTTCCACTGCCCATTGAGAAATAATCATGGCAGGAAAAATACCTGCTAAGCCCTCCCCAGGCCTTGCAACAAAGGGCGTCAAGAAGACATTGGCATCCGTGCCGAAACAGAAGTCGCTGCATTCCTTCTTTGGCAAGAAGGCGGGCACAGCTACTCCTAAGGGACAATTCGAAGATACTCCGGCGCCGTCTAGTGATCCCGTCCTTCCATCTTCTCCGATTCGCCGAAGGGATGTTGCTCCGCCTTCGGTTGGCAAACAGAGTTAGAAAACCCTATGGTGCGTGGGTGAGAGAATGATGTGCTGACTTGAGACGCATAGATGCTCGGACCAATCTGCCTATTCTTCCTCCGAGCCCAGCTGGTGGACGGGTCAGTGCATTGCCACCGGAACTTTCTTGGACCCATTGCTGATGTTTATAAGCGTGCTACGAAAGCCAGAACTTGTGCCGAGGAGCTCAGCGACGACGACGAGGATATCCCAATGAGGGCACCGAAGCGCAGAAGACGGGTTGCCCTCGACTCTGACGACGACGACTTCAACGACGCGGGAGGCAATGTCTCAGAGGTCGACGATGACAGTATGCGTCCCTGCACTTACATGTGGACATGCGGGTTCTGTGGCTAAACCATCCGTAGATTTTGTAGTTCCCGACGACGACGAAGACGACGGTTTCTCTGGCGGCAAGAGGAAGCGCGGGAAGATTCCGAGCAGAACCCCAAGCAAGACGCTTTCAAAGTTCTCGAGCCAGACGCCTCAGAGGTCGAGCGCTGCTACTGGTCTTACTCCGGCTACGTCGCGGTTCGCTTTCACGCCCGGTGGTGATAAGAAAGCATGGACCCCGTCGGCCAACAAGGGGACTCCGAGACAGAACGCTACCAACTCCAACAAGGGCGGAAAGGAAGCAGGGAGATACCACTGGCTCGTGGACGTGCGAGACGCAGACAAAAATCGCCCTGATCATCCGGACTATGATCCTCGGACTCTTTTCATTCCGTCCGAGCAGTGGCCCAGATTCAGCCCCTTTGAGAAGCAATACTGGGAGATCAAGTCAAAGCTGTACGATACGGTGGTGTTCTTCAAGAAAGGAAAGTTCTATGAGCTGTACGAGGACGACGCGACGATTGGCCACCAAGAGTTCGACCTCAAGCTCACGGACCGTGTCAACATGAGGATGGTCGGAGTGCCAGAGTCGAGTCTCGAGATGTGGGCATCGCAGTTCGTTGCGAAAGGACACAAGATTGCCAGGGTTGATCAGCGAGAAACTGCCCTCGGCAAGGAGATGCGCGAGAAGGGCGGGAAATCTTCCAAAGGAGATTCGATCATCAAGAGAGAACTTGCATGTGTTTTGACCGGGGGAACTCTGGTCGAGGAGGCCATGCTTCAGGATGAAATGTCTACCTTCTGCGTTGCCATCAAGGAGGACGACTCGACGGAAACCCCGTCGTTTGGAATCGCGTTTGTCGACACGGCCACAGGTTCCTTTTCGTTGTCCGAGTTTGTGGATGACGTCGACTTGACCAAGTTCGAGACGTTCGTTGCACAGATTCGCCCCAAGGAATTGATTCTCGAGAAGGGTGCCATCTCGAAACGTGCTATTCGCATCTTGAAGAACAATACTGCCGTGACAACCATCTGGAACAAGCTCAAGCCCGAGAAGGAGTTTTGGGACGCCTCGACGACTGTGCGGGAGGTGAATTCGCGCGGCTATTTCGAAAAGGACGACGGTGAATGGCCGGATGTGTTGCACAGTATGGTGTCCAAGCAACTCGCGATGTCGGCGATGGGCGCACTATTGTGCTACTTGCAATCGGTGTGTACTCTTGTCCGTGGTGCCTGACTATCGCTAATAGGAATAGCTCAAAATCGATCATGAACTCATGACCCTGAAGAATTTCCAGACTTACGACCCCATCCGGAAGGCCACCTCGTTGGTTTTGGACGGAAAGACGTTGCTGAATCTCGAGGTAAGGCTTCCATCCCCACTGTTGGTTGGTTAAAAGCTGACAGCATTAGATATTTGCCAACTCGTACGATGGTTCTGCCACTGGGACTCTGTTTCCAATCCTCAACAAGTGCATCACGCCCTTCGGAAAGCGGATGCTGAAGCAATGGGTTTGCCACCCGCTGCTGGATCCTGCCAAGATTGACGCCCGTCTCGACGCCGTTGACGCTCTCAACGCTAATGACACTTTCCGCGACGTTTTTACGTCTCAATTGAGCAAGCTACCTGATCTAGAACGTCTGATATCGCGTGTTCACGCTGGTAGCAGTCGCGCAGTCGACTTTCTTCGTGTTCTGGAGGGCTTTGAACGCATCCAGAGCGCAGTCGAGGAGATCAAGCTCTATGGTTCCGGAGAAGGCCTGATCGGCCAGCTGTTGTCGAAGATGCCGGATTTGGAGGCACTGTTGAAACCGTGGGCAACTGCGTTCGATCGTGAGAAGGTGAAGGAGAATGGTGTTCTCGTGCCGGAGAGCGGCGTCGAGGAGGACTTCGACGCATCACAGGACACCATCGAAGATATCATCTTGCAGTTGAATCAAGTACGCGATAAGTACAGCAAAGAATATAGGTATATCGACACTTTCGCATCGGCATATTGATGTAGTTACTGACAATGCGGGCGTCTGCAGGTGTCCGGAGATGAGGTATATTGATAGTGGTAAGGAGATTTACGTGCTGGAGGTTCCTGTCAAGTATACGAAGAACTTGCCCAAGACCTGGCAGCAAATGTCAGGAACTGTCAAGCTGAAGCGTTACTACACCCCTGAGACCAGGAAGCTTGTGCGTTCTCTGCAGGAAGCGCAAGAAACTCACAGTCAGATCGTCAAGGAGGTGGCTAGCCGTTTCTACGCACGTTTCGACGAGGAGTACAACAACTGGCTTCTGGCCGTTCAGGTCGTCGCTCAGCTCGACTGTTTGATCGGTCTGGCCAAGGCGTCGGCTTCACTCGGTGGTACCAGCTGCCGTCCCACGTTTGTCAATGACAAGAGGACTGTTCTTGACTTCAAGGAGCTTCGCCACCCTTGCATGACTACAAACGTTGATAACTTCATTCCAAATGACATCCAGCTCGGAGGGGATCGTCCGAAGATCACCCTTCTTACCGGAGCGAACGCGGCTGGAAAGTCTACCGTTTTACGGATGGTGAGATCGGTTCCTTTGATTGATGAGAAATGATACTAAATTGGTTCGTAGAGTTGCATCGCTGTCATCATGGCGCAGATTGGATGCTACGTTCCCTGCGAGTCCGCCCGACTCACCCCCATCGACCGTATCATGAGTCGCCTGGGAGCGAACGACAACATCTTCGCGGCGCAGAGTACGTTTTTCGTTGAGCTTACCGAAACGAAGAAGATCCTAGCAGATGCCACGCCACGCTCACTAGTGATTCTGGACGAGCTCGGTCGCGGAACTTCTTCCTACGACGGTGTTGCAGTGGCGCAATCGGTTCTTCACCACATCGCTACTCACATTGGATGTATTGGATACTTTGCGACCCATTACCACTCTCTCGCGACCGAGTTTTCGACTCACTCCGAGATTCGCCCTTGCCGCATGAAGATCGATGTTGACAACAATATCCGTGACATCACGTTCTTGTACAAGCTTGAGGAAGGTGTTGCTGAGGGGTCGTTCGGAATGGTACGTGATCTATCCTTCGACTTCCATCCCTTGCGTGTGTATTAATGAGTCGTTCTTTAGCACTGCGCTGCCAAGTGTGGAATCAACAAGCGCATCATCGACAGAGCCGAGGAAGCTGCGCGTCTGTTCGAGCACACTTCCAAGCTGAAGGACAGTCTCGAGGCAGCTCGTGCTGGTGTTTACATCCCGCTAGGTGTCCAGAGCGATATTGCCCTCCTCCTCTGTTCTGACGAAGAAGTGAGCGCTGATGCCATGGCTGCCATCGAGCGCAGCATTGAGGCTTTGTGAACGGCCGCCTCTTCACGTTCAGATAACTGTATTTCGTTTGATGCTCAATAGGTTTCAATAGGTTTCACTACTGTGCCTGTAATTTTCCGTCTTGTTCGTACACTTGGTCTGTTAGTACTTTGTTTGGCATTACTTACTCTATCTGTTACATTTTGCTGGGCGCTTGGCATTGTTATGAGTTGTAACAACATAGGTATAACTTCTTCTGGAAGTCCTCTGAAGCTGAATCTACACCTCACGGGAACTCTTCCTGATTATTACGGTGAGGATGAGTGGTGACAGGGTTCTGACTTCATCAAACAACGGCCCCGATGTCCCGTCGGTCCCCGCCGCCGACCGGGCGGCTAGAACCGGTTGCACTATAACAGCGTCTTTCGGAATTCCATCCACGTGAACATTTATACGGCACATGTCACAGGTGGTTGCACTGACTGATGGATGTCGTTCTGGAAATGGAAATCGAAACCCCATGCAAGGGGATGGCGGCTCAATTGCATGATGCCCAAATGCAGACGAGTCATCCCGTTCTTGGTTCATTCTTTGCCGTGACAACCTTCCACTCCTTCATTCCCGTAAACACCTTCGTTCGACCCCCACCAACCCACCCTCCTCCTTGAGCTTTCTTTAACCCCACCAACCTTCCTCCTCCAGCTTTCTTCAATCTCCCATCTACCCTCTTCCTTCCTCAAGAAAAGAAGCCATGACGACCGTCCCGCCTCAGTTCCCTCTCGGCGGTGAGGGCAAGAACAAGGAGAACGTCAATCCCAAGCTTCCTACAGCTCCTGCACAGACCGCCGAGTGGTCTCCTACCTGTAAGGACTTCCTTTCCAACCCCCATTGAATTTCAATCACTAACCATCGTTTCAGCCTGGCAATCGAAGCCCGCTCGGCAGCAAGTCATCTACGACGACATCAATGCGGCCCAGAGCGCCTTCAAGAAGCTCGAGACCCTTCCTCCGCTCGTGACCCCGGCGGAGATCAACAAGCTCCGCTCCAGCCTCAAGCAAGTTGCCTTGGGCAAAGCCTTCCTCCTCCAAGGTGGCGACTGTGCCGAGCTGTTCGACTACTGCTCCCCTTCGCAGATCGACTCCAAGATGAAGCTGCTCCTGCAGATGTCCCTGGTGATCATCTGGGGCGGTAACATCCCCGTTGTCCGCATCGCCCGCATGGCCGGACAGTTCGCGAAGCCTCGCAGCTCCATGATCGAGAAGCTGGAGGACGGAACCGAAATCATGAGTTTCCGCGGGGACAACATCAACGGTTATGCGCACGACCAGAGGATCCCGGACCCGAAGAGACTCGTCGAGGCGTACTTTCACTCCGCCGCCACGCTCAACTATGTGCGGGCCCAGCTGACGAGCGGTTTTGCGGACCTGCACCATCCGTTCGAGTGGACGCTCAGCCACGTCCAGGACGACGACACGAAGGAACAGTACCAGCGCACCGTCGATTCCATTAACGACGCCATCCGCTTCATGCACACTATCGGCGCGGATAATTCGAGCGAGCTCGGCAGCGTGGATCTTTACACTTCACACGAGGGCATGCTCCTCGAGTATGAGCAGTCTCTCACGCGCCAGTTGAAGGATCCCAAGGACGGAAAACTCAAGTGGTACAACACCAGTGGCCACTTCGTGTGGATCGGTGACAGGACCAGGCAGCTCGACGGGGCGCATGTGGAGTTCTTCCGCGGGATCGAGAACCCTATCGGTATCAAGGTGGGCCCGACCATGCAGAACGAAGAGCTGGTCAAGCTCCTGGATATCGTCAATCCCAACAAGGAGGTCGGAAAGATCACGCTCATCACGAGGTATGGATGCGACAAGGTCGCCGACAAGTTACCGGGCCACATCAAGGCCGTCGCGAACTCTGGCCACATCGTCGTCTGGTACTCCCCCCCCACCCCCACTATGTAAACCCTCCCTCCCACTAACCACCACCCAGGCAATGCGACCCGATGCACGGCAACACGCGCTCCTCCGATTCCGGCGTAAAAACTCGGCAATTCAGCTCGATCATATCGGAGCTGACCACGGCGCTCAAGGTGCACAAGGACAACGGCTCGAATCTGGGCGGCGTCCACCTCGAGCTCACGGGCGACCCGGTCACGGAATGTGTTGGCGGCTCACAGGGCCTCACCGATAAGGACCTCTACCTCAATTATACGTCGTATTGCGACCCGAGACTGAATAATAAACAGGCTCTTGAAGCGGCGTTTCTGATTGCTGGGTACTACAGGGAGGGGAAGATGTAAAATCTGGTGGTAGTAATTTGCGTTTGGGTGGGGTTGGGTTGGGCTGGTTTGTGTTTGCGCTTGCTTGCTTGCTTGCTTGCTTGCTTGCTTGCTTGCTTTCCATAAGGCTTTTCCTGTTGTCCGCGGGAGGAGAGGGGGGGGCAATGGGGGATTATCGATGGGAGCGTTTGCGATGCTTTCTCAATCTGGGGGATCTGTATGATATTGCTAGTAGCTGATGATAACGACTTGAGAATGGGAATGGGAATGAATGAATGTTGACGACGCAATAAAATCTGAAGATGAGCATTGAGAATTGTGAGGGGTTTTCTCATTCTGGGTAGCCGGGCGGCGGTTGAGAATACGATGACTTTTACTTGGAACCACGAACCATAGTCATTAATTCTCACTCCAAACCGTACTACAATCTTGACCTCTCGCTTTGGCTCGTGGCCACGAGAATTGTAAACACAGAATGATAGAAATGGAAAGAAAAGAAAAGGGCAACGAGAGTTTGGGCCCGACTTGGTCGAATACCTACAGAATGACGAAACCAAGATAAAAACAGCCATTCAGCACCTCACAGTAAGGAGTTATATCCAGCCAAAAATGTACATACTTGCCCACGTGAAAAGTATATAAAAAAAAGTTGCATCGAATCTCAACCCAATCCAAATCCAAAACCCAAGCCCAAACCAAGTCCCATAACCAAGTCCCATCATCACCCATTTACACAGCCGACAACACCCTCTTCCAGCTCTCATTGCCGACACTATCATCATCTCTAAACATCCACGCGTCCTCTGGTGCTGTTGCACGGGTACTAGTATACATCTCGTTAACCTTCGGATCCGCCGTTTTTGCGGAATCCGGCGCCTCCGGCAGCTGCGCGGTAAGGTTCATCCCCCCGCTACCGCCGCCGCCAATAGAGATGTCGAACGGACTGTTGTAGGGCCCCAGCTTCTGCACCGCCACTTTGCGGATGAGCTTGGCCATCGAGAGCTCGACCCGCAGCTTCACGATAAATGCCAGCGGGTGGATCTGCGCGTATACCAACGGGTTGCTGAGGCTCATGGAGCCGAGGATTAGGAGCTACATGTGGTGGTTAGCTACCGCGCTGGGTGGGGAAGGGGGGGGGGGGGGGGGGGGAGGGGATGCGCACATCCATGGCCAAAGAGATGAAGATGATCCGGATGTTGAACGTGACCAGTTTGTCGTACTTGCCGATGCCGTGGTCGATTAAGCGGCGCTTGACGGTGCGGACGAATAGCCAGTTAAGGCCTACGTCCACTACCAGGTAGATCACCTTTGTGCAGCGGTCCCAGACGTTGTTGATTCGTACGAATCTGCGTTTTGTCAGCTCTCCGCCAACCTCCATGATACATATGATTGTGAGGGGAGAACATACACGGGCGAAACATTCAGCTGCGCAGGTATCCAGATGACGAACACCGAGATGTTCAGAAGGAGGATGATAATGGCGGTGCCCCATTTCAGCTTAACGCCAAAGTCGGGGTCGATGCCGATTATATTGATGCGGTTGATGATGATCTTATATAGGTCAGCATGTATGTCTATAGTGCCCATCGGATGAAGGAAGGGTATGTAACGAACTTGAACGATGAAATGGAGTTTGAGGGCCCATAATGTCACTGTAGTTGGTTAGCACGGACACCCCCTACGGACAGAACTAAACTTGAATGTCGGATCGGATGGTTGGCCGAGGCGGGAGACGTACACAGCGATATCAAGAACACAAGGCTGTCGGTCGACACCCGTTAGTCTGCCATTCACACTGAGTGTGGGGGGAAGTGGGGGGTGAACGGGGGAGGGGGGGGGAAGGCCGATCTATTTCTAAGCCAGCCGGCCAGCCAGCCAGCGAAACGGGATATCTATGCTCACCTAACCTTATATAACCCAGAAAACAGCATATAGACGATGATGCCAATACAGAAGCACACAAGGATCTCGCCCCACACGAGCCATATGTAGACTGACTTTAGCGGATTGCGCGCGCGCGTCGTCTGCTTTATCGCTTCCCACGTTGTCAGGAATCCAAAGCCGAGTGTGAATCCCCAAGCTATCGACGAGATGGCAAGATCCAAGTGCGTAATTTCCGTATCGACGTCTGGCATGTTTTTTTTTTCGGGAGGGGGGGAAGTAGAAGAAGGGAGTGTAGGGAAGTGTGAAAGTTGAGGGTTGGCTAGTGAGTGACTGAGGGTCTTCGTCGTCTTCTTCTTCTTCTGCTTCCTCTGATCCTTCTTCTGGCTGTTCACCCTCACACCTCCCCAGAAGGGGTCTACTCAGGCATTATTAGGGGAGTTTTCCTGTGGATACTTGGTGGTCGAATGGGTTTTGCCCCCGCCCACCGCCGAAACCAACGCCGAGCAGCTCGCCAAGCTCGAAGGATGTCTAGCGTCCGAGTTGGCTACCGGCATGGGCCGGGTGTAAAGTTAGCGTTTGGTAATAGCGCGCTGGACAGATGCTTCGCCTAGGCATGGCCCCGGGGTAGATCTCGAGCCAAATGAAGAGGCTTCCCTGTGAGATGGTTATTGGTGAATTCTTTATTTTCGATGTGGGGCAAGTCGGGGCGTGGTGGCGACAGACGAGAGAACAAAACATTGGGGGCAGCCGAGTTAGCGTCTCGGTACAGTTACTCCATCAATGATCGTTGCGCCGACCATTGTTTACTCAACAATTCACCACCACAAGAATCACGGCCGCAAATGCTCGCCGGTGGTTAGTGACTCCTGACCGTGCAAACCGTGCCTACGCAAAGTCTTCGATTCCATCTTCTTTGGTTGTTGAGCACCTGGATGATGGGCTTAATCCCCCGGGAGAGCCAAGGCTAGAGTACCAAGCCCCAGAGTCTCCCAAGATTCTGTTCACTCGTCTGGTGGAGGGACGGGGAATCGGAGCTGTGGCCGAGTCCGAGACATCCGGTTGTCTGTGCTCAACGAGCGGCTGCTGGCTGTTCGCGGCTCCGGCGTGGCAAGTGATTTACCATTGGTCTCAGCTGGCGAATCAGGCTGAGCATCTCGGTTCTTCGCCATCGCCCCCACGCTGTCGCAACGACAATTCTACCCGTCTAGGTAAGTATCTACATACCCTATGCATTTGCACCCGGAGTTGCGAGTCTCTGGACACCAAAAGCAAATTTTGTATGCACTATCATCTAGCTGCCGCGTCGTTTACTGCGGCTTCTTGACGATCAAGCCAGACTTCTCGTCAACCCGCTGGGCCCATTCACTATTCCAAGTCAGCCATCACACGCTCGCACAGACCATAGACACTAGGGAGCCTCACGTCCACGATCCATCATAGATCCTCCTTTTCCCCTCGATACCCGCCAGCTCCAACGCAGCATCCACAATAACCGCAGTGACACCCGTCCCGCACATCAAGATCTTGTCGGTCTTCGCCGACGCATCGATTCCCTTCTCGAGGAAGAGAGTGTGCAGCTCTGCCGCAGTCTTGAGGGTTTTCGTTACAGGATCCACCAGCTCACTGAATGGAATCGAGACCGCGCCTGAGAGTAGGCGACATTAGCGGAGTAGTTCGCAGAAGCGGTAGTTGAGCCGTACCTGGAACATGCCCCGATGAAAGCCCTATGCACAAGTCTCAGCCTTAATCCATCCCACCACCACTCCATGGGGCCCCAAACCTGGTCTCGGCTCCGGATCGATTCCAAGGAACCGCCCGTTCGGCCTTGCATCGATAATCTCCACCCCCTCCTTAGTCCCCATCTCCGCATGCGTCACCATCTCCTCAAAGTCGACAACCACACTGTAATCCATCTGTGGCACAGCGTACTCCGTCTTCTCCCACTCTTTCACCTCCCCACTCTCCGTCGGCAGTCCCTGGGCCGCCCACAACTTGAAGTTATTGAGCAGATGCACCCTGGGGTGCCCGAAGACCTTTAGTGTCCACGCGACGCGCGGAGCCGAGAATATACCGATATGCGGGGAATCATAAACGACGAGCGTATCCTCCCTGGTGATCCCGAGCTCGCTCATGGCGTTGGCAAAGGTCTGGGGATCAGGGAGCATGTGCGGATATGGCGAGTCGCCCTTGACAGCATCGAGATCGAAGAACCGCGCGCCGGGGATCCGCAGCTTGAGGAATTCGGCGCGGCCCTTGCGTGAATCGTTGGGTAGGTACCATTCGGCGGAGAGCGGGATGATTTTGGAGTTGCGTGGGGGGTTGTGCAGCGCTGTGGAGAGCTCGGTGGGGTTGACAATGAAGCGGCTGAGGCTGCGAGTGGACATGGCGGTGAAGGGGCGGGAGAAGGGCAGCGGGGAGGATTTCGAGGCGCGGAGGAGTCGGGGGAGCGACATTAGGGCTGTGTGGATTGAGTCGGTGAAGGCGAGCTTCTATGCAGACGATGGTGGGGCAGCTGTCAGCTACATCCCGGTGTTGGTTACACGGCGTCGCTGCCAAGTCCTGCTACGTTAGCAGCAGTCATTCAAAGCCACTCGCATTTTTCACGCCCATGGTTGACGGCAAATCTGTTTGTCTGGTTCCGGATGTTTAGCTGTTGTTGCCACGAGCGTGAGCGGGAGAATCTCGCCGAGAATCTCGCCGAGGGCTAGGTGGAATGAGGGGTAGTGACACTGCATGGCTGCCAATAGGCGCAATTCAGTTCGGTGAGCCGGCTGCGTATATATAACTCGAGGAGCCATTGATGCTTCCACCGTGGATCGCCTCGACTAACGTCATTGGTGCCAAGCCTATTGATGCCACTTTACATTTACCAGAGCCTCTCACCTACAATGCAGCTACAGCTCCAACTTCACTGAACGTTTCCACCTCCAACTTACGCAGCAATGGCAGACATAATCTCCCTCTCCGAGCAGCTATCCTCGCTGTCGGCTACACACAAAGAAGTAGCTTTCCCCCCACCCACCTCAGTATCCGGCCACTGACAGCTAGCAGTGCATGTCGCAAATATCGCAACTTAGCAAACTCAGCTCCGAATCCTCGCGGACCGTCCTCTCACAGCAAATCCACCACACGCTCCGCACCGCCGAAGGCCTATACGAAGCACTTGCGGACAGCGCGCCCTCCTCGCACACGGCCAAGGTGGGCGAAGACCTGCGAATCGCGCGGCGGGCGTACCGCAAAGCGCTGCTCGCCGCAAAGCGCAACGAGGAGCGCGAAGCTCTGTTCGCCGGCCGCCGAAGGCGCGACGAAAAGGGAAATGAGGACGTCTCGCAGAAAGAACTGCTGGTGACCGCGGGGGAGGATGTTACCGCCGCCCTCCGCCGTACTCAGGCGCTACTCGCGGGTGAGCTGCAGAAAAGTCGGTTCGCGAGTGAAACGCTGGCGCAGAGTACCGAGGCATTGAGGGAGCTCGGTGAGAGGTACTCGGCGTTTGATGATGTGCTGGGAAAGAGTAGGGAGCTCATCAGGGATTTGGTCAAGAAGAATAAGAGTGATCGGTGGTATTATGAGATGGCGATCAAGATGCTCATTGGCATGTTGGTGTGGATTGTCGTTAGGAGGTTGTTCTGGGGCCCGATCTGGCTGTTAGTGGTTTGGCCGATGAAGACTACGTGGTGGTTTGTTGCAGGGTCTGTGGGATTGGCGGTCAAGGCAGGCAAGGGGACAGAGAGCAGTGTGTCGATTGGGACAGAGACGAGGGCAGTGGTTATGCAGAGTCCTGTTGTCATCGCGAGCGATGTGGTGCGAGAGACGGAGACGGAGAGGGAGAGGGAGAGAGAGAGGGAGGGGGAGAGGGAAGATGCGAAGACAATGAGTGAGGTCGTTTCCAGGATTATCACTGCCGCCGAGGAGGAGGAAGCCACGATCATGAAGAATACGATGAGTAGACGTGTTGATGATCCAACTCCGCAGCCGAAGGTGGAAGAGGAGGAGGAGGGAGATGCGGAAGCGTTGAGTGAGGCTGTGGCTAGTGAAACGGACCTACCCAAGGAGGAGGCGGTGGAGGGGGCGGAGGAGGCGGTGGAGCAGGAAGTTGAAGACGAGGATGCATACCGGGAATCACTGTCAGCGAGATATCCGGGCACAAACTTTTGTTATTTGGACTAGACTATTCTTCAAATCATTGCTATATTCTTCAAATCATTGGTAAAGCTTGAGTATTTCGCCGCCTCGTATACTGCACTGGTTTTCACCGAAAACGAAGAGTGACGATATATGATTCACGATCACTTGGTGAATTCAGTTTTTCAACTTTCGCCGATGGCAGTCTAGATTGATGAAGCTGTCGGGAATACCTAGTCTAGCATGAACCGGAGACATGTGCTAAGTGACTCTTCCACGGATCTGCCGATGAGCTTTACCAGGTTATTCATCAGCCGCACAATTCTCATGGCGAGGATCGTGATATCTATGACTGTAATACCACCCACCTACTTCATTTAGCATGGGCTCAAATCAAGCCCTTAAAAGTATACCTCCTTACCTACAGATGCCGTAATTATAGCCATCACATGAGGCGAAGTTAAGGTCGAGTATATATATTGCGAGTTTGCGGGTTTAGCTGGAGTCTCGGCGTGTCGCGGCTCCGCCGCATTCACGGCCGCAATGGAGGTCGTGGTCGTGTTTCTAGAAGGAAAACTGCGAGAAAGCGGTCCTTCTTTCTAGAATCGTGGCCCAGTCCTCAAACACACTGTGCGCGGCCATAGACTGTCCTTACTGCATAAGGTTGAGACGGAGCCGAGATGTTGGGCTTCCAAGGTTGAAAATAACCCTACTCCCTCGCACTCAGTTAAGGTAGCTCCGCATGGATGACTCCGATACGATGCTGGTCCCATAGTACACATGATTCGTTCCTGCAAGCTCTTCTTTCTTTCAACCTCCCCACCACACATTCCACCATCACCATCTCCACCTCCGCCAACTCCCTTCCCCTCTCGTTCGCTATTCTCGGCGAGCAGTAAAGGACCGGACTACGTATAAAGTAACCCAATTCTCCAGAACACCAACCCACCATAGCGGGCCGTGTACCTCGAAACATGACCGAGAATGCAGTCGAATACATCATCCAACACCACCTTTGTGCGTTTTTGCCGGGCGGCTGAGGCTTCCTTCCCCACCATCACCCAAGACAAGACAAAGCTGACCATCGTAAACCCACACAGCTGGAGCGCTTGGCAGTAGCTCGTCTGCAGCATACCGTTAACGAGCTGCAAACCCAAGTCGACCAAGACCGCACGCTCGTGGCGCCCACCCGCAAGGCCCTCTACTGCGTATGCGACGACACGGCACTCACCGCCAACATCCCCGAACTCAAGCGGTTCGTCGCGGACAAGAGCATCACCATGATTGTGCCATTCGCGAGTAAATTTCCCCTCCTTATCCTATCCTTGCGGCCCCCGCGGTGGCTAAACTGGTACTGGTACAATGTAGCTCTCGATTCCCTAGACCGCCTCAAAAAGGGCACCGAAAACGCCAACATCCACGCGCGCGAGTCGATCCGGTTCTTTGACCGAGCGCAGACGGCCGCGGGGCGCAAGCAGATCACTGGCGTGCGGATCCAAGGCCCGACCGAGAAATTTAGCAGCTGGGAGGAGTGTCTTGCCGCGTGCGCTGGCAGCGCCGCCGCCACCGATCCGGAACTCCAGCAGCCGCCAAACCATATCAAGGAGCTGCTCAACAGCGCAGTTTACCACGTGAACCGATTCGTGGTTAAGGGTGCGGCGGGAGACCAGCAGCAGCAGAAGGTGCTCCTGGTTACGAATGATGAGATCCTGAGGGATTGGGCAGAGCTGTATGGTGTTCCCACCGCGAGGAGTGGCGAGATCGCCGGACTGGTCAAGCGCGAGGAGATGGAGTACATGGAGAAGAGGCGCCACTACGACTTCGCGATGAACAACCCTCGCTCGCCGGCGTCGCCTGGAGGCGGAAGGGGCGGACGCGGCGGGGGGATGGGCAGTTCCCGTGGAGGCCGTGGGGGAGGCGGGTTTGCCAGGCGCGACAGCTGGAAAGACGAGGAGCCGAGATCCCCCATCTCTCCCAACGGATTCGGCGGTGGCGGCGGACGCGGAAGATCTCCGAGAGACTCGAACCCTCCCGACTTTGTCCTTAGGGGCCCCCCGAGGGGCGTTGCTAGGGGACGCGGCAAGCTCTGGGAACCATGATTGACTACTATTCCATGCCACTGTGGCAATACCACCGACCCACCTCGAATACGAATCAACCCATCTAACGCGACAGCCAACTTGCTGAACGATGCGATATCACTGATGCGCCCCCCATTTGAATGCTCCTCGCACAATCATATACAAAACTACTAGTGCGGCATTGTCGTGGTTGTCTGGACATCATCCTTACCTGTGTTTCTTTCGGGGAGGCTCTTGCCCGTGTTAGCTGTCCGAGCTTGGGATGATGTGGAACGTCTTTCGGTGCGGGGCTGCTGATGAGGGTTATGCTCGCTTTGGTTCATCAATTTGCTTTGAAGCTTGTGCGAAATGTTTTCTTTCGTTTCTGGCTTTACTTGGCTTTACTTGGCTTGTTACGTGGACGATGCAGTCGTCAAAGCTGTAGCATACGCATCCACGCTGTAGCTTCTCGTTTTCTTTCCGTTTCTGTCCTTTCCTCCTTCTTTACTATTTCGTAGTTGCATTGAGAGATCTTGTTTGACTAGTGCCAATGGTGATGTCCTGTGAACCGCGATAGTTTCTACCAGCCGGGCGGGGCCGGTCGGAAATGGGTACATGCAGCTCATCCGAGAGGTGTAAAGAGAAATCCGAGATCTGGCGGACAGCCGCCTAACAAAAATCCCCGGGTCAAATCTTGAATGTAACAAAACTTGACCTTTTGTCTGTACACAACCAACCCTTCCTCCTCCTCTCCCTCTAGATGGATATATCCTACAGTCCTCCTCCCCTCCCCGCTCCCTCCCCTCCTCCCCGCATCCACACAATCCATCTACCGAACCCTCACCAACAACTGCCCGCCAATCATCCTCTCAATGGCATCGCGCACCTCAAAGATGCCCTTCTCGGTACTCAAGAACAGCGCCTCCCCCGGCTGCAAGCCGTCCACATACTGGTACTTCCGTCCCTTCGCAATCTCCTCGAGGCCCTTAACGCCCATCCAGATGCGCTGCGTGGGCTTCGATACAAGGCTGAGCTTGCTCATGACGGGCTCATTGTCGAAGTACTTCAGCCCGAGCCAGAGTCGTCGCGTCGCAACGTTCTCCTGTGTCGTCGGCACGAATGTCTCGTCGGGTCCGCTGATTGATCCTCGGGTCACTGAGGAGATGAATCCCGCGTCTTGGAGGCCCAGCGCGATTGCTAGGATCAGCTTTGTGCTGGGAACGCTGGTCACACCGAGGCGGGCTTTGGTCGCGTTTTGAAGGTGCGAGCAGACGTGCGCGAGGTTGACGAGGGACATGGTCGGTTGTGGTGTGCTGTGTCGTGGAGGAGGAGGAGTGTGGTCGTCGTAGGGGGATGGCGGGGTGGTGGGGTGGCTCGCGTTGGTGGGGATTGAGGGTGTTGCTGTGTGAGGCTCAAGTCAAAGATTTTGGTGGGGCTTGGCGCCGTTGTCGGGTCGGCTCATTTGGCGCCGGTAGACGGGGGGAGCCATCTGCGTTAACCAAGCAAGTGCCCACTTACCGTACTTGCCTACATACGTGCGGCTGCTTCCTTCCGCGGCCTCGTGGATCGGTGGTGATCATATCGGTCTGGAATTCCATGCAGTCACGGATTGTCTGGACGAATGCTTTATCCGGTGACTGCTGCCCGCATATCTATAGCACATGCGGTAGGAGTGTTGCTCGAGGCGTGACGGCCTGCGGGTTTTCTACATAGAAGGACGGAGGGAGTGGCAGTGGGGTGCCGGAAACACAGCCGTCCGCATTCCGGGGTTTGGAAGCGGATCCCAGAGACTGGTGGTGTCTAGTTGAAGGAAATGTGCAGGAAATCCCTTTTGTGGAGCACTGGAGCTGTGGGTGCGAGCTCAAAGAGAGCTGAGAAAAAGAAAAAGAAAAAGAAAAGGGAAAAAGAAAAAGGCAAATCAAGAAATAAAAAGGGATTTTAATGATAATAATAATGCCCCCATTTATGCACCCACCAACCAACAGCGAGTCGCGACTCCCCTCCCCTCCCCTCCCCCTTCCCCCCCAATCGTCACCATCTCGCATCCGTTCCTTCCTTCCTTCCTTCCCTCTATGAAATCGCCCCCTGCTCTCTACTTTAAGTAATCCAGATTCCATCACCCACCAGTGACCACTAAACCCCCTGTCCACCCCCATTATTAGTCCACCTCCACTCATTTTCCCGCCCGCCCGCCAGCCCTTTGCAAAACTCCTCACACCTTTCTCTCTATCGACTCCCAGAAATCGTACGATAACTCCTCCAACTCACCTCATTCCCGCACCTCGCACCCCTCCCCTCCTCCTCCGCGCCTATCTACGTCGCCTGGCCGTTCAGCCCCAACAGCACAGCCAAATTGTTTCTGGCCCCCCTCCCCACCGCCACCACCACCACCCCCAGCGTGGCAGAAAAGGGCGGAAGAAATAATATAAAAAAAAACAAAAAGAGGCTAGGCTTTCCGGAAAGAACTGAACGCGCTCTCGCGCGACTTACTTTTTGGTTGCAAGCACCCCCGGCGGCGGGACAAAGGGTGGAAAAAAAGCTTGCGGAGCGTCTATAGCTGTGTGCGTGTTGCGTTTGCAGTTGCGCGTGTGAGCGTGTGTGTGTGTGTACTGTGCACTGTGTGTGTGTGTGTGTGTGTGTGTGGCCAGGCCGGAAATAATAATCATGTTCGTCGGCGTGTCGGTCGTTCTCGCTGTGTTCTCTTACCTCGCCTATCGACATCTATACACATATGCAGATACGACGGGTGGTGGTGGAGGTGGTGGTGCCGTTGCGGGTCGGGCCAGAGGCGTCGGCGTCGGCGTCGGTAGACCTACCACCGCCGTATCGGATATCGATGCAGCATCACCTTCCTCTTCCTCTTCCTCTTCCTCATCGACGACGACGACTACCTCCAGCAAGTCCACTCTCTCGATGTGGCCGTTCTTCTCGACCATCCTGAGGCAGTCCCAATCGAGCTTTTCCGAGTCATCGTCGGAGCTGGCGAGGCTTCGCGGCGGCGGTACCACTGCTGTCAACGGCGCCGCGTGCATCGTCCCCGACATCCACACCACGACATCCGAGCAGACGGACGCGCGTCTATCCGCCGAAAGGAAGGAGGAGCAGGAGGAGGAGAAGGGGTCGCCCGACACCACGCCGCGCGCCCGGCCCGTCCGCCCCTCGGCCGCAGCAGCAATCCTGCGCATCTCACTCGACGATGCCGATGACGAGGACGATATGACGCCGCCGGCGTTTCCGGCGTTGAACTCGGCGCAGCGGGCTGGTGGTGGTGGAGGAGGTGTGAGGTCGAGTCTGGGAATGCCGCCCCCGCCTATCCCGAATAGGAATATGCCGCCTCCCCCAGTGCCGAATCGGAATCCGAAGATGCAGAATCCGTCGACCTGGTCGCGTCCTGCACCGCCGAATCCGAATGGTGCGGCCAGGTCGAGGCTGCAGGTTGTTGGTGCTGGCGCTTCGGGTGTCGCCGCGGGGAATGGGTTGACATTGCCGAGACGGGGTGGTGGTGGTGGTGGTGGTGGTGGTGGTGGTGGTAGTGATGGTGGAAGTAGCAGCAGCAAGAGTCGGAAAGTCATACTGGAGCCTGGACACTCGCCGTTGGACTGGGCGCGGCTACAAAAGTCAGGAATTGATCTACGGGTTAGCACCTTCCCTTCCCCCGGCAGGCACTGCGCGATGCATCGGCTGACAATGGTACGATATAGGGACTCCCTCACGGCCGGTTACTCAAGATCCCCCCCTCGGAGCTAGCCCAGCACAAATCCCTCCCGGACGACGTCTGGATGGCGCTCAATGGCAAGGTGTACAACATCTCGGCCTACATCCCGTTCCATCCGGGCGGCGAGAAGGAGCTTTTGCGCGCCGCTGGAAAAGACGGAACGAAGCTCTTCAACGCCACCCATCCCTGGGTCAACATCGAGGGCATGCTCGAGGAGTGTCTGATCGGAATCATGGTCAGCGAGGACGAGGCAAGGCTAGAAGTGTCCGAGCTGGATCTGGTGGATTGAGGCTTGCACAGGACGGGATGGACGGTTAATGCTCTGGCATCGTGTGCTGGGTGGTGGTAAACTTGATCTGGAGACTTGTACAGCAAAAAAAAAACTACTGGGTGGGTGGAATGGGTGTGGGGGGTTTTGGCGTTCTTTTCCATTCGATTCGATTCTTTCTCTCTTTCTTTCTCTCTTCGTCTTTTTCTTTCTGATCTATCTACTATTGGGATTTTAAGGTGTGTTTAGTTTTTGTTTAGTACCTATTGGCTTTTTTTTTCGGTGCTTTCTTCTGGTTTTTATACTCCATCTTGTTTGCTTCGTTTATGTGGTTACTTATCTGTCTGTTGTGTGTGAGGAGAGGGCGGCTTTGGACTTTGGCTGTGAATATCGACAACTGACTGACTCCTACCTAATCTTGGCACTTTGCAGATGTGGAATCTGGAATCTGGATGAGTGATATCTCGTGTTGTGGATACAAGATGCATTTCATTCGCTTCAACATAGAGTACTAAGTAGTAGTTTCCCCAAATACGAACAGACCGGCCCAAATGACACCGAAAAATATCCCATCCACTCAGATCACCACCCGCTCTAGATCTCTTGTTAAGCTCGCCAGCGTCCTCTCCGCCTCCCGCCTTCTCCTCTCCATCCTCTCCATCCTCTCGGCCTTCTCAGCCCTCACCTGCTCCGCCCTCGTCTCAACCCTCGCCTTCTGCAGCACATCCACCTCCGGCATCAGCACACTCACCGCGACCCACGCAAAGCTGCCGATCTCGTCCCCACCCTCCTCATGCAGGGCGAGGTCAAGACAAGCCAGGCACCTATCTATTACCTCGTCGCCACCATCCCCTCGCAGCTCGCCGACCACAAACGTGACGAGGTCATCATAGTCCTTCTTCATGACATTGGACAGCTCTCGCTGCCTTCGCGTCTGCCGCTCGCGCCCCACAATCGTCCCCACGAACACCTCCGCCTCGCTCAGCGACGAGTTCCACGGCGTCGCCGAGTACGCGCTCATGTAGTATTTCAGCTGCTCGGTGTATCTCTCTTGGCAGCCGCGGGCCCACTCCGCGTGGTGCGCGTAGTCCGTGTGTACACGCATCGCGTCCAGCTGCGCTTGGAAGTAGGTCCACAGGCGCGCGAGCAGATCTTGCGGGCGGCGCAGGCCCGTAGTGGTCGAGGAGTCGAGCGCGTGCCGCAGGTCCGAGAGGAAGTCGTGTTCGTTGATGGCGCGGTACAGCACGCCCAGAATCTTCTCCGACGCGTACCAGCTGGTGACAAAAGTGTCCTCGTCCTCGTCGTTTTCGAGCTCCGGCTCGTGCAAGAGTTTGTCTTTCGAGATCAGTACCCGCGGCCCCGGCGCCAGGAAGTCGGGCTTGGCCCGGCTCGCGAGTGGGATGTCGGCCTTTGAGACCCCGAGGCCCGTCTTCGGGTAGTCGACGATCGTGGACTGTAGCAGGGCGCAGGTGAGTGCTTTGGGGTGGTACACGCCCTCGGGCTCTTGGTCCGAGATCAGCAAGTGCCGGTTCGAGATCAGCCCGATCAGGTTGTTCTCGATGAAGCCGATGAAGAAGTTTGCGACGTCGGTGGCTTCGACGGGGCGGCCGAGGTCGAGCGGGGTGACGGTGGGGTATTCGGCGGCGGGTTCGTCGGCGGAAAGCATGAATCGTTGGTCGAAGACTATGTTGTAGAGATCGCCGTCGAGATCGCCGCCGGAGAGCATGGAGGGGAGCGGGCGGTCGCCTTGCTGCGAGAAGACTACGCAATTGCGGAGGAGCTTGAGCGGGGAGTTGGGTGGGACCCGGACGGAATTGACGCATTGCACGTCGCCTACATGGCAGGTTAGTTCCCGTTCGTGTCAGAAATGAGGTAGTTGGGGGTAGCCACCTGGATGGTGCACTGGGCTCCTCGCAATAATCACCCTCCCCTCATGAACCTCGGGATTCCCCTCCTCATCCTCCATACTAATATATATCTCTCCCTCTTCGAGGAACTTGGTCTCGTCCATAACCCCCACCAGGGTCACCCCGTCTGGCACAGGAATACGCCCCTTGTATTTCATATCCCGCAGATCGATCAAGAAAGCCAGTTCCATTGCACGCGCAAGGAATGGATCGTCCCGGAAATCCATCTCGAGGTTGTGGAGGCGCTCGAACAGCCACGGCAGCCTGAGGGCGGGGGAGCTGATTCCCCGACGACGAAGGAAGTTAGCAGCTAGGTGGGCACTCTTGGAGGAATCGCGCAGATGCCGGAGTGCGTCATCTTGGAGGGACTTGAAAGTATCGGCAGTGACCTATAGGGGGGGTCAGTACTAGATCCAAGAAGGCGGAGTGATGGAGGTACCCCGCGGTCTTCGAGCACTTTTATCAGTGGCCGGTTGAGGAATAACGGGAGTCGTGTCGCCCAAGAACATATCTCGATCTCCCTGGCCTCGGATCCTTCAAATTTCACCATCGAATTCCTGAGATAGAGTTTATTGTCCATGAGAGTTGGATCTAGGGCAATCTATCCACAGGTTAACGGGGTGTCTCTCACTGCAGTTTCGATATCAGACTCACCATCCCCTTCGCCCCGGCATACCGAATCTGGAACACAGTCGGCTTCGCCTGCTCGATGCGACCCGAACACTGCCAGATGCGTTTCACCAGCTGCCACGACACCTTCCCCACGCCATCACTGAAATTCCTCTTTTTCCCATTTGAATCCAGCCTCTCGATATCATCAATCCGGACTTCATGGTCCGCCTCTACCCGCGTAGCACCGATGGTATCGCTAAACGCCTGTCCCACTCTCGCCGCATACCGTCCGGGCAGTCTGATGTGGCTGAAGTCTCCTAGGCGCTTGATGCACCTCTTTGCGTTCATCATGCCGCCCTCGCCCGGATACGGAAACGGCGCCATGAACCAGCATGTCTGCGCCTTGAGGGACGAATTGGAGAAGCCGAGGAATTCGAAGCTGCGGCCGGCGATGACGATGCGGCCGCCTTGGGCGGGGTCGACCCGCTTAAGGAACTGCTCCTTCAGGATCTCGTCGGCGGTTACGCGCGGCTCGTGCATGAATTGCTCGCCGTCTTCCTCGCAGAAGGAGACCCGCAGGAAGTAGTCTTGGTACTCTCTGTAATCGCGGAGCACGCGGTTGGATGCCTCCCTAAGTACGTAGCATTAGCATCAGTATGGATCACCTGTGAGTAAAACGGGTTTTGCTATAGTTACCATCTTGGCCCGTAAAAGAACACTCCAGTGGGCGTGATCATAGCCCGATGAACATACGCCATCGTGGTGTACTTCGCATCATGACCCTCAAACCAACGCGGCGTGAGTACTCTCGACGTCACTTCAATCCTCCTATCCAGCGTCCACAGCAGCGAGGATTCATCCAGATTTCCAAAGGAATCGAAATCCTCCACTACGAACACCTTCAATATTTCCCCGGCAGTACGATCTCCCACATCCGCGATCAGCCTGCGCACCCTCGGAAGCAGCTGTAGCACACATTCCGGCGGGAGGATGCCGTTGGACGTGAGGGCGTTGAGCTGGAACGCGGAGCAAAACGGGATTCGTTGCAGCTCGCCGAGGAGACGAGTGAAGGCGGTGAAAAAGTCCAATGACGGCGGCAGCGTTAGGATCCCCTGGGGGATGATGGGCGGGATGCCGGCCTTCTTTCCGAGCCGGTGGACTTTGATGTGGTCCGATGCGTTGCGCAGGATGACTTTGTACACCATCGAGAAGCCCGAGTAGCCCATGTGCGCGTCGTCGATGCCGCCGATCCTCTCGCGGCTCAGGTACTCGCCGCGCTCGCTGAGGACCTTCTTGTTGCGGTAAATCCTCGGCGCATGGTCCAGCGTGAAAAAGATGTTGTCTCGTGAGTCGGTCTCGATCTTCTGCACGGACTCGTAGTGCACCAGCAGCGTATGCTTCACCACATTGAAATCATCCATAAAATGTATAAAATCCGGATCTCCATCCCCCCCTGTATCCAAATCCTCCTGGTCGAGCTCGATCAGCACCGAGCGCGGCCGGAAATGCAACGTCCCACTGCGCATCAGCGTATACCGCTCGTTAAACACCAAGTTGTTATCCCTAGCCTCGGGCGCCCAGGCGCCGCACTGGAACCCCGTGATGGGAAAGCTCTTTATATCCTTTATGGCAGCGGCAGGGGCCGTCAGCGTGCGCTGCTGCTGCGCCTCCATCTCCCTCTGTCGCTCCGCCAGACTCCTGACCAGGTAATTATCGCGCGTGGGACGGTTGCTAGCACGGCACTGCACGGGCTGGCGGCCGATCAGCAGCGGCATCAGCGGCCTCGAGAAGCGCGTCAAGCTGCCGAAGCAGCTGACGAAGCGGTCCGCTAGGCTCTTGGTCGGCAGCGTCAGGATTGCCGAGGGCCGCCGTCCGACTTGCCTCCGGATCAGGAATACCGAGTACTGGTAGATCCCCGCTTGCCGGCATGGCATTTCCAGCTCGCGCGTCAGCGTATGCTGGTTCAGCTCGTGCGGAAGGTTGCTGATGAACACGTCCAGCATGAGCCCGCGCGTGGGCGCGGACGCAGGCTGCGTCGAGGAGAAGAAGCTTCTGACTTCGTATAGCCTCGGTGAGGGCATCTGCGAGAGCTGCCTCGGCTCCCAGGACACGCTGCTGTTGCTGAACACGTCTATGTGGTCCGCCATGGCTCTGGGTGCGCAGTGAGAACCCCACGATAACTAGCCAGCAATTTTTTGGAGCCGGGAATAGTTACATACGAGATGTTTCTCCCGGTAACTAGTCACGTCGGAGCGGAGGGATGGTGGGTATGTCTATTCCTTAAGTCGCTAGGTATCCTTCGCGTGGGGTCAGCTCGATCCTCATCCATTACACGGAACGGAACGAAACCCACCTGTAGTTATATCGTCACTCGGCTCTGTGTATATTCCCGTCGCAGTTAGATAGAAAGAGTAGTTACAGTCTAAAAACGTTGCAGTAGCAGTTGGAGATAACGAGTATGTAGTGGGACTCGCAAAATCGCAGAATCGCAGAGTCGCAGAGTCGCAGTTGCAGTTCGCAGTTCGCAGTTGAAGATAACGAGTACCTATAGCAGGTAGTGGGACGAGCCGCTCCTCCCCACGTCTCAGCTATCGGCGCATCTCATCATCCCAGCCCCAGCCCCAGACTCTGGCTCAAACTCAGACTCAGACTCAGACTCAGACTCAGGCGCGCGGGGTAACGAACGACAAACCTAAAGCATCCGGTCTGGGTACCGACCTATAGCTCCTGTGCGACGGGACGGGACTGGGACGTGCAGTCCGTATCCGGGATCTCGCCGGTGACCGGTCCGCCTTTTGGGGAATGGTCGTAGCTAATGTAGAGGGGAGTCGGTAGGTAGTAGGGCAGGCAGTAGTGATCAGTGACCAATGACCAATGGCCATCTGCATTGCATGGAACGTTTTTTTGGACGGAATGGCGGCATGGTGGGATGCCTAGGCTCCATTGTCCAGTTGCTTCTCGATTGGCTCTGGGGAATACGGGAAACATGATTTGGATGATCCTTGTCCTCCAATTCTGCTGTATTTACGCTTCTTTCCGAGCGAGAGAACTCGAAGAGATACGCACAAGCCCTATCCTGCACGAAGAATACCACAACCAAGATGGTCCGAATACATTACCTCAAGCATTCGATCGTGAATTCTATGTATGGCCTGTCCTGTATGAATCAGGGCCCCGCAGCGGTCACTCACGGGCCATCACTCGCTCTCAAATTTGTAGACGACCTCAGGTATTCTACACTCGTCCATCCGCCGTCTCCTTCGCTCCGTCCCTCCAATCCCTCCTCCACCCACTTCATACGTACAAGCTAGCAAAACGCCAGCCCTCAAACTAAAAGACAAGACAAGATATTTGCAAAAGACAAAAGGAAACAGTGTTGCTTTTATTGCTTGCTACTTCCTCTCCCCGATCCCCCCTTCATAAGTAAAAATCTATCGCGCGGACAAAAAAAAAAGAAACCGACCCGAAGCCCCGAAGCTTGAACATTTACTGTTCCGACTGTACCCGCATGCTTTGTATGCGAGCCTCGGCGGCGATGATCTAGTTGGTTGTTAGTAATTGTATGGTATGGATGAGAAAAGGGGGGGGGAGGGCATACATCAACAGCCTGCTTAACCTCCAGCAACAGCCTCGCCTCCCTCAGCCAATCGCTGGCCAGAGTTCTAGCCCAGCCCGAGAGCTGGTTCATCTCGCGGGCGGCGCTGTCCACATCACCCTCCTCGAGGTACGTCTCGGTCTTTGCCAGGATGCTCTCGACATCGTTGCCCTGCGCGAGGCCAGACTTCTTGAACATAAGTTTGCTCAACACCCAGTTGCCAGCGTGAGCCGCGATACCGGCGTCCTCGGGGAGGAGCGCGGCCCGTCGCACCTCGCCGGAAAGCTTGCGGAATTTGTCGACTAGCTGGGTGTGTGTCACCACGCCGTTCTGGTAAGCGGCGGGATTGATGGAGTCGATAGCGGCGGTCACGACATCGTTGCCCTCGGCGACCTCCTTCAGTGCCGCCATTTCACGGAGGAACGGCTTAGGCTGGTCGGGAGACTCGTAGGAAGCCTTGACAGCCTCGAGGGCGGTGAAGGTTCGCTGCGTCTTCAGGTTGGTGTCGATGACATCATTCCAGCGGGAGGTGAGCTGCTCCAACGCGGCAACGGCAGCCTCGAGCTCCTTCAGCTTTCCGAGTCTTCCGCCGCGCTCCTTCTCGACACGCGACTCGATCTCGCTGATCCAAGATCGCTTCATCTCGATGGCCTGCTCCAGGAGTTCGTTGCGGAGACGCTGCTCGGAGAGCTCGCGGGAGCGCTCGAGCTCGGTCTGCAGCTTTCTCTGGTAGGACATGGCGATTCTCTCGCGCTCGGCCTCGAAATCGTCCCGGAGCTGGTGCTCAAGGTCCTCGACTTGGTTGTTGACGTTTTTCAACAGGCCCTGGGCAGCCTTCGCAAACTCCAGGTCCTTCTGGTTGTTGCTGTCCTCGACCGCCTTCTCCATGCCCACCTTCAACGCACCAACCTGGTCGTTGACCTTCTTGAGTTCCGCCTTGGCGGCATCAATCACAGCGCCAAAAGTCTCACCAGACTCAGTCTTGTTGACAGTCTCGATGAGATTGTTGACAACCTTAACCAAATCCTGGACCACAGGGTCACTGGCGTTCGACAATTCCACAGAAGCGAGGGCAACAGCCGCCTTCTTGGGTGCAGCAGTGGAACCCGTGACCGCCTCCACCTTTTTAACATCACTTCCCTTCTGCGGAGCAGACTTCACATCGACAGTCTTAGCCTCGGCTCTCGCACCGTCAGCCGGAATCGACTTAGTCTCCTCGACGATAGGCCTATGACTGGACAGATGAGGACCGGGTTTTCCGACATCCACAGTCCTGGGGCCCTCACTATCCCTATCGACGACCTTCCACGAAGCACCGGAAGACTTCGGTATCGTGACCTTGGGCGAGTCGACCTTGCGCTGGATCCTGGAGAGCGCGTTGGGGAACCTCCGGCGGAACTCGCGCTCCTCAAAGTACAGCACCGCCTCCTCGCCGAGAGGAACATACTCCGTGAAGAAATCATGCACGTTGTCGGACTTCAGCGAGTAGAACACGCCGGCCGCAAACGATCCTCCCGTGAGCAGCGTCAGCCCCACCAGGAAATTTCTGAACTTGTGGGTTTTCTTGCCGGGCTTAGCAACGACGGGCTCGGCAGCGATGGGCTGGGCAGCGACGGGATGAACAGCGGCGGGAGGAGGAGTTGACGCCGGCGGGGGTGGTGGTGGTGGAGTTGGTGGTGGTGTGGGGACCCTCGGGGCGACCTTCGGGGAAGCAGAAGCACTGCTCTGCGGAGGAGAAGTCTGTATTTTAGGCGGCGACGGGGGGGTGAGCGGGACCTGTGTGGGGGAGGTGCCCACGGACGACGCGGGAGATAGCGGCGTGGGAGTCTTCAACGGCGGAGAAGCAGCGGACGCAGCCTTTGCCGGCGCGGGGGCAGGGGGCGCCGCATTGCTCGCTCCCCCGGGGAGCACCGGCGGCTTCGAGTCTTTGATGGTAGCTTTCACCGACTGCGGCGGATACGGGATCTTGGTATTTGCCAGGGCTCGCTACTGCACAGTAAACATCCTCAATTCATGCCAGACACAAATAGGACAGGACACACGACCACGCCGGGAGACTTCGGAACATACTCTTTGCTGTTGGGCGAGGTGGACTCGCGGTGCCGCCGCCCGGGCGATTGCCCTAACGGATGAAGATGGGAGACGCAGCATTGCCGCGGTTGGGTTGTGGTGGTGAAAGAGGTGGTTGTAGTGGTGGTAGATTTCTAGGCGATAACGACTGACGGAACTAGAATGCGATGATGATGATGCTCGGTCCGAAAGTTGCGAAGAAAACGAGCGCCTTGGCAGAGCAGATACCCGCAGCACCAAATTTAAGAAATAGAGCTCAACACCACAAACTCAAAATCACCAGTCCAGCTTTTCATTTCTCCACAACCTGCAAACCAATGGATTCTCTAACGTAATTTAATACCTCGACGATCATTTACACGTATGAGCAGCCCAGAATGAAAGAGAACTGAAGTAGAAGAAGAAGAAGAGGATATGATCTGGAAAAAGAAAAGAAAGGTGACGTTTCGACAACAAGCATCAAGCATCAAAAGAAAAAAAAACAAGAAAGGAAAAACACCATGAAAGACGAAGCATCGCGAAACAAAACAAAAACAAAAATCCTTCGATCGGGGGAGGGGTCCCGAGAACCAATTATGATATCTGGCCCAAGCTGTGAAGTAGAAGAATTCCCGGGCAAGCAGATGCCACCACATCACACCAGTTCCAACGTTAGGATAGGTAAAGACGCCGAAACCCACCTAATACCGTCCTGTGCAGGACACCCGTATGCCAGTACTCCCCGAATTCTTCTTCGATGACAACCAGAGCTATCCCCTCGACCTAGCCAAACGGAAAGAAATGTAGCATGTAAACGGCAAAATCCCCCGTCCTATCCCCCATCCCCAACTACCGTACATTCAGTCCCTTGCGAAGAAAAACAAAACGTCTAGCAGTTGCAGCCCTGCTGCTGAGCAGCCACGCCTCCCTTCAGGTCGACACCTCGTCCGCCAACGCCTGGTCTCGCACCCCTCGGTCCTTGCTGGTCGAGCGGGAGCTTCTTGGCGATTGCCGTGAACAGCGTCTTGACGTTCTCGGCAGTCTTCGCGGAGGTCTCGAAGAACAAAAGGCCGGCCTCCCTCGCATATGCCTCCGCCTCGGCAGTCTCTACTGCACGCTTCGAACCAGGACCCGTGGCGAGATCCAGCTTGTTTCCAGCCAGAGCAATGACGATGTTCTCGTTCGCTTGGCGTTGCAGTTCTTTGACCCATGCCTTTGCCTTATCCAGTGACGCCTAAAGTACCATTATGCTCAGTATGCCTCGCTCTGGAAGGCCACGCCAAGAGGATGAAGGGGAGGGGGAGGGGGAAGAGCAGAAGGGGTAAATACGGCTTGTGTAATGTCGTAAACCACAACAGCACAGTTGGCGTTACGGTAATACATGGGCGCCAGCGACTTGTAGCGTTCCTGACCAGCAGTATCCCTTCATTGTTCGCAACATCAGCATACTGTGTATAGCGGGGGGACGAGGAGAGGAGGAAGATGATGGCCGAGGGGTAGAGTCGGTGTGGCCGTACCAGATCTCAAACTTGACAGTAGTGGTCTCATCGAGAGCGATAGTCTGGGTGAGGAAGGCTGCGCCGATAGTACTTTCCCGGTAGTCGTCGAATTGGTCCTATAATCGCAGCCACAATCAGTACCACCGTCGATAGCGTCGAGCGGCCTCAGCGGGATAATACCTTGACGAACCGAAGCACCAGAGAGCTCTAAGGTATCCACACTTTAGTTAGTTGATCTGTTGCTTATCCAACCCACTTTCGTTGCGGAACAGGGAAGGAAATGAACCTTTCCGACAGCAGATTCACCTAGCAAAAGACGCGAAACCTGTTAGCTAGAGAACGAAAGCGATGACACTGGCGCCGACAGAGAGGACGCGTGTGAAGTATTTTTTATTGGTATATACCGAGAAGCACCAGCTTGAACTGGGCGAAGCGTTGCGACTGCGTCGAAGCACGAGGATGAGACATCGTTTGGTATGAAGGTGAATGTGGTCGATCGTCCCGGGGTTGCTGTTTGTTGAGGGAGGGAGGTTGGGAGCGATGGAAGGAGGCGACGAGAAATGAACTTCGTGGGACGTTTGAAAGCAGTAGTGTGAGGAGTGGGTTAAGGCTGTCTCTCTTGGGAAGAAATTCACGGTCGGAGGGAGGCGGCGACTGTTTCTATGGTGGTGGTGGTGGTGGTGGTAGATAGTGGTAGTAGTGGTGGTGGGTTGGTTGAGTGGGCTGAGTGAGCGGGTAGCAAGTTGGAATGTACAGTATGTGGTGCGTAAGGTAAGGTAAGGTATGGGTTGTTTGGGGGTGGGTGTGATGTGATGTGTAGGCAGAAGCTGGTTAGAGCAGCCTGTGTAGACTCAGAGGCCGAATCCGACAGCGATCACGAGGTTAGGGTTGGCTATTGTGGTCATCACTACCGGTATTCATTCTCGCAATTCTACAAGCAAGACTCTTGAAGAGCCATTCTGTGAATAAAATGGCATCGGCTTCATGTGGGAATCTCGGGGTGATTTGTTGAGTGGTTGTTGAGATGCCTGTCGACTTGCTGCGCAATCCAAGCGGCGAATGAGTACTATAGAGTACGTCTCCTCCAGCTTGGCCATACCGGTAGCTTGTGATGATGATGATGATGAGGCGGACGATGGTCTTCGGCGATCGTCTGCCTTCATCACTCTGTTTTCTCTCCGGAAGCAGCATGGAATCGGACGGGTGAGAGCGGGACTAGAGAGGTCCGAAATCCTCACAGAAATCCGCATTTGGCCGCTGCCTCACTCGCATCCGGAACGAACGGCGGAGGAAGAAGCAAGCAGCCTCACATGACGCCGAATTATTACATTCTTCTCGTGATGAGGTTATCTGAAGGCTGGGTATCTATGAGCATGATTACTGCGAGGGGTAGGGAGGAGATGCCGGTTGATAAGAAGGGCCAGGGACATCATGACTAGCGAAAAGAAGAGCTCATAGGTAGCTCCGATCACAGCTGCGTCTGGAGATCACATTCGCATTCACAACCACATTCAGCAACCCGCCGCAACCGCATACCCACCACAGCTCCACCGTTAGCTCCATCCCACCAAAGACATTTCGAAGTAAACAATATGGCCACCACAGCCGGCATCGCCGCTGCAGTCGTGCCCGGGAAAGCCCTGGGATTCATCGGTATTCTCAGCAGGCCCGTTGTCAGTGGTGGTGGTGGCGGCGGTAGTAGTGGTGGTAGCTCTCGCTGACCGCGCAAGCTCTCGGGTCCTCTCTCCACTACGTTCTTGCGCGTCTCCGAAGTTATGAGAAAGCGTTCACGTCGATTTCGACCATCTACGATCCCATATCCCCGCTGTCCTCGCCGGTCGTAATACTCCTTGAGAATAACGGGATCCGCCTGCGCTTCGATGGCGCCGACCAGCGGCTGCGGTTGATCGAAGTCCTGGACTTTCAGAAATGCGGGTTGACGTACAACAACCGCGAGATCGTGAAGCCTGGCGCTGGAGGCGGCCCGACGTTCAAGGGCATCTATAATAAATCCTTCGGCCCCACATATCCAGGGGAATACGTTGAATCGCAGGGCCTCTACGTGCTATCGTACCCCGGGGTGGCGTTTTCCTTCCCAATAGACCGTATAGCCTGGAAAGAAGACGTCGATTTCGTCTCGCTACTCTCGTCGACCAACGCGCAGCCCGCCACGAGCATGGCGATATTCGCGGGTCCGTCGTGGGCAGACGTGCGAGACGACCTGTTCACGCGCCCCGTCCAGAACCCACGTACCCCCAGCATCAACGGCTCGAACGCGCGTCTGTCCTCCGCGAACGACGAAGTCGAGTTCATTCGGATCCATGATGGCAACGCCATCGAGATAATACGGCGCCACAACCCGCCGTTTTGGATCACGTTGCACTCTACCACGCCGCAGGATCTGGTGTCGGAGTTGGGCCCGCCGGATGTGATATACCGCAAGAGCGATCACCGTCTCTCGATCCACCGTACCCGCCATGATGATATCGACTCGACAGAGGAGGACACACCGTCCGACGACGACGACTCTGATCTCTCGGACCTCTCCTCTACTTCCAACGGCGACTGTTTCTACAACTACTTCGTGCACGGCATCGACATCTTCATCTCTAGCGTGCGCTCGTCCAGCAACCCCGTAGCCACCAAGGTAATAATCCACGGCAACGTTCCGGGGAGCTACGAGTTCCAGCGATACCGGCGATGCAGATGGGCAGTAGAGCTTTCTCCGCTATCACCGCCGAAATCCACAATGGATCTGCACGTCGATAGCGAGCAGTCCTTCGACGATGTCCTAGTACAGCTCCATGGACGCTTCGGTGGCGCTCAGAAGCCGATGCCGTTGAATCGTGGAAGCGATTCGCCGAGTAGTAGCTGTGAACTGTTGGGCGGCTGGGAAGATGGCGATACGGCGACGGGTGCGAAGGTCCCCCCGGGAACGAACGAGACGACATATGGCAATACTGGTGAATGCATCTCCCCTCCCCCCCTCCCGCCCTCTTCTCCCATACGAAACTAACGATTCTGAATAGAACTTTACGGATTTCCGGGTTTCATATTCGAAGTATTGAAGAATAAGAGTATTTCGTGTCTTACCGTGTTTTAACACCTTTTTGGGGGACAGATTTCGGTCTACTTTATATTTTTATTTTTGCCGTGTTTTACTTTGCTTTCAGCCGTTTGTTTTTTGTGCAGTTTTCAGGCAGGCATCCATCATACCAGAAGTTGAAGTTATTTAGTTGGGGCATCGGGTTGCGGGCATGGAGGATTATCCATTCTTGTTCTCACTGTCTCTCTATCGTGGTTCTGTGGAGCTGTTGTCCAAGTGCAGAATGTGTCACGTGTGAGAGCTTGACCGAGTGATACCTCCAGCCCACCATCACGTCACGTCGCGTCACCCCACGCCGCCCGCCACCACAACGCGTCCTAACCTTTCCCGCCAGCCCCGCCCTTCCCGCCCTACCCTCCCCGCCTCCCCGCCTCCCCGCCTCTTCCCCGCCTCCTCCCCGCCACGACCAACACGACCAACACGACCAACCACGACCCAACACGACCAACACGACGACTAGCACGACCAACCACGACCCACGACCCACGACTAGTACGACCCACGACCACAAACACCCACAAGCAAGATGAAAGTCCGCATCACCTCATACACCGCGACTGCCGTGTGGCGCTGGGACGTCCCGGAGGACGACGTGTGCGGCATCTGCCGCGTGCAGTTTGACGGTACCTGTCCGAACTGTCGCTTCCCCGGCGATGAATGTCCGTTGCTCAATGGCAAGTGTGGTCACTCGTTTCACTTGGTATGTCTCTCGTCGTCTAGGATTTGGGTGTGTGTGTGGCGGGAGAGGCTGATGAGCGGAACAGCATTGTGTCAACGACTGGATTCAGACTGAGGCCTCTAGGGGATTGTGCCCCATGTGCCGCCAGAAGTTCGAGTTCGAGGCGCAGTAAATGGGGAGATTGGATTGCAAACGGATGGGCGGGATTTGGGATGATTTGAGGGTGGCTCAAGGAATCACGATGACTGAAGAATACCAATTTGCCTTTTACGCTCAGTGATGATTATGGTGACTGTGAATTGTAATGTTACGTTATGTGCTACTAATGAGGGGACCGTATGAATTGTAATGTAATGCATACTCAAGACTTGACATTCTCCTGCAAGCCGTTATGCGCCGATGATGGGACTGTGAATTGTAATGTAATGCATAAGGTAAGTACATCATATGCACTGACGACAGACCGAGTGACACCTCTCAGCACGTCGCCACCACCACGTCACGACACCCCACGCCGCCCGCCACCACAACAAGCCCGCCCTAACCTTTACCGCCCGCCTCCCCGCCTCCTCCCCGCCTTTCCTCCCTACCACGACCAACCACGACTATACGACGACCCCCACGACCCACGACCCACGACTAGTACGACCCACGACCACAAACACCCACAAGCAAGATGAAAGTCCGCATCACCTCATACACCGCAACTGCCGTGTGGCGCTGGGACGTCCCGGAGGACGACGTGTGCGGCATCTGCCGCGTGCAGTTTGACGGTACCTGTCCCAACTGTCGCTTTCCGGGCGATGAATGTCCGTTGCTCAATGGCAAGTGCGGACATTCGTTTCATCTGGTAAGTAATCTCTAGGATACCTATGTGTGGCGGGTGAGGCTGATGAGGGGAAACAAAGCACTGTGTGAACGACTGGATCCAGACTGAGGCGTCTAGAGGACTGTGCCCCATGTGCCGCCAGAAGTTCGAGTTCGAGGCGCAGTAGATGGGTGGGCTGGATTGCAAACAAAACAGATGGGGGGTTTGTGACGATTTGAGGGTGGGCTTAAGGAATCACGATGACGATTAAAAATATCAATTTGCGTTTTACGTTCAGTGCTGTTATGGGATCGTGAATTGTAATGTGACGTTATGTGCTGATGGCAGTGTGAATTGCAATTTGAATTGTAATGTAATGCATACTCAAGACTTGACAATTTCCTGCCAGCCGTTCAATCGAAAGCAAAGCAAAGCAAAGCGAAAGGTATCAACCAATACAAGAGTCTTCCCCAATCTTCCCTCGCTCCCTTACACCTTGGTAGGATCCTCCTCCGCTAAAGTCCCCCCATAATCAGCCCCACATCTCTCTTCCATATTGTAGGTAGGGTTGGTACTCACGAGAAAGAATCCCCTTCTCAACAACCTCCTCCGGCTTGGGGCGGTGTGCAAGCTTCTCCTTGAGTGTGTCTTCGAGCATACTCTTCTCGAGATCCCGCTGCGCAGCGATGAGGGCCGGGGCGACGTTGTGATTCTCGGGAAGGACTCCCCCTGTAGTTATATCTCGTCAATATCGAGGGGAAGGTGGGGGGGAACATGGGGGAACATGGGATGGGGGCGGGGCGGGGGGAGCTCACTCTGCAACAGCTCCTCCTTCGTCGGCCGCTTCGAAAGGTGTTTCTTCAGGGCGTCCTGGGCCATAGCTTTCTCGAGCTCTACGCGAGTAGGTAGCTAGATCAGTGGCCGAGAGCGAGTGGGGGGACGGCGGGATGGGGTACCAGCCTGCTGACGCTGGATCGCTGGTGCTCCATGGTGCAGGATGTTGCGGTCTACGAGGTCTTTCTCTTCCGGGCGGAATTGGAGGGCTGGTTTGTTGTTTGCTCTGTTAGCTAAGATTGAGGGATGGCGCGGGGATGGACAGTGACGGCGGGGAGATACCATGTTCCAGCGAGTTCTTGCGGTCCTTGGTCGGACCGATGGGGGAGAGGTCGACGCCCGGGTTGGTATCGGTGGCGGTGGTGGTGTCGATGGGGGCTGGGCCGGACATTGAGCGTAGGCTTGGTTTTGGTTGATGATGAAGCTGTGTGATGGGAGCGGTGATGGTATGGAGCGAGTACAAGTAGTGGAAGTCGAAGAGTCCACAGAGAGGAGCTGGCTGGATGAGCTGTTCACGGCTGGTTGCGGTGGTTTGCTCGGCGACCTTAGTTGCTCTAGCTTAGCGGGTCATCCCTGCTATGCTGGGGGTCATCGTGCATGTGCGGGGAAGCAGAGGAAAAGGAGCTCTCCTCGACATGTACAAGGTACACTACATACACCACTCTCCCTTACATCATCTTCTAGATACATTCTTTGGCCACCACCGTCATTCGAAGACGAGGAGGCATTCGGCTGAACAAGATGGAGACGATGAAGAGAGGACGTTGGGTATACTTCAATCGATTTTCTCGCGAGCCGAGCAGCTACTGACACTCTTGCAAGCTCTCTTTTCCACAGCTCTCGGGAGAGGACACCGCGGAAATTGCACTTCCCTGGAAATTTCGTCAACGAATCGAACCGTCGTTTGATATTTGGGCGAAACATCCGTGAAGAATATGATTGAATCCTGGATTTGTCGATTCATATTCTTGACTGGATGGCCTTGAATTCTCCCTCTAGCACCTAATCATGCTGGGCCTCCAGGACCAAGGCACTTCAGGAATGCCCTGCTCAAAAACGCCTCTGGCCTGTTCCCTTACGAGGAAGCGTATCAACACTCTTGGAACAATAGCACGAAAAACGTTTCCCGGATCCGACAGGCTGACTGCTCCCCACCTCACCCATATGAACGGCTCCTGGGCTTCCGATAGGCTGTATGAATATACTACTGCCATCGTCTGTGGATCCTTGTGTTTGTTAGTGGTGAAAGTCCGGGAAACTAGGGGTCCTCAAACCTATCTAGGTGAAAATCTAGCCGGAATCTGGTTTGGAAACATTAGCCAATCAGAATAGCCAGACTTGCGATGTAGGTTTGAGGACCCCGTGCCAGGTGCTGTTCTGGATAGAAGCGTATCGGGCCACTTTCCTCGATACGAACTGGCCAGACCGGCGCCGAGAGAAAATTTCTGCAGTCTCAGTCCTTGATCCCGGAAACCGCCCGTTACCTACACCTATTATGGTGAGCTAAAGGCGAGCTAGAGCTCCTGCAGTCTCCCAGACGGCACCCAGACGGTGTTTTCGCGGTCCGGAAAAGTAGTGGCGTCTGGAGAATTTTAGCGGATCCTGAAAAATTCGGTATTTGCCGGACCAGTAAAACACCTTATCACTCGGCCAGATTTTCACCCAGATAGGTTTGAGAACCCCTACTATCGTGTTTGATCTCGTTTCGGCTGTTTGTAGGCAGTCCAAGTCCAAGCCTAACAGCAAGAGTCACTTTGGTCCGAATCTCGAAAGGCCCGGATTTTCTGCACAGACTCGGAACTACTAGATGGCTTCATTAGTGTTGAGATAGGCTGACAACAGGGGTTCAGCCTTGCTGTGCGACCCTCACAAATTTCTTATTTTTTCTTCAAACCAGCGATTCATTATCACCACAACGACTGTTCAAGACGTTCTCTTTCCCTCTCGTATCTTTTGACATTGTCATCATGATAGTTGTGGTGGTTGGGACCGTTGGGTGATGAGAGAGAGACCTTCTCACTATTATCAGCCTCATCTTGCAGCGCCAAGATTCAGCCTATCCCGATACTAATGAAGTCATCTAGTGTCACGGTTAAGAAATCTATGCCTCAAGTAGCTACTGGGATGATGGCCTTCAGCCATCAAAATACCTTTTAGTCGAGTGGTATAGTACTTTCCCAGTGTATTTTATTACACGGGAGAATATCCGCAGTGGGTTCTGGTGGACCGGCCCAGTCCCTTTGGATTTCGAGGTTCTTGGAAGAACTATTGGCATCAAAGAACCAACAGCCACCAAGCCAGTGTTGAGTTGCCATCTCAGCTATCGACCTCCTCTCCAATTCGTTCACTATCATCTCTTTCTGCGGCCGAAGTCTTCGCAATTTCCACCCCCTCGGGATCATCAAGAGTTCCACCAACTCCGCGAATCCCTTGAATTAGATCTGAAAAGCAACAGTCCACGTTCATGAAGGCTTCGCCATGGTTTCAGCAAAGTTTCAAAAGCTCACATAGTGAAACTTCACCATTGCGACAATTTGGAGCAGCGACTTGAGGCTGGAGCCAAGCGGGAGTCAGCTAGCAAACAACAAAAACCGCGAAAACGGCGGAGAATTCCAGATGAGGGTCGATAATTTACGTCTGTCCAACAGATAGATGAGTATGAGGAATCTCTAGCACGTACGACGGAGAATGTTTGCCTTGCGAGGATCGCAAAGATGCAGGAAAAAGCTAATAAGTTGGCCAACCGGGTGAAGGAGTTAACAGCAAAGAAAGAGAAATATATGGGGATGGAGAAGGACGGAAAACGGCTGCCAGTGACTTGAAAGTCAGTTGCTCGGTTGCAAGAGGAGGAAGAAAGGGAGATAAGCCGCCTGCAAACATTGAGAGACGACATGAGCCGTTTGGAAGAGACTCTGGAAGAGGGAAGTGGTGGTGAGTCGGAAGACGGGCAGGAGGATGACTGAAAGACTTGGAGATGGAGTATTTAAATTTTAATACAAGTTGTTTTTATTGAAGTTTTCACAATAGCTGAAAAGGCCTACATCTGAGGATCAACCTGACTTTGTACTTGACTTAGTTGGAGCAAAACTGGTTGAGTCCGGGTGGATTTTGTAAGAAGGACTCCATGCGCGGGCAGCCGAATCGCCGCCGCGACGAAGCCGAATATTTTATATCATTAAATATCACTCGCGTGAAGCTCTTCCGAGTCCGCTAGCTAAATAGCGTTAGGCTCATTCTGTTGGCATAAAACCTCTCTAGGTAGGTTGTCAGCTCTCGCGCGCACGTGAGGTCAACACGGCCATAGCGCTAAATCGCGTCATCCCCGACTCCCCGGCTGTGTGAAGAGTCATCAACGCGACACTTCACGACATCCGCAGCTGCCAACGACGACACGCATCGCATCATGTGGCTTTTAGGATGCGACGACAAGGACACGCTGAACGGAACTCGCATATGGTTACGGCCGGGCACGAGATGTGTTCTTGGAAGAGTCAAGTGCGACGATGGTATGTCGCGAGGTAGCGGTTGGCGGGGCGGGGGGGAGCTGAGGGCTAATGCGTGCGATGTAGTTACCGCCGTGGTTCCCTCGAGTCGATCGATTTCGCGACGGCATTTGGTGATCAACGTGGGCCCTGTAAATGAAGGGGACGGAGTATGGCCTATCCTACCGGTGGTTTGTGAAGTAGCGGCGTGGTGCTGATGGTCGGTGGGGCAGATCAAACTCCACGCCCGAACGGAACTCACGATCCAAGACTGTGATACAAAGCATGGCACGATTTGGAATGGCAAGAAGATCAAGGGGACTGTTGCTCTCGATACACGCGACGAGCACGGTTTCTATCTGGGGAAGCATGGCTGTGCGTTTAGGTTCGCTATACACCACAACCCGCATAGAGGAGTGAAGTGGGCTCACAAAGGCAGGGTGAAATGGACGCCAGTAATCTTTTCGGTTTCTCTCTCCTCCAAGGAGCGGAAAGACAAGAACAGCATGGCCGTGTATCGTTCGCAACTAGAGAAGCTGGACATCAAAACCATCGCCACCTGGACCGACGGCACCACGCATGTCATCGCCGCAAAACGCAACACTGCAATCGGTCTACAAGCCCTCGTCAACGGCCGACACATCGTGACACACTCCTACATCGACGCCATCGTCTCGGCTGCTCAGTTGCCACCGACGGACAACGGACAGACGCCCCAGTCGTCGCTGGAATGTGACTTCGATGCGCACTGGCCCACGGCGGAGGACTTTCTCCCGCCCGTGGGCTATGAGCCTGTGTCGCAGCCCCCGGAGGCTTATGCCCCGGATGGAAGGAGAAAGAACATTTTTGAAGGTTGGGTATTTGTGTTTGGCGACGAGGTGCAGTACCATAACCTCCTTGCACCTATTACGGATGCTGGAGGGAAGCCGGAGAAGTTCACAATCAAGGATGGCGTCACACTGCCTGAGGAGCTGGCGGACTTTGTGCAGAAGCGGAGACTCGGGGACGATATCGCCGTGGTCAGGTTTAGGTCAAAGACAAATCCGGACTGGGAAATGAGATTTACTCAGAAGTTGCAGCAGTTGTAGGTTTTATTCTGGCTGCAATGGCGGAGGTGTGCTCAGACTGATGGGGTTGTAGATTGGGCTTTCGCGTTGTCGAACAGAACGAGTTTCTGGAGGTTATCCTGAGTTGTGATACTTCCACTCTTCACCGACCACTCCAGCAACAGCAGAGTCCCCGGCAACGCTCACCGGAACCACCTACGCCTAGTAACAGAGGTATATAGATTGGAAACTCACGTGCATTCAGGCCACAGAATAGCTGACAATCCCAAGCTAAACCGGAGCCCGAATCCGCCAAAAAACCTGCTCCCTCCGAAGGCCCAGCTGCAACTCGTACCAGGGCCAGGGTCGGTCTACGCATGCCAATGTTGCGGTGTCCCTTTGACTGACGAACGAGTAGGTTCGACGGAGAGGTGCCACACCCATCGATCCTTTTGCCTTCGATGTCGGTGGTGATTTCGTGGCGCCGACTCCCGAGCCCGCAAGTCAGATTCCAACACAGAGTCCAGAGAGCAGGAGAGACCAGCCAATATTCTCGAACGACGTAGGTGATCAACAGGGCATAGATGGAGCAGCTGCTAACCTGGTGCGATTAGAATCTGGGTAAACAGTCGAGTTTTAATCGACTCATCCCGACACCAATGGAGATGGAACAGGACGAGCCTTCGTCCTCGATAGCGGATAGTATCATAGTTGGCTCACAGCCGCCCTCACGGAAACGCCCCGCCCCCGCCGCGCCCGCAGTGCCAGACCGCGACGAGAACCTGGACATGATGGATCTCCTGCCTGGTGCAAGAATTGCCAAACGCCGCAAAGTCGCGGAGGAAGAAGAACGTGCTCGCCGCGGCGAGACGATCTCCCCACAGGAATCCATCGCGGTCGACGAATCTGCAGCATCCCAGGTATCGGTAAAAGCAGAGCCAAAGACTCCGGCCAAGATGAAGAAACGTGGCAAGCCCGAGACCACCTTCGAAGTGCAGGCGCGCGAGATTAGGGAGAAGGAGGCGGCTGAGGCAGAAAGGGTTAAGGTCGAGGAACAAAGGGCTATGGAAGGTGTCGATATTGCCGGATTGAAGAATCTGGCGATTGTAGAGACTGTGGAAGTCAAGCCCCGCGTCAATAGGTCCTTTAGAGCTGCAAGTGGAGAGGGAAGTGATCGATGGAAGCCAGAGTGGAATGGACGGGAAAACTTCAAGGGGTTTAGACGCTCTGGTACGGGGAGCAGTACTAGATCCTTCAATGGGCCCAAGATACTTATTGATCTTGTTGAACACAAGCACCGGGATTTCGGCATTGGAGATGGTGGGCTATCTGTGGTTCTTTTGATACCAAACAGCAAGCTGATTTTGCTACAGGCTACTGGATCGGGGACGAAGACTCGGGTTCATCCCGCCGCAAGGGAACACAGCGGAGCACCCAACAAGCAGAGGAAATCATCCCCTCGCCACCCCGCCGTGGTGGTGCCGGCGCCTTCTCCACCGCCCGCGAACCTGCCGAGGCAGACCAATCCGACCCCGACTCCCCGCCCACCTTTAGCCTCCGCAACCGCCGAGGCGGAACTACCAGTCAAGCACAGACACCGCAACCCCATCACCGCAACAGTAGCGCGCTCCCATCGATGTCACAGAGTCAGACGCAGGCCGGGACGAAGCGACCGGTGCCCCCGCAGGCCAGTAGTAGAGTCCCCCCCGCGAAGAAACCAAAGACGGCCCTCAAGATTGGGTCGGATGCGGAGAGTGATAGCGATGATAGCGATGACGATGGATTGAGGTTTAAGTTGCGACGGAGGAGGTAGTAGTGGGGAGGAAATGAATTGTGAGTAGGTAGTGATGTTGGCTGGTCTGACACCGGTAGTTACTCGTCATGTTTTGCTCGTTCTGTATGTAGCTGTTGTATGATACATTCCTTCACCTTCATTCCATCATTCCTTCCTTGATCCATTCCTTCTCTTCCAATGATTCACAAATAAAAATCCTACCAACCTACCAACCTACCGCCCCTCCTCCTCCAAATACCGTTTCATAGTAGTAAACTCCCTCTTCCCCATCTTTTTCCAGTAAATTCACATTAGCCAAAACCCATCCCCCATCCCCCACCCCAGCGAGCCAGCGAGCCAGCCAGCCAGCCATAGGTAACTACATACATCAAGTAAATACCGTATATGCGTCTGATCAGTGACGTTCCGGTTCCGCAGGAACTCATCTTTCGCCCACTGCCGGAGCTCGTGGCGTCCGCGCGCCTGCGCCGTCGCCCGAAGGATGTCGCGGTAGAAGTGCAGCGCGCGCGTGCGCAGGAGGAACTAGCGTAGCTTTTAGTCCGAGGCGGGGGCGGCGGAAAGAGGGAGGAGGGAGGTACACTTTGCAGCGACGGGACTGTCGTGGGGATGCTGTGGGGTGGGCGCATGGTCGGATCTGGAGGTTGCGGCGCTGGGGGTGGGGAGGCGCGAGATGAAATCGCGGGGGCACGCGGGCACGTGGTTTACGTCATAGATGGTTACTAGTGGTTCACATAAATACCACGGTATTGGTGATCGGTAGGTACATAGCCTCTGACAGCCATGTTCGTTACTGGGCGACCAGAGGCCGTTTTCCCATCATAGCTAACTGCTGAAGCTGAAGCCGAAGCCCTCCTCCATCGTCTACATAATACCATTTTGTTTCTGTGTTCCTTTTCATTGGCTTTGTTGGTTCATAATTCATCTGGATTCTGCGGCATGCTTTTTTTCTGACAAAGCAAGCTGATTTTATAACACCGTATCCATCCCTCCTCCTGCAGGACACGGTTGGACGACGGTGTCAATTTTACCCCGTTTTTTTGCTACAGTAGTTAACTATATTTGGGTGGGAAGGTTGAGAGCGCTTCATAAGAGCGCACTCGGCTTGTCCGGTGGCGGCGGGGGGGTGGGGGGGGTGGTCTCGTCTGGATCCACTGCCGCTGGGATAGGTATGTGGGGCAGCACGGATCATCGAGAGCGATACGGGACGTACGTCTGGGATCATTCCGTCCGATGATCTTTCGTAGTATAGTACGGTCATGCCGCATTGTTGCTTGATTGTGCGCACTCTAGCCATCGATCCTCACTGCTCACTGCTCACTGCTCGGTGTTGAATGCCTGCGGCATTACGGCATTACGGCATCCGACGGACATCGATAACCGCCTTCGCTGTGTTGCCGTTATCCGTTGGCTGCGGACGAGAAGAGAGTGAGGTGCTGTGCTGGAGTGATGTGTGTCGATGGCTAGGCGAAGGTAGTGCTTCGATGGGCTCGAATCAAAGTCTACCAATTTTGGTGCACAACATGTTAGTTCTCCTCTTAGCTGAGTGGGTACTTGGTAGGTCCATTCATGAAGTACATACCTGGTACTTGATTGGAAGTTATTACTACACAGTACCTATGCCATTGAACCTCACAAATGTAAGATGTAGTAAGATAAGATCAGCTGTAAGATCGACATCTACCGGTTTGAACCGACAGACGTTTGGTCACGGCATTAATGTGGTACGGTAGTACGGTATTGGTGTTGTTTTTCTCATCGGAATGCTGCCGAGTCCCGACTGCCGTGTGCTTCCAGTCCAAGAGTTGCTATATATGGTATCAATTCTACAGGCTTTATTACCGCCGGGCTTATCCGGTGCATAAAAGTAAAGAACTGCTTACCTATATCGAATTCCAGGCACCCAGAGGCCAAGTATTACGGATCGATCAAAGTAGTTATGAGATCCTACGCCACTAATACGTTTACACTGGGGGAGTACTGCGTTGGACCAATTCCATGGCGAATTCGAAGTCTCGCCTTCACGATTTTCCGACCAACTATGCACTGGTACTATTCTCATGGCGCATTCCCGCTGATGTTTTCTGCAGGGCACCTCTCGCTCGCCCGTGTGGCGCAGGTGTCTGCAGGCTGTCAGTTGCACGTCTCGTCGGCTCCCATTCGCTGGCTCCCGCACATTGCTGACAACGAGTGACAGAGACGAATCCCGTGGCCGGTCGTGTCGGGTAACTAAGCGAGCGCCATCCAGCAGTCAACTGCTCCACCTACCCCGCCCCCGATCCATGCCTCCCCGCCCCCGATCCATGCCTCCCCGCCCCCGATCCATGCCTCCCCGCCCCCGATCCATGCCTCCCGCCCTAGCTCGTGCGCACCAAGCTGTAAACCAAATAATTGGTCTAGAGATCCATGCATGAATGCGCTGTTGAAACTGCAACTGCAATTCAGCCCCAAACGGTGCCTTGTGCTTCTGTTTTGATACCTGTGCTTCGCCGGTCACTTCGTGTTCCAATGATAGCCGCCCTAAGTACCGACCTATATATGTACAGACTGGGGACTGCTGCCTACCTCAAGCTCAGCGGTTATATCCCCCCCCCCCATCTCCTCAGAGTCTAAATTCCCCTCTCGTTCTTCAACCGTGAATCCAAACACATGAACAATGGTATCCTCCTCGGACGCCGCCACCACTCTCTACGAGGCGCTCACCCTCTGGCGACAAAGCCTGGAGTCGCAGGAGTCGCAGCAAGACTCGACACTTCCACGCAAGGGCAAAAACCCAGCCACATCCAGCGACGAGGAGCTCGAGCGGCAGCGGCGCATCCACCTCGAAACCGTCGAGCGGTGTCTAAAAGTCGTCCCCGAAATGGCTGCCGTAATCACTAAGCAACCCAAGGCGATGGCCGCCACGGATTCCGCGTATACTGCGCCGCCCGCCCCACCACCGGATCCTGAGATGGACCGGTGGGAACTGGAGCCGGCAGAGTACAGAAAGGTTTTTGGCGCTTTCTTCGATCAGGAAGATGCTGGTGCCGATGACGAACCGTTCTTGAACCCGTTCACCGGTCAGATGGTGTTCCCGGCTTCGTCGAAGTACACTGCTGGCCCGTCCGGAACCTGCTCGCCGCCCAACGTTCCGAGTCCAAGACTTTTTCTCGGAGCTGGGAGTGCCCATGCATGGCCGGAGGAAGAGGAGGATGAGGAGGAGGAGGAGGAGGAAGAAGAAGGGGTAAAGACTATCCTTCGCTTTTATCCTATGATGCTCAATTGCGCACGGCTGAGTCGTGTATAGAACAACTACTCCTGGCCGATGACCAAGCCCGAGTCTCGTCCATCAAGATATGCAATGCCCACCGAGCCAGACACAGACTGGGAAGACGATGACTACAGGGCACCAAGGAGGACCTACCATTCCTCAAGTTCAAAGCACGCCTCTCCGTCCAGCTCACCGGAGCGAGATGGGTTCAGCTCCTCAGGGATAAACACACCACCGTCACCGGAAGAAATACAACCGGCTTTCTCCGGCTTCCAACCAATTGGCACGCGCCCCACCGTGCCGAGCTTTGCAAACAGCACGCGAACCAATGTTCCGAGCTTCAACGACTATTCGTCCGACAGCGACGATGACGGGCCGCTTCCCGTAGCAGGAGCAATCCACAAGCCGGGGCCGCCCACACCTCCTCCCAAAGTGCCAGTAATATTAACTGCATCTACGCCCGCGCCCGTAGCCAGCAGCACCCGGAACCCTTGGGGATCAGGTCCCCGTCCCCCGTACCCGACAACTCCCTTTCGAAGCCGGATTCAACGGGCACAACCGGCCACACGCCCCACCTTCGCATCGAGAGCGGAAGAGGACTTCGGCAACGTCTTCGGCACGCACTGGGGTGGGTTGGACCACCACCCTGTACCAGAGCCTACCACCGACGCCCAGCGCGAATTCTCGTCCTCTCCTTACAGACAGACGAATGGCGACTGCGATGATGATAGCAGCGGGGATTATGGCAGCGAGGATGACGATAGCGACGATATCCCGTCGGAGGAGAAGGAGCAAGCGCGGCCGGAAGCGCAGTACGCCGCGGACCTTGCATATGCTGCGCACTTAGCCCGCGCGGATCTGGATTCCGACGATGACTACGATAGCGATGAAGACACGGACGAGGAGTATGCTCGACTGGTGGAGGAGCAGCGGAGCTTGCTGGCTGAATTCGAATTACACGGCGGCAAAGCTCAGATCCGTCGTGAGCGAGATATGGCGCACGCACGCTGGATGCAGGAACAGGAGGACCGGATAATGCAGGAGCAGGAGGCCGTTGCACGGCGCGTCAGGGATGAGTGGGCGGCTGCTTTTGAGGCGCAGATGGATAGTGATCGTCTGCTGGCCGAGCAGTGGGATCGCGAGGAGGAGGAGGAGGATAATCGGCTGAGGATGGAGTATGAGGAGTTGAAGCGAAAGATTGAGGAGGAGGAGCAGGAGAGGATCCGCGTCGTGGACGCGGAGAGGGAGAGAATCCGTAGAGAGATGGTGTCGGAGTGCGTGGTTTGCACAGAGGAGTACGATAAGACGGACATGATCATTTTGTCGTGTGAACATGCCTATTGCGTGAGTGTCGATTGTCTGAAAGGTTAGTCCCCCCCCCCTCACCCGGATACCACCACTACACATCGCATACTGACTCGTGCAAACAAAAGCCCCCTTCAACATCGCCCTCAAAGACAAGAAGCCCTTCACCTGCTGCTCGCAGCGCGTCGATATAGGCCTCGCAGGGACACACATAACCCCCGAGTTCGTGGCCTCCTACCGCCTCATGCTGCTCGAGCTCGACACGCCCAATCCCCTCTACTGCCCCGCGCCCAACTGCAGCAGTTTCATCCCGCCCGCCGGTATCCGGGGCGACACGGGCAGCTGCCCCAAATGCGCGACGGCCGTGTGCCGGCACTGCAGGAAGGCCTCGCACAGCGGCATCTGCACGGAGGATAAGGAGGGCCAGATGGTGAGGAACCTCGTGAAGCAGCAGCGCTGGATGGAGTGTCCCAAGTGCAAGACTGTCGTCGAGAGGAAGGAGGGCTGCCTGCACATGACGTGCAGGTGCTCGGCCGAGTTTTGTTACAGCTGTGGTGTGCTCTATGGCGATAAGCCCGGCCAGTGCTTGGGGAATTGTAATAGGAAGTGAGGGAGATGGGGAGACATAGTTACGCGGCAGCTACTAGTTTGTATCTACTCTATATTGACAGATGCGGACGGCCCATTGGCTGCTTGGTCGGGGAAATTGAAAGCGAGTGACCTTTGGTGCAAGTGACTGATTATTCCCAATGGCGCTGTGTGGTGCGATTGTGGCCAAGAGGGAACTGAACTGGCGAGACGTCATTTATGATACCTACGAGCAGTGGTTGAACGGCCGGTCCTGGCAACCGTGTGTCAAAAATCATGCCACTATAGTAGGCGAGCCATCAATCTCAGTGCAAGATTATTTCCAGCGATTCCAAGGATCGATAGCATGTAAGAAGTATATAAGCATGACTGCACTTTCCACCAGGAAGCCACGCTGCGAGACGAAGCGATGGTCTGATGTGGGTGACGATAAGATAACTTTAACGCAACCTCAGCGCACTAGCACGCGCAAGCACTGACCCCTGCCTTCGCGCTAACATTATCTAATTCTTCCCTCCAGATCTTCGACATCACCTCCCAAGTAACCACGCTTCACCAGCAACCACACATACCCCCACCACACACCACATACTCCACGACCGACCATGCCGCCAAAACGCAAACTTCCCGAGCGCCCCGCCGAGATCACGTTCGACCGCGAGGCGCGCACAGAGTACCTCACGGGCTTCCACAAGCGCAAGCTGCAGCGCATCGCGAAGGCGAAAGAGGCCGCCGCGGCCGTCGATAAGCTTGCCGCTAAGGACGCTCGGAAACAAGTTCGTTCTTTTCCCCCCTCCTCCCTCCCCTTCCCCTCCCCGTCTTGCGCGCTGGTGGCTGACAGATGCGATAGTTGCGGGAGCAACGAAAAGAGGAACTGGAGGAGCTCGTGGAGGCGGGGCAGAAAGCTGCGCGACGGTCTGCGCGGGTTGCGGCGGGCGGGACGTGGGAGTCTGATGACGAGGAGGAGGTGGGAGGCGACGACGAGGATGGCGAGTGGGACGGGATCGGCGACGAGGCTGTGGTAGTGAAGTTGGATACCAAGGAGCTCTATGTCGACGAGGACAAGTTCACGACTGTTACTGTGCAGGAGATGGATTTGGATGCGGATTCTGAGGAGGAGAAGGAGGAGAAAGTGGAGGGCGAGGGGGAGGGCGATGCGGAGGCGAAGGAGGGAGAGGATGGGAAGGATGGGAAGGAGAAGAAGAAGTGGCCGAAAAAGAAGAAGGAGAAGAAGAAGAAGTTCAGGTACCTCAATGCGACTGAGCGCAGGGCCGATAGGTTCAAGCTCAAGCAGAGGAAGTCGAAAGAGAGAGCGAAGTTCAAGGGAGAGAAGGGGGACGAGAAAAAGCCGAGTGGAAAAGGAAAGCCGAAGAAGTAGGAATAAGACTGTTGTAATATACCTTTTTTGTGTCATTGTAATGCCAACCCGCTGAAGGTGGTGCGCAGTGGGCTGGAAATCATCCGGAGATACCTGAGCCCAGCAACACCATTGCAGTTCCACCACAGCCAGTCTTTCCCCAGAAACCCGATAATATAAACAAAGCTACTCTAATGTCTCTCTCCTTCCTTGCCGACCACATATCCCCGAGCGACACCACTCCTCCCCTCCTCAACGAGCGCCCCACCATCTTCGGGCGCCTCCAGATCACTCCCCAGGCCCTGCCACGTCCGCTTATCCCTCAGGAACATCGCAGCAGGAGAGATCACACCTCCAGCCGCAACCAGCTCCTTCTGGCGATTTGACGTAGTAGTCAGCGCAGATGATGTTTTCTCCGCTTTTGTGGCTTGTGTTGAAGAAGACTTAGTGGTTCGCCCCAGTGGCCATGCAGTAGAAATGTACCGGCCTGTCCGCAGGTCATATTCCGGGGGTGCGTCTTCATCACTATCCTCCTCTTCTTCCTCTTCTTGCACCCCCTCTTCCTCCCGCTTACTCTCCTCCCCTTCCATCCGCTCTGTATCAATCCTCAGAACCTCCGCAAAATCCGCCACCCACCCACCCGTCCACTCCCTCTCGCCAAGCGCGATTCCCAGCTCCCACGGCGTGATTACAGGTCTATACCAGTCTCTACCCTCGACACCGCCCACAACACCCTGCTCCCAGCATCCAATACCGACCCACACCTCTATCTCGGAGAAATTCGCGACCTTCTCCACGTTCACCTTGCCTACGACCACAAGATAGCTCTTCCTACCGGCCGCGCGGATCTGCGATTTCAGGTGCGAGATCATAGGAAGGTAGTGTGTGATGTTTAGCGTGTTGATCAGGATGCCGATTATGCCGGCGGATTTGGCGTGCGAGAGGAGGGCGTAGCGGCGGCGGAGGAGCGCGGAGGAGAGCGTGCTGTGCACGATGTGGGTACTGGGGTCGAGGTAGTGGATTTGCTGGACGCGCGAGGAGAGGATAAGGAGGAGGGAGGGGAGGGGCGAGGAGATGTGGAAGAGTGACCAGTCTCGGATTTTGTCCTCACTATCGCAGTCGGAGGGTAGTGTCCGGTTGGGAAGGAGCGATGCGGGCCTGTGGATTATCTCCGTCGTGAAGAGGTTGGTGTAGCCCAGCTCCTTCAGCGCGGAATACAGCGGCGCGGTGTGGGAGGCGTAGGTAACATCCGCCACCAGCAGGATCTTCGCATCCAGCTCGGTGTACGTCTTTCTAAACCCCTCGACTGCAAGTAGAATATCCAGCGGATTGCTCGTGAAGACGTAGATCACCGGTAGGCGCATGGTCGGAGAAAGACACGATCTTCCGTAATGCACGAGAACATCGGCGGAGGCATGTTCGGCGGCAATCTCGTCGACGCAACAGGCCGAATATGAGGTGTCGGCGAGGATGTAGATTTTCCGCTCTTCTTTCCCTTCTTCGGAAGTGGTGATGTTGACAGCCTGATGCAACATGGAGTACACACGCGCACTGTCCTTCAAACGCTCATCGGGGAATTGTAGCGCGATGCGCTGGTAGTCGCCTGCGAGAATTTCAGAGATCGTGCGCGGGATCTCATACATTGCGCGGAAATCATCGTCGCTGAGGTGGGTGTGAGAGAGCACTGAGGGAGCATCGACGAAGGAGGCTTGGAAGGCGTGGTCGTCGGGGGTGGAGAGGACGGGTGCCGTGCTCGGTGGCGGGGGCGGTGATGCTGGTGGTGTGGTTGTCATCTTCGATCTTTGGGGGATAATGGGGGTGGGCGAAGCAGTCCTCCTGGGTAGGTATGGTCGTGGATCAATCGAATGGACGGTGCAGTCGGAGATGGCGGAATCGTCTGAGGAATCTCCAGCAGAAATGTCTTCGCGATTCACCCCACTTCCGTCATTGAGCGTGGGGTGCTAGAGAGGGTCCCAGGGTCACACAAGAACAGGGATTGGTTAGTCGCACAATTCGACTCAACTTTGGTTAAATTTCACGAAACTTATTTTGACTTCAGACGCACGACCCACAACCACCAGCGAGAATGGCCTCCTACAACTCACGCTCGATACGGCTTCCGTCCGATCTCTTCGCGCTTGCCGTGCACCCTACAGCACCCCTGATCACTGCCGCGCTTTGCTCAGGCCATGTCTACACCTACACCTGGCCCAGCACCCCCGAAGAGAAAGATGAAGACGAGGACGACGATGTGGTCACCACTCCCGCCGCTTCAGGAGATCCCTTCACAATCGCCTGGAAAACACGCCGTCACAAAGGCTCTTGTCGTGCCGCCGTTTACAGCTCCGACGGCAGCGTCCTCTACACCGACGGCATCGACGGTCTGATCAAAGCCGCAGACTCCTCGACGGGGCGCGTAATCTCCAAATCACTTCTCCCCAGCGCATCTGACGCACCCACCACGCTTCTCCCGTTGTCACCAGTCCACCTCCTCGCCGGCACAGACGATGGAAACATCCACTTGTACGACCTGCGCACGCCCTCGACACTGACCTCCGCCGGCCCCGCCGCGTCCTGGAAGCACGTACACGAGGATTACATTTCCTCTCTCCTCGCCCTCCCCGTAACCGCCGCATCAACCACCGGCTTCCCACGCCAATTCGCCGCCACAGGCGACACCAGTCTGTCCCACCTCGATGTGCGGAAGCCCGGGAAGGTCCTTGCCCGCTCCGAGCCGCAAGAAGATGAGATCCTCTGCACGGCGTTCGTCGCCAACGCGCCCAGCAAGAACACGGGCGGCTCCGAAAAGCTGTTGACCGGTACTGCGGCCGGCGTGGTGACGACGTGGAACAAGGGATTCTGGGAGGACCATCAGGAACGGATTCCGCTGAGTCGGTCGACCGGGGATAGTATCGACTCCGTACTTGCGCTGGGCGGTGATTTTGAGGTGGTTGGCGCCGGCTGGGGAACTTTCTTTGCGGCCGGGAGTGGCGACGGGAAGGTGCGCATTGTGAAGATGGGTGGGAATAAGGTTGTTGCTACGATGGCGCATTCAGTTAGTGCCGATGAGGCGCGGAGAGCAGCGAATGCGAGGGTTAAGAGGGGCGACTATGACGAGGGCCTCGAGGAGGGGGTTAGTGCACTCGGCATTGATTGTGAGGGACGCATTGTTAGTGGTGGCGGGCAGGTTGTGAAGGTGTGGAGTCCTTCCGAGGAGCAGGAGGCGGAGGCTGAGGGGAGGAAGAGGCGAAACGACGAGGAGGATAGTGATGAAGCGAGTGATAGTGATGCGGCAGATAGTGAGGATAGTGACGATGAGAAGGAGAAGAAGAAGAGGAAGAAGAAGAAGCGGAAGGGTGGAAAGGGTAAGGCGAAGAGCGCGGGTGTGAGGAATGTCAACAGCTTTTCAGGGCTGGATTAGGTGTACGGTACGTTCAGAACATGTCAAATTCCGGCGGCTTAAGAACTGCTCCTCATATCTGTTAATTGACCATGACTAATACCGATGGCTGCATGGCGCAATGGTAGCGCGCGGACCTCCTATCCATATAAGATACAGTCCGAGGTTGTGGGTTCGAGTCCCATTGTGGTCGTTCTTTTGCTTCTCGCTCGGGCTGTCTAGTGATACCTCCTCTACACATTAGTTTTTGCCGCCATCCCATCAGACTCCAATTATCTGTGCTCTCGTTGATTTTTGCAGCATGGTGGTGATGGTAGTGGTTGAGGATGGAGACTCCTCCCCTTCTTTGGATGGTACTAGGAATGAGATAATGTAAGATGAACAGGGCCTTAGCTGCTGCCCCGTGGTATGTAACAAGTATAAATCCTGGTTCATCGGGATAGCACCAGGTTGGGTGCAACAAGATCCCTAGCTCCTGCGAAGTTTCACATTGAATCACTCGCCCCAAACTCATAACCTACGAGTGACAGAGTGATCACTCCCCAACCGACCACAATGTAACCCTCTCCGATCAACCTGTCCACGAAATATTCACCAGTACCGTCTATCTATACAACTCCACCAGGCACAACAAGTAGTAACCATTAGAATGGCGACCCCGGTTTTCAGGTCGACCCTTGAATACAACACCCCTCCACCGTCACCCCCAAAGGGACAGAAGGAGCGAGACCGATCCCACTCCTTCCCCGGACCTCCACCACCACCACAAACCATTCGCTACGGCCCCTTCAACAGATTCATGACCGACCCCGCAGCAACAAGAGACGAACCCTCCGCGCGCGTTCGAGCCGCAACAATCATCGACCCTTCCAGCCCGGCGCCCGACCGCCACCGCCGCAAATCCCTCCCGCACCCGACAATCAACGAGCACTACCACCACTTCCGCGAGCTGCCCGTGCCGTGCACGTGCGTTCTCCCCGCGCACGTCGCCCGCAAATGCGCCGTCCCCCTCTGCGTCCGCCGCGAGTGCGCCGTCGAGCGCCAACGCATCGAGACTATTGCCCCGTTCCAGGATCCGAAGCCGGTCTCGTGCATCCCCGAGGATACCGTGACCACGCCCGCGGACCAGATGAGGTTCGGAAAGGAAGGCAGGAGCTGCAGGTTCTGTAGCGTCGACTATTGGTGCTGGTGTGAGCAGTGTGGGAATCGGCTTTGCGCCGAGTGTACACTGAGGGAGGCGGAGAGTTCTATAGGGAGGGGATTGGGCGTTAGACATAAGGGTGTGGAAACTAGGTGGATTTGGCCATGAATCGATGTGATAATAAATGGAATTCAGTGCTTGGTATGAGAAGTGAGGAGGAGATGCAACTTTTTTTTGTGACTCTTTAACCAACCCGTTCTGTCCGTCTTCTCGCCTTTCCAAATCACCCCCTCGTCTCTAACTAACCAGAGGGATATCTACAATACACACGTCCACATCCTCGCCATGCTTATATACATACAAAACTTCAGTCTAAACCAGGCAGTCATCAGCTCGCCATTCACTTGTCTTTCCTTTTTGTCTGGTCCATCATATATCCACCTAAAAGTCGCCGAAAGTGCTAGTACTAGCAGTCATAGCATCGTCGTCGTAGCCATCATCGGAGCCCTCCGGGTCACCAACCACGTCGCCCACGAAATCCGCACATTCCCTCCATCTCTCTCTAACCAGATTATGTCCCGCGCCCACCAGAATCTCCCCCCTGACTCTCTCCTGCCCACCCAGCAGCGTAACCATCTCCCCCAACAGAGCGGGCGGAACGACATCATCCCCCTCGCCGATCAGCACACCCATCTTCGCGATGCCGGCCTTTCCCACCGCGCGCCACTCCTCCTGACGGTCATATATGGGGCCGTATCTGAACGAGCTCGCAAACGCTTTGACAAACCCTTTATGTTCCGCCGCCTGCCACTTCATCACATTGGAATAATTCATCCCATCCTCATTCGGCGCATCCTTCTTATGCGCCGCCTCCCTAGTGGCCAGCCGTCGCCCGAGCATCCACGTCTCAATCGCCTTCGGCACCCATCCGCCCCTCGCCAGTTTTGTCAAATACCCGAGGCCATTCCCCTTCAGCAATCCCGCGGGCGCGAACAGGACCAGGCTCTCGATTCTCTGAGCGAAATGTGCGGCGAACGCGACCGCAATCCCGCCGCCGAGACTGTACCCGACCACGGAGAAGCGATCCCACTCCAGCGGCGAGGCGTACAGCGCATACAGGATCTGCGTCGAGAACAGGCGTTCGTCGTAGTGCACGTCCGTCGGTGCGTCGGAATACCCGCGGCCGAACAGGTCGAACACCATCACCCTGTACCCATCGCTGGCGAGCGCCTGCGCGAGACTCGCGAAGACGATCGACGGCGTGCTGATCCCGTGGATCAGCAGGATCTTGCGCCCGTGGGGCGGGCCGAATTCCGCGACGTTTATGGTGCCATGCGGAGTCGAGATGAGGCGCGCGCCTGGGAGGATGGTGGGCGGGTAGGGGGTCGCCGCGGTGGGGGGCTTGATGCGTGGCGAGGGAATGCTGCGGGGGGGCGGTGCTGTGGAGCGCAGGAGGAGGTAGGAGGTGGTGAGCCCCAGGACGGTGGTGGCGAGAACGGTCTGGTGGAAGGGACAGGAGTAGAGAGCGTTGTAGTGCCGGAGTAGGGTGTCGGTGACGGTCGACATTGTGGTTGGCGGATTGCGGAGGCGGGCGTAGGCGGGCGATGGTGGTGATGGCCGGGCACAGGTGTGGAGGTTGCTGGCGGGGCAAATGTTTGGTGCGCTAGCGGTTAGGGCTGGTCAATTCCGATGAACCGCGGGAAACTGTATCCATGTGATTGGAGGAATTCAGTGGGTGGCTTTCCGCTAGTTAGTCATGTAAGTGCTTGAGTACGTCACGAAATCACAATCACTCTGCCACGCAGCTATCACGCCAGGCCCTCAAGTCTCTCGAGTAGGAAGCAAATTTCGCTGTTGACTAGACAATGGGCATCGTGAGTTTGCGAGGTGGATGGCAGTCTCTTGGCTAGTGAGCCTTGAATCCTCAGGCCCAACAATAACGCCTAAGGCCTCATTCTGTTTTCCTGAGGATCACGCAAACGATTAGACGAAGAATATCACAACGATTCCTACGGCTCGCATTCCGATCCCACGCAATTTGTTACAGCCGAGACATCCAGCCCGACACAAAGCAGAGGTGATCTCACACGGAGAGTAGGTCTTCGCCGGATAGCCGGTCGTGTTTATAGCGCTTGCAATAAAATACTGCCGGTAGCAAAGCCCCCGGACTCCGGGCACGATTGCGAGTGAGTCCCGGAGAGACTTTACATGAACTAGGCACTACTGGACTAACATTATGCTGTACGATGGGAAGGCCGTTCAGTGATGATCATATCTACTTCGAAAGGTCACGCAGAACATCAATATATCGGTCCGTCACTGTCCGGAACCAGGCCATTCCAATCCGATACAATGCACGGCAAGCCGAGGCAGCGACATGAAGCCGTAGCTGCCTCCAGTTTTCTGCACATCTTTTACTATATGGCACTTAATGCCCTCTCGCGCAGTACTGAAGCCGTGAGTTGCCGCTTTGTCCATCACCGTGGGATATATTACCTATGTGCACCAACTATGGGGGTTCGCTGGATAAAAGAATAATATGGGCGTTATAAGAGGGAATGTTCAGCAGTCGTCACTGCCCTAGCAGACTAGGAATGCAGATGCCAGTACGTGGTGGTGGTGGTGGTGGTGGTGGTGGTGGTGGTGGTGGTGGTGGTGGTGGGCTGGGAGGTGTCACTCGGTCTGGCGCTCACACGCAACACATTCTGAGTGCATTGTGATGTATTATACTTACCATATGCATTACATTACAATTCACAGTCCCATCATCAACAGCACAAAACTTAAAACGCAAAGCAAATTGGTATTTTTCATTCGTGATTCCTTGAGCCCACCCTCAAATCATCACAAATTCCGCCCATCCGTTTGCAAGTCAGCCAAATTTATACCGCCCCAAACTCAAACTTCTGGCGGCACATGGGGCACAGCCCTCCAGAGGCCTCGGTCTGAATCCAATCGTTGATACAGTGCTATTTCATTTGCCCTTCCATCAGCCTCTCTCCCTCCTCTCCCGCCACACACATCACACATCATAGACGAGAACATACCAGATGGAACGAGTGTCCACACTTGCCATTGACGAGAGAACAGTCGTCGCCAGGGAAGCGACAGTTGGGACAGGTACCGTCGAACTGCACGCGGCAGATGCCGCACACGTCGTCCTCCGGAACGTCCCAGCGCCACACGGCCGTCGCGGTGTACGAGGTGATACGAACTTTCATCTTGCTTGTGGGTGCTTGTGGTGCTTGTGGTCGTGGTGCTTGTGGTCGTGTTGGTTGTGCTAGTCGTCGTGTTGGTCGTGTTGGTCGTGTTGGTCGTGTTGGTCGTGGTGGGGAGGAAGGGCGGGGAGGAGGCGGGGAGGGGAGGAAGGGGAGGAAGGGCGGGGAGGTGAGGAAGGGCGGGCGGCATGGGATGCCTTTCCAGACGCCCCCATGGTCTCCTACAGCTCCAGTTTCTCGATCCTCAACTCGGCCGATGATACCACTTCGTCTACGTTCCGGGATCTCGTGGAAACCCACCATTCCGTCATCCCGGCGATGTCAACGGCGGGCGCTATTTTCTACTTCTAGATATACCCGTAGAACGCCAATAACGCATCCGCCGGTTTTCACCCTGACCGGATTTTTTATCAACAATACCCGCAACGACAACTTCGCCCGATGGCTTCAATGACGAGCGTGCTCCGAAGCCTCGCTGGCGGCGGAGATCGCAGAAGTTTCAACCAGATTATCGGGTCCCGCCTGATCAGCATGTATCTCCTCTCTTTCCCCACAGTCCCTAAGAAACTCGTCGACGTCCTCCAGCGGCGCCACATCCACCAACCTAATTTACAGCGCGATGAACCCCGCATAACACAGGACCGGAACGCATCTGATATGAGAATCAACGGGGGAAGATGGGATTAGTTTTTCACGGCAGTTGCGGATGGAGAGGCACTTAGTGAGAAGGATGAGTGGTTCTTCGAGTTGGAGCTCCATATGGGTGCATATATCAACGAGGCGGATCGCAATCAGAAGGATTTTGGGAGGGTGTTTGTCCGGTGTAACGGAGGGGCCCTAACCGCACCTACATACACCGAGAAGGATCGAGACAGTAATAGAATAGTAACTGGTGTCACAACAATCACTCGCCCACAATATTTCCTGTTTTCGGATACCCAAATACTGTAAACTTCGACCACAACTACTTCACCTTCTCTCCAACAAACAACATCACCACCTAAGTTTTGTACCGATTCTCTTTACACCCTCCCTCTCACCCCCTTCCTCTACACCCTCTCACCCCCCCACCCTCCCCCCTCCACACCCTTCCACAGCTTCCCTCCTCACCGTCTTCACATCCTGCCTATTCTCTTCACCCATTCACACCCTTCTGTTCACACCGTTCGCAGATCTTGTCTACTCTCTTTTCCAATCTCTAACAGATTCCAACACAATCTCTAGCGCTTTACATACACCATGTCAGCGAGTAACCTGTCCGAGCAGGCGAAAGCTATATATGAAGAGCGAATCAGGCTATGGGAGGAGAGCAAGCAGGCATTGTATCAGCACTATAGAGAGCAGAGGGCCGCTGGAATTCCTGTCGATGAAGAATACTTCAGTGAGGCAGAGCTCGCCATCCCACCTCGCAATCCAATGGTGCCGGAGATCAGAGTCCAGAAGCCTGACTACATGCCCCGCGCCCGTCGATATTCGTTTCGTGGCGATCTGCAATATGGTGACCCGCCGGCAGGAAACAGCTATCCGGGGTTGACTAGCCCTCCGGGCTTCGACATACAGCCGGTCGACCCTCCTGTTAGACCTGACATGCAGCAGATGGGTCGCGGGCGAGGACAGCACAACCACGACATCAGCCGTAGCCTTGGAAGGGGAATGGGTACGGATCAGCCTCCTCAACAGCCACCCGCCCCAAGTATAGCTCGGTTCCAGCAGCAACAGAAGAAGGGGCAGCAGCAGCGGCAAGGACAGCTCTCAAGTATGGCTCAGCTCCATCAGCAACAAAAGAAGGAGCAGAAGCAGCAAGGACAGGGTCAAGAGGAGCAGCCCCTCCAGAACCGTCGGATCTCCCAAAAGAAGAAATGGAGCGATTCGCTTCGGAAGGAGAACTTCGGTCTTCCGCGCAGTTTTTCCTTAGGGAATCCATCGGTGACTCCGGTTCAGACAAACCAGATACGGACTCTCCATGAGATGGAGCTGAGGGAGCTTGGACAGATTGATGAACGGTGGTATTCAAGTATATCCCCTCAGAAGCCTTCGGCAATTCCACGACCCGCCACGGTGCATCCGACCTCGCAAGACGTCCGCCTGGATCAAGCCGAAACGAATGGGCAAATCCGGGCGAACACTGCTATGCCGGCCCACCACGATTTTCGTCAGTACCACCGCCCGTCGTCCGGAATTCGAGCCGAGCCCAATGAGCAAATCCAGGCCATCACCGCTATGCCGGCTCAGTACAGTTCTCCTCAGTACCACCGCCCGTCGTCGGGAATTGGAGCCGAACCCAATGAGAAAATCCAGGCCACCACCGGTATGCCGGCCCAGTACGATTCTCGTCAATATCACTACCCGTCGTCGGGAATTCCGCAGCGCCAGTACTCCATGTACCCAGGATCGATGGCCCCACCCCCGGTACCAACAACGGCGTATGCTCAGAATCACGTGCACTCCAGACCAAAGCCACTCGGATATCACTTGCAGGAAGGTAACGAGAGACCGCAGCCCACTCAACTTTTTGGTGGATATCAGGGACATGGTGAATACCCAGCTTCTGGATACTACTCAGACAACCAACAGAACACTGCGAACTATCCGGGGATGTCTAGGATACCCCATGCACACACGTTTAATGCTGGGCAAGCCGGTAGCTATCCTCAAGCAGGCGCTTTCGCTCGACAGCTACAACAGAATGACTACAGCTCACACGCCGTACCCACCCGTATTCCTCAGCCGATGTCCTTTGGTCCGCTCCAGGGCGAGTATAGTCGCTACCCACAATTCGCACCTGGATCGCTTGCCATACCTCAGGGCATTAATCCCTACAACCAAGCTGCAGACTACTACGACCGCCACCAAGTCCTGAAGCCATCGTACTCATTCTCTCATGGCCAAGCACCACGGCCGCCGCCGGAAGTCACCACAATCCTCGAGGACGGAAAACCCAAGGTCGTGAAGAACATTTACCGACCGCTCAAGCCAATAAACCCGCAGATCGCATTGGTCACGGAGTCGATGGCCCCTGGATACTGGAGCGGCAGGTTTTCAAGCTCCATGGACCGAATGAATGAACTCAATCCTCTTCTCCCCGACAATAGCAAGAAGTTCAAGGTCATGGAGATTCTTTCCGACTGTTGCAAGAGTCAAGATGCGACAAACTCGTACTGGGCTTGGCGGCGTCTGCAGGACATGTGCGAGAACATTCCTCGCAGAGACTACCAATAGACGCAAAGAGGAAAAGTCCTAAATTGAATTAGGCATAAAAGTTGTGGTACGAGGGGAGTTTGGGGGAGTATTTGGTGTTGTTTTTTTCCTTTTGATCTGATGGCGTGTTTCTGCGTTCTTTTCACCATACTGTTTTAATACTTGTGTTGTTTGTGTGGGCTTGGTTTTAGGGATTTCGATTTCGGTCTGCGGTGACTTGGGCTATTGCCGTTAACAACTTTGTCACGGTGATTCAGCTTTACTTTTCTACAGTTTACCCTTTGTTCAGGTTCTTGTCTTGCTTTTTTCTTTTCTACCCTTCGTGGTAATTTCTGCTTTACTTTCCTACAGATTACCCTTTGTTCACGCTCTTGGCTTGCTTTTTCTTCCTACCTTTCGCGGTAATTTCTGCTTGTTTTTTTTTCTTTTTCATGACATTTCTTTTCATTCTTCATTTCAAGGATTTTCAGTTTTACTATTTCTAGTGGTACCGCTTATGTAGATGGAGGTGAAGTCTTGATAGACATTGAAGTCGTCCTGTCCTTTGTGGGCAGTTTTCTACCTGAACTATGCCCTTATTGTTAAGAACAGAGGGTCATGTAAAGTCACTCGAGGCCAAAGAATATCAATTATATATTCTGGCCTAGACTGTCTCATTTCAGGCTTGGCATCACCATAGCTATCACCATACCCCCGTCTTGTACCGAGCTCCTTTCTATTCTCTAAGCAATCAACATCATCTATTATCTCAGTATACTCTCTCCCATCGTATATTCACAACATCAACAGCTAGCGGATTGTTGGCCAATAACTGGAGAAATTTAAATAGCATGAAGGCAGAAGTTTTGCTTTCATAAACTTCGACATACTATCATAACCTGAGGGGTGCAACTCTGACAGGTCGCTAAAGCCTCTCTCCGTTGAGCCAGGTAGCTCGTATAATAGGTTGGCGGCCATCCATGAAGATTTTGTTTGTACCAATGCTACCATCGAAAGTTGGGAACGTGCCTGTAAGCATACGGCCTTACTAAACTATGAAAGCGAGCCATCATTGGATCAGTTGGATTGGTGAGTGCAACATAACGAGTGCTGCACGATGAGTAGCCTTAATGCCCGACGACAGGGTTGTCGCAAGCCCTGCACGGCAAGCCCTGTCATCGCAAATTCTTGCTGTCCAACCGAGAAACGAGTGTTCATGGTCCTGGATGCTTGAAGGAAATCGCCGGTTCGGTATCTATCGATCCTGTTGCTCTCACGCTCCCGGGGTGAAGGCACTCTACATGTAATGTGTACAGTACCTACTCCATTATCAGGAAGGAGATGGAATAACTTTTGGCCGCGACCGCGACCGCGATTGTCTCGGTTTTGCTGTTGAAAGATGGAAATGGCTCCCTGCCGCCCGGCCGAAGCTTGGGCCGAGATGTGTCCAGTGTCCACTGGCCAAGGAGCATTGATTTTCACATGCCAATATCCCTGCCTCGGACCGCGCGCGCGCACGCCGTGCTCCAGTCTCCATGGGACCCGCAGCTGTTTACCGAGCCGGAGTATCGGCAACCCCACACCAACTAACTCGTGGTCATCCCCCAACAACCACGACTCATCATCCTGACAAGTTTCGCCCGCAGGATTCCCCGTCACACCCCGTCACATGCCCAGGTAGTTAGCAGTGTACCTATCATAAGTACGCTGACCAGTTTTTTCTTTCGCTTGAGTAATAAAGCGCCGTTCCTCCTTCGGTCTTCCTCTCATCCAAAGACTTGCTCACCTGCTCTCTCTCTCCCTCTCTCTCTTGCTTGTCTCACTCACGCCACACATAACTTCGCCGTCCATACATACACGACTACTAGACCCACCGCATAGAATCAAAGTCGCCAACTGATACTCCAACACACGATGTCGAAGGTTTTCAAGCAGTCCGAGGTGGCAGAGCACAAGAAGCCCGAGTCGCTTTGGATCATTGTCGACGACGATGTTTACGACGTGACAAAGGTTAGTTTCTCGCGTTGTCGGTGGCGGTGTTGGCGGTAACCGGCTGAGCCGAGGGTATCCGAACCCGTGATTGTGAGGCTGACATCAGTGCTTGGGTATAGTTCGCGGAGGAGCACCCCGGTGGGAAGAAGATCCTGCAGCGAGTGGGCGGAAAGGATGCTTCGAAACAGTTTTGGAAATACCACAATGAGTGCGTCCCACCCGTGTTTTTTCTTCTACAAAGCTGTAGAGGTCCGGGATGATTGGAACGCGACGCTGACAGGAACGCGTTCATAGGTCAATTCTCAAGAAATACAAGGCGCAGCTACAGATCGGATCGTTGGAAGGAAAGGCACCTCCCCCAGCACCCAAAGAGGAGCCTAAGAAGATCGAGGCAAAGGTCGTGCCGATGCAGGCCGGTCCCGCTGCTCCCGTGGTGGCTGCAGAGGCGGAGCTGAAGGAGAGCTTGGAGCCGTTTGGAGATTTGGTTCCATTCGGAGATCCAGCATGGTATCAGGGCGTGAGTTTTTCAATCCATTACGGCGAGGTGAAGGTTGCTAATGAATCCAGTACCATTCCCCATACTACAACGAATCGCACGCGGCACTGCGGAAGGAAGTTCGCGACTTTATCGAGGAGAAGTGTGAGCCTTATCTCAACGATTGGGAGAAGAACAAGTTTGTGCCGCACGAGATTTACAAGGAGATGGGCACAAGAGGATATCTCGCCGGGTATGATGCTTCTTCGAATCAGCTAGGACAATGTGTGCTAACACTGTCAACAGTCTGCTTGGCATGGGATACCCAACCGAGCTTACCTCCCACCGCGTTGCCTCCGTTCCCCCGGAGAAGTGGGATCTATTCCACGAGTTTGTCGTCACCGACGAGATCTGCCGCACCGGTTCCGGAGGATTCGTTTGGAACCAGATTGGGGGTTACGCGATTGGTCTTCCTCCGGTGATGAAGTACGCACAGAAAGCACTCAAGGAGCGCATCGTCCCTGGTATCCTCGCAGGAGACAAGCGGATATGCTTGGCTATTACCGAGCCTGACGCGGGCTCCGATGTTGCTAACCTCACCTGTGAGGCAAAGAAGACTGAGGACGGCAAGCATTACATCGTCAACGGCGAGAAGAAGTGGATCACCAACGGTATCTGGGCGGACTACTTCACCGTCGCAGTGCGCACTGGCGGCCCCGGCATGGGCGGTGTTTCCGTCCTGCTCATCGAGCGCTCCGAGGGCGTCACCACACGCGAGATGGACTGCCAGGGTGTCCACGGCTCCGGGACCACCTACATCACTTTCGAGGACGTCAAGGTCCCCGTTGAGAACTTGATCGGAAGGGAGAATGCCGGCTTCAAGGTCATCATGACCAACTTCAACCACGAGCGTGTCGGCATCATCATCCAGTGCAACCGCTTCTCGCGTGTGTTGTACGAGGAGGCGATGAAGTACGCCAACAAACGCCGCACATTCGGCAAGAAGCTGATTGAGCACCCCGTCATCCGCATGAAGGTCCGTACTTTACCCTCACTTCTTTGCCACTCCGCCGCTGACAGATAGTATAGTTTGCACACATGGCCCGCCAGGTCGAAGCCACCCACAACTGGCTTGAGAACATCATCTACCAGTGCGGAGCGATGGGCGAGCACGAGGCGATGCTGAAGCTTGGAGGCGCTATCGCCGGTCTCAAGGTGCAGGCAACGGTCACATTCGAATTCTGCGCGCGAGAGGCCGTCCAGATCTTCGGTGGTATCGGTTACACCAAGGGAGGTGTCGGTGCGAAGGTCGAGAGACTGTACCGTGATGTCCGGGGATACGCCATCCCCGGTGGCTCGGAGGAGATCATGGCTGATCTGTCGATTAGACAGAGTCTAAAGGTGCATGAGGCTATGGGGATGAAGCTGTAAATATAGAGCTGCTGTGGGGGAGGGTTATAGATGCTCTTTACGTGTTTAATGCGGTTTTTGTTTTTTTTGCGGGCGTGCGTCGAGCAAGACAGTCGCTGGGCGAACGCAGACTTGTATTTGTACTCAATTGGTTATTTTGGTGCACAATACCTAAGAAGTATCTTTATTTTGCAAACATTAATTTGGTGAAAGCTGTTTTTATTTTGCAAACATTAATTTGGTGAAAGCTGTTTCGTGAGGAAGCCGTAACGTCCTACCGAATTCCCATGCTCCATCCCCAAGCTCCATCCTCCAAGCTCAATCCCCCAAGCTCCAATTAACCAACGGTGCCCGGTGCTGACCAACACCATGGCAGTCCGAGTACCGAGGCACCTCGAAATCCGGTAACACCGGCCGATCACAGGCAACCGATGCAGGAAAACGTCACTTGCATGCCTGCTAGTTTGTGTTGGCGTATTCATAGTGCCGGCGATATCCATGCGCATGAGAGGGCGGGGCGGCCGACCCAACAAATCCGGATTATATAAGCACACTTCGGCGTCTTCGGCGTCCGACATCCGGTGGGTGATGTGTAAGTGAAGACGAATTATCATTCCGGATCCAGATAAGGGTTCTCTTCAGGATGGCGTGGGTGGCCTATAGTTTATGAACCCACGCTGAGGTGAAGTTGATGACTGGGTGAGCCGCGGGAGCATCCAGGCAGTGAACACTGAACGCCGGCGAGACGGAACCACGACAACCACGACAACCCCATCCTCCTCCGCCAGCCAATCGAAAGGCGACGAGAACAGCACACCACAGCACACTCCTGCCCGTTCGTGCTCCACTACATACAGCCAGAACTTACCATCTGCCCCAGACATTACAATGAGGGTGGAGAATTGCTAGCGTCATCAACAAGATGGCTGCATGGCGCAATGGTAGCGCGCGGACCTCCTATCCATATAAGATACAGTCCGAGGTTGTGGGTTCGAGTCCCATTGTGGTCGCTCTTTTGCGCCTCTTTTGCTGCTCTGTTGGCCGCTGAGGCCTGGTGGGTCGGTGCGTGAAAGGGAAGTGATCAAGAGTGCACGAGTGCACGAGCGGTATGTAGATTTGGGAATAACCAGGTGGTATTGCACTTCACCCAGGAGACGATGAATGGTCCTTACTACAGGTAGTTTACGTATGGGACAGTGGGTGCACTCCTGCCGGAGTTAGCATCGTCGTTGAGTTGTTTCATTTACTGCGAGTCGTTTGATAGCCACCTACCTACGCACTTGTAGCCGGTTCAAACCCGCCATAATGAAGAATGAAGGAAGATATTTGCACCGGGAAGCAAGGGGTGTGTACGGTATGGCGAAGGTGTCGACTGTCTAAGGTGCAAAGAGGTAAAGGAGAAGTGGTGCGCCACATATGTAGGTGGTTGAAATTCACAATTCCAAGTCCCCGGTACGTAAATACGGCAACAAAACTCACCACTCGTTTTAAAGTATCGGTCACTCGGCAAGGCAGTCGGAATCTCCCATTTCCCGGGACCTATATACGGTACAAGAGACCAAGGGGACTTATGATAGTTTGGTCCTAATCACGCTCGCAGACATCACTCGTTCTTCAGGAAGCTTCAAACAGAGGTTCCCACTGACTTCTCACGACGCTTTCCTTCAACCTCCATACCTGGTAGCCCAGCGATTCTCACCTTTAACTTCACATCCGGCGACTCCGTCATACCGAATAATGCACATGAACGAGTCGAACCCTCACTTACACTCTCATCATTCTTATGTACATGCCTCTCCACTACCTCTTACATCTACGACTTGATGGATTCTATTAGTAGTAACTTTGTTGGGGTCTACCACTCTCGACCTCTACGGCTCCCTCCATCATTAGATATTTCCACATTCTAGCACTCGTTCCAACAGCGCAGCTGTGCGATCGAAGAATGTCACTCGACGGGCAGATGGTCTGTGATAAGAGCGAGCGTACTAGTAAGTCCTCTGCTGCTTCCACTCCCGATCCCGCCGTTGCGAGATACGATGGCGAAGGTGCTGCTGCCGATATCGGTGCATCCCCGTCCACTACTTACCATCGCAGTCATTGGATACTAGTACCGCCCCTCCTACAAACCGTGGTCAGTCTCCAGAGCTACTATGGGTCTATAACTTGGTACATAGATTTAATCCAGGCGGCTACGGCTGTTGTGCATCGGGCGAATACATATTTTCTCCGACTAGGTATGTACCTCCGCTGAGCGATATTTGTATGGGGTTCTGCTTCAAATGGCGGCGTGGTATCAGAGTTTTTTGTTTTTCTCCCGGTTAACCTATGGAGATTATGGCGGGCCTTTTTGAAGAGAGCCTGACTTCAACTCACGTAACCTTGTGTGATAAATGATCCTTTTTCCGGTCACTAGATATTGGTACTAGGCACCCCCAACCATAGGAAATGATTCACATATTACCTACGGCCATACGACGGCAACGGTTGAGTTTCAGCCCGCTTCGGCCTACTATGAAGAACGCCACGTTTGGCTAATCGCTGATAACGATGAGCAGATGTATGTGCAAAACCAATTGTTCGGCGAAGGGCGGGACATTGTCGTTGAAGGTATCCAACGATGCCATTGAGTACCAAGTGCCTGGGTATAGGCCAACCGATTGTTGCTTGTCATAATGTGATGACCTTTTTCTCTTGCTCTTGCCTTCACATGGAAGATCTCGAGGCTTGAACATTCAGTCGTTTTTTGTTGGGGACTCACATAAAGTGCTCAGCCGCATTACGAGCCCGATGTGAAGTGCGGAGTGCGGTTGCGTGCCCAGAAATTGACGCTGTGGAAGTGGCTGCTCTAGTGTAAGGCTGGATTCTCCACATGCATCGTGGAAGTGTTGATCGCTCGGCTCCCAGGGAGCGAACGCAGCAGTTGCAGTCACTAAATGCTGCTAGTTATTAGCTGCCCTGTTCGTAGTTAGTGAACAGAGCTCGTGAGTCGTGCCACTCTTGGCAACGGACCTCGGCATCGCTTGCGCGTGCCACGGTAAATGGACTGGACTTCGGGAAGGTGGCTTTGGCCAAATGATCCACGCGGATATGGATATCTACTCGTACACCACATCGTTTCCTCTAACCATCCACCACAGTCCTTTCCTCGCTCCGTGTCTTCATGCTTTCCCCTTTCAATTTGATTCCCACCCCCACCATCCCAGCCATTGAAAGTGTTTTTGCCCGTTTACCTCACGCACCTTCGCCTCTGCTGCCAGCCGCAACCTGCCGTGGTTCGCTGCGTCCTCCAGCTCCGTACGTTATTTAAAGGCTGTGCACCCCTTCTAAAAACTCTCTGAAGCGCCGACTCCCGAACCACGAAACTCGTGGATCGACTCGCGTTACCTTCGACGCGGATTACTCTTCGAAAACACGGCATCTTCCCCCGGATAATCGTTATTCCAAACAATGTCAGGTACGCGACACCCCCGTCATTATTCACCTCCGCCTTGCAGCAAGGCAATCAGCGCTCTATTTGCACGACACTTATAGAGTCCCAACTAACATTCATTACCAGCGTCGGCGTCACAACTCCTCCTCGGTGCGGCCTTGCCCGCCGCTGCGGCGTTCGCCTACCTCGATGCGAAATACCTCCTCGTCCACGACTATTTCCTTATCTACCCCGTCGCCGCCTCCACCATTGCGATGCACATGAAGCAGCGAAGCGGCAGACTGAATACCTTCTACCGGCTCGAGGAGCGCGCCTTAGACTCCAATCCGGCGGTGCGCGATAAAGCGTTCCTGGTCTACCAGGGCCAGGAATGGTCCTACAAGGCGGCATACGAGATCGTGCTGAAGTATGCGACGTGGCTCAAGGAGCGACACGGCGTCAAGCGCAAGGAGATCGTGGCGATGGATTTTACGAACAAGCCTGAGTTTTTGTGGCTTTGGTTCGGTCTCTGGGCACTGGGTGCTACGCCGGCGTTTTTGAATTACAACTTGGAGGGCGAAAGATTGGTGCACTGTGTCAAGGCTTCGACAGCCAGTCTGCTGCTGGTCGACGAGGAGGTGGCCGCGGCGGTGCGGGAGCCGACGACGAAGGAGGCGCTCGAGGATGGTGGAAAGAGGAGGGTGGTGATCTTTGACGCGCACACGGCGGCGGGTGTAGCGACGTGGCGCGGCGAGCGACCACCGGACGAGGAGCGGTCGTATGCTCTGCTTCCTGATCCTGCGATCCTGATTTATACCTCCGGCACGACGGGAATGCCGAAGCCGGCGGTGGTGAGCTGGCACAAGATTAATCATAGCACGGGCTTCACGATGCGATGGATGGGGATGAAGAAGTCGGATCGGTTCTACACATCCATGCCTTTGTACCACACCTCGGCCGCTGTTCTCGGTGTCAACACCGCTCTCTTGGCCGGCGCTACGGTATGTCTTGGACACAAATTCAGTATAAAACGCACAATCGGTGAGCTGCGGGATACCAAAGCAACCATCTTCCAATACGTCGGCGAGACATGTCGCTACCTCCTCACCGCACCGCCATCCCCAGATGACACCAATCACAATGTCCGCATCGCCTTCGGCAACGGTCTACGCCCCGACGTATGGAGAGAATTCAAGCAGCGCTTCGGTATCCCTGCCATAGCTGAATTCTACGCCTCAACCGAGGGCATGTCCGGCTCTTGGCATCTCCAAACCGGAGAATTCGGGATCGGCGCAATCGGCAAAAACGGTGCACTGACGAATCTCATTCTCGGCAGCGGCACAAAAATTGTAAAGCTGGACTACGACACCGAACTGCCCTACCGTGATCCGAAAACCGGTTTCGTAGTTGAATGCCCAGCCGGCGAACCGGGAGAGCTCATGTGGAAACTGGACGCCAACGATATCAAGGCCCGCTTCCAAGGCTACTTCGGAAACGAAAAGGCCAGCGACAGTAAAGTTCTGCGTGACTGCTTCGTGAAGGGCGACGCGTGGTTCCGCACCGGTGATCTGCAGCGGAGAGATAAGGACGGCCTATGGTACTTTATGGACCGCATCGGCGACACGTTCAGATGGAAGAGCGAGAATGTTTCCACCGCCGAAGTCGCCAGTGTGCTGGGCACCCACCCGGGAATCGAAGAGTGTGCCGTCTACGGTATTACCCTGCCTCAACACGATGGAAAGGCCGGATGCGCTGCTATCGTCCTGCACAACGGATGGGATATTCAGCGGGTCATTGCCGGCCTCGATGAAACAGTCAAGGCTCTCCCGAAATACGCCAGGCCAGTGTTTATCAGGGTAGTCAAGGAGCTCGAGAAAACTGGCAATAATAAAATCGTCAAGCGCACTTTGCAGGATGAAGGGGTTACTGAGGGAACTATTGAGGATGTTTGGTGGTGTCCCGTTCCTGGCCAGGGGTATGTCAAGTTTGGACCAGAGGATTGGAGGAGTCTAGGGAAGGGAGGCGTTAAGCTGTAGCCTGGCCATAGAGAAGATAGAGGGCTGGGTCAAGGTGGATGTGGCTTTGTACGAAGGGTGTTTTACCTTGTTTTTCTTTTTTAGTTCCTCGGTGCTTTCCGGAGGGGTGGGTTTACGATGGGAAAATGGGTTTTCGTCAATTCATCTTACTTTTCACTCTCCGCAGTTGTGCCGACGGAGGAAGCGTGATTATTCGATGGGACTTTGTATAGATACTGGCCGTGGAGGGTTTGGGAATTGCGCTGACGGTGAGTCGAAATACCTACTTAGGTAGGTGCAATCATATGAGATCACCCAAGTCCATGGAGTCTGGTGATATAGTCATACCGCGTTCAGTCTTGGCCTTCGTCATAGTTCAGAAAGGCCGCATGCGGTAATAACTGGTGTTCTCTCTCTCTCTTTCTCTCCGTCGTCACGCTCACCTGGCCCAGCATACCTACGCGGAGGCTCGAAATAATGGTCCTCAACAATGGATTGTTTCTTTGTCTCGCGCGTTTCTTTGAGACACCAAACATAAGGGCGTTGTCTCTCGTTTCCGCCCTACTCTAAAGGTCAAAACAATCCTTTGTCCGGCGAACGTAGACACTGAGCAGGTGAGATATAGACCAGCCCATCAATTAGCAGCCCGCCATCATCTCTACTTCCGACCTACGTTGCTGGTTTCTGGCAAACTTGACCGCCCACCGATCAACACCACATAACATGGCGAGTTCAGGAAGAACAGAAAGCCCGGGCTCGGGCTCCGACGAAGAGGCCGGAGCCGGACCCGGAGCCAAGGCTGCCTTCATCGATCCCAAAACCGTCCCCTACAAGCCCGCCGAGATCCAAAAGATCCTCGACGACATTGCGCCCCGGTCCCCGCCCTGGGAGGGGATCGGGGACCCCGCCGCCCCCGATATCCTCACTCGTCTGGGCCGCCAGATGGCCCTCGCATCGCAGGTCAGCGGCCAGGAAGACTTGATCATAAACCTTGAGGGAGACGTGACCCGGGCGTGGATCCTCGGCGCGCAAAAGGTGATGACGTACGAGCGCGAGGCGCACTGGGAGCAGATCGTGGGGACGCTGATGGACCGGGTGGTGATTGGGAATGCGGAGATGCTTGCGCGGCAGGAGAAGGTGCTGGATACCATGGGGTTGATGGCCGTGATGCTGAGCATGGTGACCACGCGGGGCTGCATGTTCTGCGACGATGAGTGGGAGCTCAGGAAGACGAAGGGGATCACTGGCCCCGAGTTGATGCGCCATTTCGTCGAGGAGCACTTTAATGCCGGAAAAGATGCGGACGTGGACGACATCACTGACGAACAGCTGATGGAAATCGATGCGGATGAGATGCCAGGTGAGTTTCTTCTTCATGTTTTGTTTGTGGGCGCGTGCTAATGCGTGGAGTGACATTACAGTCCCGGTAAGAGCTGAGGGCTTCGAGACTCCCAGACACCGTCGGGAGGCAATCCGCCACATTAGGAACTTCCTCATGAACGACCTGCGGCGGGCGTGCCAGCACTGCGGCGAGGACTTTGATTTCGACTATGCGTGGCAGTGGCAACCGGGGTACAGGAGCTACGATCTCACGGCGCTGGTAAATTCGCACCGGTACTATTGCTACCACATGAACCTGCTCGGCAGCACGTCCTATCCAATTTGGTTGAACAGGATGGATTATAAGAATATCACCACGAGATTGCCGAAGGAGCAGCCCCAGATTTGTCTCAGTAGCCTCGATGAGATGAAGTCCAAGATGTATAGGGGCTTCGTGAGGGCTCTGGCAGGCCAGGGACGGCCGGCGAGTGGGGATGATGCAACGAGTAAAAAGGAGAAGAGAAATAATTTAAAATCGAAAGGAAAGGGCAAGCAGAAGCCAGACGTGGAGAATTTTGCGGCAAGGGAGATTACGCCCCCGCTGATGGTTTCGGATTCGGATTCGGAATGCATTGAAGAGTTTGCTGCCGCCAGAGATGGGGACAGTGAACCACCGCTGCTACTGTCCGACGAGGACGCGGAGCCAGAGCCAACGTGGCATAAGAAGAAGACGCGTTCACCCAAGATCTTGCTGCCCGCACTTGATAATGCGCTGGCGGTGGTGGAAGCTCTGGGATATGGCCGACGGCATCATTATCTACTCGCTAACCACTGGTCCGACGACCACCTCCTCAACTGGCTCGCCGATCAACCGGTCACCTATTCAAACACCACCCTCGGCGTCCACAAGGTGCCCACTAGAAAGGAATTACTGGGGAGTTATTCAGACGAAGTTATCCTCCACGCACACAATACCCGATGGGCATATTGGATGTTTCCGATTCCGGACCGTGTGGACCCGGCCGAAAGGGACGAGCTCGGCGACGGTTCCAACCTGCTAGAAACCACATACATCCGCGGTGATTCACCTGTACAGAAGAGCTTCCCCTTGCTGTCTGCGCACTTTCTCATGCGTTACTACGCGGACCGGACCAACACCCTGCGACTGCACAGCTGGGAGAATCTACGGCGGTTCTGGCTTGCGCTTTCGTTCCATGTGCAGCGGTCGAGTGCCAAAGGGCGTACCTACCTTTTCTGGCACAAGGGCATGGGCGGTATGAATTGGGCCCAAGACGAGGCGTCACCAGTGCCGGATCATATCAGTCGGTGCTTGCGGCATCTGCGGATGATCGGATTTGCGCACGAAGCCAGTATCTTCTACGCTGCACTCTTGGAGATAACGGAAGACAACACGGTCCCGAGGCCCAGTAAGCGCTTCCGTGACCAATCGGTGATATGGAGACGGATCATGACCTGGCAGATAGATGTCTATTTCTTCAGGGTATTAGAAGCTTACGTCGCAGATAATTATCCCCTATCCGAATTGGAAGAGGATTTGCGTGAAGGCGTTCAGCAAAGTCAAGTCCGGGAATTTGCCATGCTATCACCATTTGAGGCCTCCGCCCATGTTGAAGAGATCGACGCGGCGCATGCCTGGTTTGGGACGATGCAGGAGAGTGTCGGGATGAAGCCTTTTGCGCGGCAACGTCCAAGGGATCAGTGGCAGTATGGAATCAAAGACATCCACGGCCCGGATGCTAAGTCGCTGTATGTTTACGCACCCGATTACTGTGTCATGAGCGGAATGCAGCCGCCAGGCAGACAGGTTGCAAGCTGCAGGGAACCGGAGAGAGACACAAAAGACTCCGGAGAAGACACAGCAGACCCTGAGGTTGATATCCCCACCTCTCCTATTTTTGATACCAAGTCACGGGGCAGCTAACTCATCGGGAACCAGAGCAACCATCAGGCTACAGACGATCAATTTGTCAGCTTCTTCTGTCTTCCCGGTACGGCCGGCCATGGACGGACATTAACAGAGTGGATGGCACTCGACAGCGCTACTCTGAGGACATCTAACGGCTGGATTAACTGGTGGTTCCCAGCCAATGAATTCCCGGTCGAGACCGGTGTCTCGGACAAGCCTGGGAGCGAATTCTTTCTGCCGAAGCTCAAAAAATTGGATATCACAACGTTCCATTCTAGGAAGCGGAAACACCTGCAGAAGCGCCTATTCGAAGCCTGGCAGCATTTCGTGGTCTCATATCTCAACCTCGAGTGGAAAGTAAGCAAAAGGGGGGTGCCATCCATCACCGTTGCTGAGAAGAGTCTCGCCACACCCACAAACTACCCATGGCTCAGCAAAAAGACCAAAGGCGAAGACCACCAGCGCATGGCGCGGGCCGTGTGCAGCATGACGGAGTTCCGCTACTACAAGCTGGCAAAACAGCTCTGGGCTGCAGTCACCGAGGTGTGCAATCGTGCAGCCAAAGCGAACAAGCCTACCGCCGCGTCAAATGAGCTTTGGAAATCGGTGCACGATCATTGTTTCACAGGTACGGAAGCGGATGCGGCGGTAGAGGATGGGCCCACCGCCAATATGGCCCTGAGTATCAAGCAGAAGATGGTCCCCCCGCTCATGCTGGATAGAGATGTCCCCTGCGCAAAGAGGGTCAAGTTTGACACGCCGCCGGGTGGTGAGTCGCCTACTCTGCGATGCTCAACCCGAAAGGTGCCGCGAGATGATAGCGACGATGGGGATACGACCGAGTCGGAGGATGAGGAAGAGGATGAGGATAAGGAAGAGGAAGAGGAAGTGGAAGTGGAAGTGGAAGTGGAAGAGGATGAGGATGAGGATGAGAAAGAGGATGAGAAAGAGGAAGACGAGGAAGAGGACGATGAGGAAGAAGTTGAAGATGAAGGTAAAGCTGTGGAAGTGGAAGAAGAGGACGAAGAAGAAGAGGTGAGCGATGAGGAACAACCTGATACACGCAAATCTCCCTCTGCTAGACCCTCCAAACGCTTGTTTTCGCAGGTTATGATGGCAGATGATGGGGACGCTAAAGACAACAGCAAGGATGCCCAGAAGGAGAATGAAAATGACAGTATGGACCTTGATAAGAATGAGGAAGAGGATACTGGTGACGCCAATATGGATGCGGACAAAGAAGAGGTTGCGGAACCCGATGAGGCAAATAAAATGGACCTAGATGTACCGACTAATGCGGAAAACACGGAAGAGCCGAAAGTCATTGTACAGGCGCCCCAAGAGGTCGTTGGCGAGCTTCTTGAAGGAAAGAAAGTTCCAGCGATTCTGGTTGCCAGTCCCGCGGCGACTGTAGGTTCTCACTCATAGAGAATACATTTGTACGTCCGCTGACAAACCGGGTGTACTGCAGACTGATGTGCCGAAGGCACCGAGGACACCAAAACGCTGAAGACGCCGACGCCGCTGATGTTACTTCCGCCACCGAGGATGAGCAGGAGTGTAAGCAAGCAGGAAGCGGGCCTTCAGAAGTAATCGGGGATGATGGGTGTAGGGGTGTAGGGGTGGAGAAAGTTTGATTTCGTTTGGTTTAGAAGTCATTCGTCTTGGAGTGAAATTGTCTCATCTTCTTCATCTTCTCTTTGAAGCTTCGACGCGGTGTGAACGGGATCTCTCAATGGCCGATTACGTCTAACTATTCCGTACATAGGATCCAAGCACCGTCACTTGAGGACTCTCCATCATACATCTTCGCGGGTATCACTAACTCCATGACTATCCGCAGAAATCCTTAACTGGGATCCCTAACAGTCTGTCTCAGGTGGTCCATTACCTTTGATCACACACGCCCGACTGGTACTAAGTATATATGAACAATGTTTTAGAGCAAGGGCACCACCCAGAGCCAGACCTATAGGGCGTGAGAGAGATCTTCAGTTTATTTCGCATGCAGCCTATCTAGACTATGGTAAACCATCGCACTCCTTTCCTGCCCACTCTGGCCGGCCGGGTGGAGACTCCGCTACCGGATGGCTTGAAGTGTGAGTCTTGCTTTTTGGAGGGTCGTTCTGCTAGCTAGTGACGGTATCACTCGACCCTTTGAAGGACAACTAGCCCTAGGGCTGCTTCTTCTTCCCCACACATTCTACTTCCCTTCCTTCTTTCCCTTCCTTCTTTCTCTTCCTTCTTTCTCTTCCTCCTTCTTTTTCCTCACTACCACCACCACCACCAACACCAATAACGCCACCACCACCACGAGGACCAGCATCAGGGCCAGCACCAGGACACCACACTACCGGCGCCGATCGGAAAGAAAGTACACCAACAAATCGTCCATACGCCATATCTTAGTTTTCAATTCCTTGACTGTGACAACGTGGGCTGATGGGAGACGTTTGGAGTGGGAACCTGGGGACCACTTGGACAACACCAACTGGACAACAAACGGCGTCACCTACCCGCGACCAGCGATCTCACAGCGGATCAACAAACATGGCGGATACTAACGGACCAGTAGGATTCGCCTGGGAATTGTTTGGGGAGGGAGTGCGGACATATTGCAGGCCGCACCCGCGGTCTCGGCACGGACCAACAAATGGGGCAAATACTGGACCTGGAATTCACCAACATCAATGGACATATATCAAAAATGCATCCTTCCACCGCGATCTCGGTTTTCTATACTCTGGTCGTGGTGGAGGCGAGGGTATGCAGACATACCGGTATCCCGGGGTACATGTAATGCGGCACTGCCAGGTGTATAGTTTATCACTCGCGCCCTCCACGTAAGCGGAGTATTCGCCAGGTTCCACGTGCGTGCGGACTGCGGAGCCAACGAAGGGACACTCACGAAGTTGAAGTATCACCATGCCGTTGACGCTCTGAGAGGTATAACCATCACCACCGCCTGACTGAAGCGGGGACTACCGGCTACCCCGCTTCGTCGAATCGGCTTCTCACAAGTCACAAGTCACGAACCTCCGCTTCGATCACTATCCACACCGGTTATGTATCATTTGCGCGTACGTGAGAGAGAGATCTTCAAATTATTTCGCATGTAGCCACGCATCTAGACTATGGTGAACCGTCGGACTCCTTTCCTGCCCACTCTGGCCGGCCGGGGGTTGAGACCCCGTTACCAGCCAGCACGATGTGGCACCGCTGCCTGCCAAACAAATAACAAAGGAAATCGCACCAAGAAAATACCACCGCATATCCTCATTTCCTACTTCCTCGCACCGGCCGCAGACACAGTACCCTGCTGGGTACTCTTGCTCTGCCCCGATGCGATGCTTGCCTCTTCCTCATCCTCCTCCTCCAGATCTGGTGGAGCTTTCCTCCCCACATCCGTCGTTCCTAAAAATTGTAGGATTGCCTCGCTGCACCGCTCATCGGCGAACAACTCCGCTATCTACCACCTCTCTTTCCTTCTTTCCGTCTCCTTCCCAACCTTTAACACCTATAGGGCATAGAATCCATACAGCTGCAGATGTCAATGAGCAGCGAGTGATATCAAATGAACGAGGAGATCGCCGCTGGTCTGGTCCGACCTGCTCTGACCATAGAGTAATCGGCCAAATTAGCTATGTATAGTAGAAAACCAAAGTTATAGTAAACATTCCAACTCCAATCCCGGAAGAGGTTGCGACGCGTACACGGTTACATAGAATTGAGTGCCCAGCATACTCTGCTATCCTACCGAACACTTCTGAGTTCTGACCTCTCGAATCTCGTGGTTACTGCTTTGTACTCTACTGTACGGAAGCCGAATACGACTGGACCCGGACACAGATTTGATTCGCGCGGAATCGTTCCCGAGTTGTGCTCTTCCTAGTTACCGGTACTCTGCGAGAGACTTTTTTGCGCTCTGTGGCGAAACTCCACTTGCACGCGCGCATCCCTGCAAGATCGCGCACCAGGGAGCTGCTGTACTCTAGGCAGAGTAAGGAAAACGGAGCTCGAGAATAATGATGATCGGAGGGGGAAACACGAAGCGAGGAAGAGTGTAACGCAGCGTAGTGTAATGCAAGACCAGTTCCGGTGCGGGATCGTCGGTGTGTTTGGGGCTGGATGGTGGGGGTGGTTGCTGACGAGCTCTGAAGGTACTCTATGTATGGCGATGTTGGAACCATAGATATTCGCCGAGATTGTTCCCCCCGAAAGATAGTTTACACTTCCTTGGCATGGTCCGCCGGGGGCGGAGCGGCATTGCAGTGCGGAGGCGGCTTCTTGGTGCCCTTCTTTCCCTGGCCGGCATTCTCTTGCTGGGGTGGAACGTATACGGCACCGGGAGATACGGTATCTGCTCGTGCCTGGCCTGCGCTATCTACCCGCTTCAACGCGAAGCTGGTCGGTGGCCAAAGACCATAACTCGTGATGGTGGTGAGATAGTTGCCGACTATTGTCTTGTGATGTTGCACGGCATGCAAGGCAGGTAGCAGCTGGCAAGCAGCGAAAGCCGCGAACGCACGAACGAACGAACAGCTCAGATACACACACAATACGGGTGCTCGAGTGCGGGCCTACATGCCTACTGTACTGACTTACCTAAGTACGTACATCCTCACTGCACATGGGCTCGACACACCCAACACCATCCACTCCACCATCATCCCCCATCATCGCCTCGGACGGATCTTCGACACATCACACATTGCTCCAAGACAGCTCCTCCATCGTCCGCCTTTGCTCGTGTGGCCAGCGTTCGCCTTCTCTTCTCCTCCTCGTTCCATCACCTCCGTTTTCCGAGTGGCTCCGTGATCATCATCGTTGTCGTCGTTGTCGTTATCGTTGTTGTCGTCGTCCGTCGTCTTTGCATTCTAGCCTCGTTTATCCGCTGTTCAACGATCTCCAATTCAGGCGCCCCATCGCGCTGCGGTACGTATTCGCCTCCATCGAATCTCGTAGTTACCTCTCCTACCCTACCTACTGCTTCTCGTACATGATACCCCATGCCAACCGCTCGTCCACCTCCCCCCTCCTCCCTCCGCTATCGCAACTGACTCCGTCTTCAAGGTTACCATCTCCCCCCTCAGACACCGTCGCCACCTCCCCGCCGCAACGAACATCTCCCCCCATATAATGGCCCTCGCCCTGACGCCACAGCAACACCTCTGTCCGCTGGAGGCCCTCCTATCAATCTACACCCCCATCCTCGAATGTCTCGTGTCCCATCTGCCGACCTCGAGCAAGCTCGCGCTTTCGCAATCGTCTAGATCGCTACGCCAGCTCCTCCATCACTACCCAAGATTCTTCGCGCACCTCGACTTCCGACTGTCGGTCTTCGAGTCGGCCAACTTTGACTCGTACCCCCTGGGCACCGTCTACAATCTCGACCGACTACTGCAATGCCTCCCCGTTGATGGCCGTATCGTGTCTTTGACGCTCGACTGGACGGCAGTATCCGGCTCGTTCCTGTTCAACAAGATCTTGGACCGGTGCTCACAGACGCTTGAACATCTCTCGGTCCGGGGATGTCGTAAGGTTTCGATAAAGCACCACATTGTTCCGCATTTTGTCTACCAGTCATCCATTCTTCCTCTCGGCGACCACAACGGCGAGAAGCAAACCCCCGCGCTGAAATCACTTTACGTCTACAAAGCTCGTGGCGTACGGCGCAAGCCCTTCCTGATCGACCGCAAACCGGCCGATGGAGACGAACCGAGTCGGTATCTCACTACACTCGCAGCTAGCCTTGGCATCTGGGTGGATCTTGGCCTCTGTCCGACCCCGAAGCTGCGGTGTCCCCGCAGACGAGAAATCTTGCGACGAGGAAAAGAGAACTTCTGTGTGCCGTTCGACAAGCGATGGACCGTGCTGGACGACAACGAGTCGCTTTCGGAGGTGGAGCATGTGCGTCGAAGGACCCGTGAGCAGGGCTACGGGCAGGGCCTGGTGTGTTGGAGCTGCGACGCCGAGATTCCCGATCGATGCGAGGCCTGCGTGCACCAGATGACCTGCAGCTCGTGCGAGAAGCCGCTCTGCCACAATTGCGCCTACATATCACGGGCAGCTCTGGGACAGGCAGTCAACCAGGCCGCTCAGTCGGCGAGTGCCGCGGCCACTGCTATCCCGGCAGCCGCGTCACCGGCACATTGGGTCGCGATGGGGCTGGTCGGAGCGAACCCGCAACCGCTCAACACTGGAGACCAGGACGACCCGTTCGAGGCCGAACCATGCGCGATCCGCTCCAAACTACTGACACCATGTTGCCGAATAGCATTGGGAACGCACGCGGACAACCTCTGCGCTCCGTGCTACGCTCAGACGGGCCGCGCGGCATGCTCACTCTGCGACAAGCCGTTATGCATCAAACACGAACTCGAGCGATGCCGACGGTGCGAGGGAGGCTGCAACCGAGTCTTTTGCTTTTCCTCCGCCGAGAATCGTGATTCTGGATGCGGAGAGCCCGAGAACGGACGCGCACAGATGAAAGATTGTCTCGGCTGCGGCACGGAAATCTGTGGGACTTGCCGCACTTCATTCGCCAACAACAATGCCAACGCGCAGCAACTGTCGTCAGCGTCAAGCCCGGTCCCGAGCAGTGCCGAGGAAGACGATGACGGCAGCGAGAGCACCATATCCGCCGGCGACGGAGGAAGAAACATTGCAACCTCTGGGGCGCAGAAGAAGAGTTGCTCCTGCAAGGTTTGCATCGACAACTATTATTGTCCCGGCTGCTGGCCAACCAAGCCGCTTCCCTGTGAACCGCGCCCAACCTCCATCCTCCAACAACGCAGAGTAATGCGTGGATCCGTCGAACTTTATCAAATCGCATTCGAGGATCCCTCGGAACCCGCAAGATGGTTCACCCGTGCCGCCCTCTCCGAGCAACACCCACAGATCTACCCCGCCATGCTCGAAGAGTTCGCCGCGCGCGAGCAGCTTAAAGACGCACATATATCTTTCCCCTTCTCCACCACCACCACCTCAGACCAACCAGGATGTGACGAGATCCCAGACTCATACATCAAAGTCGGCGTGTCGGAATGGATTCTCGAGCGAGTGCTCGCCGTCAAACCTGGGTCGGAGGGAGCGGATTCGTGGCATCCTCCGCCACCGAACGAGGACGGCGCAGACGACGATGCGATGGTGCTGTGCAAATGGCTCGGCAGAACTATGGCGGAAGTCACTTGGGAGAGGAATGAGTGCTTCGACGAGGAGACTCGCCCGAGGGAGAGGAAGATGGTGGACCAATTTGTGCTGATGTGTTTGCATGAGGATCAGAGGACTCGAGAGGTGGCTGCTGGTGCTGCGACGGCTACAGCTGCTGCTGCGGCTGCTGCGGCTGCTGCGGCTGCTGTGGCTGCTGATTCGGCCGAAGCAGCAACAGCAATAGAGGAGGCACAGGCAGAGACGGAGACTGAGACCGAGGGAAGTGTTTTGATATAGTTTATCTCGTTGCATGTCATCACATCTTCATTTTTCTTTTACTCTTCATCTTCCACCGTTGTCATTGTGGATACTGATATCCCGCGTGGTTCGTTGTTTCTTTTGCTGTGTTTGTGTCATGCTGGATGAATGATGGATTAAGAATTAGTGTTTGCGTGCGTGCGTGTTTTCAAGGGCTGGAAAAAGGACGGGAAGGAAGTGTGATGGTCAAAGCAATGATCAAGGCGGTTTTTGTAGTTCATAGTTCATGGAGCCGGAGCTCGGAGTTCATTACAATTTACACCTTTACAAATCCTACATACATGTAGTACCATAAGCTCCTCACTCCGACTGCGTCCTGCCACATCACTCTCCCTTCCCCATCCCCCTCCCCGTATCCATTCCTCCCATCTTCCCCTCCACCCCTCCCATGCCCATGCCCATGCCCTTTCCCATGCCCCCACCACTCATGCCCTTTCCCATGTCCATCGCCGCTCCACCACCATCACCACTCTTATTTCCCGCCATCTTCTCGTCGCCGTGCCCGCGATTCGGCATATCGACACCCGGGAGCCCCGAGGCCTCGGCAAGATAGTCCTCCTGCCCGTCGCTCTTGCGCGTACGGTACCCTTCCTTCGCGTGCGGAGCGGGCTGATCCACGCCGCTGCCGCGCGCGGATATGTGCGAGTGCTCGATTGGGCGGTCCATTCTTTTGTTCTGCTTGTTTGGATTGGGGTTGGGTTGGAATGGAGTGTGGAAGATATGTGGCGATACAGTGTATGTGAAATAGAGGAATGGATATAGAGGGCAGTGGGCTTGAGGCGGATTTTTATACAACGAGGGAATAGGTGACGTCGTGGTTGGTGGGTGGCACACACAGGCCGCGGAGCAGCCATCGTCATCGTCATAAGCACAGTGGGATTGCGTCAATGTACTCAGTACTCTTGAGTTTTTACCCCGTGGGGAAAAAGGATTGCGTCAATGTAGAGTTCTAGGTACTCTGAACTCACCGCACCCCTTCGATTTAGGGGGCGGTGTGATGCATCAACTTCTGGATATCGATCATCGTCGTCGTCAAACAAACAAGAAAATCAAACTGGTGGTATGCCCCAATCCGTCCAATCCCAAAACAAACAGAAAAGCAAAGAAGAAATCAACAAAGATCCCGACACCAGGCACCAATACAAATTCACGCCCGCCCCAACTTCCCGCATGCCACCCGCCGATCATGTGAAAATGACCGTACTCCCCTCAAACATCCCGCCCCTACCACAATAGGTGCCCCAATACCACTCAGCCATGCGACCCGGTGTCTCACCGGGCGCCTCGAACGCAATCCTCGTACCGCGGATCTCCGCGCCCGCCGGAAACTGCAGCTCCTCCCCCGCGTCAGACCAATTCGGCTCGATAGCGACAGCGGTACGGGGTTCGCCCGCAGCGACATCGCATATTTCCGGCGGCGGGTGCTCCGGCCGATCCAGGATGCGGACCGCGCCGGGCCCGGAGTCGCCGAGCGTCAGGATGTGCATGTTGTGCCCGCGCTGACACAGTCCGTACCCCGGCAGGATGTCGCCGCGGTTCTCGACGCAGTTGGTGCACGCGTCGTATTGTCCGTCTGCGCACTCGGTGCAGTGGAACCATGCGGAGGCCGGGCGGTCGAGTACATTCCGGTGGCAGATGTCGCAGCGCGCGGTGTGCTCGCGCCACCGGGCGTACCCCCGCTGCTCCAGCGTGCGGTTGCTGTTCGCGTTGTCGGCGTTCCCGCGGACGATGGATGTTGTGCTCTCGGTGGGGCAGTTGTTGGTGTAGAGGCAGAGTTCGTGGTCGCAGCAGTTCCCGCGGCGGACGCAGCGGAGGCAGTAGTGCCAGTCTCCGTCGTTGCAGTCGCCGTTGCACACCCAGAAGAAGGAGTGGGCGATGTTCTCCGTCCGCGTGTTCCGCGGCTCGTCGAGCCACTCGTCGCAGATGCTGCAGAATAGGCCGACTTCGAGGTGCGGGATTGCGCCGGCGATCACCTGCTTCTGTGGCTGCATTGCGTGCCGTGCTGGACACCGCTTGCCGCGGTTGTAGCAGAAGGAACAGAGGTGGTAGGGCTGGCAGCTGTTGCACTCGTAGTGGAGCGCTGTGTCCATGATTTTCGAGCAGGAGTCGCAGGCGATACGCGCGCGACACCCGGTCGAGGAGATGACTTCCGCGACGGTGTTGGCCGCACCCGGGACACGGCGGGCCCAGTGTGCTTCCCCCGAGGGGCGCGGTCGGAGATTGGCCATAATGCTGTGCTGGTCCATCTGGTGCTGTTGGTCCATCCTGCTCTGCTGGCCCACCGGGCTCATCTGGCCCTGTTGACTCTGTTGGCCCTCTTGCGAAAGGAAGTGGGAGACTGCCGGGTTGAGGGAAAGTGCGCCGAAGCTGATGGCTATGTCCGAGAGGTCGGGATTAGTGGATGGAAGCCGTTGCCTTGCCCAGGTGCTCGGGGAGAAGCCCCAGTGCGGTGGGGGAGCGGGCCGTGGTATCTCCGGGCCCCGGGCCGAGGGTTGGTTCAATGCCCAATCCGAAGATCCCGCATTTGGACGAGGAGGAGTTGGCGGCATCGGTGGCGATGTAAATCTCGGCTGATGTGTTGGTGCCGCCGCCGCTGCTGCTCCCGACGTGGTAACAACAACGCCCTCCGTCACCACCTTATCCCCGGGTTTATGCATCCCCCGCGCAACATCAACCTCCTCCTTCGACCGCCGCTTCTCCGGGTTCCTGCTGAGGTAGTTCTCGAGCAGATTCGCGAACGCGACGCTGGGGCGGGTTTCGCGCACGGGTTCGCGGCAGATCGGACATGTGGGCCGGGGATTGCGGCCGGTTGCTTGCGAGCTGAACCAGCTCCGCGAGCACGCGCCGCAGTTCGTGTGGAGGCAGTCGAGGTACGTGATCGGGTCGAAGAGGAGGTCGGTGCAAATCTGTGGGACGTGGTTAGCGAAGCGATGTGCGGGACGGTACAGGTGTGCGGGAAGGAGAGACGGACGGAGCAGGTGAGTTCGCGCTCGAGAGACTCTTCCAGGTTGTCGGTTGAGGCCATGGTGCAACTTTCTATCTGGCTATATTTTCTTCGCCGTGGAGTGTGTTGGAGTGGAGAAGGAATCGAGCGGGGCGAGGGTCGGGGGGTTTATCTGCAGTCACGCCGTCCGTCTCCACTGTTCAACCATCCAGGTGAGGCCTGACTCGGTTACCTCAGTAACTCCCTCACTGTGGCTGTTGCAGAGTAGGGCATGCACTGCCCAGGTGTTTCCAGCCACATACAAGGAAGGAGCTGAGATGACAAGACGCGGGCGGGTGGTTGCTGGTGAGCTGTCAACGTTGTCGCGCCTTGTTGGCCCCCCGGAAAGCTCAGCTGAAGGTGGGGCAAATGGCTCTAACCGCTTTCTATGGGCTGCAGCTACCCCCTGTCATACTCTCCCCAGTCCACAGGCGGCGAGTGATCCCTCGAGCATTCAGGGCTCGGGCTTAAGAACTACTTAATACTAGAGTATAGAGCACATACTTGATGCACCTACATGATACAAGCAAAGCACTCTGAAGGCTGGAGCCAGTACCTCCGATAGTCCAGTCCAGTCCACTGCGTCCAGTCCATTTTTCGGCATTAGTCGGACTGGACTGCTCCTTTTAGTTCATCAGATCTTGAGGCTTAGACTTGGACTGGGCAGTCTGAACGGCTGGTAGGAGGACTGGACGGACCGCAGTCGTATAGTTGCACCGGTGGAAGGAAGGATACAAGACAAGAGTGTTGTTTGCAAACGCGGGCCACGAGTGGAAGGATGGAAGGATGGATTGACAATTGTGCAGAGTTGCAGTGAAATGTTGCAGTGAAGGAATTGCGGACCCGGTGATGTTTCTTCTAGCTACCGGTATGTAAAGGATCCGGCCCGGTGGGGCCAGGTTCTAATCGGCCAGGAACTGCACATGGTTCGACTCGGGCCCCAGAATTCTGTGGGATTCTAATCGGCTGGTTTCAGAGAGTGCCAAAGTCGCAGTCGACCGGCGTCTACTGCAGTCCGTGCCGGTCAAACTTTGGACGGAATGACTGACTACCTCCACACTACCCTTCAATTTTATGGACTGGACTGGACTGGATTGGACTGTATATCGGGAGTACTGGCTGGACTCGGAGCAGGAAGTGCCCTGGTATTTACTCTACTTACCCGAGCACTTACTTCCCTAGGTGGGCATGTACTTGAGTGTATATCCTCAGTAGTCGTACATATAACGAGAGATCATCGATGTATTTGGCATACAAGGCGCAGCACGCACAGCCGTCGTCTCCTTCATGGGATATCACATCGTTTCTCAAGAGTGGACTGTGCTTACAAGTTTTCGAATAAACAGAATGACCAAAAACGTGACCCAAGGCCCAAGCTCAACAATACAGGTATCAGGTACCTCACGAAGACAGAAAAATGACAATGAACCCCCACTATTTCGCTGCACCCACCAGCCCTCCCGCGGCTGCAACGGCGGTCGAGGGAATATCCGCCATCCCATACCACACAATAACCGCGCACCCCAGCAATGCGGAAAGAATAGTCCCCGTGAACGCGACAATTCCCCTTGGCGTGAACCCCTCGGGCAGCGGTTCGGGACTAACATTTGCGCCCTTAAGGTCCAGGAAGTCCTTCGTGTTGCCGGCCGCGTTACCAGCGGTGGCTATGCCCTGCGCGGCGCAGACCGAGAGGTGGTCGGCTGGAATCGTGGTGTTGCCTTGTAACTGCAAGGGCGCTTCGATCATCGTCGCCACGAGGCCCGAGGCGAGGTGCCATTCCTGTATGGGTTAGTGGGTGGAGAGGAGGGGAGGGGGGTGAGGTACGAGGTGGCAATGGTACAGCCATATCCCGGGGTTGTCGGCACGGAAGCGGATAACGACGTTCCCATTCGGCGGAGCGAGGACGACATCTCTGCGCATGGGGACTTTTGGCGGGGTAGGATTCTCCGCGTTGGGATTGTAGGACCCCGCCTCCTCCTCGCTGCGATGGATAGTCTGGAAATTGTGTCCGTGCAGATGAAACGGGTGTTTCCCCGGGTCCATGTTGTTGAGCACGATATCGACGACGTCCATGTGGTTCAGCACGAAGGCGTGCGCGTTGACGCCGTAGACGGCGGGGTTGGTCGCGAATTCGCCCGTGGTTATCGCGGTGTACAGCGTGGGCACCTTGGGCCGCACGTAGGTGACGTCGTTGAAGAAGGCGTAGTTCGCGCCGTCGAGGAGGTTGTTCATCGTCACGTTCAGCGTGATCGTGTGGTCGGCGGCGGGCAGAAGCTCGTGGCCGTCCACTGGCACAAGAAGGAAATCGTCCAGTGGAGTGAATTCGGCGATTTCCTTTGCGGCGGGTTTGTCGGCTGAGGCGTTGTACACTAGCCAGCCAGTGACGTTGGGATTCAGGCCCGGTGGGACCTCATCGAAAAGGTCCTGTGGTGGAAGGATCAGATTCCTGTTCTAAGAGGAACGGTGGGAGGGGGAAGTATACCTCGTCCATACTCCCCATGAACGCATAATTCGTCGTGGTCTCGTTCTTGGTTGTGATCAACACGCTCACCCTCTGCGCGGCAGTAAGGTACAGCATCTGCGCCTCCATGGGGTGCGTGTATACACCATCGACTTCGACGACACTCATGGTGTGATCCTCAAACCATATATACTGTGCCGCGAACGCGGCCATGTTCACGATGCGCAGCAGATAAGTCTTATCTGGCTCGACGGACACGGTAACGTTCTGGGCGTCGTTGATGAGCGCGGCCTCGGGCACCGGCTCGGCGCCAGTCGGATTTGTGTAGGCGATGAAGCGTTTGATCAGCGCTGGCATCTGCTCGTGGTACCAATCCGAAAGTGTCAAGACAATTTCGGAATCGTAGGCGTCTCTGTGCGGGTCCTCGGGATCGTGCACTATCAACGGCCCGCGGAGGCCGTCGGGATACTGCCCGGCATGGTGCGAGTGGTACCAGTACGTGCCCGGCTGGTCGATCTGCATCTCCAGGTCAATACCTCTGCCATGCTCGCGGCGGCGACAGATAAACATACGGTGAAGTTGTAGACGAAGCTGTGGCCTGGCGGAACAGGACATTGCGTGACGGTGGCGGGGCCGTCCATGAACGAAGTGCCATTCTGAAAGAGTCCGTGGAAATGAAGACTGGTACTCTGATCGCCGAGTCCGTTGTACATGTTGATGACCACGCGGTCGCCCTTGTCCACCTCGATCGTTGGGATCGGCCATTTACCGTTGATGCCGATGGTCGCCCGGTCGAACCGTCCGTCCGGGTTGGCTGTCGTCCAGGTTATGTTCCAGTCATACGTTACTGTTCTGGAGAATGCTGGCGAGATCAGGAGAAGGATGAAGAGCGAGGCCGCTGCGACGAAAGACCGCGGCATCGTGATGGAGGAGGAGGAGGAGGAGGAGGAGGAGGAGGAGGAGGAGGAGGAGGGCAAGCAGACAAGCAGGCAAGTAGGACAATCAGGACAACCAGGACAATCAGAAAACCCAGTTACTGACCGACCTTTTCCCGCAGAAACGAACACCGGTTGCGAGAACTATATCATATGGGACGCAGCATCCAGCCGCAGAAGACCGGCCTCCACCCGCCTGGTACCATCTGCTTCGACAGCCACATGCCATGCGCAACCCCCCAAGACCGGATTGTCCCGTTCCTCGAGACCAGTGGACCCAAATCGTCAGACTTGAAAAAAATACCATCCTTGCACGGCCACCTCCAACTCTCCCTCCCCCTCCTCGAGCCCCCCTCCCCCTCCCCCACTTGGACGTAACGTGGACAGAATGAAACCATCCAGTCATACGCGCGCCCGCTACGAGTCGCCGGTCTTCCCAGCTGCATTCGCGACATTCAGCTCTGGGCGCTCCTTGAGAAAATGCGAGAAATGCCGGTGGCTTGCCACCAATAAGCATTGGGTTATCTGATGATACTATTACATATCTGATGACATGATTGACGTCCGCCTTGGCCAATCATGCAGATGCATGCAATCGTCAGATCAGACAACAGAACGCTATCAACGCTATCAGATGCAAGGATGGTGCTCTGCAGTATCAGCAGTGGGGTGATAATTTCGTTTCTCGGAAGCGAATGAGATCCTCTAACTATGATTAAATTAGCGGTAATCGTGCGAAGCACTCTAAGAAAGCTTGTCGCGGCTTGGTGAGGCTTGTCAATGCTTGTCAATGCTTGCCAATGCTTGTCGTTGCTTGTCGTTCGGAGACGGTGTTTCTGCTGGAGATGGCGGCGCTTGAGAATCGATGGATGGGTTCGCGACAACTTTTGGTGTTGACGGGAAGGAATGGGATTTCTACAGCCTTCGAACAAAGAATTCTTCAGCCTTCGGATGAAGAATAATTCTCTAGCCTCCGAGCGAAGAAGCTCCGAACCCGCGTGCACCCGTCCGTCTCCGTAGGCCAACACTTCTGGCCCTCTTTCCCGCCACCCCTACAGTTTGTTACTAGTAGTACCATAGGCCTTCCTTCCCCGCAGTGTGGAGCCAGAGGCGGCACACACGACTGCATATATCAGCCCACAAGAGGTGTTTCTTCTTCTCCATTTCTCGCCTATTGATGCTGCATCGCATTGGCTGGAGCATCCGAAATCGAGGGGCATACCGATGGAGAGAGTGGGGTCCTCCTGTGCGGCCGCTTCTCCATCCACTCAGATTCACGATCAAGCGAGTTATGTGTCATTGCGCTTTTCACCTCCTCTGGACCGTGTCGGAAAGTCCCGCTCCGTGGCAGGTGGGAAAGATCTACCGTGGTCCGAACTGGCGGGGGAGGGGGAGGGGGAGGAGGGTGGATGGGGGGGCACGCACGCTGTGTTCGTACACCGCTGGGAAATGGATGGAGAGCGCTGTGGTCCCACCCTGCCGTCCGACCGACCTGCTTACTCTACTTACATAGCTGGGTCTCCAGCGCCCCTCCCAGAGCTCCGTATCGCAACTGCTGCTGGATATCCTCCAATCCTCCCTCCTCCCGTGCAACCTCCCAGAGATCACTTCCATTCCGATCCACCGTCATGGGGAAGAACGTATTCACCGTTCCGGGTAACTGCCGCCCCAATCCCCTTGCGCTCTCCCATCGAACCCGTCCGGGCACTGACACTTCCAGTCTTCTTCATCGTCTTCCGCGAGACGTTCGAGACGTCTCTCGTCGTTGGGATCCTCCTCTCGCTGCTCAAGCACACCGTGGGCTCCGACCCGGCGCTGCACAAACGGCTCGTGCGCCAAGTATGGGCTGGGACGATCGCAGGCCTGCTGATCTGCCTGGTCGTCGGCGCAGGAATAATCGGGGCGTTCTATAGTCTGCGGAAGCGCGAGCTATGGTCCAAGAGTGAGGACCTATACGAGGGGATCTTCTCACTTCTCGCGTCGATAATAATCACGCTTGTTGGCGCCATGATCCTAAGGATCAGCAAGAAGCAGGAGAGCTGGCGAGCGAAGATGATGGCGAAGGGAGAGAGGGGACTCAAGGCGAAGCCCAGGAGCTATGCTATGTTTATCTTGCCGCTGGTCACCGTGCTGAGAGAGGGCGTTGAGGCTGTCGTGTTCGTCGGCGGCATTGGGCTCTCTGAACCCGCGTCCGCGTTCCCGCTCCCAGTCATCACTGCGCTCATTGCCGGATCCGTCATTGGCTGGATGGTCTACCGCGGTGGCGTCACAGTTGGCATAAAGTGGTTCTTGATTGCTAGTACTGTGGTGCTGTACCTCGTCGCCGCAGGATTGCTGAGCAAGGCTGCTTGGAGCTTCGATATGTATGAGGTGTGTATATACCTACATCGCCAGGCTGATAGTTGCCCTTTCCTGCTGACACAGCCTGCCTGCCCACCTAGTTTGCCAAAGCCGCCGGCGGCGAAGTATCCGAATCCGGTGCGGGCCCGGGCAGCTACAACATCCACCACAACGTCTGGCACATCAACTGCTGCTCGCCCAAATTTAACGGCGGCGGCGGCTGGGGAGTATTTTACGCCAGTACGCATCCCTCCCCTTCCCTTTCCCTCTCCCCACCCCCTCCCCCGTGTCCGACAATCTACTAACTGCAACTTCAGTCCTGGGCTGGCAGAACTCCGCCACCTACGGCTCAGTGCTGACGTACAATTTCTACTGGATCGTAGTGTCGGCGTGGTTCATCATCATGCGTTTCGAGGAGCGCAACGGCAGGTATCCGTTCATGAAGGCGCGCGAGGCGCCCGCCTCGCCGTCGGGCAGCGAGTCGCCACCGCTGGGTGATGTTGAGAAGCAGGGAGCAAAGGTTACGGAGGCTACGGAGGTGAAATAGGAATAAGGGTGATTTGATGGGTGGGAGAGGATGGGGGGATGGGGGACATGTGTGCGTGGGTGATAGTTGGTTATGTCGAGGGTTTTTGAGACAGTACTTGTGTAATGTAACCATGTGCGAGGTCGCTTGAGCACAGCGAGTGTCAGTCCATTATTTGCCATATCAGGTGTCCACCCACAGCGCCTATCAGGCCCATCAGGCCCACCAGGCCGTGCTGGACCGGGCTGCAGCCTGGCCCCAAACGCTGGCCGCTGAGCACATTTCCGAGTGATCCCCCATGAAGCCCTAACCCACATAACCCACCTGTATGCAGCCCGACAAAACCGGCCAGTGACATGTCAACGTATGCAAGAAGGTCGCACGAGCCGGAGCCTGGTGAGGGGGGCGAAGCACACGAAGCGAAATGCCGACCGGCGGCCAGTAACCTTCCGCGTCGTGGCACACCGACACCGGCGCATGAGTCGAGCGGTGAGCCTCAGGCTTTCATAAGTTTTTACTTATATGTAAGGCCTGACAGCACCTTCCCCTCCCCCCCCATAAGTATCTCCAGCCTTATCTATAGCAGCATCTACTATTACGCCTACCTAGTTCATGTGAGTGAGCGTGCACCAGGATCCACCTGCACCTGCAGCAGTGCACATCCACATCAGCCAGGCTTGAACAGTTGAGCTTCGAATCGACACTTTTGCGATGCTTCTAGGTAGTCTTCTAGAACAACATCTGCGCTGTAAGTTGTCGCCCAGGTTCCTGGATGAGCTGGAGATCAGGCTACCCATCTACTATCATACCTCGTATGTCGATAACGATGACATCTTCAGGACCTGCAGGCTGCAGGCTTCTACTCGTATCGAAGCGTTCTAGAAGGGTGGGCGGAATATTCCCCGGCCCTAGCCGGGGTAACATCCATGCTTGGAACTGTCGGTGTGGATTAAAATCGAATTGGATTGGATTGGAATCGAATTGAATCGGGATTCCTAGCGTGATGGCGTCACGGACGACTGTTTTTTTTTTGGTGGGGCGAGGACGGGGACGGGGATGATACACGATTCTCACGACGTTGGCTTCTAAGCGGAGAAGGCCACTCGGCCCCGAACATCCTCGAGCGCAATGTTCGGCGCAGGTGATCTAGGAGGCATAGAGGACAGCCTGGATGCGCGAGGGCGAAATCTCAACGGAGCTCGAGCCTCGAGGCCGAGAACAGCCACCAGCGACCGGCGCGCTCGTCCAAGGCACTGTATTCTCTTTGTTCGGCGACGAAACGAAGGCCCAGCAGGCAGTGTTTCGACCTCCCATTCTTACCCAGGCGCTCAGACTCGCGATCTCAGGCGCTCAGCCGCCTCGCAGAAAGCTGGGCACACAAGGTACGTTGAGCACTCCGTGTCGTTTCGCCCACTGGCTGGCCGTAGTTGAAAACACGAACTGATCGCCGCAAGGCTCCCGCGTGGAAGGCTCTCTCAGACTCCCACCAGCGAGGTTTCGGTGCTAACTGGTTACTCTACGGTAGTGCGTCTAGCCGTGCATGCGTGGATGATAGCGACCTGCATTGACAGCCCGCCGTCTAGGCCATCGGCGCTCAACAGCTCATGAAAATAATCTTCCGCCGATGGCACGCCTTCTCGAATCTCAGGCCCTGCTTCCTGGGCTTCCTGGGCTTCCAGCTCAACAGGCCGCATGGTGGGAAATCAGGCTGGAGCAGGTATGAGGTAGCGCATGGTGGGAAATCAGGCTGGAACAGGTATGAGGTAGCGTATGGATGTGGTTTAGCGGCCTCATCGCGAATGATTAGATATGGATCAATCCTGAGGGAGGTGTGTGGGATTTTTGCTTCGTCGTCGGTGGACGCCTCCTTGTGCGCAGCCCCAATCGTGCTGGCTGCTGGCGAGCCCGTCGTATCTAGCCTCCACCTTCATCGTGCTGTCGCAGCTGCTTTTCCACGCCAGTGTCTTTTGGGGAAGGCTTGCATGGGAAAAAACACCTGCCTGCTTTGACGCCGGGCCAGGCTGACTGACTGACTGTACGAGCCTCCCTCCCTCCCCTCCTCGAAGACTGTATTACTGGAACCTCTTAGATATAAGACATGAATCCCGTAGCTAAGAACAAAAGAAACACAACAGCAACAACACAACCGACCCTCCAACACTCCCACACACCAACCAGTTCACCAACCTCCAGTCTCTGCCATGGCCAACCCAGCAGGCGTACACGAGGCGCCTACTAGCCACTCACTCTCGCCTCCAGGATCGCCACTACACCGCTCCGCTTCAGGGCTCACATTGACAAACCCGCCGCCAGTACGGTGGGAGAGCTACCCGGAAAGCCTCAGTGCCGTGAACTACAACCCCGTGGAGTCAAACATCAAGCGACATGCACGGCGCCTCGCCAAAGAAATGTCTTCGGGACGATTGCTGGTCGGTGATGAGAAGCAGGCGGATGTTGACTCGATTACTGTGCGGTACTCGCAAGGTCTGCTCTCTGCCCGATCTGTGATGTGGAGCCACTGCTAACTAATGGCAACTAGACGGGGAGAAGTGCGACCAGATCGAGTATGCCGAACACGATAGCGTGGAGGGCGTGGAGTCCATGCTGGAGGGCGCCACAGCCGCGTCGACGTCTACATTCATGTATGTACTATATTTCCTCCCCCTGCCCCGATCCTTCCGCCAGAAAACCCCGCTGAGACCACGGACCAGCACGATCACACCAAACGGTTCTTTCGGCTACCTCCCGGTGTGTCGGGAAGCACTGCTGAAGATCCTCTCGTACCTTGCTGTCTTCCCCGGGTTCCTCGAGATTCTCTACACTTTTGGCCAGAAGATCTGGGAGGAGAACGAGAACTTTGGGATTTATAGACAGCACTGTCATCTACCGGCGCCGGACGCTGATGGAGAAGACGTCGGAGCTCCTGAGCCTTTCTTTGGTAGGTTGGCGGTGTGATGTTCTTCTACGCGGTACATATAGCTAACAGGCTCCACAGAGGTTTGCTACAACCTCAAGTACGTGACCAAGACGGAGTCCAACATGCCCACTGAGAAGTTCCGGTTCGCCACACGCAAGACGGGGGTATGGATGAAGTACTATCCATCGAGCCAGCGATCAGTGTGGATGAACGTGCACCCATCCGACGAATTCTGGGAGCAGCTGGAGGACCTAGTGCAGGCCGACAGCGCCTCGGCCACCCGACGGAGCGACCTCGATATCCACCTGCTGCAGCTGTCGTGCGCGGACGAGAGCTGGGCGGAGTACATCAACCACCTGGAGCAGGAGAACCACCTACTGGCAAGCCGCTCCCCCCCCCCCCCCCCCCCCCCCCCCCCCCCCCCCCCTCCCCCCGCTGCCATCTTACCTCCCCCGCTAACCCCCGCCACAGAAACTCAAAACCTGCATCAGCAGCAGCGCCCCTTCCCGCGCTCCCTCCGCCAACCTGCAAAAATCTAGCGCACTAGACGACGCGCAGCGCCTGGCGCGGCAACGCAGCAAGCTGCTGGAGCTGTACAACTTCCTGGGGATGAACGAGTACATCATCGCGTCGATGAGCGCGGGGTTCGCCGAGTTCCGACGGCTCAGCGCGGCCTCCGCGGCCTCAGCGGCAAAACTCGCGGGGGACAAGGAGTTTGAAATGTTCGAGGCTGCGCTACAGAGGCATGGAATGAGAACGGCGCAACATAGGGATAGGGTCATGACTCTGCTTAGGGTGTGTGAGAGCTTGGCTACGCTGGTCCCCAGCATGTTAGTCTCACATGACAACAACCTCATGCGCGGCCTGCAGGAGAAGGCGGCCGAGTACACGCGGTCGATGAAGACGATCACGGTGGTCACAATGGTGTACCTACCACCAACCTTTGCTGCCGTACGTTTTCCTCCCCCCCTCTTCTTTTTCAGTCCCAACTAACAATCTCGCAGGGCCTCTTCGGCGTAGAATTCATCCAGGGCAAATCTCTAAGCCAGTTCAAGTACCGACTGATGGTGTTCCTGCTGCTGCTGTCGGCGCTGATGGCGGTGACGATCGGCAGCTGGAGGTGGTACGAGAGCCGCACAAGGAAGGCGGACGGGGAGCTTGCAGATTTGGAGGCCGCGGGGGATAAAAGAAACGGGAATGGGGGCGGGGTTAGGGGGGCTGGTGGGGCGGGAGCGGGAGGGATGGGAGAGCTGGCAGCGAAGATTTGTCCGCCGCCGCTGGTGAGGTCGTATGGGAGTACGGAGCAGACACAGACGCAGAAGTAGCGGGGAGAGGATGGTAGGTTCTACGCGGGGCCTTGGTTGGATAACCAGACCGGGTCGGGGAAGGGAAAATTATAGATATAGACGAAAGCGCAGGTTGCTTTCTTCTTGGGTTATACGGAGTACGGTACTATAGACTACCTAGATCATAGATGTCACTTGGACACAAATAAATAACACTTCAAACACATCCTCCAATTAGCATGATCAACACGCCCACGTCTTTACACCCGCTCCATATCTGCACTCTCCTCCCGCTCATCCTCCCCATCCTCATCCTCATCCTCCTGATCCCCCGCCAGCCCCTGTACAACAGCGCAATACCCCCTCCACACCCTCGCCACATCCGCCTGCTCCTCCATCAACACGGGCCTCAGCGCATTTTGGCACCTCCCCACAATGGCCTGTAACTCATCCGCAACGCCCATTGTTTGCCACAGTTCCCGCCTTTTCAGCAGCGCCAGCAGCGCGGCCTGTACGCCCACCAGCTCCCACCAGTTCCTTTCGGGAGAGCGGGAGAGCTGCAGCACCAGACTCGCAACCGGGTCCTCCTCCGGGGTTGGGACGCCGCCGTTTTTGTCTTGTCCTGATAAGCGCTGCGCAATCTCGACTACGCCCTCGCTCGCGGAGGCAGAGCGGACTACCTCGTCCATTCCCGCTACATACGCGGTCTCGGGCAGGAAGCCGTATAGTGCCCGTAGTACCTTGATCGCGGCCATGCCGTGCGGTGTTGCGATCTTTACGCTGTGTGCGGGGAGGTGCTCAAATGGTGCTGCGGTGGCGGTGAGAAGGGTAGGCAGGCGGGGGTGGAGGATGGGGGTGGGGAGGGGGAGGGGGATATCTAAGATGTGGTTTGGGGGGTGGGGTGGGGGCGTGCTGGGCGTGGGGAGGACGGGGACGGGCTGCGGTGGTGGGAAGTACCGGTTTCTGTCGTGGTGCCGGCGGCGGGTGAATGTTTTGTAGGCGTTGGAGGGGTTCGGGGTGGAGCTCGGGACGAGGTAGCTGGCGTCGTCGAGTTCGCAGATCCACGCCTCGAGGGCTTCCACCTCGTTCGCGGTGAACGCACCGAACATGCGGCCTCCCCATTTCAGCTCGCGGAGGAGCTTGCTCCCGCTCGGATTGCCGCGGACGATCCAGCGCGAGTCCGCGAGGCCCTGCAGGAAGTCCATGCTGTGGCTGCTGTAGGCCGCCGGGTCCAGCCACTGCGACAGCGTCTTGCCCGAAACCTTCGCCGGACAGCAGGCGTGCATTGGCTGCGCCGTCACCGTTTTCTGCTTGAAGATCTGGAGCACGCGGGTGGTCGCCTCGGAGGGCGGCGTGGGCGTGGTCGGCAGCGTCTCCGCAAGAATGAAGCCGGCTTGCACCCGCCGCCAGAGCTCCTCGCGCTCCTCCGGGGTCCGTGCTGATTCTACTAGGCCGACTACCGCTTCCCGGCCCATCGCGGCGTGCCCGGTGTCGCTGTTGTCAATGACGACGTGCAGGAGGAAGTAGTACGCATCCAGCCGCAGCTCGCGGAACTCGTGGATCGTGACGAGGAGGTGGTACGGCAGAGCTTCGTAGGCCATATTGAAGCCGAGGACCTCAGGCAGGAACTCGTCCGCGCACTGGGAGATGGCCAGTTGCGAGACGGCCGCCGTCCACACCCTCGCATCGCTATTCGGATTCACACATGGATCGATGAACCGCGCTTCGTCGCCCCGCCCAATATCGCAGATGCTGTTCACGAGCTTCTCGTACACAAACACGTGGTTCTTCTCCAGATCGCCGTCGCCGAGCTCTTCGCTCAGCACCTGCCAGCCGGTTTTCGACCAGCGGCGGTGGTGCGCTGCTGTGTCGATGCGGTGGATTCCGCCGAGCCAAGAGCCGTCGGCGTACTTTACCGGCGCAGATTGCCGCGCCCAGTACTCGGCGTACTCGCGGTCGGGAAACATCTCCCGTGTCCCGCCACTCTTCCGGCGGGCGAGGTATGCAGTAAACCGGGCCGATGTAGCATCCTCGGCGCTCTGCAGGAAGTCCTTCAACGCCTTGGGTGAGAATTCGGAGACGGAGAGAATCGATGTTTCCGGCGCCTTCAGCGTCTGTTCCACGGTGTGATCCAACAACTCCAGCAGCCGCCGCCGGGCGACGGGAATAGATTCTGGGTGGTCCCCGACGTTCTGGAGGGCATGGTACAGCGCCTTCTCTGCGACGACCTGCTGCTGCAGTGGTGATTTCGGTTTCGGTTTCGTCTGCTGATGCGAGGGACCTGGCGAGGACCGAGGAAGCAGCTTCTCCTCGATATCGGAGTTGCGGCGGTGGCGGACGATGGCAAGGATCTGTCGCAGGTGCAGACGCTCAAAGAAGATGAAGGCTGCGACTGCGAGGATGACGGTCGAGGGGAGGAGGATCACCAACATCGTTGCTGGCTGACTGGCCCGATGATTGTTTTCGGTATTCGGTATTTGGTATTTGGTATTCGGTATTCGGGGAATCTCCTTCAGGTTTCTGATGATGTGATGAGGTTGAGTTCGAACTTCAAAATCCTCAGGCGAAAGGAAAGACCTCTCTTTCTCCATGTGAACCACCAATTCCGCGCTCGTCCTTTTGGGGTGATGTCTTTGTGGCCATCCGGCAGAGCGTTCCGCACATCATCATCACGCCTACGTCAAAGTAGGCCCTTGACGGGTACGTACTGTACGATTAGCTGGAGCTACGTCAAAATTTCCATGCGGTTGGGACGTATCGCCGCATCGTCGTGGCTTGATTTCGTAGCCAACAAGGTAGCGGCGATCGGCCTCTCCGCCGTATGTAGAGTGAACGTCATGACTCGCCTTTTCTTTTTCTTTCGATCCCTGGGTCGGGTTGGCCGGAATGACGCAGTGCCTTGCATTTTGCGGGGTGGAAAAAGCGGGCAAGCCAGCACCCTAAGTTAAAACTTAAGCCTGTGCGGGTTGGGCGAGCGATTCCCGCTCTGTCAAATGAGATCGGGTAAGATGATCTGCGATGCCATTGCCAAGAGGACAGACGCCTGGAAATCTTGGTCTTGGCTGGCTGTGAGCTACCTACCGGTACTCGTACGAGTGAAGGGAGAAAAGGCAATGATACCATATACCTACAGCTCGAAGGGCTCCTGATTGATTGCATAGTACCTGTAGCTCTGATGGCGCGAGTACGGAGGATGAGGATTGTGATTCTTGTTAGGTGCAACAATTTCCTTGGCCGTAGTATGCTCTCCACCTGCTACCTAGTAGTCAGTTGCTCATGCGAATCCAATCGCTAGGTCCTCGTCGAAAGTCAAAACAAAGTGCTTCCCACCACCGGCCCACCGGGTGGCCAGCAGGAGCAGGAGCAGTGGGGCACAGCCGGCTGCTGGGCATCTGGCATCTGGCATCTGGCATCTGGCATCTGGCATCTGGATATCTGGCATCTCATTCCGTCTCTCCATAGCACTAGGTCTCTCCATAGCACTAGGTCTCTCCATAGCACTAGTCAGTACCTTAGTTAATTGCGAAGAAGCAACCTTGATCTGGGAACCTGGGAATCTGAGATGTTCGATCATCGTGAATCTGAGTCGATTGCAGATCTGGGGCTAGGAATTCAGATCTGGCTATCCGCGAGTAGTTGTGTCGACCTAGTGAGAGACCCAATAACGGGCGAGGAACAAAACGTGATCAATTAGACTAGAATTCTTAGTGGATGATGATGATGATAAGAAAACAAGACGAGCAGGACGAACAGAAATAATGACAGCAAAAACAGTTAAACGTTGAACGATCACATCGGGTCTCCCGTCAGAAACACTTGACATCCCCTCCATGACAGCTGGTCTCACCAGGTCCCGGCAAGGTCTCGCTCCTCCAACAGTTGGTCCCACCCAGATCCGACAAGGTCCCGCTTCTTCGGCACTCACCGATGACGCCAGGCTGCCTCTTCCTTCGCGCCTCTCAATGCTAGGTACTTTAAGTAGCTACCGGCCGCCGGACAATACCACCACCACAAAGATATCACCTCTATCACAGCACTGCATTACTGGTCCGTAAATCTTGCATACTATCGACACGGTCCTGACCTCCGGCTGCTGTTCTGTTCTTCCGACGGCAATCCTACGACCGAAATCAAAACGCCCGAGGGAGTGAAATTCCAACTTCCAGCGCATTCTATCATCAGTACATGTCGAAACGGACCAACAGAGCAGTGAGCACCACAGTCACTGCTGGCGAAGAACGCATATCTATTCTGTTATATTATATTCGCCTGGCTTACCATTCGTCCATTCGTCTAGTCTATACCCAGTACTACGTGTTCATCAGATACTCCAGCGCAGCCTTACACCCCTCGTCTTTCGCCAGTTTCTTCTTGGACATGGTTTTCCCGCGCACCTCCGTCTCTCCCAGCTGCACGACGCAAGCCCACTCGGGTGCCCCCGTGTAGCCACATCCCTCCACCTGCACAAACCTATACTCCGGCTGCGGTAGTCGGTGCGCATCGACGTACTCGTGCAGTCTCGAAACGGGCGAGAGGCTCGGCGTCGAGAACTCTGGCTGGTCCGATCCTTTTTCTCGCTGTCAGCCATGCCTTGCCAAGAACGTGGTGGGGGTAGTGGGGTGGTGGGGCGGGCGGGGTACTTCGCAGCTGCGTCGATATCTCGACGAAATACGGGCGCATCCACCACGCGAACCACGCGTACAGCGCGGCGAACCCAGCGTTGCCATACTCCTTGTAGACGCCGGCAATGTACGCCTCAAACAGCCCGCCGAGCACGCGCTCGCTCTCCAGCACGTTCTCGTGGTTCACGCCCTGCAGCCGCAGCCGCCGGTCGAGCCCGTGTGCCCGGCTCATGTGCGCGTAGAAGCTGTTGCTGAGGACTACCGTCGTGAGCGCCTACATAGCCGCACCATCCATCCGTCAGCTGCGGCGCGCGGGGTGGGGGCGGAACAGGACGTACAGACATGTACCCCTCGTCGGCGTCGGGGTGCAGCTCCTCGATCAGCATGCCTGTGAGCCCCTTGAGCACCATATCGCCAATGAACTCCAAGTGTTCGTTATCGTTGCGCCAGCGGGCGGCGCGGCCGCCGGAGTAGTTGGCAGCGTGCGAGAAGCTCTCGTAGGTCGCCGTCGTAGGCGCGGCGGAGCGGTGCGTGAACACGCACTCCTCGAGCCTGCGCGACGCGAAGTTGTGCAGCTGCCCCGGCGCGAGCTCGAACGTCGGGAATGTTATTGCGAAGCCGACGCCGCCGGACGGGTAGAACGTGATGCCGGTCATGGTGGGGGTGGGGATGCGGACTGCGGTGTGTGGTATCGGTATCGATGCCGGTGGTGCGCAGATGTGGGCGGAAACAGGGACGAGGGTCGCGCGCAGCTGCGATAAAAAGCTTCGGACGCTCATGGGGAGATTAACATTCCGGTCCGAAACCCAATACGTGTACTCTAAACTGTGTACTCTATGTACTCATTCGCGCACATTCCAGGTGCGCGGGCTTGTTGTCGTGGTTTTGCTAGGTAGGTCTCCGGTTACCGCTACTCAGCGACTAGTCGTCCCGCTTCCGTCACCAGCTCGGCTGGTCTCGTCGGTTCGGGGTTCGGGAACCCCGGTGGTCACGTGACGTGCGGGATGTGTCGCCTTGGAGGTGATTGATACCGTATTTCGTACAGCATGGAACCTTAAGGGCCTGTTTGGATGGCACTGTGCGGCTCCAGCGATGGAATGGGAACTGACCTCTGGAGGTCTTTTCTTCACCACCACTCAGTACCGTATTTTAACTTCAACCGTGGACTCCCTTTACGGGGAACTGGATTTGGCTCTAAAACTGGAACTGAAAACTGAAGCCATCCAAACGATTAGGATTATGGCCGTATTTTAGAGGTATCTACATTCAATAATGCATGTGACAAAGAAATTCCACCACCAAACCCTGAAAAACAGAAATGACATTCCAAATCCTCTAGTTATCCTCACAATAGGCATTTAGGCCTTGGAGCTGGGTTTGCTGCCCCTTACACTTCCCTTCAATCCACGGGAAGTATGGATGCCGCGGCCCGCAAGTACGACAATGGATCATAACTACCACCTTGAACTACGTTCCCCCGTCTCCAGCTTTGTTCCGAGGTACCTAGGTGCTCGTAATTAAACCCTGGGATACAGTACGAGTCGAGTGGCGTTCGGAAGGAAGCATCTTCTGGATAGTTAAGCAAATATGCTACTACCTACCTTATATCGAGGGTTAAGTTGGTCGTAACTATCGTGTATTGTACTCTGTGTTATGGGAGAGATGGGTGACTGTTCATGTCACTGTGAGGATGGAACCCTTGAAAAAATAAAAACTTCTTTCTGGTATGTATCATACATAAATTTACGTTACATGGCAATCCACAACGTGGCAACATCTTTCACATCATCTACCCCTCAAGCGATGTTCATACATAATATTCTTGGTACCCAGGCCAATTGCTATCTATGCACCATACATCCCCATCCATCCCAGCCCTCCATCTAGCAAGTATTCAACATACTCGTCAACTTCGACTTCTCCGCAGCGGTGACGGAGAGCGAGTAGACGGACTTGACCTTGACCCACATGCGCGCATACGTGCAGTGGTAGCTCGACAGCGGCGGCACCCATGCATCGGGGGACTTATCGCCCTTGGCCGAGTTGACGTCGTCGGTGACCGCGATCAGCTGCGGGTTGGTCAGGTCGTTGGCAAAGGTTTGGCGGCGGGCGGTGGTCTAGTGTATGCTTTAGTGGATGCGGGTCGGACAGATGGGGGAGGGATGGTTATACCCAGGTGTTGGCACCGGATTTCCACGCGTTGGAGAGCGGGACCACGTGGTCGATGTCGAGGTCCGAGGCGGCGGTCCAGGTGGCACCGTCGTAGGGCGAGAACCAGCTGCCGGATGAGGGGTAGCAGTCGCTGCCGATTGTCAGGCCGGTGCCGTCGCGGTTCAGCACCGTCTCGCGGGTGTTGCAATTGCCGGAGATGGTGATCCAGTGGGGGAACAGCGAGCTAAGTGGGAGATGTCAGTCGTTGTTCTGGCTGCGAGAAGGAGTGGGATAAACAGACCGCTGGTAGCCAGTAGCATCAGTGGTTCTCGTGGGAAGCGCTGCGAGCATGGTCTTTGCGCTGGCGGCGGTCGGAATGTTGGGAGGAGCACGCTTCTCGATCGCGGCGGCGGAGGAGCCGGCGATGAGACCGGCGAAGATGGCAAGAGCAGTGAAGACCTTCATTCTGAGGAGTGAGGGGTATGGAGAGACCGAGACGAGGAGAGCTGGAGATTGCTGCTGCGGATGGCTTTGGAACGGATCATCTTTGTGGTGATTCGGCGATGCCTTTATACTCCCCTTCAGCCCCCCTCAGCCCAGGCGGAAACATACCGCCGACACCCACACCCACACAAACACACACACGACGATGTAACGGCACGACAGCCATCGGAAGGGGCCGTCGTGCGAGCCAGCCTGTGCGAGCCAGCCTGTACGATCCTGTACGATCCGATGTATAGGTTGCGGTTACATGAGCAGATTCCGCAGGACCGTCCACGGTCTCGCACAGCACAGCATAACTCCGGATTGAGTCGATCGGTAGGGCAGGGGTTTCCCCAATCTTGCCTTCCTCATTTGCGGCTAGGGACAAAAGGCGATATCCCGGTTCCGGCCTTCACGGGCTGTACTTGATAGGCTGTTGTCGTCTCCAGCGTCGGCGAGCTAAATCTCCAAGGAAGGACGTTGCGTGGGATTTGCGCAGGGAAGCGGTCGGCTGGAACGCATGCTAAGAGGAGGGGGGGAGGAGGAGCTCTGGGGCAGCGAGTCAGCCGCTGGTAACAAGCGCACGTTTCGACTTTCCAGCACTTGGTCATTAGTCTCCCGTCCCATCGCCACCGTTCGGGAATGAGTGTGAGTGCGAGTGCGAATGCGAGCACAGCGCATCCGCCGGCCGACCAACTGCCAGACTAACCCGGGAGTGGAGTTTCTGAGTTCCGAGCTCCGACGCGGACGGCTCGTGGTCTTGAAGTGGAATCCGCCTCTTCTCTGTCTCTGGGCAAACTGTATGGCGGGTGCAGGTGTCATGCTGCACAACATCATCGTCCCTAACTAGCAACCCGGTAATACAGGCTTCCGTCCCACGACCGACGCCTTCTCGATCGGAGCAGCGGCCCCCTCCGATTCTCCGCCTCTCCGCCCCTCCATCTCGCATGCAGGAACTGCGGCTCCCTTCACCACTCCCCCCTCCTCCCTCCCCCGACCCCCGACCCCAACGGCAACCCCGCATTTCGGCGGATTATGTATCGAGATACCAGATAACTAGCCCCCCATCCTAGCCTATCTTCTACTCTAGCGAGATCTCCGGGAGCTCCTTCTGAACTCGGCACCTTCCCATCGCGGAACCGAGACGATAGTTACTAGGTAGAGTAGGTACTCTAGATAGCGCCTACATATCCAGAACAAACAAACACCACCACCAACCAATTAACCAACCACCGCCGAGTGGAGATCCCACGTTTCGAATCTCGGGCTTCTGCTGGATGGTAGATATCGGTAGTTGCTCTAGGTACCCAGAGGAGATGTGTAACCGCGGGAGGGATTCGGCGGTCTCCGAAATCGATAGCTACCGGTAATAGCTGTTGCCGCCGGCATTGCGATCTCTCAAGCGCAACCTGGTGTATGGGTGGTGGTTGGACTTCAGCCGCGGATTGCTGAGGGGCAGAGTCTCACAATAGTGCTACAGCACAGCGTGGCGATAGCTGTAGCTGTAGCAATAACGATGTTGCCACCACACTGCGCGCCGGCCGGCCGCCGCAGGCAGCAGCTGTATGACATACACACCACGGATAGTTTCTGCGTAGTAGTAGTTATAAAAGCCTATATAGCCCACACACATTCCTCCATCCTTCGTCTTCTTGCCAAGTTGCCATTTCCGAGCGTGGTCTTGGTCTTCCCTTGCCCTCGTCATCATCAGCCGCCACAATCCCGCAAGGCACTGACATTGCCTCGGCGCACCAATCCTCCGGGTGCTGGCCTAGGGAGTGCTCACAGCGCCCTTCGTTTTCACCCAACGGCTCCGATCTACTACCTAGACGTGGCCCTAGTTAAGCGTTCAGCCCGAGCTGAAGCTGACGAGTCGGAGTCTGTGATACATGTTACAACCCGTTCAGCTCAGCTCAGCTCAACTCAGCTCGACGCAAATACACTGCGTGAGTTCGAAGGACTACACACAGACCTATATTACACGGGTTCCATCTCGTACAAGCAATTCCTCCGTCTCATATCCCGATTCATAGTTAAATGCACATCTTCCCGAGGGATACACACGATACCTACCACCACTGCAAGCACATATTATCACTCGCAGAATCGGTAAAAGAACAGAAAGACTACCAATTATTAGGGAGTAATCCGTATCCGCTCTCCATTGGCTCTGTTATAATCTGCTTTTACTGCTAACTACGTCATTCACATCGAGACTTTCAGATGTCCACCTCCAAGTCGATTGTCTGGTTCTGCCGCAGCAGCGCGAACCTACCTATTCCCAATGATACGCGACTACCTACTGCGTGGACGCCCGCCAGTATCGCTTTTCTGCGGTTTGCAGGGCCCGTTCCGGTGTGTGAGAGAGAAAAAGAGATAGAGACAATCGATTTGTTGTCGTATATGGTTGGTCCATTCCGCGGCTTGGAATCTTCCGCTGCTTGGAAGGTAGAGTAGATTGAGGCAGGTTCAATCGGTAGAGTGACCGCATGTGAGGCCAAGGCTACTAGATAGATATACCTATTGTCACGGCGATACTACTTGTAGCCGCGAATGATACCTTGGGGTCCTCTCCGCCTACCATCCACCTATTATAGCCAGCTGCGAAAGCTCATTCCTTCGAACTATCTCGAGCAACGTGATGGCATCTTGCAAGTTGCAATCAGCACCACTCATAAAGCGCTGCCAAGGACAACGCCGTCCCGTCCAGATTGCGGCGAAAACACACATGCACACATGTACGCATGTACAGAGACGATCCAAGGAGTAGAATGCACGCATCAATTGCATTCTTCAGACTTCAGTATCCGGTATCCAAACCGGCACGCTTAACCCACAATCCCGTCCCATCCCATCCCATCCCATCCCATCCCATCCCATCCCATCCCATCCCATCCCATCCATTCCCATCCATTCCCAGCCGACTCCTCCCACCGCTCCAAAAACAATATAGATAAAACAAACCAACATAGAAAAACCCAGAAGAGCGAAGTAGGTAAAAGCCACAGATAAAAGATAAAAGACAAGTCAAATCGGACGTAGGTCTGATCGAAATACGACAAAAACAAAAATAAAAAAGAGAAGAGTGAGTAATGAAAGTGGGGTATCAAAGTGTCCATCCATCCGTCCATCCGTCCCATCCAACCAACCAAGCCATCCGGCGCTGCACACTTCCAACTTCCAACCCAACCCAAACAAAGAAGAGCAGAGATAAGAGAAGAAATATCAATTCCCAAGCAAAACAAAAACGCAGATATCAAACCCAAACTCCGAGAAACCCGCAATCACTTGCCCACATGCCTACATCGGCTCCGCCCTCTGCCCAGCCTCCGTTTCCCACGGCGCAGTGCCGCCCCGTACGACGCCAGGACTCTCCGCGTCGCCCTTCACGTGCCGCTGTCCCCACGTCCGGAACATGTTCTGCGTCGTTGGTGGCGGCGACGGGCTCTCGGCGTCCATTTCGTCGTCGCCCTCGTCGCCACTGCTCTCGTTCTTATCGTGCGAGTACTCGCTCCTGGGCGATGCCATAGCTATCTCGTCGTTCGCCGGGAGCTCGACGGGTGATGTGGCGGCATGTGCGGATGTGGTGGGTATGGTGGCTTGTTCCCTGTGTAGTGCGCGGAGCGCTTTGCGGCTGCGACTTCGGCTTCGCTGGCGCATTCGGCGGGCTGCTACCGCAGGTGCGGTGAAGCCGGGCGGAAGCAGCGGCACGGCGGCAACCTCCTTGGGGCCTACCGAGACCCAGCAGTGACTACGGAAGTGGGAGCGTTCGTCGCCCCGCTCGCCGGTCGGTGATTGGGGAACCACTGCGGGCACCGCTTTGCCCCATGGGGGTGTGTCGCGCAGCTTCGGGTTGATCCAGTACTCGACGCCTTCGGTCCAGTTGATTCCTGGTGCGTCGACGGCGACGGAAGCCAAAGTCTGCAGAACACCGTAGATCATGATCCAGCGGCCCTTTCGCGCATCGTGGGGTGAGATTTCGTGTGCGGGAATTGACTTTTCATGAACCTGGAAGGCTTCGAGGAGCGGGTTTGACGTCGTAGACGACCTCAGCGCTTCGATGTTGGTGCTCTCGCTGAGAGCCAGTGCTGCTTGCGCTGCCCCGGGGTTACCGGTGGAATTGCGGTTGCGAGGGTTGGCACCGGCGAAGGAGAAGCCCTTCTGTTTCTTGTTGCCGCCAGTGCCGCCGGGAGAGATCATGACGGTACCGGCCCGGTTCGAAAGGGGCACCAAGGGGAAGGGATGCGGAATCGGTGGGTGGTTCTCGCGGTCATCGAAGGTACTCAGGATGTCCGTCATGGGCAGGAACTCGTCGTCGGCCCGCCAGATGGCATTACCCGGTTTGAGGATTGTCCTTCTGGACGAAAGCGTGGGCTGGTCGTGCGGAGGAGACCACACTGCATCCTGATCAACGATGTAGGAGTACAGAGTGGTGAAATCACGCTGCAGATGAAGGTAGAGGGTGCGAGTGAAACGGCCCTCTGGCGGTGGCCAGGATCCGAACCGAGACGTGTAATGCTTTACCAGGAACTTCTGGAACCGGTCGAAAGAAAGACGAGCCGGTGGGGGTCCCGCGGAAGAGACGGGCCACATGTCGTGGAAGTTGAATCCAGCCATCCTTGCGTCGGCGTTGCTGACTCGTACCTGGATCTCGAGAGACGCGCGGTCGATCAGCGCCTTCGTGATTGGCGAGATTTCACGCCATTCGGGTAGCATCTGCAGGGACGAAAGCAGCCCCGTGCAATGCACGAACCCTTCCCGCCACAATGATTCGACACGGTGCAAGTCATGTGGCGTCAGGTTCTGCCTCAGCGCGGCATCGGACCCGACGCGCTCGGACCACACGAGTAGCCCCGCGGCACCCTCCGCCCAGTTGCGCACATCGCTGAATTCGCGAGCGTCAATGTAATTGAGCACCATCGCGATGCTGTTGGGGCTCGACGTCTTCCTCTCTTGCGGATGGACACTCCCGGCTGTTGAGAACGAGCCGAACGGCGACTCGATCTCGGAGATTCCCCGATCGGCCAGATCGTACTCCATCGGTATAGGACCGGCAAAGAGGTACTTGTCGGTGCGTTCCATCAGATCCGTGAGCGCCTGTCCTACCGTGACACCCACTAACGGCTGGCCGAAGAGCATCGCGAAGAAGTTACGCGTCGTCAGGTGAAATTTGTGTCGCGTCGTCTTGTCATACCTTGGTGAAGCAGGGAAGTAGAGTCGGTACGTGATGCCGCTCTCGACGGTGTCTTGCGTCCTTACCGAGTTCTGTGTATGTGCCGATGCCGCGGAGCTGGTCAGCTCTAGCGTCCTGGTGCGTCGCAACTGGTACTCGTAGTCCATCAGCTGCTCCTCCGTCTGGTGTACAGGAAACTCTTCGGCGATTTCTGCCGGCGTCATGGGCCGGTCCCTTATCGACTCGTCTAGTAATGAGGTAAGATACAGCGATTCCGTCTTCCTCAGCACGCTGGAGCGTAGCCGGAAGGAAGGTTGCGGCACAGGGGGCTTGTATAGGTCATGCGGATTCCGCGGCGGCAGCGGTTTGTCGGTGAGGTAGACCAACGTGTCGCCATCCGGAAACCATAACTCCAAATCCTATCCCGGAGTCAGCATATCCACTGACACACCGCCACCATACAGTGAACCCACCTTCTTGCCCTGTCCACCTCCATCCCAATTCTCGCCCCGACTGCCAGTGCCCTCCCACCTCCGTACCTGCACACGCTCCTCGCCAATGGTGCCCAAGCTGCTCAAACCCGACAGTCCACCCCCACCACCCCTCCCACCATGTCCCAAACCTACACCGCCACCCAGACCAGCATAAAAGCTCGTGGCCCCATCCGTATCCCTGCGCTGATTTCCGTGGGCGAGCCTGCCCCTTAACTTCTCTCCCTGCGCATCGAAGAAGCTCCTCAGCGTGCCCTTGCCGATTCTCGGCGCCGGCTGAGAGTTGCGCGTCGACGATCCCGACACACTGCTAGCACTCGGGGTCAACAGTCCTCCCGAGCCGAGGCGGGCGCCTCCATGGCCGAGTGTGGGTTTCCGTTGAGGTGGATGTGGTGCTGTGGTGCCGTTCGCGGCTGTGATCTTGTCGAGCTTGGAACGCGCGCGGGCCGACCGTTGCGCCATGACTGTGGTTGGTGTGATGCGGGGTCGACGTCAACGGGGTGGGTGGGTGCGGTAGTAATAAGTAGTGGCAGCGGGAAGTGAGTGGTTTAGACGTGTCGAGGTTAAATGCCCGGAAGGGGGGTGGGGTAGGGGGGAGCGGGAGGTGACGAATTCCGGGAGGTCTGGTCTGGGGGGATATGCTCGGGTAGTTAGGGCCAGGCCAGCTGAGAGTTGTGGTTGGGTTGTTGTCGGGGAGGGGGGTTTGGGTTTGGTTGCGGCCGATTCGAAGCGATAAGGCTATTCCGACTTGCGCCAGTTATGCGATGATTTGTGATGGAGCGATGGGCGACGGGGGGCTGATAAGCGATTATTTATGGTCTCAATACCGCCGGCGAGGATGGGAGCGAGAATGAGATGTACGACGCAGAATGGAACGAACGAACATCACCACACGGGGGATCAACAGAGGGAGTGGAGGAAGAGGAGGACGGGCGGGGTACAAAAGGAAGGGAGAAGGAGGAGGGGAGGAAAGAGCGCAAGGGAGGGAAGAAGAAGAAGGAGCAGGAGGAGGCGAGGAGGAAATCAAGTCACAGTATGGTAGTTTATAGTACAGTGGGACAGGCTGTTGATATGATCCATTCGACGGCTTGCCGCTGGAGGGCACGTTTTGTCCCACGGCCTAACTAATACCTCTTAAAGCGGCCCTTTTGGCCCTGCGAAGTTGTATTTAGCAAGTTCTTAATTCTCGAGGTGGCCGGATGGCCGGCCATGATTCTGCAGGTCGCCGACCACTATCCAGCTAACCACACTCCACGACACACTCCCAAATCGACCACTCCACCACTCCACCACTGCCAACCGAATCATACATGCAATCAGCCCCCCGGCAGAGGAGCAGAGGATGCGAGACATAGATTCCCGACAATCCGAGCACAATACTACCTATACTAACTCTATCCTATAGCACATTACCTTCTCCCCATCCGAGATATCGGTCTATTAACAAATCCATCAACCGTTTACGACAATCCCGGGCTACTATCCCACAAGCTGTCAGTATCCCCGAGACGAACGGCTCCATACGAGCGCGGTTACGTGCCTTCCGCAGAAGAAATCATAATTATGTCTCGAGATCTCCTTGCTCGGATCGCAAGTACCGAGGAGTCGACTAACTAACAGACCAACAGTGCTTGTACTAACATACCTGTTAGCACCGAAGTTAAGAGACCGAGTGAGGAACGAAGGTGCCCGTGGCCAACCAGGAATGGAAGCCAGGACGACGCCAACGACAAAACGACTTTCGTCAGAGGTGGAGTGGCGTAACGAAGTACACAATAGCTTCCACGACAACCGCCCAAGCCTCACGGGAGTCGAAAGCCGTACTGAGCGAACGGCGATCTTGCGAATGCGACGAGACACGACAAGACACGGAAGAAGGCCAAGGTCCCCACATACGAGATGCCTGGCTGCGTGTGTGGATTGGTACACAACCACTTTACTCCGGTTAGTGGTGGCAGATCGACAACGCCGAACCCGAACAACGGCGACCACCACAAGTGTGTCCCAAAAAAAACGAAGGAAAAAAACGTGCACGACGCCAACCAACACCGAAACCAGCGCTACTACACGACGATGCCTGTCCCTGCCTGCAACTGCAGTCGAATCTCCATGCCTGCTGCCCTGTTAAATCGGCTGCGCCCTTCTTTTCCCCGCAAAAAGAGGCAGATAATAATTACACCTACGTAACACACCCACCACCACCATAGGACTGGTACCTTTACGTGAGGGTTTGCGATTGATGGATGGCCGTGGCGACTGGCGACTCGCGAGCGCGGTGGCTGCTGTTTCGGTCGTGGGCGATGAGACGGTGAGACTCTGAGTCGTGAAGGCCTATACACACCATAATATGGCCCCCTCCTCTTGCCGAGACGTCCGACGCTTCAGAACGGCAGACGTTATTGGCCGCAGGCTTCTACGGTACTGAGTACCATACATACTACAGCCTGCCGTGATGAAGTGTGCCACTTCACCTGGGCCCACAACCGTGGCAGCCTGACGCTGTCGAGTGTTGACTCTAGCCGATCGCTCACTTGATCGAATCCAAAACTCATGACGCCCGTCGCCGTGCACTGCGCCCATTCGGCGGTCCTCTCAGCCCTGCCACAAAGCAAAGAACAGCACGCACATACTGTACCTAGGCCCAGGATCGAAATGGGATAGGATGGGATGGGGAATAAGCCGTGTATGGCGATATGTATGATACTCGAGGTAGTTATGCCGTGGATGTGGTTGTTGGATCTACCTATCATCTGGCGTTATCTATCTACCGCACGCACGAGCTGAAGTTGAAAGCAAAAGCAAAAAGGCAAACAATTACACAATGTGTGTACTCTTCCCTAGGTAGGTACTCTGGGTACACACTCACGTACTCACCCATACGCATTCCAAATCCCATGGACTCGAGAGTCAAGCTGTACGCACGGTATGTACCTATGATCGCCACTTCGCCGCCGACCTCACGTGCGCCGGCTCACAATAGTGGTCCCTCGCCTTCCACGCAGTGCGCCGCCGACGCAGGGGACCGCGCCTATAAAACAACACCTCTCACCCCCTACGGTATCTACTGGGCAGTGGGCACTGAGCAGTGGGAAACGCGTGGCCATTTGCCCTCAGAAGTTCAGAAGCGACCGAGAATAAAGTGCTGTGTGTCGGCTCTATATCAAGATGGAGATCCCGAGGTCCCGATGTGGTCACTGGTGGGGTGTGGTGTATAAAGCCGGTGATAATTTATGCAGCCTGCAGGAACGGCGGTCGATATGTATCAGACTATCAGTGGATGTATGTATGAAGTAGGTATGTACCTGCCTATGTGCATAGCGGAATGGAATAATAACGCATCTTGATTCTTTACAGCGTTACATTCCGCGTATTTTCCATCCTTTGGAGATATATTAATTGTGAACCTAGGTATAATTTCGTATCTATCCCTAAGTAGTAGGCGAAACTACACACTACTATATCATAGAGCTGATATGAACATGTAGATGTTTGATGGAGTAAAGCCTAGGTACTGCAAGACATTCATCCTCGGCCTTTTTACCTATCCGCGAGCACTCGATAGACAACCTCGACAAGACAAGCCACAATCATCTCCATCTGTCGATTATCAGCTGGACTAGCATGTGGAGTTTCGGTACCATACCTATCATACGTATTGTGCTGGGGGGCTTTCGATTTCCCAGAGCTGTGCTTACCCCGACTCGACTCGTAAAAATCCCGGTTACTACCTAGTGAACGGAATGACATCTGTCTCGGACCCCATCCACTGCGATGGGAATCAAACCATCAAACCACAACTGCCGTACATGCCGTACCTGCCGTACCTGGCGGTCGTGTCTCGGACTCGTGGACTCTCGGTTCATCCGTCCGTAAACAGTGAACCGGGGAATCACGAAGCTTCTGGAGTGGTGAGCGCTTGGATTCGACGGTTTACCTAGTACCGACTAATGTATTATGTATGTAGGTAGTAGACCGGTTACTCTCCGAGTCTTACTCGCGGCCAAAGGGGTGGCCATTGGTCAACCTCCGCCGGTGCATAATCCCTCCCCCTCGGGTGCTCGTGGGGGCCGCTGGTGCTTTCCTGACTCGGATACGGTACTGGTATGTACTCGTATGCCATGGGGTCCTGCCGAGGTGGGCAAACTTACCTTTGGTACGGTAGGTACTAGGTAGGTAGTAAATACCAGTAGGTAGTTGTGCCCTGGATCGACCTGAATCGACCTAGAAAGATGATTCTCGAGTCTTCTGTTGGAAGTCGCTCAGCACACCCGGCGTGTAGTTATTGCGGCGCGTATGGTGCTTTCCCTCCGTCCTATGTACCAACTACCTATAGTCTACAATACTAGGTAGCCCAGGGCCCCACCGGAAACCAAGCACCCAGGAAACCAGGAAACCGGAAAATCTCAAAACCTCTCCACTTTTCGACGTCTTGGTCCGGGTGTTTACCGGCAAAGCCATACCTATCGGCAAAGCCATCGTCTGCGAGTCTGCGACGTTTGGTGGTACGAACACTCTACATAAGCGAGAAATACTACCTATGTAGAGTACTCTGGATGTTGCCACCGATAGGCTGGAGCGACGTTGTGGGTAATTCGCGCTTCAGCTGCAGGTGTTTACTACGGTACGGGGCGGTACGGTACGATACGGTACTCTAACCACCCAGTAGAAGAGATGGATCGTACCTGTCTATGTACTCTACTAGGTAGTAGGTAATAGATACGCTGTCCCGCCAGCTGAAGATCGGATGGCCATGTACGCGGCGCTATGCACATATCTACCATTAGTAGCTGAGGTTTGAACTTGGGTGGAGCGAGCGGAGCGACTCGCGAGTGCATTGTAGAGTACCTATCTTTCATTTGGGGGCCGTGATTCAGATCCAGACTTGGCCGACCACTGCCGGTGTTGCGTGGGGTCTGTAATAACTCTTTACCTGAGTAGCCCGGAGAGAGGTGGTTTGATTTGGAATGTAGATATTGTGGAGCCGTCTCCTTGCCAACGGAGCTCAAATGCGTATTTAGACCTCTACTGACTGGATGCAGGCTGTCATGACTTTGCTACATTCCAAAATCGGCTTTCGACCCAGCATCCATCCCCGCGAAGGAGAAGGCGGACGACTGGGCGGCACCGCCAACACCACGCCAACACCCCGCAAAATTGGAGACTGATACTAAAGGATAAATGCAGAACTCCGGGAATTATTTTCAAGAAACGCCGACTTCGGACCCCGCACATGAATATTATCACTAAGCCCTCCTTCACATCCTCGTTTCACCTCCCTTGATGGCATGGCTAGCTTGCCATTGCCTCCGCGGCGCTTTCTCGTTCCGCTGTCTGTATAGATCGCAATGTGTTAGATGCATTTTCCTCGTCGCGTTCGGTGGTGGGTAGTCGGTGACCTGCCTGGTAAATTTACTGCCGGGAAGGTGTTCCCACTTGCAGACGTTCGGAAGCCGCAGCTCCAACGCCCGGTTTCTCTCCCTCTCCAGCTCCTTTCGGATGGTGAAATCGCGAACCAGAAGCACCATTGGATGGGGCTCATCCGCCGCGACCGTGGGAGCAGTCAAGCCCGCAGGCCGTGATTGGGTTTTCGATCGGGACGGTGTGGTTGACGGTAGCGGGTACGGAGGCTCCAGTGCCGCCGGTGGCCGCTATGAGGCAGTTGAGCATCGCGTCGTAGTCGTCAGGTTCTGGTGCTGGATGTGTGTCAGTTTTGGAAACGAAAGCGTCCTGGAGGGCGGAAGGGCAGATGCGATGATTGAAGGTGGACACATACCGGGGCGTTTGTCGGGCGTTGACGTTGACGTCGACGTCTGCGTCGAGGAGAGAGAGAGGAGGTAGTGGAGAGATGAGAAAGAGAGGAGCCTTTTATAAGAAAGCTTGGTGCGGCTGGTGCGGCCGGCGCGGCCGGTGCGGCCAGTGCGGTCAGTGCTGAGCCCGCATCCCCGCATCCCCATGTCCCGCACAGCCTGAAGAACTAGGTAACCTGCTCAGTTCTATCTTCCTACCAACCCTCCTATCTATCTCAGTATCTTTGACAGGCGGTTTCTATTTACATACACGGTGTTGAATCGCCAACGATATGCGGATTGATCAACCAGCGGACACTTACTTTCTTAGTTATGTAGAGGCGCCCCGGCAGAACTCCCGTTCTATGGTCTGTCCGAACGGGGTGGATATAGAGATGATGTGCCGACTATATGAACCAGTACACTATCGGCGGCTGCGCTATGCTGGGTAGCAATAGGCGCTGTATGCATGCATACGAGCGATCGCCCGTGAAGACAATTATGTTAGCCACTGGTTAATGTATCTACTGTAATAGCTGGTCGGCATTCACCGCTGAGTCTAGCTGCTGTCTAGATTGGTTAGGCTGCCGAAATAGCCATCTGAGCTGGCTGCATGGCGCAATGGTAGCGCGCGGACCTCCTACCATGGAAACAGTCCGAGGTTGTGGGTTCGAGTCCCATTGTGGTCGCACTTTTTGGAGTTTCGGCGAAGGGTTTCGACTCCCGAGCCGGTGTGGGGGATGTTGATTAACTTTTTGTTTTGTATCATTCCACGGAAGCCCATTCGTTTGGAGGGCCTTGTCGCCACAATGATGTCGTGTAAAGGGAACAAACAGCGGCTGTAGGTGCATAGTGGCACTCTGTGCTCCCCACAGCCAGCTGTCGAAGCTCAACTAGCTAGGATCGCCGCCTCAAGCGACCCTGGTCGGCTTTTCTATGGAGCCCGTAGCCGGGCATTGGGATACGGACCCGACCTAGAGCACGAAACAGGAAGCGAGTGAGTACCCTACCCGTTGCAGGGTGATGTAACGACCAGGCAGGATCACAGACCATGACTCGGTGAGGTAAACGGGAATGACGATCGATAAGTGCACAAGGACTAAAATATCGATTCAGTATCGTCCGAGACTCCTCTTGACTGCGGAACCGTTATGGCTCGGCTTGCTGCACAGCTTGACTGGAAAGTTGGCGGGGATTTGAATCTGGTTGCCTATGGCCATAACGAGGCTTCACGAGGCTCGGAGGAAACTCAGCGACAACTCCAATCGTGTCGTAAAGGATGAATTCCGTGGGCCCAGCACTAGGTACTTAATTAGCACCAGTGCACTCGCGACACCTATGCCATCGAGTCGGGCTTTCTAGGGAATCAACCGCAATGACGCTAGCCTTCGGGCAACGTGAGTGCTGGCAAAACGGACTGGGGCCCAAGTCCGACGGGCGAGAGAGCTACCCAGGAGGTATATCCGCTAGGCTCGGGCTGGCTGACACTGGAGCCTGGAGGTCGACGATCACGTAGGCTTCCGCGTAGATCAAGGCTGTACAACACCCAGTGAGACCATAATAGTCCAGATATGTATCTTAACGAGTTGGACTGGGGAGTCGGACTCCGGGCCCGCGGCAACCACGGAACAGACGAACGAAGGCGCGGACTCATTGGTATATATGACATATGACATGTAACACATCTAAAGACAGGATTAGTACATATGATCCTATGAAAGTCCTGGGGCTACCTGGCCTTTGTAGTCACCCATCATCCCAACCAACGGATTTGACCGACCGCCCTCGAATCAAGAGTTTCCCACAAGGTTGCGAGTGGCCAGCGCCGGGGGTACTCGTGTCCAAAGTACCTACCCCGAGTTTCACCGCAGACTTCGAGATCGGCGCAGTCCGGTCTTGGCACACAGTGCAATGCCACCTTCCTGGCGAATGTGCATGCTACATATGTAGAACAAGAGACTGTATTGGCGCGGAATTCTGGCATTGCTTGCGGTCGTGCCACGGTTTGATACGGTACCTACGGCACTGCCCGGTCGAACCCCCCTCCCCCCCCAAGCTTCGTTCGTGTTCCCGATGATCGCTAATCGGACGTATGTAGAGTATGTAGGGATGTTGGGATCCCGCGTCCAAGCGGGGAAAGGAGGATTCCTCGTCCGGGTACCGTATCCTTCCGATCTACGGGGCCTCCAGCGTCGGGAGCGACGGCAAACGATCTTCGCCGAAACGTCCGTCGGTTGCTAATGGTCACTGGAGATCAGCACGTGACGGAACGAGTGCAGTGCGCAGTGCCATGTTCCGGACGAGTCTGACAAAGACTTTTCAAAGCCCGGAGCGTGCAAGGCAGAAGTACACAAGGATGATCCCCCGCATTCCATCGCTTGCTACATATAGGTGCCAGTGGTAGTACCCATCAAGTTGCAACTCACGACGGACGATGAGCTCAGTGGGAGATCATCCGTCCTATCGCGAAACTGAAGAATATGCAAGGCGGAAGCAGGAGAATTAGAGTATAGGTATACGTATGCAGAGGTAAGTTGGTGCGATGGTCACTGGTGCACCCTGCCGAGTAAGATCTGCGTGCTATTTATACTTCGCAGAACGTCCATTGCCTACCCAGTCACGCCGTGCTGTCGACTGGGTAGGTTGCTACTAGCTAGCCCTGCTCAGAGAGGTTCGTATTGGTATTCCTGTCCCGAGTTAAGCGGACCCATTCTCTGCAGTCCGGACGGAACAGCAAGATAGCTACGCAAGCAAGCTCCAAGATCCCGGCCTTCAGAGACATTTGTGTATCTATCGCGCGCCGTTTCCGCAGTTGGGGGTGATACGGCGGTTTAAATTCCCGGTCCGCTTGAATAACCTCTGCAGTCGAAGATGTAGGGTACTCCAGTAAATCGGACTTCCCAGTCGTCGGATAATCTGCGGACGAGAAAAGCCCCAGCCTGCTGGATGGCCGTGCGTTTCCGCGGATTTGTGTGCTATTGAACGATATGTCACATGTAGAGTGCGAAGGAAGTGATCCTATCCTCATCTATTACCTAGAGTGCCGTATCTAACCCTTCCGCACGGAAAACGTCAACCCCAATCAGCAACCACGGAAACAGCGCGCAATATGGAACCACAGGCGGACGAGGCTTTTTTATACATACATGGTTGATCGATGCGAGTCCGCTGCAGCCACGAGGCGCCCCGTCGGCCCCTCTGCCCGCTCCCGAGTTTGCGCCGAGAAGTTGCTGCGGACTCTGCTCGGCCGAGTCGACAACCGAGTCGGTCAATCAGCTCTGCGAATGGCGCGCGGATGTCGTGCATATCCTACACTGCCACTCGGGATTGGCCACAGCTACCGTACTCTGGAGTCTACATATGTCATGGAGTATCGACGATTCCTTCTCGTCAGCACTATCTATCTATTCTTGGCATATATGTACCACGTTATGTGGTGCGAATAATGACTGGGTCGTCGGCTGTGCGTCGGTGGGTGATTTGCAGTGATTGCATTGAGTGCCACGACCGTCTTCCAAAACCCCCAAGGCTGAAACGTACTCGCAGAATTCAACCAATGGCGAACTCCGTTCTTGCAGCAGCAAAGAACGTCGTACCTGTAACGGAATCACCATTGCGCCGCCCCCCACCTCCCCCACCCCTCCGTCATGTTTTACGACACCTATATACGACAGCTCGCAAAGATGACCCCACCATTGCGACCGGCTATTTCACACGGTCACAACCTCCCCGCCCCCAACCCCAGCATCAACAGCAACTTCCAAAAACACGATGCCCGGCGTCGGTGTCGGAAGCGCACGCACATTTCTCGTCTGCTTCCTTGTGATGCTCATCGTAGCCACGCTGTTTGCTCCCCTGCGCTTCTACTTCCTCCGGGGCGAGAAGCGCAGGGCGTTCGGGTACTTGAGCGATAGCTGCTTCGTTTTCGGGATGAGTCTCTTGTTGGGAATCGGATACAGCATGATACCGGTAATCGTCGAGGAGATCCGCATTCGAAGACACGCCCATAAGGAGGAGGAGGTCATCGTGAGACTCACAACCGTGGATACGCTCAAGGTACGTACACGAGAGAATTCACGACTCGAGCGAGAGAGATGTCGACCATTCTGACCGTTCCAACTGACAAACAATCAGGCGCTCCTCTGCTTTCACATCATCACCGTGACCATTATGTGGTCCTTTAAGATGGGCTTCATGTTCTTTTATGCCGCCCTCTATGAGAGTACAAAGACCATGAAGAAGAATGCCCTCTACTATGTCTCTTTCTGTTTCATGCCGCTTTCGTACGTGGCTGTTCTCTTGGTAAGCTTCCTCGACTGCAGACCGCTATCTCTCACTTGGTGAGTTTCCTCTACGCTGCTCTTTCGTCCGATTTGGTTTCTCACGGAAAGAATTCCCAGGGACCTAGAGCGACTCTTCATGACCGGCCAAACCTGTACCCCGATCCACTCCCGCAACGTAAACATCGTCTACGTAGTCCTAGCCATCACCTCGGACATCCTCCTGCTCTGCATCCCGCTCCACTTCCTGGGCTCCCTCAAACTCACCTCGCCGGAAAAACGCGGCGTCGGCTTCGTCTTCTTCTTCGGCACGCTCTCCATCTCGGCCGCAGTCGCGCGCTTCACCATCCTATCCACCCGCCACACCTACGATGTCAATGGCGGCGGCGCGATCGCCTCGTTCGATAAATACTACTGGGCGACGGGACTGGCGTTCCTCGAGATTACCATGGCCGAGATCGCGTTCGTACTGCCGGCCATGAGGAAAGTGGTGTTTGCTCGTGGAGAGAGGCGGCAGAGGATGAGGATCGAGAGCGCAAGGAGGGACGAGATTGCAGGATGGAGGGAGGCCACGAGGTCGCGGACTGTTGCCAGCGCGCACGCTGATCATGATGATGGGGACCGGCTGGTGCACGGCGGGAATACGGGGGCGCATGTTGGAGTGCGCGGCGGCCTGGGCACTTTCTACTGGACGTAGCGGTGCACGTGGTCAGTGCGAGCGATACAAGACCAGACGGTTACTCTGATTTTAGTGGGGGAGGGAGGCGGGGGGCGGTGGGGGTACCCATCGAGCTCACAATGCCGACAATTCGAGTTATGCAGCATGAGTGGATTCAAACATTCACGCGAGCTAAGCAAGCAATGATGAGAGGTAGATTATACCAGTAGTTACTGATGTACATATATCGTCTAGATACTTGAACTGGGAGCAAAATAGAGTAGTATGGGGAATGTACATGAGGGGGAACCAATCGCCGAGCTTGGGCAATAGACATCACAGAAAACACCCCACCTGTCTTTGTCCTCATGAATCTGCTTTTGGTACATGGGCTTCTTACGCCCGTCAAGCGCCTGTAGGCTGCACTTCTCAATCACCATGTCTCGAACGATTTTCACCTATGAAGACCAATACCGTTTGCTAAAGTCGTTTTTTCATCGAGACGGTAGCGGCCGATGAGCTGCCAATGGCAAGAAACGAATGACGCACGTTCACTTCGGGTGTTGATATATGGATGGCCAGAACGGCCAGGATGGGGGCCACTGGGACTTAAATAGTAGTTGGAGCGGAGAAGGATTGGATCGGCGTGATAGGTTCCGTACCACCGGTCTCGAGATCTCGCTTCGAGTCGTCTGTTTCCACACCACCCCACCATTTTAGCCTCAGCTGCCAGCTGCACTCGCCAGTTGCACCAACCCGCTTCGCACCACCCGTTTCACTAGGTAGATGCTCGGTATTCGTTATGCGGCGATCGCCGCTACGCTACCTAGCTGGGCACTGGGACCAACGATTGAGGGTTTCGAGGGTGCTGGCAGTCTGTTGTCTGCCACTATGTTAAGAGGAGCGCTATGTAATTAAGATAGAGATGGTGGATAAGAGCATGGCGATCGATAAGATAAGATAACTAGTCGGATCGGGGGGGTTCCGAATGGTGGAGCATCGATTTAGGTTAGTCTGTAGCAGCGGAGAAGGGTCATATAAGGTGTCACTCCAAAGTTGAATAGAACCTCAACTTCTCCATCACACTTCATTCAGCGTTCCCGTTGCCGGGCGACGTCACAGTCTCGCTCGACTATGTGCCCGCTTTCGGGTTCCAGTGTGCGCGCGCCGCCTTCCTTCGGATTCCCTCACGTACCAACAGTACTCACTGCTGATACTTGGTCCACCGCCCACCTGGATCGTCTCCAACCAAAGCTCTCTCTATTTGTGTTCTTGCTAGTGTTAACTAGGTATGTACGAAACCACATCATCAAAGTCACGCGCTCCCCCGCTGACTAGTATGTAGAAAAAACACTTTCACGTTTCGGCTAATGCTTACGAAACACAAGACCACTTAGCAACATACATACTGCAAGGCCATTTCCAACAAAGCTCTGTTTATTCCTTTGTTTGGTTTGGAATATCCCACGTGTCGGCCTCGAGCTCTTTATTATCTCTCAGCTCGTCGGCGAACACCACCTAGCCCCGCAAATATCACCCGACATGTTTCTCCTGGCGGCGAGATACGTGGATCACCGCCTGGACGTGGCCATCTCGCGGATCTGGACCTGGGTCTACAAGGGGCTATGGAATCCCACCGCCTCTACGATACTTCCGACAGACATTCACTTCTTCCTCGAGATCTTCTTCCACTACGTATTCTTCCACGTCGTCGGGCCGTTGACGGTTCGACTGCTCGCCGTCTACGCCATCTACCGTGCCGTAAGGGCTTGCCTCAACGAGCACGAGACGGAAGGATGGGCCCGCCAGACGATAAAATATACCAACGCCATCGTGCGGTACCTAGTGACGGCAATGTTTACATTGCTGCTGGTATGCAGTGGTATCGATGGATGGCGAACTGCGATACCGCTGGCCGAAGAATTAGCAAGAACTGGGGTTGCATCGATATTCCGGCATCCGGTGGACGCAGTGTGGGCGGTGGTGTCGTGGTTGGAGATTATGAGCCGTACTCCGATAGGTTACGTTTGCAACTCGAACCGATACATGGAAGTTATCTGCGTTCTCGCGCCGCGATGGTTGAGACCGTTGAGAACGTTGCAGTTCTACCGCTGGTTTATCAAGGCATTTTGGAAAGACTTGAAGCATCTCATTGGGGGTGTGGGGCCATATTCGGGGGGCTTCTTTCGGATGATGAGATTCTGGAGCCGATTCCATGGCGAAAGATGGTTTCTGAACTTACGAAAGGAATACGTCACATGGGAATGGATCAGCCAGTCGCTCTATCCAGACATTCCCCAGAGCATTAAGTATGCGGCCGGGATGAAAGGTTGGAGTCCGGCAATCAGAAGCTATACAGAACTACATCGCCACGCTCCGAAGCGATCGGTAGAAGAGTCGCTCGCCCACACTGAACGTTATCCCATGATCGTAATCTCGAAGATATTATGTTGCTGGCTACTCACGGCCGGCATACACAGGTTCATCCTACGTAGGTTCATGCTACGCAGGTTCATGCTACGCGGAAGAAGCCGGCGGTTCCTGAGACGTGAGAAGAGGTGGCTCTTTTTCACGGTCTACCTTTTCACCTTCATCGTCTTCTTTCCCTGGGAGATGGCTCTCTGCTTCACTTTTGTATGGGACAGATTTCTACGCTTGACGAGGTTGAGGTTCGAGTTGCAGTATGCATAGGTACGAAGGAGGGGAGGTGTGAGAATGCGTGGGGGTGAGAATAGTGAATGGGGGTTTCAAGAGGGATTGCAGTACTGGGTACTATTAATGACTGTTGTGTTGCACTTGCATTTTCCTGGGTGTGGACGGGGCCCGGATTAGAGTCCTGTTGGGTGTATTACCGTACTCGTTGGTAGACGATAGGCAGGACCAGTGAGATTGTACGAATCGTCGCTCACTACAATGACCCAGCCAGATCAATGGAGTGCCCGGTGATCTCCGTGACAACTACATACCTTGACCAGGGGTAAGTGTTCACAGCTATCATCATCCACCTAACCAGTTACGTACAAGTTCACTGTTGTATCGGAATATCTGCGTGTGAGATAGGAGCACGACGGATATTGGTGGATCCTCATCATGTTTGGGGGGGATGAATAAGATCTCACGCACCAAAGTTCGACTCCATTTTCTACACCAATCACTCTCCATTATCCGAAACTCTATGGAGGTATATAGGAAAAGAAAAAGCACTTCCCGCGTGCCCATGTTAAAGCAAATAACTCCAGGTATCCCCTCTGCCGCTCTCCGGATAAACGCCATCTAACCCCATACGAACGAACGCCACAAAACGTACAATCATGACAACCCAGCACTATCGGCCTTGAGGACGGGCTTGCCGACATCCTCAAGCCCAATCTTCTTCCTCCTCTTGGACCTCCTGCGGTACTTTCCGCTCCTCCATTGTCTCCTCCTCCTTTTAACGATAATCACCACGACCACAACAACCATCAACATCATGATCGCAACACCGCCCAACACTCCCCCAACCACAGCGGCAACATTCCAATCGCCCCCTTGTGATCGGTTCGTTGTCACGATTCCACCATCGTCGCTACTATCGCTGTCATCGTTGGCCTCCGGATCTCGCACCGGTGCAGAGGGGGACTCGCCGGGGCTGAGGGAGTCCCGTGCTACGCCGGCGGCAGCCTTGAAGGCAGCGAGCTGGTCGGGTCCGGCGTTGATGGTGCCGACGAAGCCCTGCATGCAGTGGCGGCCCTGCGAGCAATAGTAAAAGATTGGGGCGATGGAGGTGATGTTGACGGTGAACGTATCGAGCTATACGCAGTCAGCTCGCCGTCCTTCGGTCAGAGAGAGTTCACAAGGGGGACATACGATCTCTGTGTCCGTCGGCAGCGGATGGAAGCCAGACCAGAACGCATTGCCGAGTGCTGAGGTGTCGTCAGTGGCGGGGACACACGGTTTATCGAACGTTGCTTCGGCAACCGAGTGATTCTATGCCCACGCCGCCGTTCGTTAGCCGTCATTCATGCGCCAGCAACTCATCAACGGACAAACGCACCAACGGGTAGAATTGGAATTGAACCATATCCCCGACGTCGGCGGTGGTATCTTCCGGCGTGAATCGAAGTGCGAGCGAATCGCCGCGGCGCCCCACCTGCACCACATGAACGGTCTGCGCCGTTGAGAGTCCAGCGACGAGGGCGAGAATGACGGGAACGAAGACCAAGATAGCGGGCGCATTGTGGGCATTGTGGTGGTTTAGGCAGTGCGAGAACGAGGGCATTTCAGTTCAGTGTGAGGTTACGGTGAGATCCATAGTAACGCTGTGAGTTATCGGGAAGTAGACGGCAGGCCAACCAGCAGGCAGGATCGACGCACTGGATTATATGTGGTAGGGAGCGTGGAGAATTCGCGTGAGTGCGGGCAATGGGGGGTTGATGTGTTTCGGGTCCGTTTCGGGGGTGTCTCCATACCCTGTCTCCACGAGCGGCGATCTCTCTTATGTACATACACGCGATGTCGTAGTCTCTGCATACAGGGGAGACCGCGTAGGCACTTGTCTATGAGACTATGCCACCAAATACGACAATGGTCTGGAATCGTCATCACGACGGATTGGGAAGTCTGGCCGTCTCTACTATATTCGCTGCATCTCGCTCTTCTCTTTAGCCCCACCGCACCGAGAAAACACCTCCGCCTTCTGTCACCCGAAACACACGATAAGAAGAACACCCGCACGGAAGATATCCCGGCCTCCTCTTCCCTCGGGCCTCCACCTAGCAGCAACTACGTATTTATCTACGCCCACGGAACAGAACAGAACAATCTAGTCCGCCGCTCAGCTTCATCCAAAAAAACCCGCGGTCCTTCTTCGCTGCAGAAAACCAACAGTATATCCTCGCGCACAGAAGACTTTGCTTATATGGTTTCGGTAGCTAGCTAATCAGTCGTTCGATGTCGATCCGCGAGAGAGAGAGGAGGTGAGCGTTTGACATAGGAGGTAGATATCCTCCCCGGATGCACACGATATATTGCCCCTGCGGAATCACGAGGGATACGGAGAAGACGTCGTGTTCGTCGAGGCAGTAGAGGTTGCTTCATATAGTAATAAGTCATCGTGAAAATATAGATCGTTGGGTGTGGTGGGCGAAGATGCGATGAGGTTCCGATGGTCGCAGCGGCAGCCTGCAGGTACGTAGGATCGCCGCTCCCCGATCTCCGCCCCCCGCTCCACTCCACTCGTACACCTACACCACAGCCTGAACTTCACACAAGTCTCGTATTGTCTCGTTCACCTCAACCACGATTGCAACTCAATGATATCGGCGAGTGCAACATCGCCCCGGATCCAATTCACCCGACAATTGTCATAATAAACCCAACCGATTCCGCAGGCCTACTTGGCAACCCCATTCAGCCCGGAAACTCGTCGGTAGCCCGCAATTCTCCCTCCCTCTTTCTTGAGCTTTGGGCAGTTAAAACGCGCGGCGGTTTGACAAATAAATCACAGGTCACACTCGGCCCCGGCTTCGGCTCCGGTCCGATATGAACAACTTTAGCCGGCCCGGAAAGCCGGTCCTCATAGTTACTTAGTCGGTCAATTGCAAGCTTCGATCAAATTCCACGGCCATTTATTGAAACATAAGTTAATAATACACCCTACAATACATTTACATACTCCCCAACTAGCGCGCCTGTGTTGTTTCAAACAACGGCCCGCCCACCGTCCACTAGAATCCGTCACGAACAGAAAGGGCGAATCTAACCGGACCAGACGGCTCCTCCAGGGATGCTGAACGTGAGTGTTAGTTATGATTGGGGTGTGGCTGGAGGTATGGGGGAAACTTACGGGTAGCTGGTGGGGTTGCTGTAGAGGTTGAACAGGATACCCGGGTCGGTGGCCGTGTATGTTCCGGGGAATGTGTTGCCTCCCGGGGGAGATGTCGAGCCACCGGAGGTGATCGTGATCTGCGAGCACGAAGGGTAGACTATCCACATCATCAGCACTCATTCCCTCTCTTATCCGTCCAACTGGAAACATACACTGGGCACCACGGGCGCTGTTGGTGTTGTAGTTCGTCTCGGCCTCGTGCAGGCCAATGATCTCGGCACGGAACAGGTAGTTTCCGGGCTTCAGCGACGACGGGATTGTGGCCGTGTGCTTTCCCTTGTTGGCGATGAGCTTATCGACGGCCCAGACACCTCCGCTGAGGCCCTCAGCCGCGATCTTGGTCCAGGCGCTGCCATCCTCGGTTCCGATGTACACCATCACCGGACCCTTGTGGGAGCTCGCAATGATCTCGTCGCCCCGGGCGTCGTGGTACCTGTTTCGTCATCAGTAACCGCTCAGCCCGGCCATAGGAAGCAGCACTGGGACCAACCATTCAAAGGTCAACGTATCACCGGCCTTGGCACTGACCCAGTTCGGGACAACACGGTTGTTGACGTTGCAACGGATCGAGGAGGAAGTCACATCCTTCACGGGATTGTTGTTGGGCGGCGAGCGGATGTAGGTGTTTCTTCCATCGCCCTGGTCTACGCCGTTGACGTAGACGCTGTACACGGTGGTGTGAGCGGTCGCGGTGGCCGCGAGCACGCTCAGGAGCGTGGCGAGGGTGAACTGCATAGTTTTTGGAATGAATGAAGAATGGAGAATGAATGTGGGTGCTGGCTGGGTGTGCTGGCTGGCTGGTAAGTAAATGTTCTGAGCGGACAGGAAGGACGGTTTATATACCTTCATCATTCACCATGGTCAGGCTCATTTGGAGGAATGTTATGTACGTGCATCCTATTACTCTACAGTACTATGTGGGGCGTGAGTTTTGATCTCTCATTTCCATCGGATGCGCGCACCGCGAATATCTTTGAGCCACGATGATCACGGGCCGCCAGATTTTTCCATGTCATGTTTGAAGCAGAGTACCTACCTGTAAGTAGTGGCGGTACGCATAAACAACCTACTAACTAACTAGCAGCTACAGCCGGCCGGGAGAAGGCGAAGTTCGATCCGGGGTAAATTAATAGCGGGGCGGAAACATTTAAGGCAGCTGCCACGATGGCAGCATAACCCGGGGGATATGATCTTGCCGTTGCGATGATCATTCCTACAGGCAAATTTCCCACCTTGGTCTTACCAGGCCAGTATGTGAGTAAGCTCGCAAGTAACCAACCAAGTAAGCACTGCATCATCGTCAATCCCACCTCGCGTGTATCCACTAGCACCTACATACGTTATTTTCCCTACGGGACAGCAGACACTTTACCAGTATTCCCATACCTACGCTAGGTATAGTAGGGTACGGACCTTCTGCTCTCCGTGAAAGCAACGCTAGGTGCCTGGAGCCCTCCATATCAGTCGATCCGGGCCTCCGTCCCGTTAGGCGTGCAGACATGGACACATCCCATCACTCGCGTTTCACCTCCCCGGCCCCAGCCTGACCGGGACACCCGTGGTTTTCCCCATGCCTCGTCTTCCGTAGGCGAGGAATGAGGGAGGGTGCGTGGGAGGGAGGGTGCACTGGGTGGCTGGATAAATGCAAATCCAATATATCTGTCAATATATCTGTCGCACGTGTACACTCACACGCACATGCACAATACACCACGATCCCGAGCGAAAAATTCTCCGAGCAATGTGAGGGGGGCGCATAACGCCTGCTGTGTGTGGGGAATGGAAGGACGGGAACCGTTGCCTAGCCTAGCGAGCGGCGGTAAGCTGTCTGCTGGATACCTCATGCTCTAGAGTAGGCAAGTACTCGTATGTAACCCAAATGGAGCCTGGGCGGTCCACCTACGGTATGTACCTCCTCGGGACGCGGGAGAGCGATCCTTCGACTACACGGAAGTTTCCGGACCTTGCCGGAGCGCGGAGGAGCGCGCGGCAGCCGCCGGCGGCACGACCGGGCGGGAGCACCGTCGCTCTTCTCTTCGACGCCTGCGCGGTAACTAGAGTACGTCGCTACTACGCGGGGTGACGGCAGTCGTAGCTACATGCCTCCGGCGGACGAGCCGGTACATACTACATCCGGTGTTGGGCGATTACAAACTCTGTGCATCTAGATCTCGACTCGGTGCTTCCGTCTTCTGGCACTTACCTATCTATTTGTTGCGACAACATATATGGTAGCGTAGGTAGGTATGTCACGGACCTCGACATCGGACTTGCACCCACGACTGCTCGAGAGCGAGTTGTCGGAAGGAACGATCTTCGGCCTTTGAAGCCCGGCGCCGGGAGCTCCTGTTTCGGACCTTCGGTGCCTGCAGCTGTAGAATTTCAGTTGCGATGCTGACTGTGACAGCGACAACGGATGGGGCTGACTGTAACTACATGTGTACATGTGTAAAGTACCGGTGAGTGGGAAGCCATGCCGTAGGGTATCCCGGGTGTTGGGGGTTGGGTTTACAACCCCTCTCGGCCAACGAAGCTCTATGGCGGCCCCTATGCAATAACTACATACTTCTATGTACATCATTATGATTTACGGAGCACGATCTACCATATAGATACAGAGATTCAACGGCGACAACATCCAGTCATCACGGGAAAAACTCCAGTCTTTGATATTTAACTCTTCACTTGAGTACCGGTACTCGGTCCTCGCATGTGTAACGTTTTCAATCCTTGGCTAAATACCTACCGGTCCGCGTATCAAACCTCCTCTGGAGTCTACCATAGTTCTTGCTATTATGATATTTCAAAACCGTATTCCACGGCAATAGCCGTGACATAGTACCGGTACGTAGCTCATCTACTAGGAACCCTGGCCCGGCAAACTTCCATTCCATGTTTCCCATATACCATGTGTGCCGAAGGGAGTTCGCACTCTGAATACTGTACTCTATTCCAGTCAACGCCCGAGCGCCGTCCCTGTGGACGGTGTCACTGGTGAGGCGGCAAAATACCCACTTCCCCGGTGCCCACCGCTGTTCCTAGATTTCGGCCATCTCCTGGAGGTTGATATTACCGTGGCGGCGGGATGGGTTACGTACCCTTGACCCCAGAATTACAAGTAGGTATATAGATTATGTACTGGGTATTTACATCACTTTACGCGGGACACATTTACTCATCTCTTGCAAACGTCAACTCTCATTGCTTGCTCAGTCCTGATCAGACACATATGCATAATGTAGGTAACTATCGCGCCACAACTTCTCGACATCCACGTTCTAGAAAGTGCTCGTCCGTTGGGGAATGCAAGCAAAATAAAGAGCACGGATTCTGCTTTTCTCAATCCATTGTCCAAGTGAAGGAAAAGGGAAAAGGGAAAAGGGAAAAGGGAGAAATAGAAAGGGCTCAGACAACTCGTAATCATCATCGTCGGAATCGAGACCCCATCGGGATCCTCCTGCCGGGCCCTCCACCGCGGTCCGCTGCCGAGATCCATCTCTCTCTTCGCCACTCCGCACCACTTTGTGAGGCCAAATCTGTACCCCACCGATTACGCGGCTGTTGGAGTAACTGAGGTATTCCATCTGTACTCTATAGGCTGGTCGTCCGCCCACTCGACATCACCGTTGACATGATACTCCTCGTCCCCGTGAGGCACGGTTCGACTGACTCTTGCTCGCCGATCCCATCCGGCGTCAGACGGACCTCGATACCGCCATGGCAACACATTCCGACGATCCCATCAAACCAGGTCATAGACTCCGAGACGCAGTCCTCAACTTTCGCCAGCCACGCAAGCCCCGCACTCATGCCGACGTTCTCGATCGGACTCTCGAGATGAATCAGGTCAAGCCACAACGCCACGCCTAGTCACCAGGTGACCTCTGTGCAACACCACACCACGGTCCGAGATCTTGGCAGCCCGGCTTCTCGGCGCTGCTGGACAAACCAACGGGCCGAGACACAACGAACTTTGGCTGGCGATCAAATAGAACGACACGAACAGAACAAGAGAACAGTAACACAAACATTAGGCGTAGATATAAAGTACAAACGAAAATCATCACATCGTCGCTACAAACGAAAGCTCTACAAAGAAAATCCTACAAGAAAGCCCAAAAACAATGCCCAAAAACAAACGTCATACAAACAAAGTCCTCTAAGAATACCACCGACTCTCCCCCCACAAGAAACTCTTGACCCGTCTCAACCCCTTCCCCGCCGGCAACCTCTTCTCCGAGTACCCATACTCCCCGGGCGGCGCCATCGTCTCCTCCGCCTGTCTCCGTCTGCTATGTCTTCCGCGCCTCTCCCGCTCCCTCGCGGACAAAAACAGCGGCTGGGTATTCTCATCCCCCAGATAATAAATCGACTCCGGCCACTGCACCTGCTCGCTCCCCCTCCTACCACTCCTCCCGTCGGTAACACTCCCCCTCCTACTCCCCCCAGAAACACTATGCCTCCTCTCCCTGGCCTCCCTGGCCTCCCTCAGCACCCCCGGATCAACCATCGTCGAAACGACCCTCTCCCCCTCCCTCCGTCTCTTCTCGCGCTTCTCCTTCCTCTCATACCCATCGTAGTACTCCTCGCCGGTGCGCCTTCTACTACCACCGCGGCTCCTACTCCTGCTCTTCTCGCGCTCCCTTGCCAACGTCGCCTCGTCGAAGCGGACCTGCTGCTGCGGCGGCGGCGGCGGCGCGGAGTTGGAGAACGTCGCGAACGGCGCCCACGAGTAGGACCTCTTCTTGCGCTTGCGCTCGGGCTCGGGCGGGGGCGCCACAGAGGGGTAAGGGTAGCTCGGGATCACGATGCTCGGCCCTGAGGACCGCCGAGAGCTCTTCGGCAACGGCGGGTACGTGCTGCGGAACATGGCGATTGTGAATATTGGTCTGTTGTGCGGATGCGGTGTATACGCTGTATGTGTATGTGTATGTGTTTGCTCTGGTTGGTTTGCTTGGTCTGGTTGGTCTTGGATTATATCGCGGCGGATGGGAAGGAGGACGTGCATTCTTGTCCCTTTTTACTCTGTGACGAGACGTGATGAGTGAGGGCAGGGCGAGGGGCACTGGCGCGGTAAGGGGGCGGTGAGGGGGAGGACGTCATCGTGTCCGAGACGGCGGTTTATAGAAACACCCCTAGGAGAGACATCGACGGAATGGGCAGTGACTGGTCGGTGGCTTATGACTCTATTCGCGGGCACCTGCGAGTATCGAGGGGGTTTGGGCGAAAGGAGAGGACAGTACGGGACAGGACGGGGCGAAAGGACGGGACAGGTGCTCAGAGACATGTGCTCGTGTCAGTCAGTGAGGAGACGAGTGGGAATGACGTCTACTCGGAGAAGGGCTCTACGGTGGTGTGGAGGGGGGAAGGAGGAGGATGGAAGGAGGGGTGGGCTCTGGAAGATGGGGGGGTTCATCTCAACGGCGGCGGGGCTGTATCAACTGTGCGAATACCTACTAACCTTCGCACCGGGCTGTGGTCCTAATCTTAACAATACCGAGCGCCATGTGCCTGGTGCCTGGTAAGACTCCGTGCGAATCCAGCTGATCATGACTTAGAAAAGCAACCAACTGACCCCCCCTACAAGCTAGAATCCGCAAGAACTGACTCGACTGGCTCGGAATGATTCTCCTCGATCTGGTCTTCCAGATCGCCTGCCTGGCGCATACCTCGCTCGCCTGCTACCCTCCCTCCCTCCCGCTGCAAGCTGCACATTCATATATCTGCAGGTCCTGCTCACTATCATACCTTCCGGAGGATGATATCACTCATCGCCCCCACCACTCCACCACCCCACCACAGCCCCACCACTCACCAGAATCTTCCTTATGATAGATAGATGACCAACCAACCACAACCGACCGCGCCTGAGTTGGGTCGTTACACACCTGTTGGATCAGATTCGTGCGCATACCTCGCCTGCCTCCCGCCGCCGCATTCCTGCATGCTCCAACCTCCATCTTGCCAAAGACTCGGGATGAATCATGGTAGATATGGTATCACCCAGACATCGCCTCACTCGAAGCAACCCACGCCTCAAACAGCACCAGTATTCTCTAGGTATGATACCATTCTCAGTACCTAGTACCTACTCACACTCACACTGAGCGCATTGTCATTCCCACCCCTCACCCCCCCCCCCCCCCCCCCCCCCCCCCTCCGAGAAAGAGAAAGAGAAAGAGAAAGAGAAAAAACATTCCAAAGTCCACGCGTACCCCCCCTCCCAAGTAGTCCCACGTGGTCGAACCCGATGACCGATCCTTAGGTCGCCCGATTATGGGGGTGTGGGTGGGTGAGATAAGCGGCACGTGGCCATGGCCATGGCCTCACCTACCCATTTGTCCACGAAATGTCACTCGGCCTGGTGGTGCCGGATGAGATGAGGTGAGGTTTGGAGTGGAGATGACATGAGATGGGATGGGATGGGGTATGGATGGATGGGTGGACGGATGGTACCATGGAACCATGGAACCACGGAGTACAGCCGCTTGGTTATCGAACGGCGTGTGTGGACTGTGGACGGATACCGTACTCCCCTCGCCAGAGTCGTCAGAGTCGCCAGAGTTGCCATAGCGAACCCTGCGCATAGAGTAGAGCAGGTGGTTGCATACGATGCCGCGCGCGCGGTACTGCTTTGCTGCAGATATATTGGTTACTGGTGACTATAGCCAGTATTGTCAGTAGAGTAGGTAAAGTCCCCGTCCCCTCCACCTCGTCTCCAGAGCCCACCTCATCTCCAGAGCCCACCCCGTCTCCAGAGTCCGCATGTCTAAGTACTACCGGTACACATGGGCGCGTGCAGCACTACCTACAGCATCCGGAGTCCGTACCGATCCCGTGCGCCGCACCCCCCCCCCCCCCCCCATCAAATCCGTCCGTTTGCAAAGAAGGAGTACTCGCAGAGTCATACCTTAGGCACAGACTCACATACCCGGACAAGAAAAGAGGGGGTGCGCCCGCCGCACGCACGCAGGAAGCACGGTGCGACCATGTTTTGTTTCAGCGCCGTTTGCAGGCAGGTTGCAGGCTGCACGTTTCTAATTGCTGGTTGCATGTTCACGTTGCACAGTTGAGATGCGGTCGAGATGCGGTCGAGATGCGGTCGAGATGCGGTCGAGATGCGGTCGAGATGCGGTCGAGATGCGGTCGAGATGCGACTGATATGTAGAGTATGGTACGGGAAACGGAAGTAATATGCACGGGAAACGGACGTCGGAAATAATATGCGCAGGGCTGAGTGCTTGGTTACGTATGTCAAGATCGAGATGAGATGAGATGTGTATCCATCCATCTATGGTACCTACTCTACAGTATATAGAGTAGGTATGACGGGGACGACATGTTTACTAATAGTAGTATGTGGGTTTTTTTCGTTTCGTTTGCATTTGTACTCATATCTAACGGAGCGAGAAACAGTCATGGATACTACTTGGTAGGTAGGTGCTCGTATGCTGAGTACATCTTACACGCACTTGACGCCGATAAGGCCCGAGGCCTCAGACAAAGAAGGTAAAGTAAAGTAAAGGAAGAAAGAAGAAATATTTACACCGAAAGAAGAAGACATCCATCAAACATTTTGCGCACTGGCAAAGCGAGCAAGCAAGCAAGAAGAAAGAAAAGAGAAAGAAAAGAAAAAGATATAAACAGTAAAAATCAATATCAGCCACCAAAACAAAAACCAAACCAAGCTCTAAAAACAAAAAAAACAAACAATCAACCTCAAATCGAGTCCATCCAGATCCTTGGTGCTCTAGATCTAGTTATCTAGTTTCGTCGTCTTCGTCGTCGCATTTCGTAAACGTCATCTACAATCATCCGCCGTTCCGCCAGAAAAATGTACAGGGTGTGGTTGAGGGTTGTGGGTTATGGGTTGTGGGTGTGGTTGTGGGTGTGGGTGTTTGTGTGGGTGTGGGTATTCGTGTTGGGTGGTTGCTACCGCTCCTCGTCCTGTGCTGGCACCTCCTCCCAATCCTCCTCATCATCTTCCACGACACCAATCTCGCCCTTCCGCCCCTTCTCGATCCCGCGCAAAAACTCGACACAATTACTCCCCAAGTGCTCAACCACGTACCCGCCCTCGAGCACGACGAGCGTTGGCAGTCCCAGCGCGCCGACGATGCTCCCCATGACGCCGTAGTCCTCGCGCTGTAGCGCAAACTTCCCCACAGGATCGCCGGCAAACGTGTCGAACCCCAGGCTCACGACGAGCCACTTTGTGTCCACCTCGCGGATCTTGTCGACCGCCTCGTCGAGCCGCGGGCGGTAGTTCTCAAACACGCCTTCCTCGCAGGGGAGCGGGAGGTTGAGATTGTAGCCCTCGCCGTCGCCCTCGCCCGTCTCGCTGGGCGACCCGGTGAAGTACGGATACTCGTCTTCGCCGTGGATGCTGATGTAGCAGGGGTTGCACTGCGTGTAGAAGATGCTCTGCGTGCCGTTGCCGTGGTGGAAATCGAGATCGAGGATCGAGATCTGTTCGCTGGGATCCGGCAATGCGTCGAGGAGTGTGCGTACCGCGATGGCCGTGTTGTTGAGGTAGCAGTAGCCGCCCATCAGGTCGGTCTGGCAGTGATGGCCCGGCGGTCGGCACAGCGAGAACACCACCGGCGCCTCCCGTTCCCCGTCCTCGTCCTCCCCCTCGTCCGTAGGCGCAACCAATTCCGCCGCGCCCCGTCGCGCCAGATCCGCGCTCGCAATCGCCGAGATGTACGTCTCCTTGGATATCCCCGTCGACATGTCGAACGCGTAGTACCCGACCCTCGCTGCGAGATCCTTCGGCTGCCGACACTTCTTGCCGCCGAGCCTCAGCACGGGGAAGCACTCCGGCAGGACGCACCCATCGGCATCAACCATCCCCTCTTCCGCCCATGATTGGAAGATGGTCTCGAGGTGGAGCAGGTACTCGGCGCTGTGGATCTTTGCAGCGGCGGCGGCGGCCCGCTCGACGTCTGTGGTCACGGTGGTGATGTCGTAGACGGGCTCCAGCGCTTTCAGGATCGAGGTTACGCGTGCGGGGGATTCGTAGGCATCGATCAGACGGGCGCCGATGAGTTCTTTGGTGCGGTGCAGCAGCGTGGTGGGATTGTGTAGGATCTTCATCTCGGGGAATAGATTAGGTATGTAAGTAGGCAAGTAGATACGTAGATGTATGAAGCCGCGCGCGCGTCTGCGTCACTGTGGCTTTCGCAACAACTTTTTTAAAAAAATTATTCTGCCGTAATTGGATGTATGGGGGGTGTCTGTAGGGTCGGTATCTGGCTCTGAGGATGAGTGTGGTGTGTGGGGAAGCTTGTGCAACGTTCGATTGGCGATCTAGATTCGGAGGAGAAGTGCGGGGTGGGGGTTGGGCTGGGGGTTGGGTTGGGTTTGGGTAGAGTTTGGTCGGGTTGGCTGAGAGGTTTGGAGCTGTGTGCGGGCGACAAACGGGGGTGAGAATGAATCGGGGTGAATCGGGTTGAGTGTCGAGGGTTGAAGGTCGAGAGTCGATGGTCGAGTCCAGGGATCAGGCACGTGAGTGAGAGAGAGAAAGAGAAAGAGAGGGCGAGTGAACGAGATTGAATGGGTGGATGAGACGAGTGGGAGTGGGTGAATAGGGAGGGCGAGCGCGAGAATTGAATGGATGGATCGAGGGCTGCGGACTCGGTCGCGTATGTAAGGGAGTTGGTAGTGACCTGCGAATCCTTGGAATAAAAATTCAGCTGCCGGGCGTCCCTCTCGAAATCGTTAAGATTCGCGATTGGCTGCGGAGGAGGTAAGGAAGGAAGGAAGGCACGACGGCGCAATGCAATGCAGGCAGGCAGGCAAGCAGGCAACAGGAGGATGGGATAGGCAAGAGGAGTCGAGGCGAGATGAGAGAGAGAAAGAGAGAAGAAAAAAGGGATTGCAAGCTCGGGCGGTCAAAGACGAGACGGGCAGAGAGGCGTGATTGTAGGCTGAGCGCGCACGCGAGAATGAAGAAGCTTCCGATAGGTATTCGGACAGAGTGGAAGATGTTCTGCTTCTCTGCGGCCTTTTTCTGCGTCTTGTGCTTCGTCTTCGTCTTCGTCTTCGTCTTCGTCTTCGTCTTCGTCTTCGTCTTCTTCTTCTTCTTCTTCTTCTTCTTCTTCTTCGAGCTCTATTATAGTACAGGACTTTTGAACGAACAAGAACGGCGGCGGCGATAGGGACTCGCTTTATAATTATAACTCGTGCAGTGCAGCCAGCAGCGCACAGTGCTCTGACTGGGGAAACCCAACGGACTCGATTGCTCGTGTAGGTACTTCGACTCGAACTCGACCCGGCTCGCACCCCACCAGATCACAGCGCACTCGCTCACTCGGTCACTCACCTGCCTGAATTCCCGACGAACGGATTCCTCTCCCGCCACTTGTTTCGTCTTATTCTTGTTGTTCTTCTTCTCTCCTCCGTCTCCTCCGTCTTCTTCTCCTTTCCTTTCCGCGTCGTCCGGCCTCAAATCACCCCCACCGTGCAGTAGATGTCAATGATCAATGGATCAATCCGTGCGACGTCTTCCCCTCCGACCAAGTACTACTGACTTGCCTATCTGCTGTTCGTTTTTTTCTTTCTCTTTCTTTCGTTCTTTCTTTCTATCTCCTCTCCGCGTAAACGTGTTGGTAAGTATGCCACCCTTCGTTCGAACGTCGTTTGGAAGCGGTAATTTTATTATCTATTGCGATCCGTCGATGGCCTGATGCGGCAGTTCCAGCCTGGCGACGTTCGTTGTGGCAAACGAGCCGTTCTGGTAGCGTCCTCCCGCACGTGGGGAAGGTAGGTAAGGTAAGGTAAGGTATGATGTATCGAAAGTCTGCGATCGACAGAACCGAACAGAGCTTCTTTCTTTCTTTCCTCTTTTTCTTCTCCTCCTTGTTCTTCGCCTCGCCGATGGGATATCGATAACGGCGGAGAAAGCTCTTCCAACCGAGCAACGTTTCTTTCTTTCTTTCTTTCTTTCGTTTCCCGTACGAGAGAGTGGAGAGAGAGTGGGGAGAGCTGCTGCCTGCTGCGAGGAAAGAACTTAGGGCCCCAATCCGCTGGAATCAGGCTGTGGATAGTGGGATGTGGACTACCTATGGAAGACTGCCTGGACGCCGTAAGCTTAGTGGCCGAGCTCGACCCGATCACTTTCCGGTAAACATTACATACGCCGAACGGATCCGACGATGCAAGGAGGTAGGAGGAGGTGGGATGAGGTAGGAGGAGGAGAAGGAAGAAGAGGAGGGGAAGGAGGATGGATCGATTGAGCTGTCCGTACCTAGTAGTGGGGAGAGTGAGCACTGAGCAATGAGCGATGAGCAGGAGGAGGGGAGCTGTAGAAGCAGAAAGATGAGCGAACGCCATGCTGTATCGAGCTGCCATATATGATACTTATGATCCTCCCCTCCCCAACGTCTGGCTGCCCTCGTCTGGCTGCCTTCGTCTGGCTGCCTTCGTCTGGCTGCCTTCGTCTGGCTGCCTGCGACATTGCGTCTGGTTGGTCGTCTGCCTGCTGCCTGCCGAACAAAGCTTGGTATACGCAGAGTACCTAGCTCTCCACGAGCTTCCACCTTCCACCTTGCGCCACATCGAAGCGGGTTTCGACGTCGAGTACCGTATCTACCGTATGTCCCATAGCACACAGCGCGGCGAGCATATACGAGCACGGTGATTCGGCACCGGCAGCCGCGTGCAGCCGGGATAGCCATGGGAGCTGTCCGCCGCCGCGGTCTCTCTCTCCCTCTTTCTGTTCTGTATCCGTGCGTGTGTATGTCTATGTGTAGATATGTGTGTATGTGTAGATATGTGTGTATGTGTATGTGGGGTGTGCGTATGTGTGGTGTGAGAATACCGTACAGATGTACTTGGCCATCCCACTGCCTAGTGGGGCCCGCATGTCGTCTGGACTTTCCGCATGCAGCGACCCCACGGTCACGCGATGCGATCCCCCGCACGAACCACCACTCCCCATCTCCTCCTGCTCCTCTCCTCCTCCCGCTCCACGCCGACTTCGGAAACGACCACGTCTGCTGATGAGTGCAGAGCATCGCAAGCCTCGCATGTATGTACGTCGAGTACGTTTCCAGCAGGCCACTGCCTCCACCACCTCCCCCACCGCCGCCGCTGGAAACAAACAAAACCATACCCGGGAAAAATCCACTCGCTTGCACATCCCTCGACGGGTGATCCCCCATGCCAAGGATCGATCTGCAGCCTGGACCGCAAGCGGGTTAGCCCCATCGGCTGCCACCCACAGCCACCACTCGCCGCTGCGCCAAGCCGGGAATTCGCCGGTTGGAACTTGCGTGGCGCCGACACACACGAGATGCCTGTAACTATGCGTGCATGTATGCATGCAAAGGGCGTGTGAAGGCCCAAGGGGGTTTGTACCTGCACAAGCTGCTCGACGGTGCTGTATGTACGGTGAAGCAACTCCTCGACGTGCAGTAGAGGGGATGGGATGGGAGGGGGGAGATGAAGCTTCGAATTCGATCGGTGCGCGGACGGGTGGGAGCGGAGGCGGGGAGGCGGGCATAGGTTGGTAATTGGGAGACCCAAGAACGGGATTGGACAAAAAGGTTGATCGATCGTGTGGGTGGTCTATGGCGATGATGATGACGACGAAGACGATGAACAGAACGAACAGGATGAACAAGACAAGAACAGAATAGAAACGATAGAAAAACAAGCCAACGTTTGGCCGACCGCATCGGGTCCAATGCGGCCACACCGCCAAAACGCTATCTACCGAGGTCCCTCCGCGGTCTCTCCTGCCAACAGTGAACACGCGCCATCAACTCAAGGTCCCTCCACTCCGCCGCTCCCGGCATCACCAAGCCGCCTCAATCCCAGCGCTCCCTCAGTATGTAGGTGTTTGCTCGGCTCGGCTGCAGGGGATGAACCTTCGAGTTGGTTCGATTCGCGGATGAGATGGGAGGGGAGGCGGGCATACATACCGGTACATGGAGCCGTTTGCTCGGCTCCAATCTCCAGCCATCACTGTGCATTGCTGCCAAGGAAAATGTGATGGGGTCGGCCCCATCTCACTTACGCTGAACTCTAGACTCCAGAGCAGAGTAGATTTCGCATGCGACGTAACTACACGGTTAGTAGGTACTCCAGGTGCTCCATCCCGTCACGGCCAGCCCGGCTCGAGCTCGAGCTCGCTGCCAGAAACCACCGGTCGAAGGGGGTCCGGTGGACGGCGTTGCTGGCCTCTGCCTCTGCAGAGCGTTTGTGGTCTGCGGTGGCGGCGGCGGCGGGGGTCGGTCGGTCGGTCGGTCGGCTCGCGGCTGATGGTTGGCTGGGTGGCCGGCCAGTGAGGTGGAGGCACCAATAGCAGTTAGTGACCACCTACTGCTTACTAGCAGTAACTAGGACTCCGATAACAGGCAGAAAATCGCAAGCACAGAGAACGGAAGTGGAAGAAGGAAGGAAGAGCGCTGTCCCGTCGCCGTGGCGGTGGTTACTCGCGTGGCAGTGGCGGTGGCAAAACTGCATCCGCGGCTTCTCTGCATTATTTTCTTTCTCCCCCCCCTCCCACCCCATCGAAGGCCTTTCATCCGGATAGTGATGGGGGCGGAAATGCTGCAGAGCAGAGCAAAGAGCAGACAAGGCGGAAACGGCAGAAAAAGAGCATGCGTTCGGGTATCGATGGAGCAGTGAGCAGTGAGCAGTGAGCAGTGAGCAGTGAGCTCGTCGCATGTCGCCAACGAATACAGTGCCCGCCTACGAATGGAACAGGCTGTCCCTACCGACCCGACACCGTGGCCGCCGGCTCGAAGTGATCACGAGAATACTCTCGTAGCCTGCTCCGAACCGTGGTGCCTGTCTATCGAGGCGGCGGCCAAGCGTGGCCGCCAGTTCCGGTGTGCGGTGGCCGGTCCACTGTCCAGCCTTGCGAGCCGGCTTGGGCTTGCCGTTTGCACTTTCCCCATGGCCGCTGCGATGGTTGTCTGGCTTGCCGCTTGCTGCCTGCTGCCTGGAGCGTGCTGTGCTGCGTGTGTATCTACTCGCACATACGTACATAAGGCTGCGTCGACGTCAGCGAGCATCGCGTACATACCACACAGCTAGTAGATACACATCGGACAGCCGCAGGACTCCTCAATGCTCACGAGCAGGCCAGCCAGCCAGCCAGCCAGCCAGCCAATCGGCGCTGTAGCGCCGGGATGACTAGTTATGCGAAGTATGTATGTTTCGGATGAGCTCGACGTGCAACTGCGACCGTGAGACCGTCAGAGCCGCGAGCGCTCAGACTGGTGGTGTTGAGCCGAGCCGACGGAGCATGGAGGCACCTGGCGGCGCGTGGAAGCAGACAGAGTCCAGATGTCCCGCCCCGTCCCGCTACAAACTTCCTGGATACACAGAGTACATAGGGACAGGAGCCGTGATGTCTCACGACGGCGGAACCTGGCGCATGACGGGTGGGCAAGGCTGGGGATTTGTTTGCAAGCTAGCTGGCCCGCGGTTTCCCCCGATGTAACTAGCCCACCCTGTGCACGATACGATACCATGCGATACGATAGGTATCATGCGCAGACTGTAGGCATCCATCCATCCATCGTATCTACACCTCACGAGTCACGGCCAGATGCGAACGGGCACGTATGTACACGGTACGTACATCATCGCACATCGCACATTACACACGCCACATGCAGCCGCCCAGGTCGACGTTTTCAGCTGTTTGAAACGCTTGCTTGCTTTACTGCAGTGGAACCAGCAACGTCTTCGAGCTTTGAACTTTGAACTTCGAAGCCGCAAGTGGAGTCGAAAAGATTCCGCATACGAACGCTGGTGAGTCGTGAGTCGTATTCCCGCCTCAACGGTTTTCCGTTCCGTGATGGCGTTTGCTGGAGGCTGTCCCAGCCATGCACATCCCTTTCCGGTAGGCTCCTGCGAAACGCCGAGTCATTGACAATGATGCGCATGTTCGATCCGAACGTTAGGCATGGGCGAGCATGTCGAACATGCCGAGCATGGTCGAGCACTCGACTGGTCACTCCGGGCCTCCGGCCGAGAGGTTCGATGACTGTTGATTTGATAGGTCCGTAGGAGGGGGGTTGCTGTCTCGAGTTGGTTACGCGAAGTGCGTCTTGTCATGGCTTGGATAATCCGTGATGACACACCTATGCAAAGGAAAGAACCAAGAACCAAAGCTGCAATCGAGAAAGAGACTTCAGAATTCATTCCTACCTAGAGCAAGGTGCAACTCATCGCTGTGCGGTAGGATCATTGCTGTTGAAGCTGAGAGGAACTCCCGTTGGTCATCGACTCTTCGACTCGGTGCTAAGGAGATGAGCGTTGGAAATTGGAAGTGGGTCGAGTGAGAGGACCGAGGACTCACACAGGTCGACTAGTAGTCGAGGCAATTCTTCGCTATACCAGGTAGAATCTCCCCTGCAAGTCTGGAACCACCATTATCGACCGACGAAAGACAGACTGAGCTCCCTCAACACCTACTCAGTCTACCCACCGCCCTAACAACCGGTAACACATACCCATAGTCCCCGGAGTCATAACACTTTTCGCACGAGTACTGTCAGTTACGACCAGCTACGGTGCTCAGCCCTAATTCTTCTAGGTACTCTATCGCTAGGTTAGTACTGCGGGAATCCCTGATACTACCGTACGGCGTAGGTTCATGTTTCTATTCTGCCCAGCCCTGGTGTTTACAGTTTAAGGCGTTTCGGGATGTGGCGGGGTATGCAGGAGGAGGCGAGGGGATGGGGGTTACAGGTTCACCGGTACCTATCTAGACTACTAGTAGAATAGTAGGTTGTAGGTGGTGTGCCCATTCACCCGGAAAATCAGTCATTCACGAATCACGACAAGTTACTGGTATCATCCCGGATTCTGAATTTCTGACAAGTTGTCGAGGCACAATGGAGTACCACAGCGGCCATCTACCCGTAGATGATACCACTCAAGCACCCGAAATGTTATCATCCCGATTCTCGTAGCGACTGATTCTACTGGGTAGTAGAACAGTCTGTATTAGAACTGTAGAACTGTATATAGAAGTCACCTCACCAAATCAGGTCGCTCCGAGTGACAGCAAAAGACCTGCTCACGCGGCCACGGTTCGGAACCAAGCAGGAGCAGCCGTGATCCCGCGACTCCGATCTCGCTGCCCCTCTTTGGCTTGTCCCTCGTGTGATAAAGTTATACCGGTACATATGCATCCGCATCCCACCAGCGACACGTCGGGATCCCGGAACTCCATCGGCTGTTGACTCGTTCCGAGTCCCGACAGGAAGTTGCGCCTGTCGTTTGTGCGAGAAATCTGAACCGCACGGATCCATGCGCGACTCGCGACGTGGGCTTTCCCCACACTGTACAGCGAGAACCGTGTCGACGTATCGTACCAGTATTACGCGGGGAACTTCGGCCGAGTATCATGGCATGGTAGTTACTCCACAACTTACAAGCCGGGGTTCCCCACACTACTCTACTCCATACTCTATCTAGGTACATACTTGTACATATTATTGGATATGCCCCGGTGTCGCCAGTGCATCGCCCTATCGCCACTGGCGATGGCGTGCCGTACCATTACAAACACTCGACAGTCGAGCGGCACGGACCATGCCCGCCGCCGCCACAGCTATTTCCACCAATCAGCGCAGCGGAAGTTTATTTTCCGGCGTGCGAATGATCGCCTGTGCAGATGGGGAGAAATCTCATCCACCTATCTACAGACTAGGTGCGGTACGTGAGTCTTCGGTTCGTGTTTTGCGGCCGCGGGGAAACCCGCTACACGTACTGTACACGGCGGCAGAAAAGTAGAAAGCTAGGTACCAGGGAATAACCATGGAATTCGCCAGCCAGCCAGACAAACTTTTCCGTCGCCGTCAGAAGTTCTCGAGAGCTCGCATGCTGTTCGCTGGAGGTGTACATTGTCCAAGCCGCCAGCCACCACTGCCTTCTCTTTCATCGCGGGCTATAGCTATGGAGAAGCCCGCCCGGATATTTGCTGTGCTAGCAAGTATTCACGGCCTTCGTTGTCCCGCGTAGTCAACCCGCCACGATGGACACTACCGGTCAAGTGCTAACAAGTAAGTATCAATCTGTGCCCCGGAGTCGCAGATGCAACCCCACGCAAGCCTCACAGTCATAGCCATCCCATCCGGAAAGCCCCGGACGAGGCCACCATTGTTTCAAGAGGAAGCAAGTAGTCAACGCATGCACGCCCTTCCAAAGTATGTATGCATAAGTACATTCAGACCAGTACCGGTACCGCGGAATCACATTCGCGAACGCACACCCCGCACCACACTGCACCACAGTCACCCAGATCCGGGGGAGGTACATAAAGGGGATGGGGGAACCTTACTTGCTGTGCATCCATGATCCGAGTGGTGCATCCATGATCCGAGTGGCGTGGCATGGCGTGCAAGAAACAAGCAAAAGCAAACATCGTCGGTTATTCACCGGCACTATACGTAAACGAAAACACAACCACGGAAACATGGAAACACATGAAAACGAAAACATGGAAACACATGAATACGAAAACATAGAGTCTCCAGGTTCTGCTACTATGCATGCTTGATGCCAGCCGCTCGTACGGATACCAGGTAGGTACTGGCTTAGGTACCTATCTGGGGAAACCCAGCCCAGCCCAGCCGAGCCCAGCCCAGTCCCCCGAAGTTCGGCTTCAGTCTTCTCGCGGCCCGCAGGCTACAGCGTGAAGGAAGCGAATACCCACTACCGGCAGTAACAAGTACTCCCCTCTGGAATGAAGCCGACCTCCTCCTTCTCGAGCCCGAAACCCCCGAGTCTCGGATCCGTAAAGTCTTGGATCCGCATCACACCACCGCCACCGCATCCGCTCGAATACACACCCGGCCGCCTCCCTCCCGCGCCCAGACCGAAAGGTCTGGAGTATATAGACCCAGGCAATCGGAACACACAGAACCGGCCGGTACTACTACACACCTTACTATAGGTATGTAAGTACGTGGGGAGTTGTGTGGGGAGTTACCTACTCCAGGAAAACTATTCTCCCGTCCCTATGTACCTTCTTATGTACTTCAACATCTCCTCCTCGTTGGCCTTCTTTCACTACTGCCCCCCCCCCCCCCCCTGCGCCGTGGCACAAGTGTTTGGATTACTACCTACCTTCCTAGGTTGTAGGGTGCAGCAACTACCGGTATGTGCTGCAGGGGAATTGGCCGGAATATAGTTGACCCGTACTACTATATAGTATCAACCGCAGTAGTTACTACTAGAGTAACTACATACTGTACAAGATAAGTACATAAGGTTTCCGAGTATACATGTAGATGGCCCGCGCAGGCCCACTCCGGCCCACGTCCACGACCACGACTAGTGACTCGAGTACGTACTCCCCAGCTCCTACTCTGCGGCACGCTCGGACCACGGCACGCAATCGACGCCAGGGACCAGGGACCAGCGGCTACGGTGGATAGTAGTGCTGGGTAGTAGTACGGACAAAACGTTTCTCCGGATGATAGTAACAAGTAATATTCAGTTATCTTGATCGAGGAGAGGAGTGATGGTGTCGGTGTAAACAGATGCCGGTACTGTAGATACTGTATAGTATCGGTAGCTCCACAGTTGGATTTAGGTAAGCAATGGTCTACCCGCCACTATCCTACCCGTAGCCCACGCCCACGCCCACGTCCTCATAGAGTACCCACGTAAGCACCTACTGACAACATATACACCATGAAATCCGAGTAGATCACCCCGCTCCGTGCTACCCGTCCGGGCCGCCCCAAGTCCAAGCAGCCCGTCCCCAGTGGCCGCAGCGGCCCCACATCCTCTCCCGCAACGCAACGCAACGCAACGATGAACTAACCATCGTGCCCCGCTTGAATCCTCCGTCACCAGCGATCGGATGCCGATTCACCCCCACAAGTTAGCCCCGGCAGCCCGTATCCCTGCGGCCCTACATACCGCATGGGATCCCTTCCCTTCCCTTCCCGTTTTTCATCCTCCTCCGCCATTGCTGCTGCTGCTGTTGATATCATGTATAATGCACAACGTACGTAGATAATGTAGATACTGTATACTGTACTTGCTTGGATACCCAGTACAGACCTATGATACTCTACCTAGCCTACATCACTGCCGATAACCGTACCCTGCGGGTTGAAGATCTTCACACCTACTATCTACACACCTACTTAGAAACCTACCTGCAATCCTACCAGGTATGTACTCACATACCCAAGTACTCAAGTAACTACCTCCGGATACCTACATCACCATCTTCCGCCGGTGCCTGTAAGCCCCGGTACATGCAGACCCACAAACGGACAAGGCGTTGAATTTCCCGTTTCTTCTCCTCCGCCACTGATGCTGCTGCTATTGCTATCATGTACAATGCACGATGTACGTAGATACTGTAAAACATACTGTAGATACTGCATTTACTTGGGTACCTACGGACCGACCTTCGGCACTCAACCACCACCTCCACCCCCCAATCGATGCCGATATCCGTACGTAACCCGCGGACTGAAGATCTACACACCCACCTAAGTGCCTACGCCCCCACCTACCTACACATCTAAATACCTCCGAATACATCACCCTCCCCCTCCGGTACCTGCAGACCCGATACCTGCAAACTCGACACCTGCAAACTCGACGCCTGCAGAGGGCCCGATCGCGGATCCACAGACGGACAAGACGTTGAATTTCCCGTTCGACGGATCAATTCTGTCGACTGCCGTAGAGCACTATAGGTAGGCCATCATGGTATCTCTAGATCTGCGGTCTGCGGTCTGCAGTACCGTATCAGATATCTCTGCAGTATATACGGTACGGTACATACGGCACGGTATTGCTATGCACCGGTGTTGCTATGTACCGGTATTGCTATGTCCCGATACTGCTATGCACAAGTATTGCTATGTACCGGTGTTGCTATGTACTGGTATGCACATACCCGCCCATCCACCGTCGCCGTGGGGTTCTCAGGCTTCACGGAAGTGTAGTTCTCCGGCCCCGGCCCCGGCCCCGGCCCCGGCCCTAGCTCCGGGTCTACGGCAAGAATCAAGCATTAAAAACAAATTCTGTGCTCTATATACCTGGTATGTATAGTACATAGCAAGACCCCGTGTGGGGAACCCCCACCGCTCAGATCGATTACAACTGGAATCTGATATCTCCCCCTCTCACAACCTGCTGCCAGTACGTCACTTTCAATCTCATCCCCGCCAGCACTGTCGTCAAGATGCGTCTGGTTGTTGGTGTTGGCGTAGATACCTACCATAGGTGGTGGAGATTTCTCCCACCAATCAGTTCATCGCACCGAATCCGGGGATGAGTGGGCGCTCACTACTCTATTCTACTCTGGTTCTAGGTCGATAGAGTAGAGAGGACTAACGTCACAAAAGCACGACAACACAGGATGACAACCGCTCAAGTTACCGCACCACAAGCCACTACCTATACTATTTTACATACACGACACGACACACCCGTGACCACGCACCTCGACCACGCACCTCCCACCAACGCCAACCCACGTAACCACGTCTACACGTGCGCCACATACTCCCCAGGAAACAACCCCCCGACCCCCGAGTAACTCCCCCAGAACCACTCGACACGCCTATCCTCGCTCACAAACGCGCTCGCCACGTCCAACACCTCCGCCCCGGCGGGGAAACACAGCCACTGGCCTCTCCCCCACTTGCGCGCGTCATCGCCATCGCACGACGCATCCTCCTCTTCGGGCCAGTGCCCGCGCACCGCAACCGCTTTTCCACCGCCTCCACCGCGAATCCACTCGGGCGCCCGCGGCCGCGGTGCGTGTGCGAATACGCCGCGGTGGAGCACGCGTTTTCCGTGCTGTGCGAGCACGCCCATCGCGTGCCCCCGCGGACACGTGTAGAAGCTGTGGAGGCTGCGCGTGGGCGAGGGGAACGTGCGGTGGAGATTGTAGAAGCAGGTCGTGCACAGGTCGCCGTGCGGTTCGGGGCAGCCGAAGCAGTGGAGCCACTGTGAGTTTTGCTCGCCGATCGCGAGTTTGCACAGCGTGCAGGCTACGGCGGTAAGGAAGAGGAAGGGTGTGTAACCGCTGCCGAGGAGGCCGGAAGCGGCGCCGATGGGGTCGAGCGAGGGCGTCGGGAGCCGTGGGCTGCCCCGGATGAGGGTGCCCGAGGAGGTGGTGCGGTTGTTGCTCCACATTTCGAGCTCGTGTGTGCAGTTCCACCCGCGCTGGACGCACCGTGTGCAGTAGGACCATCCCCGACTGTCGTTACACGAGTTGCAGCGCCAGAACATAGCATCAACCCGTGCGCCGCCGTTGCGGTCTTCGTCGAGCCAGCCATCGCAGACGTCGCAGAATATGCCGACTTGAAGGTATCGCCGTGGCCAGGACGAGATGAGTTTCTGCCGTGTCAGGCAGTGGTTGGGAGAGGGACATGTACGTCCAGCGCGGAAACATCGTAGACAGAGGTGGAAGAGCGGGCATGTTGAGCACTCCAGGTGTACGGCGGTGTCGAGGCGCCGGGTGCAGTGGTCGCAAGTGATGATGATAGGCGAGATGCCCCGGTGGAGGATCTCCAAAACCGTCGACGGTAGTGCGGACGGTGGTATGGAGGGACGTCGTGCGGCCAACGGTAGTGCCGCGCGTACGGGTGACCTCGGACGGTGTCGTGGCGGATTGTGATATATTTGTATCGGCAGCACCTCCTCGGGAGGCGGTGAGAGCAGCCTTGTCAGTAGCCTCGGACTCGGCGGCATCAGATTCATCCCCCTCTCGCCACCGTACTGCAGCGGCATCGAGTTTGGCGGATAATCGCTGTTACTCCGCGGCGGCGGCCGCACCCTCTGCATTCCCACATTCCCGCTATTCCTGAGGACCATCCTCCTTTCCACAATTCCCTCACCGCCGGCCGCGCGCGCTGACGGCGGCAATAGCTCTTCCCCGGGCTTCCACACGCCGCGCATCTCGTCCATCTCCTCCGGCGTCCGGCCGCGGTCCGGAAAGCGCTCCAGAAAGTCGGCAAGGATGCTGACCACGATGGGTGACACACCCGCGCTCTTGACTAACCGGCGGCATACCGGACATGTCGGCGGATTGTGTGCCTGTGAGCCAAACCAGCGCTTCGCGCAAGCACCACAGTTGTGATGTAAGCAATTGAGAAATGTGACTGGATCGAAGAGCAGTTCTGTGCAAATCTGTTTTGATCTCGGGCCCGTCGGTTAGCAAGCTGCGAGGGGTATGGGCGGGAAGCACGCAAATGGAAGAGGGGTGGGGAGGGAGGGAGGGGTGTTTTTTTGGGTATGTGGTAAGTACTTGGGTAAGCAAGCAAGCAAATATGTATGTAGGTACTCACAGAACATGTTAGCTCTTTTTCGATCACAGATGTGGCCATAGTGGTGGTGGTTGGGATGCGATCGGCTGGGTTGCTGGCGGATAAACGCACTGGGGGAGGGAGATGTTGGGTTTGCAGATGCAAAGAGTGAAAGGAGGAAGGTAAGAAGTAACTATGGACGAGGGTTTTCCTGACGATGATGCTTGCTTGCTGTGCGGTGCTGGTAGAGTGGTACTAGTATAGCAGAGGTGTTCCGGGAGACCGACAGAAAAGAAAGGCGCCGAAACAACAAAAACGTGGGTGGGTTCGCTGCGGGCTGTCGATCTATACCTATAGTAAGAGGTGCCGACGAAAGCGCATGGCGGCGAAGGGTCTCGGTGGAAAGTAAGCAGCTATTAACTGTGCCTAAGGGTCAATCGCTGCTGGTGGGCTATATCCGAAACGAAAATGATATTGGAGATCATATAAGTGGGGATAGTAGTGGTGGTTCGATTCGGTTGGCTGACGAAAAGGAGAAGTCGAAGCGAAGAGATGCTTGCGATGAGTTGTCGCGTGGGAGCGAAGGGAAGAAGAAGAGAAGAAGAAGGAGGAGGAGAAGAAGCTAAAGCGGAAGCACGATAGAGAGGAGGAGAAGAAGAAGGAGGAGGAGAGGACGAAAAGAAGAAACAGAGTCGAGACGCAGCGCTTTTCGTGGGGGAGGGGAAGTAGAGCTATGGTAGATCTCGCGATGTCTCTCTCTGTCTGCAGGTAGGTATACCGATATGCGTGTTTGTGTGTGTGTGGTCTGTAGGTATGGTGTCAGTCCGTCGTGATGCGCGTGCGATACGGGGGGGGGGGGGGGGGGCGGGTGGGGCGGGGGTACGGGGCACTACATACAGACGGTTCGGGGGCGGGTGAATCTATCGGGTCGCTATTGTGGGACGGTGGTGGAGGTTGTCGTTGTGAAGAATTCCGGGAACGGGTTTGCTCATGCTATGCCGAGTTGAGCTGTTTGGTCGTCGTCGTTGTCGAGCTTGGTTGATCCTCTATAGAGAAGTACTGCCTCTGGACCAGTGAGGAGGAGGAGGGGAGAGGCGGGCTCGGACTTCGCTGTTCGTTGTTCGTTGTCGGTTGCCGGTTGGTCGTTGTCGGTTGTCCGTTGTTGTCCGATGGTCGTTGTCGTGGTCGTGGTCGTGGTCGTGGTCGTTGTCTTCGTCCCCACATCCCTGACGATGAGGAGGAGGAGGAGGAGGAGGAGGAGGAGGTAGAGGCAGAGGCAGGGCGCGCGCCATGTGCCAGCCAGCCAGTGCTCGCAGAACGGACTCTGTCTTGTCTCTGATCTCGGCGATCGGAACATGGTTACTCGCGTGGGGCGGCTGAGAATGGGAGGGAGCACGCACGCACGTCGCATCCACGTTTTCTTGGCGATACGATTACGGGCACTCACACCAGAGTGACCACACCACACAGTGCACACACGGCCGACAAATCGCGGAATTCTAGGGCTCGCGAACTCGCGACTCCGCAGGGACCGGTCACCGCAGGGCCCAACGTCTCACCGACCGTGACGACTTATGCGTGCACGGAAATTGATGCTTGTGTGGAGTAGAGTACTTATGCACATGCCACGTGTGTGCCATGTGGTCGCTGGTGGCGCGAACCTCAAACTGTAAACAGGCCGCCGGATGTGCGGATGATGTGCGGATGGTGATGGATGGGTACTGGAATGTGTTACTGCAACAGGCGTTGTGGGCGGTACGTACCAGTCCTCTACAGGGAGTACTGACTACGGTATACATATCAGGCTGTTGTCCTCGTGAGGAATTAGTTGCCGATGGGAGCGCGGTGGGCAGTGGGCAGTCAGCAATGGGCAGTGGGTGGTGAGCAGTGAGCAGTGGGTGGTAGGCGTGGGCATTGGGCGGTGGGCACTGGTCACTGGGCAGCAGGCAGAGTGCTTTACGGAGGCGCGTCGGGATCTACGCGTGCCGATGTCCATGCATCGTGTCTTTCTCTTCACAACACACTCTACATACTTGGGTATCTCCGCTCTGACATCTAGGTACACCCCATCTACAACTGTGGCTTCTCCACCATGACCGGCACACCCGTCTCCATGCTCTTCGTGATAGCCTCGACGACAAAGAGACTCTTACAACCCTCGACACCCGAGCACGTGGGCTCCTTCTCGCCCCTCTGCACAGCGACCAGATCCCTAAGCTGCAGCGTAAACGGCGGCACATCGTCGATCTCGCTCTTGAGGCTATCGTCTATCGCCATGGGCGTCAACCACGAGCCCTCAGCCCCCTGCCCGTCGTAGTGCCACCTCCTTAGCTCAGGCACGGTCATCGACCCGCGCGTGCCCATGATCGTGTACACGGCCTGCCCGGTCTTCGGGATCAACGGGTTCTCGCCGGACGCGGACTCCCAATTATACGGCGACGCGACCGCGTCCGAGAGGACAAACGTGCCGACCAAGCCGCACACGAACCTCAGGGTCATGACAATCGTCTCCTCGACCTCGTAGCCACGCGTCTCCTTGCCGCGCTCGACATAGACCCGCTCGACGTCGCCAAAGAGGTATCGGAGGTTATCGATCTCGTGGATCATATTGATCAGGATCGGGCCGCCAGAGCCGTTCTTCCTGCGCCACTCGACATCAAAGTACTTCGCATCCTTCAGCAGCGTCCAGGCGCCCGAGAACGCGACGGGCCTGCCCAGCACCCCGGCGTCGAGCGCCTTCTTCGTCGCGCGTATATACGGGTTATGTCTTCGATGGTGTCCGACGAGGACGCGAGCGGTGGAGCCGCGGGCTTGCGCGCGCTCCGCCGCGCGCAGCAAGGAGATCGCCGACGCCCCGTCAATGGAAATCGGCTTCTCGACTAGCGCCGAGATGTCGTTGTCGATGCAGAGCAGGCCCAGCGGCACGTGCGTGGTGTTGGGCGTGGCGACGATCGCGGCATCGACGGTGAGGGAGCCGGCGTTGCGCGCGGCGACCAGTGCTTCCACTGAGGGGTAATTGGGGATTTGGAGCTCGGCCGCGAGGGCGGCGCCCGCGGGCGTCGGATCGACGATGCAGCACAGCGTCGTCATCGGCTCGTCGAGGACGTGCGTTACGTGCCGTCGGCCGATCAGACCGGCGCCTCCGATCACGGTCTGCGGGGTATCGTCAGTTCACGAGAATGCGCTTGGTACGGGCCAATCGTGAGACTGTGAACCTACGATGTTTATGGTGGCTTGCGAAGACATGATGACGATGGTAATGATGAAGATGAAGATCGTGATCGGGATTATCCGTACAATCGCACAGTGATCTAGTGGACGAGGAGGAGGATGCGTGTGCGGGGGCAATGTGATATGGAAACTCCCATCACCTCACGGGCAGTGCTCTTCCACGTATCCAACCAACCAAGCATACTCTTGCTATAGGTGTCGTATCATACTTCAAGGCTGGGCATCACGAACACGCCACTGGAAACTGGAAAGCCGTAACAGCCCCCTCCCATGGATTCCACCAATTACGAGGAATACCGTAGATAGGGATAAAGAATCCGGGGGTTCGCGTATGTCCGACGACTTGATGAATGCGGGGGAACCAGGGGCGCGCCGCGGACACGGTTCTCCAGGCCCCGCATTCACGGGGGTGCGTGTTCCTGGAATCCGGGGAACCGTGGGGTGGTTTCGAGCAGAATGTTGCTTGTGCTCGTGCTTGTGCTCGTGTGAGATGCATCATGGATGAGGGAGGGTGGACGCGGATCAGATCTGGGGCGCGAAGTTACACGGCCAAGCCTCCAGGCGGTGCATAGCTGCTGCTACCTTACCAAAATGGTACTAACCAGCCAATACCCAGTAACCGTACATGGAACAGCCGCGAGACTTTGTGGCACTGCGGAAAAAGACTTACCCGGTTGCCCCCCGTTCGGCTGCCTCCAGACGCCCAGCCAGAGAAAGGCCACAGAAAAGCCACAGAAAGGCCTGGCGCGGCGGCGCCATGCGTTCTCCATGCGTGCCATGCGTCCAACGTAGATGTGGAAGTATGTAGAGTGGGTACTTACACAGCCATCAAACGCGCCGCAGCGCAGAAGCCCGTTGCCCGCAGTTATGTACGCTCAAACCCACCTCGCCGGTTCCGTATCCAGACGGCTGGAAGGGCGAGGTCTGGCCCTACATATGTTTTGCTTCAAAGGGCGAATCGCTGCGCAGATGAATCGAATCGAGCGATGCCAGTAGCAGTAGTACGAGTCGTCACTTGGTGACTAACCACTTACACACCTAGGACGATCATCGTGGGTCCGGCCACTGCTTTCGGCACAAGCAGTCCGTCGGGATTTTTCCAGAGGGAGGAACCCTAAGTCGAGGAGTCGAAGAGTCGAGTTCTCGTTACGTACGGGATGTACCGAGTCCGGATAAGAGATGGCGGGCGGAAAGGCTTGGTGGTGGCCAGAACCCTCCCCCCGGGCAGTCGACGGACTGTGGGGCTCCATATCCTCCAGCCTCCAGCGCTAGCTGCTCTAGAGTACAGTGGTCAGCGGCGTTTTGTTGATCCGCCACTCGGTCGGAGCTATCGATCTATCTCGCACCTGAGTGGTGGAAACCACCATCCTCCGAAACGCTCATGCTGCGCGGTCAGTTGTAATCCAGATCCTCCCCCAACCCTGCTGACGGGACCAAGGAAAGGGATGGGGGAAAAAGGAAAAACAGCAACAAGCGAGCCTCCGCTCTTCCGCTACGGCGAGCCCACGGTCGCGAAATTGTCGACTGGGGGGCGGGGGAGGGGGGGCTAGACGACCAGAGTAATTCCACCCCCTCCCCCCCACCCGCCTTCCTCCCTCGCCCCCGGAGTGGGCCAGCCATGTGGAGAAACCTTCATCCAGACGAAGTTGTGGGGAATGTCACCGTTGGTCCGGGGTAACCAACTAACCCTGCTGCTAGCTTCTGGGGGGAGACACACACTGGTTTTGGGATCCATCCAGTCCTGCAACCCTCACCCGCGCTACAGCACCTAATTACTCTAGATGGAAAGATTTTTTGCCAGTGGGGATGGGATGCGCGAGCACACTCGCTCGCATACATAAGGATGACTGCTCCCCTCCTCTTTCCATTCCGCTCAGTGTCCTCGCAGCTCAACCTGGTCTCCCTCCCAGAGCATCACAGAAGAAGAAGAAGAACATAGCAGCAGCAAGCAGCAAGCAGCAATGGGTATCCTCGCCAAAGTCGAAGATCGGCCAACGCCTCAGAATGTCTACAACTGGCGAGTCTACTTTTCGTCGGCGGTAGCCGCGTTCGCCGCCGTCACCATCGGCTACGATTCCGCCTTCATCGGCGGCACCATCGCGCTACCCTCGTTCCGCCGCGAGTTCGGCCTCGACAAGATGGCGCAGACGGAGGTCAACTTCCTGTCGGCCAACATCGTGTCGACGTACCAAGCCGGTTGTTTCTTCGGTGCGCTGATGGGTTACCCCATCGGCCAGCTGTACGGCCGCAAGAAGGGTCTCATGTTCGCTGGTCTCATCTTCGTCATCGGCGCCGCAATGATGTTGGGCGCCGACTCCGCCCGCGGTCTCGGTCTCATCTACGGTGGTCGTGTCATCGCCGGTCTCGGAATCGGTTGCGCTTCCAACTTGACGCCTATCTACATCGCCGAGCTGTCTCCCCCCGCAATCCGTGGTCGTCTGGTCGGTCTCTACGAACTCGGATGGCAAATCGGTGGTCTCGTCGGTTTCTGGATCAACTACGGTTTGTTCCCTCTGATATCCCCCGCTCCGCTGCTTCATCCCGCTAACTCTGCCGAAAAATAGGTGTCAACCAGGGCATGCCTTCCGACCGCACCCAATGGCTCGTCCCCTTCGCCGTGCAGCTGATTCCCGGCGGTCTCATGGCCGTCGGCTGCTTCTTCATCCGCGAGTCCCCCCGCTGGCTCTTTAGCAAGGGCAAGCGCGAGGAGGCGCTGCAGAACCTGTCGTGGGTCCGCAACCTGCCCATCGACCACGAGTACCTGATCGAGGAGGTTGCCGCCATGGACCGCCAGCACGAGGAGCAACTCGCCACCGTCGGCGACGGCTTCTGGGCCCCCTTCAAGGCCGTCTTCGGTAACCCCCAGCTCATCAAGCGTCTGCTTCTCGGAGGATCCCTCTTCATCTGGCAGAACGGTTCCGGAATCAACGCCATCAACGTATGCACCCCCCCCCCCCCCACCCCCCCCAAATAATCCCATACCTTACCTCCGTAGCACCAGAAACTAACTGCGCGATTAGTACTACTCCCCCACTGTCTTCCGCTCCATCGGTGTCGTCGGCACCTCCGCCGGTCTCCTCACCACCGGTATCTTCGGTGTCATCAAGACCGTGATCACCCTGGTCTGGCTTCTGGTCCTTGTCGACAACGCCGGACGCAAGATGATGCTCCTGATCGGTTCCCTCGGTGGTGGACTCTGCATGTACGCGGTCGGCGCGTACATCGCGATCGCCAAGCCGGCCGAGAACCCCACGACCAAACTCAGCTCCGGCGGTATCGTGGCGATGTTCTTCTTCTACCTCTGGACCGCCTTCTACACGCCGTCATGGAACGGCACTCCCTGGGTGATCAACGCCGAGATCTTCGACCAGCACGTGCGCACACTGACGCAGGCCTCCTGCGCAGCCAACAACTGGTTCTGGAACTTCATGATCTCGCGGTTCACGCCGCAGATGTTTGCGGCCATGGGCTACGGCGTGTACCTGCTCTTTGCGTCGCTCATGCTCCTGTCCATGCCCTACGTATACTTCCTTGTCCCCGAGACCAAGGGTGTGCCCCTCGAGGATATGGACCGCCTCTTTGGCAAGGACGTCAAGCCCTGGAACGCCCATGCCATCGTCATGGCCGAGGTCCGTGCGAGGAACGGTATGGACGGTGGTGATATCGAGACTGGTCGCTTCGACTCCGGCGATGAGGACGTTAAGGGCGATGTTCGCGTTGAGAACAAATAGACGGGTTTATCCATAGAGCTGGATGATTTCTGAGGGGGGGTGTGTGTTTTTGTATGTACATAGGGGAGGGGATGCGGGGTGGAGTAGTGGGTGTTGCGATAAACTACGGTTTTAAGCGTTATTTTTTGTTTGCTGCGACGACTTTAATGTATGAGTGTGCTATCTATCTACCTTTTTATGAACTGAATCGCGAATTCCTCCCATACATGGACCATGGTGGTTGTTGTTGTGTGCATGGCTGGCATGACGTGACGTCGGGACAGACATCGTTTGCGTTTGTTTGCGCTTCGGCAATGCGATGAAGTGACAGTGTGACACGCGGGATGGTAGCCGGAAAACACACCTTCCTCAAGCTTTCACTTCTACGTAAAGTAGAGTACTTGCCCCGCCCTGCCCTCATGGCACCACCACCACCACCACCACCACCACCACAGAGAACGGCACTTTATTAATCAAAACTTCGCAGGGGGACAGGATGGATGTCGGGCAGAGTCAAGTCGAGATCATCGTCAACAGTCGCCTTCCAGATTCGCCACGGGCAAAAAGCAACAAGCATTCGTTGACACCCACCATCCACCCACCCACCTAATGTGCAGTGGCCAAGCACTCAAGTAACAGAGTTCAGAGTCCACCCATCGACCTCGGCCTCGGCAGCAGTCCAAGGCATCGTCGCCCCTTCCGTCGCTCCACTCCCCCAAGTTCCAAGTTCCAACTAACTAACGCTGTGACTCGCCGGAAAATGTAAGATCCAATGGTTATCTAAGCCGTACGGGACTAGCGAGGCCCTTGGCGGCGCCGCGGTGAAGGGATGAAGGGATGAAGGGAAGGGAAGAAGGGGAGAAAGAGGAAAAGAAACTTCTTTTCGGAGGGAGGCAGCCAACCACCTAGGTACATACGGTAGTTCAACTGCACCTGCGAGTCCGTAGTTATGTAGCAGCGCCGCGTGGTGCATCCCCAGATCCTCTATCTAGACTCCGGAGTATGGTAGTCCCAGAGTCCGCAGACTCACCACCAGCCACTCGTGTTTTCACGTTCGCGTTCGCGTTGGCGTTCCGGGGGCATTCCGGGAGCATAACTACCGTTAGCATTCCGGGGGCTGGGGAAACTGGGGGAAGCTGGGGGAAACTGGGGGGGACTGGGGAGACTGGTGGTGGTGGTGGTGGCGGCCCGATCCCGACCGACGACGACCGCGGCCGGAGCTGCGCACGGCTTTGGTGGTGGGGCGGTAGAGTAGAGTAGATGTGTGGGGGCTAAGCGCTTCGGACCGGGGCGAATGGTTACCCAGAGTGTAGAGTACCTCGTACTGGTAATTACTCTGGGGTGGAGTATCTGTCCGTACGGGGAGTAGCGCGGAAACAGCGGGTGATATTTCGTGTTTCGAGTGCATGTAGGTGGGTGGGTAGGTAAACCGACGGATTCGCAAGGAGTGCCGAAGATGGTTTTTGTGTAGAGTAGATAGAGTAACTAGAGACGCACCTAGCTAGTGGCGAGAACTGAACCTATAGTTACAATTAATAGGTCCCGTACTTTCGGATGGGTAATACCGTACCTGCCGTAGTCTACCCAAAGACAAGCATCCGTTGGACCGGCGCTTTATAGTATACACGTCTGCTGTCGCCCGGCCCGAGCCATAGCTACCCGTGTCTCCGAGCCGAAGCGCCATCTCGGCGAACGTCGGTTTCCTCCGGCAAAGTGCGCGGGAGTGGCCGGCCGGCCGGGGCGTCTTGGCGATAGTCCGGCGTTCAATGGACCGTACTAAGTAAGTACTAAGGAAGTCCTGTGGGGGGGTGCTGCTGCACGTATAATATGAGCGAGTCGGTTGAGATCGACTTCCTCCTCCTCAAAATCTAGTCGTCTGGGCTAGCTGGGGATCTCATCTTCTGGGGTGAGCGGCAGGGCTGAATACCGCACCCTCCGATGGGCTTACTGTGGCGTCGTGGTGGCTTGTACTCTACGGGAGTCGGATTTGAGTCAAAAGTTGACTCGTCGGGAGATGACGATGGATCAACGTTGCCTGATAGATGTTGGTGTCTCTGTATCAAGAGTCGACGAGCGTATTCGTAGCGGCGAAGGTCCTGGAGATGGCGTTCGTAGGTTTGGCTGTCTCACGGAGCCAGTGTACCGACAGCAGCAGCAGCAGCAGTATGTAGCAGCAGAGATTCGTCGGGGCGGAATGCCGTCCGCTGTCTCTTCCGCCGTCCGCGTCCTTCTCGCCGCATGTGTCCTTCTCCGCCGTATATATGCGTGCTTCGCCGCCGTATGCGTACTTCTCCGCCGTATGCGTGCTTCTCCGATGTATGCGTACTTCTCCGCCGTATGCGTGCTTTTTTCGTCAATCAGACTCAGGAATCCGGGTTTGGCGCACCCGTTGCGAGACCCAAGAACGGGTGAGAGACAAAAAAACGCGATCAATTTGAAAGGTCTATGATGATGAGAAAAAAGCAAGACGAACAGGAAGAACAGAAATAGTGATGGTATAAACAAACAAACATTGAACGACCGCATCCGGTCTGCATCGGGTCTGCCCCCCATAACACATAAGTCCCACCAGGTCTTACCGGGTCCCAACAAGGTCTCAACAAAGTCTTCCCTCTCCGGTGCTCACCGATGACGCCAAGCCGCCTCTTCCTTCGCTCCCGTCAGTACCGGACTTCCGCCAGCAGAACCGAATCGACTACACTAGAGTAGACGAACTGCGGGACGATGAGTAGCACCCGTTGACAAGAGTACACTCACACAGCAAGCACAATTGGCCTCGCAATCGTATCATACGACTCACGAGCGACTTTTGGGAGGAGAGGGGGTTGGCAGACCACCACCGGTAGATAGTAGAGTACACGGAGCCTCTTAGCAATGCATCCCCGTCGTGAAAAACCCCATGGCGGACGGTCGTCGATCTTGATATGTGCGGACCGATCCACAGGCCAGTCGGGCCTCGGGACGAGTGAGAATAGAGGTTGGGAAGCCGGCTACTTGATGTGTACTCGGTCTAGGTATCTTATCGTCGGCACGGAATCACTGTCGTCGCAGTTGACCCGGAACTTTTCGTATTCGTATCTTATCGGCGAGTGAGTGGTCAGAGACGGGAGAGCGTTGCACGAATAGGACGAAATTTCAAACGATACCAGTAAAGTAGAGTATGATTTGCCGTCAATGCTGTAACTTTCTGGAGCAGTCTCAAGTTTCAACACATAAAAAGATCGCTCTCGGCCGAGTGACTGGCAATGAGAACGAGCGAAGAGTGGGTATCAGAATAGCAGTTCATTCACATTACACATCCAACTCATCGTACATACATGACCGACTAGCACCTAGAACGCTTCCAACCAAAGAACGCTTGAAACCAGGAACAATTCCAACTAAGAACACCTCCAACCAGCACCTAGAACGCTTCCAACGTGTGCAGCTTGTCCGTCTGACCCTTTTCTATCCAGCCAAAGACCTCGACCGCATTTTCCGGGGTAATCTTCTTCGTCACCAGTTTGCCATCGTCGCCGTAGTACGCGTACTGGTTCGGCGTGGCACAATCCTCGCCGTCCCTCTTGATCCTCCCAGCCCACCGCTTACTGAGCGGAGAGCCGGCTATTGACCTCGCCGACCTGAGCGGTTCCGCATAGTTGTAGCACGCATTCGACTGCTCGCCCATAACGGGCGCACTCTGCTGTCCGCCACAGGCCTCGCCAGCGAATCCTCGGCCGTGCGTGTCCGCCGGCAGGTTCCAGGCGATCGCGTTTAGTGCTTTGCCGAAATCTACGAGTCCTGCGTGTTAGTGATTTGCGCGATAAGCGGCACGAGCGAGGGTGGGATGCGACGCACTGCAGCATTGGTTCTCGTTCAGTCCGATGCAGCCGATCGATTCGCCGCGGCAGTCGCGCTCGGTCCAGCCCATGACGTCGGCTGTTGCTGCCAGCGCAGTGGTGCCGAAGAAGACGAGTGTAGCGACGGTGAAGGAGAGTTGCATATTTGCGTTCTGGTGATCGACTTGATATCGGGTTCTTTTTTTTTGTTTTCTTGTATTTTTTTTCGCTTCGTGGATGGATGAGGTGAGCGAGGTTACTGTGCGGATCTGCTGCGGGTTTCTGACGACGAGATGGAAAGGGGGGTGGAGGGGTGCTTTATACTTGTGCATCCGCCACCTGCCGCTCACCGGAACACAGGCACCTGTCCAGGTACCATGAATGCCGTGAGCTGATTGGATTCGACACTTTTGCTGATTCCTGGTGTGGTTGGTGGGCTGGTTGGTTGGCTGGCTGGTTGTGGATGTATCACTACGTATGACAGCGCGACCCTATCCGCGAGGCCCCCCGCATTCAGCTGCCCAAAATATCCCATCCCGCCCTGGCCCCTCCAGGCCCCACTGTCCAAAGTCCAGAGTCACTGATTCAGACTCTACCGTGCCACCTCCTCGATACTTGCGCCAATAGCGGGGCGGGCAGTCAAACACGGACAACACCTAATATCGACTACGAACTTCGAAGGGCCACTCACACGACCGATCGAGACTGAGAACCCGAACAACAACGGCTCAGCCGCATGCGCTTGATGATGAGGCACGGCTTTTGTCTCGCGCCTTCCTTGGACGAATCAAAAGAGTGTGCATAGATAAGTTCGGTTGATCTCTTCTCTGTCAGTGGATATTCCTCGCTAACTAATCGTGAAGTGCGTGCTATACCTACCATGTACCGATACCTGGGTGTCTCGGATTCAGCGCCACTGAAAGAGGCCGAATCGCCGCGGTGAAGGGAGAGAGAGAGAACATCGATTTACCTATTGTCGCATACGGCCTTGGTAGACTATGGCGACCACAAACCCAGCCTTTCCTAGCATAGGTACCAGCTCCGCGCGGGTGCTGTGGTGAGGAGAATAGCTACTTCCAGTGAGTAACTATCGGCTACGTACTGATACATAGATAGCCCGGAGGTTTCTTGGGAGGCGCGCGCCCGGTGAAGATCGCGCGTGGCTAGGATCCTTGCAGCCCTATTTGCGCCACACCCACCCGCGCACCTACATACTCTACTTAGGCGGAGATTGGACTCCAGAGTGCTGGAGCCTGGTGAATCTACATACTACCGGTGCTAGGTGGTACCTGGGTGGTAGTTAAAGGGCTATATTTATGCATGCACCACCCAGCCTCGCATAGAGTACCGGTATGTATCTACCTCCAATGGCTCCGGTCACCGGTGGAGCGGTGGAGCGACTAAGATTTCCGCAGCGGCGATAGCATTCGTGACCATGGACCGGAGGATGTCCGGCGGATGCATATGGAGGGTCTCCGTCGAGCGGCGAGCCGGTGCAAAGTGTTCCAACTTGCAACTACTGGTCAGTGGGCCAGCGCAATTGAGTCTTGACCGGTCACCCATGTCTTAATTTCTAGGCGCGGTACCTGTTTGCCAGGCGCCAGTAACATTGCCCTTTACTAGCTGGACGGATCTCCTCATTCTCATGGGAATGTACATTCCCATGTCCGGAAGTGGCGTCTCACAACGCACTGGGAAGTTGGAGGACGACGGAAACGAAACACTATTCCCGGTTTCAGCACGCGGTTCGGCTACCGTCTGACTCGGAGGGAAGGAGGGACGGAATGCGAGTATGTAGATCCATGCTTGTCATTCTCGGTTTCGTGGAGTGATCCCAGCGACTCCAGCGCTCTGCCGCTCATTGCCGCTCCCCTCGCCGCCCCCTTTGCTCCTGCTCGGTTCCTTAAATTGTTACGGATATATTGACCTATGAAAAGACCACCTGACCGTCAACCATATGGATCATGGAACAATACAATCAGCCTAGAAGCGTTCCGCTTGGATCCTGCGCACGGCGCAGTAGCACTCTACACCGAAACTTCTGAGCGACGAACCAATGGTTCTTCGTCGTCCACGGCCCCTCAAACTCGAAATCAAAATTCTGCACAATCATGGGCATCACCTTCGACATCTCCATCAGGCTGATGTGCTTTCCGATGCAGGTACGAGAGCCCATGCCGAACTTATTAGGTCAGCCGAATTGCGAGGGGCCGAAAGAGGTTGAAACTTACGGCGAAGAAATTTCGGTCCATGAACATCGACTTCTCCTTGCTCTCCAACCACCGCTCCGGTCGGAACCCGTCGGCGTCTGCACCGAAGGAAACCTTGTTATTATGTGCAACCCACGAATTGATGCCGACGACTGTCTGCAGTAGATACATTTGTTTTCCCAGTCAGCGATGCACGAACCAGAGTGACAACGGATGATTGCAGCTCACCCCTTCCTTGAAGAATCGCCCAGCCAACATCGCGCCTCCCCTCGGCACAACCCTGACGAGCGGCAGCCCAGTCGCGGGATGCACCCTCAGCGCCTCTTTCAGTACGGCCTGCAGATACGGAAACTCCTGGGCGTCCCTGAACGACACGGGTCCGTCAACCTTTCCATCCAGCTCCTCCCTCAACTTCTTCAGGCACTCAGGATGGCGCCAGAGATTGTACACCACCGAGGACAGCGAGATACTCGTGGTATCACTCCCAGCACCAATGTTCGTGGTACACCCCGCCATCACATCGGCCCAGGTAAACTTCTCGGGGTCCTGCGCCTGCAGTCCGAGGAACCGCGTAAGAAAGTCCTGTCGTCCCGTCTCCTTCCCGGAATACAGCCGCTCGTCGATCTGCCTCTGCGTGAAGACGGCAATGAAGGCAAAACCGCCCTCCTTCCCCTTCGCCAGGAACTGATTGACCCTGCTCAGCAGCGGGTGCAGCCGCCGGTAGATGCCGACATGCGCGCCGTACCGCAGGTAGCTGTTGATCGCCTCGATGATCCCGGAAATATCCTCGCCGCTATCCAGAAACCCAAACCTCTTCCCCACCGTCAACTCCCCAACAACATCGAACGCATAGCACTGCAGCCAATGCGCGACATCCACACGCTCGCCCGACGCCGCGAACTCGGAGAACCGCCGCCGCAGTAGCTCCGTGCACCCGTCCACATACTGCTCCATCTGTAGCAGCGCGGTCATCGAGAAGGCGCTCGCGTACTTGCGACGCTGGATAGCGTGCCGTGCCGGGTCGAGGTCGGAGAAGAGGTCGGCCGCGTGAGGATCGACAGAGCCCCACGCGTAGTACCACGGAGCCTTGACGAAGTTGTTGCCATGGCCGTAGATCACTTTGGCTGCCGATGGGTCGTCGATACTGTATTCTCCGGGTGCGATGCGCACGATCTTGCCTAGACGCAGTGCACACTATTGGAATCGCTCGTCCAATCATCATAATATCACCGCAGGATCATTTACTCACCATACTTCCGGTGCAGCGCGATATTGGTCTTTTCAAAGTCGCCCCTGTAGAACGCCCGGAGCTTCCACAGTCTAGTGAAGCGCGCCACAGTAGGCCCCGGCACGGTCCGCAGCGGATCGGCGAGCGCGCGGATAAGCTTGTAGATGGGTATGAGCAGTGGCAGCAGGAGGAGGAGAGGGCCGCGCGGCAGTGCAAGGAGGTAGCGGAGTAGGTCTTCGAGCGCCATCTTGATTTTTTGGATGCTCCGACTGGGTACTGGTATCGATAATCGGTCTACAGAGGACTCGGGAAATCGAGATGGGGTACCGCATCATCTCGTGTCTTATGTAGGAGTAGGAGCTGTTAATACCACCAAGACGAGTGCTAACTACTGTATGTCTGTCTACAGGCGAAGGACAATTACCGGAACTTCCTGCGTCCCCACAACCCGCCTGCAATGTACCCCACTACCCCACTTCCCCACAATTCCGGATGTACTAGTGAGCGATCGTCGCTAACTAGTAGTACGGCTATATCGATCGCATTTCCCGTCGTGGAGAGACTGTCGTGAAGTGGTTGTTATATCCCATTACTCGCTTGGCTCTGGGGTTGAACTTGGACCGTTGGAGGTCACACGCTTGGTTATTATGGGGAGAATCAAGATAGCCGCATGCGGCCAAGAATAAACAAAAGCAAAAAAATTGTGGGGCAAGTTGACAATCAGAGCTGCATAACCTGAGTACGGGAGAACAGCTCGGACTCCGGAAAGAGAATCGTACGTATGTAGGTAGGTAACAGGTAGGTGTGTATTTGCAAGAGCTCTCGACCCAGTCCGCTCAATGTCCACGATGCCACTGAGGTGGACGGCGGACAGAGCTCAGAGAATATCAATTTATTTCCGCATACTGACTATCCAAAGTGCATACCGAGGCAGTAAAAAGAGCAAATACCCCCATCGTTCGTCACTTGGGTATTCGAAAGAGTGATATCACATGCACCACTTCCACGAAATCTCTCGACTTTGAAGTGTGGCAGTTTCCGTTCGATCCGTGATAAACGCAATCTATTATCTACCAGTATTCCCCGCAGTGCGCACATGTGTCAGGTGTCAAATATCAGGAACACTCGCATTCGCTACTTACCTACCCATCAGTCCGTCGGAATCCGCTTGTTGGAACTTGGGGCCAGGACTCAGTGAGCGTGTGATCCTACATATTCCAAGTGCACTTCCAAGTTCCGCAACATTCCCTGCTTCCCCGGGCTAGGCGGCGACTCATTTAAAGCTCAGCCGTCTAGCTACATCACTCAGAGATCCCCCCTCGACTCCTCGAGTCCTCCTCCAATTTTGAAGCTTCCACCCCACCAATCCTAATCCGTCGACGACTCGACGGTAGGAGCTGCATTTCGGTAGAGTAGCCGGTTGCCACAGCTCTGCAGTAACCAGTTGGTGAACCTGGAACTACCTGCAGGCTGCTGGACTGCCTACCTGCTAGACTACCTACTCGAGTAGAGTAGATCGGCAGTGGCCACGGAATCCCGGGAGTGCAATCATCAATGGAGATTATATTGCATGGCGTAAAGGGCTAACTAACCTTTTTTTACCGGGAGCCTGTGTAAACAGGTGCGAAATACAAGGAGGGCTTGCATTCCAGGAACGTGAGATTGATCCAGACGAGCACAGCGGTTTAGTAACAGGGCCTCGACCATGGCGGGATGGTAGTTGACGGAGAACATCACAATCAGAACTTTACTGTAGAAACATATCGAGCAACACAATTCGATTTCCCATATCAAAGAACATGCACGTAACAAGGCAACCACAAAAAACAAACAACACAAACCCACAGAAAGCACAAGATCCCAATCCGATCCTAAGCATAAATCGGCCTGAACTTCTCATCGAACCTACCCTGGACCTCCTTCAGGACGCGGAGCACATCGGTGACAGCCTTACGCCTACCCTCAGCCTCAACCATCTCGCTCTCCTCGATCTCGTCCTCAATCTCCTCATCGTTGACCTCATCGACGCCCTCCTCGCCCTCGCGCTCACCCGACATGACCTCGAAGTACGCGCCGGGCCCGTCGCGGATCCACGCGATAAGTCCCTTGCGGATGGTCACCAGCGTGTCGGAAAAGTCCTTGAGCACGTACCAGATGACGCCCTGGGTGACGCGGTTCTCGACGGCGAGCTTTTTGGTGTCGCCGTGGATGTAAAAGTCCAGGAGGAACGAGTTGAGGCGAGCGTTCCCACCAAAGCCGAGGGAGGGGACTGCCGAACCCTCAAAGAAGATGCCGGAGCGGAGCGACGAGGAAAGGTCCTTAACCGACGCGAAGCGATCGGTGTGGCCCGAGAGAGCTACAAAGTTGGAACGAGCGCGGGTGCGTCCGGAGGCGGGGTCCACTCCACTGCCACCGACGGTGCTCTGCGAGAACGGCAAAGTGGCGTCGGGGGTGTCGGTACAGTACTGCTTCGCAAACGTCTCGACGTAGGTGGTGTATGTAGCCAGTGTCTCAGCGTTCCACTCGTTCATGACGTCGAGCGCCTCCTGGGGAAGCGGCGGGAGTAGGCGCACGCCGTGGCGGCCACGCTGTACGTAGCGACGAACAAACAGGTGAGACAGCACCAGCATAAACTCCTCGCAGATCTTCTCCTTGCCGCGGATGTCTGCGCCCACGAAGTCCTTACATAATGTGCTCAGGTAGCCCTCGACGAGCAATGTGTGAAGCGCAAAGGCACCCTTCTCGGAAGCATAGAGGTGACCTGCCATAGCCGCGTAGTTCAGGGGACTGCCGCCTTCGCCAAGAAGCTTCTTCCGCCTCAGGTACTCGATCGAGAACCTCAGATGGTGCAGAACCTGCTTGGGATTGCTCTCGGCGCCAATCACAAGCCTAGGCTGGCGAAGTAGTGTGTTGATCGTAGTCTTAGCATGCTCCGAGTCCTTCGAGTTGCTGAGCAGGATGCACAGCCGCAGAACGAGCGAGGTACTCATAGGGAAGTGACCCCGCAGCTTCGGCAGCCTGGAGCTGATGAGGCGGAGCGCACTGTCCAGTGGCACACCGTGGAAGATGACATTTCCGATGAGATCAAAACCACGACGACCAGCACGACCAGCAGCCTGGCGGTAGTTGAGAGCGGTAAGCTGCGTGTGATCGCCAGCAAAGATGACGGTTTTACAAGGCATGTTGATACCCATCGCCAAATCTCCAGTAGCGATGATCACGCGGAGGTATCCCTTGCGGAACAAAGTCTCGACGCTGTCAAGAGTTAGCCCATGCCATCCATCTACTCCCATAAGGAAGGTACACTCACATTTGCCTGTACGCTCTCTTCAAACCACCGTGGTGAATACCGATTCCGCGCTTGAAAGCCTCAACCAGCTGCAAGGGCATCTCCCACTTCTCCAAGTTCTTCAGATCCTGATCCCACTCAGACTGACTGTACCTCTTGAAGTCGGCGAACGAAAACTCCGGCAGCGGGTCTTCAGGGTTGAAATTGTCCAGCGTGCTGGACTCGGTATCGGCCTGGTCGCGAACCATATCGGACTTGGTCATGCCCTCGTCCGGCTTCGGCTTGCGCATCTTGTTGCCCATCTTCTTCTGGCGCTCAACGTACTGCTCCCACTCGCGGATCTTGGCCTTCCATCTCGGATCCGTCTGGCGGAAGTGGTCCTCGGCTTCCTTGAGCTGCTCGGTGATGTTGATGCAGATGTATTCACACAGCGAACGGCTGTACGAGAACATGAGCGCAGGTAGGGAGTTGGCCGCATGGAGGTTGGACAGCAATGGAAGCGTCTTCTCGCGCAGGTGTGTAAGTGTGACCACATCGCAGTCCTGGTACACCTCCCTAGCGAGCCTAGGATCCTCCGGCGCCTTTTCGTGTTTGATGAGCTCCGAAGCTGTGGAAACATCGATCGTATCCTCGGTCGCCTGCTGCTTGGTCTGCAGCAGCTCGACAACCTTGTTGAAAGGCGACTTGTCAGCCTGCAACATCCAGTCCTTCAGAACCGCCTTCAGCTGTGCTTCCCAGAGGACCACGTCGGCCTTCTTGATGACTTTTCCAATGATACCGAAAACCTTCTTGTAATCAATATCAGCAGAAATCGGGAACTCCGGCGTCGCCGCCTGCTTCATAGCCTGGTAAAGCTTAAGGCAGTCGGATGGCTCCAGCGCCAAATCGTCAGGAATGCCATGGGTAGGGTCGACAAGTGCAGCAACGGGGTGGATAGTCTTCAAGCCCGGCGTTCCATCGATCTGTCCGTACTTCGCCATCCTCTGAAGTCCGGTGAACCTCTCGGCACCGATAGCCTTCGGAGGGTGGTAGACGAACTTCCGCAGATCGGAGTACCGGTGTTTGTGCTGGATCATGTTCAACTTGATACCGAGCGAACCCTGGGTAGCCGACAACCAATCGCTGAACTCATCCGCGTTACCGACAGTCGCCGACAGCGCGATGATGGGACACGAAGTCAACAGACAAAGCTGCTCCCAGACGACACCGTCCTCCGCGTTACCGATGGAGTGGATTTCGTCGAAAATGATGCGCTTGACTCGGGGGGCCCAGTTCTTGGCATTCATGGGGGACATCAACATGGTCGACAACACGGACGGAATCGTGATAAGAATCTGACACTCAGTCGGCTTGTTGGTGAAGTAATCTCCATTGTGGATAGCCCACACGGTCTTTCCAGCGTGCCGGTAATTCTTGCGAAATCGGCTGATGACTTCTGCGGCGATCTGGTTGACTAGCGGTTTGGTCGGGGCGATGTAGACGAGAATGCTAGTGTCGTCCGCCTTCAAGACCTTCTCCATGGCGTGGAACGAGATGAAAGTTTTACCGGCGGAAGTAGGAGCGACGACAAACACCGAGTTGTCTGCGTCGATCTCGTCCAGCACCTGTCTCTGCCAGAGATCGGGCTCGAAGGGAACACGGTCATCCGGCGCCGAATCCATGTTCCGATCCATGTACAGGCCAAAGTACATCAGCTGGAACTCCTCCGAAGACATACCAAGCTTGGACTCATCGGTGTCGACCTTTCCGGTCCAAGTGGTCGTGAAGTTGATGGTCCTCTTCACCGGGATAATGTCCTTGGCAGGTGGCAGCGCAATTCCCAGTCCAGCGAAGACATTCTGGATGATGGCTTTGGCAGCGGCGAACAGAGCCGGACTCTGCAGCGCCTTCCTGGCCTCGTCGAAGAGCACGGCAACAGTATTGTATCCATCCTCCTTCTTGCCAGCCTTGCACATCGCGATCCACTGTTTCTGCAGCGTCCAGATCTTGTAAAGCCGCACCTCGAGCTCAATGAAACGCCCCTCGTGGTCGTCAGCCACCTTCTTGGGAACAACACTCGCAAGTTTCTTCTGGTGGTCGTCGAGACGGGAGATGACGAGATCCTGATCCTTGGTGATCTTGATCTCGTTGCAGAGGTTCCTCCACGATGTCTGCAGCGACTTCGCTTCCTTGAGCACCGCCTTCTCCGCGTTCTCGGCCTTAATCTTGTCCGCCTTGGACAGGACGGGAGCCTTCTTTCCAGCCGCTTCCTTCTTTCCAACCACCTCTTTCTTTCCAACCACCTCCTTCTTGCCGGCCTTGACCTGTTTCCCCGGCTTACCCGTAGCGGCAGGCGCCGGCTCAGCCTTTTCCACCTTCTTGGCACTGCCCTTCACCGGCCGTCCCTGCACCGCCTTCTTTGCAGGGCCGACAGCGTCATCACAGATGATGAGCTTCTGGTTCAAGCTTCCGTCGAGCGAGTCCGACAAACTAGCAGCGTACCGTTGCATGGAAGCCATATTAATCTGATCCTTCTTGCGGACCTTCCCCTGTTGCTTCTTCTCGAGGACATCCACCATCGCGAACCGACCACCCTTGTTCAGCATCGGCTTCCGTTCCACCCGGTAACCACCATTTACGGGCGCCTCGGGCTTCTCGGCCTCCTTGAACGGCTTCTTCGCCTTGAACGGGCGGTACTGGTCTTTGGTGACCTGTGCGTCGAACTCGTTGTCCTCTGGGAGAACATCGACGTCGATGTTGATATTCTCGAGATGCTGGTCGAATAGCGGGTTGCTGAAGGGCAGGATGGGAACGAGGGCCTGCGACTCTGGCTGGGGCAGCTCCTTCTCGACGGAAGCAAGTACAGGCGAAGCGATTTCGAGAGTGCAATCGTCCTCGACAGCAGCCTTGACGGCTTCGGCAAGCCTCTCGAAGTCCTTGGCCACCACCTCCGGCACCTCGACCTTCTGCGCCAAGAGCTTCAGTAGCAGCCGTCCATCGACGAAATCGCACAGCGGCACAGTCTCGGGCATGTGCAGAGCCTCGTCGTCCTCGACAACCCTCGTAGCCTCGGCGTAGAACCACTTTAGGAACGCATCGACATCTGCCGTCTTATTGATGTCGTCCAAGTCCTCGGCCGACGCATACAGGTGCCGCTCCTCGAGCGACAGGTGGTTCAGGAACGCCGTGTGCAGGAGGTATGCGGACGCCATCGGTGCAAACTTGGCGACATCCTCCGAGTTGTTTTTGAATAATCGGATGAGTGTGTAGATCGTCAGACGTTCGCGGGCGTTGAATGTGTCGGCGTTCTCAAACTCTAGTGGCGACAAGGGCTCCTTCGCGGCCGACTCGACGCCCTCGACGATCGCCGTGTCAATGGAATCGGCACCCGACTCGACATCTGAACGTCGAAGTCCAGCCTCGAGGAGTAGGGCGAGGATCTACACACAAGTCAGCATTCCCGCAGCCCGTCCACAACACACTCACAGAGCGCACACACCTTGCTGTCGGAGAATATCACACTGTTAATCTGCGCCACATTATACCCACGTCCCATATGCATAAACCTATAGATCATAGCCTTGACCTCCCACTCCTCGGCCGACTCGCTGCCCTCCGCCACCACCTCCTCCTGGATCCCCTCCTCGAGAATATCCTCTCCGTCGTGCGCCATCACAAACAACGGCCGCCTCGCCTGCAGCCACGCCACAAACTCCTCATCCCGCACGCTCCTGAACCTGTAGACGAACCGATCGCCCTCCCGCTTCAGGGCCTGCAGATGCCTAACGACGACCGCACGAGCAAACGCATACTTCCACGCACCCCTCCTATTCCACGCGGGGACCGCCACGCGTCTATGCTGCTCGAAGAAGACAACATCGAAGACACAATTCCGCCTCGTGAGGTCGTCGAGGAAGCGCTCGACAGCGTAGACGGCGTGCAGCAGCTGGAAGCCCGACGAGAAGTCGATCCGCGAGTCCGAGAAGATGTGCCGCAGCAGCGAGTCGCCGTCGATTATGAACGGCGAGGAGCCCGCGTACTCGCCCACCAGGTTCACGCGGAACGGGTGCCGCGTGCTGTACCAGTCCAGTAGTTGCTCTTGCGGGGTGGTGCTCGCGGCAGCGGCGTCCAAGGCAGCGACGGCGGCCATGATTGCGGTCGGTCGGTCGCGATGCGTGTGAGGTAGCTGCTTGATGTGCTGCTGCAAGACCGGCCCGTTGATGATGTGGTGTGGTGTGATGGGTTGTTCTGATGATGATGAAAGATGCGGAGGTTAGTAGTTGCTACTCTCTTCGTCTCTTTGACGGTTGATGGGATTGATGCGGGGAAGGTTGAAGATGAGGGTTGCGGGGCGGGGGCGGTGATCAGACTTGCTGGTGGTGGAAGAACTGGAGCTCAATCCAAGAAACGTGCAGCAACCCCACAACAAAGCAAGCACACAAAGCACACAAAGCACACAAAGCACACAAAGCACACAAAGCACAGCCAAATAGAATGGATGGGAGCGGGGTAACCAGCCCAATGTAGGTATAGAAAAACACACCTCTAGGCTCTGGAGCTCTCACTTTCACTTCTATAACTGTCTCGCGTGGAGCAATTGAATTGAATTGAACTGAATTGAGTTTCCTCGGACCGATAAAACCCAGCAGAGCAATTCGCGGGCGAGCTCTGTTAAATCGCTCTCTTTTTTTTCTTTTTCTCTCGAAGAAGAAGTTGTCAGGGCTCTTGCCCCGCAGGCCGCGTTTGGCCTGGTGCCGTGAGGTGGTGGTGGTGGTGGCGGTCGAGTCTTCTTTTCTTAGTGCGGGGCGGCCCGGGATGCAGCATTATCATTGGCGAGCAGCGAACTGCACGATAAGAGGACTTGCGAGGGTGCGCCGCCTGCCTTACATACATACAGGCGCTTTGCTTTACTGAAGAGATTTCATCACGATCGAAACAGGAATTGGAGACGTCGAGAAGTGGAGTAGAGTACACTTACTCTACTATGGAGACAGCCCTATTGATACTAGTAGAGCATACATATAGTACTCCAGCATAGCTGGGTAGTGAAGAAGAAAGGAAGGACGGAATGATGAAAGGAAAGAAAATGTATCATCATTTTGCTCGAATCACCAAATATTGCTATGCACAGAATCCTTGGGGAGGAAAAAAAAAGAACAGACCCCTCGAACAACCCTAGAACAGACAGAAAAGAACCCAAGGATGAAGGTGGTATAGTACGCGAGACATGAAAGATTGAAGATATGGCGAGTGAGGGAGAACGGAGAGAGAGAGAGGTATAGCCTGCCGTTTCATCGTGAATTGACTCCATCTGAAATGCGAAAAGAAGGCTCGTAAAGAGGACCAGCCACCCTGATCGAATCACCAGACATGTAAACAAAAAAGAAAAAAAAGCGCGCACGTCCTCCCCCAGACCCCCTCGGACAACCACTCATCTAGACCTATCCATCCAACCCCTGACCAGCGGGCGGTGGACTAATCGCCCCTAGTCTCAGTGGCCGCCCTGCACTCTCCGGACTCTCGGCGTCTGCCCTCCGAGCCCGCTCTCCCATATCCACACTACCCCTGTAGTCATGATCATGGTTTCTGATATTGTTGTTGTTGCTGTTGTTGCTGTTGTCCTGTGCCGGCCAATTCCCACGGCTCGGCGAGAGCTCGGCAGTGCTGCCTTGCCTCTGCTGTGGTGCAATCAACTCGATCTCCGACTGGTGTCCCTGCGGTGCCTGTCCCACATCCGTAAACAGTCGAGGCCCTCTAAGCTGTCCACCGGGCATCCGTTTCCGTGTCTTTCCCTCGCTTTCCAGACTCTCGGAAGAGGCGGTGCGTCCCTCCTCCATGTTGCGCAGGTTGTAGGCACTGGTGTACTCAACGGCGGAGACGGGCTCGACACCACCACCCATTTCGTGGGTGTCGGCACCCCAAGTACGACGGGAGTATGCACGTCCCTTGGCACGCGAATTGGAGATGGCCGGGAAGTACTGGCGGTACGAGATCCAGGCCGTTCCGAGGCCGAGAGCAGCGCCCGTGAGCACATCGAACGGGTGGTGACGGGCGTCCATGATACGGGAAACAGCGACTAGCGAAGCGGCGAGGTACGGAATCAAGACGATCACCGTCTTCCAGACTTCACCGCGGTTGTCCATGATGTGTAGCTTTCCGGCGAGGAACAGGGAGAGGTAACCTAGACCCGCAAATGCAGCTGTGCTCTGTCAGTATTAATGCGAGGTGGGGGTTTTTTTCCTCTTGGGGGGGGGGGGGGGGGAGTGTACTCGAGGCATGTCCGGAAGGCCAGGACTTGAAGCCATCTTTCAGGACGTGGTGATTCGTTTGGGTGCAGATCTGCGATGTGACCAGACCCCATACGGCAGCATTTCTCGAACCCTCACGCGGAATGCATCTATCGTTCCCCAAGCGTCAGTTGTGTTCTAGCCTTGGCGCTGCTAGCACTCGCTTTCCCAGGGGGACATACCGCGAAATGATGTCCGGTCTCGGCTTGCCCGTCGCATTCTTGAGTGCGCCCGTGACGCAAATGGTTCCAGCAACGCTCAGTCCCAATCCCAGAATACCACAATTCATCTCCCATAGCCTATCACTCATCTGCCAAGGGCCGCTCAGTATTCTAGACCGGTTGGTCGGCGGCTTGTGATGCGAGTACATTCCGTCGATGACCATGCTCCATACGGCGATGCAAATGATCGGGAAGAGAACTGATATCACACCGGCCCAGAGCGGCGAGATACGTTCGGGGTCGGCGTAAGGGTATTGAAGGGAATCATTATTGAGCGAGAAACGCTGGTGGTGTGGTTCTGCCAGATCTAGCGCCGAGAAGCCGAGAACGAGGAGTCTATAGCCGTCAGCGAGAGCGCAGACGAGCGACCGGGGGGGAAGTGCCGGTCAAGGTGTAGCGAGGTCAACGTACACTATTATCACGTAGTCGAAGATGTATCTATTGTTCCCGTGAACCCCAAGTTAGTAAAGCCATTGCTGCATGAATAGCCGAAGCTGGGAGTGAGAGCGAGGGGGAGGGGGAGATGGAGGGAGTTATCGCCAAGACGACGATGCAGCTCTTCTCTTCTCTCAGGCTCGATCTTCGCTTCCGTCCTTCGCCAGAAGCACCGCATAAGGATGGGACCAACTCACGACAACACCCATCGCTGTCTCCATCCCCTATCCCGATATATGGTTGCCGGTAGAGAAACCATCTGTGACTCGGATTCGTTCTTCGGAAGAGATGCCTAGACAGGCGATCGAAGTAGGGGGTTCGGGTTCGGGTTCAGCACGTTGTCGCAAGGCAGCGAATAGATGCCCGCGTGACTGCAGCGGCGGTGGTTACCGAAGATCGGAGTGTTCGAGGTTGGGGTCCTAACGAGAAGAGTGTTGTGCGTTGTCACTCTGCTGTCGGGGTTTGGCTGTCTGTCGGGCGATGCTGTCGTCGAAGAAGAAGAATGTTGATGCGTGAGAAGAAGATGTTCCGGAGAAGCGCGTTTGTCTTCTGTTTTCTCGGCGGGCACCACTTGGCAGGGTAGTTTGTTGTGTGTTGAGTTATGTTGGTAGTGGTGTGTGAGACTTGTGGTGGTGGTGGTCGAGTGGTGGTGGTGGTGGTGGTGGTGGAGGTGGTGGAGGTGGTGGGTTGGGATGGAATTAGAACATAGTCTTGTCGCTAAGGGAAGGATGTCAGATGGAGCGTAGTGGGGAGATGCACGCACGCACACAGCGCACAGAGAGTGACCGAGCGGAACAGCGGCGTGATGGATATCTAGAAGTCACAGGGGAGGCAAGTACAAGGTATACATAGAAAATAAGTGGTCGCTGTGAAGACTGGTATGTACAGTGGTACTGGTATTCTTGAGCCGCCGCTGGTAAAACGGGGCATTCACAGGGATGGTAATGTTGGAAAGGGTCCCGTACGAGGGGTGTGTGGATCGATGAGAAAGCACACACGGACATGCATTCATATTATTCGCAGCTGTGTGGGTCGCCATCCTCATGGTATGTAGAGCACACATGAAGCGGCTAACTAACACGCAGGTGGTCGAGTGTGGCTGTGGAGATTTGAAAGGAAATTGTTCCATATTGTTTCCATAGATCAGCACAGGCACCCCATGCCACGGCACCGACGCCGGCGAAGAGCGAGAGAAGTATGATGCTTTCTGGAAAGGGCCCGGACCCGTCGTCTTGGGGCGGACCGAACCGTCGCTGTCTTGCTGCCCTTTCGCCTCGCTTCATCCTCAACAACGGTTCCTCCGCGAGTGGACCTCGAAGGATACCAAGTAGAATGGCATACTATAGGCACCGGGTAGTCACTATAGCAGGTACTATATGCCTACCGGTGCGCGTAAGCACAGATATAATCTTCATCATCATCACTTCACGTGCCTTTGCGTGTCGGAGACTCCCCCGCGCCGAAAGCCCCCACCAGATCCTACCATAGCAGTTAGTTGGCAGAGGAACTTTGACATCCTGGCCAGATGATGAACCAAATATTGTCTCACGCACGCGCCACGGCAAGATCGGAACCACCAGCACCGCCACAGCTGGTCACCTGAAACCCCAGGCCCATCTTCTCCAGTTCCAACGGACGTTTCGACGGGACTGCTTGAAACAGCTAATCCGCAGGCCAAGCGAAGTCGATAGAGTACCTATGATGTTGCGCGCATCAACACAACCTTGAACCACCGTCCCAACTTTGCGAGTCGCGACACACTGGTGAGGATCCCCGCTGGACACGGCGCTTGACATCTTAGATCGAGGACAGCATGTACTGGGTAGTACAAGCTCGAACTCGGGACCGCGTGTCGTGCTGCCTGCCCCCGCACATCCCCCTCATCCTTTTGCTTTTTCTCGGGGCTGAGTCGAGCGCCATGTTCTCGCCGAGGCCGCTCGTCCCGTTGAAGTTGAAGTTTGTGTGCTCTCTGGATGGGTATGTGAGTAAATCAAGCTGTGAACCGCCGCTCAAACTTTGTGCTGGGCGCTGCCCGAGGTGAAATGGCGGGAGATCTGAGGCGAGATTGCGGGGGTCCTGTGCCTGGATCGTGGACTGTGTAGAGCATGTAGGACATGGTTACTTCCCTACCTTGCACATGTGTATGTAGAGTAGAGTACGTGGCCCCGACTCGCATGGGAGAGCTGCATGAGATATCACTCTTTGTGGCCAGTTTTGACACCACTTTCGACTCGGGATCCTCCCAAATAATTAACAAAACAAAACAAAACAGATACGGATCCACCGTGATCTACGCAAGGTCGGACTTAATCATGATCAACCAAAAGAAAGAAAAAAACTGCGGATCCCCCCCAAACATACATACTCTCGCACTTTCTCCGGATTTCTATCAAGAGAACTTTATTCAAACGTCAAAGTTTTCTTTCGTATGCTCCATCTCGAGACTACCTAAGCTTTGAGAGCTTACGTACCTACAATCGACTTCTTCCCGGGCCGTCCGTACCGAAATACGGGTTGGTCGGGCATTTCGTGTTTGTGGCACCATGCTGGCGAGGCATGCCCTGGCGGAGCGTATGTAGCATCTCGACAATATCTCCGAGAAGTATGTAGAGCGGTTGGGTCTGATTGTTTGCGAACGTAGGCCAGGGCCAAGATCAGCGTCTCCAGGTTCCATTGGTCTACCTGGCTGGGCCCGAAGGCAGTCCAGGGCCGAGACAACTGTTCGCTAGATTTAGATCCGAACCTTGGGATTTCGACGATGTCGACCATCCAAAAGTACCCAAAGAGGCCAGGTTTGGCCTCTCCGGAGGCTTTAGGATTTACTTATAGCTTGTATGGACGGCTGCAAACTTTATCTCTATCTGATTTCTTGTATCTTGTAATGAAATGTTTCCCGTTCATGGCCATCGTGGGGCCGTCCATGCACGACCATAATGGACCGGGCAAACGATAAACCTCACACTCTTCCTTACTTTGGCCCGCTCTCGCCTGCTCTCGCCCATCTGTCCTTTGCCATCTCTAGTTCCTCATCCGTTTCCTCAATCTACAATCGCACACCCTGGATTTCCGCAATCCAGCCCTATTGCACAAATACAAGCACGTTTAAAGCCACATCCACGGCCATACCGCGCTCATCTCTTTGTCTGTTGCCGGTACGATAACCCTATACCCCGCCAGCCATCCAGGAAACGAACTCTTCACCGAATTCGCCAGCTGCAGACATGGAAAAAATCCGGTCAGTAACCACTTCACCTCCTCCCGTGGAGGAGGGAGACGGACGACTCCTCGGACTTTTCCACTCCGGACATGGAAGCCCCCTCTCCCTCAGCAATGGTCGATGCGGTTGCAGCGGCGGTTCCTACACCGGGAAACCTACCACCAAGCTCTCACGTTGCGGCCACGGAAGCGGTCCTGCCGGAATCCGGAACATCTACACCGACCATGGCGGAGATTGACAGTAATCCTACGACCGCCGAGGGTATTCCATCCGGTAGACCGCATGTACCGGCCACACACCGCTTAGGTGTAAACAATCGTGCCCGTGGGACGCATAGACACCTTCTGCACGTTCCGAAGCGTGAGCAGCTTCCGGAAACCGGAAAAAGGTTGGAAGAAGCCGGCGGGGTAAAGAAGCGGGCTGAATCGAAATACAGTGGATATCTAGCACAATTGAGGGCAGATGTTGGTAAGCGTGCTGGCGGGGCTGGGATTGGAGTCGAGTACTGTACTGACGGCGAAGAAGCGAGGCGACAACGAAGCCAGCGCCCGGGGATCGGGAATCTTCTGAACCTCTTGGGTTAGCTGGTGGCAGGATATTCCCCCATCCCTAGGCTGACGGACAGAAATTTTTCCCCCGAGAAGACCGACGGAGCGGAGATGAAACCAACAGAGACGAAGAACACGAAGAAAAAGAACAGGAAGGGGAAGAGGAACCCTACGGTGGATGAATCTACAGGCACAACACCAAGTCGACTCCCCGGCCAGGAAGTGGGATCCAGAGACACGGTTCTGACTCAACCCACTGAATACCCATCCCCAATCACGCGGGTCCCAGCCCAGGGGATTCAGGCCTCCGAACCGGAAAATCTCAGTAAATTGCAGTGGGGGTAGGCCATTATCAGCGGTCAAGGACAAAAACTGGGGAAAGGCTGCTCTCTGGAAAACGGAGAAGGCTTTACAGCGCCAGCAAAAGACCAAAGAAACGGCCCTCTCCCAGGTGGCAAACAGCACTCAACAAGCAGAGAGGTCCCGTAAGAAGACATTTTCCCAAGCATTGGAAAATTCTGTTCGCGAGATGGAGGAGGCGACGGCGGATAGCCCTCAACCAGCACAGAGGTATTGTGAGATGAAATATGCAAAAGCCTTGGAAAATTCTGTTCGTGAGATGGAGGAGGCGGCCGGCGTTGTCCAGGAGATGGCTCGAAACGCTTTGTATCGAAATATCTTGGTGATGATACGGTGGCAGAGAAGTTACGTGAGGCGACAGAATTGATCGGACAATTGGAGGAGGCTGCTCGCGAAGCGGAAAAGGTGGATCTGCTAGGCCCGCACTCGGAAGATAGAGTGACTTCGGGAATTCGTCGGATACACGCCGGTTTTCGGCCGGTGGAGGAGAAACTGGAGGAAGATGAATGGTCGGGGGAGTTAGCATTGGGTCTTATGGCCCAGCTCAAGAAAATGATGACGCTAAAGAAGGCTGAGAGTGAAGCGTCCCGAGGATATTTTCCTCTGGAGTTGATAGCATATTGGCTTAAGGCTCGTATAGTAGGGAGGCAGATCTGGCGCAAGAAATGGATGACGCAAAGGAAGGCTGAAAGTGTAGCGTCCGAAGGAGATTCTCTTCCGGACTCAGATACGGAAAGACTTGTAGGAACGCCCAAGGAAGACTCGGCAAATGACGACGAGCAGCGGCGGAAGGTTATGGAGAAAGAGTTGGAAAAACAACGTCAAAGGCGTCTCAACAAGGCAAGGAAAATCCAGAAGAAGGCATTGTTGGCCAAAGAGAGGGAGGAGAAGAAAAAACAGAAGGAGGCCGCGAAAGCAAAGAAAAGGATGGCGAAGCACCAACCGGGAATGTTCGTTGACTTTAAGAATTTGGGTACGAAGAAGCAGCTGTTGCAGATAAAAGGACATGCTTTGCATTCGCCGACTACAGTACAGAGGGACATGGTAGTGAAGCCCAACAACGGAGATATGGATGTCACTCCTTCGCAGATATCGCGTTTGGAAACCAATGGATCAACTTCAACCGAGCACCTCCCGAAACTACCATTACCCGCAAGCCCTTCGGATTCGAGTCGAACGCGCAATGAGAATATCGTGGCGGTAACCTTTTTAAAAAGGGCTCCATTCCTTCTTCTGGAGTAAGTAGCTAGATTACAATGTAAGAGGTATGAACTGACGATGTATTTAGGCTGCACCTGTTGATGGCGCACAAACATCAACGACAGACGCTCCGATCGAGAATCTGGTAGGATTGGTTAAAGCGCCTCCGCGTTTGCCTGGGACGAGCATGGGATCGTCAAGCGCGCCTGACATTGCTCAGCTCAAGTCGCAAGCCACACCACAGCCTTCACCTTCACGGATAACCCAGGCACCAACGAAACCAAATAATCATCCTGCTCGCCGGCCCATGGTCGATTCGGCATTTCAACATCCTTCTCAGCCTGCTCCGAAGCCCGCTTCTGAGTTGACGAATAGGGTCGCTATTGGACTGGCCAAACCGGCAACCCGAAGAGCAGCATAGGAAATGCCGCCTCGGTCAGGGACGAGGCCCGCAGCGAAGCCTTCACCCCGAACCACGCCTCTGTCTACAACTAAGCCGATAAGCACAACCTATTGCTAAGTCGGATACTCAGCGAGCCCCTCAACCCGTAGACGTACTCCAGTCTCACTCCGGGACCCAGCCTCGCCTGCGACCTACAAGCGAATCTGCGGTTCAACTACCTCAAGACGTTTCTCCGAGGGATCCCAGTGCGGAGGAGAATCGCACAGATACGACAATTAAGCCGGTAGCACAACCTGACGATGTTTCGGATACTCAGCGAGCATCCCAACCCGCAGACTTACTCCAGTCGCACTCCGGGACCCAGCCTAACCTGCGACCTACAAGCAAATCAGCGGTTCAACCACCTCAGGACGGTTTTTCGAGGGATCCCCGTGCGAAGAAGAATCGCACAGATACGACGCCACAGGGTCATACGCCAGGTCCCTACAAAGAGATACCAACATTTACACCGCCCAGAAAGAGGGCTAGACGACCTACGAACGCAAAGTCAAAGAAGTGGCATCGAGAGCAATCGGAGAAAGGCTATGGCTATAACCAAAACGTACCAAACATTCCTGTCCCCTATCCCCCAGACAATAATCAATCTCTTTGGTGCCCGCGGCCAGCAATACTGCAATTTGTGGACGATTCTCAGGCAGCAGTAGGTGGTATCGTCTGGGTACCGGGAGACCAATTCCTGCCTGCTCCTCCCTTTCCTTCTCTTCCCATACGTCAGTTGCCCGTTTGAGACGGTCTGGTGTCAAATCCACCAGCCCTAGTGACGCAACATCCGCAGCCGGTTCCGTCTCCATGGCTGGGTCATTTGCCCTATTACTCACAGCCCAATGCATCGGCACCAATGATGCAACTCGGAGTCATGCAGAGCGGGATTTCTCCTTGGGATTACTCAGGCAATATGCGCCCCAACGGCCCGATTAACACCCAAAACCACCATTGGCAGGGACAGAGCCAGCACCTCCATGGCCAACATCATCAAGATCAATATCACAACGTGCAACAATACCAGGCGCAACAAAATGCACACCCGTACCCGGTATATGGACCGCAGGGAGGTGGGTACCAGCCGGAACTGTTTCGTCGAGGATCGGAACAGGAAGTGCAATATGGTCACAATGAACAAAATCCCCCGTATCCACATCACCGGATTCAACAGTACTAGGGCCAACCACAGTTGCGACCGCCGCCGCCTATCCATCCCGATGAGTCTCGGAATCAGAATCGAGCGGCCTCTAGCAACGTGTACCCACAGTCAGAATCACTAGAGCTCGTTGGTGGGGACGCGCCTTCATCAGTGGCTGGTACAAAGCCAGTCTCGCAGCTGTTGCCTGTACCGTAGAGGACCTATCCAAGAGCTCCACAGGTGGTGTACTCAACAGTGCTGGGCCAATTCATAACGCAAACGACGGTGCCATCAACCTCCATGGCCCATCAAGCTGCTTCACTGAAGCCCCAAGTTTCTCAAGACGCCTCTCAGACAGAAGCTCTGGTAGTGAAGGAAGAATATCCAGAATTCGCGTGGGACGAATGGGCGAGGGCTCCCGTCGAAATGCGGAACCGCGGACGTTCCAATTCGTGGGCGCACTCTCTACGTGATGACGATGACCACCAGGGCGAGTGAGATTATGGGTTCCTATCGCACTCCGCTATGCTGTCGTTCCTTTCGATGTTTTGTGGCGTTTTATTTTTGGTGAACATTTTGGCGTGTTCGTTTTTTTTAGTGTATCTGGTTGATGGAATGACTCCTGGCGAGGTTTCTGGATGTTATTTGCATCGCTTTTGTGCCGCTTTTATTGATTACTCCTTTTGGCTGGTAGTTGGTTTATATTGTTTTGCTGCTTTGTGGTAATGGAAATGTATCTGCATGTTCTCCGAACCGGTGAGGTTGTGCCTGGTGTCATGTTGGAGTTGAATAGATACCAGTAGCTACTTGATGTAGATATAGTACCGTGGAGTGCGAAGAATGGGCCGTCGTATGGACCTATGTGGATACTGGTCTAGCCTCCGCCCTCGCATGGAGTAGACTGAATGAACGGGCGTGCACGAAGATCTACCTGAGTAGTTGGCGACAGCGGTTCTTTCTGGCTGCTGGCTATCACTCGACTAAGAGGAAATAATATCTCAGTTCTGTTTCTTTTGTGCTTGGTGTGCCGACACGTTATTGCCTGAATGGGAAGCAAAGTAAATAAGAACATATAGTTGTCATAGAATTGTCGCTCATATCAGAGACCACGATGCTTGATACGGAACACCTTTTGAGATACCTCTTGAGTGAGAAATTACGGTACCCAGCCACTGCCGCGATGAATTGGAGTTCTTGCGAACATCGGCAGTGCAGTCTCGGAGCCGAGCCCGTGTTCCTACGCCGAGACGACTAAGCAATACTTTTCTAGGACCATTGTGCCACTGTGCCACTGGACAACCAAGTTTGCACAGCCCCGTGTGACATCACGGCAGCGTTATGTAAAGGGCCGCCTCCATCGTCTGCGCAACTTTGCAATTCACACCTAGAGCTTCCCCCGCAAACAGCAGACAACACCAGCCAACAAGGAACCTAACGACCCAAACCAAACGACCGCACATGTCCATCCACAAAGCGCTTTCGATCTTCTCCCGCGACCCGCCGCCCTACGAGCCCACCAAGGTCACGTACACGCTCCCGCCGTCGACGCACGACACACTGATCACGTGCACGACGTCGTCGTCGCAGCCGAGCTACCACATCCCCTCGCCGCTGACGACGCGGCTACAAGAGCTCATCATCTCGGGCGCGGTGCCCTCGACCTCGAGCACCTCCTCATCCTCCCTCCCGCGCTACCGCGATGTCTACAAGATCATGCGCCTCCCGTTCGTCGGCTTCCAGCTGACGTCGGGCAGCACGCGCGCGCAGTACCACCTCGTCGCCAGCGCGTTCCAGTCGCGGCCCAAGGAGCGCGGGTTGGTGTTCCTGCACACGCCGCTCGGGAATCTCCGTACCGGCGAGGACAGGCCCGCGCTGAAGGTTAAGCACGACGCTATTGAGGACGCGGTCACTGGTGAGGTCCTCGCTAGGGGGTTCATGTATAAAACTGGCGAGGCGGAGGTCAGGGCCCTCGAGCTGGCGGAGGGCTACGGCGATGATGCACGCATGCGAGAGCTACTCATTGCGGTCTGGATCTGTGGCGTGTGGAATTCGTCGCTCGAGATGAAGATGCTGGCTAGGCCGGCTATGTTGTTTTAGTCGGGTGGAGGACGTTCTGGGATAAAAAGTTGTAATTATTTTGGTAGGAGTTTTTTTTTTCTCTTGGGGTGGGGTTGAAGGGTTACGGCTGTGGAGTACTGGGGTTGGTTATGATTTTTGCGGGGCTAGGGTAGCTAGAGTAATAGCATGCACTCTATGTATTCCAGCATAGCTGGCCAACCGGTTGATGGGGTTCGGGAAGGACAACTGGATGGATTGGTGGTTGGGCCAGCCGTCGGGCCGCTCCCAAGGCCGGGGCAACGGTATCTAACGGTAATTGTGGCGCATGTCCATAGTAATCATCCACTCGGCTGTCAATCTGTCGATGTCTCGCGATGATACGATATAGTTGGTATACCTACTCTGCACCGCGTGGGTACATCCACTTCAGGACTGCACGACTTCAGGTTCCATTCCAAATACATCCCCTTCAAGACTTCAGGTTCTAGTTATTACCTACATAATACATAGAGTAGCGGCAGCTCCCTGCGCCGAACTACGGAGCTTCCAACCGTTGGCGCCGCGCCGGATACATATGTAGGATGCGGCGGAGGATGCTGATCGTTTTCGCTTGGATGGGAAGGATCAGGCTATTACGGTACATACCGTGCAAGAATGCGAATGAATATTATGCCCCCACGTTGATTTTCTGCGCCAGACTTGTCGATCCTTTGCCCTATGTATATACGCAAAGCGCACTGCTCGTTCGGTCACTGATCGGCCGCGGCCTTGCGGCCAGTCACCCGGGAAGGGCTGCGAACGTGGGGCCGCGGACCTACGGCATATACCATACTATCTACCGGTACATACCTCCTCCACTTACTCCATGTACCCGCCTAGGTACTTATGCATAGGTAGGAGGTCTTTGCTCAGTCCTACCTACTCACAGTTGGACATACATACCTACTTCAACGATTCTACAGAGCAGAAGGAATATTCGGAGACCGATCATAGGTCAGAGTGTACAGCCTCCATTATCGCACCTAGGTATCATCTACAAGTGCTTCGGAAGGGCTCTGGAGCCTGGGTGTGTCCTTCCGTCTGCCAGCTTCCTCCCGTGGCTCTCCTTCTTCTGGAGTAGGTATGTGAATATGTAGGTACTCGACTCTCGGAACTATGCAGAGTATGTAGTATCACACCTACCTACATACATTACTTACCTATAGGTAAGGAAGTATGTATGTTCGTTACCGGGCCTCAGTTCACCACTGATCGGGTTATCCGCTGGCTCTTCAGCCCGTTCCGGCGGTGGCCAGTGGAACTGGAGGCCCGGTCGAGCGCCAGGCCCCCGGATACATGAGTTGCGCTCCCCTGAGGAGAGTCCCCTCGAGCAAAGTCGGATTAACTATATCTTGGGATCCCTTGCCGTCATGTCGTGCCACTCGCGTCGTGTCGTGTCGTGTCCCGTCCCGCTGAACCTGGAGAGTTTTCCGGGTTAGCCCGCTCTACTTTACTCTAGCACGCATCAGCTGGCGTGGAGTAGGCACTAAGAAGATGGTTTTAGCTAAAGGAGACTTCAACTACCGGAGGCGGAGCGGAGACGGTGGAGATCTGCAAGAGTTGAAGTGGCGCTACGGGCGGGGAGCTTATGGTAAATACGGTACTATTGGTAGTAACCAGAGTACTATTAGTTGTCTATTGGACCTGTCATTGGACCTGTCTCAAGATCCATCGAGGCGATTTGCGCCATCATTTTCGGTCGCGCTTCTCCTCGGCGCTGGCTCTCCTTCGGCTTCTTCTTTTACTTTTCCTTCTTCTCCCCACTCGGTGCGATATCGACCGTGGCATCACTAGCATTCCGGGAGGTCAGATACCTATCAATTCTGCGCTCCCATCAGGTTTAGATCCCGGTCACCTACACAACTCCGGACCCACCCAAAGTACTCCGCCCGCCTATCAGTATGTGCGATCTGGCGGGTGTGCTACCGAGTTTCTCGATCGCGGATACATTGCGTCGACGCACATCCAGCTGATCCATCCTACTGGCGGGGAAAAGGGTAACAAGTACTTATACATAGCAGTTACAAGTACTTACCTCGCACTTGGAGGTCCCCCATGAGTACTTAAGCAGTAGTGACTTCCTAGTACTGGGAACAAGTCACTTTCGGGCGCTTGATGGTTAGTTGGGGCTCACTCCGCGTACTCTGGAGCGGTTACTAGTAGTAAACTGGACCCCCCTGCGGGCAGAAGCTGCTGCAAGCTAAGGCGGTTGACTGACAGCTACATGGGAGGGGTCGAAACTTGACGTGAATGGATGCCACCGAACTGCTGCGGCTACATCTACAATGCAACTACACACAATGCCAACCGCAACTACAAGTTACCGCCCCGCATTTGCTTCAACTCGCCCGTCCCCCTTACACCCCCTAACCTCCACACCTGCTCCACCGACATCACACCACAATTACCAACCCTCTCCCTCCCTCCCCCCACTCCTTCTCCTCGTCGCCCTCTCTCTCCCCTCTCCCTTCTCCCCCACTCCATCCCCTCCCCTCCTCCATTCCCGGCCTCCATTCCCCACGACCTGCTCCAATTCTCCCTCAAGATGCAGACTCCCATTGCGGTCGACACCGAATGGGTAAGTGTTTTCATTTGCTGCGCAAGCAAGATAATTCGAATTGTAACTGACGTACGCGGCTCTTGCATCGTGCAGCACGAAGGACAAGATTCTGATCCTTACGACTCTGCCTTTGAGAGTGGAGAGTATGCTGCGCTGAAATTCCCACCCCCATATTTGCTTTCATGATTTCTTAACCGCGCAGTAGTGAGGCTGCGACGCCGTCTCTGGCCTCGTCTATCTACAGCTACACCTACGAGAACGGTCGTAGGTACCATGCTTACCGCTCCGGCAAGTATGCGCTTCCGAACGATGAGGTGATAACCCACTGCTTGTTCCCTTAACCCGAGCGCTCAACCGGTATTGACTACGGCGATGATGCGAATAGACTGAGCAGGACCGGTAAACTAGCTTCCCCTTCACCTATCATCTTTCGCTCTGCTAACCGACCGTCAGTCTGGATATGGCGCATCATCTGAGTCTGCTGCACATGCGCGGCGCTCTCCATCTCGCCCCAGTCATCAAGCCCAAAAACATCCTCGATGTTGGAACGGGTACTGGTATCTGGGCCATCGACTGTGCCGAGTAAGAGTTGATCTACTGGCAGCTTAGCTGCTAGCTGGCTTTTCGCGTAATTCCCGCTGAACACATTCCTGCAGGATGTACCCCGATGCCACGGTCGTGGGAACGGACCTGTCGCCGATCCAGCCGGGATGGCTTCCCCAGAACCTCCAGATCCTGGTCGAGGACGCCGAGGAGGATTGGATCTTTCCCAAGAACCACTTCGACTTGATTCACATCCGTGGTCTCGCCGGTGGGATCCAGGACTGGCCAAAGTTGCTCAAGCAGGCGTTCAAGTATGTTTCACTTCCCAGTGTAACCTGAGCATCCGTCGCTGACAACAGCCCACTCCAAAGCCATCTCAAGCCGGGTGGTTACATTGAGCTGTACGAGTACGCCTTTGCCGTTAAGAGCGACGACGGTACCTACACACCCGAAACCGCGATTTACCGCTACTACCAGCTGGTCAACAAGGCAGCGGAGCGCTCCGGTCGTTCTCTCAACGATGCGCACAAGCTGCCCGAGCTCCTCTCGGGCGCCGGCTTCGTCGACACGGTCCAGAACTGCTACAAGACTCCGATCGGTCTGTGGCCCCTCGACAAGCGCCAGAAGGAGCTCGGAAAATGGATGTGGTACGTTGCCATGAGCGGCTTCGAGGCATACGCTCTAGCGCTGCTCACCCGTTTCCTCGGCATGCAACTGGACGAGGTTGTAGCCTTGGTCGACGCGACTAAGCGCGAGATCTCCGAGCGTAGGATTCACGTTTGGAACCCGCAGTACGTGCACCTCCCCCCCCCCCCCCCCCCCCCCCCCCCCAGCCGCCTTACAAAATCACTGTCTAATCCAAAGTTCAACAGGTACGTCATGTATGCGCAGAAGCCGTTGAAGAAGGTTGCCTCGGCCGCCCTGCCGACCCCTCCCACCAGCGCCGAAGCCTAATGTGCCATATTGAACACAAAAGTTGCTGTACGATAGATATGGTGGGGCGTTAATTTGAGAGGTACCGCGGTTTGCGTTGTACAAATAGGGATGTCAAATCAAAAAAAGTCTGAGGTCCGACGATAAAGTATTACGTGAAATTGTAGAGTGTTTTCTGTCGTGATATCTATGATTGTGATAATTATTGTATGTACTGAACGACAGCAAATTCGTTTCTGTACCTAGATGGTCGTGGTATGTTTTTCCTTTCTTCTGGCCCTACTCCAACACTCAGAATGGAGTGGGGTGGTGTAGATAAGAGTACCTAGCCAATGAATGAACTTTATCCACGATAAGAAGCGAAACCGCTTGGGAGCCGAGACAGCTACCAAATCATCTACTGTACTATTGAGTACTAGTAAACAACGGTAGTCACGCGGTAATCACACGCGGTAAACTTTCAGCGGAGACCGCTAGTGAACTATCGGTGCCGCGAGTGAGCCACAGTGATGTGCACGTAGTCGTGGTTGGCTGGATGGTTATCGCTTAAATAGAGTAGGTAGTATTTACGCGGATGGCAATTGAAGGCTAGGTAGCCGTAACTAGCGAGGGAGCCGTTGCAATAGTAGAACGGCCGAGGCTCTATCGCAACATAAGTCTCCATGTTGGCCTCCACGTGCTTTCCACCGTTAACGGCAGTGAGCTCGAACCCTGGCTTGGACTGTCATTTGACTTCTGCTATGTACGAGAGGTAGTCTCCAATAATTAAGAGAAGACAGTACCAGCTATGTAGTATAGTTACGGTCACGGGCAGAACGTGAGCACACGGAGTAGTACCATTCGGCTCAGCCCTATGAGTGGTAGGTAGTAGCTAGGCAGGTATCGCCAGGTTGGAAGGTTGGAACAGTGGTGAGTGACTATGCGGGAATTCCTGGTTAGTTATAATTAACTATCATAGTTTGTCGTTCGGTTCGGGATGGGGTTTCTACCAAGTATCTATGTAGGACCGTCTGTTGCCTGCTTGGAACGTGTGTTGAGGTTTTATCCCGAGAGTAGAAGGCGACCAAAGATCAAACGCCGGCGTAGCACTGTAGCAGCTATTGAACCTGATACATACAACAATAACCGTCGAAGCGAGGCTACGTTGACACATCTGGATACCGAGTTCCAAGGCTCAACCTTTCCGGTAGTCCATGAGCAGAGCAGACTTTACGGGAATTTGGGAAAATCAGCTATTGCTAACAAATAAGTATTCTAAGCGTTGCCCGCCTTCCAAAGAGATCAATCGCGAACTACCAGATGCACAAATAAGCCCATCACAGAACAAGGAGAATCGTCACTCATCACAGCCACGCACGGCCACAACCACGCCTCAGCCCTCCTCCTTCTCCACAACCCTAACCGCCTTCTCCACATCCACCTGCGCCGCACTCCCATCATCATCCACACCGACCAGCACATCCTCCACATGCGGCGGCAACACGGCCTCCTCACACAGGCTCCCACCCAGTGAGCTAATATAAGTACAAATCCCCCAATACGCCCCCGACGCCGCCATGAACCCAAACAACCAAGCGAAGGTATAAACCTTCCACGCTGCACCGACATTTACCTTCCCCGCTCCCGCAATCGCGCGCGCAAACCCCGGCATAGTCGGCGCAAAACCAACCACGAACGCGACAAACGCGCGTAGGTTGAACCCGCCAGTGTACCAGTACTTACCCGCCGGCGTGCCGTTGTACAGCTCGTGGATGTCGAGCTTCCCCCCGCGCAGGATGTAGTAGTCGGTCACGATTATTCCGGCCAAGGGGCCCATAAGGCAGCTGTAGCCTGATAGGAACGATAACAGCCCCGACGCGGCTCGGATTATGTTCCATGGCGTGGAGATCACGCAGAAGATGCTGATGAGCAGAGTGCCTCGGAAGATGTTGATGTATTGCGGGGCTAGACCGGACTGCAGAGGTAGGTAGGTTAGCTAGGAGCGTCCGGAGAATGTAGTGGATGGAGCAACTCACGATATCATTCGAAAACGGAAACGACCCAGCAGCGATCTGATTGCCAATTGTAGCCAAGATGAACGACGCACCGACAAAGAACTTCGCGGCGCGGGAATCAAACTTCGCAATGACCGCGGGCATGTACCATTCGAACTCGCCCCAGATGTGCGAGTGAGCGGACGTGACAAAGATCGGCGTCAGTGCGCCGAGGGTGCCGATGATGGGCAGCGCAAAGTATTGGTGCGGACCGCGGAGATGGTTCCGTGAGAACCGGCCGAAGTCGGGCATGTTCACTGCCATGCTGGAGAATAGCCCGATTATCACGTTGAGTCCGGTGAGCGCAGAGTACGCCGGCCCCATCGGCGTCGTGAGGGCCATCTTGCCGGTTACTAGCTCGCCGCCGCCCTTGGTGACGCTGGGGAGATGTCAGATGAATCCCGTGGATGGCGAAGGGGGGATAAGACTTACATAACCGCCCAGAGGAAGAGTGCCATGAAGGTAGGAGGCACGATGATGGCTTTGGCAAGGAACAGCAGCCGGAGTTTATGGATCGGCATGATGGATAGCAGCGTCTGCAAGATCCAGTACAGGAAGAAGCACAGCAAGCCCGCCGAGTCGATACCGGCATCGGCTGGCAGGTGGTTCGGAAACGTCTTGAAGCCTGGCCAGATCGCCTCGATGCAGTTCTGTAGGAAGCCTCCGGCTTGCACGCACAGGATTGCGGTCCACATCATCGCCACGAATGCTAGGCGTAGAACATCGTGAGACACTGCATTGAGGTAGGAGACACGAGATACATACCACGGATGATGATGGCCGGATACGACCCGTACATGCCGAATGACGCACGGATGATCACGGGATACGCAACGTGGTATTGAGCGCCCATCTAGCCCATTCTCAGCCTGTAGACCACCACGGGAATGGAACCTCCACGCCAACCTTTCCGGTCAATGTAACAACGATGCTGCAGATCATGAAGCCGAAAAACACGATCGGAATCGTCTCCCGAGCCGTAAAGCCCAGCGACATAACACTAAGCAGTCACTGTAAGCCACGACCACAACAGATTGAGGGGTTGCATACGTGCTGACGGTAGCCGCAAGAGGGGGTGCCAGCATGTCACTGGTCCAATAGGCCCAGTAGTCTATGCCCCCCCAAGTCTGAGCCTTGACCGGGACAGGGTCCAGGTCTTTTTTGATTCCGGAGATTAGGTAAAATTCTGTCGGAGACATGTATGGGTAGAGACGCACCTTCATTGCTCCATCTGGGATCAGTGCCGTAGATGCCAACCTTGAACGGCACCTTAGCACGGACGTGGGGACGAACGCGCTGGGCCAGATTTGATAGTGAGGGAAACGTCTTCATCGTGTGCGGTAAAACCCGGTGATAATCGCTCGCAATGTCTTCTGATTTCGGAGAACCGCACAAGATGGGACGTTAGGCTCCGAGGAGGTTGTGGCCTAGTTTTATGCCCACGTTTGTTATCCCCGCGACGTTCGACCGGCCACGCTGCCCAGTCCGAACGGGCCTGATATCAATCGGCTCCATGATACTGTCCCTCCCAGCAAGCCACACTGATACCGAACGGCTGAACTCGGAAGTGCACATCAACCAACTTCGATACGGAGCCGACCTGTGGACCACGAATGGTGGAATGGCCTTCGCCCGGCCCCTGGGGCCGACGGCCGCACCCCGCAGGGCTGCCATCGGCCTAGAAAAGCCTCCGATACCCCACGGAAAGCCATGAGTGTGGGGGGTATTGGCGAGGTTTCATGTGCAGAGTCGCTTCGGGGAAGGGAGTTGGGTTAGGGCTTCGGCTTATCGTGACAACCGTCATCGTGATCATGCTGTGTTGCACGAACTCGAGAAAGACAACCAGTAATCGTTCGTATATTCCTTTTTTCGAACCCGCATGTGAAGATTGTCCAGGGCGACGGCCGCGGACTGACGGGTGATCTAGAGTATCGAGAAAAACTCGCATGGTGGGAATTGAGGATCGCATTCCGTACACGATAGGAGTTTCAGGAAAAAAGCAACTACACTTGATCGTCATATCATTATCACCGCACCGGGAGAACGAATCAATCGCCGAGAGACAGTCTTGAGGTGAAAACTCCGAGAAATCAGGTCCTTTTCTTCAACAACAGTCCAAACTTCCATTTCTCACGATGTCACCTCACCTTCCAGCAGCGGCCAGCATTCCGGCGAAGCCCTTTCCCTTCCAAGCTCCTCTGGCACGAACGGCACTGCTCGCAATCGACCTCCAGCGGGACTTCCTCTTCCCAGGCGGGTTTGGCGATATTCAGTCAGACACGCAACTAGAAGCCGTCCAGGCCATCCTCCCCGCCTGCAAACAGCTTCTTCAACTCTTCCGCGATCTCCAACTGCCCGTCATCCATACTCGCGAGGGCCATGCTCCAGACCTGAGCGACTGCCCTCCTTCCAAGCTGTGGCGGGTGGGTCAGTCTTCGAGCCCGGGGAAAGTGAAGGTCATTGGAGAAGAGGGTTTACCTGGAAGCCGTCTGCTGATCAGAGGCGAACATGGCCACGATCTTCACGAGCTCGTTGCGCCATTCCCGGATGAGCTTGTCATCGATAAACCCGGCAAGGGCGCGTTTTGGAACACTTGCCTCCTCGAGGAGCTGCAGGCTATGGGCGTGACCCATCTGGTGGTGATGGGCGTGACGACGGAATGCTGTGTCAGCACCACTGTACGGGAAGCGAATGACCGCGGATTCCAGTGCTGTCAGTTACTCTCCGTTCTTGCAACGCCGATGGAAACTAACCGGGGGTGCAGGCGTGGTGGAGGAGTGCACTGCCGGATACAACGATGCCGCATTCAAGCAGCCCAGCCTTGATATGCTCCATTGGTCTGACGGCCTGTTTGGCTACGTCTGCACTCTCTCCTCCATCAAGTCGGCTCTCACATCGTTTTTACCACTTCCCACGGCACAAAACTGGTCAATCGATTCGCCAAACTCGCTCGATATAAACACCCTCGCAGCAGCGTACAGATCTGGGATAACCACGCCGGACGCAATGGTCAGGGCCATCTACGCGCGGATCACCGCCCACCCCCAGCGTTCGGCCATCTTCATCCACCTGATCCCGCTCGCCCAGCTCACGGAAACCTGTCGAACCCTAGAAAAAACGTTCCCAGATCCTACAGCCCGTCCTCCTCTCTACGGCATCCCATTCTCGATCAAAGACTCGATCGACCTCGCCGGTGTACCCACCACCACCGCATGCCCCCCACTAGCCTACACCCCCACCGTCTCCTCCACCGTAGTCTCAACCCTGCTCTCCCTCGGCGCCATCCCCCTCGGCAAATCCAACCTCGACCAACTAGCAACCGGCCTAACCGGCTGTCGGTCCCCCCACGGCATCCCACCGAACCCCTTCTCAGCCACGCACATCCCGGGCGGCTCCTCATCCGGCTCTGCCGTATCCGTGAGCTCGGGCCTGGCCTCCTTCGCCGTCTCAACGGACACTGCAGGCTCCGGCCGTGTCCCGGCGGGCTTCAACGGCGTCGTGGGCTTCAAGCCAACAAAGGGCACGATTAGCTTCCGCGGCGTGGTGACGGCGTGCGAGTCGCTCGACTGCATCGCGTACACTGCGCGCACTGTGGCGTGCACGAGAAAGCTGTGGCGCCTGACAAAAGGGTTTGACAAAAGGGATAGGATGGCGAAGCATGCGCCCGCGGTAAAGAGGTGGGTTAATGCCTTCCCTGAAATCGAGGGCGGGTTTAGGTTTGCTGTGCCCAGTGAGCAGAGCTTAAGCGTGTGTTCGGGCGTGTACCGCCAGCTGTTTTCCGCCGCGGTGCAGTGCATGCGGGATATGGGCGGAGAACTCGTGAGCGATCAGAGTATATGGCCCGTGTTCGAGGCCGCGGGGAAGTTACTGTACGATGGCACTTTTGTGACAGAGCGGTTGGCCGGGCTGCCGAGGGGATGGGCGGACCAGCATCAGGACGAGCTGCACCCCGTCATCCGCGAGATCTTTGCCGCGGTCAAGAAACGCGGGTCAACGGCGGAGGATGTTTACCGCGATTTACACTCCATGATGAGGTGAGCCCCCTCCTCCCTCCCACTACCAATAGGTATAGTTGAGTAACCCCGCCCGACACATAATAGTTTGCGGCGGAAATCACAAGCCATCTTCTCCCCGCAGGGAATAGACGTGCTTCTCGTCCCGACGGCGCCGGCACACCCCACGATGCGGGAGGTAGCGAACGATCCCATCGGCGAGAATTCCCTGCTGGGCACGTTTACGCACTTCGGAAACGTCCTGGATCTCTGTGCGATTGCGGTTCCTGCCGGAACTTATGTGGACGCTGCCACCGGCGTAAAACTGCCGTTCTCGGTCACTATAGTGGGGGGTGAGAGGATGGACGATGTCGTCTTGGGCTTGGCTGCGAGGTTTGAGGCTGAGGTGGGGAAGCGGGTGGAGGTGGAGAAGGAGGGGGAGGTGAGGGCTAAGCTGTGATGGGAATCATGTACCTAGTTCAAATGAACTCGTGAATGGTATCCTTGTGACTACATTCATTTTTCCACAAGGTGTGTGTGAGTGCGAATGAGAACTCAAGGAGAGCTGAAACAACTTCGCAAAAAATCTTCGCTGGATACATTGGTATATCATCGATACTCTTGTCCGTAAAGCCACCACAATCAAACAAAAAACTTCTCAACCATCTGATCCCACTCCTCCCAGCTAAACTCTAATCCATCAGCACTATCACCGACGACCTCTGTCGTTTTCATCTTATCCTCTGCATGCCCCATAAAATTCTCGTCCTCGTCCATCCCCAGCAGACAGAACCTACTATTCTCGCAGCCACCTTTCCACCCACATTTCTTCCACACGCGCCGCTTCAGTTTCCCGAGTAGACAGTAGATCCAGACGGTTCCGTCGGTGTTTGGGCGCCCCGCCGTCTGCGGCGTCAGCCGCCCGCGCAGCACACGGTTGCCGACTAGCGCAAACGCTTCCTCTAGTAGGGCCTTGTCCGGACACTCCGGAAGCAGTATGTGAGACGCTTGCTCCATACGTAGGAGAAGGATGATGACGGCGTGTAGTGGATGCACTAGTCCCGGAAGGTACCATTGGTAGGGCGAGCCATCGACCGTAGCGAGGGAGATGTATGTGCGCAGGAACTCGCGCGAGGCTGCGTGCACGGGCGATTCGTGGCTTGCCATCGGCCGCCAGGGGCCTTTTCGCAGCTGGCGGTGGGAGAGGACGCAGCGCGCGCGCGGTGGGTGTAGAAGGATGAAGTCGCGCGCCCAAGTATCGCCGGTGATCGCCGCCGCTTTCTGGGAAAGGTCGCGGCAGTGGAGGGTGAAGGCTTCGAGCTCGGCGTCGTAGTTCGATTGCCGGAGCCAGCGCTGCATGTTGGTGGTCCACTCCCAGCGTGCTTGGAGCGCGAGGGCCATGGCGGGTTGGAGGTCGGGGAGGACCGGCGGCGGACAGTCGTAGTCCCCCTCGTGCACTATCCGGGGAAGGCCATTGGCAATGGAGGCTTCGACGTCGAGGTACAAGAGGTGGTACCACAGACGCCGGCGAAGGTCGCAGGCGGTGGCGGTGTGTAAACCCAGCTGCTGGGCCGTCCTTACAGCAACCGGAAGGAAGGTGTAGGAACTCAGAGGCAGTGCTTCGCATACGTTCGAGGAGTGGTAGAGCGTGAATGCCTGTAGCAGCTGTAGATTTGGCGCACTTTCAAACGTGCTGCCCGACAGAAGACCTTTGAACAGGTTATCTAGAGGGCTAGTGGAAACCGGTGTGGTGCATATGTGGCCAGCGTGGAGAACTGCGACGATGAGGAGTAGCTCGGAAGACTCGATGGCAGTAGTGCACGTCCACAACGAAGCGTAGCAGTGCGTTACCCATGTGCTGTCGACAAGCGGAAAGATTGGATTGATGCTGGTGAGAAAGGCGTCAAAATACGCGTCGCATTCGTGACGCGGCGGTAACGAGGAAAAGACAAGGTCAATGGCGAGGTAGCTGGAGGATGGGTCACAAGTGGCGTATATCAGACGCTGCACATCATCCTACGTACCGTCAGTGCGTGAGTGGGGACAGCAGGAGTCCATGACGAACGGGATTGCCATCATTCGCAAGCCCCCAAAAGACACCGCCGAGGTAGCGGCCACCGCTGAAGATGGCATCTGTCCGTTGCGTAGCGTCGAGAGATTGCGGGTCCGGCCCCGAGCGTTGAGGCGGAGGTGGAGGCGGAGGAGGGGGAGGAAGAGGTGAAGGAGGAAAAAGCTGTAACTCTTCGCGCTCATCTTCGAGGCCGTTCGACAGCGGACGGTGAGCGAGCCTGCTCGGATCGCCGTCGACGAAGCGGATCTTGGTGCCCGGGGCCGCATATTTGCAGCGCAGGCCGTTCTGCAGACATTTTCCGCAGGTAGGATGGACGCGATCGCACTTCACCTGGACACGGCAAGCGAGTGTTAGGAACGGAAGATAGATAGTCTATAGTAACTACAGTGCTATACAGGAAGTATGAAGGTTGAAGGAGCGCGTGGGCGGGCGAGGTGGGGGATGAGTCTGTGTGACGGCACTTGCCTTTCGCTTCCGGCAGACTAGGCAGCTTGTGGTAGGCCTCGGGCGAGGAGAGGCGGAAGAAGACATCGAGGCAACTGGATGCTGGCAGCTGGACGGGACTGTTTGACGGCTGCTTCCTTATGTAGTCATTCTCGAGCGTGCGAGGGGGCGAGGCGGCGAGTGCTACGGAACACGATCCACGACGTCTGGACTCCTATATACGCCGAAGATAGGTAGGAAGCCTGCAGGCCGTGGCTGTCTATAGCAGTTACTCAGGATTGAGGACTGGGTCGAAACTGACTCGTGAGTCGCCACTGGTCAGTGGTCGCTCCCGAGCCCACGGCGGGCAATTCTGGCGACCGCACTGCACGTGTCACGGACGCTTAGTGAGCGACAGCCGGCCTTAAATGGGTGAGCAAGGGTCGGCCTTGTACGGCTAGCTAGGCCGTTTACGGCAACTCTCGTGCGGTGGGGCTTTGCGGGGAAAGGCGGCAGCATGGGTTGGCCGGTGAAACTCTTCTCCACCGTGCGTTGGGTGGCTTCGCGTGCGCCGGTTTGGATTCTCCTCACGTCTGCACATGCGGAAAGTTCTGCTTAGAAATGTTGAATGGCGATATCATGATGACACTTACGTTGCTGCGGCGTCGGTCGATCTCGAGCGGTGGGAATCTCGGTGGACTCGACTTCGCATAAGAACAAGAGCTCGTCACCCCCGTAAACGTCCGAATAGCTTCAGTAACATACCATACCATACCATACCATACCATACCATTCCGATCGCTCTACACCAAACAAACAACGAAACAAACAAACAAGCAAAACCAATAACAGCAGCAGCCATGAGCAAACTTCTTACTGTCTTCGGTGCGACTGGAAACCAGGGTGGTTCCGTCATCAGGACCGTTCTCGGGCACCCCCAGCTCTCGAAGCAATTCCGCATCCGCGCCATCACTAGGGACCCGTCCAAACCCTCCGGTAAGGCTCTGGCAGACCAGGGCGTCGAGGTCGTCAAGGTATATCCCCACCCAAAAACTACTATGTTCCTACATACCGGTTATCCCGCGCACTGCTAACAAGTTGACTTTAGGCGGACTTGATGGACAAGTCATCGCTGGCCACCGCCATCAAGGGCTCGAATGCCGTCTTTGCGGTCACCAACTTCTGGGAAACCATGTCGAAGGAGACCGAGGTGAAACAAGGACGCAACATCGCCGAAGTTTCCGCCGAGCTCAACGTTGAACACTTGGTCTGGAGTTCACTGCCAAACGTCACTACCCTCAGCAACGGCGCACTTCCGAATGTCGAGCATTTCGACGGCAAGGCCGAGATCGATGCCTACATCCGCGAGTTGGGCGTCCCCATGACCAGTTTTGTCCCCGGCTTCTACATGAGCAACCTCAAGAGCGCAATGCAGAAGGTCAATCTCCCCATCTCAACAAAACCAACTCGGGCATATAGGTACTGACAATGATGCGTAGGGTGAGGATGGTTCGTACACACTCGCCTGGCCGGTTCCAGCGTCCACAAAGTTCCCACTCTTCTCGGCCGGCACGGATACGGGCAAATTCGTGGCGTCGATCCTGCTCCACCGCGAGCAACTCCTCAACGCCAATGTTCTCGCCGCCAGTGGCTGGTGGAGCGGACAGGAGATCGTCGACACCTTCAAGGAGGTGACGGGCAAGAAGGCGCAGTACGCTGAGCCGCCGGCGGACGTGTGGAAGGGCTTCCTGCCAAACGAGAAGATCGCGCAGGAGATGCTCGAGAATTTCTTGTTGGTTCGTGATTATAAATATTTCGGGGCCAATGCTGAGCAGAATTTGACGAGCGCGATCGAGGTAAGAGAGCGTGTTTTTTTTTGTGTGAAAATATGAGGAATAAACGCTGACTGTCGATAGTTGCTGGAGGAGGCACCACGTTCGCTGAAGGAGTACTTTGAGAGTGAGCAGTGGTAGATGTCAGATGTTATGTGGATCGACGGACGGCGATGAGCGGGTGGACTATGGAAGGACGGCCCGAAACGCGGAGCGTCTTGATGTTGGTTAGCTGGGGTTGAACGAGAACGAGAGACTTGTCAATGGAACGTGCGCGCGCGCTTGATTTCGTTTTACGCGTGAGCACATCATATAAGTGACGGTTGACATATAGCCCTCTCTCCGACGTCGTTCCGCCGGAAAGCCTCAGAAGGAACAAGGCAAGGCAAGGCTGTTGGCATGTCATGCAAGGTACAGACTGACATGTCACTATCGAGGTTCTGCACCGCCCGTCTTACATAGGTCGTCACAGCAACGGAGGGTTGCAGGGGTGGGTGCAGGGGTGGGTGCAGGGATCAAAATCAAGCACATCGTCGAGGCTATGGACGAGGCTGACGACGCCGGGCAAAGTATGCACAGGAAAACTTGGGCGTAACTCCTGTCCGTCCTATGCTCCCAAGACGTAAACAAACTACCTGATTGAGAATTCAGCCACAACTCATGTCAGAGGCTCCTGTGGTGCGCGCGCGGAGGTACAGAGAGAGAACTCCCACAACCATCACTATAAGACTTCAGTTCAATATGGACTCTATTTCGTTCGCATCAAATCAAATTTCCTACGGTCGCTATAAATGGGGGTTTTTTCTCTTGTGAACGGTTGAGTTGCGCGTCGCGGCGTCGCAGTCCAGTCCGGACTGCAGTCCATAAAATTGAAGGTGTCATGGCATCACGTTGGATTGTTGGTTGTGGCTTTGGCTGGTTATGGGTCGCCTCGCCCCGCCACCGGACCGACTTTTTTTGGTTTTGGACAGGTTATGCAATCAATGCCAAGAACGATGCGTTACGACGGGCGCTGAAGAACCTCGTTTAAGTTTTGTGCTTACTTACTCTGAAGAATAGGACGCGATTTAAGTAAGACGGGCGGTGCAGAACCTCGAACTTGTGACCGGAACGTCTTGCCATAGAGGTGTAGGGAAACTGCGGGGGTGGGCTCTCGCGTGAACCCGAAGTTCCTGCATGGTGCCTGGCTGCTTAACCTTGCACGGAAACCTTTTCTTCACCTCCGGTGGGGCCACCTACGTATTATCCCATACCTAGCGGCCTCACACGCCGTTGCCTCCGTTCGGAAGACTTTCGAACACTACTCACGTTGATAATCCACTACTTTTCTTTTCCCGGCCAGATTAACTGTGCAATCCCGCAATCTCGCGATCCCGCAATCCCGTCCTTGCCGACGACTGCATTCGTTTCCTTCGTTAAACTTGGCGGAGAATGCTATTCGACGTTCATCACCCGGACGAAACGCCTCTATTGATCATTGCAGGATCTTTGCGGAGCAACTTTGCGGCGACTCTGGCTGCACATTTTTGGAAATCCTACGGCCCGGTAATACCGTCGCCCCTGGCACCCGATGTGTTTATCCGTCGTGTTCGGAAATATTCCCAGGTATACCCATGGCGATGCATTCCACACCATGCTAACTATTTCGTCTCATAGACTTGGGGGGAATGGTGGCTTGAATGATCGGGAGTCGGGCATACAGTATCTGATGGTTTTGGTCGACTAGTAGGAGGGGCTTCTCTATCATCGCCGCATGGAAGTTTTCGAGTTCTCGTCCGAATCTCAGTCGAAATGGCAAACGTGCGGCCAGCGGTGCTACCTAGTAGCCAGGCTTTCTGGGAGCTTTCCCGGTGTTCTCCTACCTACATACTTTCTAGGAACGGCATAATCGGAAAAATCGCCCGCCCTCGCCGCCCTCAGCCCCCACCGCGTTCCTGTCTCCACGTGAGGGTGTCCCCGGATTCACGCCTCGCTACCCCGCCTACCCTACAGCCTCCTTCTTCCGAAATCTCGCATATGCTAGGTGCGGAAGATTGATGCGCATGGTGTTGCCCATTCTTCCTGCAGATTTAGCCCACCGGCATAGTACTCCACTAGCGGTCCAATATATCTGCTACCTCAACGCTCCCTGTCTCCCCAAATTGACGTGCACTCCTACCCTCGTCCCATTGACTTCTCACTCACGTCACTTAGACGGATCAACTCCATCTTCGCCCCGGAATTGCGCGAGGCCTGCGGATGAGGATGGACTCCGAGCGCGATGGCTTGATTTTGTCTATATCGTAGGCTTCACGGTATATAAGATCATTGGACCGTCCGTTCCACTTTGAATCCTCATCCGCAGCAGCCACTACATTCACTGAGCCATACATTCATTCTCTCCGGCTACCGCAGACCACCAAACAGTCCAGTCACTTTTTCCAAAATGAAGAGCATTCTCCTCGCCGCCGCCATGATCGCTGCCGCCTCTGCCCAGCAGGGTGCGTACCAGCAGTGTGGAGGTATCAACTACACCGGTGTCACGACCTGTGTCACTGGATACACCTGTTCGGTCATCAATTCCTGTGAGTACCTGATCAAAAATCCTTCGGATCACCGAGACCATAGGCCGTATTCTGATATATGGAAATAGACTACCACCAGTGTATTCCCGGCACTGCGGCCACCACCGCCCCAGCCACCACCGCCGTTCCTTCTTCGACCACCCCGACTTCTGCCGGACCCTCGACTACGGTTGTCACATCTGGAGTTACCTCTGCCCCCGTGGTCACGGCCACTGGAAACCCCTTCGCCGGAAAGACCCAGTGGGCAAACCCCTACTACGCCTCGGAAGTCTCCAGCATCGCCGTCCCGTCGCTGGTCGCCGCTGGAAAGACTGCCCTCGCCACGGCTGCCGCAAAGGTTGCCAATGTCCCCTCGTTCACTTGGCTGTAAGTTCAAATTAAAGCCCTCGCCAGCTATGGTAGCAATAACTAACGCTTCACTCGTACAGCGATACCCGCGCCAAGGTCCCGAGCATGCGCACCTACCTCACGACTGTCCGTGCCTCCGGCGCCAAGAACGTGATCGTCCCCTTCGTCGTCTACGATCTTCCCGACCGTGATTGCGCTGCCGCCGCATCCAACGGTGAACTCTCGATCGCCAACGGCGGTGCCGCGCTCTACAAGACCGAGTACATCGATGTGATCCGCGCGACGCTCCTCGACTTCTCCGACATCCCCATCGTCCTCGTCATCGAGCCCGATTCCCTGGCCAACATGGTCACCAACATGGGTGTCACCAAGTGTGCCAACGCCGCCGAGACGTACAAGACTCTCACAGTTTACGCCATCAAGCAGCTCGCCCTGCCCAACGTGTCCATGTACATTGACGGTGGTCACGGAGGATGGCTAGGTTGGCCCGCCAACCTTCCCGGTGCCGCGACCCTGTACGCGCAGATCTGGAAGGATGCCGGTTCCCCCGCAAACCTCCGTGGTCTCGCTACCAACGTCGCTAACTACAACGGATGGTCGCTCGCTACCTGGTATGTTTCACTTCCTCCCTCTGCGCTTCTCTCGAGAGATTTATACTGATCTTGTCGTCCTCACAGCCCCTCATACACCACCCCCAACCCCAACTGCGACGAGAAGCGCTACGTCGAGGCCGTCACCGCCGCGCTCGCCGGACAGGGCTGGACCGACACCCACCACATCGTCGACCAGGGCCGCAGTGGAAAGCAGCCCACCGGCCAGCTCCTGCAGGGTGACTGGTGCAATGCCATCGGCACCGGCTTCGGCATGAGGCCCACCAGCGACACCGGACACGCTTCCGTCGATGCCTTCGTCTGGGTCAAGCCCGGAGGTGAGTCCGACGGTACTTCAGACACCAGCGCTACCCGTTACGACTCCCACTGTGGCCTCAGCGACGCCCTGAAGCCCGCTCCTGAGGCTGGAACTTGGTTCCAGGCTTACTTCGAGCAGCTGTTGACCAACGCTAGCCCTGCCTTCTAAGTGCGTGCGGATTGATGTGGGGAAGATGAGGAGGAGGAGATGGATATAGGATAACACTCGTTTATGAAAATTGCCCCATGTATTATTAGATGTATTTTTGGAGAAATGGAGGATGAAAATGGAATGTATTATTGTTTCTACTGGAATTGTGCTCCATCTGGACGGTGTGATTCCTGCCGAATACTCACCCTCGAAACTACCCACGTGAGGTTGGGCCCGTGGTGGTTCCCAACATCGGCGATAGCAACCAGTTGGATGCATTCACCTAAGCTCCAATTAAAATGGGATTCGACCTCTCCGGGTCAACTTGTCAAACTCTGATTATGATAGATTTTTCTTTTCTTATTTAATCATACGGTGCCTGCATGTGAATAGAGTGTGATCAGAGTGCCAAGACCAGACCGTCACGTTTGATTGCGAGTGCTATCTGTGATGCGCATTGGAATGATTCCCGGTGGTTGTTCCTTCTCAACGCACACTAAACTTCCCCCAACACCACAGCTCACTCGGCTGACCAGAGTTAACACTCCGTAACAGCTCACTAGCTTCATTTCAACTCTCTCACTTTCAGCTTAACTCACAACTCCCTCTTCAGCTCAACTCACACCTCCCTCTCGCTCTCTCCCCCCACTCGCTCTCCTCCTTCCCTACTTCACCCACCACTTTTCCCATCTCTTCCTACCAGCCTCAACACCTCGCACTGACAGACATCCGACATGTCACGCCGACCCACTACTTCCAAGGTCCATGTTTGCCTCATCTGCGACGAAGCCTTCCAGACAAAGCCAGCTCTCACTGCGCACCAGACACTGTGTTTGAGCCGCGTATCATACGACTACCTCAACGCCCGCGCCACCGGGACTTCTCTTCCTCCCGCCTCTATAGCGTCCCAGCCGCAGCAGCAAACGGTCATGCCCAAACAGCCGAAGGTATCACATCTGCCACCACCCTCGAAACCCGCCCCGAGTCAACTTTCGCCAGCTTCAGACGGACTACAGGATCGGATTTCTACAGCGGAGATGACGCCACGAGTTGCTGCCCCTCC